CATCAGTTTGTTTGAGCTGTGAGTGACTTTTATTGATAGTCCTGCTCATCATTGAACATTTAGATGAGAATTTTCTTCATTTGTGAGGAGACAAACAAAGTTAAGCTAAAGTCACTCTCCTTTTCCTGCATCAGGAAGCTTTGTCATACGTCAAATTTGAGAAGGTCGAGGGTTTGACCTTGGTAATACCTAAAGGCTGCCTATTAATAGCTGTGGCCCAGCAGGTTGGTTTCACCTTCGGTTAATAAGGCTTGTTTGAAGAGTGTAACCTACACGTGTACACTGCAGTGAGCTGAGCCTACGAGAACTTTTAAGACCTGCAATTCATTTCCACAGACGTTGACTTTGTGTTTAGCTGATGATAGATTTAGAGATTTAAAAAGTTCCTCTGTTGTTGCTGGTTTTGTTTCTTGGTTTGGTTTCTGGTCTTAAAAAAGAGGCTGTAGTTGATTAAAAATCACTTTCAGTACATTTACATGCAGTCAAAAAAATTGATCCAACTGAATCACACGAAATCAAACTTCTTGTACTTTTGGACTTTTGTTTTTACACTTAGTTTTTACTGTTTTTATTTTTCTTACATTTAAATTAAACACCATAGGAATACAATGCTGTAATATGGTAACCGAGCAACGACATTTGTAAAGAGGAATCACAGCTGTGTTTTTTCTCTGAGCAATAACAATAGAGAAAGTCTAAGTCTAAAGGTCCTTACACACCGAGAACGACGCAAAGATATGACGCAAAATTACGAAATATTCTGAGGCGAATTTTGACACTGACACAACAGCAGACTGAGTGTTTTTCAGTTCTGATTAGACTCTAGTGTTGAGATGTCTGTCTGTCATGATAGCATGTACTGACACATTAAACTATAATCCATAAACGTAAGGTAACAACCGAGACCTAATGGTGCTGTGACAGCAACGCTGTGATTGAGTTTAAGACAGTGGAAATACATTTGGTATGTTGTATCTGAACAGGTTAGCTTACGAGCTAAAGTTACTTAGCACAGATGAAAGTTAAAACAAAGACGTTTATCAAACTGTTAAAGCTCACAAACCATCGTCATATGAGAAATCCGACGCTATGACTCTCCACAAGTCGTCCTTCAGGTCGTTATCTTTGTAATATTTGTGTCTTTTATCAAAAATCACTCTGTTCTCCGACACGGTCGGCCATGTTGGATATACCGGTGAATCAGACGTCGCAACAACATAAAATCTGATTGGTCAGAAGAGGACACACAGTATGCGAAACTTTAGAAAAATCGACCGTGATTGTAAAAAATAAATGCTGCAAATCACAGGACGGGAAAACGTCGCTGATGTGAACGCTTGTATTGACAGGATACAGGTATGAGAAAAATATTGACATCCGAAATAATCGCACATAAAGGTAAGACCTGTGTAAGGACCGTAAGTCTAAGATACCTAGAAGATGAAGTTGCGTAGCCAGGTATCCCTAGACAGATCTTGTGGGTGACCCCTGTGTTTGGCTAATGATAAAGCTTAAACCCCTGATTGTTCTGGCCTGCTCTTTAAACTCCTCCGATCTCTCATTTTAACACCAGGGAGCCACCGAGCCAAGTCTGAATAATCGTAATTTAACCCTAAAAGGATGTGGAAGGGCTTGAAAAGGAAAAAACAGTGAGAGCATTTTAATATTTGCAGGTTATAAGTCGATAAAACAGGTTTTAGAAATGATCAGAGAAAAGGGTCAAGAAAGAAAAAAGAAACACTCTGACCCTAAAGTTTAATTTGTCGCCGGGCTGCATGTTTTTCTCCTACAGTCAAATATAAAGTCATGTCTCAGTTTTTCAGGTGAAGGGTTTGACCTCTCTGTTTATGGTAAGTGCAGCTCATACATGTCTCTTATTGTTGTGTGTTTCTTTGTTTATCAAGTCCCTCTGTGTGCTTTTGTTTTGGTCTTAGGAGAACCCTTTAACTTTCTTCTTTTTGACCCTCCAGCCTCGTCTCTGTCCTTCTCCTTTCCTGAGGGAGAACATATTTTCCTCTTGGTTTGACACAATCAATTTCAGCCCAGTTCAAGGATGAGTCATTTCGCCCCGTCTGCCTCGCCCCGTCTTTCTCTCTCTCTCTCTCCCTCTGTTTGTGTGTGTGTGCGTAAATATTTATATAAATATCCATCTACATCCTTCAATCAATGTAATCAAATCAAATTAAATCAAATATCAGCGCGTAAAGTCTTAGCTGGTGCTAAAGAAGAGGACAGGCGCACAAGGCAAATTAAAACGGTACGATCGAAGCTGTTAACATTATGTTGTTAATTAGATCGACTGAGGAGGAACAGGTGGCAGGAAGAAGGAGACGGTGCAGTCGGAGCAGAGACACACACACCGTATCTGTTTTTCCCGTACAAGCTCTTCCTCACTGCATCTTTATCTGTTTTCTTACAGTTAATCTGCTTTTCTCTATTTGTCAGCTCTACTTATTCAGAGAACAAAAAATTCAAACAGAAGATGTTTTATGATCTGCGCAGTACATCCTCTATCCTCAGATTTCAGCACGAGATAGAGAGGCCATGTCCCCAATTCGAGGACAGAAAGTTCCAGCTTCTGTCCTCGCAGAGGCTCCTTCACAATGTCAGACCTTCAGTCCTGATAAACGCTTCTCTTAAAACAAAATCCAGACCAATCAGCTTTTTAACCAACACTGTTGTTTTAGGGTCTTAACCTCCATAAACAAAGTCAGCCGGAGTTTTCTAACTTTTTTATTTTGTCGTTCCAGCGGTTAAACTTTTAAAAAACATTTGAACAAAAACACATGAAGTGTCTCCTGGGATTCATTCAACTGAAAAACCCATCAGATGTTTTGTTTCTTAAGATATTTCTCAACAAAAATAGAAGCCGAATCACTTACAATCAGTAAAAACTGCCAGTTTAATGAGAAACTTTTACTTTTGAAGTGTCTGGAATTGAGAAAATGTCTCATTTTAGAAAATTGAGTTCATTTATTCTTCCTCATTTCAAGCAGTTCTGGTCTTGTTTTCAATGTTTAATATCTTAACACATTTTTCTAGTCTGTCAGGTGGATGTTTTCGCTGTAAAATAAGAAAAAAACCTTCAGTAAGAGTCGAGTTTTTGCGCAGGGCGACCATATTCTGAATCCCCAAAACGAGGACACGACTACGCTGGGGCGGAGTCACGGAGTCGCGCATTGTAAATTTTGAGAGTTTTTCGGGTCGGGTCGAGTGTTTTTTACACGCTTCTAACTCAGTAAGTCCATGAGACACAAACTCTAAACTTCCATACAAAACCCCGGACATTTGAAGGATTTTATAAACTCCCCCGGACAAAGTCAGACAGCCCCCCAAAAAGAGGACATGTCACCCTTTTTTTGCAGTTTACTCTCTGATCGTACACAAAACATTATGTGATTTAACTTGTGAATCATTTTGGAGCTCGTGACGCCGCTCTGGTTTGCGTTGTCTCTCTCGGGAGATGACGGACATCCTCAGAATTTAAAATTACACAACTCTAATTGACCTGATTATGGTTTGTGTGTGGTTCGTGTCTGTCTCGCTCATTGTCTCTAAGACGTTGACCCTTTGGAGAACACTCATTAGAGCCCCAGCCGGGCATGGTTGCCAGACTGTGTTTGGTCAGCATTGGCAGGAACACCAACAGATTCACAGCTTTGTTTATCTCCAAGTTGTCTGGCCTCTAAGTCACGGTTCAAAAACAACAACAAACAGCCTTAAAAAACCATGAAGGGGGGACATGTTTTTGGGCCAAGATCTGCGTCATTGACGCTTATGAATTCTGAATAATGAGTTCTGGCCTCAGTTTATCTCCCTCTCAAAGCCTCATTGACAGGACTGGAGTGGACACAGAGGCAGATAACAGATGACGGACAGCAGAAGGATGTTAGAAAGAGAAGACAGAGACTTTGAGGAACTAAAAAACTCAGCCAAACGGCTTCAAACTCAGACTTTGGGTGAAATTTGTCCCCTGAATCTGACCCATCCAGAGTATTTAGAAGCAACCCAAATTTTGAAGCCAAGGGCGATGGCACCGGCTTAACTGTGACAAAACCCACGAAATGATTTTAGACTCTGAGGGATTCGAATCTCCTTTTTGGGAGATGCTTTCAAATCACCAGACCTTTCTGAGGTCGGGACACGCCTCCATGATAGTGGTTTGTTGTAGGTGGTAAAGACAACCGAATATCACATGAGAACCGTAAAATCCCGCTGAGACGTAAAAACGTCAGCACTGAGTCTTGAGGAGCTTAAAGGGATATACGTAAATTTAAGTTACAGTCAAACACACCGTAACACCGAGTTAGACACCCCCTCGAGAGATGAATGTTGCCGACCGCTTTCTTCTCTAGTTCTACCAACTTTAGTAACGACCACAGGATAGTAATACACAGTGGTCTGAGGAGCAATAAACAAACCTCAACCAGAACGCCACTCTATAGACACAAATAATGCTCAGAACAGCACCTAACTTCATCAACAGGACATATAGGGTCACAGACATAGTACTAGCCACCAAACATCTTTTAACTTTGCCTAATTTCTTTAACAAAGAGACGAAACACAACCCACCTACTCTCTTCCAGCAGCCGCTTGTTTGTGAGGGAGCCATGACAAGTCGATCACCGAGTGCAGCGGATCATTTCCATGAAGTAATAATCATCATAATAATCATTTTACACTGCAGACGTGGTAGTTCTTCTGCCTTAGCATCTTGGTCTGATTGCATTTCCATAAAGTAATGATCATAAATGTTCTTCCTTGAGCTGCGAAACTCCGCTGCACTTGGTGATCGACTTGTCATGGCTCCCTCACAAACAAGCGGCTGCTGGAAGAGAGTAGGTGAGTTGTGTTTAGTCTCTTTGCTAAGGAAATCAGGCAAAGTTAAAAAAATGTTTGGTGGCTAGTGCTATGGCTGGGACCCTATATGTTTTGATTAAGGTAACCAGACGTCCCCAATTTCCAGGAACAGTCCCCGTATTGGATGATCTGTCCCCGGAAATGTCCCCAATTCAAACATTTCATGAATGAGAACAAAAATGTTGCGCGTAGCCTAGAACAATGGTTGTTACAGTAGCCAAGTAGGTAGGAAGCGCGAGTATGTATGTTGCACACAGTCCTGAACAACAGTTTTAACAGAGGGGTTATTACGTGCACTGCTGCTAAGTAGTACCAAGATATAAGGATATTGTCTGGGTTCACGCAGCCCTGTGGAGCTGTAAACTGCTGTGTATTGCTATCCTGCGGTTGTTACTAAATTTGGTATAACTAGAGAAGCAAGCGGTCGGCAACATTCATCTCTTGAAGGGGTGTCCGCCTCGGTGTGTTTGACCTTAACTTAAATTTACGCCGATGGGTTCATCATTTGTATGAAGTTGAGACTGAGCTATAGTTGCCTACAAACTTTTTGAGCTTTAGACACACGAACAGCGGATGTTGAAGTAGCTGTCATCATTCTTATCTCACAAAAAAATCAATAGTTTCTTGTGTTACGCATTTTAAAAGCAGGCCTAGGAGCGAGAAAACAGAAAGACAGACTATTAGGAATTGGTTGAATCTGCTTATGCCACAGTATTAAAAGAAAAAATAAGAACAGGACATAACTGTGGAGGACTGGGCCCCAACTTAAGAAGATCGACTATAGATTCAATGGACTGGAAAATTGTCCATCAAAAGAAAAGAACAGAGTTGGCTGGAATCTGACCAGAGTGCTGCGATGACCCTTAACTAGACATGGCTCAGAAAGTCCAAACAAAAGAAAGCTCAAGATCTGGGACACTACAGAGATTGTGTATCACAGGGCGAGAACACGATTGAGGTAAAAGAGGTCACTGGACCGCTTCACGGGGCCAAGAGACAAACAGGACCCCGAGGAAATAGTTGGCAGAAACTCCCAGAAAGATTCGATTCAGTCTGCTGATTTTGCCAACTTTGGTAAAGGAGGCCTGTTTGACTTGAACTCAGGAACATGAATGAAAGTACTGACTGTAATGGACTGTAATTGGGGGGGTATTTACTGTCACTTATTGTGACGTCAAGCTCAAGGTGGGAAGCTTGAATATTATCACGTCTTGCCGCTGTGTTCCAGGTCGTGCGTCATTAAAACGTCAATAACCTGACGAACTGTCACCATTTCACTGCTCTTTTTATAATAAGCTGCCACTTAGAAAATGTAAACGCCTCGATAGACCCAGACGGACGTCAGGCTGGGAAGTGACTGGATGCAAACATCAGTTGTACTCAAATCAAAACTGTGTTTGTTCAATATGTTTTTAACTCAAAATATGGTCCGACATTTTTCTAGATTTACACTCTCCATTGTCCTGACACTGCTTATCAATCTACGAGCGGAGAAATGAAGACGATTTGTCAGATTATCAATAAGTAAAGCTGATGACCTGGGACGCAGTAGTGAGGCGTGATAATAATTTAAGCCTCCCCGCCGAGGTTGTTGTCAGAGGAAGATGACCCTTGAGGAAAAATAGTGTATGGGTGTAAATGTACCTCTTCTTGTCAGCTGACAGGTTTAATGAGTGGTGAAGGGGAAATTGGATTTTTTTGGAGGGGGGGGATCCATTTACTGCTAACGTCAGGCTTGTACATCAAGTTTCACATTAGTTGTGATTTGTAAAACATAACCAGGCGTGAACGCGGCTTCATAAATATGATTAATACAACACATGTTTGTGTGTTTATGGGTCTGGGGTTCCTGCTAAGATTGATGGTCTTATTGTGTTGGAGCACATGGCTGGATTTCTTGGCCTCTGGTAAACAATGCCGTTGAGAAACAAAGGGGAGCAGGAATTCGTGGAAACTCATTAGCTCTGGTATAAAGCAATCAGAAATAAGCCGACACTGAAGCTGAATTCAATAAGAGCGGACACGAAGAGCTGCCAGTAGCCTTTTTCCGTGCCAGCGTTGACATCTTAAGACATTGTCTGTGGAAACTGGCAGAGACGCCGAACAGGAATGTAGGAAGCTTTCGTGGCGTGGCAGCGTTCCCAAACCTCATGTGTAAACAGCTTTTAGACAAAGCAGACGCTTAGAATAACTTTGACCTCGTGTCACAATCAAAACACTGACTTGGCCTTAGCGTGTCTGCTGTGTCTCTTTTTTTTTTAAGTTGGTTTTTAAGTAGCACCTCAACGACACGTCGTAAAAGCAGGAATGTTGTTGACAAAGCTCGGCCGTTTTTTTTCCGTCTCACTGCTCCATCTCGCAGCAACACAGAGAAATAATTCAACTGGTCTGACCTCAGTGTAAGATCTTCTTCTGAAATTTTAAGTGTATTTTATTCGTCAGATTTTCGAATTAATTTCAGTTTTCGAGGCGGACAGTTCGCCAACATCTCTCTATTTTTTTTTCTTAGTTTGCTTTCTCTTTTCTGTCTTTTCTTTTTGAATATCCAGATTTTCTTTTTCTTTATTTTGGCTCGGACCAGACCATTTCGCACATTAACTATAAATGTTTATGTGTTTTAAGAATTGTATATGTTTATTTTTGTCATTTTATTTAGAAAAGTTATAGCAAATGCAAATCAAAAGTATTTTTAATTTCAGGTCCATCAAGAGGACCCCGTCCCTCTCTGGGCTGTCCGATAATCAGCCCCACACTAATTCTGAGCATTGATTGAAAACCACATGATCTTTTGATCTACACAAAACCAGTCTTGGTAAATGAGTGCATTGATATATGGTCACACACAAAACATGACTGAAGGGTGATTAAGTACACAACGAATCATATTCGATTTATTTCAGGGAAAGTCTATTGGGAATCTATTCCCCTCTGTCGATACGCAATCTCAGCAGCTCCAATATACGAGGGACAGCTGTCGTTCAGGTGCTGCAGGATAATATGAGTTGTCATTAATAAATGTGACATTGATTGACAATTGATTTTCCTTTTTCCAATGTTTTCTATTTCAAAGGCGCTCTGTTAGATAATATCAAGCGAATGAGGTACATTTGCTCAAAATCGTCCTTTCAAAGTGATAAAACATGACGAATAAGGAGCTTGAAAGTAATGTTCCTCAGGTGTCAGCAGGCCAGAGTTGATGAAATGTCTTTATAGACAGACTTTTCAAAAATGTTTTGAATGATGAGGATTATTTTGAATGATTCAAGGTCACATACAGAGCACTCAAACACACAAAGAAATGCCATTCACATAGCAAAGCGCTCTGGCGGCGGTGATGAAAAGACTTGTCTTTTAAATCGATTCTTTTGTCACGAGCGCTCGTGTGGAGCCGCAGCAGCCCGGCGAGGTTGTACAGGGGACAAGAACAGCTATCAATGGGTCAATCGTCCAATTACTAAATCCATAATATTGACCAAAGTATTGACCCAACATGCTTTATATATATCTCTGTGCCAGGTGGAGCAGGAGCAGGTAACACCAAGTGATCAATCACAGGTCTGGCCTCCAGCGAGGATTCAGATGAATTTCTGAGAGGCTTTTAAAATCAGTTCATCATTTTTTAATACATCTTTTTTTAAAAGGCGCAGATTTATTTATGTGGATATGAGAGGATAATAGTTTGTTTAGCTTCTTAAATGGAAATATCATCGGGTATTTACTGGACGTAGTATTGATGTTCTTTACTGACATGTTTTGGCCTTTTTAGTTATAATTTATTGGTTGTTTCTTACTGATAAGTAAAGTAACACACCCTTTAGTATTGAAAGAGTACACAGAGATTAGATTATTTACTGTGGATTATTTACAGCACATTTCCCAACCACTTCAACTATTTCAGGACAACAACAAAACGGAAAGTTTGGCATCCAAATTTTAATTAATAATATTTTAAAGCTACTGTGGGAGGAGGGAAGGGTTTAACTTGTTATGAGACGAAGTCGTAAACAAGACCATTGGGAGTAAGACTGATTATTCTAAGTGCCGAGACCACAGTAAGGGGGTCGGTGTCACACCAGGTAACTGACAGCAACCTGAAAAAAAACAAAAGATTCACCACAGGAAACATTATCCGTACATGCACACATCAAGCGAGCAAATTTTGATTTCAAGAGTGCATGGATCAGGCAGGTTACAATGAGAGCGCCCTCTGCAGGATCATACGTCAGGCTGCTGAATTTGTTGTTCTACGTCTACGACAAGTACGCACATATATTTCAAAAGTGATGAGAGAAATATCCTCAAATTAGAGTGCAAAGTCAGACTTTAAGCGAGCTGTATACTGATAAAATAATGATAAAATAAACTGCAATGTAAAATTATTGAAATTTTATTGAATTCTTTATTTAAAAAACTGCAAAATTGCAAAAAAAAAAAAACACAAACGCTCATTTATAAAACAAACAAAACAACTGATTGTGTTAAGTGAATTTTGGAGGCGGCTACATGGTGACACCCTGTGGTGATATGATTCTAAAAACTGAAGAGGTAAACCGAAGATATTACCCTGTTAGAGTGTGTGTGTGTGTGTGTGTGTGTGTGTGTGTGTGTGTGTGTGTGTGTGTGTGTGTGTGTGTGTGTGTGTGTGTGTGTGTCCCATGCAGCATCACCGAATGTGGCAGAGTGCTTACTGCTGTAGCACAGAAGTGCAGAGCGAGCGTACGGCCGCTGAACCGTGCTACCGAGGGATCACACCGAGCAGTCGGACCACAATGCACTGCAGCTGCAATCAATGTAGAGGGAGAGTGCAAGTGGATGTGGGTGTGTGAGTGTTGTGTGTATTTGTGCGTGCTTGTGTGTGTGTGTTTATGGAGTCACAGGTTTGATCCCTAAGGGAGTAAAGACATGACTTCCATTAGAGACAGGACTTTTAGACCGCGTGAACCCCACACTCTGCTCAGAGATGTTCAGAGACTAAAAGCAAGTTTTAGTCAAACATTTTTAGACGTCAACTCTGGGATTTCTGTGGAAAATGTAACATACCTGTGAAAACCCTTCAAGGACACGACGAAGAACAAAGGTGTTATCAAACAAACAAAAAATAATAGACGTTTGAGGTTTAGTCACGACTGTATTAAAGGTACAGCGCAAAGAAATGGAAATATTTGGGAATATACAGCGGTCTAATTCTCCCTTGCTCACCCCTCCTGTCAGTGAAGCAACGGTGGCCTAAATGGACAAAAGCTCCTGTTATACATTTGAAACATGACCCTCCTTTAATCAAGTTTTTACCATCAAAAATCATCTACAAATACATTTATTTTGCACTGAAAAACTAAATTATTTTAAAGTGCGTCAGCATTATTTAAAACTTCGACTGTTTTTATAAGTGACATGTTACAACAATTGATCTGAAGGTAAGTATACTGAAGTCCAGCAGTTTTCAACAGTCTGAGCTGCTGTACTGAGCGAAACTGACCTGATCCTTTTTTCATACAATTTTTTTTATTTGATTTGTTTTGTGATCATTTTTTATTCAGATAGTAAGATAGTAGGAGAAGTTAAAAGGAAGGATCAAGAGAAACAATTTACAAAACTGGGGATGGAGAAAACATCTTCACATCATTTTTTCATCCAAAACACATTTTTATTCAAAAAAGAGGCGAAAACAATAAAGTCTTTTTCTTCATTTATCATTTTACACTTTTTTCAAGCTCCAACAACGAACTTTAAGTTTGTGTCTTTAGCGGCGCTCCCTGTGGTCAAAACTGTCCTCTTGTGGTTTTTTACTGATCATGAACCGTCAGGTAATAATTGTGTTTTCTGACTATAGAATCTCCTTCTTTTAGCTTTTCACTGTCATATATTTTAATTTGGGAATTTTAGAAAAGGTCTGTTTCTGCAGCAGGCTATAGTTCACCACACGGCAGCAGTTTTAAGCGTAAAAAAATGCAGTAATGGATACGATAAATCTTTCAGCTGATGGTCTTGTTTGCTTTTGTTACTCACAGTGATACGAGTTTAAGTTCACTCTCAAATCTTGGGTCCAGATCTCATTATTAGTATTATTAAGTATTATAGGGAGAGCAGAGGTTTTATGCAAAAATACATACTATAGGTCGAGGCTGGACTGACTGGGTTTAACCTTCTGGATGTGCAGAAAAGGTGTTTTAGATGATCAGATTATCACTGGAGCTGCAGTGCTGTGCATACGGGTTTAAATTCGAGACAAATGGCCCTGTTTTTACAATCTCTCTTATACATATTCACAATAATTCGGCAATCAGAAATGAGCAGGATGAGATTTGTTGTCATAAATAACTACTCAAATGTGCAGCCGACAAGAAAAGTGAAGACTGCTTTGTCCACAGGGGGCGCCAAAAGTGACACAAAAGTTCCTCACAGGAGCTTTAATGTTCAGAAACATAAGCACCATATTTCTATTAGACATCAAGACTTATAAAGAGTGTGCAAAAAAGCTCAGACGTGTGTCATCCTCCTTCAAAACAACAATATACGGCTAACATTGACTAATTAAACTAGTTTATTGCAAGAAAATGACCAAGAATTTGTCTAAATCATTTTTTTATTCCTCCAACATGGTATTCTGTCTATACTTAATTGACAGCTTTAACTTCTATAGGGTTTTGTGGTATATATATGTAAGCCTACAGTATATTTGTACACATCTCGACACGCACGCCTCCATCCGACGATTCATATCCAATAAAGTTTGCCACAAAAAAACATCAAATCTTATTGTTGATGTGATAAAACAGATTGATTTCAGCCGTGACTCATTCATCAAGCCCCTCTGTTAGTTTACAATAAGGATGCATGCATATGACACAGGTGTACGCAGGTGTTCCCAGTACATAATGTGAGGCACATACAGTAAACTGCTGTTAGTCCCTCCATTCACCAAGAACGATCAATGTGTCATTGGAACGATGAGTCATCCAATCGGGTAAGGTTTGGCGTGCAGATGCATGTGACATCCGGAGCGCGTCAGCGGCTGATTATGGCTCAGTTTGTCCTTCTGCTGTCATTTCCTACAAAAGACAGACAGAGAGAGAGTGTGGCCTTACATAAGCAGGAATACAAAATCTGTTTAGCTTAGGGGTTAAACTTTATTCCATTTGAGATGAGATGCAGACAACAAGAAGAGAAGGCATTTTATGTTTAGTTTTAAAGTTGTATTTTGTGTATTTTTTTATTGTTCTTTAGAAAACTTAAAGAAATATTCAGGCGTAAAATTATTTTACACACCATAACATCGTAGTTAGACACCCCCTCGAGGGATGAATGTTGCCGATCACTTGCTTCTCTAGTTTTACAAACTTTAGTAACGACCACAGGTAGCAATACAGAGAGCCACGTGCTCAACCAAAACACCACTCTATAGCCACAAATAATACTCAGAACAGCACCTAACTTCATCAACAGGACATATAGGGTCCTCGCCACCAAACATCTTTTTAACTTTGACTAATTTCTTTAGCAAAAAGACTAAACACAACTCACCTACTCTCTTCCAGCAGTTGTTTGTTTTTAGAGAGACCTCAGGCCAGTCTATTACGGACTACAGCGGGGTGACGCAGCTCAAGGAAGAACATTTATGATCATTTCTTCATGGAAATGTAATCAGACCGAGACGCTAAGGCAGAAGAACTACCGCGTCTGCAGTGCAAAATGATTAATATGATGATTATTACTTTAAGGAAATGATAAAGTAATAAAGTAACTCCTTAGACCGCTGTCCTATCTATCATGCGACCGTTACTAAAGTAAGTATAACTAGAGAAGCAAGCGGTCAGCAACATTCATCCTCCGAGGGGTTTTCTAACTTGGTGTGTTCGACCCTAACCTAATTTTACACCGGAATATCCCTTTAAGTTTGTTTAACTCAGAAAAATCTATCCTCACAGCAAAACCCAGAGACGATTTCATTCAACACCAATAGGTTCATTTTTCAAGTTTTAAAATTCACTAAAAAAGTTCTTTACTTTGTTAAATTGTTAAAATCTCAGGAGAACTTCAGCTTGAGTTGTCACAAACGATATTCAGAGATTTTGGTTTGCGTACCTTGTGACTCCACGCACTCAGGGACACGTTAGATTGAGTCAAGCTTTCAAGGCTCTTTGAGTCCCGTTCAAATAAAGAAGTCTGAAGTTTGGCGGGTCGGTGTACCTTCAAATGATTGATGGCCTGAGGGACGCTCCAGTTGTGACTCTGCAGAGCTGTCGGACACCATGTACGGCTCCTTGGACCTGTCAATCAAACCATGAACTCAGTGTCTAATCAAAAATCCTAAAATCAAATCCTGACATAATCTGAACTGATAACATCTTTTCTAAATGTACCGTGAAAACTTAGGATTCGGTAAGTGTGTTGAGTTATAGACACCTCTGTCCAAACACAGGTCCATCCAACAGGTTAAATGTCACATTCAGTATTTTTAATATGTTGTTTTAATCAGTTCCTCTGGTTCTGTGGTTCTGCTGGCTGTACTCTAGGATTTCCTTGATCCAAAAGAAACCTCTCAGTTTGTGCCGTGACTCTGGAATAACCAGAAACCACATCTGAGACATCTAAAGCAGGAAGATAAGCAGCCAGCAGGTGTGTTTGTGACAGAACACCGTCATCCACTGTGGTCCACATTTACCCTCAGAGGCCTTTAATCCCTCTGTGTGTGAACGGACTTCTCGAAACACCTGCTGTTGTTGACAGTGAGTTGAGCAGGACTGTGCGCACAATCCTGACGTAAAACTGTGTCAGAGTAGGTGTTTATCTTTCGGTCTTTTCTGGATATATTTAAGACTTTTGCGGGAAATGCTTATACTTGTTTGTTCTGGAAATCTGCTGTCTCAGTGTTTGATACATCCAGAACAATCAGTACGTCAAAAAAACGTGTCTTTGTTTTCTGATTTCTCAATAAATCTCATTTCATAGTGTACCAAAGATTAGGTCAATCGATCAATTAGAGTTTATTTATATAGCACTGTTCATACAAATGAAATTGCAGCTACATCAGGACAAGAAAAATAAAAGGTAACATGTACAAATTAAAAAGTAATGTCCTAAAGGTCCAAGGTGATGAAAGTAGAGGAATAAGAGTGACAAACAAAAATTATAGAAAGCTGTTTATCTCCTTTAACTCTCTTCTTTGTGAAATCGAGGGAATAAGGGGGAGGTAGAGCGTACAGCTGACATTAACCAGTAATAAAGTCAATCTTCACATTGATCTTGACTTTAAACAATCATCCACACGTGCAGTAAAGAAAGAAGTGATCAAGATTAGATATGAAAAATTAAAACTCAAGGACTTACTGGGATGATGAAACAGCTGCAGGTACAATTTGATTTTATGTGTCCTGATTCTCTTTTCATTACCTTTGTGACGCTCTGCTCCTGTTGCATGCTGGGAGTTGCAGTACGAAGGTTATTATTGTTGTAGAAGGAGTTTAGTTTGGCTCCTTCAGGTTGCTGGATTATGGGGTTGGCTGATCCAGATCTTAAAAGAAGAGACTGATGAGAAATGAAGTCGGTATAAATAAGAAAGAAACAACGTGAGGATTGAGATGTCACTAGAGTCGGGGACGAAGTGGACCAGTTAGAGGACAGAAGGGGACACAGAAAGTAGAGGGGGAGGACAGAGGAGGTACAAATGGGAGGGGAGAGGAGGAGCGTGAACCTGGTTGAGAGAAGACGTGGTCTCTAGGAGGGATCTGGGAAGGCGTGTCTTCAGGGTCGTCCAGGGAGATGGAGCGGGACTGTGGGCTCTCTGAACAGGTGGAGAAGTTGTGTTTGGAGGGGCGCATCGGGGGGACGGGGCTGCGAGGGGGGGAGCGCAGGTCGGTCCTGAAAGCAGGAGAAGAAGGAGGAGGTGGAGTTGGAGGAAGGAGGCGGATAGATCTGTCGATGAAGGCCTAAATGCACCAGGGGCTGAGGGAGGGAGGAGGAGGGGAGAGAACGGCCTGTTCCCATGGGAACCTGCAGCTTCACCATCACCCAGACCCAGAAATACCAAAAGAAATGTTATGTTTGCTTATATTTTCACAGTGATATTGACTTTACATCAGTAAATAATCTGTCAAAACTTTCTCCACCTCTCTTTGTAGTTCCTGAAAAAGACAACTAGAGTAAGATGAGCAGTTTGTAACAGAATCTATCTCACTAGAATCACAATTTTTGTGCTTTTACAGTCAACAACATTATGCAAAGGTTTAAACGCGGGTAAACTTCACTCTTCCAAAGACTCCACCACAGCAGAATATTTTCTACAGCAGGAGCTTCACCTTCAAAGTGTCCTCGTCTGGCGCCCGTGACAGAGTGAATGGCGAGGGCGTGGTCGAGCTGAGGCTGTCATCATTGAAGTCGATAAGTGACACCCACGGCCGCAGCTTCGGACCCAGAGACACTCCCCGCCTCTTCAGCCCTGATGAAGCGCTGGTGTCATCTTCATCATCATGGTCGTCCATCACGGAGTCGTAGAACAGCTCTGGACCAGCAAAGACACACCAGTCAGATAACAACAGAGTGTATTTAAAGGTACAGACAGCAGAGAGAAAAAAAGAGGATAACTTACCCTTTAAAGGGATATTCCGGCGTAAAATTAATCACAGAGTTAGACTCCCCCTCGAGAGATGAATTTAACTTTAACTGCAGGTTGAGGTGGACGAGGGGAGGTTTCAAAAAATTTCACCCCCCCAGTGACTTTACATGTCTTATATTATTTAAATCAGTCTTAAATACTTAGTCTTGGCACGGTTTGGAAGTTTTGTTGGTCTCGCAGCACCTGAATCCTTTCCCAAGACTTCAGGAGAGTCCATGGGGGTTCCCCAAATAGAGATTGAAAGACTGCAGACTGGACGTAAATGAGGCTCAGTGGGATTAAGTTGAAGATTTACAGCACAAACATGAAGAAAACCACAATAGTGGTGGGCGTCGGTCCAGTACTGTCACCAGTGTCACAGTCTGCCGTAACATGAGTTTTACAATACTGTCATCACCAGCTGAAACACACAGTATGACGTCGCTCCACACACTGATGGCGCTGCCAGCACACTCAGCAAACACAACCACATCCCTGTTTTTGGTAGAGCAGGTGTTCACACTGATAGTGTATCAGGGCACAGCAATCAGGTAAGCTTGTGCACTTTCCCAAGTTTGATGTCAGCATATCACAGCTTTTCCTGGATTAGCATCTCTGTTAAAAAAACAAAAACAGGCCGGTGTGCTTTAAAGTGTATTTCAAATCGTGACTCAGCTGTTTTGAGTCTAAAGATATGAGAAGGAGGTGCTGGTGAGTGAAACTCTTGACAATCACTGATAAAAATCTGGCTCTGCCAAAACTCAGTGAATTTAAAGATTAACAGGTTTATTTTCTCTTCAAAATAAAAGCCCCTCATTGTTTTGTCGTTGAAATACATACCCTGATACAGAATGAGAAGCTACACATCACAAACAGAAGCAGGAGAAAAATGACCATAATCATCATCACAGGCTTGTTGAAGGAGGAGAGAGGAGGCAGAAGCATCTACAAATATATTTACATTTCCTAATACCACAAGAATAAAACAATAAACCACGATGTCCATCTTTTAGTCCTATTGCCCGTTTTTTACACTTCTGCAGCTGATTATATCTTTCTGGTCTGACGAAGTGGATCCTTTGCGTGAACTGGAGGGCTCTGCTGCACTCTAGTGGACAATGGTGGAACATATATAGTAGAAGCAGCATAGATATAAATATAAACAGTAGATGGTTTACGCACCCTATGAGCCAATGGAGACCGACGTCCGCGCATGGCGGCCATCTTGCTTCAGGCAAATCGCCAACTCCTAACATTACAGTCTACGGTGCATGTAGTATCTAAATAACCACAGATTGATTAATTTTAAACCGATTTTCGAACGTTTTGATTTGTAACAAACCTCAGAGTTTTAGTTACATTCCTGCATACTCAAGAATAATTTTAACCATGGATTTTCATAAATAAACATTAAGAGGATAGGTAGAGCAATAGCTATATACACAAAGCAGTCATTTTAAATCATTTATATATTTAAAAAATTTAATCATTCCATGTATGTTATGTTTGCAATATTTCTATTATATGGGTAACTATAATAACATATGACAATAACAAATATAAATATTTATTTTCAATATAAATTTCTGCCTCATGTTGCCATTTTAGATGTTTTTAACAAACCAAACAGCTTGGAAATCATGTGCAACTTAAGTTATGTTGAAACGAAAGAGCATTTATGCCTCTCCAATTGATGTAAAATTGTCGGGTGAACATTGTAATAGGTGGTCTTACTCACAGCAAGTCTGTTAGCCTAGTTAGACAGCTGATAAACACAAGCACATCCACACAGACTGTTACTTAGACAAAATGAATAAATAAAATAAAATAAAAAATAGGCTGTCATAAAAAAAATAAATAAATAAAATCTCGATTGTGATCTCAGCCTTGACAACCCGCCTAAAGTGAGTCAAAGTTAGCCCTTGCGTGTAAATAGCTGTCAAACAACTGTGCTTCATGATTGTGTTTTTTTTTTTTTCTTAAAGCACAGCTGCCATTTTAATTTGTCGAAGCATCCCGAATCACAGCCACGTTATGAAGGTCTGTAATAAACACAACCATTTGTAAACCTCTCTAGATTTCAGCGAGTTAAGAGTATTTTTGATCACGCAGATTATTTAACTTTCGTCAGCTACCATAAAGCGTACCAGAATGGTATACTGAAGTAAGATGGCCGCCGTGTACGGACGCCTTTCTTGTATATATCTATGGTAGCAGCACCAGGATGCGGAAGTAATCAGTTTTAAGTTTGAGTTCTTCATTTGAGATTGTCTTAATTGATTCATTACACTTGTGGCTAATGATGTGAGAAAACCAATGTAAGTCAGTTTAGAGAGGTTTTTCCTCCGTTACCTGGTCAGGGAGAAAGTGGCCTGTGATGAAGATGAAGTCCTGTGGCCTGACCCAGCACGAAGACGTGACGCCGTGTCTCAATCATTAGATACTGTAGGCATTTGAGTTTGATATTTATGTGCTCATCCATATCTGCAATAATTTTATTTGTACTGTGAACAGACGCTAAATTTTCCAAGTCCGTCTGGCTACAAACCTCCACTCTTCATTGAGAGGACCCACTTCCACTGAGCGGACCGGACGCTCTTTGAAGCCTTTCAAAATAAAAGCAAATATACCGGGAGAATGTTTCTTGTTAAAAGCGATTACACCGGGAAGTAGGTTTTTTTGTCTGGTGTGAATATAATACTTTTCTTTAGGCTTTATTTTGTGTCACATCGGGTCCACTCAGTGGAGGTCTGCAGCCAGACCCCTCTAAAATTTGAGAGGTGACCAGATGCAGCGCAAGATGGCGGACCCAAAGATAGAAAACCACATTTACAAAACGCAATAAGTTTCCGCATTACCTCCGATTGGCGGACCCAAAACAATTACTTCCGGTGGAAAGGCTTTCTCGTTGGCGGACTTCCGGCGCCGAAATACTTCAGGTAGTCGGATTTAGTGAGAGGTGACCAGATGCAGCGCAAGATGGCGGACCCAAAGATAGAAAACCACATTTACAAAACGCAATAAGTTTCCGCATTACCTCCGATTGGCGGACCCAAAACAATTACTTCCGGTGGAAAGGCTTTCTCGTTGGCGGACTTCCGGCGCCGAAATACTTCAGGTAGTCGGATTTAGTCGCCGGATCCTTTTTTTTTTGCTCCGTTCATTCCATAAGAATCGAATTAAATTTATTATTGAGCTAAAAATCAAAATAAAACGTTTATGTATTAATTATGACAACTGTTTTGTTCTGATTTAATTCTGAAGTTTACAGTAATATGTATATATAGCCTGATGTCCTCATATTCTGATAATTTGTCAGAATAGGTAAATGTATGTAGAAGTTATCATCTTACTCAAATTCTTTTGTAAGAGTTTGCTACAAGTATGGACTGTTTTAACCTCTCGTTACACATCATATAACAGTGTTTTCTAACTTTTCTCTCCAATAGCTTTATTACACAGCACATCAATGTTTCTTAACTTCTCTGTGACCTTGTTTCTCCACTCCTATTAGGACCTCGTTTAATGTCAACAATGTTGCCCTGACCCTCACATATTTTCTGTTGTTCATAATTATGTTTTATGAGAGTGCTTATGTTGCTGCACAAATTTACTCCCCCCATCCTTTAGTAACATTGTGTAACCAGGGACATCATTTATGAAATGGTGTGCTTCCTGGTGAACCTCTTCAGGATTGCTTGACTGTGCAAAATCCAAGTATACAATAGTTGTAGAGACACAAGTCACATGATCTCTTTAAGGTTCAGAAGAGCCATATAGCAAAAACAATTGAATAGCGATATCATTACAGACTGTGTAAAGAAATGGGAAATTGTCATACAACTGCTTTGAAGATTTCTTTAATTTTTTCCAAACAAAATTGTGAACAGTAAAAAAATATATATATATACAAAATTCAGCACTGCCGTCGGTGTGGTGGGGGGCTTAAAACACGTTGCCACAGGCCATCATCAGCTCTGCTCTGAACCGGTTGATGCCATGCTCCTTCAGTGCTTTGATCAAAAGCTGAAAAACAGTCAAATAATGTGAACAATTGAAGTTATGCAGTATGGGTTAATTGTTGTTCTTGAGCTTTCCAAATGAATAAGAACAACCTCTTAACAATATCATCAATTTTCAAAGCAAGCTATATAGTTTGATCTACTCACCTCTGGGAGCATGACATCAAAGACAAAATCAAGCAGATGAATCTCGCCTCTCTTTATTTTTTTAGAAATGTTTGTTGCCACCTCAATGAACCGCAGGAGCTCGAACATCTATTGAAGAAAAACACAGAAAGTAAACACCTTTCAAATGTAACACCCCTGAGAGTAAAAATACTCATGATGGATGGCATTTTTACTTACGCGCTGCTCACTCCAACTTAGTGTCCTTATCTTAAGATGCTGCTTTAGTCGGAGTGAGGTGGCGGGATTCCTCCAAAGAAACATTCTGTTGGAGCGGATCTTTCCGGACAGTAGATCATCGTGTAATGTCTGAAACCAAAGAGCAAGAGACAAAAATGTAATCATCTGAAAAAGAAACGGTGGCTTTAACAACTGATAGTGCATTCAAAAGCAACCTTGATCTGTGTCTTAGAAAAGACAGCATGAATTCCTCAACTGTCAACAGCATCCTTGATCCTGCAGAGAAATAAGAAAAGAGCAAGCCCTCATTTTTTCATCCTTTGAGCCTCGTATTTTTGACTGATACTATGTTTCCTTGATAAATTATGTTATACCGAGGATGCTCAATGGAGTCCTCGCACCCGCAGTCAAACGGCTCCATTTCAATCCCAGCACAATCCTGATGCAGCCAGCCCCTGCACGTCTTGCACTGGACCCATTTTATGACGTTTACCTCAGGGTAAAGCAGTCTGATCAAATGAGAGACAAACATAATATTAAACAAACACGCTGTCCAATTGATTATACCTCTACAGCACATTTGAATGTATAAATAATTTTCCTGCATGATTCGTGCATTTAAACTATATGTAAAAGTGGTCACTTTTGCATTTATTAAATTGAGTCTGCAACACACCTCACTCCTGTGTTGTTCGATGTCTGGTAGACACAGAATTGCATTGAATCTGCCATGCACATTCTTTGGACATCCGATACCGTCTGCGTCATGGTTTCCTTGACAAGGCAATTTGAAAAGTAACATCAATTACCAAATACATCGAGACAATGTTGATCCATACAACTGTGTGCATTTTGAAGGACTCCCACTGAGATAATACTGTTTTTAGAAGGCAATTTTCTAACCTCTATGTCCTGCTGCTCTGCCTTCCTCTTTAGACTGAAGACCGGAGTATGCTTTCCAGCAATGAGCTCTTGACATCCTTTGGTCCAGTGGGCGAAGATTTTCCCACAACTGTAATGACAATATATCTTTAAGTACAATATATTGATTGTCTTCCAGTTAATTAGGACATCTAGTTTACTTAAACTGTCTACCTGTTCAAAGAATTGTTCTCCAGGAGCAACAGGCACCACCATCGCCGCCAAACAGGCATGTCATGCTGAAATTGTTGTTTGTATTTCATTCTAGTGCACAATACAAAATACAATCTTGAGGATGACACTGCGTGTTGAAAAGTACTTACAACTGAGTAGTCAAACTGTGACTCCATAACGATGTACATGGCAGACTTTAAAAAAAAATTATGAGACAACATGTGAGATAACTTTAAAAAAGTCCATGTTGGAAAGTTATTCTAGATACAATATTTGTGCATTACAGCTCGTTATGACCTACCATCAACATGAATATGCCACAGTCTGAGCCGAAGTCCTGGCTGGGGAAGCCCTGATTTAACAAAAGCAAACGTTAATCATCTTGTCACATACACTTTGTAGGAGCCAGATTGGGGTTTTGCAGTTTATTGTTATGTATTTTTTGTGCCAGCAGATGGTGCTATTGTGCCTGTCTATTTAATGGGTGGGTTGATTAGGAGAGGTGCGCACATAAAATGATGAATGAGTAAATAAATCAAAACAACAGAAAATGTGTGTGACATGTGACATTATTCCACCTGCGGGCACGCATCAACTCAAGCAAAAAGGTGTTCGCCACAAGTAACAGCATTGGAAAGCTGTTATACACTTTTCAACTGTAATATAGAGCATGCACAAATACCTCCAAATCTCTGCCCGTTTTCTCAGGCCATTGCCCAGGACATATCTTCTGCGCAATGTTCCTGTTAATTTGAGAGCGTCACTTAGATTTCCCATGATGGAAACAATGGAATGCAGGGTTAGGGTTAGTTTGAGTGGGTCGGATGTGAGATTGAATGAATGCGGACGGCTTGCTTCTCTTCAAACTTCCTGAGAGTTCTTCTTCTTCTGTAAATTTTGCCGTCAGAAAGTGTAGGTGCATACCGCCACCTACTGTTCTGGCATCGCAAAGCAGAAGTTCAAAGTTCATGTTTTGGGTCCGCCAATCGGAGGTAATGCGGAAACTTATTGCGTTTTGTAAATGTGGTTTTCTATCTTTGGGTCCGCCATCTTGGCGCTGCATCTGGGTACTTTTGAACTTGTTTGGTTGAGTCTCAGTTTATTGTTAATGCAGCAGCTCCACCTGCTGGTCAAACCAACGAACTACCAGATGAGCACTCCTCTTCTCATACCTAAACTAACTGTGCACAAACTCCTCCTTCACCTCACTTTACAAAGGTCACTGTCCAACATCATATTCAGTATTAAAAGATGGTTGACAGTGTGTCTCCTCTCAAGTGACGCCAAAATGTTGGGCGCTCCCCATGCTGGCTGAGTGTAATATGGTCATTAGATGTTGGAGATTATTCAAACTTTAGAATAACAAATATTTTATAGTTTCTGTTATTATGGTATGACTGAGGATTAGAACCACGTAAATAAAAATGAAATATTTCAGATTTTGAAAGTCATTGGAGAAAAAGTAGAAGAGTTATGAGGGGAAAAAAGTCATACTTTAATAACATAAAGGTGTAAATTTATTTGATAAAATCATGATCTCATGAGAATAAAGTCGTCATTCAATAAGGATGACGGTGTGATTACAGGCCATTTTTATGTAAATAAAACACAGGGGTTATCAGAGGAGCAGCCAGCTGCCTGCACTAAAACCAGGACCGTGTCATGGATCATCCCGTGAAGTCGAACATGAGAGTCAGGAAAGAGTCGCAGAGGTCGTCTCAGGCTGCGTGTAAGTCTGCTCTTCTTCAGAACAGACTCCGTTTCTTGTAACAGGAGCAGTCTTATAAAACATCGTTAGCCTCGTAAACTTGGACAAAACTTTTTGTATGTGGCTTTCTTTTGATGGTTAGATTGTATTTTTTTTTTATTTCCAGGTGCCGTTACTTCTTTATCAGCTTTGTCAGCCTTTTTCTTTTATACTTTTGTGTTACCCTTTATTGTACGACCCACAGACTAAGGATTAAAGGCTGGTATGTAGGTGAGGACTTTCCCAGGATCATGCCTCTGTTTGGTTTTGAAATCATGTCACTAGTGTTTGATAATCTCATATTCCTCCATCACTGCAAGGCTTGAGTCACTTTTTGTTGACTCTCCTTCTTCTTCAATCTTGTCTTTGTCGTAAAATCAGTTGAATATAAACAGAGAAGGATTTGAAGTGATTGTATTCTGTTGTTATTCACATTTTACACAACGTCCTCATCTGTCTGTCAAGAGAATGGATCCCTGTTGTCTGTGTCGACTTTTCTGACCATAAATTTGGTTTGTAAATTTGAAGTTGACCTTCATATAGTGAACAGCTGATCTGGAAGAAACCTATAGAGTAAACAACTGCCGTTTCCGGTAAAAGGCGAGTAGAGGAGAAAACTCTAACTGGAAAAACAGGTTTACACGGAAACAGGTGATGTGTTGTGTGTTGTTTTATCAGTGCTTATCAGTCCATTTAAAGTCAGCAGAGTGAAAAGAGCAGACAAGAGAGACGAGATAAAGAAAGGGTTTCCGACACGGGGTAAGTGTTAATTTAACACGAGCCAAAACTCTGGTTTATCAGTTTTCTGTTGTTGCTGAATAATATTCTTAAAAATCTCAAAGCAAAGACCAGACTGACTGAAAGAGCTCAGTCAGGGCTGTGAATATGCAGTACTGTCCTCTGCGTTTGATATGACGGATTTAATACTTCTTTCAATGGGGATTTATGAATATTTCTTCTGTTTATAAATTCAGACCACATAGACGGATCCCTCTCTCTTTGAGCCCTGAAACTTGAGCCGGTACAACCAGATGCGGTTTACAGAGTAAACAGCAGTCATGATTCTCGTGTTACAGCTCCTGATTTCCTCTCAGGTTGAGTTCAAAAGACAACAGAGATTTTTTTAAACAAACTCCAACTTTACAGGATCTTTTACTGCCTCTTCAAAAATTAGAGACAAATTAATGAAACGTTATAAATGTTTTGAATCAGCGCCAAACTTCTCGAGGGTTTTTCTTGCAGCCGTGTTGATGTTGTTGTTGTTGGGTGTATAACTATGGAGACAAAACGACTCTGCCACAACAGCCCAGAGCACATACCAGGAATCAGGTGGCAGACTAAAGAAAATTCCTGATCACTGCATGAGAAAAGAATAGAAATACAGAGAGAAATGGGGGCAAACAGAGTGAAAATGGACTTGGAAACACACTGATACTGTAATCTGTGAAGGAGGTGAGGGGAGGGAGGTGAGGGGAGTGCCAGAGGAGTGCAGCTGGTTATGAAACCACCTGTAGAGACAGTGTTTCAAAGATTATGTGACCATATGAATAACTATAATCAGGGTCCAAAATTAACTAACTGAGTCTCCGGCAAAGATGACAGGTAGGAGGGAAAAACAGTCTGGCCAATCCTCATTTTTATATTTTTATTAAGGTATATTTTAATGGGGTGTTTAGTTTGGTTTAAAACAAACTTAACAAAAGTGCAGCTGTGAATTAAAATTACTTAAATGATCAATTATTCACCAGTTCAAACCTGAATACAACTCCTAAAACATGGCTGTCATCTACAGAGAGGACCACAGAAAAGAAGCTAAAAATGATAATCATTTTTAGTTTGATGTGGCTGAGGAGCAGTGATTTAAAATCCCATGTTTGTTACATCCCTGTAAGAACAAACAATCCTGTCTACAGGTTTTAATGCTAAATGTTAACCCCACTTTACAGGCTGCATTATTTTGTCTCTTCACAAAAACCCAGAACAACACATATATACCACTGTTGAAAATACAGATCCTGCCCGCTGGCTTCAAGGCTATGTTTGGAGCTTAGTGTGGAAGAACACTGTGCAGCAGGGAGCTGATGTGCGGTAAATGGTGGTGTTGCGTGTGCAGTGGCGTTCAAGTTATATGTTAGTTGAACCTGTGGACAGCAGAGAAGCATCTCACCTGCGTTGCTTTCTTGTCCTCGTGCTGTCCAGCTCACAGGCACTGATTCAGTTGACCTCTAACCATGTGAAGATCAGGAGATGGGTGACTCTGGAGACAAAGAGGGGGACAAAGGACAGTTTGCCACGTCTGACTCTCTCTCTTTGAAGAGTGGCTGGTCTAAGGATGAATTCCTGGACTTCAAAAATCACCCTGGATCCTCAGGCCAAGAGTAAGAGATCCAAGTTTTCACTTTCTCACCATCAGTTGCAGCAGTTTCTGTGTTTAAAACCATTTTTTTTTTTTTTTGGCAATCTAGAAAGGAAGGTGGACTTACAAATGGTAGGTGAGTCAGGTCAGTGTCAGTCGTCAGTGACATTAGATCATGAAGGATTAGGACATGAATCAGATAATCCAAAGGGATGCTAGTATCTATGCATCTCCTTGTCATCTGTTACAGGTCTGTGCTCACACATAGAGGCATGTGGACATTGTCTTCTTCTAAGGCGTGGAAGCTACAGCGTTAATCATTAAGCAGGCTCCTCTGAACATTGACCACTTTTTCTCCTTTGAATTCATTTTCATAGCTCTCATTCGCAAAATCAGTCGAGCACAATGCAGCAGTTTGAAGATGAGAGGATGAGTGATTTCAGGGGAAAAGAGGGGGACAAAGGACAGGATAAGGAGCCTGACTCTCTCTCCATGAAGAGTGGCTGGTCTAAAGATGATACTCTGGACTTCAGAAATAAACCTGGACCACCAGATGAACGGTGAGAGACATTTAAACTTCTGAACAATCATTTACATCAGGTTGGGTATGTGTGCTGCTTTATTTATGTGACCTGGAGTGTCCTTTCTTGATCTGATGTTGATGCTGAAAAGATCTATGTCCGTCTGCCTTAATGTGATTTAAACATAAATAAAGAACAAAGTCACACAGCTCAAGTATCCAGCTCCATGTCAGAGGCCTTTAGATGTAAAAATGTAAATCAAATGTACATGGGAAGCTGTTGTGAGAGCAGTTTTCATGTGAGGATCATGACCGAACTGTGAGACGGTCAGAAGCAGAGCAGGTGAAGATGTCATGAAAACTGATAAAGGACGAAAAAAAAAAAAAAAAGGAAAACTGGTTGAAAAAGGAAAATAATTGGGTGAGGCAGCCAGGTTTAAGCACCTACAAACCTACAACAGGCTCAGGATTTTGATTTCTCCTTTTACTTTAACCTCCTCTGTCCAGGTCCTCATCTGTGATAGATGACAACTCCATCGGTGAACCTCCACACTTCAGTGGTGAACAGAGACCTCCAGAGGAAGGGTAAGAAATTCTCAGTCTTCTAAACAACCTGCAAAAGATGTTATATTAATAATTTATGTAGTGGATTAAAAAAAAAGTCAGTTTCACTCATTCAGAGTCATGAAAATTGATTATAGCTTTAATGTTTCTGGCATGCATGTTAATACTCTACCTTATCGCAGAAGCAAATCTACAAGAACTAAACCACAGCAGAAACCCAGTCAGCCCAGCACTGTCAGAAGTAAGATTGTCCATCATGTCATTAAAAAACACAACTTTCTAATTCATTTCAGTACAGTGAGTATCATCCTTAATAAAGCCTCTCTAATAGTCCTTTTCTTCAAGCAGATCGTGGTCTGCAGGAGGTTTTAGATGAACATAAGATCAGTCTGAAGAGGAGATGTGAACGTGTGAATGAAGGAAGTGATGAAGCAGGAAGTCAAACCCTCCTCAACAGGATCTTCACAGATCTCTACATCACAGAGGGACTGAGTGAAGAGGTGAACACACAACATGAGGTGAGACAGCTGGAGACAGTTTCAAAGATGAAGACCCTCCATGACACACCGATCAAGTGCCATGAAATCTTCAGAGTCTTACCAGGTCAACAGGAAGTCATCAGAGTGGTTCTGACCAATGGTGTGGCTGGTGTTGGAAAAACCTTCTCAGTGCAGAAGTTCACTCTGGACTGGGCAGAGGGTTTGGAAAACCAAGACATCAATCTGGTGATCCTGCTTTCATTCAGGGAGCTGAACCTGATCAGAGATGAGCGCTTCAGTCTTCTGAGTCTGCTCCATGTTTTCCATCCAACACTAGAGAAGGTCACAGCAGAGAGGCTGGCTGTCTGTAAACTTCTGTTCATCTTTGACGGTCTGGATGAAAGCAGACTGTCTCTGGATTTCACAGACTCTGAGGTGGTGTCTGACGTCACACAGAAGTCTTCACTCAACGTTCTGATAACAAACCTCATCAAGGGGAACCTGCTCCCCTCAGCTCTCATCTGGATAACTTCTCGACCTGCAGCAGCCAATCAGATCCCTCCTTCATGTGTGGACAGGGTAACAGAAGTACGAGGCTTCACTGACGCCCAGAAGGAGGAGTACTTCAGGAAGAGGTTCACAGATGAAGATCTGTCCACAAGAATCATCTCACACATCAAGTCCTCCAGGAGCCTCCACATCATGTGTCAGATCCCGGTCTTCTGCTGGATCACTGCGACAGTTCTGGAGGACATGATGATCAGAGAGCAGAGAGGAGAGCTGCCCAAGACCCTGACTGACATGTACTCAAACTTCCTGCTGGTCCAGACAAAGAAGAAGAAGCAGAAATATGAAGGAGGACAAGAGACAAGTCCTCGGGAGCTGATGGAGGCTGACGGTGAAGTCCTCCTGAAGCTGGGGAGGCTGGCCTTTGAACATCTGGAGAAAGGAGACATCATGTTCTCCCAAGAAGACCTGGAGCGGTGTGGTCTGGATGTCACAGAGGCCTTGGTGTTCTCAGGAGTTTGTACAGAGATCTTCAGAAGAGAGAGTGTGATCTTCCAGAAAACAGTTTACTGTTTCATTCATCTGAGTGTTCAGGAGTTTCTGGCTGCAGTCTACATGTTCCACTGTTTCACCAACAGGAACAAAGAAGTTCTGGAGGCTTTCCTAAACGACAACGAACACAAAGACTCATATGCAATGTCTTTTCTCAAGACAGTTTCCAGTTATTTTCTAAACCTGGATAACTGTTTCTCATCTCTGGATGTCTTCCTGAAGAGAGCCATGAAGAAATCCCTTCTCAGTAAAATCGGCCACCTGGACCTGTTTGTTCGCTTCCTTCATGGACTCTCTCTGGAGTCAAACCAGAGACTCTTAGGAGGTCTGCTGGGTCACACAGACAACAGTCCAGAAATGATCCAAAGAGTCATCAAGAACCTGAAGGAGATGAACAGTGAAGATGTCTCTCCTGACAGAAGCATCAACATCTTCCACTGTCTGATGGAGATGAACGATCTGTCAGTTCATCAGGAGATCATAGAGTTCTTGAAGTCAAAGAACAGATCTGAGAGTCTCTCAGAGATCCACTGCTCTGCTCTGGCCCACATGCTGCAGATGTCAGAGGAGGTTCTGGATGAGTTGGATCTAAAGATGTACAACACATCAGCCCAGGGACGACTGAGACTGATCCCAGCTGTGAGGAACTGCAGAAAGGCTGAGTAAGTCCAGATGGTATTATTGTGCAAACATGTGGACAGAGAGACAGGATCTAAACTTCTTAAGTCATAAATGTAAATCAGGGATCATGAGCTGTTTTAAACATCCAGAATAGTTCAACGAAGGGAGAATCATCAGCTTAAAACAACTTAGGTTAGCTTCTTCATCCACTATGGACTCCAATTAGAGTGGCACAGAAACTGAGATCTAATAATAGTAATAATAATAATAATAATGGTTTCACATCAGTCATATGTGCCAAGACAACAGTGTTAACTTAAATTAGTCATGAATCATTTTTCTTGGACGTTTGTAGTTTTTTAATCACCAAAAACTACAGAATGTTACAAAATGACGTATCTGCGCTCCTGGCTTGAAAGGTTGAAACGCGCGCATGCTGTCCCGGTTTAAATGGGTTAAGTTAGTCATGAAATCATCTTTCTTGAATGTTTGTATTTTTTTAACCGCCGTTTAAACTTGTGTTGTTGTAGTTTCTCTGGCTGTGGACTCTCAGAGACTCACTATGAAATAGTGGCCTCAGCTCTGGAGTCAGACCCCTCTCATCTGAGACATCTGGACCTGGGTTCCAACGATCTGCAGGACTCTGAATTGAAGCTTCTGTGTGCAGGACTGAAGAGTCCAAACTGCAAACTGGAGACGCTGGGGTCAACATTTTATTTACCTCTGATCATGGATCAATAAGATGTTTTGTTTTTGTGTCTGATCACGATTCACACTGTCATGTTTATTTGTATGTCTTCTGCATCTGATCATTTTCATCTGAAACTTGTTTAATCTTCTCCAGGCTGTGGTTCTGCAGGTTGTCAGAGATCAGCTGTTCTTCTCTGGTCTCAGCTCTGAAGTCCAACCCCTCACATCTGAGATATCTGGATCTGAGTAACAACAAGCTGCAGGATTCAGGAGTGGAGCTGCTGTGTGGTTTCCTGCAGAGTACAGACTGTAAACTGGAGATTTTACAGTGAGTTTAGTTATTTTCTGTTTATATTTATTTTTGTTGAAATATATTTCACAAGGAAATTAAAGAAACCAAGAGAAAATGTGCTCTTCATCAATCAATGTTATTTGAAAGACCGACTGTAGACCACACTCTTTGTTTTTAATATTGACTTCATGAATACCCATGAAAGCACAATCTCTTACTGGATGTGAGATGCAAACATTGACCCTGGTGTGCAGACTCTGGTCCACAGACCACCTGCTGGGGTTCACTGAGCTTGGCGTTGCAAACCTGAACACATCTGTTTCTCTGTTCATTCATTTTATCGACATTATCTCTTCTCAGCTTGAGAAACTGCGCTTTGACAGAGACCAGCTGTGCTTCTCTGGCCTCAGCTCTGAGGTACAACCCCTCCTATCTGAGAGTCCTGGACCTGATTTACAACCCGCTGCGATATTCAGGGGCTAAGCCGCTGATCCTATTAGAGCAGAGTCCAGACTACAGACTTGAACTTGTGAGGTCAGACAGTTTTTTTTGCTACCCTAATAATACTGATACATCGTGAGAACTGTGTTTTCCTTTTTCCAACATTTTAACAGCACTATTAAGCTGCCTTGAATCAGGAACAAATCATCAAAAGATTCATGATTTTGCTTTGTCTAATGAGTTTGTGTGTGACTGCAGTTGGTCACCAATCAGCGCTGCTTCTATGGTCTCATATCTGAAGGATAAACCCTCAAATGATGGAACACTGAGCATGACAGGGGATGACTGGCAGGATGTAGAAATGGAGGTGCTTTGTGACTTCCTGCAGAATCCAAACTGTAGAGTGAGCGCCCTGAAGTAAGACATTGTTTTTTTCCTTCCAAACAGCATGTTTGAAAAATGACAAAAAGTCACTAATTATTTTATATAAGCCTGATGTCATATAAGCCTGTTTCTTTGAGGTGTTTCTGTTTATTGGATTTAAAAAAAAAAAAAAAAAAAAAACAGATTTCATCTTTCTTTGAGGGGAAAAGATCATATGTATCCTATTTGCACTGTCGTGAAGCCATGCTGTGTTAAGACTGCACTGTTTCACTTACAAATGTGTGATTTTTTCATGGCTGGTCTGTTCAGCAAATGTAATTATTTAGGGCATTTTGAGCTTCACTTATTTCCCAGATTTTTGAAAACCTGTTATTGTGTTATTGATATTGTTTAACATCTAAAATCAGTGAAGACACACTTGTGTTTGTGTTTACTACAGAGTTCAAATAATAGGATGAAACAAACTGATTTCTCATTAGATTTGAGTGAAAAACCAGCATATATCCATTAATACATTATTTCTAATGGCTTTTTTTACCCCTCTGGTTTAATCTCATTAACTTTTTCTCAGATTGATCGGCTGCAGTTTAGCAGAGCATGGCCATTGTGCTTCTCTGGCCTCGGCTCTGAAGTCGAATGTCCATCTAAGAGAGCTGGACCTGAGCAAGAACGAGCTGTGGCACGCAGACCTGCAGCAGCTGTGTGGATATTTGGGGAGCAAAGACTGCAGGCTGAACTCTCTGGTGTAAGGCAGCACTCTTTTTTTCCTCTGCTGAAGTTACACTAACTAACACTGAACTGCAGAACAAAAGCTTTAATTTGACCAGACCATGCTGACTGCCTTCAGGCCAAAGTCCTGAGAGGTTTTCTGATTCCAACCCACCAACTGCACTGACGTCGAATTTCTCATTATCAAACTAACATACCTGGATGATGCAGTTGGAGGTCAAGTTTTTCTTGCATGTACGCGGCTCAACAAACTGAAACTGGCCCAAGTGTTCTGAATGTGCACAAGTGTTTACACACCAGGCTCTGAGCAGGTGGATGAACATCCAAGTGGTAAACAAAAACTCGTTAGACAATAATGTGGTGATTATTCAAAATCAGCCTTCACAGCAGCTCAGAGAAAACGGTAACCCTTACTTTTATGGTACACTTATTACCAGGTAATTAACAGGTAATTACCTAGTAACAACATGAAATTATCTGGTAATTACATGATAACTACTAAGTCAATACTGTCTAGTTTTTCTTTTTTTTCTTTTTCTGTACAGCTCCATTTTCAAAAGCTATTTGGGGTTCTTATTTTCTATGATTGACACTTGATACAGCCTATGGGCGTGCGAAGATTGCGTAGCGATACGCTGTTTGAACCGAGCGTTATCACAGTGACTCACCCGCCGAATGCTTACAATGCTACTGCGCAAGTGGTGGTTCCAGGAAGCGGAGAAAATCCTGAAAATACCAGAGCAATTCGGCTTCAAATTTGTATGATGAAGGAAGGTTACCTACCTGGTAGCTAGACAGTATTGACTTAGTAGTTATCATGTAATTACCAGATAATTACACTTTGTTACTAGGGAATTACCTGGTAATTACTTGGTAATAAGTGTACCGTAAAAGAAAGTGTTACTGATAAAACATGTATGTCTAACGCAGCATCATTTCTTCTTTTTCAGATTGACTGGGTGCTGTTTGCAAGAAAAAAGCTTTGCCTCTCTGGCCTCAGCTCTGAAGGTCAACCCCTCCCAGTGGAGAGAGCTGGACCTGAGCAAAAACAATCTGCAGGATTCACGAGTGAACTCTCTGTGTGATTTTCTGAAGAATCCAGACTGTAGACTGGAGACTCTGAGGTGATTGAATGTTGATTTGATTTCTTTTATGTTATTAGCACTGTGTGGAGGATGTGGTGATGCTAAAGTGCAGACACATGGAGGGTGTTTTCCTGATTCACGCTGAGTATTAGTGATCTAATATCTTCTTTTTTCAGATTGAGGTTCTGCAGTTTGTCAGAGATCAGTTTTTCTTCTCTGGCCTCAGCTCTGAAGACCAACCCCTCCCATCTGAGAGAGCTGGACCTGAGTAACAACAATCCACAGGATTCAGGAGTGAAGCTGCTGTCCAGTTTTCTGCAAAATCCAGAGTGTAGACTGGAGACTCTGAGGTCAGACATTATGGATTTTACAGTTTTCGTATGTTAGGTATGGTGTAAAGGTGTGGTTACACTTCAGTGTAGATGTATGGAGGGAAGTATACTTGTCTACTCTTATTAATGTTGTTTTGTTAAAGTCTGTTTTCTTCTCCAGCAGTTTTTCAAATGTGCTCCAAATTAATCCAAAGCAAAAGGATCTAAAACAGGAAAAAAACTACACATCATCACACTAGATAATTCACTCTGAGCCTCTGAAAAATGTCAACATTTTCACCTTCCCATCAGGCAAAGTCAAACACTCAACACTTGACTGTACTAACTTTAATAACCCAGTGCAGTCCCTGTTATAAACCTGTTTGGTCATCGATCATCTTCCGCTGGATTTAAGTTGGATCACATTTTTTTAATCTAATCCTTTCCTTTTTTTAAGCTTGAGTGAGTGCAGTTTGACAAAGATCAGCTGCTCTGCTTTGGCCTCGGCTGTGAAGTACAACCCCTCCTGCCTAAGAAAGCTGGACCTCAGTGACAACAAGCTGCAGAGTTCAGACGTGAAGCTGCTGTGTGAACTGGAGAGGAGCCGTAAACATAGGCTGGAGGATCTGAGGTCAGTATAGGGTTGGAGTTGTGGTGTAATGTGTTGCTTTTCACCATCACCTCTGGTCTGAGTAGGACTGAAATCTGCTGGTCTCTAAACTGGATGTTCCTAATTCCAGCTGATGAAGTGAGTCTCAGAGTGATTGTCTTTTTTGTGTCCTCAGATGGAGTTAACATCTGTCAGAGTAAATTTAAAGAGGATCATCCGTTTTCTGATGATCAGAGAGGTGGAGGCAGCAGCAGTGAGGGTGAGGTGAATCTCTGACTGGGTGATGTTACTGAGAGACTGATTGACCAATCACAGTGAGCGGAGAGGACTCTGAGAGCCGCACTTTGACCTGCTCTGAGATCAGCTTCACTGTCATAAAATAGGCTGTGGAAAACAGATAAATCTGTGTTTTTTTCATATATTCTGAGTTTAAGTTACTGTAAATCCTCAAATTATGTGTTGGAAAATGCAGGAGTGTGAAAGGCCCAATGTTGACATTTAAAAAGCTACTAAAACCTTAAACATGAAAGTTTCTGTTTTATAAATTAAAAAATAAAAATGTTGCCAAGATCCACCTGCACACCTGTTTTTCAGGAAGATGCTGAGAAGTGCACCCATGATTAAATTAAACCACATTTACTTACCAATCAAGGGTTTGGGGCCCAGGGTTTAGGGTTTAGAATTTAGGCACATGAACATGGTTCAGGGTTCAAGGCTCAGGGTTTAGAATTTAGGGCTTAGAGTATAGGGTTTAGGGTTTAGGGTTTGGGATTTGGGGTTAAGGGCTCAGGGTTTATGGTATAGGATTTAGGGTCTAGGGCTCAGGGTTTAGGGTATAGGATTTAAGGCTCAGGGATCACAGTCTAAGGTTTAGTGCTCAGGACTCATAGATCAGGGTTTCTGGCTCAGGGCTCTGGATTTTGGGCTCAGGACTCAGGATGCAGGGCTTGGAGGGAGATTGAAATTTAGCCTCAGTGTAGCAATAAAATTAAAAATGTACCCAGTGTAAATTATAAGCTTGTATTTTGTTGTTGTATTGTTTTAATTTCATACTTGCACTTTGTTTATAGCCATAAAGAATAATATATGTACCGTCGTAATTGTGCCAAAGCCCCTCAATTCTGCGTCATAAACTTCCATCCACTCCAAAAAGTTTCTGACATGAAGGCAAAGAAAACTTTCAACTTAGCTCCTGTAACACAGAAGAAGAACATTATTATAACAGCACGCCATTTTCCCACTGTGAGCGTGACATCACAGGATGGCTGCTGTGGGAATATGGTCAATAATGCTCCAGCCCCGGTAGCCCCCCATGGCCCTGAAGAAAATAAGCTTTAGAGAAGACTGACGGATGGATGGATGAAGAGAAGGATGTAAAAAAAAAAGTAGATGAAGGGAGATTTCACTTTCTGTTCTTGCTTTTACTGCTTTCTGCCAGCAGGGGTCACTATATCTCCCTTTTCTTATATTCTGTACCTCATGTTTTTGGTTTCTGTAGTGAAGGGCAGTTGATTTGTGTCTGTCCATTACATATGAATTACAGCTCCACTTTATAAGTTTAAACATTAACATCTATGATTCAGTCTCATTGTCATGTTTTATGAAGCATGTAACCGCAAGTCTGTTCTGTTCTTTAAAATTAAACACATGATTCTCCACAAAGACAAAGTATTCCTGGTTCTTGTCAGTATTTTTAAACTTACTCGGGTACTGTAAAAAAAAAAAATTTAAGATTAAAATAAACCTCAAAAACAGGTCACAAAATAAATTTAAAAAATCATCAATACATCCCAAAAATGTTTATGAAACACAACGATGTTTCAAAGGAGCATAACATGTATTTATGAAAACACAAATAAAGACTAAAAACAAAAACTATTTTGGAAAACGAAGAAACAAAAAAATACAAAACATCTAAAAGGATATTTAGGAAATGCAAATAATTTTGAAAACTGAATTATTTGGGAAACAAAACAAATAAATGTAAAAAAATGGAAACAAATTTCTAAAATTACATCTTAGAAAACAAAATCATATCCATTTTTTAATATTCATTTGTGTTTCTAAAATGTATTTGTTTTCTTAATGTTTTTGTTTGAAAAATATTTCTTTTTTGAAAATAATTCTTGTTTCCATTTTTTGTATTTATGTTTCCAAAACATTTTATGTTTTTACTTTTTGAGATATTATGTTTGTCATTTAAAAAAATATTTGTTTTAATTTTTTTATGATTTCAAAATATATTTATATTCTGTTTTTTCATGATTTGCTTTAATATATTTATTTTACTTCTAAATTTTTTATTTATATCACAGATTTATATTTTTTTACAATTTTTTTTTCTGGATTTAATGAAATATACTTGTGTATTTTTAAATATTTTCCACCGCCCTCATGAAACATTGTTATTGACCTACAGGTTCACTGTACTGCAGACAGCAGTAAGAATAAGAATAACTTTTTTTTTTTTAATCTCTGAAGGGAATTTCAATAATTTTGCGTTTGCGGAACAGATAATTAAAAGACACACACACACACACTTACACAAAAACAATGTTGTGACACACAGCTTCAGTTCGAACTCCTCAGCGAACATCATTATTTTATTGATAACAGGTGTAAGAAGTCTGATTACATTTATTGCTCAATATAAAAATAAAAAGTTAATTCATGACAGTGTTTTTAGGAACATTTACACAAACTTTAACTTGTTTTCTGAAGCTTTAACGGACTGAAATCGACTCCTGAAACTATGTGTGTTCACAGTTTTTACCAAATGTGATCCCTGACAGATCATCTAAATTAAAATCATGTTAAATATTTTAACTGTTTTCTTATTAACATTCCTTTTTTCTAGATTTCTCATAAGAAAATGACTTGAAAATATTTTAAATCTTAAAAAAGGAAGTAGTTTTTCTGAAGTGAACGCAAACATGCATCATCACCATCACTCTCCTTTTCATAAGTGCTGAACATCGAGACTTTAGGGAGTTAGTAGTTATCTGTACGTAACTCTAGTCTATCTCTGAAGGTTTTATTACTACAATCTATCATATTTAATATTCTATATTTTATTAGTGTCATTGTCTGTTTTTAATCTGGCCTTACTTGCTTTCAACATTACAAGCACTTTAAAAACAGTTTCTTTCAACGTGTGAAACTGAGACGTCTGTATTTGTGTCAAGCTCAGTTTAAATTTCTCTGCTCAAAGCTCATTTCACATGTTCGTAGCGCTGACGTTCAGCTTCAAGATGAACTGAAGCTTCATCACATGACAGCAGACAGTTTACAGGCAGGAAGAGCTGACATCCAGATTTCTGATCTGACTTTATGAAGCTCAGAGTGAATATCAGATTCCCCGTCATGTGATCACTCTTCAAAGCTTCGCTCTTCATCACAGTGTTGGAACCTTTTAGAGAATAATAAAAACTGTAATTAGTGACTGAAGAACAGGGAGAAAATGTGTCACATGAGCAATAAGTCATGAACTCACTGGAATTTTCAAGCTGAAACTTAGAAACCAGGAGGAAATCCTTTACTGCTGGTCCTCACACACACAAGTCTGAAATCAGATATCAGCTGGTTTTGTACCTGCTCTGCATGAAGTCACAAAAACACATTCTCATAAATGAAGTCACTGAAGACTGAGGAGAGCAGGAGGAGCAGGAGGAGGGTCTGAAAAGCTGAGGAACAGACTGAGCAGGATCAGAGTGAGGCTGTAGTGATCAGGAGCTCGAACATGCATCAGATAAATTCAGCTTGAAAAGAGCTGACAGGTTGATGGAGTTTGAAAACAATAATTTCAGACTTTCTCTCCTTAAATCTGTGAAAGTTTTCTTACTTTGCAGCTGATGGCTCGATCAGCTCCTGGGATTGATTCTGTTTCATCAGGAAATAAACGGCGGCGGGAAACTCGGCTCTGCTCGGCTGTTTGTCCTCACTGACAGACAGAAACGTATGATTGAAAGAAGAGAAGAAAATCCATGTCTAAAATATGTATTATCTTTTTACACAGAGTACTCTTTGGATGTAAGGTCTCTTTTTCTGTTTATCTAAAATGTGACTCTTTCTCACTCTGCAGACTGCTGCTGCCGACAGCTGCGGTACGATGCACTGAGCTGATGGAAGTTTCTGGAGCTGCAGGAAGCCGCAGCGTGCCCGTCGTCTCGTTCATCACAGAGCCTCATTTTGGGCTTGACACCAGCGAAGAGGCTAAATGAGAGCCACATTACACACAGGTGAAGGAAAAGGCACAACTGGATGTTTGGAGGATGATGGGAACTATTAGTAAAATGGATTTAAAGGGTTATTCTCCTTTTCTTTTTTACTTGCAAGTGTTTTTAAACACTCTAATCATGAGTAAATCAGGCCCTTAAAGGGATATTCCGGCATTAAATAAATTTAACTAACTTAATTTTATCCCTTTAAATGTACAAATTGTGCTCATGGAATCATAACTCGTACCTGCTGATTTACAATCTGTTGGCACGGTTTTACAAGCATGATTTCTGTCTTTGGAGAACAAAGAGCGGATGGTTTCCAACACAATCACATCTGCCAAACCTGGATTGAACTGCAGATTAGACACGATAAGAAAGCTCGAAGTCTACCTTTAAAACTCGATCAAATCTGGACTCGCTGCACGGACATGAAAACACTCTTTACTTGTTCTCTGAAGACAGAAATCATGACGACTGATCTGCAGCCTGTCAGGGACAAAAACGAGAACTTCAAAGAGATGGACTTTGACCAGGAGGATTGACCCAGAGATTACATTCAGCCATTATATCATAAATGAATTTCACAACCCCAAGATGAAGCAATCTGCTGGAGCAGGTCCAAATCCAACAAAATACAAGAGGAGTCAAAACTGTGAGCAAAGATATTCAAAGACGCTTGAAAGTTAAAAATAAACTTTATGCTGCAAAAACCCAAATTTTAAAGATAATTTTCTGGTCAAAACATCTCATTACTCAAGTCTCCTCAGCTCTCATAGAAACTCTCAGGTGATTAAGACTTTAGTTTTCCTCGATCACATCCATATAAATCAGTTTTTTTATAGTGGAGAAAAGTCTGCTGCTGGAAAAACAGATTTATTTTAACCATCAGTTTTAAAAAGAAGTGTAAACAGTGCTTGAATAAAACACCGTCTGTGAGAAAGACACCACAGGAAGGTTCACCACTCTGACAGCAGAACCACCTGAGATCTTTTAGCTTCTTACACAGAGAAGCTGGTTTAACGAGTTGATCTGTTGTGTTTGTATTTTGTTGAATTCCCAAAAATATCCTATGCCCATCTTGCTAAACTGTGCAGACTCAAAGAATTCATTTTAGGATTGTTTCAACAACTTGTTTGATGGCGTACATTTGGTTGACAGATGAGGAGAAGTTTGCATTATTTGTGGATATTCTGCAGAAAATCATCCGGAGCATGCACGGCCACAGCCAAAAAGAAGCATTCACATTTGAAGCTTTACAACAAGAGAAAAATCATGTGTACCTGTTTGTCTTTGCCTTTAGAAACTCTGTGCGATGAACGCAGCATGTAGATTGATCCTCGAGTTGGAGACACAGACAGAAAACAGTGTCTCCAGAGCTCCACTCGCCTTCACTCCTGTCGTACTCTGAACCTCGGCCTGCAAGATCTAAAAATAAAGTCAGAGGACTTTTATTTCCTCTTGTGACGCCACATCCTAACACATTAACCAGAGCAGAGAGATAAACACGAGAAGGAATGAAGGAAGGAACACATATCTGCAGCAACCTTCAGAGTGGTCAACACAGATTTTAGAGGACATGTGAGCCTCATGTCCAGACTTCAGACGATAGTTCTGCTCAGCGGTTCCCTCTGAAGAGCTGGTTTTAAAGCAGGACAGTGAAGTGGGGTTTTTTTGTCGTATATCTGGGCTCTTTGGCTCATGAAGGTCCTTAGCTGATGTCTTTAAGTCGCTCCTTGTTCTTTCTGATGTATAGGGGAGAGTGGGGTAACAACAATAATTCCTCTGAGGAAGAAACATCTTAATCTGGAAATGAAACGACTGAAGAGACTGAATATCAGAGAAATTAACGTATTATTCAGTCGAACTAAACGAACCTGTTTGGACTGGATGTTGCTCCACTTCTGTGCACAGATTGCAGGACAGGTTGCTAATCCTAGTCCTGTGGGGGATGATTGGGGTCCAGTAGATCTTCATGCTGATTTCCTGGACCTCAAGATTAACCTGAGACAGACATGAACGTTTCCACCACAGGCGGAGGGAAAATGTGCATGAACTACTTCCTTGCATGTGTGACCAGATCAACCTCGGCATCACTTTGACCAGCGTTATGAAGTTCTGACCAATCAGAATCAAGCATTGAGCACAGCTGGGCAATAAAACAATAATGTAAATAGGTCAAATTAACCTTTAGTATTGTGGTTTAGCTTTTAAACACAGCCAGCAGCTTCTTAATATTTATAAAATGTTCCAGTTCGATCATTTAATAAATCATCTGAGAAGGAAAAAGACAAAGTTTACAGCAAGTAATCAAAGTTTATTTTCTGCACATTTAAAAGCAAAAAAAAGTAAAAGCTTGTATCAGTGAACGACAGCCCCATCATCTCAGAGGAAACAAAAAAAAAAACTCAACATCAGCTCAGTCCTCTGTGGATCTGTGAGCCGGGTTCATGAGCCTCAGGTGTGTTAAAGTCCAGAATCATGATTTTAGGATAATCTGCAGAAAAATCCAACATAAAAAAAAAAATCCAAACTCTGAGCTCATGTCCTCACAGAAACACAAAGATGAAACTCTGCAGAGTATGAACTTTACAGCAAGCCCAGAGCCTGCAGAGTGAATCAGTGCCGCCCCCTAGTGGTAAAAGAAAGTAAAATAAAAAAACAGTGCACAAAAGCCCACCCGACTACAGCCCCTTCTGTCACTCAAATAAATTAGCTCAGTAATTTTCTGTCGTCATCCGTCAGCCAGTATTTACACCAGTGCTTCAGCCAGTTCGACATCTTTACAGTCCAAAAAAATAAGAATTAAACTCACTTTCAGGTCGAAGGTTTTTCTGATTTTCAATGAGAGGGTGAAGGAGAGAAGAAAGAAGTCAAACTGTGAGTTAAAACGGGGAGAGGATGTGATGAGGGTTTCTGAGGAGAACCCAGACAGACAGAGAGAGGAGAATGAAGCTCCTTTTCTCCGGTTTGATCTCCACCTGCAGGACGTGAAGTCAGGAGACACAAAGCTCTGACTGTACGGTCCTTTAACAAACTAAAGTCAGCCTCAAGTCCTGGAGATTTAACCGTGAAAAGCTCCAAAAGAAAAAACATGGAAGAAGAGTTTCTTTTTAAGATCGTTTTTGAAGGACAAATCTGTGACCTTCAGCAGGTGTTCATCTACGAGACTGTGAATCTCAGAAGAGTCCGGAAACGAGGAACCAAAATGAGATTTGATAGAAAAAAAAATCTCTGAAAAACAGCAACTTTAACTTTTCTTTGTCCATCTTTCTCATTTTGTCACAGATGAGAAAATAAAATCGAAGAAACATTTAGGAGAATAATCCAAATTTTGATTTTAAAAAGTGGAAATTGGAGAAATCTTTGAAAGCTTTTTTTTTAGGATACTAAATGTAGAAATAGATTTTTTTCTATTTCTTTTCACTGAAATGAGACAAAACACTGACTGTGCAGAACACTTTCAAAAGCAGAAGGATGTCTTTGAAGAAAAGAGGAAGATTAAAAGATTTATGGCAGAAAATGAAGGAAAAAAATGTCAAATTTCACAAAATCAGAAAAAAAAAAAGATTCTTAAAAAATATAAAGTCATACTGCGAGAATTTAGTTGTGATGTGGATGAGAAAAGTCAGAGAATGAAGTTGGATTCTTATCAAACTAAAGTTGAACTTTTATCAGGATACAGTCGTCGCTTTTCCAGATCTTCAGGCGGCTTTTTCACAAAACTCAGTTTCAAGAAATGTTCCTAAAGTTTAACTTCACAGTCGCTCCGTATTCATCGTTTCAGGCTCTGAGTGCTTCTCTGATGTTCCCCTTCAAAATAAAACCAAGACTAACGGTCTGAAATCACATCTCCGATCACCGATTTTTCTTAACATTTTTTTTTTGTTCTATTTTTAATCTCATATTCTGTCTTTTTTTGTTGTTGTTGTTCCTGACAGCGTCGATGTTTTAATAGTTTGAATGTGGTCCTGACACTTTGTCACATCAGTTATAAACACAGGAGAGGAAAAGAATCTGACCAGACTTTGAAAACTCGATCACATTTTGTTCCTCACTGGCCCCTCAGGGCTTCCGTAGACTGTGTTTTTTTTTTCCTGCTCATTTCTGTCAGCAGATCAGGCAGCTGATGTGAATTTCTGATCGAGTTTGTGATTCTTCATTATTTCAGCTAACTTACGGTGCCTTTGGCAAATACATCATAATTTTCTATCATCTATTTGTTGTTAAATCCACTGAAAAAGCGTCTATTACATGGTCTGAGAGTCTTAATTCATGTCTTCAGGTAGTTTTTGCTTTAAGTCAAGAAGTCCATGTTTCAGGAGTCTGAACGGCAGCGCCTCTTTCTCCTGAAACGTTACTGTAGATTCAGCCGTATGCCTTTCACCTCACTCAGCTGCAGATTTTACACCACAAACCCACGTTCCTCACCTTGCAGGTTTGAAGGCGGCACCAAAAATCAGCTGCAACAGAGACACACTAACGTACAGGGTTGTGGTTCCTGTTTTATTTAGCCTCCTGATCCTTACTCTGTCAAGTGTGGACCTAAATTTAAAAACTTGACTCCCTCAGGATGTCTGCAGGATTTATTCAAAACCTTCGACTCTGCTCTCAGAACATCGGCAAACACACCTGTCTGGGTTTTTGAGCAGGAGCGTTTGGAGTGTGTGTTTACCGACTTGTGACACCAGGACCAGAATATTCTCAGGATCAGTGCGGCGAAAAGAGACCGGACCGTCTACAAACTCAAAACTACAGAAAAAAGTCGACAATCAAAAGCACAAAAACTGCATCTGTTACCGTTTTCACACACCGGGGCAGGGCTGCGAACAATGATGGCGTTGTAAAAGTCTTGATTTGATTATTAGAAAATGAAAATTAGCAGGACTACCAGCCGGTAAACAACTTCATTTCGATGCTCAGACGGCTGATGAAGCGTTTTTTGTTCCAGCCCTACACCAGAGTGGGAGGTCATAAACAAACAATCAATCAAAAGTGTCCCCCAAAGATCCAGTCGGCAGTTTGAAGGCAAACAAACGTGATCGGAAAGAAAATCAACCTGTATAGAAAACCTCCTCACCTGCCTGTTCTCACTCCATCCTCCCTCCTCCCTCCTCCCTCCTCCCTCCTCCCTCCCTGTGCGGCAGCTTCAGAAAAAGTTACTCCTAAACCAACCTGCCTGTGTGTGTGTGTAAGTGTGTGTAAGTGTGTGCGTATGTGTGTAAGTGTGTGTGTTCAACAGTTTTTAAGCTGAAAGTAGAGAGCCAGCCAGAGCTGTGCTTGGCACTGGTTTAAGTTCTTCAGTAAAGGGGGCGGAGTCGCGCTCAGCGTGGCGCTCACAGCCCTCTTCCTCCTCCTTCTTCTTCTTCTTCTTCTTCTTCTCTCACGTAGACAGGCGGATGAAGATCTGTCTCCACGGCGACAGGCGCCCGTCACTCGTCTGAGCCGGCTGAGCGCTTCTGGCTTCTTTTGCGAGGAGATCTTTTTGGAGACGCTTTATCTGGAGAGGAAGAGGAAGAGGAAACAGAGTGTAAACAGCCTGTCCGATTCAGACACAGCTGATGTCCTCATTTAGGCTTAAAGGAAAATTCTGGTTCGACCCAAAAAAGTTCAGATGCATTTTTATTCAAGTAATTAAAGGGATATTCTGGCGTGAAATTAATTTAGGGTCAAACAAATGTTGCCAACCGCTTGCTTCTCTAGTTACACCAACTTTAGTAACGACTGCAGGATAGCAATACACAGCGGTCTGAGGAGCCATAAACAAACCTCAACCAAAACGCCACTCTATAGACACAAATAATGCTCAGAACAGCAGCTAACTTCATCAACAGGACATATAGGGTCACAGACATAGCAGTAGCCACCAAACATCTTTTTAGCTTTGCCTGATTTCTTAAGCAAAGAGACTAAACACAACTCACCTACTCTCTTCCGCAGCTCAAGGAGGAACATTTATGATCATTTCTTCATGGAAATGCAATCAGACCGAGACACTAAGACAGAAGAACTACCATGTCTGCAGTGCAAAATGATTAATATGATGATGATTATTATTATTATTATTATTATTATTATTATTATTCGAGGAAATGATAAAGTAATGATCATAAATGTTCTTCCTTGAGCTGCGGCACCCCACAGCAGTCCCTAATGAACTGGCCTGAGGTCTCGCTACAAACAAGTGGCTGTTGGAAGAGAGTAGGTGAATAGGTGACACAAAGTTGCTATCGTGCGGTCGTTACTAAAGTTGGTATAACTAGAGAAATGAGCAGTCGGTAACATTCATCTCTCGAGGGGGTGTCTAACTCGGTGTTATGGTGTGTTGACCCTAAATTAATTTTACACCGGAATATCCCTTTAAGGCAGAATTTGGTGTTTTACAATCATGTACAGGTGATATTTTACTGAAAACAGAGAGAACCGATGAAACACTGGAGCTGAAAAATTTGACCGTTTTCTGAAAATTGATCGTTTTAAATTTGATGCCGACTCAGTGTCACCGCTCTGTGAGAGACTGCGTGAGCTGATAGTTTCACTGAACCAGAATGGATGAGAGGATTTCATCATCTACTAGTTCATAATATTATTAAAAAAGGGACAAGGACCAAAACCAAGACTGGATGTTCCTGATCTTCAGACCCTGCGTTAAAAAAAAAACAGACAGGACTCTGGAGTGGACCCATGCAAAGAGGAAACCAGACAGAAACAGGTCCAGAGAAGTCCCTGGTGTTTCTTGATCATTTAAGACAGATTGAGAAGAAAAAGGAAAATCGTCCAGTGGTCTGATTTATAAGAATTCAGCTTTCCTTTGTGAATCATGGACACCACATCTACACAGTGTACCAGCTGCTCTGGTGTATGGATCAGATCTATCACACTGGAGCAGTCTTGGAGCTTCATTTGGGTCTAAACCGTAAAGAAATCCTCCTGTCGTATTTATTATCATCCATTTCTTCTGTTTTTCTTCTAAAACCCACTGCTGGCATCAAACTGATAATGAGCGACAAAGTCCACGAGCAAAATCAAACCTTCAGTCGATTCATGTGTCACTTTGCAGCTTTAACTTTGATCTAAAACCAGATTTATTTAAAACGACTCAAGTGTTGTTGGTGAATGTAACAGCAGCTGCTTTGTTCACTTTGACCTCTAAATTCAAAATATGATCACCAGCAGGGCGGACAGAGACTGATCGTTTCTGTTAACATGTGAAACAAAAAACAGACACAGGAGTAAAGAAACACACTTTCTGCAAGAGGAGGAACAGTCCGCCAGCACCGCGTCTAGATTTAGAGACCTTCACAGAGTCAGATACACAAACACACGGAGCGTAAAGCAGACCTCACCTCTGCGACTCTGCACTGAAGACGAGGAAAACATGACAGCGAGGAAGGCAGAGAGGGAAGAGAAGAAAAGAGAGTGATCGTCATGCACAGTGGAGGTTAAAGTTAAATCAGGAACAGGTGAAGCAGGACGAGATCAGAGACAAACACATCAGCTGATCCAGAGAGCAGACAGACACCCCGAGACGAGCCGAGAGGGTCAGAGCGGACATCTTTCTTCAGATTTTTCCAGGAGGATCTGCCTTTTTTTCTTTTTTTGTTGATTCACTGAAACGGTTTGAAATGATTTCTGGTGAATGCTGAGCACCTTTGTGTTTAATTCTGGGACTTTAAGGAGGTGGTTAGGGCTAAGGCTCAGATTTTTACCTGCTATCAAAACAAACCTTAAAACAAACTTCAAAAATCATGACTTTGAGGTTCACTTCAATTTCAGCAGGTACAGAAAACACAGCAGCTGTTGGATCGAGTCAGTTTGTGGTCTGTTAGAAATTAAAGTGCAGAAAACAGAAGCAGACAAACTCAGAGGAGATGCGTGTGTGTGTGTGTGTGTGTGTGTGTGTGCAGGATGCAGTGCGTACTGATCTGGTTGAGCGTCTCCTGAGGGATCCAGCTCAGGTCGACGTCGTTGTGGCTCGAAGTTCCCATCTCCACCTTCGGAGCAGGACGCCTCCTCTGCACGCAAACACACACAGTACGACAAACACAGTGAGACACACCAGCATGTCAGTGTTTGCTGTTGATGCAAATCAGACACATCAGATTTTTACACCACAGAGTCTTGCGTGTTTTTTTCCCCCATTCGGAATCCATTAAAGAAACATCTTTGTTTGTGGTGTAAATATACAAAAAATCTTTTAATATCAGTCAATAGCTGTTGGTTATTGATGACATTTGGGAATATCATGATATCGCTGTGTTTTGTTATGTCTGTGTAGTCAAGATTTTAAATTTTCTGAGCGGCCCGCTATTTCTGAATGTAAACAAAGCCGTTCTCCGCCTCCCCGACCTGATTGGTTGTGAGGCAGCGTTACGGTCCCCTAAGCCGGGCTGTAACAGGAAGAAGCTGTTCCCTCGTGTTGTGAGGCACGCTCCGCGTCCTCCAATAATGTGCACAAGCTCAAACAAAGTTAGTGTGCTATAATATCGGACAGTAGAAACCAACCAGAAAGTACGAAAAAGACAAGCAAGAAAACAAAGTAAATACCGGAGACTCTGGAGGAATAACGGGCGCTTGAAAAGGAGGTAGACCGGACAAGAGCTAAAAAGCCGGGTCAACATAAACCATGATGGGGGACGCTTGGGGATCTTGGTGACCCTGTAACCTTTCTGCTGGACAGGTAAACCGCTTTAACAAAGTAAGACAAGTGTCTGTAACAGAAGTGTTTCTTGTCAAACGGACCTGCTGTAGCGTGTTGTAGCTCCATGGCTAAACTGTCCTCCCTCGGGTCCTGGACTATGTCACTTTATCCTCGTTGTAGAAGTCCTGCAAACATTGTGTTTGCTGGTAGTCTGTTGGCATCTACAGTAGCACCAATGCTTTTGACTTTCACCTTGACTGGGCCCCATTTGTAATGATCTGAAGGATTTATCTGCATTATATCTGAATTTGATTAGAACGATACGAGCGAGCAGGAGCGTCTGTTTGTGGGCGGGGCTTGCTGGAGCAGAGAGGGAGGGGAGAGGAGGAGCTGAGGGGAAAACTGGTTGGAGGGGTCGAGTTTACATTCATGATTTGTCCTAAAAACTGTCACTTCCTCAGATCCTGACTACCCCACCTTTAATGCCCGAGGTGCTCATTTTAATAAAACACAATAACAGTTTGGATTCGTACCTTTCTGGACTCCAGCAGCTGATGAAGGCCGACAACGACCAGCAGCCCGAGTCCTGACAGGAAGACGTACATGAAGATCCTGAGAGAGGAGGGAGGGAGGCGTGAAAAAATGTAAGAATGTGGTCAGTAAAAAGGAAAGAAGTCAGAGTGGTTCAAGAGGAAGTCCAAACTCTTACGTCTCTCCGTCTAATCCGTCCTCCTTCTCTGTGATGGTGACCGTCTGGTTGAAAACTGCGTCCTGGAAAACGTTTCCCTGCAGAAGGAAAACAGAATGAGACATGTTGGAATGGAGAGGGGTCAGAGGTCAGATACTGGTCAGGTGACATAGATACAGGGCTCCTTACAGTGCTGTCCTTGTAGTTCAGGTTGATGACGAGTCCGAACGGCCGCCCTCCCATCGGCTCAGCGGGGATGAAGGAGTACTCGAAGGTGGCCTGTTTGCTCGGGGGAACCACGGTGCCGAGCTGGAGAGCTGTGAAGTTCTGGATGAAGAACTGGTAATCCTGACAAAGACGAAAAACAACATTTACCCGGTTAGCTTCCACATGTTTCCTCTCAGCCCTGTACGCAGAGAGCTCAGAGGGCTTTTGTACCTGAGGGTAACGGAAGGAGGCGTCCAGAGACTCCACCACGAAGTTTTCAGATCCCTTGTTGGTGAAGCCGAGCAGGAATTTGACGATGTTGTTGGCGGGGAAGTCTGAATGGAAGGAGAAAATAAGAGTATGAATCGAACACGGATATCCTGATGAAGCCACTCTCAAATAATCAGGGATTAATGCCGACATACAGGAGAATAAACGTGGGAATAAAATATACAGACACAGATTATCCTCTTTATCCAGGTGTGACAATCTTTAGAGAAACGTACCTTCTCCTTTGACAAACAGGATGGTGGTGTCAGCATTCGGAGAAGCTTTGACCTCTCCGACCAGCGCTTCTTCTTCTTCATCCTCTTTTTCTTCCGTCTGCACACACAAAAAAAGCATAAATTCAAAATGTACAAATTTAAACTCTCCCAGTTTCAGAGCTGTACATGTTTTCAGGTTTCTTATTGCTTTTTCAGATTATTTACTCTCTCCACACAGTTTAATTCCTCTTCACAGTTTCTTTTGACTTTTGAGCATCAAACTTATGTGAGATTTTCCAGGTCTGCTTTAAAGTCTGGAGAGAATTGAACATATTTCACTGCAGATTTTTGCAAAGCAGAGCCAGAATAGGTAAATCTTCTTTATAAAAACTCAGTCTCTCACCAGTTCTGCATTTTCATCATCTTCCACTTCCGCCTCGTCGTCTTCATCCTCCGCCGTCACATCATCCACAACGTCTTCATCCACAGCCTCGGCCTCCTCGTCTTCAGTCAGGTCCTGAGCGCTCACCACCGGCCCTGATGGACAAATTTAGACCTTATTATTATCAGCGGCACTTATATCTGCACCTTTAATTCAACCTGCAGCTGCTGACATCCAGAATGAATGTGGACCTGCAGGTTTGACATCATGTGAGGTGTTGCCCTAAACTTATATAGTCTGATCACATCACTTTGAACAAGAAGAATCTGGTTATTGTTGCACAAGATATCTGTGATTGTTAAGGCAGCGGATGAACCAGCAGGGGAAAATGAGGTCATATAAAGATTAAGAAAAACGAAGTGAAGAGGGAGGGTGGGGGAGACAGCGGAGGAGGAATGAGGAGGTCTGAACACCTGTGAGCCTTTACTCTCTGATTCTGGTTCAGGACACAAAATCACCATCATGAGGAAGACCGATAACTGACAGTCATCCTAAAGTGTACCAGGAGGATGTAAAGACCTTCATGTTTCATCTCCTGAGAGGCTTTGCTGATATAACTGTAAACTGAATCATATTGTTTCATCATTACAACCCCACATGATCTGTTGTTGTAAATGTTGCTGCTGCCCCCCGTCTCTCTCTCTCTCTCTAACCCTCGTTCTCTATTCTCTCTCCTTCCCTCTCCCTTGTTCTCTCTCTCCCCCTGCCCTCTCAACCAATCAATCAAACTTTATTTATAAAGCGCTTTTCCTACAGGAATGTGAATCAAAGTGATTTACAGTCTTGTAAAGACCGATATGGACTTTTTGGGGCCAATACCATTTATTAGGGGACAAAAAAAAGCATTATTGATCAATCAGTAATAGAAAAAATATATATACTGTAGATATCTACATACAATAGGCTACTGCTCTTCACGCCAACAGGAAGACCAACTGATCAAACTCGGACAAGAAAAGTGTTTTCAACTACTTCTCCGCATTTTATTTCTGAAAATATCGGCGAAAATCGGCGAGCTTTGAACGATTACCGATTAATCTCAAACGGGCTAAAATTCCGATAAATAGGTCGGGCCCTAATGTAAAGACGTTTCGAGATATGTTCATGAGCTGTAATCATCCAGATTCAAACAAGACATTTCCCCTAGTGTGAGGTGAAACTATAACATGATGAGCGTTTAAATTTTGAATGAAATTTGGGTGAAATGAACCTTTTTCGGGACATTCTGGTTAGTTGAGGAGCTCATGTAAAGATAATAAAGACTCAATCACAGCCCGTGTTGAAGGTAACCACCTCTGTTTTATTGCTCAGGTCAGACGCAGTCTACTTCACTGATTCAGGTCATTAAACAATCTTATTATGACACAGGCCGTTCAAGGATAAACACAAAATCATAATCAGTCAATCCTCTAAAAACATGATACCCATGGAGTGAGCCCTCTTAGCTGCTAGCTCTGACTGATATCCTACTACCATGTTACATTAGATCATTGACCTCCACTGCACACCTTTACAGGTATAAACTGAGGTGAATTGAGCTTCATTAAAAGTGAGTTTGAGCTGATAAGTATCCAGGAAGCTGGAAGGAGGCAGTTATCATGATCACTGAGTAACTTAGCGTCTGTGCTAACAGCTAACAGACAGGAAGGACACGTCAGTCTAAACATACGGACCGACTGTTAACATGAAGAAACACTCTGAAGCAAACAGGAGGACAATTAAACATCCCCACAAGACACTCCTATAAGCAGATACATCCTACCTTTCTGAAATAACACAGCAGAATCTCATTTTGAGGCACTTTGAGCTCGCACATGTCTGAATGGCCTTCCTCTGTCCCACAGCAGCTAGTTAGCAGAGCAGCTAATTCAACACTGTCCTGTCTCTTCAAACCAAAGTGAGCAGCTATAACAAAGACCTACCTTTGATGAGGATGGTGGCTGGAAAAGCTAGCAGCGCTAGCAGCAGTAGTTTAGGTAAAAATTTCAGCATTTTGAAGGCGAAATCAGTGCGTTCTCATTCAGTGTCTGTCAGACAGCCAGGCTGTGAGCGCTGCCGTGCCGCTTCCGTTACAATTCGAACGACGCATGCGCAAAACACCCGACTTGAGGTGTTCCGGCAGAGTTTGTTCCCCTTCTAAAACGGTGTCTCCTTCAGCGTTGACTACGATTGAGAAACAAAAAAAAAGCAGATCTAGTCAGATTAAACTACAAACTACACCCTGTTTGCTCCTCTTTTTGAATCTGAATACGTTTTTTATTATTATTATTACAATTTAACATGTTATTTGAGTTTATATCAGTGACAAATAAGGGTTTGCATCATGAGTAATTAAAAAATGTTTTGTGGTTACACCACATTGACATTTTCCCCGTTATTCCCTAAATATTCTCTCAAAATGGATAAAATCCAGAAATTTTAGACAAGGTCTTCAAAAAGAGAATGTATCCAAGTAATTGATGAGTTTATTTTTTAATTTTAGCTTTTTAAAATCTAAGTAAACCATAGGAACATAAAAAAAAAACACTGTCACATCATTTACCCATTAATACTAGGGCTGGGACGATAAGCTTTCCTCCCGATTCGATTCTTCAAGCAAATTTTTGGATACGGATTCCATTAAAATTGCGATTCTACAATACTGTCGATTTTGTCGGTTTTTAGTCTGCATTTTTAACACCAGTAGAACAGCTGAATGATTATGATTCGGACTATTCCAGGAACCATATTTCCCCAAAGAAAATACATCACATGTAAGTCAGTTTTTAAGATTTATTCTTAAATTTGAAAAAAAGGGATTTTTTTTTTTTACAAAAAAATCTATTTAAAAATTGTAAAACAAAAAAATTGCGATACTTATGTGATACGATTTGTCCCACTCCATATAAATACAGCACCAGATGTAACAATAATGAGGGTGAATTTATGAGTATACACTGTGGTTAACAAAAAAGACACACATATCTGTTGACAAATTAAATATTTTTATTTCTACCACATGTAACACACTGTAATTATATGGCAAATAAACAAATAAAATATAACTGAGATTAAATTACAGAACCTCAAATAATATGTAAATAAACTTAGTATAACCTGATGTTAACAGACTAAATCAAAACTTTACAAATTGTGCCATTAGAAGTCAAAAATGACCAATGCGAGTAAATAAAAGGTTTATATATAAAATGAGACTGAGCGCCTCTTGTGAAATGAACACAGTTAAAATATGAACACTCAGTATATTCTCTCCTAGTGTGTTTAAACATATAAAATACTCTCTGTTAGAAGGATGAATCATGGCTGAGTGAGGAGGTTTTATTTCAAACATGACCAGGATGCAATTCACACAGCAAGACAACAAACCCTAGAAACACTAAATACTGGATACACACAGGTAGAAGAGTAAAATATGTCTTTCCAAAACATAGACGGAGCCCGAGTATCAAAATAGTCTGAAATCTGCGGCTCACATACTCACACAGTCTGATGATCAGAAATCAGTCCTCATTCACTGTCACTGAGTGTGGAGGGAGGGAGAGGGGGTGAAAACTTGATTTAAAGTCCAAATGAAAACAGAAAGACACAGTGTGTTAGAGACGTCCTGTACAAACACAGAGGTTAGTGTCGCTCTGCAGTCTCCTCGCTCTCTGTGGGTTCTACCAGGAATCAAAAACTGAACTGCACTCACCTGAACAGGAAGAAAAACTCCAGATAGATAAACTGAAAACTGAACAGTGATCCTGTAACTCTGTTTTTGTATTTTTCGCCTATTTATCGTCCTCTCTCTGTCCTTTGATTGCATCAGAATTTTCCAGTTTTCTTCTTTAAATCTCAAATAGTACAGAAGCCCAAAGTGGACATGTATCATGTCATTTTATTCACTCTGTTTACCATTGATGAGTCATTTATGGTTGTGTTGCAATTATCAAATCACTGACGCTGAATTCCTATAATTTGCTTCCAAAATAACAAAACTCCAGAGACACATTTCTTTTACTGTTTGACTCCACAATCCTAAAATCCTTCACTTTATCATTAAGGTACGGTGGCCCTGAAGGTCAATGACACAAACATTTCAGACAGACAGAAAATTTGAACATTTTCTAAAATATTTTAATATTTTCAAAGCTTAACTTGTGTTTTCTTGAAGACTTTTTAAGCATTATTGTAAAATATTTTGGGGTTTTATGATTGTTTTTTTTCTGTGCCACTTAGGGCCACCGTATTTAGAGGCTTTAACTATAACTCAACCAATCAGATACTGTGATGTATCATTATCTGATTGTCTTGCAATGTAACCATCATGGTAAAATCACTTTTTAGTGATATTTTCATTTAAAGGGGAGGATCCTGAAAAGAGAAACACAAGCTGCATGTAAAACAACGTTTCAGTGTCGGTTCTCTCTGCTTTACTTTGACGTCAGACTCTCTGGTCCCTCTGTGTTGCCGTGTTAACGCGGGTCTTTGATGCACCCCACACATGCAAACCTCTGCATGCAGCGCACAGTGTCACATCAGCTCTGAGAGGACGAGGCATGAAAAAGAAGACATTTTTGTTCACTCTGGAGCAAAAAAACAAACAAAGATATCTTCAAGAATCTGAAAACACAGAGAACCAACTTCATGCAGCTTTAAGAGATCTCAGAGCTCAGAAGATGGTGGACCAGATTCTGAAACGTACACAGTACTCGTTAGCTGACCCCGTCTTTCTCCATCACCAACACAAAAATAAGAAATGTCACCTGACTTCATCCTTAAACATCCCAGCCTGATCACCTCTTTTCTTTCTTTCGACTTTTCTTCATCATAGTCAGTCAATAATCTGATTTGATTCTGTTCAGATAATCCCGGGTGTCCCTAAATTCTCACGTCTCATACCTTCATGCATCCTTCCTCTCTTCCTCTACTTGTAAGTTTTGACCTAACGCATTGACAGCATGCTGGATTTAGACTTTAGCTCCTCCGTCACTTTTTTCTAAACACTGAGAAAATCTTCATCCTCAGGTACTCTGTGTTCATGTTTCAGCGGTCAGAGATGTTCAGTGTGTTTCAACAGACATTAAAAAACTGTAAATTTAGCCTCAGACGGCTTTGACTTCTTATTTCTGTATGAGATGATCGCTGACATTTTCTCTAAATGTCTTAAAAGTACAAAGAAAAGTAGATTTGCGGCTGTTTTAGTGTGTTTTTGTGACTGCTCTTTAATCAGATCACACCCTAACCTGGAAGTGCAGGAGCATTTTCTGCTCCTGTGACGTATAATGGTACAATTTGACAGAAAATCTTTATCTTAATCTTTATCTTTTTAAAAACATCTCTGCCAAACCCCTAAATGACCTCGAAATGACCCCTGAAGAACAAAGAACATCCCCGGCAGCTGATTCTCAAACAGTGTCGGAGGATCTTATTCTTTACATTTCCACCTCTCCCTCTCTCTCCTCCTCTAGTTGCAACACTCCACGTAGTTTGCCGGCAGCATGCCAGACTTGCCGGTCCTCTGCACGGTGCCGTACATCCAGCCTTCGTCGATGGGCTGGGCGTTGATGATGACATCGCCGTCCCTGAAGGAGACCTCGTCGTGGTCCTGAGCCGCGTAGTCGTACAGCGCTCGGTAAACACGCTGCAGAGAACAAAAAGAAATAAGAGAGGTCAGGTTTCAGGTCAGGTGGTTAAGTTTTATTCTTAATACAGTGCTGACGATGGGCAGGATAAACACGTCAGACTGCCCACTCCTCATGACCCTGCTCTCTCTGACTTTCCACAAAACCCCCAAACCAATTAAAGGTGAGATGCGTCTGGACAGGAGCGTACCGTGGTGCCAGAGTGCGGCGGGGAGGTGACAGATCTCACTGATGACATGCTGGTCTGGTGCATGTAGCCGTGATACTGCTGCTGCTGCTGCATCTGGACGCCCTGATGATACGCTCCAGGAAGGACCGGGGCTGGACGAGAGACAGGCAGAGAGAGAATCAGAGAGTTTGAAAGGTCTCGTCTTCACACGGCGGCCTCCTCTGTGAGCACACGGTGAGTTTTAGGGAAACTACAGAGAAAAAGAGTTAGTCTGGTCGGTGGATCAGAGTCAAACACATGCCGGTGTGTGTCCTTCGTCCTGTGAGGCCGTGCTGAACTCAGAGACTCAACATGAAGGCAGATACCAGGAGTGTCGGCGCTGCTGCGGTCCCAGAGGTCAGAGGTCAGCGAGCTCACAGACTGAGCCTGGCTGTGGGTGAGAGACTGCTGGGAGTGCTGTCTGCTGAGCCTGCGGTCGGCCCGCTCTGAGAGGCAGCCGCCACAGGGGGGCAGCACAGAGCGGGAATAACCACAACAAAGAGGAGAGGAAGAAACACAGGATGGAGAAGAAAGTGAGGATTTTATCAGAGCAGACGCAGAAACATGTGAAATAGATCAAACTTTAAAGAACGAGTCGAGCAACATCTATTGTGGCTAAAACACTCAAAAGTGACATTTAACTCTTTAAAAATTCTGAAATATCCCTTTAAGTCACGTTTAACCATGAGAGATTTCAGTCAGTGTGAGCAAACAGAGAGAAGGAGGTGAAGAATAAAGATGATCATCAGACTGAGACCAAATCTTACTGTTAAATCTGTATCATTCAAAACAAGTGACAGGAAATCAGATTCATGCAAACAAACTCGAGTATCTTCTGTCGTGAAAATTAAAACTTTAAAACACTTTTTATCCTCCACAGCAGCTGGACACCCTGTGGTTTAGTTAGAAGAACGCTGAACAGGTGAAGTACCAGACATCCTGCGGAGGCTCTTTGACTGAATGTTGTCCTCCAGAGGGTCAAAGTCAAAGATGGAGCCGGGGTCTGTCCTCCACACCTTCAGGTCTTCAAAAAGGAGCGAAAGATTCACACAGGGAATAAAGGACGACACAAGTGCAGCTCGTAAATCACAACATCCTAAAAAGTTCATTTTTTTTCCTCTCGTTTGATTGAAAAAGTGAAACTTCTGTAAAATTCTAGATGAAGTGAACAGAAGTGAAATATTTCAGGACTTTTTATGTTTGAATTTTGATGATTACAGCTCATTCAAATCAAAAATCCACTCCCTAAAACATCAGGATGTTCTGGAAAAGTCCAGTTTCTTGTCAATTCTTTTAGTCCTTAAAAAGTTCTGATCAGCTGATAAAGTCTGAACCTTTATTTTTCAGTAAACACTGATCGAGACTCTAAAACCCTAAAAAAGATGATCACCAGAGCTGGAGTCTCCATCTGTCCGCTGAAAAGATCAAACCGTGTCAGTAAGAGAAGAAAATGACCAGAAAATAAAGAGTGAAGCTGAGAGATCCATCTGATTGGAGGATAACCGTCCAATCACAGAGCATCAGTGACATAATCAACACTCCATCCTCACAAACACAAACAGTTTGAGGGTCACCGACCTACGATGATGCCTCCTGGTCGTCTGTCCATCTCCACCGCCTGGGGGTGGATCCCTTTGCTGTATCCGGGGTCCGCCATCATCTGATTGGCTCTCTGGTAGCGCTCCATGCTGGGGTCGTCGAATCCTGGCGTGAAGCCTCGACCGCGCGCCCGCTCAAAGTCCTCGTGGTACTTGGCCTGTCGAGGAGCGGAGGGTAACACATCTTCATCAGTCAGTCAGAACATGACAGCAACAACTAAAGGGTTAATAAACACAGCAGTGTGAGGGAACCAATGTACACACACACAAACACACACACAAACACACACACAAACACACACACACACACTTGTGAGGGTGCAGTTTGTCAGTGAGCAAAAAAACACACACACTGGGAATGGTTTTCAAGTCTTTTATTGTGCACACACTCCGATCTCACACACACACACACACACACACACACACACACACACACACACACACACACACACACACACACACACACACACACACTGGTTGCTGTTGCTGTTAGTAGAAGTGCGTCAGTCCCACACGAGGTGCCACACCAATCATGTTAGCTCCTCCCACAGCCCATCCAGAAGCCATGGCAACCAAGCCGCTACCATGGAGACCGAGTCCTGCGTCTTTCTGACACGCCTGTACTCAGGTGTGTCCAGCTCGGTGCAGCTCCGCCCCCTCAGCTCCTGCAGCCCACGTTGGTACTTCACCTGTTTACACACAAGATATAAGACATGAGGTGTTACCCTGAAAATGATCCTGAGAGTGTGTGTGTGTGTGTGTGTGAGTGTGTGTGTGTGTGTGTGTGTGTGTGTGAGTGTGTGTGTGTGTGTGTGTGTGAGTGAGTGTGTGTGTGTGTGTGTGTGTGTGTGTGTGTGTGTGTGTGTGTGTGTGTGTGTGTGTGTGTGTGTGTGTGTGTGTGAGTGAGTGTGTGTGTGTGTGTGTGTGTGTGTGTGTCTGTGTGACTGTGAGTGTGTGTGTGTGTGTGTGTGTGTGTGTGTGTGTGTGTGAGTGAGTGTGTGTGTGTGTGTGTGTGTGTGTGTGTCTGTGTGACTGTGAGTGTGTGTGTGTGTGTGTGTGTGTGTGTGTGTGTGTGTGTGTGTGTGTGTGTGTGAGTGAGTGTGTGTGTGTGTGTGTGTGTGTGTGTGTCTGTGTGACTGTGAGTGTGTGTGTGTGTGTGTGTGTGTGTGTGTGTGTGTGTGTGTGTGTGTGTGTGAGTGAGTGTGTGTGTGTGTGTGTGTGTGTGTGTGTGTGACTGTGAGTGTGTGTGTGTGTGTGTGTGTGTGTGTGTGTGTGTGTGTGAGTGTGTGTGTGTGTGTGTGTGTGTGTGTGTGTGTGTGTGTGTGAGTGAGTGTGTGTGTGTGTGTGTGTGTGTGTGTGTGTGTGTGAGTGAGTGTGTGTGTGTGTGTGTGTGTGTGTGTCTGTGTGACTGTGAGTGTGTGTGTGTGTGTGTGTGTGTGTGTGTGTGTGTGTGTGTGTGTGTGAGTGAGTGTGTGTGTGTGTGTGTGTGTGTGTGTGAGTGAGTGTGTGTGTGTGTGTGTGTGAGTGTGTGTGAGTGTGTGTGTGTGTGTGTGTGTGTCTGTATGTATGTGTGTGTGTGTGTGTGTGTGTGTGTGTGTGTGTCTGTATGTGTGTGTGTCTGTGTGAGTGTGTGTGTGTGTGTGTGTGTGTGTGTGTGTGTGTGTGTGTGTGTGTGTGTGTGAGTGTGTGTGTGTGTCCTCACGGAGCTGATGTTCTCCTGGTTCTGTCGGACTCTCTCCAGCTCCGGCGTCACTCCCACACTGGTGGCCTTCACTGAACTCTGCTTGTATTTGACCTGATGAAGAGATTTTAGAGCCATGAACTCGTCCTGAGACACGACTGACCTTCACAGACACGCACAGACTTTAAAACTTTTTACTCTTTTAGACTTTCACAAAGATAGAAAAAAAAAACATGATAGTTTGGCAGAACTTTTTGGTTTCCTTTTTGACAAAGTTGTTGAAAAAGTTCAGAATAATCGGACATCTGTCTCATTTTTGCGACTGTCTGAGCGTGTCCTCACTGAGCTGATGTTCTCCTGGTTGCGTCGGACTCGCTCCATCTCCGGTGTGTCTTTGACGGCGGTGCCACAGCCCACCTCCTCCCTGTACCTGACCTGAGGGAGGGCAGAACGGTTTTTAGAAACTCTACAAAAGCGTCAGTCTTTGACTTTCCCTCTGATCCATATCCACAGGAAAAACACGTTTCCCTCATTTTACATGCGCTCATACATCACTGATCTTCTTGGCGTTCTCTCTGGCGAGGACGATCTCTGGCGTCTCTGTCACTGAAGACATCAGGCCCCTCATGAGTTTGGAGTCCCAGCAGTACCGCAGCTAGAGGGCGACAGAGAGCCGTGAGAGAAACGGAGAGAGAGAGAGAGAGAGAGAGAGCAGGTTTCCTACAGGATAATAAATGTGCTGAGGTCTGCGCTCACAGAGCTGATGTGCCTCTGGTTGGCTTTGACTCTCTCCATCTCCGGGGTTTCAGAGACCAGACTGTACTGTCCCTTCAGACGCTCGGCCTCGTCTTTGTACTTTTTCTACCAGAGGAAAGAAACAAAATCAGAAGTTAGAGACACATTCAGCCGACAGATTAAACCAGCAGAGTCCAAACCTACATCCCTGACCCTGAGGAGCCTGGATTTCTGATTTCTGATCTTTGGTGACGAGTAAACTCACTTTGTTCACAGTTTAAAAGAAATTTATCATGATAGGAGAAGGATTTGAATGATTTTCCATCTGTGAGTGAACATACAGCTGCTCTTCCTCGCTCAGTCCATCTTTAAAAAAAAATGACACTGGCTTTCCTTATGATCATCGGATCTTTTGTATCCAGGTCTTAAATTCAATAAAATGCGATTAAAAAAAAAAACAACTTTCTTTTTTTTTTTTTGTTACTGGTTAAGACACCGAAGCATGAGGAATAATCTCAAAATCCCTGGGTTCTTCCCCACAGGCTGATCTGATGTTGGAACTCACCTGGCTGTAGACGTCTTTGAGGTAGGAGGCGTGCAGCAGCTCAGGTGTGTCTGTCACCGTCCCGTACGAGTTTTCTCTCAGCTGCTCCGTCTGCTTGTAGGACCTCTGAGACACACACAAACACACACACACAAACACACACACACACCATCAGGACATATCAAACCTTCTTGAAGTTTGGTTTGTAGTTTAGAGGTCAGAGTTTGATTTCTGGTTATCCTCAGATAAAGTTTGAATCTAATCCTCAGTGGTTAAAATCTAAAACAGCTTTAACCTCAGTAAAGACAGACCTGCTCCCCTCTACACCACAAACACACACACACACACACACACACACACACTCACACTCACACACACTCTCACACACTCGTACCTGGCTCTGGATCTCTGACGCTCTCTTTGCTCTTCGGATCTCCAGGACGTCTGAGCTCAGCTCCATTCCTTTACCAACGATCTCCCTCTCTGGATCCTTACGGTACTCCTTCTGCAGAACACACACACACGTGCACAAGCATACACACACACACACACACACACACACACAGCAGAAACGCTCAGCTTAAAGTTACATGTCTTTTTAGAAGTGTGTGTGTGTGTGAGTTTTACCTCGTTCAGTATCTGACTGGCGTTTTTGATCCTCAGCAGCTCAGGTGTGTCCTCCAGGCCGATGCCGGATAAGCCCCGCCCCTTCACCTCCTGCTCCAGGTCCTTCCTGTACTCCTTCTACAGACAGAGAGAGAAAACCCAAGAGTTAGACTGCTAAGTTTCCTATTGTTGGGAAGTTTGGACTCTGTTTGCTGCGTGAGGCCTTTAAGGAGAGCAGCTGTGAGACAAAGATGAATCAGGGTAAAAAAATGGATTATTTCACATCTTTCTATCTCTTCAACACATCTCTGAGTCTGGGACTAAAAAAAACAGTTTATAATTTAGCCTGACGTTTAAATTTTGATTGAATTTAACTGTTTTGAAAAATGTTGTCAAGAGTTTCATCTCCTTTAAAATCTTTGAGACAAGTTTGAAGTCTTTAGAAGGCTGCCTGTTGAATTCTGCTGCCCTTGTAAAGCACTCAAAGTCAAATATCGTCAATATTATTGAAATAAGCACAGCAGGCGAAAATTAGTCTCTGTGAGCTGTTTGAATCTGTAAAATTACTCCAATAAGATAATTGAGTTTTTCTCGTGTATGTGTGTGTGTGTGTTACCTCGCTCAGCAGGCTGCTGGCGTGGCGAGCTGTCAGGTATCCAGGTGTCTGGTCCACATCAACCAAGGCTTTCCCCTTCATCTGCTCCTCATAGTCCCTCCTGTACTCCCTCTGAGACAGAGAAAGAGAAAAAGAGAGAGAGAGCTCAGTATTGATCCATGAGAGAACAATCGATAAAAAGACAAATCCTAAATAAATACATAAACGGTCTGTGGAGAGGGCAGAGAGAGTTTAAGTTTAATCCTGTAAAGTCATACTCAAAGAGGTTAATTGATTGATTGGAAATGGCGAAGTGTGAGAGCGGTTAATGTGTCTCACCTCGCTCTGCATCTTCTGAGCTTCTTTAGAAACCTTGTAGGTCTGAGTGTCTCCAAACTCCATCTGAGAGCGACCTTTATTCCTCTCATACTCCTCTCTGTACTTCACCTGAAACAGACTCTCACAGGTTAAACACAGACAAGAGGTTAGCAGAGTGTGTGTGTGTGTGAGAGTGTGTGTGTGTGTGTGTGAGAGAGAGAGAGAGAGTGTGTGTGTGTTTATGTGTTTGTGTAACCTGGCTGTGCAGCACTGCGTTCTCCTTGTGGTGGAGCTGTTCAGCTGTGTCCAGAGCGATGTGGTAGTGAGCCTTCGTCTGCTCGTACTTCTTCTTATACTCTACCTGAACACAGAGAGAGAGAGAGAGAGAGAGAGAGAGAGAGAGAGAGAGAGAGAGAGAGAGAGAGGCTAAATTAGCTGCCTGGTGTTATGACACACTTATCAGGATGCACACACACACACATATAAACACATGCATTGTCAGTGTTTTGTGATGCAGCAGGTGTGTAATGTTCTCGTACGTTACTCTGCAGCTTGCTGGCGTGCAGCACGTGCTCCAGCTGCAGGAGGTTGGGCAGGTCTGAAGAACCTTCAGGTTTCTGGTTCTGGTTGGTTTTATATTTCACCTGAAAGACAGATCAGGAGTCAAAATGAACGAAGCAGAGGCGATTTTTAAAAAAGATTCATGTCTAAGAGTTTGGGTCTTGGCGCTGACAGAGTCCTCCTGTTTTTAACGAGGAAGACGAATCATCAGTAATGTCATAACGTTAAAAAACTGTAAACTTTGCGGCTCTGTACCTTTTTTTTAATTTTGTGATCAACTTTTTATTTAATTAACTGAGAAAAGTAGAAAGGTACAAGTCAATGTTACAGCAATGAATAATAAAATATATATTCACATATACCCATACTTATAAATGTATATAGATAAATAAAAATATTAAAATAAAAAATAAAGTAAAAATAATAATTGAATAATAAATAAATAAATTAATAATAAATAATAATAATAATAATAATAATAATAAATAAATTAAATAAATAAATTCATCAAATAAAATAAAATAAAAAATAAAAATAAAAATAAAAATAAATAACAATTCAAGGAAAAAAAAAAAGCTCTGTACTTTTAGTAAATAAACAGCTTAGTTTTCCTTTATTTTCCTTTCTGTTACTGAACAGTCTCATTCTCGCTGAAGCAAATACACAGAAGGGAGAATCAAATTTAGAGCCATTTCAGTCAGACTTGTGTTTACGTTGATTTCAAAGGTCCACTTTCAATAAGTCAACTTTTTGAACAACACGTAAACAAACTGACTGAGAAGTCTGCAGATATAATTTATTTTTTCACTCAGCTGATGCAGATTATTTGCCCTCACTGACATTAATGATCCTCGTCAATCAGCCTGATTGATGAATCAGTCTATTTTGGTCGACCTCTGACACTTTTCAAGTTCAACAGGACAAACTTCACACACTCCGTTTACAGGTAGTTCGACAAAATTGAAAAAGCTGAAAATATCAGGAGTGCAGCTCGATTAAAACCTACTGAAAATAGTGAGAATTCAGTCAATCCATGTAGGAATCGAACTTGTTTCAGAGTATTTTCATATTTACAACATCATGTCGAGAGAAAACAAGTTTTTATCATCGAGAAACTCCTCAGAGACATCAGATCTGTTTAGTTTGATTTTCAACTGACCGAAGAGAATCAGTTCAAGAGCCTCAGTGTGTGTGTGTGTGTCTGTGTGCGCGCAACTCATTCACTTTGACTCACTCTCTAAAACTCAGTCTGTTGTGTGGGCGTTACCATGGCAACCTTTGTGAGGCAAATGCGGGCCGATTGTAGGATGAGGAGTTGGAGAAGTTGCAGAGGTTATTCAGAGACACACAAGCACACGCACACACACACACAGTGGACACCTACATACACATACACACACATAAACAGGCGCTACATGCAATCGCACACATAACACACAGATAACAACAGAGCGGCCATAAATACACGCAACTACACACTAGGATGAGCCAGCGCGCTAACAAACAAACAGTTATAAGCACACAAACACACACACACACACACACACACACACAGATGCAGCCCTGGTTGAGTTTTCGTCGGCTCGCTGCCCACACAGCCACAGAAAAGAGCCTCTTCACTTCACAGCGTTATGTAACGGGGTGTTGAACGCTGCCTGGTGTTCGGGAACGTTTCACTCGGAGCTGCTTTTCAGAGAAACCTCTCCCTGAGCCAGAGACGGTCTGCACCAGCATGTGTGCGTCTGAAAAACAGGTTTTCAGCAGGAGGGATTCAAACACGGCTCCATGTGGACCAGAATGAGGGTCCAAACCACCAAAGAGAGACAGTGAGATTCACCGCTCGCCTTTAGGAACGTGTTTAGAGCAGATCACGGCTCTGAAGGAGCTGAAGCCTGAAGGATTGATTTACTGTCCACCAGCTTCTCTGTCAGTTAGTGGAGCCAGAAAGTCCTAATTTTAGAGGGATGTAGGAGTGAGCAGAAGGCAGTCACCGTGCTGACGGGCTGTCGGTCAAGAAAGAGTGTACAGCTATCAGATTAAATACGATGAAATGCAAAAGATGAAGACGTCTGTGATCCTTCAGGTCCAATAAGTAATAACTATTTAAAAACAGACACTTACAAACTATAAATAATCATTCCAACAGCAGAGGAGAAATAAATCAGAAATCATAGAGTGGAAGCAAATAAAAGGTGAAAAATTACCAGAATGAAAACAATTCAAGGAAAAAAAAGATTCACTGAAGAGGAAAATAAAGAAAAAGGAACAAAAACAGATTCAAAGAGGAGAGGCTGTGAGATCCAAATAAACAAAACAATAAATACATGAATAAAAAGGTGAAAGACAGAAATAAATTGGGGACAGTAAATTTGTCTGTTTTAAATTGAAAAGTGTTGAAAAAGTCTGTGAAATATAAAAAGTGAGTTTTCAAAAATGATTTCAAAGATATCAGGGTCTCAGCGGGCCTTTCCTCCTCAGAGAGGTTGTGGACGGGCTCAGACTGAAAAAGTTCCATCTTGACTCTCAAACGACCACGATCGAAGTCCGTTCATGTGGAGCTCTTATTTTTGTTTTATTAACCATGAGAAATACAAGATTCACTTTTTGTGTTTCTTAGAGTTGATTTTTTGTTACAGATAAAAAGTGATTTCTAAAAATTGAAGTAAAAGTAACAACAGTTCAAAACCGTTCCTCCTATTCATCTCTTCCACAGATTCTCATCAGCCTCCTCGTGGGACAAATCAACATTAAACAGAGCAAAAGAGTCTACCTTATAGGAGAGGTCATGTGACTGTGATCCACTCACCTGACTGGCCAGAGCGGCAGCAGCTTGTGTGTGTTTGAAGGAGAGACAGTCCAGCGGGTTGTAACGAGGACGCTGGCCCTTTAAATCTTTGTCAAAATTCTCCTTATACTTCACCTGCAGGAGGGAGACACGAAGAGGGGTCACAGACAGCTGCCAGATGCATGCTGGGTAAGATATATCAGTGTGTGTGTGTGTGTGAGTGTGTGTGTGTTTTACCTGACTGGCCAGTTTTGAAACCTCTTTGGCGTGTTGGATGTCGGTACGAGCCAGAAGAGAGCCGTCACTGTACATTAGCGGCTTGGCATTCTTATAGGCCACCTGTGGAAATTACACACACACACACAATACATACACAAACACACCCACACCCACAAACACACAATACATACACAAACACACCCACACCCACAAACACACAATACATACACAAACACACCCACAGTGAATACACACACATTAAATACACAAAAACACACAAGGGTGAATGAAACCTTGAAAAATTGAAGAGGAATTATATTTTTTCTTATGTTTGACTGCACTGAGTGAAAAACTAAGGAACACACACACATACTTACACTTACACACATGCACACACACACACACACACACACACACACACCTTGCAGCGCGCCCTTACATAATGGCAGTTCAGTGTTAACAGCAGAGCGTTTTCTATAATTTATCAGCGGTTCAGCTCAGAGAACAGCTGGGTAATGGGACTGTTGTCATGGAAATTACTGTAGGAACAAGCTCACACACACACTCACACACACACACACACATACAGCGGTGACTCACATCGCTGGCCAGTTTGGTGGCGTTGCTGGCGGAGACGATGTCGGGTCTGTCCGCCACCGTGTTGTAGTGATGGAGCTCCTCTCTGCCTTTCCTGTAGCTGACCTGAGAACAGTTACGACAAACACCGACGGTCAAACACGAAACTCCAGGTGAAGAGAGCGAGAAGTTTTCTGACTGTGACAGCGTCCGAATTTTCGTGAGTCGTCTGCCTTTATACCAGGAGACAAATAAAAACAAGACAATACTTTAGTGCTGAACAGAGTCAGAACCGGGTTTATGTTGGTACTGCAGAGTCCACACAGATGAGCAGGTGTTGTTGCCCACACACACACACACACACACACAGAGTTAGATAAGCTCTCCTGTCTTCAGAGAGCCGCGGCACAAACGTGTCTGAGTGTGTGTGAAGTTACATCGCTCTGGTTCCTGGTGACCTCCATGGCGTGCTCCACCTCCGGCAGTGATTTCATGTTGGTGTAGCTGGACTTCCCCTTCTCACGGTTATACTTCTCCTTGTAGAACTTCTGCAGAGAGACCGAGAAAGAAACAAAGACGGTTAGACGGAGACGCAAAAAGACAGAGGGAATAAAATAAAAGGAGTCTGATGGATGGAGGGAGAAAATATCTGACGATTAATCAGCCTGGTGCAAAAAAAAACAAGTGAGATCCTTCCGTTTATTGGCGAGGAGCAGCTTCCAGCTGTGAAAATAAGAAATGAACAGCATGGTGCAGAAATGAATATTAAAGTGAGTGAGGACAGAAAGGCGGAGAGAAAAAGACCCTGCTGTCTTCTGTGTGCAGTTTTGGACTTCTGAGAGGAAATCCAGATGATATATTAGGAATAATATATACTAGTCTTTAAAACAAAGATCTGTCTCTGCAGGGATCCTTTCTGTAACGATGTCGGACACTTAAAGTCGCAGTCTGAGCCTGAAAACGGCAGATTTAAACTCAAACGCAAAAAAACATTGACAATGAATCCAATAACTTTTGGTTTACTGCATGCAGGAAATAAAACTGCAGCTGTAACATCCTGATTCGAAGCTGTCAAGGGAGACAAACTACCGTCTTGTTTTCAAAATTTTTAGGCCCTAAAATGAGCAAAATAATAAAAGGCGAGATATATGAATCTGAGCATAAACTTCTCAGGACGTCCTCAGAAACTGAAGTTATAAATCTGACAGGAAGTTTTCTTTTCAACTCAAAGGCTGTAAAGTCTGAAGCAATCATTTTTAGCCCAGTCGCTTCCTCTGAGAGTCTGATAGTAAACTGCACGGATAATAAACCAAACAGACGGTTTGGTAACAAAGCTGTCACATTAAACCTCTCCTTCACTTTACCTTCAGCCTGCAGGCCTGGGATCAGTGTCTTTGTACGGCTGGTTTGAGACTGTCTGGACGAGCTGTTTCTAGGTGGTCTAGGTTATACGCTCCAGTTAGCGATAGATTGCTCGGTCAACAGACATGAAACCAGAAAGCATCAGACTCCTGCCCCAGTTTACCTCAGGTCTGGATTTCCTCCCTTCTGGATCTGTGTCTCTTGTTGTAGGACAGTGTTTAGATATTGTTGGAGAGGATGATCTGCTGCAGCAGCGAGAAAATATACGGTGCTAAATGTCAATAAAACACCAGAAATATGAAGGTAGGGCCCGGAGGAATTTCCCTGTGTTCAGAGACCTCAGTTTTGAAAAGTGATCCTGTTTCTGCCCCAGTTTGTAATCTGTTCATGTGTGTGTGTGTGTGTGTGTGTGTGTGTGTGTGTGTAGGCAGTAGGTCAGTGTTTGTGTCCTCAGGCAGCAGAGGATCACACAGCTGCTCTCTGTTTTCACGCCTTGGCAGACAAAAAGATACCTCTCAACCCCCTCCTTTCTGTTTCTGTGCTCTTTAAACTGAAGTCTCTCGTCGTGACCCTTTTGCATATTTTGGAGTCGAAATGACGAGCGGAAACATCGAGTTTGAATTCTTTCAGGCAGCAGCCGTGAAACAGGCTGTAAAGGCTGCAATGTAACTCTGAAAAGTTCTCGTGCATAAAAAAGAGTGAAGAAGACCTGCAGCATCACTGAACGGACTACCGATGAAGATAAAATCACAAAGGTGCTTTACCTCCTGAGTTTTTCATGGCATGGTACGTAATTATGGTCTTTCCTGACAAATTATACATCATGAAACAGCCGGGTTTGTGCAATGGTGGCCGGGGAGGGCCAACAACTTGCATACGATCTACACTCAGAGAAATACACGGCAAATGCAGGAATGACACATGCAACAGTCCAAAACCAACAAAACGGTTAAAACCTGCTGCAAAAACGACACAAGTGTTTAAATACACAAATGATACAAAGCAAAACGGACAAACGCAGAAAGCAGCTGCAAAAGGATCGAACAGAAGGACTGATCCTGTGTCCTACAACATTAAAATACTGTTTTGTTTATGTATTGAACTTTACTTCAGAATCTCCAGTCTGAACCTCTGATCCGTCTAAATGTGGAAGCTGACCACCAGTGATGACTGACCTCAGATCAGGGGTCCAAATGTGTCTGTGAAACTTAATTATGGACATTTAAGATGAACTAAAAAGGATCTAAAATCATTTCTTAAATCATGTTTTCATTTTTTTACAGCGTCTGCCAGTTTGTTGGTTTTTGGAGCAGAGTTACTGCCCCGAAACAAAGTACCAGACCCCATTCACAAAACCACAATTTCACTTTGCTCTACATATAAAAAGGCATCATGTTGATGTGTTTACGGTCTGAAGAGGATTTTCAGTCTGATGTTATCACACAGTGAAGATCAGTCAGCTGATTTCCACTCACATCGCTCTGTGTCTTGGTCAGCTCTTTAGCGAAAACGGTCTCGATGGTTTGTGGCATCTGGGCGTACAGGCTGCAGCCGGCTTCCTTCTTACCCTCCTCTCTGTAGGCTTTCTGTAACATAAAACAAAAAAACCCTCATTGAACCGACCAAATCATGAATCAGATCCTCTCCTCTAAAAGGATGCAGCACAAACACACCAGGATTAGTACCTGACCCATCACACTTAGACTCGTAACACTGTAGATTTGTCAGTATGAATTATGAATCAGGACACGATGATGTCTTTGTTACGCCTGCAGTTTCTATAATTAAGCTAAACATTCGGTCAAAATATCTTACAGGCGAATTTAGATGAATTTGTCATCTTTGGCGCCCTCTCTGGAAATTAGTGCTCACTACAGGTGAGTTTTTGGATCTTTTTTTTTGGCCTTTATTGAGTGTATTCAAGAGTGGACAAAAGCGGGTGTATCTATGGGATAGGAAAGAGTGTGGGCGAGGGCAAAGGGTGCTCTTGAATCTCAGGTTTTATCACAGTCTGTTTAATACAATTTAATCTAATTTTAATCAGAAACGAAAACGAAAAATTTGGATTAAAGTCAGGTTCATGAGGCATGAGTGATATATAATTTATATAATTTAAGGCAGTGGATGTCATTGTTTCCAGCTTTTTTGACTTTTCTGAAATTTAATTATCTTTCATTTCATTTCCTGCTAAATAGGAGGTCTGGGCACTCTGAGACCCTGAAGATATTTAAGGAAAACTGTTTTCCTCTTCTGCCCACTCTCTTACTCCACGCTGATGGAGGCTGCTGCTGAATTATTTAAGGGAACATTGACTCTGCAGCCAAATATAAGGGCTACAAAGAGGAGGCGAGGACTCCAATCAACACTGTGTGAACATGTTAGGACAGGAGACATTTAGCGACAACATTAAAGCCCGTGTTGGCAGATTGTCGCTCCTGTGTTTGAGTCTGTACCTCGCTGTGCAGCTGAGTTTGCTCCTTGGCGTGTTGAGTTTCTTTGGTTTCAGGCAGCAGAGAGTACAGAGACTTCACCAGCTCCTTCTTACCCGCCTCTTTGTATTTACTCTGAAAACAAAACAACAACAACACCAACCAGATTAATACCTGCAGAGCGACAATGATATCACCTTAATATTAGAAGTAACACACCGGCTAACAGAGCTCACAGTGGCACCAAAGAGGAAGGAGAGGGGAGAGAAACAGATCGGAAACATATGTCTGTTTCTAAACAGTCAGTTTGTGCTGAGCTGGGATTAAAAATAGAAGTCTTGCTTGTGTGTTAAGAACTTAAATTTTAGCGTAACTCTCCTAAAACCAAAGGAGCCGAAGAGTAGTGTTGGGTTTAAAGAGTCACATGATTTCTGTTTTCACTCAAACGTCCAGCCTGATGAATATCTGAGTGTTTTAGTTTCTTTTAGCTGCACCTTCTTCAAACCAAATCAACGCTTCGGATTAGACTGGATTTATATCTCTGACGTGTCCAAGATTGAACGTCCTTACACACCAGGCGCGAATTCGCCAGGCCAGTTATTCGCCTTTTTTAAAAACAGCATAAAGTCATAAAGTCAATGCAAGCTTCCACACTGGCTGCGATTTTTCTGCGTCTTTTGTTTTTTTGCTCTTGTGTCGAATTTTTCTGAGATTCGCAGGCGAATATCTGGACCTGCTAGACCTCTGGCCAATCAAAAGTCATGTTGTTGATGACGTCACAGACCCATGCGGCTGCAGTTCACACGACACACACCACCACTGGCACCAAGAGCAACGATGGGAGAGAGTGTGTACTACAGAGGGGACGCCCGGTGTGTACAAGCGAAAGCGATTTTTCGGACCGGCAAATATTTTCGCATTTTCGTCTCACTTTTTCGCTTCGCTCCACAAATTTGCTGATGTGTAAGGACCTTTAGAGGTCGGTAATTTGCCCTTAAACCTTCATGGTGTAACAAGGAGATATTATGGATGAATGTAAGCAGATATAAACCCTTTTGCTGATGATATAACACGTTATCTTTCAAACAAAGACACAAATGCTGATTTTGTGTTTGTGTTGATCTTAAATCTCAGACTCTTCTTTTAGTTTGAAGGCCTGAACCCTGAGCTACTTCCAAAAAGCAGACAAATCATTCATAAGTGCTTAATGTCTTGCTGAATTATTAATCTGTGATGTTGGGAATAAAATCTGGAGCAAACCCCAAACACAGTCAGGCTATTTCAGGCGAACAGTCGGTAAAATATTCACACCATCACCATCATCATCGTAGACTGAGTGTTTCTCACCTCGCTGTGTGTTTCCGCCATCTCTTTAACAAACTGAGTCTCCAGAGTTTCAGGCAGCTGGGAGTATAACGTGTTGGACAGATCCTCTTTGTCTTTCTTGTATTTTGTCTGAAACACAAACATGGAGAGACGTGCAGAAAATGAAAAGAGGAACAAACAGATTTGAGGATCCTGTCATTTCCACTCGTGAACAAACTCCTCACCTCGCTCTGGAGTTCAGAGATCTGCTTCACAAACTCCATCTCTTTGGTCTCTGGCATTTGGTGGAAAACACTGTTACTGATCTCCTGTCTGCCTTTCTGCTTGTATTTAGTCTGAAACATGAAAACATTCAAACACACCAAAATGAGAAAATGTTAACACGACCTGAGCATGTCTGGTTTGGAATTATCTACCATTCACGTTTGCTTCAAAACACTTTCTTGAGCTGAAAACACAGCAGGAAGGTCTGAGCATGCACAGCTACTTCACTTTGAGTTTAAGCAATTATCCTTGTTGTTTTTCGTTTCTATGCAGAAGAGACGAGGACTGAGCTGTGCCTGAAGGACGAAAGCTTGTCACTCGTTAGGAACTTAATTTAGCGACAGCAGGAGCATTAGCAGAATAAACAAAGCTCCTCAATACTCGGAGGAGAGAGATGCTCATGGGTTCAGCTCCAAAACTGCGATAGGATTTAGTTTCACTAAAGGAGCAGAGGATATAACACAACTCAAAGATGCTGCTCCCCATCCTGGACAGCTGCTGGAACTACCAACAGCCGCAACAGCGACCAGAGGAGACGGTTTCGCATTTACTCAGGACAGGATTACCTCTGCATCTATGTTTGGATATATTCTATCAAAATAAGGCCTCTGCACTCAAATCCTATTTGAAATATTTTGGATTTTAAATCCTGATCGAGTTCACAGAATCACTAGCTACATGCTGGAACACGATCAGGTGCTGCAAAGAGCCTTTTTCACACTGTTTTTACTCTCCTTAAATCAAATTCATTCATTACGCCCATTTAAAACCAAAGTGTTGTACAAAAAAGTGGTAGAAACACAATGTAGAAATAAAGTTGTGAGAAAGCACTGAATAATAAGAACACCAGACACTGGTAACACACGTTATAATCAAATGGCAGTGACTCAGAACAGGTAGCTTTTTCATTTAAGCAGTGATGTAGAAGTAAATCAAGAGTGTGCACCTCACTCTGGAGCTCCATGGCAGCTTTAGCCACCTTCATCTCTTCAGTCTCGGGCAGAACAGAGTACAGGTTGGTGCTCAGGTCCTTCCTCCCTCCTTCTTTGTACTTCACCTGGAGAGAACAGACGAGGACAGAGACAGGGAACAGAAGTTTAGAGGAACATTTTAGTGAGATAGAAATGTTGGTTCAAAGCTGTTTCCTTTATAATTAACTAAATCAATCTGTTCTTCAGGCAAGACAGATGTTCACCTCAAAAACTAGACGGATGGTTTCAGACCGCTTACTAAATCATCTACCTTGATTTTTTAAAATTTGTCTGTTTGTGAATTTCCAAATAGGTTTAACAAAATACTTTGATACATTAAAAACATATAAACAGTTATTTCCTTTTCTTAAGTCGTTTTTGCAACCAAAACTGCATGAAACACACAATAATTCAGACATATAAACTCATGATATCTCTGGTTATAAATTAAATAACATGTAGCTTATATTCATGCATTTTACTTTCTATTTTGTTTAGGTTTTTATTTCACGTCTAATATCAGATCCATCTAAGGCATATCACATAAGTTTGTTTGTGATTCAGGAAAAACAGCTACAATCACAGTCCAAAATCTCAGAGGGGAACTGGACTCTTCTACACTCCAGTGTTCCCAGTAAGAGCTGCGTGGATCTCCGTGTGCCGGCTCCTCTACCTGGCTCTGCAGCTCAGACGCCTCTTTAGCGTGAAGCGTCTCCAGCGTTTCAGGTAACTGGTGGTAAAGACAGCTGCTCGCCTCCTTCTTGCTCGCCTCCTTGTATCTGGCCTGAAGGAAACATCACCTGTTAGCTGCTGATTCCATCACACACACACACACACACACTAGTCTGTTTTTTTAATAGCAGATGTACTGAGGATTATGACCTGATGTTCCTGGTCAATATTTTAGTAAAGGAAGCAAACATTTGAAGTATTGATCAAATTAAACTCATTACCGTCTGTTTTCTTACCTGACTCTGCAGCTCAGAGACGGTTTTAGCTAACTGAGTCTCAGCGGTTTCCGCCAGCTGTGAGTAGAAGCTCTGAGAGAGGTTCCTGATCCCGTCCTCTTTGTACTTAGTCTAAGCAGAGAGGGAGAGAGGAGAGAACAGAGGACCCCTGAGTCCTTCAGACCACCGAGTGGTACAGTTTCTACCTGTCAGAGTGTCTGTCCTTTTAAGAGCATCTTGGGTTTTTACCTCGCTCTGCATGTCGGACATCTTGGCGGCGAGCTGCGTCTCCGCCGTGTGTGGCAGCTGAGCGTACAGACTGGATGACATCTGCTTCTTCCCGCTCTCTTTGTACTTGTTCTGGAGGAAAACCAGCAGGACTCTGTTAAACAGGCTGAACTGACTGCATGATAATCTGAGCAGGCAAAAGTTCCTGATTAAAATACAGCTCTGTGTTTTCCTCTGAGAGACTCAGAGTTTAAATCTCAGAGTCTGATGATGTTACAGAGAGGATCCCTACAGAGATAGAGATTTACGATGAAGAGGAACACGATTTACCTAACCGCAGAAAACTGTGTTGGAAATGGAGAAAACTGTCTGACAAAGCTAATGGATTTTAGGGTGGCACAGGGGTGGCTGATAAGATTTTAAAGGAGGCCCATGCCAACTCCTTCTATGGACAAAATGATAGCCAATCACGAGGCGAGGTGACTGAAGAAGGAAGTACAACAAACACCTGCATATCAAGGACAAAAAATATGGAACACAAAGCAAGACGGACATCAGAGATAGAGGAACAACGTGAACATTTTAGGTAATTACTATGAAAAAGATTTCAGTTTGTGATTTCTACACGACTTCTGAGTGATGATTGGGGAAAAATAAAGCAATACCAACCAAAATAAACTTAACATGAACTTAGCTAAACCTAACTTCACTTGACTTAACCTAACTAAACCTAACACTACCTAAACTAACTTAGATTATGCTAACCAAATTTAACTTAACCTAACTTAACTTACTAAAAGTAACTTAACTTAAGCTAACTAAACTTTACTCCACCTTACTTCACCTAACTAAACTGACTTCAACCTAAATTTACCTAAATAAACTTAACTTAACCTAACCTAAGTTTACTTAACTGAACTTAACCTAAATTAACCTAACTTACCGTAACTAAACTTCACTTAATCCTTTAACTTAACTGTATTTCACATGACTTGACTGACTTCAAATTAACTCAACATAGCCTGACTTAACTGAACCTCACTTTACTTAACTGGGTTTGACTTGATTCCACTTAATGTAATTTTACTTAACACTGCTTTATTTGTTAAAGTTAACTTAACTTGTATTAAATTAGATAAGAAAATTAGATTAATATAACCTTACTTAAATCAACTTAACCTAAAACAGACCACAATCAAACTTAAGTTGGACAGAAATCTCCTTCATATGAAGACAGCTTCAGACCATCAACTCCCATATTACACAACGCTAAACTCCTGAGTTAGTCTGGAAGCTTTTAGGAGCCGTCAGCCTGACTGTCAAAAGTAAACAAAAAGGTTTAAATCTGCGGGGATCCTCTCTGTTATCTAATCTCAAACTTAAAATAACAATCTGAGGCAGTCAGGGAGAAAAACAACAACTTTTAGTGGACACACTTTGATCAGGAAGGAGAGGATCCAACATTCATGACAGGCTGAATCATATCTTCATGATGTTAAATTCTTGATCTTTTTCCCTTTTTCTGCTGAATATCTGAGTAACATTACATAAACATGTCTTGCTGTTACTTTCTTGGCTACAAACAGCATCCTAAATGTCCTCTGCATTTAGCCAAGAGTCTTCAAAGTGCAGAGACATTATTCATTCATGGATTTCTCTGAAGGGAGACACAGAGCTCAGCCGGAGATGGAGGACAGTGAGTGTGCGGAGACCGGGTGAGATACGAAAACTGTTGCATGTTGGAAAACTGTTCTTACATGTGATAACAGGAGTGTTGAGCTCGGCCCCTGCAGGAGGAACAGACTGTGTGAATGAGTGTTAAACACGAGCGTACCTGGCTCTGCAGCTCTGTGACCTCTTTCACACGCTGCGTCTCCAGAGTCTCAGGCAGCTGGTGGTAAAGAGAGCTGCTCGCCTCTTTCTTTCCCGCTTCCTTGTACTTCACCTGCAGGAAAACACAGGTCACACATCTGCGTCAGTCAGGAATCCAGCAGCTGTGAGTGTTTCTGATAAGACGCCCAGAATAGACGACAGCGGTCACTTTATCTGAGATGAGTTCACACGTCTGAGTGTGTGAGACAGAAAAAGACGTTGAGAAGATTTCTTTAAAAACTGACCGGTAAAAAATTTCAGGGTGAGCTGCGAGTGTGATCATAGAGTCATAGTTTTCTGCACTTTTAGCCTGACAGCCTCCAAGTGAAGTTTCAGCAAGAATCCAGGGAAAGCTTGTGTGAACGCAGCCGGTAAAAGTCCGGAAAATTCACCATGAAATAATTGGCGGGTTGTTGTTTTTATTTCGTGACAGTCGTGTAAAAGCAGTGCAGCTTTCATGGACACCCTGAGGCTGCTCTCTGTTATAAGTGAGTTTTGAAAGCTGAAGTCCTGAGGATTGGATCCCCAGAATATGAGGATTTTAACAGACTTCGTTCGTGTTTCTCACCTCGCTGTGAGTCTCGGCCATCTCTTTGACAAACTGCGTCTCCAGAGTTTCAGGCAGCAGGGAGTATAACGTGTTGGGCAGGTCCTCTTTGTCCTTCTTGTACTTTGTCTTTAAAGAAAAACAGAGAAGTTTGGAAAGATAAAAACTTGAACTAATAGACACATTGAAATGTTTTAAACAAGATAATTTTACTGCACCTGATTAAAATTCTTCTGCAAAAACATATCAGATCATTGATGATAAAAAGTCAAATCGAAAGACAAAATTTTTTATCATTTTTCAAGCAAAACTGAATCTTAAATCTCATTTCTGTTCGCATTTATATCAAAAACAAACAGTATGGAGCCGCACACCCAGAAACCAGCTGTGTGAGGCGTTCAGGGTCCTCACCTCGCTCTGTATCTCGGACATCTGCTTTGCGAAGTAGGTCTCTGCCGTCTCAGGGAGGAGTGAGTACAGGTTCTTACTGATGTCCTTCTTTCCTTCTTTATACTTCACCTGACAGAGAGCGAACACAGACGTCACTTCACCAAACACACTGATACACAGCTGGGATACTTTAGAGGCCAAACGTGTGTCTCACCTCGCTGTAAATGTCCCTCAGCTCTTTAGCCAGCTGGGTCTCTGTGGTCTCAGGAAGCTGGTGATACAGAGAAGCGTTCGCCGTCTTACTGACGTCCTGTTTGTACTTTATCTTAAGAGAAATGAGGAGAAGATCTGTTAATAAAAGCTCCATTACAACCACAGGTACTATATGCATAAGAGCCCCTGCACCTGAACTCATCACACTGTGCTCACCTGACTCTGCAGCTGTGAAACCTCTTTAGCGTGCAGAGTATCCAGAGTCTCCGGCAGCTTCGAGTACAGGCAGCTGGAAGCGTCTTTCTTTCCCGCTTCTTTATATTTAGTCTGGATTGTTAGAAAAACACAGTAATGTGCAAACAGAGCATTTTTACATGATTATAACAGTCAAACAGCCGCTGAATGCTCTTTAGCTGTTTTCGACATGCACTCCTGAAAATCTTACAGGCCGAGGCTGCAGCAGAAGAACTCCAGAACTCTGAGAGGTTAAATTAGTCTTTTTGTCAATGGAGTTTGGTAGAAATCTGCAGATCCAAAACCTTTAACACATGTGATCTATTTAAACTTCAGAGTATAATCCATATAGGCCAAGATTCATAAGATAAACCCTGCTTTAAAGACATTCAAAACATTTCTGTACCTGACTTTGTATTTCAGAGAGAGCTTTGGCAAACTGGATGTCGTTGGTTTCTCGGAGCTGGGAGTAAACGCTGACTGTCTGGCTCTTCCTCCCGTCCTCCTTATATTTACTCTGAAAACAAGGAGACAGAGGATCAGAGGAACACCACGCTGCGGCTTCTGGTCCTGGATTATTTAGTTTAACGCGCTGGGATTATAGGCTCCAGGTTTGTGTTTGGAGACAATAAATCTACAGAAATGAGGAGCAAGATCAGTCCCCTGTTCAGAGAAGTTCACAGACTTATTCTAGAGTTTTTCCTTCGATTTTTTTGAGGCAGCTTGTGAACTGGAGAGTAAAGAGAGCACCATAAAAATAAAAAATCATAAAATAGATAAATCTGTGTGGTTTAAGTTCTCCTTTTCTCAAAAATAAAGAGAAAAAGTACAAAATAAGTAAGTACAAAACGGTGAGCTGTACCTCACTCAGGATCTCCGTCAGCTCTCGGGCAAACTGCGTCTCTGAGGTTTCAGGGAGCTGAGAGTACAGAGACGTGGTCATCTCCTTCCTCCCTTCATCTTTGTATTTTTTCTGTCCAAACACGAGGAATCAAAAAGAAAACAGGAAAACATCTTCAGTTTTTCTAGAGCATGTCTGTCACAAGCAGCTCAGGGTTTAAAGGGCCAGTCTGCACAAATTTGACAGTTTTCTTTCCGCTTTTGTGGAGACGCCTAATGAACCAACTAATAAATCAGTTGGTTCATTTGCTCTTTTTAAATCACTGAAACACTTTTTTATTATTGAACTTAATAATAAAAACAAACAGAAGAAGATAAAGACTCACCTCGCTCTGCAGCTCGCTCGCTTCTTTGGCGTGTTTGGTCTCCAGAGTTTCAGGCAGTTTGGAGTAAAGAGACGACGCCGTCTGCTGCTTCCCTGCCTGCTTGTACTTCACCTAACACACACACACACACACACACACACACACACACACACACACACACACACACACACACACACACACACACACACACACACACACACACACACGAGAGTGAATGACCACTCCCACTCTCTCAAGTTTCAACAGTTATCTCTTTTTGACTTCCGTTATCAGCCCTTAGTTTCATTGGTGGTTGACATGGCAACCATTTGGTGACTTATCAGCTACTGACCAATAAAATTTTGAGATTTAAGGCTCAAATTTTTTTGGTGACCTTAAAAAGCCACAAGTATGTAAATAAAAAATATACACAGAAAAATAAAAAGACAAACAAATGAACAAAAAATAAAAATAAAAAGGGAAGAAAGAAAACAGAAAAGGAGTCAAGACAGACAGTCTGCAGCAGAGTTGAATCCAGACCCTCTTATCTCTGAACTGTCGGTCTCTCCACTTACACAGACGACACAGATTATTAGAGAATAAAAATGTTATTTTCAGAGTGTTGAGAGTTCCCACCTCACTGTGAGTTTCAGCCATCTCTTTAACAAACTGCGTCTCCAGAGTTTCAGGCATCAGAGAGTATAAAGTGTTGGGCAGGTCCTCTCTGTCCTTCTTGTACTCCACCTTCAGGAGAAGAGAAACCAAACCAAAGGTTAAAGTAGAGAAACATTAAAATGAAGCAGGGAATAAGAAGAAGTGTGAAAGTAGGACAGAGCCGGGGCGCACCTCGCTCTGGATCTCTGACATGTGTTTGGCGAAATGCATCTCTGCCGTCTCAGGGAGGAGGTGGTAGAGCGAGGAGGAGGCGTCCTTCTTACAGCCCTCCTTATACTTCAGCTGAATCACCAAACAAACACAAACGTAATCATGGTGTTGTTGGTATTATATTTAATGTAACACATATTAAATAAAAAGTCTTTGGGGTAAGGTTTGTGTCACCTGGCTCTGGAGCTCCGTCACCTCTTTGGCTAACTCTGTCTGTAGAGTCTGAGGAAGGTTGGAGAACAGGGTGGACGACTGCTCCTTCTGAGCGCCCTCTTTGTACTTCACCTGCCAGGACATACGAGTTAGTCTCCAATCTGTCTTTACAGTGAGGCTGAACAAAGCAGCAGTGAAGATTAAACAGGTAGTCAGCATGTAGTCGTACCTGGCTCTGTATCTGGGCAGCCTGCTTGGCGTGTTGAGTGTCCAGAGTTTCAGCGAGCACAGAGTACAGAGAGCTGCCGGCCTCCTGCCTCCCAGACTTCTTATACTTCGTCTGATAAAGAAAAACATTTGAAGATATTCTGACGTCATTTCATTAGTTTGAGTTTCCTGAGAGATCCAAAATGATCAGCTCTGAACAGTCCAGCCATGTTTGGATATTTATTTTCCATCTATTGAGCATCGTTTTATTTATTTATGCTTTTTAATCTAACCAGGACGTCCCACTGAGATTTAAAATCTCTTTTAGGAGAGTGGGTATAAATAACGGTGTCATCTGCATAGAGAAATGTGCTCTTATGTCCTTACTCGAGTCATTTACAGAAATAGAGATTAGAATGGGTCCCAGAATAGAGCCCTGTGGGACACCTTCAGTGATCTTCAAGGTTAACAGACAGATTTCTGCAGCTCAAGCTTTAGAGACAGACAAGCATTGTAAGTTAATCAAGGTAACCTGACTGAGCTTTACCTGATCCTGAGCTGCCTTTTTTATCATGCACTGAGTCTGTGAGTGTGCTGGTTTCTCACCTCGCTCTGCAGCTCAGAAACACTCTTAGCAAACTGAGTCTCCAGGGTTTCTGGCAGCTGAGAGTAAAAACTCTGAGAGAGGTTTCTCTTCCCGTCCTCCTTGTACTTATTCTACAGTCAGAGACAGAAAAAACGGACAATGATGATGAATTTGGAGTTAACCTCTTAGTTATTGTGTCTGTTGGCTTCATGTGTTTGTTTAATCTCTTACTTGGCTCTGCATGTCGGTGAGCTCTCGGGCGAGCTGCGTCTCCAGAGTGTCGGGCAGCTGGTGGTAAACCGGACAGGATAAATCCTTCTTTACGGCTTCTTTATACAAAACCTGCGGGACACAGAGACAAACATGATCTGAAGTTTATCGAGAGGAAAGGATGAAACCTTCAAACGCTGTGTTGTCGGTTACTAAAGCTTCACAGTGGTTGTGTTTACCTGACTCTGCAGCTGTGAAGCCTCTTTAGCGTGCTGCGTCTCCAGGGTCTCAGGTAGACGATGATAGAGAGATGATGAGGTCTGCTTCTTACCGGCCTCTTTATATTTAGCCTGACATACAGGAGCAGAGTTAGTGAGCTGAATCTCATGTGAAGTGCGGAGGAGCTCCTGTTTGAGGACAGGAGACTGAACCCACCTCACTGTGCAGGTCCGTCGCCTCTTTAGCGTGCTGAGTGTCGAGTGTGTTGGGGAGCAGAGAGTACAGGTTGATGCTCATCTCCTGCTTACCTTCTTCTTTGTACTTCACCTTTGATCCAGAATAAAAAGGAAAAGACACAAGAAGGAGAATAAAGCTGCTGGGCTATAAAAGCTCGACATGGATCACACAGAGAAAATTAGATTTTTTTTCTTTAACAATAACCGATTCCAGTTCTTTCATTTTTATTTATCAGGAGTTTCTTTTTTTATGATCTCTAAAACTCACATTTCTGACCTTCATCTCAGAATCTGCGGCTTCTTTACTGTAAGCCACTCCCCCTTTTCTCCAAACAGACACAGAAAACCCTCAGAACAAACATCAGCTCTGGGCCTCTGCAGGTTTCAAGTCAAGTTTAAGACTTTTTAAAGACTTTTTAAAGACCATTATGAATGAAATTTAAGACCCATTTGCCATTTATACTGGCAAAAAAGTACAAAAGACATGAAAGAAAATCAGAACATTTTACATTAATTCAAATTAATTTTTATTCCAATGGCACATTATTTATTAAGTAAAGTTAATACATTTTTAAGACCTTTCAAATCATATTTAAGATATTTATGAGATTTTAAGAGCATTTTAGACATTTTAAGGCCTTAAATTTAAATTATTGGATTTTAGATGTTTCAAGACTTTTTAAGACCCTGCGGACAACCTGTCAGGATCACTAAAACATCTATGGAGAATCACTTATTCACTTATGTCAATTTCTCCTGTTAAAAGGTCAGAATTCTGATTCTATTTCAACTTTTAAAAATTAAAAAAAATAATTAAATTTTAAAACTTTCTTTGACTTTCTTGTTGAGCTTTTTCTCTTTTTTCTCGTAATTCTTTTAAACAAGCAAATAAAGTCAGATTAAAAAGACTTCTGAACATTTATCTATCTGTGTATGTGTGTGTGTGTGTGTGTGTGTGTGTGTGTGTGTGTGTGTGTGTGTGTGTCTCACCTCGCTGTGCATCTCCGTCTGCTGCCTCGCAAACTGAGTGTCGATGGTTTCGGGCATCAGGTGGAACAGACTGGACGAGTCGTTCTTCAGACTCTGTTTGTACTTCAGCTGAGACACAAAATCACAAACAACAGCACAATCACCTTTTCAGTCAGATTTAATGTGTCCTGAACAAACAGGGAGCTGCTTTTACACTATGAGTGCCATGAGGGAAACAGGAGCAACATGAAACACATGAATGACTGAGAAAAGTAAAGAAACATATGAACAGAGAGCTCGGAGACACGTTTTTAAACCAGATTTAAACAAATGAGCAGCAGAATAACAGTGATTTACACGCTGATTGTTTCTTCTTAGAGTATATATCCAACGTTTTAAAGCTCTTTATACATGCCAGTTACAGTACAAACATTCCCAGTGATTCAAACCAGAAACAAATACAAAGAAAAAAAATAACATTTTAACACAAAAAAACAAGAAAGATAGTTTTTATTCAGAATTGGTTTACTTAACTGAGATTCATCCTACTCTACTTTCACCAAAACAAGAAATCATGTTTCAGAGCAAACACAGAATAAGGTTACAATAAAGTCATGTGGTTTTCATTCCAGAGTGTAGATATGGTTAAATATGTCTCATATCTCTAAAATTTAAGACCTCTCAAAAGTCGAAAAAAGACTTTTTAGGACATTTTAGGCCTTAAATTTTATTAATCTGATTTTTATAAAGGATGTGCAGGAAAACAGTTTTATGTTTGTGTGTCAAAGTGTGTGTTTATCAAAGTGTGTGTGTGTGTTTACCTGACTCTGCAGATGAGAAGCCTCTTTAGCGTGCTGTGTTTCCAGAGTCTCAGGCAGAGTTGAGTACAGAGAGCTCGACGTACTTTTCTTTCCTGCTTCTTTGTACTTCATCTAAAAAAGAAAAAGAGCTGAAGTTTGAATGTGGATCCTCCTTTTTAAAAAAGTATTAGTTTAAAATTATTAAATGGAAGTTATCGATCAGGGCAGATAAACCTCCTGTATCACTCCTCTCATAACAAAGGATGCTCTTAAATCAAGTTCATATGAATGTACCAGGGCTGTCAGGATGTCAGAATTACGGCCTCAGGATATCGAGGCTGTAACATATCCTAACAAGGACATAAATAACTCCAAAGTTATCATTTATTTCACTTTGATTTGATAGTTTTGGGTACTTCCCATGAAAGTTTGCTTTGAAATGATGTGTAATGAGAAAAGGGAGGGAGAGAGAAAGTCGCTAAACAAGAGAGAAAAATTACAAGTTTAACAAGCTTTCGCTACAGCTAGCTCGCCCACAGCTGCTGCTGCTTCTTCACCTCTCCTCCATTCATGACATAAAGCGAACAGGACTACTTCAAACTCATCATATCAATATTTCATTTTGTCAAAAGGACCGCTATCATCCTCTGACAGCCCTAGAACACACATATGCGTTTACAGACAGGGTCAGCATCTTTTCGTGAGTGAAGTATATTCTGAGGGCAGAAACATGATGAGCTTATAAAGGAGCTCCTGACCTCGCTCTGCAGCTCAGACACGGCTTTAACAAACTGAGTCTCGCTTGTTTCCGGCAGCTGAGAGTAAAAACTCTGAGAGAGGCTCCTCTTCCCGACCTCCTTGTACTTGTTCTAGAAAAGATAGAAAAGAAGAGACGAGGCAGACGCATGAAATGAAAAAATATACTCTTTTTTTTTCTCCTGCAGGCACTGATCCAAACACTGAGCAGGATTTGTGGACTCCATGAGATGCCCTGAAGGATCTGCTTTCCTGACACCCTCTGAAAAGTCCGTTCTGATCTGAGCACAGATGAGGTATTTTTAATGCCTCCCCTCTGATACACATTACAAACAGACTTTATTATCCTTCTGATCCTGGTTCTGATGCTAATGTGTCCTCAGATGAGAGTCTAAGACATAAAAACATCAGAGATCTTTGGATAATGGCACACTGATTATTTATAACTAATCACAAAGCTTTCTTACTGCAGCTCTCTCTGCACGCGGGTTATTTTAGGAGGAAAACAGCAGAAGAACATCCTGGAGTCCTGCTGCATCTGTGAGTTTATTAAATTTCCTTTAAAATGACTGAGGGAGAAGAACGATTATTATTCCCTACGCTGGTGTTAATTTGTTTCTTCATCAGCAGAGTCAGCTCAGGTTAAACACCACAAACAGGTAAAACGTTTGACTGACTTTTAGTTATTTTTAATGTCTGAGAAAACTGGTGGGGGAGGTATCGAACCATGAGAGAGCGGCTGCAGACACACCTTTTTTAATGTGTATTTTTTCACAATTTCATTATTTGTATTGTTTGTTTGGAAGTTAAAACTTTTTAAAAAGTTGATCTAAAAGCAAAGTCGGGTTATCATTTGACTCTTCTGTTATCATGCTATGAAAAGTGAACAGATTCATGAGTAACTTCTGATCACCAAATTCTGACCAGGTCATCTTTGAGTGCAGATGGACACGGATACTCCCTACAAGAACTCCACCACCATCTCCAATCCTGAGTTTACCTCACTCATCATGTTGGTCATCTCTCTGGCGAAGCTGGTCTCGGACGTGTCGGGGAGGGTGGAGTAGAAGGAGCTGGACATCTCCTTCTTTCCTCCTTCTTTGTATTTGATCTGTGAAAAGTCAGCACCAGAGTAGCACAGTTTAGAGACCCTGTTAACATAGAAAGGACTTCAAAAGCTCTCCTGAATCAGACAACAAAGACAGAGCAGCGTGTTTACCTCACTGAGCAGCTCTGCAGCTTCTTTGGCGTGCTGAGTCTCCATGGTGTGAGGCATCAGGGAGTACAGATTTTTATTCGCCTCCTTCTTACCTGCTTCCTTGTACTTGGTCTGAAATAAGAACATACTGAGTTTTCTCTCTAAATTCAGACCTTTCTGTCTTACCGATCCTTTCTCACATCTCTTATTGAGATTTTTAGGACTTATTAAAATCTGCTTGTGTACCTCGCTCTGCAGCTCAGACAGCTGTTTGGCCAGCTGTGTCTCTGTGGTCTCTGGGAGCTGATGGTACAAACTGCTCTGAGTCTTCTGCTTCAGGCCTTCTTTATACTTCACCTGCAGGAGACGGAGGAGAACCACATGCTGTGTTTATGGGAGCCTTTGAAAACTGCACATACACTATTTTTGCTGTGATAAAGTCTAAGAGCGAGCCTTTATTTGGCTTTATTATGCTGCATATTTAAGTCATGTGGCGTCAGCTCATGCTGGAACAGTTTGCGGCGTTGGCCCTTACTCCTGCAGGACATCGTCGCCAGTATAAAAATATCTGAATCTGCGTTTCCTTTAAAGCAGATTCAGTGAAACTTGGATGGAAACCATGCTCACTGGAGAGCAGACGAGTCTAATTTAAGGCAGAAATGTTCAGCTCAGATCCATCGACTCCATTTGTTACAGAGCAAATTTAACAATCAGGCCTTTTTTATCGTACGTTTTAAAAAGGTGTTCCAGTTTTTCTTCTTCATTTAAGAGCTTTCACCAGACGTAACATTCGGGTACCTGACTCTGCAGGTGCGACACCTCCTTGGCGTGCTGGGTGTCGATGGTTTCAGGCATCACAGAGAACAGGTTGACGTTCATCTCCTTCTTCCCCTCCTCTTTATACTTCACCTACAAAAACCAAAGCTGTGCTGTGATTTCTTTGTAAAGCTGGGTTTCCCGCGAGTGTACAGATTTGTCTCCCCATGGCATTACCTCGCTGAGAAGCTCGGAGACTTCTTTAGCGTGGGCGGTCTCTATAGTCTCAGGCAGCAGGTGGAACAGACTGGAGGAACCCCCTTTCTTCATGGCCTCTTTGTACCTCAGCTGAACACAGTCAGGAGCACAGATAGCACAGGTAAATACTCACCTCCAGAGACTGCAGGGAGGAGTTTCTGATCACTACAGTGTTTGTATTTGACGTGTTTTCACCTGACTCTGCAGCTCAGAGGCCTCTTTGGCGTGCAGCGTCTCCAGGGTCTCAGGCAGAGTGGAGTACAGAGAGCTGGACACGTCTTTCTTCCCCTGCTTGTACTTCATCTAAAATCAATTCAGTGAGAAGAGAAACTTTTAATGTGAACCTTAAGGAACAAAATCTAGTGAAAAAGTGCCCCTGAGAAAAGAAAAGTCACGTGACAAAGTCATTGAAAGAGCAGCGTATAAAAAAGGGAAATCGATAATTTAGCAGCTTTTAGGAAACCTCCTGTCAGAGTTTTTTGCACCAATTAACTTTTAAAACAGATTTTAAAAAATAAAGATAGAAGAAAAATATAAAAAATGAAATAAAAGGCGAATTTAAAAAAAGAAAAACCAAGAAAAACTTCCAGTGAATGCTTTATGAAGTGCAGTACTTCAAAACGGCCACTAGAGGCAGTCTCCAAAAGTGAGTCAGTCCTCATAGAGCCTCATGTTAAAATGTCCAACCGTACATAAACTCTGCAGGTCTGTGTTTTGATAAAACTGAACAGTTTTACTCTAAATTCTCCTCTTTAACCCTGAATCTAAAACTCATTCTAACATCAGAACACACCATCTTTGCTGCTGTTATTGTAAAGATGTCCTTTATTAACTACAGAGGATGTCCAGAACTGAAATCAAACTGGACTTAACCCTTTTCCTCCTGGATCTCCCTGAAGATGTCACTGATGTTCATCATAGAAAACTGTTTCATGTGCAAAAAAGACGAAACACATCGCTGGAGTTTCTGCAGGGCTTCATCTGCATTCATAACAGCTGATAACAATGTTGACGAAGTGTAATAAGCAGTGATGATAACGCCCTCTTAAGGTAAAGTTTATCATGTATTGTACCTTCATGCATAAGAAGACACAGCGTCTTCTGGATTGGTCAACCTTTCCTCACCTCGCTCTGAAGCTCAGACACAGTTTTAGCGAACTGGGTCTCAGAGGTCTCTGGTAGCTGGGAGTAGACGCTCTGTGAAAGACTCTTCATGCAGCCCTCTTTGTACTTTTTCTGTGAAATGAGAAAAATCAAAGACTCTGGGTTATTCCTCTGGACAGTTTTTTTTTCTTCTCATATTTTCAGGATAAATCACACGTTGTCTCCTCCTCCTCAGAGAGAACAGATTTCATCAAACTTGGCTGGTCTTGGAGAGAAAACACGTGTTCGGGGTCGGTTTTAGCTTCTCTTTGCTTTCTGATTTCGTAGCTATGATTTAATTCCTCGTCTTTTTGTGTTTGTGTATTTTAACTGTGCGCTCTTCTTTGTTGTTTGCTCTCACAGATCAAGAGCAGCAGTGAGCCAGGTCTCATTAATCTGGACCGGCTCAGTACAACAAGAGGGAAATGCATATCAAAGCAGCCACACAGATAACCTCTCTGATCCTTTATGATGATAATCACACCTGTGCCGACCAATCACAGCCAAGGATCAAACAATTCTGCTTCTGCAGGTTTAACACAGTCCTGTGGTTCTGTTCTGTTTCCATTACTCCAGTTGTGATTTTAGTTGTTCTGAAAGTACCTCACTGATCATGTCCGTCATCTCTCGGGCAAAGCTGGTTTCTGTGGTGTTTGGCAGAGTGGCGTACAGCGAGCTGGTCATCTCTGTCTTACCGTCTTCTTTATACTTTCTCTGAAAAAATGAGAACGAGTTTCAATTTATTTACTTTTCTATCAGCGGTATCTTAAAACGATCAGAATTAAAGAAGCTGGAGCAGCTCCTCACCTCACTGAGCAGATCTCCGGCCTCTTTGGCGTGCTGCGTCTCCAGAGTTTCAGGCAGCAGAGAGTACAAATTGGAGTTCACGCCCTTCTTTCCTGCTTCTTTGTATTTTGTCTGCAGATACAAAAAAAGCAACTTTACTCCCTCTCTCTCAGCTGCATTTATAATAAAACACTCAATTCTACATAGTTTACAAAAACAGATGTAGTCACTTCAGAGTTACAATGTGTCTGCCTGTCAATCATGTCAGCCACGCCCCTAAAATAATCGCTAAAGGCACGAGTGTGAGGAGTTTTGAACTGCTTTAGAAACGGACTGAACTTGGTCCTAATGCCTGTTTATGACCATCTTTGGTCTGCCTCTCCCCGCCTTCCTCTCAGCCTCTTCGCTTGTGTCACTTTGCAAATTTAAAAAGAGTTATTTCTTATTCAAAACAAAACAAATAAAGTCAAAAAAGTCGCAGCGAAAGGAAGAAGTAGACCAGCAACTTCTATGTCCTCTGAGGTAAAATGACCATTTTTGCCAATGAAGTTTGGTGGCTTTGAAGAGTGATTTAGATCAGATAAATCAACTTTGATCTGTGTGTTTAATCCTTTTTAAAACCCTGACATGACTCAAAAATCAGCTACACAAGAATCATCCTATTGCTGTGAATAAGATGAGAGTGTCGTAGTATTTTCCAGTCAGATAACATTAATAAAGTCAATTAGATTGCACCTATCAGGTTAAGTAACTCTAAAGATCCTCCTCTGCCTTTACAGATCCGTTATTTTGGGTTGCAGTGGAGTGATTTTCCATGAAAGCGTGGGACGAGTGGGAAGAGTTGAAGTAGTTCGAACTGCTGCGTGAGTACAGGGTTTTTAAATCTCATAATAGAGCTGCATATTTAGCTCCACCTCCTCATGTGAGGATAGAAGTGCTGTAGTTAAAGTCTCATATGTTACCACATGCTGTATTCCTGCTGCTCTGACTGTGAAAACTGGATTTTCTCTGTCACACATGTGCATGACCGCCTGAAAGCTCTGTTTGTCCACACGCCAGAATCATAGATGTGAGGACAGCCGGATGTTTTCATCTTGTTGCTCTAATTTCATCCTGCTCTGAATACCGAGAAATCAGTTTGAACATTAAAAAGCAAAAAAAGCTCATTTTAAAATCAACTCTTCTTGAAGGCGCTCTTCTTCGTCGGTGTCATCCTTCCGACCTCACTGCTGCTCTCCTGCAGGTCTGATAGTGATGAAGCTTAAACTCAGCTGTGAACAATATTTAAGAACTGCATCTGTCTTTTTTTTAATCTGAGGGGCTCGAAGATGATTTTTTTATTCGAAGGCAGTCATTAAAAAAAAACCAGCTGATTAAACCAAAGACGACTCAGGAGGCTCTTGACTGCTGCTGCTTTTGTTTCTCAGCTTTTTAACTCTGTTTTGATTTTATTTGATATGTTGCAGGACGGCGGGTAAGACAGTTAGGCTGATATCACTCAAAGGATCAAGCTAAAGAAGCATAAGAGCTTTACAGTCAACATTCAGGGGAAATAAAAAGATGTAAACTTAAAAAAAAGGCCCGTCTGTCTCTGCAGGGACTTGGAGTAATGTTCCTGACTCTACAGACACACAGTAATAAACCCTTTAGACCATTACAGCCTGCTTCACTGCTGCTGATGTTTTCATAGCCTGTCACCAAAGCCCTAAATGTGTCAACTAGAAGCCCGGGTTTAAACCCAATCCTAAACCGGATCATTAAAAGCAGTAGCATCCTTCGATGTCACGTACCTCGCTCTGCAGCTCAGACAGCTGTTTGGCCAGCTGTGTCTCTGTGGTCTCTGGGAGCTGATGGTACAAGCTGCTCTGCATCCTCTGCTTCAGGCCTTCTTTATACTTGACCTGCAGGAGACAGGAGTGGATCAATGCATCTGAAATCAATACTGACAGTGACAGGAAAATGAAGAAATCTCTCATGAACCGTTTAACACATGAACAAAGTTAAAGTACCTCACTCTGCAGGTGTGACACCTCTTTAGCGTGCTGGGTGTGGATGGTCTCAGGCATCACAGAGTACAGGTTGATGTTCATCTCCTTCTTCCCCTCTTCTTTATACTTCACCTACAGCAACACATCATAACATAAAACACTTTATCATTTATGATCTCGGGAAGATTCAACACCACCGAAAATATAAAAAATGACACCACAGGCAGGAGAGATTCCCACAAAAGTTCATTAGGTGTTTTGTACCAAAGTTGAGTTTAATAAGTCTTTGTTTGGTCCGAAAAGAAACTTGAATTCTCTAACTGAATTGAATCTTTTGAACCCTAAAATCCTATCTCCTGTTTGATCATGTTTCTTTCCTCATCACTGTCTCTGACTTGTTGTACCTCACTGAGCAGCTCTGACACCTCCTTGGCGTGAGCCGTCTCCAAAGTCTCCGGCAGTAGAGAGTACAAATTGGAGTTCACGCCCTTCTTGCCGGCTTCCCTGTACCGCATCTATAAATAAAACGCATTAAAGTACAGTAGGCTCGTAAAACACGCACATAAACAAAGACGAGGCAGATTTAAACTCCATAAGAGGGTCTGGTCTCTGTAGGTAAGTCTCACCTGGCTCTGCAGCTCGGCTACTCCTTTAGCGAACTGGATCTCTGCGGTCTCTGGGAGCTGAGAGTAGAAACTCTGAGAGAGGCTCTTCCTGCCGCCCTCTTTATATTTACTCTGAGAGAGGACAAAACGATCTGTCAGCTGTTTTACAGAGAGCTCCTCTCTCAGCTGGAGTGAAAACACTCGGGGTTTTTATTCCAGAGTTTCAGTAAAATTCATTTCCAAACTTCAAGAACTGACTTCTGGAAAAGTTTAACTTTTAGAGGGAATATTGGCATAAGCTTATCTGTACAAAGTAAAACTTCAAGTTCAATAAAAACAAACATTTCAGGCCGTTTTTGACCCAATAAAATCATCTTTCCAGGTAAATCAGAGGGAATAATCTTCATTTATGAGTCAACATTGATACACAGACTCAAAACAGTGTCCTCCTGTACCTCACTGTGCATCTCCGTCATCTCTCTGGCAAACTGGATCTCCGTGGTGTCAGGCAGCTGAGAGTACAGAGAGGAGGGAGCACCTTTGACCAGCAGTTTGGGACGATAGTTCACCTGAGAGAGTAAAAACAGGAGAGTGAGGAAGAAAGAAGAATTATAGAGGAAACATGAATGAAACTGCTCCATCATCAGCATGCTTTCTTTTGTAGGACAGGTGGATGGTACACTGAGTTTGTCACACATTTAAGACTCTCATGTTCCCTCCTCTCCTGTGGTGGTGACACATGTTTGCCTCCAGTCCTACACCGCCCCCCAAAAGGGTCTTGAGAGGCAGAGGTAGAACAGCAACCCCCATGTTCTGCACAGTCACAGATTTTGTCAACATCTGTTTCTTGTTTCATAAATGTCTTTCACAGACTCTTTGATCGACAAAAGGAGCCAATCAGTGTCTGAATAAATCCATTACAAGCTGCTGTTTTCTGACCTGCAGGAGTGACTCCAAAACTCTCTCTGGTCTTTATGAATTAAAACCTAAAAAACTGGAATAACCTCTGAAAACAGGATCCTCGTAAACTCTGCTATTATTCATGTTCCCACTCTGTTATGGTCCTGTTACCTCACTCTGCAGCTGTGAAACCTCCAGAGCGTGCTGTATTTCTGGAGTTTCAGGGAGTTGGGAATAGAGAGAGATGGAGGCTTTTCTCTTCCCGTCTTCTTTGTACTTTTTCTGGTGAAGAGACAAAAATAAATCAGACTTTTGGTTCCTGGATGAGACTTTTCATGACGTTGGGTAAATGCACTGTTGGGACACAAACATCGGTGGCTCTTGAGTGACTTCAACTTCTCCTGGTTGCTGAAGTTCGATTGAGATTTTCGTGTTTGCTTTTTGTGTTTAATTCATTTGCAGTGGGAGACCTCACAGCCTCATCAAGCCTGCAGCTGCTGCTGCATTAAATAAGGCCTGTGCGTTGATGCCCAGACGGAGAATAACTGATGAAATACGTTGAAACACAGCTGCTGTTTAACTCAGGATGAATACCGTGTTGGAGTACCTCGCTCTGGAACTCGTGGACGGTCTTGGCCAGCTGCATCTCTGCGGTTTCAGGAAGCTGGGAGTACAAACTGCTGCTCATCTCCTTCTTTCCTTCCTCCTTGTACTTGTTCTGAGGAGCAGAGAGGAAAACAACTTTTAGATTCACAGTCATTCTCTTTAATCACTCATCTGTTCATCTTTATGTTTATCCATCACTTCATCGTCCGGCCTTTTAATTATCAGGATGTTTATTCTTCTCCAACCTTCTAATGATTCACCCAGACATTTACTATCATAACTCTGTATCACTAAAACTACTTATCAATAAATCTTTTCACAAATCCACACAACTGATTTTCAGATTCATCCATTACTAATGCATCCATCCATCCATCCATCCATCCATCCATCCATCCATCCGTCTTTTCCTCTATCTGTCCATTTCTGGACCAATAACTTATCCATTCATCCATTTATCCCTCAATTAATTCAGTTTTTAACTAAATCATCTGCCGTTTCATCAATCACTCGTCCCTCTAGTTTTACTTTAATTCATTCTTCTTCCACTCGTCAATTTATCCATCAATGCTTCAGTTCAATCATATTTACGCTTATTCATCCATTAATCTATTATTTATTTATCCATTAACCACCATACATCCCTCCATCATCAAAACATTTCCACCCATTGATTGATCCATCCATCCATCCATCCGTCCATCCGTCCTGTCCTCACCTCGCTCAGCATCTCAGTCAGCTCTTTCACAAACTGGGTCTCTGTTGTTTCTGGCAGCAGAGAGTAAAGAGAGGAGGAGATCTCTGTCTTCAGGTTTCCTTTATATTTAGCCTGAAAATCAAAGAAGAAAAAGTGAACACTGTCAGAGCTGAAATCACGTTTTATTATCACATTTATCACTGAAAAACCAGCTGGATTTACAGCAGCTTAAACCACCCGGTCTTAGTGCTATAGTTTGAGACATTTTTCCTGCACAAGTGCTTTAAAACTCATCAGTGAGGTCTGCAGAAGATGTAAATGCTGAGTATTGTACCTCACTGAGCAGCGCTGTAGCCTCTCTGGCACGCTGAGTTTCAGGAGTTTCAGGGAGGATGGAGTACAGAGACATGGACGCCTCCTTCTTTCCCTCTTCTTTGTATTTGGACTGAAACAGTTTCACATTTCAACAAAAACAGTCAGAATCCTCAAAGCAGAGAAAATGTATCTGTGAAGATAACTTTTCTATCTTTATGAGGCCGAATGAGTCTTCACGTCTTTAAAGAGATGTTCGATAATATACCTCTGAAATCACAGCGCTGATGTTCTTGGAGTGGATGAGTTCGGCTCCCGGCACGAACATACTCTGACCTCTCATCTTCTCAAAGTCCTCCTTATACTTCACCTGCAGGGAGGAGACAGGAGGGTGTGTGAGCTTCAATACATGTGTGTGTTGTAACTGCATGCAAGCTGAACTTCTGCCGCGCTCCATCTTCATCCCCAGGAGGATCGCAGTGTTAGCACTTTCTCAAAGTTTGATGCACAAAGGAGCCGATGTTGGCATAAATGAATAACTTTTGAAAACCTGCTGCTTTGTTCTCTCTTTCATGCTTCCATTTAGGGTTTAGCTGCAAAATCATCCAGAAATCCCTCCATCCATCCATTCATCCTGGTCGTGTCTTTCTTTTTCCAACCATTCATCATCATAACCCCCATCTACATCCACATATTCTCATCCCAAGTCATCCAAATTTATACAAACTGAAAGTTCCGCACAAGAGCTTTAAATGAAAGTGTTTTAAATATCTTCACATGAAATTAAATGTAAAAAATAATCATGTCTGTAAGTGAAGCATCCCAGGAATGGTTCCCTGAAGAAGCTCAAATCTACTGAAACTAAAGAAGACAAACAGGATTAATCTATTCTTATCTTTTCTATACTAAGAGCAGATTGTATTGGCATTTACAGGTCAGATGACAGCAGAAACAGCCTCTGATTGGTTGACAAACCACAACAAGGATAGCAGCCTCCATCTAGCACAGCCAGCAAATGACTAAAATAACAAAAATCACACAAATAATTAAAGAGAAATTTGTTTTTTAAGGGACTCTGAAAACACACTGATCCTCTCTGTGGGGTAGAAAAGCTCTTGAAGAAGCAAACAGAGTTTATCCCTGGAAAGCTGCCGTCCTCACAAAGCGAGTGGATTTTACAGAATATGACGCATGATGTATGATGACAAAATCGACCCTTAAGTGTTGACTATCCTGAAACAAGGATATGAAGAAGTTATATCAGGTGATGTCTCTCAGAAGGAGGATGAAGAAATGATGTTTTCTGGTTATTCATCATCAGTCGCGTGTGCAGAAATCTAAGGTTATTCCTGCATTAATTTGTATTACAGCGACAGATAGGAAACGCTCTTCTGTTTGGACTTTATTTTGAATATGTGCCACAGTTTGGAGTTGGACTCATTCTGATTGGACGGATGGTCGGGAAACAGGCCGACAGATTTTGTTTGGAGTCTCTGGAGAACAATAGAAGTAATCCACAGATGACAAGCTGTCCGCCCTGATCTGTGGAAAATCCAACACAACAGAAAGCACAGGATGGAAGCAGCAGATATGTGATGCTAGTGAGCTCGAACTAAGTCTACTTTTGTTTAAAAAGACCTGGACAAATGATAACAAAGTGCTCATTAGGATTTAGAGGAGGAGGTGCAGAGGGTGATCTCTAGAACATGCAGACAAGTGGGAGGATATCAGGATACCCTACACCCAGATATTAAGGAGGAGTCGTTTAGAAAAATAGGTCTTAAACGCTAAACTGCATCACTTTTGTACAGGAAATAGACCGGGCCGACTGGTCTATAACAGACAAAACTAAGGATTAAAATCAGCTCTCTGCTCATCAGACTGAAAATGATTCAATGCTTGTAAAAAAAAACAGAGATTTGTGGCGTAATTTTGTGAGTCTGCATAACAGTTATTTATGTAAACTACACGCAAGTTGTGTGACTTGTAACCATGGTTACATAAAGTTCCTGTCTCTGTGGGAGTCAGAGGAGATAATGCCAAAGCTTGATGCTGTATTTAATTTAATCCCTCAAACTTCAGGTAGGACACTTCATTCAGCTGAGGGCAGGGCCTCCTGAAGAAGTTCACTCTGCAGACCAGGGTTAGGACTTCTTCAGGAGTTCCTCAGATGGAGGTGGTGGGACTGAGCTTGATTGCTGTCTTTGCTCTCTACATAATACGAGGTTTCATCCTTCTACTGTCATTCAGATCCTCCCTGAACAGCAGAGAGCCACCAAACACACCTCTGAGCGTCCTGGACTCTGTCCCTCAGGGTCCAGAGTCGCATTCACACGGACCGAAGGACGCACAGAGGCGGCAGAGCGGCGGCAGCTGGAGGGAGACTCGCAGCTGCTTTTATGAAGTGGGTTGACTCGCTTCCACCGGAGCTGATGAGTCACTCTGCTGCTGCAAAGAGCCGCGCTGCCAGGTTTGACTCACAGCGGGGAATCAATATCTCACACTCCTACATCCTCCGACAGCATCCACCCTCATTCAACGCTTTCACTGAGAAAAATACGAGCGTTAAACTGCTGCAGGAGTCTTAAGGTGTGTCTCCATCTGAGCATATTCCCTCTGTGCTCGACGAAGGATGCTCACTGATGACGAGAATGAAAGCTGTGTTTGTTGATGAGGAAAAACATCCACTTACCTCACTGACGAGCAGACTGCACCTCCTGTTGAACGCTGGGTCTGGGAGAGGAGGCCTTGAGTCAGAGGAGGCCTAAAATAACAAGGTTACTGTCAGCTTTTCTGTGCTGTTGTTCAAGTTATTAACACAGAGTTAACTCATGCCTTAAAATAAGTATCCAGTGTTTCTTAAGAGACCTTAAAACAGCTCTGTTAAAGACAGCAGGGGGTCCGACAATGTCTCCTCAGGCTGTTTGGTAATAAAAAGACAATATTGGCAAACTGAATTATCCGTCTAAAGCCCACCAATAATCCTGAGACTGAGTCAACCAGAGGAAACTTTCCTTATCCATGCTCCATTAATCCCCCGCCTCACTTAACAGGCCTGATTGAGTCCTAAAAATCCCACTATCACAAGCTAATAATGGCACATTTTCATTTGTAGTTCCGCTAATCCTCTCTGAGCCTGCATGAAAACCTGCAGTGCCAGGCGATGCCCCATGCCAAGGTCAACACAAAGAGTCCCCGTCAGAGCTTGGGGGGGTGGAGGAGGGGAGGGGTCTGCAGAAAAACCAAATCTGCCTCTCAGCAGACTTCTTCAAAGGAGACGAAAATCCTCAAAGCTCGACGCAGGACTCACACACAGTTTGGAAACAGGGTTTGAAGTGGAGTACTGAAGCAGGAAATATGATTAATAGAGAGAGTGATCCAATTAAAAGAACAAGGAGGAGCAGGAGGAGAGAGGAGAGCAGGGAGAGGAGAGCAGGGAGAGGAGAGAGGAGAGCAGGGAGAGGAGCAGGAGGAGAGTTTATGTGTTCGTGTATGTGCCTGAAAAGCCAAGGGACAGCAGAAGAACATCTCTCATAAAACTTCAAACAGCACCAATCAGAGCCTGATATTTCTGTGGAAATAAACTGATCGTCTGTTTGACCACACACTCATCTCATCTCCCAGTTTGCATATCTTTTCTCCATCATGTTCCTGTTTGGTGATAATCTGATAGTTTTAGGATTAAACTGAGCTCAGTGTTAAATTTAAGGTTGGTTGTGGTTAGTTTTCAGGTATTAAAACAGGGTCTCACCTCAGATTCCCAGGCTCCAAACAACTTCTTAGCTCGACTCTGCTCGTCTTCTCCTCCCTCCATCTCTGCTTCATCTTCCTCCTCCTCAGTCTTTACCTCCTCTTCTGTCTCCGTCTCTGCTTCACTTTCATTTTTATTCACCTCTTCTTCTTCCTCCTCCTTCTCCACCTCCTCAGGTATTATTTCACTTTTTAAATCCTCCTTTGCCGCCATCGTCGTCTCTACCACCTTCGTCACCGTGGTCACTGTTGTTTCCACTGTTGTTTCCATCGTCTCTTGGAAAGACTCTTCTTTCTCTACCTCCATCATGAGGACTTCTTTCTTGTCTTCAGCAGACACTAAAGCAGCTTTGGCCCCACCTCCTTCCATGTTAGTCACTGCTGAGGACAAAATACTGATTTCAGGTCAGTTTAGACTAAAGTTTGGACAGAGGAGCAGACTGAGGACAGGATGTATATTTTAGTTGAATAATACAACCTTATTGGGAAAACAGAGTCCAGGATTACCGCCACGCCTTTTATTTATCGAGAGTAAAAATTGTTTTGATAGAATTAAGGCGGTAACTTTAGCTATGCACAGACTTGCACGGTGTTTTCCGCCATATTTGAGGAGTAAATCTCCAACAGGTCCACATTAAAGTCTTCTCACTGTGAAATCAACCATCAAACTAGTTAACTCTTAAAAATACCAAATGGTGCTAAAGGTGAACATTACAGCTCGCCGATCTGCTCTCCTGTCAGTGTCCTCCATGTTCGGGTCACTGACACACTTCCTGTCTGCTGTCAAGGTCACCTTTCAAAGTCACTGGGAAACATTTCTCACTCTTGGACTTACTTTTTGAATTTTCACGCTCAGTCACACGATCAGAAACCTCTCTGGATGTTTTTCTGTGCATTTGGTTTACTCCCTTATATTCCAGTTAGTTTCACTCACCTTGTCCGATTGTGTTCGTCTCTTTACAAGTCTCCTCGTCTGACTTCCTTTCAGTTTGGGAAAGTTTTTAAGGATCCAAAAACTCTCCACAGAGGAAGTTTCGCTGACTCTGAACGTCTTAAGTAGATTTGGCTTTCTCTTACAAACTGATCTCTCTGTATCTCCTCCTGCTCTCTACTTGGTTCCTCAGAGTCTTTTCGACTTTCTCCTCAGAATCTTAACCGTCCTCCAAAGCGACCACTCTGCTTCGGCTCGTCTCCTGTGAGGTCTGACTGTCTACTGGGTGTCGGCTCATCAGGTATTTCTTATCACTTCAGACTTCCACATTTAGCCCTCTACTCCAGACCTTATCGCCACTGTGCCCTTCACTTCAGCCGCAGTGCCAGTGCTGGGTACTGAGTGTGTGTGTGTGGTATAACAACAAAGACTGGTACCTGCTGAATGAATGTGTGTCTGTTGTCTTAGAGTTGAAGATGAGTAAGCTGGAAGGAATGTGAAATTTGCCAAACACATGAAAAACACTGAAATAAAATCAAAAACCTTAATCTTCACAATGATATTATTATCGATACCCTACCAGGACCCCTCAGACACGATCAATCTGAGCTCATTGGAGATAAATGCAAACACTTTGGCCTGATAAATTGATCCTATAATCTGAGCTGAGCTGCTCAGGGCATCCTGCTTTATCACTTTTTGTTTTTTTGTTTAATCTGTTTTAATTGACGTCCAGATCCAGTAAACAGCGCAAATACCCAATTTGCAAAAATGTGAATATGAAGCCGATAAAATCCAGAGTACAAGAATCTGGGCAGAACTCCATCAGAAACATAAAAGCTGAGAGAAACGGAGGAGAAGCGATGAATCAGGTCTCTGAGTCCTGCCTGTGGAGTCCTGGCTGCACCCCGAGCCTGTAGTCAGAACCCTCTCACCCTGAATCACAGTAAACACGGCTCCCTGAGGACTCACGGCTTTGGTGAGAATCTGTCTCCACTCAAAGCTGAAGTGGGAAAGACGGTTTTTGGAGATGGAGAAAAAAAAAATGAAGGCTGTCTTGTGACCAGGAGCTCCTGGAGCTGTGTCTCTCTCTCCTCTTCAGATCTTGTTAATGAATTTGGAAACACAAAAGCTTTTCCTCGGAGAGATCCGTGTGATCTCGTCCTGATGTGAACCAGGTTTACTGCCTGGAAACCTCTGCAGGATAACACGCTTCTCCTCAGACTCATATCCTCCTCTAACAAACCCTTTCTTTTTTACCGTAACTTTATTTTATTTTGTTTTTTCGTCTCCTTCAGCTCACTCTGTCTGTGTCCTCTCTGACCTCCTCTTCCTCTTTCATCAGCAGGTCAACCCTGAAAACAGCTGAGTGACTCAATAAAAGATGTGTCGGCCGCTGAATGTCACACCATCAGAGGGAGAGCGATGTGTGTATGAGTGAATTAAAGTGGAAGAAATGGGTGGTGTATTTATGCAGCGGAATAACAGGATCACGCGGTCATGTAAACAGACTGGAGGGGGGGAGGGCAGAAGACAAAGGATGGACAGAAGAAGAGGTGATGATGATGGGAGGGCTAGAGACAGAAAAAAGAGGAGGGAGACGTGAAATAACCAAAAAATAAAGAGGAAAAGGTCCGAGCTGAATTGATGTTGTAAGGAAAGATAAGAGACGATGTTTTTAACCCTTCAAACTCTAAAACAGAACCAAACCAATCCCTACACCTCAATATTTTACCTTTTTTTTTGACTGTTTTTATTCTGTCATGTCTTGAATTGTTTAAATACGCCTCATAAATAATCAGCACAACTCAAATGCTTTAAAAAAATCCCAAACAAATGAAGAGCCCCTCCTACATAACTGCAGTATAGGTCAAAAGGCCCGCCTCCTCCATGGAAACAGATGGAACATGCGTTAGCAACAGAATTAAAGTACAAGTCAAAGTAGTTTTCCTCAATCATCTTTATACTTATCTCTCATCGTGACGATTCATGTCCAAGTGTTGATTTTGACTCTGTGTTTTTGTACCTATCTTGGCTTTGTCGCTAATATCAGTTTGTGTTACCAAAACAATGAAAAACACACAGTTTGATTTTATGAGGATGTTTAGGAAAGATCCACTGAGAGAGGGATATGAAAGAAAGTAAAACACTACCTGATAAGTCCAGGACAGAGCAGCTGGACACGTCTGTATCTGTTCACACACACAAAAACACCCACACACAGAAGATGAGTTATTACAGTTTATGGTCAAAGTTGAGAAATTTACAAATCTTAAATAAAATCGCTCTCACTTACTCTCTCCGTCTCTCTGTCTTCAGAAGGAGCTCGTCTTCAAACAGCTGATGTCTCCCACACCAAGCGGCTCGATGTTGAGATTTTGTGTGTCCAGTGTGTGTTAGTGTGTGTATGTGGATATTAAGTGTGTACCTTTATGCTCACTGACTTTATTGCACCTTTCACTTTGTCTCATGCATCCACTTGCACACAAACACACACACACACACACACTCTGAAGCGTCCAAACACCATGAAGTAACATCAGTAGTGTGTATCTATGCATGTTTCTTGACTTGTGTGTGTGCATGTGTGTGTGTGTGTGTGTGTGTGTGCGTGTGCGTGTGCGTGTGTGCGTGTGTTTCTCATACGTACAATACTGATCTGCTCCTGAGTCTTTCTGAGTCTTTGCATCTCTGGAGTGTCGGACACGATGCTGAACCCTCGACCTTTACTCTCTTCAAAGTCCTTCTTATATTTCACCTGCAGGAGAGCAAAGACACAGAGGGACGCTTGAAAATAAGGAAACGTATCTATACTCCAAATCAGCTGTTTCTGATTTACTCTGAGTCTGTTTGCCTGACGTGAAAATATCATGACCAATTTTAGCAGATACAGATCATCTTAAAGCTCCTGTGAAGAACTTTTGTACTGATTTTGAGCTGATCTATCTTCTTTTTTAAACTTAAAATAGTGCAAAGACTAGACCTCAAATGACGAAGCTGAAAAATTTGACTTGTTTTATGAAAAATATTCTCATTTTTTACAAAAGAGGATTAGGGCCACATGGAGAGAAAAATAAATTTAAAGGAAGAAGATTAAAGTCAAAATTTCAAGATTAAAGTTGAAATTCCGAGTTCACAAAATGTCAAAATTTCGAGATTAAGACAATTAAAATTTTGAGATTTAAGTCGAAACTTTAACATTATTCACGTAATTTCAATTTTTTAAATTTCGAACTTTCAGCCTGAATGTTGAAATATCGATTTTTTTCATTTTGACTTTTTTAAATCTCGACTTTAATCTTGAAATTTCAACTTGAATCCTCAAAATGGAAATTTAAAAAATCTGCCTGTTACAATTTTTTTCTTTTCTTGTGGCCCTAATCCTCTTTCATACTTTTTAATCTTTTTCAGGATCATGGTCATGTAAAATTTCTTCTTTACATTCTTTAAAGCTTCAAAATAAAATCATGATTCTGAAACTGTTGATCTATTAGCTCACGCAGTCCCTCACGGAGTGGTGAACCTCTTCCCATCTTTCCCCTGAGAGACTCAGCCTCTCTGAACATCCTTTTTATACCCAGTCATATGAATAACCTGTTGGAAATTCACCTCTTTAGTTTAAAAATGCTCCTCCACCATTAGACAACTTTTTACCTGTTTGGTTTTTCCTCTTTAACAACTTTTGACCTGTTTGATTGATCATTTTTGACATTTGTAGCTGACACCTAACTTAAAAGGAGCATACATTTTTCATAAATCAATGAAAGTTTCAGTTTCAAGATTCATAAGTTCTCTTTGCACCAGTTTGAATCAAAGTTTGTAAAACCGTCAACATCCATTTAAATCAGCAATTTACAGCGTCACCATTTTCCTGTTACTAGTATTGTAAATAACCTCATAAAAATAATAAATCCTCAGACTAATGTTCGTGTTTGCTCTGTAAGTCATAAATGAATAATAACTTCAAGCTTCAAGTAAAGTGAAGTGATCACCCAATATTACACACAGAAACCTCTGAGTTTCTTCTCAAGCTGTCACTCATGGTCAAAATCTAACACACATCTTTGGGAGTGACTGCAGCGTTCCTGTCAATCAGAGATGAGGTTGAACGATTTACAACCCTCAGACAATAACAACGAGCGAGCAGCAGGCGGTCACTCTCCTCTCAACCTTTAGAGACACTCTGCAGCTCATCCAGCCATAAAGTCATCCTGCTGCTGTGGATCAGTCATCAGTACCAGCCCATTAACCCTCAGAGTTACATAAGGCTGTAAACTGCAGGAGTATGACTCAGACAGAAAGATAGAGAGAGAGAGAGAGAGAGAGAGAGAGAGAGAGAGAGTGTGTGAGTGTGTCACTGCGATTGTTCCCAAAAACAAAGCAGATTACAGCAGCATTCACCCATCCAGAGCGTCCCGCAGAGCTAATATGACACGTGTGTTTTTTCAGCTGGTGACCAACGATCAAAGCAGGACCGCCATGAGGGAGGTAACAATTTAATAACAGAGGGAGCAAGGTTTGAAAAGATAACAGATCTAACAGAGGATGTTTAGAAGAGGATGTAAATTTGATAGAGAAGATATCTGGGAGGGATGGTGATGATGTTGAAGGAGCGATCTGATGGATGAAGGAATAACGGTCTCATTTGACAGGATTGGAATCAGTTGGTTCAGCGGTAGGCAGACGTCAGACGTCATATCAACTCTGTTAAGCAGAACCTAAACTTTCTAGTGAAAATCAAAGAGCACGAACACATGTACGTTTGTACTTTTTCAGGAAACTGCAGAGTTTTAATGTTGACAGCACTTTGATGAAAATGTTTTATTCCTGTTTGATTGAGTCTGTTTTTACTTTCTCTTTTATTTGCTGGTACGGCCCACTCTCCTTAAAAAACAAGAACAGACTGTCTGGTATAGAGAAAATGAGCAGCAAAACTGCTGGCATTAACCTCAAGGATCTCAAGAAAGTCACTTTTAAGCTTAGAACACTAAGCAAGGCTCGCTCACTCCTCACTGATCAGAGCCACCCCTCGGCTGGTGAGTTTGTGCTGCTCCCGTCAGGCTGCAGGTACGTCCTGCCTAGATGTAGGACAAACATGCCGCCATAGGTCTTTAAACAAGTGATTGTTTTTAGTCTCTCTGTTTATCGTTTTTTTATTTATTTATTGCTGTGCTTGCTTGTCTGTTTGTGGCACTGCTGGCTGTAAAGCGATTTGCCAATATTGATTTGGACAATAAAGATTCCTTGAATCCTTGAAGAGTTTCAAGTTTTCAGAGTTGTGTGAAGAGTTTCATTTTTTTCTGTATGCGACTGGCAGAGCTGTAATAAGGTCATTATGGCCTTGCTTTTACCTCTTATTGGTGGTATTATATTCATTTGAAAAATGTTAGAAACTACAGTCTTGGCTCTATGACTCATCCACTGGAGCTATTTTTGCTCTCTGTGCGTCTTAAATCAGGGAAAAGCGTTGAAGGTAAGCTGCTCCTGACTTTGAGAGTCGATTGAAAGCACAAGAAGAAGATGCGTCCAGGTGGAGATGCCAAATGAAGCTTCTGAAAAGTGATGTGTTGTTGGAGAAATGAAGGGTGTAGACGAAGCTGAGGAAAGGATGTTCAGATGTAGGAGGAAAGTGATGGAGGAGAGAAGTTAGGTAGGAAGGATCTGAGGGAGGAAGCATGTGAGGATGGACAGGTCTGTTTCCTGACAGATTGCATCAACTCATTTCGACTCTTTGGCTGTGAGACGACACCATCTGGTCACATGACGGTGATGTCACGTCCCCTCCTCTGCACCTCCACTGAAGTAGGTCAGAGCAGAAGACGAGGAGGTTTTCCCACAGAGTGAACGTTCGCTCGCTCTGCACGCTGTCACCGTCTCTTATAATCAGTCTGCTCAGAGCTGCAGCGCTAATGTGAAGTGATTTCAACCTCACCTCCGGGGACGACTCGCGCTTAGATCAGAAAAGTTAAAAGAAGAAGAGGAGGAGGAGGAGGAAGAGGAAGAGAGTATGATTCATATCAACCTTACTCCTGGAGGTAATGAGGAGGAATAAGAGCATTTTAAAACTCAAGCAGGTGAGAAAGTGACTTTAAAAGAATCAATCTGAGGGGATGTTTGATTTTTAAACAACAAAAAGAGAAGATGAATATTTTCAGGAGCTGACCCGTCCAAAATGGACAAAGTCCCAAAGGTCTCAGCCTCAGTCTTCTTTGCACTGGAAGAAGCTCTAAAAGCTGTATATTGAGAAGTGAGTGAGATGATATGGCAACATGAAAAATCAAACAGACAAAAAATTGTGTTGAAGTCATGAAATGCAAACTAATACACAAGTGCAGAAAACTGCAGTTCCTCGAGTGTCCACTAGAGCCAAGGAGACCCCACAGAGCTCCATGTGAGAAACTCATCCATCCATCTGACTCTGTTTGTAAAGTACTTCTCATGCACTCTCTGCAGCACACAGCACTTTAAACTAACAGAAAACCAATAAAAATGTTCACATCCCTGATTCAAGAATAAAGTTTAACACAAACAGAGAATGAAAGAAACAAAGCGCTCGATTTGTGACCTGGAGCAACTTCCCACTTCTGTTCAGGTTTACTTCTGCGACTGTGTAACTCCGTGCTCTGATCAAAACTGAGCCGAAAAACAGGAGTGAGTATTTCTGAGTGAGTATATATTCTGTCCAGCTGTTTGGATTTAGACTCTGAACGTTCAGATTTGGAGCTGAAACAAGAACTGAGTTTGAAAAGACGGACAGACGTTTGCCGAGAAGAAGAGGTGGAGAGAGAGACGAGGACAGAATAAATGAGAGTGTAAATCTTTGAACAATAAATGACAAACTGGTAATATACTGTTGTTTTAATGAGGGACAGACCACACACACACACACACACACACACACACACACACACACACACACACACACACACACACATACACACACATCCGAAGACAAACAGCATGTCTCCTCCTGCTCTCTGCTGAGTGGACATCTGTCCTTTTGTGATGCAGTCTGCAGAGTGCGCGCGCACACACACACACACAGACACAGGACGAGGGTATATGAAACAGGTGTAACACGTTTCCTCTCACATACATGTTCTTTGCATGAAGGTTTGAGCGTTTTTATCTGTGTATGCGTGTGTGCGAGTACATCAGCGCAGTGACTCATCTCATCTTCAGGAAGCTGTCAGCGCAGCTTTTACTGACACACCTGAGGGTTTGTTTGTTTTCATCTCTGTGTGGTGCCAGAGGGGCGGAGCTAAGAGCCTGAAATCTGCAGCCGTCAGTGAAACAAACGGCAAACTGAGTAAACTGAGACGAGCTTGAAGGACCAACAAGAGCACCGTAGACACGACTCATCTTTATTTATCATGTTTAAAACTTCTTTAAAGACGATTTTCAAAAGCTAAAAGTATATGATGTATATTTTTGTCAACAGGGGGCGCCAGAATTAACTCTCCCACTGAGACGAGGAAGTTACAGTTACACACCTGCCGCACATGAGGATCAGTCAGGGCTTCAGTGAATGTTAGGACGTGTGTGTGTGTGTGTGTGTGTGTGTGTGTGTGTGTGTGTGTGTGTGTGTGTGTGTGTTTACCTGGCTCTGTAGCTCGCTCTGCTGCTTTAGTCTCAGGTTCTCTGGTGTGTCAGCCACGATGGTGAACGATGTCTTGGGGTAATGTCTGAAAAAAAAAAGAAAGAGCGCCGTCACATGTTTGATCTGCTTTGGGTTTCAACCCACAGAAAAAAATCATCATTATCAAATATTGCACCTTATTTATTCTGGTCATTCATATAAGAGAAAGGAAAGTCTGTAGTCTACGTACTTCTTCATCTCACACGCTTGTGCTCGGCTGATATTGGTCTTAAAGGGTCGGCATCGATGTAGGTCAGTAAAAGTTTGTGACATCGATGTATTAAAAACTTTCTGTTAAAATTCATAATTCCAAATATTTTAAACTCCAACTCTAAAATTTGCTTAAAGGAGTTGAAACTGATTATCCAGTTTCTCAAAAAGATTCACGATAAATAAAACGTTCAACCATCAAATGTCAGAAAGATGAGTTGTTGTTTTTTCATCAGAAGTCCAAGATAAACAAAGACTGTTTTGTCCACAGGGGGCTCCAGAATTTTGAAGTTTCTCACAGGAGCTTTACATTTTTTGTGCAAATGTTAAATGCGTGACGCCCAGCTGATCAGATAGTGTCATGGTTGGGACATTAGAAAGAAAATAAACCCAGAGAGTCGAAGTAGCAGACTTTTATCAGCCTTCTGTAGAATAAAAAGGCTGATACAGGTAATCAGCCAAATGCCAAACATCAGAGAGATGTAACAGCTGCTGCTGGTTTCAAAATACTCATCCAACTTTCAAACACAAAATCTGAATGAATCACTGTTTGTCTTTCAATGCCAAGGTTTTAAAATCATCTGTGTTTGAATGAAGTGAACCAAGCGCACCGACAAAAAGGTGAAGAGGTGTCCTCCACCCAGGAGCAGCAGCACTCGCTAACTAATCACAACACTGATCTCCCTCATAAGTGTTTATTTTTCTTCTTTAAGTGAAAGTGCAGCTAATGAGTCAACAACACAGTGACATTATCGGGAACAATGAGCCATTTAGATGGTCTGGAAATGTAAAGAAAGTCCCTGCTGTACTTTCAGGCTGCTGTTCCTGACATTTATGAAGCAGCCTTATGTGTTTAAAAACAGCAGTAGAGTTTGGATCTGAAGCTTTAGTCTGCGGGGAGAACCAGGGAGCGCTGCACAGATGTAAGAGATGACAGAGCGAGGACGGTGATGGTAGGCGGGAGACACAACTCCCACTCTCCCCCTCCAGGAACTTTTGAGGGTATTTTTACTGTCAGCGGCGGTTAGCACAGGAAGAGAAACCCTCTGAGTGGGTGTGGGGATAGTTTAGCCAGATTTAAAAAAACTGAAGTGGTCAGCCTTTGGGCGCATTTTCTGGATCTTTACCAAACATCCTCCAGAAACAGAGATTTCTTATCACATGTAAGAGCTTCGAAAAAAAAGCTGGTATCCAAGGTAACAACAAGAATGGACAACTGCATCAAAACTGATTTATCATGTGTCTCCTGATATCTCTTCCTCTTTTAAGTCCAACAGCTAACGGCTTTAAAATGCACCTGACTGAATCAAGTCCTCATCAGAAAAGTGTAAACAGATGGAACATGAACAGAACTGGAAAATGAAAACATACCACAGATAAGCTTTTCTCAATCTTAGTTTCTAACGGTTCAGTTAGTTTCTATCACGCTGATTAATGTCTGAATGTTCAGTTTTCTCACCACTTTGGTTTTAACAGGTTTTCTCAAGCTATAAAATAAGGGGCATGATTGACAGCTCTGTTGACAAATGAGAGAAAAGGGGTTGGACATCAATACTGAGAGGATGATAGTGTTTACTTCATCAGTGCGGTTTTCTTTGAGCTCACAGATAGTGTGTGTGTGTGTGTGTGTGTGCGTGTGTGAGTGTGTGTGTGTGTGAGTCAGCAGCACATTCAGCAGCAGTTTGACCACTCCACTGAACTGTCCTTCACTCCTCTTCTTCTCCAACTTCACCTCTTTCTGCCTCCCACGCTCATTTTAACACCTACACTCTCTCTCCTACACACTCACACACACCTCTCTCTCTCTCTCTCTCTCTCTCTATTATAGTCAGTGTTTTGATGAATGATGTATCTCTGTTTTGCACCCATATAATCAGGTGATAGTCACCACTCTGCATCTTAAATATGCGATTCAACTTTGCAAAAATTATAATTCTGCACTTCTGCGAGTCTACCGCAGCTACACTGACTCAACCACCAAGTCAGTGTCAAACTGGTGCCAGAGTCGGTCGTATTTCTGCAGTTTGGAGCCACAGAAAGAGAAGCTGAAGTCTGTGAGGAGTCAGAAGGAAGAGTTCAAGTTTTCGGAGTTCAGCCACAGTGACACTACACGATAATAAAATGTCACCTAGGAGCAAACAAACATAATGAAATAAAGTTTCAGGCCTACAGTCGTTTCTATGACTTGAGGAAGTTTGAGTTAGAAACACATTTCAGCCTCGAGGTATTCTTTCTTCATTCAGACTTTTTACAAACTATCAAAACACTATCTAAGAAAGTTTGAAGGAAAATGAAAACAAAGTTCCTCTGACGAAATCTCAACCAAAACGACACGAGTCAACAAGTGAATTTAAGGGATATTCCGGCGTAAAATTAATTTAGGGTCAAACACACAGTAACACAGTTAGACACCCCCTAGAGAGATGAATGTTGCCGACCGCTTGCTTCTCTAGTTTTACAAACTTTAGTAACGACCACAAAATAGCAATACACAGCAGTCTGAGGAGCCATAAACAAACCTCAACCAAAACACCACAAATAATGATCAGAACAGCACCTAACTTCATCAACAGGACATATAGGGTCCTAGCCACCAAACATCTTTTTAGCTTTGCCTGATTTCTTTAGCAAAGAGACTAAACACAACTCACCCTCTTGCTTCCAGCAGGCGCTTGTTTGTACAGAGACGGTGAGTCCATTGAAGGAAGAACATTTATGATCAGTTCCTCATGGAAATGCAATCAGACCGAGACGCTAAGGCAGAAGAACTACAACGTCTGCAGTGCAATCTGACTAATATGATGATTATTACTTCAAGGAAACGATAAAGAAATTATCATAACAAACAAGTGGCTGCTGGAAGAGAGAAGGGGAGTTCAATGTAGACTCTTTGCTAAAGAAATCAGTCAAAGTTAAAAAGATGTTTGGTGGCTAGTACTATGTCTGTGACCCTATATGTCCTGTTGATGAAGTTAGGTGCTGTTCTGAGCATTATTTGTGTCTACAGAGTGGCGTTTTGGTTGAGGGCGTGGCTCTCTGTATCGCTATCTGCGATCATTACTAAAGTTGGTATAACTAGAGAAGCAAGCGGTCGGCAACATTCATCTCTCGACGGGGTGTCTAACTCGGTGTTACGGTGTGTTTGACCAAAACTTAATTTTACGCTGGAATATCCCTTTAATTCCTCTGGATTTAAATGAACAGCGGGTCGACCCTTCATGAGGATTATTCCTGATGAAATAAGGGTGAAGTGTGTCAGTGAGTCTGCAGAGTTACTCAGTGTCTGTACTGTTCATGAACTGTAATATAACACACTCTGCTGTCATCCAGTGATCCCTGTGTGACCCTGAAGGCCAGTCCTAACCCCGATACACACACACACACACACACACACACACACACACACACACACACACAGGGATCTGAAACCAGACCGCGTATACCTGCTTTTCAAAAAATTCTCCTTTAAACATATAAACAACATCCGTGAAGTAACAGACACCATCATTGCGTCGTGTTATTACAGAGGTTTGAGTTCCTGTCTGCGCTCACCGTTATCATCATGAACTTAATCATGTGTCACAGACTCTCTCCTGAGGTCTTTAACTGATGATTAGCAGGAGCTCATAAACATTTATCATGATCTTAACTCCTCTTTGTGTCTCACAGTGTTTGTCTGCTCAGTCATTGTGAGTCTGCTCTCATAATGACTCTGTTATTGTGAGGGAAAAAAAACACACAGAGACAAGCAGGAGTGTCTCTGAATCTGTCTCTGTGAACAAAGGAAAATATCACCAAGATGTTTTTATAGCTGGGAAATATCATCTTCATGTGTGACAACCCGAAATTAACTTATCTTTGTTTGTTTTTTTTATTACTGTTGACTGTTTTTGGCAGCATTTAAAGGACAAAACAAAACAGCGCCCTCTACCTGCTCCGAGCTGCAAAGTGAAGCAGAAACACAGTCGCTTTGACACTTTGGTGACTTCTCTTCATCATAAACTTCCTGTTCTGATCTCTTACCTCCACTTCTCACTTTTTCTAACCTTTTATTTTCACTTTTTTGGTCTCTCTCTCTCTCTCTCTCTCTCTCCCTCTCTCTCTCTCTCACACACACACACACACACACACACACACACACACACACACACACACACACACACACTCACAGGGACGTCCTGCAGAGGTTTAGTTTGCTTTATGGAGACTTTGGAAAAACACAGCCAGAGGCAACTCTAAATGTGTGTGAGTGTGAAAACTTTGACATTTCTTTCAACCAGCAGTCCCTTTGTTTCACTTCTGTTACTCATAAAGTTCTACACACACACACACACACACACACACACACACACACACACACACACACACACACACACACACACACACACACACACAGTCGTTTTGCCCTTAAGTTTCACTTCACCTGTTACCGTCGCTGCTAGCAACCATGGATGCTTTGTCCGTTTGGTGCAACCGAATCCTCTGAGACAAAGAGCTGCACTGTGGGGTATTCCCCGCACACACACACACACACACACACACACACACACACACACACTTAGCCAAGGTGACTGTGTGCTGGCTGGACAAGCAGCTCAGGACAAAAACGGTGTTTGTGTGGAGTCTTTAACAGCCAGCTGACGTCCAGACAAACAGGCCGCTCTGCTCCGCTCGATTCCTCACACAGTTTGTGTTTTTATCGAGCTCAGACTGAATTAATGATGTGAGTTTCTGCTTTAACTACACAAAGCTGGAGCCCTCCCCCTTACGTCATCCCAAAAAAAAACACTGTGAAAAATACAGCGTGATTCAACAAAGAGTTTCATTACTGTAAGACTGAGACAGAATCTCATTCAATATATTCCTGATTTACTGGAACTCTTTCACGTCTTGCTTCAGGGGCACATTCAGAAAAGCAGCAAGAGATGGAACGGCCCTCATGTCCTCTAGAGTCTGATTCACAACAGACTGGACAGATTTTGTACCTGCTAACCCTACACAATTGAGACAAAAAGCAACATGTAGCTCACAAATCATGCATATAAAGGGTTAAATGCACCTCAAAGTGACCTCACTGTGCACGTTTTTAAATAAGATACTAAACGTTCATTCAGAGCAAAAATAAGTCTTCATGCATTCACAGGCAGTGTCAGAGCTTTTTCGTGTCTTTATTTTTATATTTGTCAGAGTGGGCTGCTTTTTCAAGCTCCTGAAAGTATAGACATCGTCATGAGTCTCAGGTTTCAGAGTGCTGCTCTCCATCCAGCTCAGTGTTAATGCGGTCAGAGTCAGAAAGAGAGCTCGCTGTGCAGCTCTGGGCAGCAGGAGAGGCTTACGAGCTTATCTCAATCACAATAAAATGCACAAAGCAGCAGAGCTTTGAAGTTGTTTTGTGTTTAAATATCATAAGTGCAATGTGAATGTATGTTTTCTGTGGATTGAAGATGAAGCAGAAAGCAGGGTGGATTATGGGGAATTCTTAGAGCTATTAGCCGCTGCTATCAGTTCCTCACAGTAAAGAAAGGAAACTTTTTAATGAACTCTGGATCAATTTGTGTTTAATGTAAATGAGCTGATGGTATAGACTCAAGAGGAGATGGAAACACTGGATCAGGTTTGTGTAGCTGCACTTTCACTTTGTGTGTCTCTCATAAACACTCCAATAAAACAAACGCACACACACACATGCACACACACACAATGTCTGACTAACTCTGAGGTGTTGTTTTACTTTCATCATTCAAGCCACAGGCTAAATATAACGTTACCAAAAAACACAGGAACAAGCCCACACAAACACACACTTAGTAAAGACACACACACACACACACACACAAACACACACGAATACACACACACAATGTCCTTTAAACTGTTTCCAATAATACCCTCAGACACATCCTGCCTTTCTCTTACTGCTCCATTAAGACACCCGATTTACAATAGAACTGTGTGTGTGTGTGTGTGTGTGTGTGTGTGTGTGTGTGTGTGTGTGTGTGTGTGTGTGTGTAGCAGTGCTGTGGGTGTGTTGTGGATACAGATTTAGATGCACTATTGTCTATAATGTTTCTGTGGCCTTTGCCAAACGGCGACAGTCTCCCGGCTCCGGCAGCGGTGACGCACAAAGTCATTTTGAGGGAAATCCACGAAACAACAACTTGGTCTTTCTTTCACATTAAGCAACAACAAAGTGTTTTCGTACAGCCGATGTCCTTTTTCAGCTTCTTGTCAGCTGCTGATTAATCAAACTCTGAACCAACAAGCTATCATTTGCTGGTGAACTGTCAGTATCTCAGAACAATGGTTGACTTTCTGAGGCGGCTGTTTCACTCTGGTTTATTGTTTTATTATAGAAAGTGAAAAAGAAACTGATCGTCTCCTTTATTTGTTGTAAAATCCAGAATAAATGTTCACAATCACGGCTGTATACAAAAGCCAGTCCGTTAGAGGCCTAGGAGGGTAAAAACAAACTGTATTCTTGTGACATACTGAGCGTTTTAAAACAGACTTTCACTCTTTGTTAAAAAAGTACGTCAAAAATAGTCGAGTCCATCCTCAAAGGGAAGAGTAAACAACTTTTAAAATGTGTGTTTGTTGAATGGAGGCGGGGTCTATCATTTCTGATGCATTCCAGGAAGTCAGGAAATCGAAGTGCCGATTGTAAGCTACATGTCCATGAAGATAAAGTCATTTTTAGATGACCTCTGATGGGAGCTGAGGTACCATTATGGTAAACTGTGTTCTGCCTGTTTTTGCTCTCCATACACTGTTTTTATTTTTGCTGATGTGAAAAAGAAATAGCTACCATGTGGATATTTCTTATAGCTCTCATTATATGTCGACACAGATACAGTATTATTGTCTTCTCTCCACCCTGTGATGGAAACAGCCTTTAATGCCAGGTGGAGCAGGAGGCTCGGCTGTGATGGAGGCTGTCGCTGAAAGCTGAAACCATGCTGGCTGCACCACAGCTCCCATTCCTCTTCCTCCTGTCAACAACAGCTCCAGCCGCACACTGAGAGGAAGACGGAGCTGCGTGTTCAGATACAGGGAGGGTGGAGACGGTGGAGTTTGTGTACCGGCTGACATTCAGCAACATGGATGCTCTTTTGATGAATCACCGAGTAAGACGGAGGCTGAAGAGGAAGAGGAGCAGGGATGACAGCTGAGTGTGTGTGTGTGTGTATGTGTGTGTTTCTGGGTGTGTGTTTGCTGGTCAGTCTGGCCTCTCTCCATGTTCCTGTGTAGGTGTTGATGAAAATCTCAGTGTGAGCTCAGGACAGACTTGGCTCCTGGAAACCTCACTGATGGTTCAGCCACACAACAGACAAACCTTAAATAAAGGAACACACTGAACTCTGTATAATCACCGTCACATAGTGTTTGATTTAGAGAGGAGCACAGTGTGCACGCAGGTAATAAAACCAAACAGGAAGGAGAGATTATCTGTGCAAGAACAATTTCTTTTGGAGTTGCTGCTTTAGAGACAGATGCAGCAGCGAAACTATTTCTTTAAAGACCTTTACTTTTGCAAAACCTCGAGGGCTGATTTACGTATTCTGGGACCTGTTTTTGAGTATTTGAGGATCTGAAGGGCATTAATGAGTCTGAAACACACCAAAGTAATGCATTTATTATTATTCGAATGGACGGCTCCCAAAGGACGTCCTCTGTGCCAAACTGTCATCTGGCAAGAGACAGATCGGCCGACCCCAGCTGGGCTATAAAGACGTATGCAAGCAAGACCTAAAGACCGTCAACATCAGCCCTGCCACCTGGGAAGAGTCCACTCAGGACTGCACTCAGTGGCAGCAAGCACTCCGTAGCGGTCAGCTCACCCACGAAACCACCCTAGTCCAACACCACAAAGAAAAGTGGACAAGGAGAAAGCAACAACAACAACAGGACAGTATCACACCAACAGCATCATCAGGACTCGCCTTCATATTCCACATGTGCGGCCGAATCTGCCTCTCATGCATCAGGCTTCTCAGCCACAGACGACACTGCGCTAAAACCCTCCTTCCAGGCACAAGAAATCCATGGTCTTTTGAGACTGCGCTGCCGATAATGATTATTATTCTTTGATTATTATTTACAATGAAGTCTCTCAGTTTTCAGCCTGGCAGTCTTTAGCTTATTATGGCCCGTGCATGCTCATGGTAGCTACTCTCTCTCTTGTCATGCTCATTCTGTCCCTTGGCTTTTCAGACAAACACACGGACACACACCTGCCTCCTCCAGCTCCTCTCCCTGCTCTCCTCTCTCCTTCTGTCTCCTCTCTCAATCATTAACTATTCACCAGATGTGTCGTAACATCTCTCTCTGTGGGTAAAATTGATGTGTGCATGATCAGTTTTCTTCTGATATCACTTATTCAGAACTTGTCGGGGGTTCTGACCAATCAGAACCAGAACCAGACACTTAACACAGAAAGCTCAGTAACAAAGTGATCTTCTAGTCAAACTGGAAAAGCTGTGAGCTGATTGATTAAACGGTTCACTGATTAATCCATTAGACACCAGATCACTGTCTTTGTTAAATACCCTCAATGACAGACCAGTGTAGTAGTCACCAGTCTCATGGTCTGTCGACGATAAACGTGCACACACTGATCTCTGCAGTTCTCCACACTGGGAGTGTGTGTCCTACTTTGACTTCAGACACACTGCTGCATCTACACACCCTCAGGCTCAGACTAATCCTGTGTATGTGACTCACAGAGAAGGGGGGAGCAGTGTCTCTGCCGGCCTGCCACATCCATACCTCACCTCCATTGATCAAAATCACCTTCATCATCATCATCATCATCTTCTCAGAGTCATGACTGCTGCTGCCTTCAACCTTCAGGAGTGTTTCTTACCCCACATGTGAGTCTGCTCTGCACCCCGCTGTTTAATACACTCCTCCTCAGAGAGAGACTTTAAGCCTGAAGTTGTGTGCCGACTCATGTTTAATTACTTCACCTTCATCACCAACATTAGCGCTCCTCACCTCCTCTCATGCTTTCCCGTTGGAGGCCGTGGGTGATAAAAGGCTGTGACGAATGAGGAGAGTTAATTCAGGCTCTGCTTTTTAAGCAAGAGATATTATCACCGGCAAGATTTAATAGCCGGCTGCCGGGCTGATCCCTGGCCGAGATTAGCGGAAGAGCTGTGTCTTACGGAGGACACGGAGTGAGGAAGAGAAAGACATGACGGAGGACGAGTCTGAAACAAAGAGGGGGAATCTGGAGGAAGCTAATTACAGAATATTTCAGATCCTCTACAGAGAAAGAGATTTGTTCACAGATGTGTAATCCTGTGCCAGATTTCTGCTTTGACAGGCTCTTCCAGGCTCAGATTCTGCCTCCTCAGTGAGAGGAAAGGTTTCACTCTGTTATATAATTACCCCAAATATACAAAGAAGCAAATCAGCAGGGACCGCTCCCATATTGTGGAGCGCAAACCAGCACCTCATTTCTTACAAAGGAACCAGGCTCAATCCTCTAATTCACCTCACCTCTCATCATCTCATCCTTTAATATCAGAGTGAGAACATCTCCGTTATTTCTTACAATGACGCACAAAACACAACCGAAGTTTCAGTAAAGAACAAACCCCTCTCTGAGAACTTTAGTAGTTTGATGTTTAATTTACCAAAATTAAAACCCCGTCCTTTTTGGGTTGTGGCTCACAATTCGAAAACTTAATTAGACTCCATTACTCCGGATAACAAACACCGGACTATTAGTGGATTTAAAACAAACATTTCACTGAAATCACAAAATCAGTTGGTGCCAGACGGTCTCCTCCATGTATTTACTCTCACACTGTAATGGGAAAGCTGCTCAGAGAGGTTATTAACCATTGTTAAGATTAGAGGTGTCCAGATACAACTTTTTTACTTCCAATTCAATACAGTTATTGTAGTCCTCAATATTGACCCATACAGATATTGATCCGAAATTGTACATGACAAGTTTTGCACTCAGCTGCAATGTCTTTTTCGGACTTAAAAAATACTGCCATAAGGCCGACATCACTCCAACTCCTTGCTACTTTGTCAGAGCCTTCGTACACACTGTTGTTGTGATTTTGTGGGCTCAGCTTGCTAGATCTGAGCGCTGCTAGCTAGAGGTGCCGGAGCGGAGTCTGGACTGGACTGCTTGTATCGGAGTGCTGATATTCATTGTTTTGTTGATATCAGACCGATATCCAACATCAATATCGTGTCAGGACACCCCTAATTAAGACGGATAAAGTAAAAAATCTAATCGTGCCATAGTTTGAAGGTAAAGTTCAGAAAAAGGAGAAAGAAAAGAAAGGAAGTTGGAGGAGATTAAAACAGAAAGAGATAAGAAGAAAAAAAGGAAGGTAAGGACAGAGGACAGGACTTAAGGACAAAAGATGAGTAGTTAGTAGAAGAAAGGATGCAGCGATTAGTAATGTTTCAAAACGTCACATTTAAATTCTCAAACGGACCCTACTGCTGCAAGTGTTTCTACATCATTTTTGCTGAAACCGTCACTGGACCAAAACAGCTGCTGGTGCACGGGCTTATTAAGACAAAACAAGAGGATGGTGCAGCAGTGTTTTTAGTGCAACAAGTAGTCGGTGTTAACAGAAGGACTTTCTGTCTTTATTGAGAGGAGAGGACACAGACAAGGCAGGAGCAAGAATGACAAACACTACTGCATCCTTACTATCTCTGCTGACACACGCGCATGCAAAGCTGCAACCAGGAAGTGACGGGTAAACGAAACATGATAGATGTCCACTCTCTCTCCATCACTTGAATATTCCTATCTGAGGAGAGGACATGCTGGGCGTCCCTCTTTCTAAACTGCGACATTAAACTTCACAGTCCGAACCCTGAGCAGCATTTTCAGTCCCTCACCTTCAGATCTCACTCTCAGAACTCTCTCACTCACTTCTCTCTTCCTCCTTTTCTTTTTCTTCCTCCTTCTCTAACAGCTGAGAGACAGCAGAGAAAACTCTTACCTCGTTACTATAGTAACCACACCACATGTTAATACTGAGTCATCCACCTTACATTAGCACTGCAGGAGACAAAGAGAGAAATATGGCTCGGATTGAGAGCTTTCCAGTTTGAACGTGTTTTTTCTAAACAAGAACAATGTATTTTATTTTCAGACTAATGTTTGAATATATTCGACTGTCTTTATCTTTGATTGCAGCACACGGCCTCCACTTTTGTAGAACATTATCACTGCTGAGCTCAAGAGTGGCATTCAGTGGTCAGGTGACGATGAGACTGCCCTCTGCTGGATCGAACAGAAACTAAATTTTGAAATCAAAATAAAACTGTTCATTGCGTTTTGTATGGTTGCAGTTTGAATGAATGACTACTTAAATTTCAGATAAAAAGTGACGACCCTTGTTAACAATGAACCTTTCACCTGCTATAGACTGATCGCCAGACAGAGCCTTTAAACAGGAAATAATTCGTTAAATTATGATTTAGATAATATACTGAGAGACACCATGTCAATGCCAACCTACTGTACTGAGAAGAAGAGGGAGAGAGAGGGATTTATTTTTGTGAGCATTATTTTGTGCATGTTGTATTTTTGCTTTGGCAACACTGATGACGCTGGAAATCATGCCAAAGAGAGAGAGAGAGAGAAACGTGATTGTTTACCAGTGTCACAAGATATGGATTCAAACCTTTTTATCCCTCCAACAAGAGTTCAGATTTTGGGCAAAAAAACACAGCTCTACTTAAGGCTGCATGATATTGGAAAAAACTAACGTTGCAATTTTGCACCAGATGACCTGAATAGCACTTCATGTTGTGCTGCACTGCTGACATCTTGTAGACAGTTAACCTGCGCTGATCTTACCTCTTTTTGTGAATGTTAGTAGAACGGCTTCTGTCTGTCTCAGAGATATTTTTAGCTTATTTTTACTGTGCTGGGACTTCGTTTTCGGTCGTTTTCTCTTGTTCGTTGCTCATTTTGCAATTGTTGTTGTTATCGGTGGTGTGCCAAGAAACACATGCCCGCCGAGAATTGCATGCACCTCGCAAAACGTGCACCACCTATAGTAGAGTGGTCCACAGAAACGTACAATTTAAAACCCATACAATTCCTATTTGTTGGGTTTAACAGTGATGAGTAATGTTCCGAAAGTAATTCTCAGCAGGTATGCGTTTCTCGGCACAACACCGGCAGCGCCAGCGACTCACTCCATGTGCAGGGGCGTGGTTTCCTCCTCTCTGATTTTGATCGATGGCTTGCAGGGTAGTCCAACATCGCAGACTCTGCAATGTGACTATGGCGCACACGTACATCGCGATGACGATGCTCAAATGATATATCGTGCAGCCGTAGCTCTACTAGACGACTTTCAAAGCAGAGGGTTAGCTGCAGCTTTAAAACAGACAGCAGTAAAGCGGCGTGAAGTCCATGGAGGACAGAGTGGTCTTCTCGAGGGTTTCAGTCAGTGTGGACTGTGGAGTAAAGGTTTGAAGCACTTGAGGACGGTGTGACAGGTGTAAACACAAACATCAGGACAGGAGGTCAAGCACTTCACCATAAGATTCAATCACCTACATTTGAGTTACTAAAGGACGAACAGGAAAGGAGACGAGGAAAGAAAAGAAGAAGAGAAGAGAGAGGATCAAAGGAGATGAAAGAGAAAGAATAATTAAGGACGGGAAAGAGGAGAGGAGTTAGGAAGGAGTAAAAGAGGAGAGGAAAAGAAAAAAGGAACCAGATGGGAGCAACTAGGAAGAGACACGAATTCATGTGAACATGCTGGAGTATCTGATGAGAAGAAAACAGACGAGTGAAGCAGAGAGAAAACAGAGCGCTGTGTCATGGCAGCTCCTCTAACACCATGACACTGTCTCCACTGATCTCCTCTCCGTCTTTCTCTTCACTCAGTCATGCATGATGCCCTCAGTCAGCCTTCAATGGAGACATTTCTCATCCTCTCTTCCTCCCCGTTTCTCTCTCTTTTTTCTCCCACAGTGATGGATCAGCCTCTCCACCCCTCTCTGCCCCTCTGATCCCTCACATTTCTATTTATTTACTGTTTCTAAACTGTCTTTAACTGGCTCTTTGTGCGCTGTCCTCTCGCTCGCTCCTGTCCCCCCCTCCTCGTCCTCATTCAGCAGATCCTCAGCTCAAAGCAGGAAAGATTAGAAAGAGGGTTACATAAGTTTCCCCTCACATCTCTCAGCGGCTCTCTCTCCATCTTTGTGTCTTGCAGTCGGATTTATTCTCAGTCTCCACTCTTTGCTTTCTTGTTCTCTCCTTTTTCTCTCACACACAGTCTTGTATTTTGTGGTCTTTCAGCTGGTTTAGCATGAAGTCTCTGCCTCACTTGATTCAATAATTCCTGTGTTGTCGCCTGGATTGTCCTTTAATGAAACTTCTTGAGTTGAAGTCAGAGCTGCATAACAACGATGTACAACCCCAGTTCAGTTGGGACGCTGGCGAACGTGATTATAAAAACAGATTCTGATAGTTTTAGTAGATTATTTCAACCCTGGATTTTTATCAATAACACAGGAAGATTCGGATTAATGTGTGCTTGCTTTACTCTTCAAAACAGTGAGACAGGAGACACCTCAGCTCTTCTTTTCCCACCACTCTGGAAACATTCGTCCTATTTCTGGTGTCACGATGCTCCAAATTTTCACAAGTCTGGACTGCAGGCGGACCAGTTTAGCAGCAGGACTCTTCTCCTACAGAGCCATGCTGTTGTCAGAATGTGGTTTGACATTGTCTTGTTAAAATATGAAGGTCTTCCCTGAAAGAGTCTTAGTCTGGATGGCAGCAGATGTTGCTCCTAAACCTGTAGATACTGTTCAGAATTAATGAAGCCTTCACAGATGTGGAAGAAACCCATGACATGGACTCTAATGATCCCCATGGTCAGTCCACAGGGCAGTTTTCCCCCTCAGTCCATCTTAATTGGCTCAGGCTCGGAGAAGTCTCAGGTTTCATCTTAGCATGGTTCAGTTTTTTGTAGGGCTGAGTGATAAACCGGAAATTTACTGATACCGAAATTTACATCGATAACCAACATCATCAAAAATAAATTAATTAATTAATTAATTAATTAAAGTTGGTTTTGGATGTGTGTAGGTAGGCTATGGTCTCATGTCCCTGTAAGACACTGTCCTACCTCAGAGACGTGACTCCACCCCATCCAGTCCATAACAAAGTGGGAAAGACAGGTGAGGAGATGGAGGACGGTTCAAAGTTGTAGCAGGTGGAGCGGCGGCTGAAGTAGACGAAGTTCATGTAAGAGGGGGTGAGCAGCTTGTGGAGTAGTTATCGTCCATTTATCGTTATCGAGGTGAACTGCTCAAAATATCGTGATATTGATTTGAGGTCATATCGCCCAGCCCTAGTTTTGACCTACATTATTAACCATGCAATGATGGAGCATGTTCACAGACAGCGGTTTAGGACTTTGGAGTGGCCACCTAAAAGCTGGAGGACATGTTGGTTGAGCGCTTACAGAAACTTCTCTGGTGCAGATTTTGCATTTTGCATCAGCTAATTTTTGCGTTCAGTGGAAACCTGACATGAAGCCAACCAGAGGAGAGCAGCGGCTGTTTTTTTTTCCTTTGAATCTCTGCACTTTGGTAAATAGATCATTTTTTCATTAGCTTCAAAATAAATGACATCTTTTTTTATCTTTTTGCACGCAGACTCGCTTCTCCTTTAACAACCACGCAACAGCCCTTCATCTGCACCTGGTCAGCTTTAAAGCTGTGTGTGTGGAGCTGCAGAAAAAATTAAAGACATGATCTTGATGCAACAAAAAGCTCAGAGCTGAGCAGTAGAGCTTTTTTTTTTTTTGGCTCTAAAAGGAGTTTCTTTTTTCTCCTCTTTTTTTTCTGAAGGCAGCATTTATGCTTGAAGAGAAACCACTCATCTACTTCTTCCACCTGCTGCCTCTGAACCGAGGACAGAATGAGATACCTTTTAATGTAAATGATATCATACCCTACAGCTGCTGCTGCTGGATCTGCTCCCCTCCTGAAGCTGCAAAGACGGTTCAGAGCTGGAATATTTCTCTCTGCACTGCACAATAAGACAGCAGTTATCTGGGTTATGTGGGCAGCAGAGTTATATAACCGCCCAGTTTTTTATCACAGCAATCTGAGCTGCTATTAACATGAACTCGACATGTACAAGTCATGTTAACACGTCACTTAGACAGACAGCAGGAGGAAGAGGCAGAGCGGCGACCTCTTTAAGTCCTCAGTCGCACCACTCGCACGTCTCCATCATCTCCACACCAGGAGCTGCTGTGCTGCCTTACATAACCAGCTTTGATTATTGCTAATTAGCATAACGGCTAACTTAATTAAACCCAAATATCTCACAGGGATGACGCCTGCTGTGAATGTTGTATTCAGGCTGTGTCTGTTCTGCCGTAAGCTGAAGTGTGCCGCCGCTCCGTTTTTTTAATTTTCCAACACGTCAGTGAAGGTGTCGTACTCAGCATCCAGACATCATCAGGAAAACTGTCGGAAAAATCAGGATTCAAGCTTCACATTTTTACACCTCCATCAACTTTGTTTGTTTTTGTGAGTTTATCCTTCTGAATCATAAAACACTCAGGTAAGTGAGCAGAAACCAGGCAAGCTAGAAGCAGGATGGATACAAAAACTGGGGGAGATCGATGCAAAATCAAAATCCAGAAGGTATTATAGCCTAACCCTGCAGTCTAGCAGGTCAACCTCAACACAAAAGTTGACACCAAAAGTGGGTAACTATTTGATTAATCAATTTAAATGCAATTATTTACAGAACTTAAACAATTTACCATATAATCCTAAATTTAATTGCCTTTATTTAGCATTCATATACTTTTTTTTAGTCAATATCCACAATCTAAAGTAATTCTTACCAGTGTTTTGATCAGTGTGGTCTGAAACCACGACTTGAGGAGGAGACAAATTCAAACAGAGGGTTTATTTTTTAGGATCTTATCGTTTTTCACAGTTTAACACTAAGAAATATCTGTGCACGACGTCCAATCAGTGTCAACACAGCATGCAGTTAATCTGAGACAGTTCTTATAACTCACTGATGACCTCTGATCCCTGGATCAAGCAACAGCTTTTTCAGGAGTTCCACTTTTAGTTTTTATACAGGTCCTGTTTTCCTGTAACTGTTTCTTTGAGATGGTATAACATGACTGGTTACTATAAGCCGACCTTAAGATGTGTTTTAGATCTTAGCCCAGATCTCTGCACTCTCCAAAATGAAGTGCTCTACAGCCTTTGTGATGCCGTTGTTAAGCTGCACCTGAATGCTTAACTCATTAGTGGAATTTCAACTCAGTTTGATCCAAAGTGTGTCTCTGAACTTCTCTTATTGGACCTCTGGGAGTGTCTTAAAGAAAATGTGCGCTTCAAAAGGGGTTATAATTTTCAGCCACACATCATTCTCAACCTTTATCACATCATAATAATTCATCACATTCACTGCTGTCAGGATAACTGAATACATATTTCTACAAAAAGCCCAATAATTATCCAAATGCAGCTAAAGTGCACCAACAAACACTTTTCTAACAGACTGTTTCTGCTCTGATTTAAGGACAGGAGAGTGTTTGAAGCAAAAATCTTTCAATATATTTCACACAAAGAAAAACAAGTTTCTAAAGATGACAGAAAATGTGGAACCGTTAAATAGTAAAAGTTCAGTTTAACCAGCTTAAAGAAGAAAAGTGCCACAGAGTAGAGTTCATGTAGCAGCTAAGAGGTCAAGAGGCGTCCAGGTTCACAGAGGGCGGCCATACTCTTCAGATTAAATCTCATCACATGACCTGCTGCCACAGAAACCCACAAACAGATGAACTGATACACCTCTCAAAGTGGTTTCAGGCTTCATGACGACAGAAACAGATTTTCCTTCTTACTCCTACGTTGATCATGAAAACTCTTCTCCTGGTTGTATTGGTCCTTTAACTCAGCCAGTCAGAGACGGGGTGTGAAGTCTCATGTGCCTCTGTAATCCTTCTCCCCTCTCGTCCCCTCTTTAGAGCTGTGGATGGGGTCTTAAGAAGCACGGGACCACGGTTATGAAATTCATGGACCCTCAGGTTTTAAGCTGAGACACTTGAAGTCATGACTCAGACCGATCTCACCTCCTGAAGTCTCACCTGAGCTCAGTCCCCGTCTATGTCCACAGTTTCACATTTTATTGACCTGCAGAAACCAGAAGACCTCACTTCCACTTCAAATCAGGATTTCTTTGACGGCTCACAACGCTACCAAAGCATTTTCTTTAGTGATGACATTTGAAGCTATAAAAAGGGGAAACAAGAAAGAAAATATCCACATTCAAAAACATCTGTACACCTGCAGCCACAGCCTCAAATGCCACGCCAATAATAAAAACACAAAATCAAAACTCATCCTGGGGAATGTGCTGCTTATGTGTACCTGCTCAGCTCAGGTGAGTTCCAGTTAAAGCTTGATTAAGCGATTTAATTCGACTACTGTCCTTGTCCCAGTTTTTACAAACAGAAACACGTGTAGGTGGCAACATGCCTCTTTTCAGATTATTTCTACTGGGTCGTCTCCCTGTCGATCGATTTACACACCAAATCAATCCAAAAAAAAATATGTTAGCAAGAGGCTGTCACTTCCGCACCTCATCGCTGTTTCACAGATACTTTGTAGGATGGGAAATTTGAGTCTTTTTTCAGTCTTTTCTTTGTCTTTCGCGGGTTTGTTCACAACCCGGCTTTCCAACAACAATTACCGATTGAATGTGCAATTCCTGGCGTGCAAACACGACAGCATACGCAAAATGCTTAGACCAGTTTCAGTCAGACTGAGCCATGTACGTGAAAGAGAAAAGCGATCCCCGACCACATAATCCAGGTACGTTAGTCTACATGTGGGACGTTCAGTTTAGTGTAATTTTAGTGCGATTTATGTGTATATTTATAGTCCAGTTTCAATCTGACGGCGGCAAAAAGGTGATTTTATTGGAAGAACAAAAATTCCCTCTAAACATACCTAATAACAGATTCAATAGCTCAGAAAAAAAGGTCATGTGTTTATGTTTTTTTAATAGAGACCCTCTCTGCCCTTTGCCTCCTCTTCCTCCACGGTCACTCTGTGGGTATAAGCAGCGCAGGTTCCACTCATTTTGTTGATCCACTACGATGCTGTTCAATCCCTGAACCTCAGCTGGAGCAGCTTCAGTGGACAGACACTCAGAGAGCCGTGCAGGGCAGCGCTGAGGCTTTAAGATGTTTGTTTAGTTTGTTCAGTGTCGGCCGCAGACACGGCTCAACAATGCAGACAGATCAGACACAAGACACAAAGGGCCAAGAAAAACAAAGCCGCCGGGCTGTACACAGCACACCCCGGTCATATCTGACTAAAAACAGCCAGCGTCAGAGGGACCAGAGCCTCATAGAGACTCTCTTTAATTACAGGACGCTGGTTCAGGCACTGAACGCGACATGTAACACTGAGGTACAAACACCAAACTCCCAGTGATGAGTAAGAGCTCCCTGCAGGGAGTGTGCAGCTGTTTTCTGCACAGTAAACAGACCTGTCACTCTTACTCTGAGAGCCAGCAGGCAGCAGAGGAATGAACTAATTAGACAACACTAAACTTAACAAGTGGAGAAACAAAGAACAGTAATCTGGCTTCATCTGATCCGCCCACCTTTTTTCTTCTTTTCACAATAAGATGATCTTTGTTGAGAGGGTGTGGCCAAACTACATGATCCAAAACATTTTTACTATTAGAGTTTTACCTAAAAATGTAAACTGACAAACACGAGTATGATTGCCAAAAGCATTTTATGGAGAAAAACAAAATCTACACACACCTTGAAAAGTAAAAGCAGGTCCTGATTCATGACCTGCAGTGAAATTCTTCAGCAGAGAGTAAACACTCTGACAGTGAGCGTAAGAACAGACTCTGTAGACATTAGCTCCTGTGTGTGAACAGACAGTAGAGCTGACCTGAGTAAACCTCGGCTTTACCCACTCATGGACTTACACTCATGTTCACTTCAGAGTATTTCCTGAAAAGTTCAGGCTGAGCTGCATGTCGGAACACGACCCTGACTTTACCTGAAGCTTTTGCTCACATGAAGGTCAGGTGAGTTAATAATAGGACTAGGCGATATGGGGAAAAGGTTATCATGATATTTTTTTTTCATATCAGTCGATATCGATATATATCACGATATAAAATATGAAATTTAACAGTGTTCATTGGTAGCATATCTTTTACAGTACAATAAGCTACTGCATCTGTGAGGTCTTTGTGTCTCCTCCATGTTTTGTCGTAAGGTGTTGCACTAGAGAAAGCCGACTGAATGGTCGGCTGTTTCAGCTGCACAGGCGCCCCGGGCTCCTTGCTCCTCTCGGTGTTTGTAACCTTTTACATTGCCCGTGTTCTACCACGTGGCACTGCTTCAGGTGGTGAAAAAGATTTGAGGTATACCTCCTCGACTTTGCAAGAACATGTACTCAACATAATTTGCAGTGCACTTTACTCTACTTCATGTCCAACATCGCACTACTGACGTTTTCGTGTCAGTGTTGTCGACGATGTCATCATCTGTTGAGCCTTCATCTGCCGGAGGTAGCACTCATTTCCTTGTGCTGTCGGCTTCACGTGTTAAAGTGTTATGCTTGCGTGTCGCTGCAGCCTGCTACTACACAGTTGTTTGTTACTTGGTCTAATTCAGCACACAAAGCGAACTTGGAGCAACTCCCCTTTCATTGGCTATTCGTATAGTCTACCAAAACATGGCAGAATGCTGACCATCAAAAGGATACTGACCATGTTTTATATTGATATTGAGGGAAATAAATTTCCGATATATATCGTTATTGTTTTATCGCCCAGCCCTCATTGATCATGGGGAATCATAATCTACGTTGAAATTCGGTCGATAGCTCAGCTCTACAATAAAGTTCCAAAATATAATCAGCTGAAAAAGTTCCCCTTAAACTCGTGCTGCAGACTTCATCTACTTGTACATGATGAGGAAAAACCATGTGTGTCTTTTTCGGACGTGGGTTATCACGCTTAAATCTGTGCATGAGGATGAATGTGGCACAAAATGAAAATGAAGGTACTGTAACAGTTTGTGCACCTTTGTTACGGCCTGTATGGACAGACTGTCATAATCTGATCTGTTGAGACTGAGGAACAAGTTCTGGATCATCAACAACTCTTTTAAACTATCCCAGATTCATGAATGTTCTGCAGCTGTAGAGGAAACAAAGACCATGTGTTCATCAAGCTGACAGGGTCAAAGGTCACGCTAACCACTCAGCCATTAAGCCCTCTGTTGTGGGGTGTGTTTACCTGTATATAACTGAGTGTGTGTGTGTGTGTGTTTGTAGAGCCAATGAGGGGGGAGCTGGTGTGTCTGACAGGAGGGTGAGGTGGACACAGTGTGGTTTTGTTCTTTTCATTGCTGGCTGAGACTCAAAATACCTTTTTCCGTCGGACGACTGTGAGAAATAATAAGTGACTGTTTGAGCTCTTCTCAGGTGTTTGTCTTTGTGCTGCACGACAGAGAGTGTCTGTGGTGAAAAGTCAGAGATACGAGACTCAGGAGGTGGAGTGTATCTCCGATTATAAGCTTCCACTCTCCCATTATGAACATTTAAGACAACCTGACAGTGACAAGGTCAAAGTTCAAAGCCACAGCCTTCCCTTTCTGTGGTTGTTAGATGCGTATCAAACATTTTGAACTTGTTTTGTCCATGAAGATCAGGCAAAGTGCATTTTTGGGCGGGGGTGATACATGGTGGTGTGGTTTATCAAGTCGCACAGATAATAACAAGACGAGCATGTTCAGAGTTAAGTGGGACGCAGTAAACAGAACCAGCAGCAGGGCGAGGGACGCAGGGCTGGGCTCGCAACCAAACCACCAAAAACAACCACGGGCCGCAACCATGGACCATCGCTGCTATAAAAACCTGACGGCTGGGCTCACAGATATGAACCGTCTACAGGCAGGACGCAGATGTAGATAATGACACACCAGAGGGAGGCTTCTGTGCTCTGAGAGGGTTCATAAATACACCATGAAACACAATACGCTAATAGAAGGCACAACCAAATGAAAGCATAACACAACAGCAACAATGGAGCAAATCCCCTCCTTTCCTGAGGACCACAGGGGACCTTCCTTCAGAAACACAGGGGACAATAATCCTCCAGCCGGTCTTTATTAGATCAGCACAGGCATGTGGACATGAAAGCTGGTGGTGCTAGCTCTGCTAATGGTAGCCACACTTAGAAAACCACTTTGACACTGCTCACCTAAAATCATTCTCCAGCATCAGTTTAGAAAATAACTGAAAGCATGGCTGTTTTCTGAGCTGCATGAACACAGAGGGACAGATCTAGACTCACGCGTTGCAGTAGGGTTTCTTGTCGTAGCCTTTGTAGTTCTTCATGTTCAGGGTCATCTTGCAAACCTCGCAGTGGAAACATCCTTTATGCCAGTTCTGAGGACACATGAGCACATAAACACAAATTAAAACAACTTAACGTCACTTTACGTCTTGATATTTGTGTCAATCTTTTCACCCCCTGTGTGTGTCAGCTGAGACGTTAAGATGATCAACAACCCACCAGCTGATTATTAAATACATATGCGTCTTAACATGATTTGCTGGTTGAGCAGCAAGTGAGGGGCAGTGTGTAGAGGAGGTGGATTAAGTCCATTTATGATTCAAAAGTGTGTTTGGGCGTCTCATGAATCAAACCAATTAGTGAGTGTTTTATTTTCTTTAAGACACAGATGCTTCTGCAGGAAAGTGTGCTGCTGTTGTCATGGCGCATTTCAGTCTTTCTGCTTCAGTAGACCGGGCTTGAGCGAACACATTTCTTCTTCTCGTGTCCTAAGGTGGCAGGTCACTATATGATGCATGGATTTATGTTATATCTTATGAAGTAATCCTTCTGAACTGTGGAAACACTCTAGGACTACCAAAAGTAGCTGATATGTACACATGTGTAGTATTTCGCATGCATGGCTGAGGTGTAGAGTGCAGAAAGCTTTGAGGGTGTCTGTCCTACACCATGAGCTTTAACATGATGTAGAGAGAGGAGGGAATATAATTAAAAACTCATTTTCAGTGTATGATCAATACATGGCATCTTCTCTTGACTGAGGGAGATGTAGGGCATCTCTGTAAGTCCGTAATGAGCAAAGGAACCTGTGAACTCCTCAAGTCAATCTTTCTACCTCAACGATGTGTCCTCTAAATATCAGGAAAGTACAACACCACTGAGTTGAGACATCAGACCAGGTTTTTGGAGGTCCAAGGTGCAGACACTTTCTCTGTCTCCAAGACAGCAATGCACCACGTGTGACCTCAATCCAAGACCAAAACACCCCTGAGTGTCAACATGGATGCAAGTTCTTTAGCTTTATCAAACATTAAATTTTTGTTTTGTAAAGTTTCTGTTTTTGTTTCGGTGAATTAAATCTCTGTCTGTCATGTCAAATTCTGCTCTTTTTCTTCGTTACTGCACTGCTTGCTTCCTAGCATCCACATTCTTTGGAGAGTTGTTTGTCTCATTCCTAAAAATAACACCTCAGACATTGTTCATCGTTGATCAGAGAACTTCAAAAGGTCTTGCTGATTCCTGGTTCCTGCAAAAGATGAAGACTGAAGGGAACACTGTGGATTTACGCACTACAAGGGGGACATCGGACATGTGCAATTGGAATATATCCGCAAAAGAAAATCAGGAACTGCTGCATCTCTGATCAAACGTTTCCCCTCCCACACACAGTCTCAATGTGACTGCAGAACCTGCAGGAACTTCCAGTAAAAAGGATGAAATCCAGTACAATAAAACTGCTGTCTGATGGGCTTTTCTTCCTCACTTTGAATGTGTTTTTTGCACGTCTGGGAGAGGTGGCACTTAGTCTTGCAGAAATCCTGATGAAATGATCTTTTGTAAGAGACAGCAGGGAGCTCAGAAGTCCTTGGACGATGAGTTTATTTCTCTCTTTCTCACTCTCTCCTTGCACTTCTCTGTTTCTCTGCTCGACTCTTCCTCTCTAAATCACTGCCTCTTACAGCGTTAAAGCTCTTTTATTCTGTGACTCTCGCTCCAAACATGTCAAGTGTGCTCTCACACGTCAGGACTGAAGATAAATTTGGTTCCTTTTTGTTATATCAGGATAAATCTGTGTGGTTTTTTTAGTACATTGAGGAATAAAGTTGGAGGTTTTGCTGAGTTTCGTGTTAAAAAAAACAGTATATGAAGCATCTCTGTGAAACCGGAGCCCTTATGATCATGCGCTTCCATGCTGTTGTGTCATCTGATGCTTCATACGACAGACAGAGGACGGTGAAGAAGAATTAATAATTCAGCATTGTTATGCAACGGACTATTAGAGGTGTTATCAAGAGAATACAAAAAACAACTTTTACTTTTGTACGATGGCGTTACAAGAAAACTGCTAAGACTGACACAGTTACGTGAAATTACCTAAAGCTCTTGCATTTTAATACTTATTATTTCTGAATCTTCTTTTCTACAATTTGAGCAGCAGTGTTAAGGGAGTGTTGTTTGCTCCTCCTATTATTACCTTTGCAGGCTCTACAATAAGTCATTTTAAGTCTGTTTACAGCATTAAGAGATACTAGGCAGATAGCAAAAGTTAGAAGTGATTTTTGAAAAGGTCCATGTTTGTAGGTGATAATTTGACATGTGTACCAGCTGTGTCATAGTTCTCCACCCCCTGATGAAAAGTGCAGGTTAGACCCATGATCAGGATATATTCAGTGTTTTATTCTACTGTTTGTTTGGTGTCAATCATCTATCATGCAGAATTATTACCTGCAGACATAAACCTTTTAAAAAAACAATTACAGTATTTTTCTCTGGTTAAGGTCTGATAACTGTTGATAAAACAGTACAGTAATCAAAATGAGAGCAAGCGAGGTCTTTTCTTAGTAAGATTTAAGTTTAAATAGCCGAAATAAGATCCAAATTGGACTTTTTATTAGCTTCTTTTAATGCCACATGATGAAAGCTGCAGGTCTATGTCAGGTGTTTCTCCTTTCATCCCACTTTTCTCCACTTGTGCCTCATGAGCTGCTCAAATGCACAAAGAAAAACTCTTGAAAGACTTTGGGCTGGTTTTTGTAACTCACGAAGTGCTCACCTTGTCCAGGCAACTGACTTTCTCCGTCGGGTAGACGATCTTCCCACAGCGGGCACACGGAGGGTTCATGCTCAAACCTCCTCTGAGAGCTCCAGCGGCTCAATGTCGCTAGATGTACGGAGAAGGAGTTAATAAAATCCAGAAAGAGGGACCGAAACAGCTCCGCTAAACCTCCCAGGACAGAGACGATGAGAAGAAGGGATAAAACTGAAATTCTCACGAAGACAGACTGTAGCTGTCTTCCTCCTTCGGCTCACCGTCCCGGTCTGAAGTCTGGATGCTGCGCTGAGACTGAGCGCTTCATTAGCATCAAGTTAGCGGTAGTTAGCTAGAGGGAAACCGGAAGTGGCACAAACAGAAAATAACTGACCGTTAACAAGGTGTCAAAAATACGATATCAAATTTATAAATAAATGCATAACAAATGTGCTAATATCAAATAAAATAAGATAAACGGTTTCAACAATGCACTCCAAAGTTATAAAAATAAATACATTTTCTGAGTCAAAAAGGTATCTTTTTGAATGTACCTAAAAACAGATACCCAGAGAGCTCGCTGTTTTAATGTCCACAGTTTAGGAGCATGAACACAGAAAGCTTTCAGGCCGGGTCATAATATATAGGATATCATAAATATTTAATGCGCATCTGATGTTTGACATGTCTTTTATTTTGAAAAATAGCTTATTTTGAAAGGCATACCTTATGTCGTGGTCCTCCCCGGTTTCTTATCAATGAGGCCTGGATACAGTTTAAAAAAAAAATGTAAATTGTACAAAATAAAATTGTCTTTATTTTGTACAATTTGATATTTTCTGTATAAGCAACTTCAGTAGTTGTCGTCCTCAGTTCGTGTGCTCTGAAATGCACTTAACTCAATAAAAAATGTTTAAGATTTAAGTCTTTAAATGTCTTTTTTTAATAAAAAATAAATTTGCTTGGTTTGAATTTTACAAAAGTTGGTTGCAACTTAAAGACCATGGGAAAATGTGGGTCCCAGCCTGAGACAAGTTGAGAACCACTGATTTAAAGAACTAAAAAACCCCAGAGATCTTACTGGAATACAGAAATATAGAAACTGGAATGTGAAATTGAGATACTTTATGGGTAAAAAAAAATAATCTGCTATTTATTTTAACAAAAAAATAAGCTTTAAAAATATAGTGTTTCTCAGTTAAATAAAACTGTGCTGGCTACAATACGATCAGAGAGACCTGGACTTTTTGTAAGTTTGTTGATTAAAATTTATTGGTATACGGTGTCGAATGCTTTACCAAGACCCAATAGAAGTAATGCCATAATGTTCTCAACACCAACAAAAAATCCTTACAGCAGCTTTAACTTTTTACTCAGGCAAAGTCAATCATTTAAAGCGAACAGGTTTGAAATTGTAAGAGTTGGTGTTTCTGAAAATATCACGGACAGTATGAAAACAAACAAAAAAAAAACAATAACAACAAAAACAAAACATTATTTTCTTGCAACAAAGCTTGGAGGGCATTGTACAACAAAGTTCAACATTCACTGGAGGTCCAAGCTCCCTACACTGTTGATTATGAAAAGGTAAATGTCTCCCCCTGCTGGCATTAAAGCTACAGAAGCAGTCAAAGAAAGTTCAGTTTAATTCAAAGCACTTTACTCTACTTTAATATTTATGTGAAAGCATCAGAGCAAGCACAACACCACAAATTTATCATTTAAAGTATAAAATTAAATAAGATATAACTCATCCTGAGAGGGCGAATACAGAGGGTTGAAATATCATCTTAACAGGAAACTACAAACATGATTGTTTCACCTTAAACAACTGAGGTCACAATGAGTGTGTCATTGAACCTAGAAAACAAGAAGAGACTGACGGGGCATTCAAAGATTGAATTCAGTCATAACTGTAGCCTATTTTTTTCATCCTTAAACCTTGAAGAGACCATAAAAAGTCCATGCAAAAGCAGAAAAAAATGGTTGGTAAAATGAAAAGGCAACATACTTACGTCAATAAATAAAGCCGTTTCTGAGTGACACACTTAAAATTACAGCTAAAAGCACAATTGAGGGGTGAGCCAACATGAAGTTAGATGAACTTTAGTCAATTACAGTTCAATAGAAAAACAAAGAAACAAAATACAGAGACCAGAGTGGGAACAAAGCTTCTCCATGAAAAAGATAAACACAAGAAAAGTCTGACTGCAGACCAAATAAGTGACCCTGAGCTTTTCTGTTTCACCAGCAGGTGGTGTCACTCCCAGTAACTGACGGGGGGAGAAGAGTCAGTGATCCGGTGGTTTAGGTTTAGTTATGAACAGTTTTTAAGTGAAAGTGAAAGTATGTGAACTCACAAACAGACTTTCTTTTGAGATAAGACCGGAGCAGAAGGAGGACAGGGGTGAGTGTTTATTCAGACTTGCTGGTTTAATTTTAATGTCAAACTCTTTATTTGTGTCATTAGTTGATGAAGAATGATTTGCTGACTAATATACTTTAAAACTGTGAAGTAAAGAAAGCTGACCAGACACAGAGCTGGATCAGTTCTTGATACAGGAAACTGCGTAGCTACGTGCAGTTCTTCCTCCTTTTTTAGACTTGACTTTTTCGTAAAAACAAAAATGAGTATCTTTTCATTTGGCCTCTAATTTTCAAAAAATTCAGTCTCTTGAGTCTTTATGAGACTGCAGGGACCTCAAACCTGTCATTGTTTTTTTTTAGCCTTAGGTCAGATAAGGATCAGGGAGAGGCCCTGCAGAGTCATCATAGGTGCTTGGTTACATATTAACCCCTGTATTAGGTAGAGAAGGGTATTAAGCATTTCTTTCTTTCTGATACTTATTTAATAGCTTCTCATGATTTTCAGCAAAGAGAAAAGCCTCATGTTTCTCACTCTTGTTTAATAAAATACCATTATTTCAGCTTCCATCTGAAATGCTTTATTTTAGCTGCTGTCTCTTCAGGCCCCCTCGTTCACAAGCGTACTTCTATTTCTGAACACCCCCTTCCTGTTTGTATCTCACTCATTTCTCTTCTTTGTCCACAGGTTATAACTTGGTTTTATTTTCTACACATTTGCACAACATAAGATGGAGAAGATGAGTGATTGTGTCGAGGAAGAGGAGGGCAGAGCAAAGTCTCCTCTGTCCAGCTGTCTGTCTATGAAGAGTGACCGGTCTAAAAGAAATCCACCGCTCTTCAGTAAAGAACCAGGACCCTCAGATACACAGTAAGAGAAATACTTTTTAAATCCCTGAATGTTCAAAGGGCATCTTTCTGTGTTGTGACTGAAAATTTTAAACACTGGTTACTTTTTTATCATGTCAAAATAAAGTCCTTTACACCTAAAATGAGGTGATTTTCCTGTTTAAATTGCTGGTAAAGAAAAAGTCACTGAACACAGACTGAAACAAGAGTCTGAATGAGACACAAAAGTGATTTGATCATGATGAACTTAGATGTGAACAGTCTAGAGAAAGAGTGACGTCAGAAACTTTGGTTTACTAAATGCTTCTTATTCTGTATCTTTCAAACATTAAATTACAATGATAAAGAAAATACATTTTCTTTATTTCCTCAGAGAGACAGAGAGATTTGATCCTGTAGAGGAGCAGCTGTCCAGCTCTGACAGCACTTACAGAAGTAAGTCTGAACATCTGTCCTTTAAAGTCACTGTCTATAAAAACACAACTGACTTATTTATTACAGAGATGTTTTTGTGTTGAACAGTTTGGTTAGTTTTAATATTCCTCTTTTTCAGTAAATCGTGGTCTGCAGGAGGTTTTAGATGAACATAAGATCAGTCTGAAGAGGAGATGTGAAGGTGTGAATGAAGGAAGTGATGAAGCAGGAAGTCAAACCCTCCTCAACAGGATCTTCACAGATCTCTACATCACAGAGGGACTGAGTGAAGAGGTGAACACACAACATGAGGTGAGACAGCTGGAGACAGTTTCAAAGATGAAGACCCTCCATGACACACCGATCAAGTGCCATGAAATCTTCAGAGTCTTACCAGGTCAACAGGAAGTCATCAGAGTGGTTCTGACCAACGGTGTGGCTGGTGTTGGAAAAACCTTCTCAGTGCAGAAGTTCACTCTGGACTGGGCAGATGGTTTGGAAAACCAAGACCTCCATCTGGTGGTTCTGCTTTCATTCAGGGAGCTGAACCTGATCAGAGATGAGCGCTTCAGTCTTCTGAGTCTGCTCCATGTTTTCCATCCAACACTAGAGAAGGTCACAGCAGAGATGCTGGCTGTCTGTAAACTTCTGTTCATCTTTGACGGTCTGGATGAAAGCAGACTGTCTCTGGATTTCACAGACTCTGAGGTGGTGTCTGACGTCACACAGAAGTCTTCACTCAACGTTCTGTTAACAAACCTCATCAAGGGGAACCTGCTCCCCTCAGCTCTCATCTGGATAACTTCTCGACCTGCAGCAGCCAATCAGATCCCTCCTTCATGTGTGGACAGGGTAACAGAAGTACGAGGCTTCACTGACGCCCAGAAGGAGGAGTACTTCAGGAAGAGGTCCAGAGATGAGGATCTGTCCAGAAGAATCATCAAACACATCAAGTCCTCCAGGAGCCTCCACATCATGTGTCACATCCCGGTCTTCTGCTGGATCACTGCTACAGTTCTGGAGGACATGATGATCAGAGAGCAGAGAGGAGAGCTGCCCAAGACCCTGACTGACATGTACTCAAACTTCCTGCTGGTCCAGACAAAAAAGAAGAAGCAGAAATATGAAGGAGGACATGAGACAAGTCCTCAGGAGCTGATGGAGGCTGACGGTGAAGTCCTCCTGAAGCTGGGGAGGCTGGCCTTTGAACATCTGGAGAAAGGAAACATCATGTTCTCCCAAGAAGACCTGGAGCGGTGTGGTCTGGATGTCTCAGAGGCCTTGGTGTTCTCAGGAGTTTGTACAGAGACCTTCAGAGAGAGTTTGATCTTCCAGAAAACAGTTTACTGTTTCATTCATCTGAGCGTTCAGGAGTTTCTGTCTGCAGTCTACATGTTCCACTGTTTCACCAACAGGAACAAAGAAGTTCTGGAGGCTTTCCTAAACGACAACGAACATACAGACTCATATGCAATGTCTTTCCTCAAGACAGTTTCCAGTTTTTTTCTAAACCTGGATAACCGTTTCTCATCTCTGGATATCTTCCTGAAGAGAATTATGGAGAAATCTCTTCTCAGTCAAAATGGTCACCTGGACCTGTTTGTTCGCTTCCTTCATGGACTCTCTCTGGAGTCAAACCAGAGACTCTTAGGAGGTCTGCTGGGTCACACAGACAACAGTCCAGAAATGATCCAAAGAGTCATCAAGAACCTGAAGGAGATGAACAGTGAAGATGTCTCTCCTGACAGAAGCATCAACATCTTCCACTGTCTGATGGAGATGAAGGATCTGTCAGTTCATCACAAGATCATAGCGTTCCTGAAGTCAAAGAACAGATCTAAGAATCTTTCAGAGATCCACTGCTCTGCTCTGGCCCACATACTGCAGATGTCAGAGGAGGTTCTGGATGAGTTGGACTTAAAGATGTACAACACATCAGCCCAGGGACGACTGAGACTGATCCCAGCTGTGAGGAACTGCAGAAAGGCTGAGTAAGTCCAGGTTTTATTCTCAGAACAGTTTAAATGAACCCTGTAGTTCTTCCAATGCCCACTTTACTCATGATACTGATGATTACCAATGATGTCTTTAGGTTTGTAAAAAACGTTTTCTTGGTGTCAAAAAGCTTGCTTGTCTCCTCTCATGTGTTTCAAACGTTAGATCATGTTTGAGTTGTTTTTGGTGAAGAAAAGCTTAAAAATACCCTTCTATTAAATATTGTTTGATATTTATGTTGTTACAGTCTTTCTTACTGTGGACTCTCAGAGACTCACTGTGAAGTTGTGGCCTCAGCTCTGAAGTCCAACCCCTCCCATCTGAGACATCTGGACCTGAGTCTAAACAAACTGCAGGATTCAGGAGTGAAGCTTCTCTCTGCTGGACTGAAGAGTCCAAACTGCAGACTGGAGACTCTGAGGTCAGACACCATTTTCTTCTGATGGACCGATACAATGTGAAAGTTGTTGCTTTAGATTTTTCTCTGTGTTTTTTCCATCAACTTTGGTCGAGCAGTTTGAATTTGTAGTTGTAAAACTTTAACACAGGAAGAAACATCCCACATTTAAGAGTTGACTTTGAGTAGAACGATGGACGTAGAAAGGAAGCAGGAGAAAAACAGTCATAAATATTACACATACTTGTAGCGGGCAGGAACAGCACGGACTAAAGGCTGATATTGAACTGATCCACGATTAATGTATTTTAACAATATTTTGTCCCATTGATCCTATAAAAACCTTACTGATAAATGATCTGTTGGTTTATTTTTAGGTAGTTTGGCAGTTGTTGACACCAGACAGTTGGACCCCTGAATAAACTAATGGTTATTTTAATCTTAATGAAGAATTCATGAATGAAAAACTTCAGATTTCTCACACTAGTTTCTCAGGATCTCACAAAAACTTTCTGTATCTTAAATTTCCTTCACCTGAAAAATTCCTCGGGATCTTCAGAAAGTTTAGTAAGGATTTTACAAAGTTCCTGAAGATCAACTCTGAAAAGGTTGTTCTTCCATGTTCTTCAGGTGCTCAATGACAGTGAATCCTTAAAAGCAGGAACAGTTTCTTTAACAGGCTAAATGATTGTTGTTTTTTTTTCAGACTGTTGGACTGCAGTTTGTCAGAGGTCAGCTGTTCTTCTCTGGTCTCAGCTCTGAAGTCCAACCCCTCCCATCTGAGAGAGCTGGACCTGAGTGATAACCAGCTGCAGGATTCAGGAGTGAAGCTGTTGTGTGACTTTCAACAGAGTCCAAACTGTGAACTGGAGACTTTGATGTAAGCCTTGTTTTCTCCACTCAAGCAGTTGCACAGTTTGTCAGTGTAGCGCTGTTGCTTGAATTTTGTTTGATTGTTTTTGAATCTTTATTTGAAAACCTGAATCATATGGCCTATCTGCACTTTTCTGAGGCCTCCGTGACTTGAGACAGAACTATTTACCTCTTAAATACGTGATAATTTTGGTTCACCGAAATTACAATATTCTCAACATCCTTATCTCCATCTATTCCAAAGTAGTGGACATTTTTTTTACAATATTGTGCTGAATCTACAATCAGTAAAAATGTATCTGAGTTTGTTTTCACTACTTAATGTATTTTTGAATCCACTGTTTCAAACTTACTTCCTGTTTAGTTCAGCTATTTGGAGTCTCACTGTTCTTTGGTTCATCCAAACCTTTTCCCTGCTCTCTACAGAATTGGGACATCAGATTTCAAACTGGATCCATTTTTTAGACTGGATTCTCATTATTTCTTCTTCATTTAGGTTAAGTAACTGCAGTTTGTCAGAGATCAGCTGTTCTTCTTTGGTGTCAGCTCTGAAGTCCAACCCCTCCCATCTGAGAGAGCTGGACCTGAGTAAGAACAACAAGCTGCAGGATTCAGGGGTGGAGCTGCTGTGTGACCTTCTAAAGAGTCCAAAATGTCAATTGGAGACTCTGAGGTAAGTGTAGTTTGGTTTAGTCAGAGTTCTCTAAACTTGATATTTTAAACCTGAACATCTGAAGTTTTATAATAAATTATTTTTATATATGTTCTCTATTCCATTTTCAGATTGTGGGGCTGCAGTATTTCAGAGACCAGCTTTTCTTCTCTGGCCACAACTCTGACGTCCAACCCCTCCCACCTGAAGACGCTCGACCTGAGAAACAACCAGCTGCAGGATTCAGGAGTAAAGCTGCTGTGTGACTTTCTACAGAGTCCAAACTGTGAACTGGAGACTCTGGAGTGAGATTTTTTTTCTCCATTCAGTCACAAGTGTAATTAGTTTGTGATGATGACACTAAACTGTGTCAGCAAATCAGCAAAAATGTATCTGAGTTTGTTTTCACTATTTAATGCGTTTTTGAATTCACTGTTTCAAACTTTCTTCCTGTTTAGTTCAGCGCTTTGGAGCCTCACTTTTCTTTAGTTCATGTTTTCCAAACCTTTCCCCTGCACTCTACAGATTTAGGACATCAGATTTCAAACTGGATCATTTTTTTAATGTCTAAAATCTCATTATTTGCTTTATCTAGATTGGGTAAGTGCAGTTTGTCAGAGAACAGTTTTTCTTCTCTGGTCTCAGCTCTGAAGTCCAACCCCTCCCATCTGAGGAAGCTGAACCTGAGTCACAACAAGCTGCAGGATTCAGGAGTGAAGCTGCTGTGTGACCTTCTCAAGAGTCCAAAATGTAAATTGGAGACTCTGAGGTAAGTTTAGTGTTTCTTTTTCTGGTCTTAATTTCTATGTTTTGTCAATTTTTTTTAACTCAATTTAAATTTTCATAACATTATTTTGATATTTTCAGAAATGTCTTCTTGCTCACATAAATTCATTGTTTTTTATTTGATCAGCAGTCACTGATATTTTCTTCATTGATTGTTGAGGATTTTTTTAATAAATGGTAAGGGTGTATATCTGCTGGCTGGTCCAGTCCAGTGCTCACAGTAGAGACAGCACAGTCTGTTCTAGGTTGAGTGTTTTTGTGGAAGATCAGTGTACAGTGAGGAATGAAGGCAGACAAAATCATTCTGCTTCCTCTATGTCATATTGGAAGTTTATTTTAAGCATCTTTGCCTTTTATTGATCAGAGCACTGAAAGGTAACAGGAGATGCAGGGAGTAGGAGGAGGGGGGGGTGACTTAAATCAAAGTTTGATTATTAAATATTTATATCTATATTCTCTATTCTTTTTCAGACTGTGGGACTGCAGTTTGTCAAAGATCAGTTTTTCTTCTCTGGCCTCAGCTCTGAAGTCTAACCCTTCTCATCTGAGAGAGCTGAACCTGAGTTACAATGAGCTGCAGGATTCAGGAGTAGAGCTGCTGTGTGACTTTCTACAGAGTCCAACCTGTGAACTGGAGACTCTGGAGTGAGACTTTTTTTTCTCCATTCAATCTTAAGTGTAATTAGTTAGTGATAATGACAATAAACTGCCTACAGGTGTGTTTTTGAATTCACTGTTTCAAACTAGCTTCCTGTTTGGTTTAACTCTTTGGGGCGTCACTTCTCTTTGATTCACTCTTTCAAACCTTTCCCCTGCTCTCTACAGATTTAAGACGTCAGATTTTTTGTCTCAAATCTCATTATTTTCTCTTTATTTAGATTGAGTAACTGCAGTTTGTCAGTGATCAGCTGTTGTTCTCTGGCGTCAGCTCTGAAGTCCAACCCCTCCCATCTGAAAACTCTGAGGATGTTTGGCAACAAGTTGCAGGATTCAGAGATGAAGGTGCTGTATGATCTTCAGAAGAGTCCAGACTATGGACTGGAGACTCTGAGGTCAGTATAAAGTTGGAGTTAGTCTGAGCTGATCTCTCCTGTCACACTCCACACAGTATCACAGCAAATATTCAGTATTTCCTGCTGACTCTTCAACCCTCTCAGAGGATTTTGTCTTAAGTGAAGCTGTGTGAACGGAAATCATCAATCGAGGAGTGTAAGACTGTCAGTCGTTAAAAAAAAGTGTCTTCTCGTGTATTTCAGATCAAATGTAGAAAAGAGACTCATTTATTTTAATGAGTTGATTTATTTTTGCATCCTTGTCAGCTGTTTAGACGACATTTTAGCTCAACAATCTGATGGTTGGTCTGATTCACAGACATGAACAGGTTCACATTGAGCTTCCACATGACTTCTCGCACACAGAGACAATTTCAACAGCAAACCAGTGAGACTCTGATGTTGAGCTAGTGAGAGGTCAAAGGTCAAATAAGATAAGAAACTGCTGCCTTTATATTCATAAACAGAACAAATGTAACAACAGTATAAACATGGTGATGCCTTCAAGGACTCTTTGAGCTGCAAATGTTCAATATATTAAAATGAGAGCTGAGAGGAAACATGCTGCTTTACACCATCACATGTGGTCTGAGCAGGACTGAAACCTGCTGGTCTTTAAACTGGATGTTCTTCAGTCCAGCTGATGAAGTGAGTCTCAGAAACACTGATTGTCTTTTTTCTCTCCTCAGATGGTAGCAACATCTGTCAGAGTGATTTAAAAAGAGGATCATCTGGATCAGAGAGGTGGAGGTAGCAACAGTCAGGGTGAGGTGAGTCTCTGACTGAAAGACTGACTGACCAATCACAGCAGGCGAAGAGGACTCTGGGAGATGCAGTTTGACCTGCTCTGAGATCAGCTCAAGACCTGGACTATGGATATTTGATATTTTCCCTCATATTCTGGAATCAAACAGTCTGAACAGGTTTGTTTTATTTATGGGAACATTGTTGTATATTTACACATTGAGCTGATTTTTTTTTACCTTTGATGCAGCGCCACCCAGTGGAAATATAAAGTGGTGGAGTTGATTTATTCCCACCTATTTTTACAGCAGGAGTTGATACCATATGTGATAGTTGATAAGTCATTTATCTGTCTGTGATACATTTGTAAATTTAGAGGTAGCTTCAATCCACTATTCAGCCTGATGTTCTAAAAACCAACATTTCTGGACTAATGTCTGTTGTATTTTATCTTAGATTGTAAATATGTGGATTATTTCAGAGCCTTACTCTAATAGGACCGCACTGATATAGATTTCATGTGTTCTTGTTCAAATGTAATCTTTGTACCTATCAAAAATCAATTATATACTTTTTTTCCATACAAAAACTGGTGTTTGGCTTACAGCGTTGTTAAAAGAGAATTGATGCTACATGATGGTAATCGTCCCTGTTTCAACTGTTTCAAAAATGTGCTGCTGGCAGCAAATTTAGGAGTCTATTAATCCTTCACAAGTCTACTTACGACTGCATAAAGGACAATGTTTGGCTTGTTTTATGCTGAAAGTAGTCTGTAAAAGAAGCTGTGCTGTTTGGTTGTTGAGGAAACTCCTCACGTTAATTGGCCAATATTACAACAGGCATGTTGTATCCATGGAATTGCCCCCCAGTACCTTAAAGAACTTCTCAGCCCCCTGATCTCAGCACGCTCACTTCGTTCCACCAACAGCTACAGACACTTTCCTTCCAGTACTAAGAACCACACGCTCGCTGACTGTGGAACACCCTCCCGAATATCTGAGGGCTCCACTGACGATTGTGTTTTAAAAGAGATCTTAAAACTTTCCTTTTCAAAGAATCGTTTAATTTGTAGTTGTCTTGTTTATTCAATAAAGATTTAACATCCAACTCAGTTTTAAAGTCTCTGCCTTTTTTAACTTTATTTTTATGAATACATTCAGTTTTAATTAAAATACTTGTAAAGAGTGAAAAAAAAGAAAACAACTAAAAAAGAACAGGAAAGGAAAGGCACAGATGGAAAAATATACATACAAATATATATTGTTTCATAGGGAGAGAAGAATCAAAGTAACAGTGCATACATTTCAAAAGGTAGGTCCAGGGTTTACAGATATTTCAGTCATTTTTGTTCCATTTGTCCACAGATTGTCCTTCATATCAAAACAGGACAGAGCCATCCTTGCCCTAGTGCCCAACAGCACATAGAGAGCATATCAAATAGGACAGTAGGGGGCACTGTACTCAGGCATAAAAGAAAACAAAGGCAAAATAATGAAACAGAGCACATTATAAGTTGTCATAAACCGCCTCCTGGCGTGATAAAATGACATTTATTCAAGATGGGTAATCAATTCCTCCATAACTTGGTGGATTTATCCATGCATAGTATCATAACATTATCTCGAGAAATATATTGTGAAAATACTGTATTTTTTTTGTTTAACCCATTTGTGAATGTTAACCCAGAGTGTTTGTGTTATGTTACATGAGAAAAATAAATAGTCCTTTGTTTCAGTATCATTTTCACAAAAAGTGCACATGTTGTTGTTGATAAGAAGTAAATGTCTTAAGGGAAAATTTACTCATATTCCACTTTCAACAGGGCGGATGTTTATTTTCCGATGGACTTGAACGCACTCTGAGGACAGAGTAAAGCTGTTAGCCAATGAGCGTTGAGAAGAGGCGGGGTGAAATAAACTCGGCGACCCTTGCCCTGACTTGCAGCGGCCACAGACTCTCGTTCGTTTTACAAACTTCTCTCATTTTAAGACATTGTGTTCATTCTTTGGCAAAAGAAGCGCTGTAAACCACTCAGTTATATATAGAATTGGCCAAATGAAAGCTGTCTGACTGAAACTGTACAGTTGACGCATCGGCTCGTGCCTCCACCTGAGCTCTCAGCAGGTGGATGTCACCTCATTTAGACGGAGCCAGCAAGTTAAACAATTTTCATGACTTTGACTATCATGTAAATGACAAAACAACGACAAAAAAGTCGATTTAATAACAAAAACCAACCGGGTGAATTTCCTAACATACGTTTTGAGCTGACAGGTGAAGATGTAACGGCTGACACGTGTCTCTTTAGCTGTCATGAGGTAGAAGACGATGTTTATTTCCTCTTAACCCAACTGTCAAAGCTTAGATGTTGTGTTTGGACTTTTATTCCGCTGACACCTGAGAGAACAAAGAGAACCTGTCCACATGTCCCCGCTGCAGGCCCCCCAGCGCACATCACAACACGATTGGCCAGCGCTCTTATAAACTCTGACCAATTAGGCGACACCACACTGAGAGCAAGTAAGGTCAACGCCTGTGATTGGCCGAAACGTTTGGCGCCTCTTGAATCTGCTGCAGCCGAAGTGGGCGGTGAGTTGGGGACAGTGAGCAGTTTGAACCGTATCTGAGCCGAGGCGGAAACACACAAATCCGGCAGATTGTTTAGAGACAGCGCGAAATTAAACGGTTTGTTCTCCCCGTTCGGTAAAATTGTGTGTTTACTCAGCTCTTAGCGGGGGGAACCGAAGCTGTTTCCGTTCGCCGCCTGCCGGAGAGGTAAAGCCGGTCTCGCGCACTGTGAAGCTAACCGCTAGTTAGCCGTTGGGCTAACGTTAGAGCTAGCCGGAACACAGAGGCAGCTAATCCCCAACACAAAGGACGAGTTTGCCAGTGTTCTCCGTACCGAGCCAGGATCACCCCGGTGAATGAGGACTGATCCCCCTGTACAGGTGAGGGAGGCTGTCACGGCTGTTGTATTGACACATAAGGTCCTGGTGGAGGGGGTTCAAATGGCCCCCCGGGTTTGTTCTTGGTGCTTTGTGGTGCCTCAATCTTTGTGAACTAAACCAACTGTTAGCTAGCTCGCCGGGGGTGTCGTGCCAAAATTAGTATCCCTGTCAAAATGGATCTCCCTCTGAAAAAAAAAGATGGCAACTTTCCAGCGTAGTTTATGGAAATAAAACTGTTCTGTCAGCGTGTAAACAAGATATTCGACACGTTATGATACACAGAAAGGGTTTATGAGCGGAGGAGGAGGGGGGCACCGTTGGAGGGGAAACAAACTTGGCTCGACATCGCGGAGCTACCGTTAGCTTAGAGCGTGTCTGTCAATGAAGTCAAGAGTTAATGAGACAAAACTATCAATGACCTCTAGAAACATGTTTTTGATAATAATGATAGAAATATAACACCAGCTAAATACTCCTTAGAGTGACTGAAGTGTTTAGTAATAACATCTATTTGTGTAAAGATCAGTGTCTATAACGTGTTTATTTTTAGAAGGATGGAGACGGATCACAACAGCAGGTTATTACAAAACTACAAACAAATATACACACTATAAACAATCTTGGAAGCTACAAGAAGAATGAAGTTCTGCACATCAGTAACATTACATTCAGAGACCTAGTACACTTTACAAAAAGCACTGAGAGATAGGGCTGGGCGATAAAATGATAACGATATATATCAAATATTAATTTCTCTATAATATCAGGGTTTCCCCTACATGCAATTGATCGTCGCGCACTGCCACAGCTAAAAAAAAAGCTGTCTCACCTAAAAAAAAATTGTTTTTATCTAACAAAGTTCTACCTCGGACTCGTATGTATCAGCAGTGTTTCTCCTACATTCATTCTGTAGCGGCGCTACTAAATTACGTGCGCCGCTACTGAAATTTCACATGATCATTAATATCTACTCGCACTTTGTGAGCACAACAACACACAACGTTATTTCAGATGAATCCTGTCAGACCCTCTTCTCTCAACGTGAAAGGTAACGTTCAAGCCTATACACGATCTACATAGCGAGTAACATTAATAGCATTAGTAGCATTAATATCAATGCGGCACTAATGATTTCTACTCGAGCTGTGTGAGCACAACAACACAGGACGTTATTTTCGACTTGTTTTGAGTCATTAACTGTCAGACCCTCTTCCCCTAATGTGAAGGGTAACGTTCAAGCTGACACACGGTCTGTATAGCGAGTAGCGTGTGTAACATAGTGTGAATGTAACAGAACCTTGTCTATAAAGGCGTGTCTGTTAGTTTGGTCTCCTTTGGTAGGCTGTTATAGAGTCTGGGGGCTCTGACAGGAAGGTTACCTTTAGCCACAAACAAACGGCTGCTGGAAGAGAGTAGGTGAGTTGTGTTTAGTCTCTTTCCTACAGAAATCAGGCAAAGCTAAAAAGATGTTTGGTGGCTGGGACCCTATATGTACTGTTGATGAAGTTAGGTGCTGTTCTGAGCATTATTTGTGGTTATAGACTGGTGTTTTGGTTTAAGTTTGTTTATGGCTCCGTAGACTGCTGTGTATTGCTATCGTGCGGTCGTTACTAAAATTGGTTTAACTAGAGAAGCAAGGGGTCGGCAACATTCATCTCAGGAGGGGTTGTCTAACTCGGTGTTTCAGTGTGTTGCACTCTAAATTAATTTTACTCCGGAATATCCCTTTAACACGGGTGTGAAGTAATTTGCGGTCGTCAAGGTGTGAGAAAATAAAAGCATCAAAAAGTTTTTGTCATGTTGGATTTGATCCTAGCAGTATTGCTAAGCTATTAAAGAGTGTTTAGCCAAGGTCCCTGCAGGATTTGGAGTACGGAGAGTTTATCTGAAACAACTGTGTACAGAGAACAGTTCACTGGGGGAAATTCTACATTTACAATACAGATCCTGAGAAACAGCACAACTAACAAACTAGAATACATAACAGACACTTTACTGAGACCTCTCTGCTCATCTCCTAAACTTTGGTGTGGTCATTTTACTGTCAGATCTTACTTAGAGAGGGATGATAACTTAAGGTTTGTCAGCAAAACATATCAACTCTTCCAAGGTACTGTATTTGTTCAAACGGTCTGTTTAATAATAATAATAATAATAGTCAACAGATTTTTTAAGTGCTTTATCAGAGACCCTCAAAGGGCTTTATATTGGATCCATCACTCACACAGTCACACACTGGTGGTGAAAAACTACCTTAGTAGTCACAGCTGCCCTGGGTCAGACTGACGGAAACATGGCTGGCAGTTTGCGCCTACGGCCTCTCCGACCACCACCACACAACACTCACAATTATCCACCAGTGGAGGACACACACTGGGAGTAAAGTGGGTTAAGTGTCTTGCCAAAGGACACAACAGACAGACTTGGGATAGAGGGGAATCGAACCAACAACCTTCCAGTTATTGGACGACTGTTCTACCTCTGCATGTACTCTTCGTTCAGTTTCAGTACACTCCTCCACGTCTGGTACCATCGGACACACAGCCTACCGGCATGTCTCCATGACAGCCGTCTGACACATCTCATTGAAAGTGAGATTTTAGTCAGACCCACTGAGCTGGTAGGCAGGGACTCACACTCACTACTTGCACAATGACACGGACAGAAGCAGCAAATGTACTCTGAAGTTATCCATTCATCCACTTTCTACTGCTTATCCTGTTGGGGGGGGCTGGAGCCTGTCTCAGCATCTTGGGGCGAAGGCAGGGGACACCCTGGACAAGTCGCCAGTTCAGAAAAAAAAACATCCGCGCTCACATTCACAACTCAAAAGTGACCAATTAACCTAAACCCACTTCTGCGTGTTTTTGGGATGTGGAAGGAAACCAGAGTAAACCCACAGGAATGCAATGACCTGGATTCGAACCTAGGACCTTCTTGCTGTGAGGCCACAGTGCTAACCACTACACCACTGAAGTTATTTACCCAATTATAAATACAGATTCTGAAATATAAGAAGATACTTGTGGAAGTCAAAGAATTGATTTAACCGCTTAACTCGAGTAAGAGTAAAAAGTACAAGTTTTTTGAGAGAGTAAGTGTCTCTCTCAGTGTCTCTAAATGTTGATTCTGTGCAGAGCGACGACTCCACTGATGTCATTCTATCTTCAGATAATGAAGAGCTCAAAATACTCAAAACTTAGAACTTTAGCCTCGTTGGAATTGACTGGATTGGGGGTGAATTTTCTGGATAGTCACCTGCCATGTCAACTGTTCACTGTATCATGATGTGAACCGGCTGGATAACACAAACAGATGGATACGCTGAGCAATCTGTTAGTTTCATGCCAAAGAAAAATCTAAACTTCAATAAAATTCAGATGCACGCAAAGAAAGCTTCAAGTGGAAGACAAATGGGTGAACACATGAGGTAGTAATGGAACTACAACGAATCAAAAGCCCCAGGGTCCCGTCAAGATGACATATGAAAGCAAAAGCATGTGTTTAACCCTCATCTGTGTTTTGTCTGGCTGCAGGTTGATCATGGTGCTGACAGGGAAGCGCTCAGAGAAGGGTCCGGCCTGCTGGAAGAGGAGGGTGAAGTCTGAATACATGAGGCTGCGACAGCTCAAGCGCTTCAGACGGGCCGACGAGGTCAAGGTTTGTCCGCACACGAGGCCCCTCATGGTATCTAGTTACTCACAGAAGTCACTTTGAGGACATCGCTTTGAAGCTCATCCACAGCCTTTAATACCATCAGAATGATTTGCGGTACTCAGCGGTACCATATCTGCCTCTGTACACCAGTAATTACATGACTGATTCCCAAACTTTTTCTCTGATCTGAACAAGATGATTACAAATTTCTTGTCGGATATATTCGATGTTTGATTTGTTTATCAGTCTGCCATGAAATTGATAATAATATAAAGTGCCCCCCTAGGCCACAAACTTTGGGAACCGCTGCTGTGAAGTAACGTCTCGTTGTTCTTGCTGTTTTAGATAACATGGACAGTCTGTTTTTGATCCCTGGCTGGTGTGTTTCTTTCATCTGTTGCCGTAACTCTGAATATGTTTGATCTCCAACAGAGCATGTTCAACACCAACCGTCAGAAAATCATGGAGCGGACTGACATTTTAAACCAGGAGTGGAAGACCAGGCGAATCCAGCCGGTTCACATCATGACATCTGTGGGATCTCTGAGAGGCACCCGAGAGGTCAGTGGACAAACGTTTCCTCCAGGACACAGAGATGTTGAAAAACTCTGAATATGAGGTTTGATTATGATCGATGTGTGTCTTCTGCAGTGCACAGTGGACAGCGGGTTCTCCGAGTTCCCCCGGCAGGTCATCCCCCTAAAGACTCTCAACGCTGTGGCCTCAGTCCCCGTCATGTACTCCTGGTCACCTCTGCAGCAGAACTTCATGGTGTGTATGGACTTAAAAAAGCTGCATATAGACTGACTGAAAGGTGTTTAAATTCAAGTCTGCAGACATGAACACGGCGAGAGGTGCTGTTGTTTAGAAGTCAGGAGTTTGTAAGGAGATTAGAAGATTTACAGCCTTATCTCTTCCCATCGGAATCATACCTACTGCTGTTTACTGTCTCTCTCAGGTCGGGCCTTTAAAATCTGTCACTCCTCCATCACAAGTGTCTCATTTTACTAAGATAGATCTGAAACCTATTTCAGTCTTGACAGTTTGCAATGAACAGCAAAATATAATTCAGGGAAGTAAATGGAGGATACATTTCACAGTGTTTTGCAGAGTTTAATATTCATGGACTAAGATGACTTGCATGTCCTGCAGTTTAGCTCCTGTCTCAGGAAAGTTCAGTTCTCACAGCATGTTTTGTGGAAATGTTGCTTAAGCTGCAAGTTTTCTAAAGCTCTGTGGTTGAAGATTGACATAAATTCTGCAAAATTTCTTTTCCACCACAGCTTTGTGAGATTAATCTATGTACATATATATATTTTGAAAAATGTTTTACTCACATTTTGTGCATTTTTCAGGTGGAGGATGAGACGGTGCTTCATAACATCCCCTACATGGGAGACGAGATCCTGGACCAGGATGGTACTTTCATTGAAGAGCTAATCAAAAACTATGATGGGAAAGTCCACGGGGACAGAGGTACGATACGTGTCTTCGTGGCTTATTGTTTGGGTAAAGTAATTGGAGGTTAAGTTCAGGTAAAGATTAAATGCTGTGTGTGATGTCGAGTTAATAAGATCCCCAATAACCTACTGTTTAATGAGAGAAGATCACATGACGACCGGAAAGCAGGTCGAATGTAAATGTTGGCATAAACTAGGAAAATATCAACAAACACTTTTTGAAACTCAAATTAATTTCACTTTGATGATGGAGTTTTATCCAAAATCATCTTACTGTGATGTTTCCCTGCAGTTTTTATATCATAGAGGAGTAAAAGATTTATGAGGATTAAAAGTAACAAATATTTGAAGTTTAGAGCTGATGAGGTTACAGCAGCCTGAAACACTGAGACAGGATATTAAAAGTCTGTAAAGTTTCCAAAGCTAACATGTCAGGGATCATTGACACCAGTGAGGTAAACTGTGCTGTAAGACTTCCATGTTTAAACATAACCTGCATCCATGAAGGAGCAGCGTCATGTTTTTAAGTCAAAGAATCAAGTCTTTTCTCAGTCTGTCTGCTTAAATCTTGACCTCAAAACCACCGAGGAGAGCTGACCATTATTCTGCTCAAAGTATCTGTATCTGGTGTTTTGCAGAGTGTGGCTTCATCAACGATGAGATATTTGTGGAGCTGGTCAACGCCCTGTCACAGTACAGTGACAATGAGGACGACGACGAGGAGGAAGAACAAGACTTTAAGGTGGACAAGATGGAGATGTGTGACGGCAAAGAGCACCCTGAGGACTCCCGCAAGGATGGGCACATAAACAACGAGAGTGAGTTCTTCCTGGTGAACGTCGTCTCTGTGAGGTTTTATTGGTGGTGAAGACATAAACAGACAAAGACGTTTTTTTACTCTGAGTGCACTCTTCCAGACTGCTCTTCAGTTTAGTGATATTTAACTATTTGAAGCTATGAAGTTCTTATCTGACAGTGTTTACCCCTTACTTGTGGATAATACTTGCAAAGTGGGTAAAAAAGGAAAGATTGGACTGATAAGGGGAAAAATGTTCGTGTTTAACCGCCTAAAGGTTAAAAGGCAAAATGACGAGAGCTCTACTTTTGAATTTTAAGACATGTGAGAGGTTCAAAGTGACATTTTGCTGTTTTCTTTGTGATTGAACAGCTTTTATCAGCTTATATTTCTAAGGTTTAGAAATCCTTTTTTTTGTTTTGTCCTGATGGAAAGTTTGACCTCGCGTTTGTGTCGTCTGCAGGCCGAACCAACAACGACAGCCACAAGAAGTTTCCATCTGACAAGATTTTTGAAGCGATTTCTTCGATGTTTCCGGACAAAGGCTCCACCGAGGAGCTCAAGGAGAAGTAAGAGTTTGTTTTCTTGTTTGTGGATATATTCCCTGCAGCTCCCTTTATCATCAAAAGATTCTTATTCAGTATCTTTACCTGCACAATAAACTGTTTCCTCTTACATCATGAAAGTGAAGCCATGCTGATATGTCCTGATAGGGACAGCAGAGTTTCCAGAGATCCAAACAAGTTAAAATTTTGTTGTTTTGTGCACTAATAACATGAACCGTATCTGAAACCCCGGCGTTGTTGTTTTCTCTGTGTTCATCAGGTATAAAGAGTTAACAGAGCAACAGCTGCCCGGCGCTCTGCCTCCTGAATGCACCCCGAACATTGACGGCCCGAACGCTCGCTCAGTGCAGCGGGAACAGAGCCTGCACTCCTTCCACACTCTTTTCTGCAGACGCTGCTTCAAATACGACTGCTTCCTCCACCGTGAGTACACAGAGGGAGACTTTAGAACTTTGAAGTTCTCGTTAAATTGAGGTCATAAAATCAAACTGTCTGCAAAACTTCAATAACATTTTCAACTCTGTGCTCATCCTTTGCATGTTTTGTCTCCTCCTTTAGCTTTCCATGCTACTCCAAATACGTATAAGCGCAAGAACTTGGAGAACCTGGTGGACAGTAAACCATGCGGTATCGACTGCTACATGTACCTGGTCCAGGTGAGTCAGCGACGTACAGCAGAGTCAAATTTTGTGAAGTTAGTCTCTGAAGTATCTGTTCTCACAAGAGTAAAATAAGTAGATGAGTTCAGTTTATTATTACGACTTGACTGAGAGTGTTTTTGTGCATTCAGGATGGGATAGTGAACGATTACCCCGCAGGCGTGGTTTCTGATCGGGCAAAGACGCCCTCCAAACGAACAGTCGGCCGTCGCCGGGGAAGACTGCCAAACAGCAACAGCCGACCGAGCACGCCGACCGTTTCCTCAGAAACCAAAGACACGGACAGCGACCGTGAAGGCAGCAAAGAAGACGAGCGAGACAACGACAAAGACGACGATGACAAGAAGGATGACAACACCAGCAGCTCAGGTATGAACCCTGACCTGTTAGATAAAACACATCCTACCATCATCAGCTCTTTTTCTGCAGTCTCTTAATTTTATCTCATGTTTAGTACCGGAGTTCCTCAAAGGTTCCTGGTTATATTCCTGCTCCTGTGTGTGTTTAGAGGGAAACTCTCGGTGTCAGACTCCAGTGAAGATGAAGCTGACGGGTGAAGCTGAAGCCGTCGATTGGAGCGGGGCCGAAGCTTCTCTCTTCAGGGTTCTCATCGGGACGTACTACGACAACTTCTGCGCCATCGCGCGGCTCATAGGCACCAAGACCTGCAGACAGGTGAGCGCAGACCACCATTTCTCCTCAAAATTAAACGTGTTACGGCAGGTTTAGGTCTGAAAAAAAACGCTGAATATGATCGTGGCTGCAGGTTTACGAGTTCAGGGTCAAAGAGTCGGCTATCATCGCCCGAGCGCCCACTGAAGACGAGGACACACCGCCCAGGAAGAAGAAGAGGAAACACAGACTTTGGGCCACTCACTGCAGGAAGATCCAGCTGAAGAAAGGTCAGAGGTCACTGCAGCACAAACTCTTAATAGAGGAAAGAAAATGTAAAAATGTTTATGAAGCAACATGAAACAGGAATCACTATTTTACATGATTTACTTTAGCCTTTATGGTCGTGACACTAACCTTTAAACACAGTCCTAATTCTCAAGTGAATAAAAGGACGTCTGGTTCAGGACAAACTGCAGGAAATACATTCGACAAAATCTTCGTCAGTCAGGAAAAGTTTATCTGTGATTCTGGTAAAACAAAAAAGAAAGAGCTTTTTTATGACTTTGTCAATCACAAAAACCTCAGCTCCAAACTCTTCAGTTAGTTCTGAATGAAAACATCAAACTGCGTCTGAATGAATCACAAACCACCTCAAATCCAAGCTGACTCATGTTTGATTCAGAGTGTAGGACAAAGAAAGTTTCATCTGTTGATTTCTTTTCACGATTGAACTGAAAGCGCCGCCAAAGTCATGATGATTCATCTGCTGAGGATCATAAATACGACATGTTGACTCTGAAACAGCCAGTTTGAGGGATTGTGTCTCATTTTTTTCCTGGAGGAGTTCCTGACATTTGAGAAGCTGCACAAAAAAAAAAAAAACATGAACATGAAACATCTGAGAAAACTTCATGAAAGACAAACGATTTGATATCTGCGCCTCATCTCTGTCTTTATAGACGGCTCTTCCAATCACGTGTATAATTACCAGCCATGTGACCACCCCCGGCAGCCATGTGACTCCTCGTGTCCCTGCGTGACCGCTCAAAACTTCTGTGAGAAGTTCTGCCAGTGCAGCTCTGAGTGTAAGAACACAAACACACAAACACAGACTCACACTCCTGAGTGAAACAGCTTTATATCTACAGAGGTGAAACTTACCTCTCTGCTGTCTGGACGCAGGTCAGAACCGTTTCCCGGGATGCCGCTGCAAAGCTCAGTGCAACACCAAGCAGTGTCCCTGCTACCTGGCTGTGAGGGAGTGCGACCCCGACCTCTGCCTGACCTGCGGCGCCGCGGATCACTGGGACAGCAAGAACGTGTCCTGCAAGAACTGCTCCATTCAGAGAGGAGCCAAGAAGGTAAGACAAGGAATAAACTCCTGACAGTTTTCCAGCTGCTATAGAAACTGTCCTCCAACACACATAAGCCTCCCGTTACTTATAATAATACTAATAATAATAATGATAATTTTTTCTCCGTCTCTCTCTGTTTCTCTCTCCTTCTCAGCATCTGCTGCTCGCTCCTTCAGACGTTGCCGGTTGGGGCATCTTCATCAAGGAGCCTGTCCAGAAAAACGAGTTCATCTCTGAGTACTGTGGAGAGGTAGGACTCCTCGGTCTCTTCTGAAATCACACAGACAGCAGAGACATGAAAGTTGTCTGGCTAACTGAAGATGACCTTTTGTTTATAGGATCTCAATGTTATTAGGAGTTAATGCGATTTTAGAGCTACTTTGATAACTACAGCTTTGTAATTTCTGGATGGATGACAGAACATCCTAAAGTTCAAGAAACCAATCTTATCTTTGCCCAGATTCAAATACTAAACAAATAAAATAAAGATAATAGGTAAAAAAATAAGGTAATTAAAAATGAGAGAAGGTAAACCAAACCATTAAGTACCTTTTAAGTGCACTAAAGGTCCAAACTTTAAACACTTGGGTAAAACCATAATTTGTTCATCTGTGTTTGCAGATCATCTCTCAGGATGAAGCCGACCGCAGAGGGAAGGTCTACGACAAATACATGTGCAGCTTCCTCTTCAACCTCAACAACGGTACGAACACAAACACCTCAAGTCCAGCCGGTGATTGTTCAGTGTTTGATTAAAATTCCTGAGAGAAAATGTTTTTTTCTTTCTTTCTCCAGACTTTGTTGTTGACGCCACGAGGAAAGGAAACAAAATCCGCTTTGCCAATCATTCTGTCAATCCTAACTGCTATGCAAAAGGTAAGAACGTGATGTCAGAGTGTTTCTACAGACCAACACTGATCTGGTGTCGGTAGACCTATTCTGACTGATCTGTTCTCTGTAGTGATGATGGTGAACGGGGATCACAGGATAGGAATCTTTGCTAAGAGAGCCATTCAGACTGGAGAGGAGCTCTTCTTTGACTACAGGTCAGTGACACCTGCAGACAGATCTGCTACTCCCTTAAAAAAAAAAAAGAAAGTTAACTATTTTCTCCTGCAGCCTGAAGGTCAGATTATCTTTGACTTGACGGGTAACTTTTTATAGTTTTCATCCACTTAACTGTCCTCTGCTTCTCTCGTCCATCTCGAGAAAAGATGATAATTTAGCTAAAACCCTGAAATCAAAGTGTTTCAGGCTCATGTTACTCTGATCGTCACCTTCTTAAATGATCATAAAATGAATAAATCAAAATCAGTCAATTAATTATTGATTGATTATTCATAATAATAATGATGATGATGATGATGATGATGATAATAGATAAATAAAGTAAAAATAAAGATAAACAAAGAAAAAAATAGATTAAGTAAAAAATAAATAATGATAAACAAAGTAAAAACAAATTATAAATAAAGTAGAAAATAAATAATAGGCAAATTAAGTATAAAATAAATAATAGATAAACAAAGTAAAAAAATAGATAAAGTAAAAAATGAATAATTATAGATCAACAAAGTAAAAAAAACATATATAGTAATAGATAAATAAAGTTAAAAATAAATAAATTGTTATAGATAAACATGATGGTGATGTTGTAACAACCAATAATAATAATAATAATTATATAACGCCACATAATAATAATACTACAACCTCTTGGCTTTATTGACCAGTGGATAGGACAACTTTATATTTCAGAGAGAAAATAATTAAGTGGAAATAAAATAAAAATAAGTGATCAAATGATCAAATAAGCTGATCAAAATATGCTGTTGGTTTTTACTCACCTGGTTTGGTTGTCATGGTACATAAGTTATGCATCAAACAGGAAGTCTTAAGAGAACCTGAATTTAAGAGACGGACATTAAAACGCTTTTCTGCGTGTTTTCAGGTACAGCCAGGCCGACGCGCTGAAGTACGTCGGAATCGAGCGAGAGATGGAGATCGCCTGAATCAGACTTCTACCTCCTGTGGATCAATGACACAAAGGCCTTACACACACAAACACACACACACAAACACACACCTTCACTTCAGGAAATCCAGAAAATGTTAGAGCGCTTCAGGAAAAACTGGGAATATTTGAAGCAGAGTTTTTGATGCTTTTTCTAAACAAACGCTTTTCATATCTGTTTCTGAATTTTCTTCTCGTGACTTTTCTCCTGTCAACAAATCTTCCTCTCCTGTCGAGAGGCCGGGACTCATCAATCTCTCCTCAGCTGGAGGTGCGCTTCACCTACAAACTGACTTTGTGTTTTCTTAAATATCTGAACATCGACGACGAGTGTGTGAGGGCGAGAGGAAACAAACCCACTACAGCCTGTTCACGCTTCAGGGACCAAAATCCTCCACCAGCCGCTCTGGTCTCTCTCACACCGACTGGACTCTGTGTGTTCTGTGTGTCACATGTTGTGCTAACAGTGTGTTTTTCTACGGTGTGAAGTGAACCAGTCACACACTCTCTCTCCTCAGAGTGCCAGATCACTGTCTGTCTGTAACCCAGGAGGCCGCTCACAGAGCAGCGTCACGCCAAATCACAATCAGTACTCTTACAAAAGCGGCGACCACGCCGACACGCCACCGGATCGTCTGAAGTCTGTATTTAGTGTTTTTGTTCGTCTGAAACTCAAGGAAGTCGGTTTGTAAGTGTAGTTCAATCAGAGTTTGTCTTGAGACGACCAGCGAGTGAGTGACAGGTGTCCCGAAGACTTGATGGTGTGTTTAGAGTCCACTGGAAAAAACAGCTTCTGCTAAAAACACCAGCAAACACGTCTGCAGAGATCTTCGCCGACGTCCCTCAGACAAAACATCCTCCATGTTTGTAGTCTTGGACCCGGTCTTGACTCTGCTCTGTGACGCTGCCTCCTCTTCAGGTGCTAAAACAGAACCAGCACTTTGTCACCACCGCAGGAAACTCCACAAACACTCAAACACACTCGCAGACACACACACTGAAGGTTGGAAATCCCATGAGTGTGAGTGTGAGTGGTTGAAGTTTCCTGTGGTGAGAACACGCTGCTCTCCTGTGAGCGGATCTGCTTTTAAAACTCAACCAAAAACACACATTCACAAAGGTTCTTCGTTCACGTTTTCCCAGCAGCGCCGTGCTCGACTCACTCTGACTCCGCCCACTCTGAGATTACCAGATCCTGCCCTCAGGGGGCGCCACAGTCCACACAAAGTAAGAGATCCCTAAACAACTCAAACTGGAGAGCGGACCCAGATTAAAGCGAAAGATCGCCTGGTTTTCTAGAATACTTTAAGAACTCAGTGAGAAGATTTCCTCCGTTATGAAAACTGAAATCTGATTGGATCGCTGCCTCTCAGTGCGATAGTGCCCATGAACGTCCAACATCCCAGTCATATAACTTGAATTACGCTGCGTTCGAGTTACTTCGGAAGTCAGATGTCGGAGCTGAAAATGACGTCACACCGAGTTCCCAGCGTTTTAGTCACCAAGTCGGAAAAAAGCGAAATCAGAGGTCTGAAACAAGATGATCTACGAAAGTTGATGTAGGACAAGGCAAGCGCTGAATTAACACGACAGACCACGACACACTTTGAGACGACGACCGTCATCTGTGCCGGTTTACATCCAGGTAGTTGAGGGTCATAGCGTTTAGCTGAGCTACAGTAGAGACACTCCAGGCATACTAAGCGAAGAGCTGATCTCTGCATCCTTCAGGTGGCACAAAAACGTTAAAATTTCCTCTAAATTTTCAGGGTTTTGAAAATTAAAACCTGACAAAATACAATCCACTAAAAACATAGTTATCTGCGAACTAACACTGCGGGATGCAAAAGGAGAAATGGCGAAGAAAGAGTTAACGATCAGAACTTCCCCACAGATATATTTAGGTTTTTTGAATGTTGTTCAGGGTTCATGTTATTGATTCGAGGAAGGATAAACTTATTGGTACGTGTAGAAAACATCAGTTCAAGCTTTAAAGAACCGTATCAAGAGCTCAGAGAAGGAGCAGTCTGAGTCGAGCACAGTGATGAACTTCTTATTTATCTGAGTGATTTGATGTTCGACCCCGCGGTGTCCCCCTCTCTGCTGTGCCTTCAGTCCCAAACTAAACACCCACCTACACCCCCTCCCACACACACACACACACCCCCTCTCCTCTCTGTACTTCAGCTGAGTTTCAACCTTCTGCATGATGACAAAGTTTTCCAGAATCTGTATTTTGATGCTGCGTTCAGGGGACCTCTGACTTTTCAGTACTGCCTCCTCCATGTGATGTCCGATCGGTTTAATGTATCCTGACGCCTTTTGACGATGTTTCACACTTTGATTCTTTCTCTCTCTCTCTTTTCGATGTGAACTCTGGTGCTTTGGAAAATACTGCAGACTCAACTTGAAGCAATACCAGCCTCTGTTTTCTCCTTCCTCCTGCTCTCACCTTTCACCTGTAATTTATTTAGTGCTTCAGAGACGGTCTGAGGGGACGTCTCGCACTACAGCGATGTTTGTAACTGAGGGATCAGAGACGTCAGAGGCTCTCAAACCCGGTGCTTCTCTCGCAGGGCTCAGACTCCTGCATATTTAAAATCAAATTGAAAGCTTTGGGCTCGATCTGACGACTTAAGTGTGAAAATATTTTTGGGGAAAAGTGTTTTTTTTTTTTCTTTTTCTACATGTTGTTGAAGATCCTGAACCTTCACTGCCGTTTGAAATGAGCCCCCAGAGTTCCTCATTTCTTGACTTCTCCCAGGTTTGGTGATTAAAGAACCAGCAACCCTGCAGCCCTCTCAGTGTTTCTCTGTAAGGAAGGGCTGGATAAGTGAAAAACAAAGAGCCAATCAGACACAAAGACAAACCTCAAAGTATCTACATGTTTCTGAAAAAGTCTTTCTGTTCCTGTGTGGTGATCGTTTAGGGGGATAAAAGCTTTTAAATCTCTCGTTTGGTTCTTTAAAAACACTTTTAAGTGTGACGCAGCTCTGCTGAAGTCTGCACTGTGGGTTATTTATCGTTTCAGACGTCCGCCTGCGTTTAATCCCCCACCCCCTTTTGTTTCTTGTTAAACCAGGACCACTTCTTTCCTCTGATGAAACAGGTGCTGATTTTGTAATGTTTACAGGGATTTTGTTGTTCAAAGTGATGCAGATTAAAATATTATAAATGGATGATGAATGTTGTCTTCATTTTCTCTCTAGTACTTTACTTTCTCCCTAGTTTGGGTTTTCCACATTTCTACGGTGGCCCCAAAGGTCAACTAAAGAGATTTAAACAACTGATGTTTTACTAAATGCACAAACATTTTAAAGCACACAGAAGCAAAAGAATTGTGCACTTGCTGATACAAGTGCCAAATTTTGTACGAAAGCTTTTTAGCCTCTGAGCCCAACACAGATATCGGAAATATCTAATCCAATCCATATAGAGCACAAAAGTTGTTTTTCTGTTAAAAGATAAATACATTCTTGAGACATAAGAACAACATTGGTGATCAAATGTTTTTTTTTGTCCACTGAAGAGGGTAAAACTGATTTTAATTCGTTCACTGATTATTACACCTCCAACCTGATGTGTAAAATAGAGTATCAAGACACTTTGTACCTGTACACTCTCAATAAGGTACTGCACAATATAGGTGGGTTTAAAAAAAACATGATTGTTTAAAATTTAAGCATAAAGTTGTTCACATTCACTATACATCCAGAACACCAGAGGGCAGCGTATAAAAGTAACCTAACTAAAAATGTCTGATTTCCCTGATGCCATAAATCAGCAAAATCAAAATGCAGAAGATCCTCACCATAGACTGTATATACTATGGCCAACTTTCTGCAATCTTCGTACGCCCATAGGCTGTATCAGGTTTCAATCAAAGAAAACATGAACCCCCTCGTAACTTTTAAAAATTGAGCTGTACAGAAAAAAAAGACTTCATCACAAACCAGTCTTACAGTAACTACATGTCAACATTGCAACCAGAGGGAAAAATGTATGTTCTGTGTAATAAATTTCTAAAGTTTGTCCACAGCCCCATAAGCTTTGCTGGAGGAGGCGGGATTTATGACCTATACTGCAGCCCGTCACCAGAGGGTGCTGTAGGATAAAGGTGACGTGAATGTGTCTTCCTTCCCAAAACTAGAGGGCGATAAGGGTCTTTTCAGCCGCGCTGTTTCCCACCCCATACAACTGTCAACAACAACAGCAGGTCTGAGCAAGAAGATGGTACACCTTACAGCATTTTGTGTTTGTCGTACATGATTTACGCGCTACTTTTTCTGCAGATGAGGTGCACGCTACTCCTCTTCTCTGGTGCTTTTGTTCCAGAGTTACGGGGGCATGGCGCACACACACACATGCATTGTCCAATCATACCTGGACTACACTGGTTACATTGAAGAGAAAATCGAATTCCAATCGCATTATCTGGGTGTCTTAATCCGAATTCTCCGACTCCAAATATAATCAGATTATGGGGATTTATGACCTATACTGCAGCCCGTCACCAGAGGGTGCTGTTCTCAGAGTGGTTTCACCCAGCGAGGAGGCAGACGGCGTTCATTCTATATACAGTCTCTGATCCTCACACAGAGCTGCATTCAAAAGTATAAGTGTTTCATTCATTTCCGATATCTGTGTTGGGCTCCTCGGCTAAATAGCTTTAGTACAAATGCGGCGCTCATATCAGGAAGTGCACAATCCGCCTAATACAGTGAGCAAAGCCTCTCGACTACATGACCAAAACAGCACAGGTGAAGATGAGGATGATGAAGGTGTGAACAGAAGTTGCAGCGAAGAGTCGAGCATTAGAGAAATCTTTCCTTGTTTTTATTTATCACACATTTAGAAAATGAACCACACTATACAAATGTCCACCGTTCAGTAATGAAACAGGCCTCCTGCATCAACCCCACCCACCTCTGACACAAGCTGAGACCACTTCAGAAGCGTCATGGCGGCTCCAGACTCTCTCTCTCTCTCTCCCCCTTCCTCCTCCTCTTCCTCCTCTCCCTTCGGTTCAGTCGCAGACTTTAAATTACAGGAGCGGCGTTGACCTCGGCGTGTGGTCGTACGGTGGACTGCGTCGGCTGCCCAGTGACTCGACTCTTACTTTAATCTTTTATTTTTTGGTGGTCACTGTGTGCAGGTAGGCAGTAGCATGCAGAAACCTTTGGATGCGGCTCTCCTCTGATTGGCTGAAGGCTAATTCATTACGCTATGTAGAGAAGGGAGTAAGGTTTGTTTTTTCCTCTCAGAGTCCATGGTTGGTATTTACATATGACAACAAGGAAGTGTGTGTGTGTGTGTGTGTGTGTGTGTGTGTGTCTGCATGTGTGTTTGTGTGTGTTTGAGTCCTACAGATGGGACAAGACAGGCGAGCGTGTAGACGGGGTTTCCCAGTCTCAACAGGAGGGGCGTTTGTTTCCTTCACGGCTGAAGGGAGAGTAAAAAGTTCACCCCCTCCCCTCCTCCCCCTCAGGGTTTGTCATATCAGAGGGGAGGTCACATGATCGGCGACACACTCACAACATGGCCGCCGCTTAGAGGGATCCTCACTTTATTACTCAGACATAAAATTTAAAAAAAAATGAAGAAGAGAACAAATAAAATAAAACTGAGGAGAGCCGGCGGGCGGGAGGAGGGAGGGAGGAGGGAGGGCGGGCGAGCGAGCGGCGTTCAGGCCAGGTAGCTGTACGTGTCCTTCTCGCCGTCCACTCGCTCCAGGTACTCCTTCTCTATCAGGATGTCGATGCATTTCTGTCCACAGGAGGGAGACAAAACACAAAACACACACACACACACAGGTGAGGACAGGGACATACTTTACATATGTCAGATTCTGGAGTTTGAGGGCGGGTGAGATCGCCCACTCAGGAGTGGAGGGGGTTACCTTGATGACGGGGACTCTGGGTTTAAACCGGGACGACAGCTGGTTCAGGACTTCAGCCAGGAGCTGCTGGTGCTTCAGGACCTTCCTCATCTTCATGATCCTCACTATAGCAGCCTGTACGACACACAGACACAGACTTTAATAATAATAATAATCATGATAATGATGAGGGAAACCAGCAGATTAAAAGACATGTCACATGACCAATGGGACACACAGAGGAAGCTGAATTTAAACGATCCCGAACAAAGACACAAAAAACACAGAAATGTAATAATCAGTCTGAAGCATGAGGAGGTTTCTGTCTGACTGAAGTTCTGACTCCTTAAATCCACGTTTGAACCTCTGGTGTAAAATGTTTTCACCTGAGGACACTTGAAGAGGAACAGCTTCTTATCTACGTTCACACTGCAGGTTATGATCCACAGTTTGGATTTTTCGTTAAATCCGATCTTTTTGTGCGGTCGTTCACATGACAACAACGAATGCGACATCTGATATGAACAGATTGCGTCTGCGAAGTGACCTGCCGTTTGTCGCATATTGATGAGACTCAAATCCTTCCCCTTGTTGAAAGACTGGATTCTGTGTGTCTGGACCGGTCTGGAGACTGTGGATCTTATAAATGGATTCCTGCTGCTTCACTGTGAAGATCCGTCGATCGTCGATGTCTGAGATTTAAGCGACTTTAAAAGATTCAGTGGGCTTCAACCCTTCACTTTTTAATCCTTCAGGTGTCAGCGCTCACCTGAATGAGGAGCTTCCGGTCCTCCTCTATGTTCTTGTGGGTCGTCTCCTGCTCCTGTTTCTGCTCCGTCTTCATCGGGACGTTGATGTTCACTCTCAGTTTTTTACTGCGGAGGAGAGGAAATTTAAAAACACCACCTGAAGACTCTGATCTGCGCGATGATCGGGACCGGAGGGGAATTCATTTCTCACTTTTTGTATCCGAGGAAAAGTTTGATGACGGTGTCGGGTTTGAACTCCACCTCGTCCACGTTGGCGTTCTCGTCCTCCATCACCTGACGGACAGACAGACAGATGGACAGAGACAGGTGTGTGAGTTTAAAGAAGACAGGTTTTTATCCTGCAGCTGCAGATTCACTGATCAATAACAGCTCACTTTAGTTTATTGTGTTAAAAAAGACGTCCACACAGGTTTGTTTCTGAGGATAAAGAAGTTCTCAACTCTAATAACCCTGTTACACTTGAAATAGTTCATCTGGCGCCCTCTGGTGTTCATAAAGAGAACCACAGGTACGTTTTAGGACAGGAGTTTGATTTTAGACTGAGTAAAGTTTTTTTGTTTGTGTTTCTAGAGGAATAAAGTCGTAGTTTTGATATTTAAAACTGATCTGAGAACATCTGAGGAACATCTTCAAACAGAGAAGAAGTTTCTTTGACTCACCAGCAGCTTTGATTTTAACAAGATCTGCAGAACTTGAACCAGAATGTCCTGAAAATGAAGAAACAGAGAAATTCAACATTTGTCCAGTTTCGTGGGTCACAGAGGCCGATGATAAAAAAACTGATCCGGACTTGAGAAGGTGGTTCAAAGGTGCGTACAGTTTTGATCTGTGTGCTGTCGGTCAGCTGCTGGACGGTGTAGCTGTCCTCTGTGTTGTACTGCAGCAGGATGGCCATCTGGAAGGTGGAGGCCTGAAGCGTGTACCTGAAAACAACCACGACAGCGTCAGCGTGGACTCGTTCAGATCAGACAGACCCGCAGAGTTTCAGACTTCAAAAAGACTCCGCACACCTGTTCTTGAAGCAGTTGGTGACCAGCTCTCCTTTGGACAGGTGATAGAGCCAGGTCAGCTTCCTGCCGCTGTGTCTGCTCGCGTAAAACGCCGTGAAGCGCTGGTAGCTTCTCTCCAACTAAGAGAGAGGAGGATCAGAAACAGAAGTGATTTCTCTGCTCTTAGCCTGAAGTTTGTACCGTTTACATAAAAGGAACCAGGTTTGTAGAAATCTCCCCTCAGTCATCAGTAGTTCTGAGTCAAAGCTGCAGAGACTGAGACGTATATCTTTCTCTAACAGCAGGAATAAAACCTGATCTCATCAAACCTGTCGGTGACAAATGAGCTGAAATAGAAACGGCTTCAATGTGCAGGAGTTACCTCAGAGGGCAGAGCGAAGGTGCAGGACTGCTGGAAAGGCCAGGACCCGGAGCTGAGGACCTGGATACTGAAGTCCACTGTGAGAGAGGTTTGAAATCAGTCGGTTAGGGTCAATCATACGAGTTCGATGTGCTTTGATACGCAAACAAACTTGTTTTTCTGTTTTTTTAACCATCTTGTTTCTCTGAATTCTGATCCGTATCGAGCCACTTCTGTATTTGCCGTCCTGGGTATCGCACACAGGACGCGTGTTTGGAGCATAGCAGCGACGTAGTGCAGCACCAGTCAGCTGGACTCAGAATAAAGGAAACATCACGCTCACGACAGGTTGTGTTTCCTCTCTGTGGTCGTTTCCTGCTAATTTCGATAGAATTCAGCGACCGTTGAGCCCGCGCATACAAGCAGCCGAAATGGGTTTTAAGGAGTTTGGACACTCAGGAGGCGCTTAGAGGAGAACCGCTGCTCCTCCACATCGAGAGGAGTCAGCTGAGGTGGCTCGGGCATCTGGTTAGGACGCCTTCTGGACGCCTCCCATTAGAGGTGGAGACCAGGTGGAGGGATTATATCTCTCGCCTGGCCTGGGAGCGCCTGGTGGAAGTGGCTGGGGTGAGGGCCGTCTGGGCTTCCCTCTTGAAGCTGCTGCCCCCGTGACCCCGATAAGTGGAAGAAAACGACGACAACGTTGAGCCTCTACTTTATGTGAAAAAGCAATGTGATTCTACAGTTTCTACATGTCCCTTTTTGCTGTTTCCTTCAGACAGAGTTAGCAGTTCAAAGTCCTGTTGGGATCCACATGGATCAGGGATTCACCATCAGATTATTCTGTGTTACTGATAAATCCAGAACCAGGAAGGATTTATCATCTTTACAAACTGACTCACAGTCTGGAGTTCACAGATGGTGTTTTATTTTGAAATACCAGAAGACATGCACAGTTTTCGTGCTTCACTTCCTGTCTGGGACGATCTTCTCTGTGTGGGTCGACGTGCTTTGGAAGCGTAGAGCAGCAAAAATAGACTCGCCGTGTATCTTTAGCAGAGCTGCTCTCGATATGATGCTGCCACGCTCCAAATACACATCCTGTAGGTTTGAGCCTTGAGACTGAACATCTGGTCCAACAAATTCTCCCTCTCAGCGTACCCCTCACCCTCAGACCGCGAGGTTACAGTCCTCACAGAAACCCCCAGTCCAACCCAGACCCTCTACGTTCCCCTCACTCTGCTCTCTCATGTTTCAGCCCCAGTGATACAGGTGTGTAACCAAAGGTCAGGTACAGGTATGAGTGTGTGTTTGTGTGTGTACTCACAGTCCAGAGGCTCAGAGTTGGTCAGGTGTTTCTTGAACTGCTCGTTCAGGTCTTTACTGACTCCGATGTCCTGGAACATCCGCTGCAGTTTGGACGTGTACTCGAAGCCGCACGCTTGCTGCAGGAGAACACAAACAGAAGAGGAACCGGACTGAGGTTTCCGAGGTTTCTGGGAGACGGAGTCAGGCGAGTTTTAAAGGTCGACCGGACGTGACCGACTGGTTAAAGCCTCACCTTGAGTTTGGAGATCATGCTGGCTTCGGCGTCGTCGCTGGCGCTGTTCTGATGGACCAGACGTTTAGCGAGCATCTTGGCGTAAAACTTCTGGAAAACGTCTTTGTCCTCGATGTACTTGAACACGACCATCTGGAGGAGGAAAGACCGAAATGAACCCTCACACGTTTGTAACTCTGATGTTTGTTCTTAGAAACATTTAGTCACAAGTTTTTAGGTTTTACTGAAGACAACGTCGCCGTAGTAACCTGGAGCTAAACAACAAAAACATTCAGACTGAAGGAAGAAGAAGCGATAGAGATGTGCTTCCAGTCTTCAGGGTGAAAAAGAAACAGGTTCCTTAAGACCTGAAGACGACAAAAACTCAAGTTTTTAAACAAGTGCTAAATCAAGACTGAACCAAACAGGATCCAATGAGATCTGTGAGGCTTTTGTAGAGGGTGCAGATCCAGTTTGATCCTGGACCAGAGCTCTGGTACCTGACTAGGTCAGTAGTTCAGCAGGGCTCTTCATGTAACGCAAACAGGCGGTGTGTTTGTGTGTGTTTGTGTGTGTTTGTGTGTTTTTTTGCGAACTCAAAGGTCAGAGCGTCTCACCACTTGGTTGAGCGTGTCCTCCAGCTCGGCCTCCTCTGGGTTTTTGGAGCTAAACAAACACAGAGAGAGTTTCAGGTTCTTCTTCTGGTACTAAAAGCTTGGATCTGGTCTGAGAACAACGATATGATCCCTGAGTGTTGTCAGATTTGAATCTCGTACCTCTTCTTCAGTAAAGAGTCACAGTATCTGGCCAGCAGCTCAGGAGATTTGCTGGACGACTGAGCCATCCTGGTGACGGCGTTGTTGTTGATGAACCGACCGCACGCCTGAGAGAGAGACAGAAGAGACACCGTGAGACTTCATTCTGACGCCGAAGAACCTGCAGCCTCTTTATCTTATGGAGCTGGATTTTTAACGGTTAAGCTCTGACCTTGTCCAGCGCCGCCACGAAGCCTGCGTCGTTGTTGAAGGCAGACATGACCAAGGCGTTGTACTTCTTGTGAACATCCAGGGTGGTCTGGACGTACACTTTAGGGTCCTGTGGGAAACATACATGTGTGAACATCATCTTCAGACCGACTCCTCTACTTTTATTCATGTTCTTAGATCAACTCTCAGACTCTGATCAAACGGAGGTCTGAATTAGAGCTGGGCGATAAACCGAAAATTTACCGATACTGACATTTACGACAATAACTGACGTCATTTTGCCGATATCCGTGTATTCGGTGTCAAAAATATAAATGAATAAAAGTTGGTTTAGGATGTGTGAAGGTCGGCTACGGTCTCATGTCCCTTTAAGACGAATTTTTCCACCACATCCAGTCCGTAACAAAGCGGGAAAGAAAGGTGAAGAGGTGGAGGACGGTTCAAAAGTTGTTGGAGCAGCTTGTTTATCGTCCATTTATCGTTCATCGAGGTGAACTGCTCAATATATCGTGATATTGATTTGAGGTCATATCGCCCAGCCCTAAGTCAGAACCATGACTCCTGTAAGCAGAGGCGATCAGAGGTAAATAAAGCGCGCCTACATTGAGCGCCGCCTCTCCACACTTCTCGATGGCGGCCAGGCCCTGGTTGTGGATGTGAGTCTCTAGAAGCTTCTTCAGTTCGCCCAGACCGTCCATGATCCGTGACACCAGGTTGTACATCCGACCCAGGTCTGTGAGGAAGAACAGAGTTTGTTATCAGCGCGTAGAAAGACGAGGATACACTTCTCCGACTGTTTAAAATCCAGCTGTATGAGCGTTTGTCGGGTTTACCTTCATTTTTGTCGGCATCCAGGAGGTTCTGGAACTCTGTGTGGAAGATCTCCAGGTGTTTCTCTATGAGGACCTGCTCACACTTCCTGGCCAGCTCGTCCTGGGTGGACTCGTGGAGGTACACCTGCACGCGCCGCTGCTCCTCCAGAAGACGAGCCTCCGCCTGAAGAGAAACGCGAGAGACAGAGATGAGGTGGAACCGTCGATCTGATCTGAGACGGTTCTCCGTGAGAGGACAGCTGACCTTCTTCATGTACTCGGTGACGGGGTTCTGCTGCAGGAACTCTGTGCTCTCGCGTGTGTAGAAACGTTCCGTGTCAGTGAGGAACTGACATTCAAAGTACTCTTTGTACACGGACAGCGTGGGGCCTTTGGCGAAGGCGTCCTCCTCGTTCAGACCCAGCTCGACTGAAGAGAGAGGAGAGGAACAGAAGGTTTACATGTGACGTCATCGCGGCGGTTCTTCTTCAGTTAAAGGGGCTCCATATTTAGACGCTCTCTGACTGTGAATAAACCTGTTTTCTCATTTCTCTAAGCTCTTTTGTCTTTTTCTCTCATATTGACCCAGAACAGGAGGGTTCGACTTGTCTACGTTCTCACTCTTTATTGACCCACCGTAAGACTGGACCACACCGCTGATCAGTCTGGTGTTTATGGTCTCTCCGTTTCTCTCTCTCTCTATCAGCTTCAGCACAGCGTTTGTTACCTAGAAGAAAACAGGTTTCTTTATTCAGTGTCTGGTTTTTTTTTCCAACGTATGAGGGGTCGGGGTTCCTGAAAACACTCCGCTGTTTGTTACTCCACCTCGGTAAAAAGAAAACAAACGCACCTGTTTGTTGAGGGGTCGGAATAAACACTCCCTCCAGGTCACGAGTGCCAGCTGGGGGGGAAACAGACGTGTGAAAGGGGGAAGGGAGAAAAGGGAGATGGTTAACAAAAGGTTGAGATTTTATAGGTTTCCCTACAGACTCGACAATCTGCATAAAGATTGAGTTTAAAGGTCAAAAGGTTCTTTATTTCAGCAGGAGACGACAGAGGACCCTTTCTTTACTCTTTAAACTCTCCAGTTAGATTATCGAAGAGACATGATTTTTCGTATCAACACAAACAGGAAACACAGAGACTCTGTGACCAACTCAGACCCTGAAATACCAGGAAAGCTCTGAGGCCACACGCTGCAAAAAACAACCTTTTATTTCTCAAGGCCTCTTTCTCGTTTCTCTGTCCTTCTCTTTGTCGTTTTTTTGTTTTGAACAGTTCGCAGGAAACAGACGGGCGCTTCATGCATCTTGGATTACAGATCGTCTCTTACAGAGCACATATTTGGACGGGTCTGACCTCTGAATGAATCATCAGGTGGTTTTATGAGGAGTCAAACCTTCAAATATAAGCTGTGATGTTTATGAGGAAGTCAAACGTCGTCTTCAAACATCGGCTCTTAACCCTCACATACCGTTCGGGGTCAAATTTGACCCGTTTTGACTTTTAACAGGCAGTAAAAAATACCCTAAACATCATTTTTTAAGCCTGAAACTTGACGACTTTTCCTGAAATAACCCAAAATACATGAAATTAATTTTAAAATATTCATGTGTATTTTTGTTTATGTGCTACAAATTTTTCCCCTCTAAGGCTGTTATGGGTCAAATTTGACCTGTATCTATATTTAGATGGATTTTAGATCTAGCAGTGTGGGACAAGTGACAAACAGTAACAACAGTGTTCAATATAAGGTTTGTTGTTCAAAAGATATATTCAAATCATTATGAAACTATCATTACCTTGACAGAAACACACACACACACATGCACGCACACAGACATACAGTCACACAGACATACAGTCACACAGACATACAGTCACACAGACACACCTAGACAGAGGTCAAAATGACCTAACTAGTCAAGAGAACTGTCTGTGACAGAAAGGGGCAATTTTGACCCGGAACATACTGTGAGGGTCCAGGATTTGAACAGTGTGTGAGGGTTAAGTTCATTTGTAGAAGGTCCTGTTTTTTTCTAAACCCTTTTTTACGTATTTTAGGTTTTTAATGATCAAAAGTTCCAACAATATCTGGATTCATTCAGCGAGCAGCCTTAAAACACACCCTTCAAAGCCGCCAACACCAACAGCAGAACTCTGACTTTGTCTATTCTTGTGCTTCTGAGTGGATTTCTTGTCTAACATTAAATAACTGGCGGGCAGAGACTCCTGTTCTACACGGTGGATTAAGTGTTTCTGTGATCACAGTCTGGTGACTTTGGAGGGAAAGTTGTGAACAGATTTCTTTAAAAAAGTCTGTAAATATTTTCTCTGTTAAGATCTCAGACGCTCGTGGTTTTCGTCTGCGATCGTCTGCTGAGACAAACTGCTGGAGTATTTCCAGAACCCTCTTGTACCTTTGACTCGTTCAGACCCTACAGCGTAGAGACAAACAGAGTCCGGGTTTGAAAACGCTCCACAACCATCAGTGAAGAGCGGGTGAAAGATGTTACCGAGTAAATCTCATAGATTCCTTTGCGTCCCTCGTCACACTCCCGTCTGACCCAGTGGCGGTTGAGGTAGGCGCAGATCCCGTTTAGGACCTTACTAGAAAAACGGTAATCCTCCCACTGCTGGGTGTAAAACTTCAACACACACTCGTCCATTAGATCTTCACCGTCCTGGAAGACAAAGCCAGACAGGAGCAGAAAATCAGTGATAGGAGAGCAGACGGTTCGAGATGGAGACCAGGTCCTCTGCGGCGTGTGCACTCACCTTGAGCAGGCTGGTCAAATAGTTCTTCAGGAACTCTTTGAGCCGCTTGTAGAGCTCCAGGCCTACGAACTGAGCCCCGCCGGGGGTGGTGGACTTTTTGGAGGGCTTGGCTGGAGGCGCGGAGCCCCTGCCCTGGCTGGACTGATGGACGCTGGTACAATAGTTATATACATGTCTGAGGGAGGGGTTAAGGAGCGAACAAAGACGACACAGACAAATACACAAAATACATGATAGTAAGTCTGAAAAACTGATGTGGAGTTCTCAGAAGTTCTTTCTTTGTTTCTCATCTGATTTGTTTGTAATTTTAGTGAATAAAAGTGATGGAAATAAACAAAAATGACCATGAAGTCAATGTTTAGATGCTTTAGAATTAAGTTTAAATGTAATTATCTACAAAATGATTGATTGTCCTCTCAAACAAGATCTAACAGGTCTAACACAGATTCTTACTCATTAAGATTACTGCGTTATAACTGGACGGGTTCACTGATCTGAGCTACCACGGCTAAATGGAGACATTAATTACAGCTGGAAACATGCAGAGGTGGAGGCAAAGTTGTCCAAAAATAAAATCTGCCCTCAGGAAAAGGAAGTATTTGTCAGTCACGTCATGTAGGCAAATGTTCAGAGGAGCTTTTTTCACCCTCTGTGTTTGTTCTCATGTTGAAGACGATCATGATTACTGTCACTTCAGCTGAAAACACCCTGGCTCTGTTACCGACTCTGTTATACAGTTTTTTTTAAAGTTCACCAGTGGTCACAGAGAGCGTGAGGCTGTCTGGTTTTTGCCCCTGGGCCTGGGCGGTTTTTGTCGGATCACGTTGCCCGGGCAAACAGCAATAAAACAGGTTTTAGTTTCAGGAAGTAGCAGGCAGATGCTAGTTATTACACAACGCACAGCGAGTGTGATTTCTGATCGAACCGCTGGAAACGTCCCGCTGTCAGACCAACAAAGAACATTTATCGATTTCATAAATATTTGTTTTTGTCAGGACACGATTCGTGGTAAATCCTCAACCTTGTTTTGATCAAACTGCAGGATGCATCAAGTACAAGTGAGTCAAATTTAAGAGTCATGACTGATTTTTTAAAACTTTGTCACTAAAACACTTTTGTTCTTTTTAGTTTCAGCTGTACGGCTCTCAGTAAAATATATCCCTCACGATTTCTAAATATCTCTCCTTCACCCTTAGAAAAAACTCACAAGGACAGAGGGCGCTAGTTTTTGTTGAAGCTCAGAAAACTGTCTGAGAGAAACACGTTAATAAAAGTAAACGTCTCAGCCGTAAACTCTCACACACCACAAACTCAGACCACAGTTTAGCGGCCTCACACGCCTTAGCTCTCTCAGGATACGTGTAGAGTTCCATGTAGCGTGACTTGGCCATGCTTTGCCGTGTGTACACCTGCTGGATGCCAGCCCGCAGGTCGTCCCATATCTGGTCCAGGCCTATCTGTTTCAGTCCGTGGGGGTTCTGGGTCCTGTTTGACGACATGGTGAAGCCCCTTGTCCTCTCTCTCTCCTCTCCTGAACGAGCGATGCCCTCCCTTTCCTGCTCCGGTGGGCGCTGTCCCTCCGGCTCCTCTCCGCTCCTCTCCTCGGTTGGTTTCGGTCCTGACTCGCTCTGCCCTCAGAGTGCGAAGTCCATCTGGCGGCGGCTCCGGTGCTTCGGTAAGCTGTTCGACGAGTTGTGAGGCGGGATGCAGTCCCACTCTGCACACCTGGGTGGCGCTGTCAGCCACTCCTCCACCTAAAATCTTTGGCACTCCTCACCAGATGACCTTTAAAAGGAAACAAACGACATGGTTAGCGATGTTTGATTTGACTCGGCATGTTGAGTTTAAGCGTCTCAGGAATGATTTCAAATCCTGAGACCAAAACTCAAACAGACAGAGGTCTCAATTTCCTCAATCCTGAGTTAGTTGTTGGTCGGGGAGGTAATATGGATTTATCTGCTGACACCTGGCTCTGATCCCTGGAGACACGCCGCTGACAGACCCTGACGTCACTCCGATAATAACAGATTAGTCCACTTTAATGCTTCCCTGCTTCCCTCCAGTCTCTGCGCTGTCTGCTCTTCACCGTCTCTTTGAAGACCGAGAGAAACATTTCACTTCAAAACATTCGTCCAAATCCTCAAAAACAGACACTGAGTGTTTTATCACGCTGTTCAAGGACACCTGAACTCAACGCTTTGAAACCATACTATTGATAAGGAACATTTTGCTGCAGATCATCCAAACTAGAAGGTTAAAAACATGGTTGTTACTCTTCAACCTGCCGCAGTGTTTAGTTTCTACAAAATACTTTTCTTTGAATGATGCAAAGCTTTAAAGAAAAACTAGTTATTAGAATTAAGCCTCTTTTATTTACATGTGCTGCATTATGCTTTAAAACATCAACATAACTTTATCATCACTGTGCAAAAATAAACAGTTTTCATCGATTTAAAAGGGACAAGAATCTCTAAACCCACATGAATCGATCAGACGAGGACTGTTGGACTATCACTGGAGTAAATCCAGCTGCTTTGACGGTGACACTGAAGTCCGTCCACATCATTAAGGTTAATAGACAGACTCAAAGCTGTAATTTCATCCCAGCAGAGAGAGAGAGAGAGACAGAGAGAGAGAGGACAAGAGGAGACGGTAAAAGAGCGCCCCAGTCTGCAGCGTCGACATCTTTCAGGTTACGCAGAGGGACGGAGATGCACAGACTGTCCACATAAATAAAGGAGGGAAACGTTTCGAATGATCTGCACATGTAGTTCAAATAGAAGATTTTCAGCAGCCTGGACTTTGACAGTTTGAGGTTTTTGCTGAGCTGGATGCCAGGAGTTTTGGACGCAGATCAAAAAAACAGTTTGAGTCTAAAACAGGAAATCTGCAGCGTGTTCTTGACGCAGAAGCAGACGGAGAACAGTGAGCAGAGTTTCCCACAGACTGCAGAACAGAAGAGAATATGTATGAATATAAAAATGATAAAACTGCCTTCAATAAGTTTGATTTGTTTACGTAACTTTCTTCCACTTCTGTTGTTGTTCAAACACTCCCTCTCTCGTGTCTTTTTCACTCGTGTTCGTGAAGCACCATTTGAAACCGAGACGGAGCAGAAGGTCGTCAACAGCGACCAGCTACACATCACTTCAGCAGCTGTTTGAACGAGTCCATGCTGATCTAAGGAGCGTACTCCCTCCCTGTGTCTGTCTGTGGTTATCCTCGGAGCACGAGTCTGCTGCTGCAGGTGATCAGATTGTTGTTTTATAAAAATGAGAAGGAAAAAAAGCAGGTGTAAAAATTTAGGGATGTCCCAGTCAGCTTTTATGGTCCCGCTCTGATACTTGGACTCGCCTGGACGATAATAAAGCTGCTCACTCAGAGGTAACTAAAGTAGGTCGATTGTTTGTTGCTTCACTGGGTTCTTTAAAACTCTGTCTGGGTTGACTTTAGCGCCCCGTGTGGACAAAGTGATGAGAAAATCTGAGAGGTTTCCTTTGTTATTGGTATTTACTCGGTAAAAACAATCAAAGCTGTTTCCTCAGCATCCCTGCCCCCTCACAGCATTTACAGGCATCAAAAATACTATTTAGAGATAGTCAATCATGTCATCAGAGGATTCGTTAACTTTAGTGTATCATAGAGATGCAAAACTGTTCATTTCAGACTGTTTCACAACCAATCAGAAACTCTTCTCTGGATTTAGGGCTGGGCGATAAACCGAAGATTTACCGGTGCCCAAATTTACGACAATAACCGACGTCATTTTGCCCATATCGGTATAATCGGTGTCAAATAGATAAATAAATTAAAGTTGGTTTAGGATGTGTGTAGGTAGGCTATGGTCTCATGTCCCTTTAAGATGCTGTCCTACGCCAGAGACGACCATAACAAAGAGGGAAAGACAGGTGAGGAGACGGAGGACGGTTCAGAAGATGTAGCGGCTGAAGTAGACAAAGTTAATGAGGGAGGGGGTGATCAGCTTGTGGAGTAGTTATCATCCATTTATCAATATATCCTGATATTGATTTGAGGTCATATCGCCCAGCCCTATCTAGAGTTTGAATCAAATTTTTAGATGTCATATCAAATTGGTAGCAGTGAACTCCTATTAGACTCCTATTGTCAAAGTGGCTGTTTTTACTTTCAATATTTAGCCACAGGTTGTCAAAGCAAACTTGCTCAGCGATTTAAATTCCACTGAAAAGCGTCTTGAGTTCACAGAAGCTCAAAGTACAGTGGAAGGACATTTCTAACACTCTGAATTGGTGATATTAATGACTCAGTCCCCTTCAGGTTTCCAAAATCCGTCATTCTGAAGAGAGACATGCTTCCTGTTTGATACGCATGAAAAAGATCAACATTCATGTGACGCAGACGTCGTTATGAAAACATTTAATTTCATTTCAGGGTCACCTGACGCAGATTTGGAGGAAACACTTGACTGTGAGGAGAGGAAACGACCTAAATGTGAGACTAAAAAGGTGCTTTAACTTCATATCTGACGTATTGAGTGATAGAGGAAATTATCATTTAGTTGCAGCTCCTGTTAAATCCTACCACAGCAGCAGCAGCAGCACTGGGTTTGATGCTTTGAGCTTGAGGCAATCATGATTATTCTGGCTGCTCTGCATGAAAACAAAACTGGAAAGACAGGCGAACGGCTGATTAAACTAATGAGATACAAATGAATATTTCAGGGCTGGTGTTATTGAGATTGGATATACACAGGTATGAAACCGAGATAAGGTGTTGTTGTTGTTATTCTGCAGCGTGGATCAGACTGATACAGAGCCTTGTTGTGTAAATGCAGCGTGAGAGAGAATCAGAGAGACTACAGGGAGGCTGTGCGGGCAGAAACTGCTGTGTACATGTAGGCAGCGCTGCTATATTTAGAAGAAGCAGGCATGCAGCGCTGCCCGTCTCTGGCCATTCACAGCTATTAGGGCCAGAGACTCAGGACGTGACCCAAGTCCAACAGTCAGTTAGTGGAAGAGGAGAGGAAGCCGATCGACCAGCTCGGCGTCCTTCCTGTCCCTGTTGACGAGCGAGGCCGACAATGAATGAGCACCTGACGTCCTGACGAGCGGCTTCAGTGACATGGCAGCTACGCATCTGCTGGTGCTTTCAAAGGCGTGGGAGAAACCAAACACTGAAGTTTGCTTCTTATAACAAAACAGGACATGTAGGTGTTTGTGGCGAGTTACTCATGTTCTTTTTTCATACGGAGGAGGACTATTTTTAGGTATTGATTAAAACGCTCTGCCAGAACGAGAATAACTTTTGTCTTCTTGAACGTGTTTTTATGACACTTAAGAAAAAGATGTTTTATATTTACACCCGAGACACGACTCTAAGTTTTACCAGTCATCCTCTTTCTATGAGAAACAACATAAAATGATCAAAATCTTCCAAGAAAAGATGTTTTTAAATAGTTTCTTCTGATTTATCGAGAGCTAAAACTGAAAAAAAATTGCTCAAAATTTTCAAATGGTAACTTTATTTAAATTCAGTATTATTGCTGGGAAAAAAACTAACAGAACAAAACCATTCATGGTGATAACATGTCAAGCAGGGCTCGACAGTGCGAGCATTTCACTTGCATTTGAGACTAAAAATAGATGTGTGCGAATTGTAAAATGTATTATGAGACAACAAATGTGTCTTCATGTAAATTCCACGGTGAAGTTAGTTTCAGGTTGGATATCCGACGGACATTCACCGCGGATCTACCGGTGTCTTCTCACTCACATAACTGCAGTGCGGTTAAATCTACTCAACATCCTCGCTGTCAACGTCGGTGTTGAATAAGGGACCGTCAACAAGTTACCGGTTAATGATCTCAAAAAAGGCGAGATTCCTCCAATAGCTTCCATGTCATGTGACCAATTGACCTAAAATTGATTTTACATTATGTGATCAATTTTCATTGTGCCCCTAAAGTTCTTTGTGTGCGCCTAACTTTTTTAACTCAGCAGCACATGTGTACCTAAGTGACCACTTTGGACAGGTTGTCTTTTTCAGGTTGGTGGGATTTTTGTGAAGCTTTGCTGCGTCTGTAAACAAACTTCCCCACCAGAAAATCTTCTTCTCCTTTAACAGCAACGAGTGCCTGCGCTAATAATTTCCCCAAAATGGCAGAAAAAGGAGAACCAGTTGCAGCTCAGCTCTTTGTACGGTGGTTTCAAATGTTACCACAGAACATTTTCTAGATCTGGTTCTCAAAGCGACGCTCGGGGCAAGAGAATGAGGAGATGTGCAGAGACAGATGAAGAAAGTCTGACCCGGCATCAGGCTCCGGTTCAGCCTCCATCAGTCACTATGATCTGTCGTCCTCTCCACGCCCAGCCTCGGCCTCCAGCATCCCTTCCCCCTCTCCCACTGACTGACCACAGCACTGGAGCTGCAGTCTGCTAACACTCCATTACGACCATAATAAACCAGCCTTGCTTAGCAACATTCGGGGTAATTAGGATGCTAAACGGAGGTTAACGGCTAAGTTGATTTTTGTGCCGATATCTGAGCGGAGCTCGATTCCTAAATGTGATAACAACCCGTGGTTCTTTGTGCCTCACTATGACTCAACATCTCTGCACGAGTTTCCCTTCAAAGCAAACACAGAGCCTTTTCATATTCCTCAACAGGATTAAACTAAACATATGTTTAGTTCAGACTTCCACCCAGGGGGAACAGAAAAGTCCCAGTCAGGCTGTTTCATCTGAAAAGTTCTGCTGCGACTCTTAATTTTGGTTAAATAACACTTAGACCTCCTAAAACATGCTAGTCTAAAACACCAGGAGAAACAAAGTCCACAATTTCAGACGGTGGATTCATTTACTCAACTGACAGTAAAGGTTGGAGCTGAAGCTGGGGGATAAACAGACTCCTTAAATTAGGTGGGAATGCTGGTTGGGGATAATGTCAGACGATGAAAAGTTCCCTTAAATCTAATTAATCATGGAGCAGAGCAGCAGACACCTCCACCACTCTCTGCAGAAATTCAATGTGGGATTTTCGCAGGTTGGAACTTCGAGTTAATCTCGTTGGCTGCTCAGTTTGTCTAAAGTCTGTCGTAACCAAAACAGTCAGAGTGCTAATTAACTGTGGAAAGTCAAACAGATGCAAAAAGCAAAGTGTGAGAAGTGAACGTAGAGGACAGGAGCAGGAACACAGACTATAAAGGAGATGACGGAGGGCAAAAAAAAACACGCCAAATAATTTAAAATTCAATCATTTCTTCGCATCAAAACAAGAGAGACAGTTACAAACTCAACAGCATCTTTATAAAGGTCTATTTCCTCAGTAAAAAAGTACTTTGGATGGATGATCAGACTTATTTGTCCTTCCTAACAACTGTCCCGGTTATCTTGCCGTATTTTCTCCCTTCAATCATCACCTTGCCTTCTCTGCTTTTATCAACCATGCCACTGCTGTGAATAAACTATCAGGTAAATCAGTAAAGCATCAAAGTCGAACATCTCCCTCTGTAAGCCGTGAGAATTGTAGAGAGTGATTTTACTCTCCCTGAACTCCTCTAGAAGACGACTGCTGCTGCTGCCCTGATTACAAATCATTTCATTATAATATCACTAAATATCCCGTCGTGTGAGGGGAACCCCAGTGACAGCCAAGTGTGCGCCTGGTGAGTTCTCATGTGGGAGGTGAGCTGATGAGAACGAGGCAAACAGTCACAGAGACTGTTGTAAACACAAACCTGAAGTTAGACGGACGTCAAAAACAGAGGTACACATTGGTGATTTGTAGCAACAACACGAGTATTTACATGTTTCCTCTACAAGTGCCACTATGATGGATGTACCCAGCAGCGAGACAATGTCTAGTTTGACAACCATCAATGTTATTTTAGTCTGAAATCATGTTTGAATGTCAGAGATTTAATGGGATTCCAGTCAAAAGAGTGGAGAACAAAACTGTTTGTGTGCTTTACGTCATTATTCGTCCTCATGTAGGCGCTCACATTTTCAACATCTATCACCACCTCAACAATCTCACATTGTAGTGTTTATGTCACTACAACACACAAGGACATTTCCATGATATATACACACAAATGAAGCATGAAAGAGTCAAGAGTATAGAGCTTAGAAACTTAGATATACATAGATGTCATCACCTCACTCTCTGTTTATGTTCCAGACTGTTCTCTGCTGTGCAAACGTCAACCTCATCAAGAGGTTTTCACGAGGGCGCCGGTGAGAAAATCATCAGGGTGGAAATTGGACTTTTGTGTTCTTATACCCACATGGGTAACATGTGGATATTTTCAGAAGTACAGCACAGATATTAAAAGGAGCTCAAGGTACAACAATGCCCTTGAAAAGTCAATCCCTGACTAGGGCTGGGCGATAAAACGATAATGATATATATCAAAATTTAATTTCACTCAATATCAATATAAAACATGGTAAATATCCTTTTCGATATTCAGCATTCTCCCATGTTTAGGTAGGCTTTATGAATAGCCAAAAAGATTTTTCTAGAGTTTCGTAGATTGTGTGTCACTTCTGACTAATCAGATTTCGTGTTGTTGCAACGTCTGCCTCACCGGTATATCCAACATGGCCAAACGGCTGATTGTTTACGCGTAAAAGACACAAATATTACAAAGATAACGACCTGAAGGACAGTAGAGCGTCGGCTCTCTCATATGACGACAATTTGTGTGCTTTAACAGTTTGCTAAACGTCTAATTTCGCGTTCTATATTCACGTCGTTCCCCGCGTGTAAGGACCTTAACAGGGAACATTTAAGATTGACGTGATTTTTTTATATCGTGATATATGTCGATATCCAATGATATGAAAAAATATATCATGATAAACCTTTGTCCACATCGCCCAGCCCTATCCCTGACACTCCCCTGAGTTTGTCTCCCACATGACGGGGACGCTGGTTGGTGTGCCGACAGTCCTCTGCAGGGTTCGGTCATTCAGTATTCAGCCCACTCAGCTCAGATTCTAGACCTATTCCAGTCCCCTGCTCTTCTTAGGTGGATCCTCACTTAACTCAGACAGGAAGCCATACCTAAGGTGCTCCTGCAGTTGCCATAGCAACTGAGGCAGACCATACCTCAGAGTAGCCATCTGACTACAGAGGGTAAAGTGTTCATTCTCTCTTGTGCTTCTTTTCACTGCCGGTAAAGAAAGGTGCCCTTCACGGCAGGTCTGGGATCAGGTTTCAGATTCTCACACCAGCAGGTATCAGATGAGAGTCGCTCTACAGTATCTGACCTACAATCAGATCCATCCCCGTGTGACCAGGACGAACAGGATGTGGACTGCTGGTTGAGCGGCAACGGCGTCTCGAGAGTTTGTTGTGAAACAGGGATCCTGTGCCAGGCTGTTGAAAGCAGCACCATGGCATGTCCCGCCTTCACACTAGGCGGGAAGGCGGTAAAGGTCAAAGGTCATGACTCTTTTTCCAGGAACAACAAGCTGATATATTCCCGGGCCACAACATCCTGACAGTCAACAAGTGTTGTTGACAGTGCAGCGGCCGCGTGTTTGGTGATGCAGGAAAAGCAGAGGAAGAGTTTTCACTGATTTCACCCTGTAACACCAAGTTTAATCAAGAGAGAGCGCCAAAACAAGCAACGAATCATTCACTTTCTTTTGTTTCCATCAACTTTAACTCTTGAATATAACAAAGTTTGCTGGTTAGTTTTCTTATTTTGTCTTTTAAGATCATGGACTTTCTTAACTTGTTGGCTTTTCTGAAATAGATAAACATTTTTAAACCACAACACTGAGGAAAATTAAATTCTGACAGTTCTTCATGCATACCGGTGACACCAAAAACAACCTGAATCGTTGATCAAATAGAGTTTATAAAGAAGCAGAAGAGACTGACTGAGGACAGAGACGGGGAACCAACCTGCTCACAGTCCTACAATGAGAGTAAACGGACTGGGCGATTATATGATCATGATAAATTTCAGTCGATCACTGTGATCAGCTGTGAGCATATTTACTCGATCAAACAGCAGAAATGTGTGCCACAACAGCCAATCAGAGTCAAGCTTTTCCAGCTCAAACAGGGGACGTAAACAGAATGACCTAACGTGGAGCTGAGGGCAGCAAAATCGATATTATGAAGGTATTTTTGGTGCAAAAGGTTTGTGCATCTGTAACATGTTATTGGTAGTTGTGTGCAGTGATTGTGGTGCAGGTGCAGCCACCAGACCAAAGCAGCGATTAATCTTATCATCCAAGTTTACATCATCTATTGTCTAGATTTTAAGGCGTCTTTAGGGCGCAATTTGTTTATTTTGGGTCTTGCATACCTGCAAAAATACCCAGGACTGTAAACTAATTCACTGTATTATTTAGTATTTATCTACATTTGTTGTATTGTTTTTTGTACAGATGCTTTAAAACTGGCAGTTTAAAAAAAATAACAATAATCGAGATCGGACAATATGACAAAATATATCGTGAATTTTTTTTTGGTAATCAACCCAGGCCTAGAATAAACATATTTAAATCAAGCTTCAACTAACTGTATGTGACAGTGTACAGTAAATTTTAAAAACAGCCCACAAACTAAGATCTTACCATGCTGACTGCTGCAACATGCCTGAGAAATCCCGGTAGGTTTTCATATTTACATCCAGGTGACAACGTTGTCTGCCAAAGAGGAGGGCAGATAAACCAAACAGCCAAACCTCTCCTGCATTTAGTCGGTCAATTCTACTCTCTGACACTGCGTTAAGTCTTCATGGCTGCATGTAACACAGCACAACTCAGGAACCAGAGTGCCGAGAGTCTGTGAGAGATTAGCTGGATGGGAGGGATACCGGGAGTAAAGGAGAGAGAGAGAGAGAGACAGAGAGGAAGAAAGAGAGGAAGAGCGGTGCTCGTGGGAAAAAAGGCTCAGCCGGGTAAATCAGATTACCCTGGTCACCGTGTGTCCTGTCCAGTCTCAACAACCTAATACCCTACATTTAAAAACACAAACAAAAGCAAACCACAGCCAAAAACACAGAGAGAGAGAGAGAGGAACCTGCCATCATTCTTGTTTGCAGGGAGAATGCAGAGTCACACCACAAAAACACTTCCATTACTTTGATTTCAGTGGTTCATCTCCTTCTTTCATTTTCAGAGACCAAAACAAAAACATCAGACTGAGGCTGAATCATGGGGAGCTCTGAAGCTTCTGCTGACTCTGAATCACCGTGACGAGCACTTCTTCTCCCACAGTGACACACGTGTTTGCATATATGCTAACCCGTCATGTGCCGGGTCCATCAGCGGGGGAGGACGTTTCATTAACGTAAGCAGCTTTTGATTTCTCTCGCTCCGTTTAGCATTCAGAAGAGCAGCCGAGCAGAGTCTCTCTCAGTCCCTTTAGATTGACTTTACAGTGACTGCTCTCAGCCCCGCCGCTTCACAGCACCTCACACATGATGAACACACAGACCTGAACGGGTCAGCCCAGGTAAAAGGGGGCTAGGATAGACCTGCAGAGGCTGACATGACCTTACACTTTGCTTTCTCCAAGAGTACAGAGTCACATTTTGACAAAAATTCACCAAAACACGTTTTCTTAAAGCTTCATAATAGCCCTCTAAAACAGACAAGGACTTAACCATGCTGTTGATGTTATGGCTGCTGCTGTTGTGGGTCAGCAGTTAAATCACACAGTCCATTTACAGAGGCTAAAGTCCTTGGAGCAGGTGGCCTGGGTTCAATTCTAACCCACTGCCCTTTAGCCTCATGTTAGTGTTGGGCGGTAGTGTCTACTGGTAGAAATTGTGCTATACTGTTTATACCGGAGAGAGAGAGAGCAGATGTTTGCTGCATTCTCTGTGTCAGTGTGTAGTTTTCTGTGCTCGCTAACAGGAAAGCCGGAGTGCATCCGACTGGGTGCGTTTCCGTTCGCTCCGTTTGATTGGTCAGGTTTGGGTGCCGGCGTGTCCAGCAGACTGTTTGGAGAAACAGCCTCACTGGTGGTGGTCATTGCAGACGTGAAGATTAGTGGCAGTACCGAGCAAACGGAGGCAGCCCGACCCACCCAACATGAGGAAGAGGAGGAAGAACTCGTTCCGAAAAAGGGCGCAAGTCGCGACACTGGTTGTCTGGAGATTCTTGGTATTTATAAAATCCAGCAATGATCGAAAAACAATACTATGCAAAGAGTGTCGTGTGGCTGTTGTTGTTAGAGGTGGAAACATCATCATTATTTGTAATCGAGGTATTCGAGGAATTGTTTCAGCCCTACCGTGATTTGAAATCACTCATACTGTGACATAAGATTTTGTTCATCAAGTCCAACACTAACCCACGTCATCCCCTACTTCCTCTTCCCAGTTCCTACCTTATGCACCACCATATACTTTAAAATAAGGTACAAAAACTAACCGAGAAATACGATCTATGCAGATACTTGTCTTATTTCAGTGGTACTTTACAGCACATTCAGAAGTTTCACCTATTTAAAGAGAGTTTTTGACACAACAAACCGATCAACAACAGAACAGGATTAATCTTAGTATATGCTCACGGCTGCATGTAAACAGGAATCTCTCTTGGTAGGTCATTTTCCAGTTCTATTCAACCCGCTTGTGTGTTTTGTTTTTCTCTGTTTTATCTGTGACTTTGACAGTGACCATGGTGTCACTGAGTGTGCAGCTGCAGGGGACCTTAAAGCTACAGCGTGTAATCTTTGAAATGTTTCCCTTCAAACGTAGACAAAAGGCAAAGCTGTGGACGATATCATAATGAGGGGAAAAAAGTCAATCTGCCTCTTAACCCTTTTGATCAAAACTGGCAGCTCAGTGCGGCCACTTTTTCTGACTAAGAAGACATCTGTAATGTTGAAATTCTGCTGATTAAACTCTTGTTGCTGCCACAGAGGGAGTACGAGTCATCTCCTGCTGCCAAACACTGATGTAGACTGATTGGCAGTCACGGATGCCAACTTGATGTGGAGCACAGCGGATCAGCCTGCTAAACTCGGCGTGTGTGAGTGAGCTGTAGATCAGATGCAACATGTGCTCCATGCAGCAAAAGCATCACCGAGGAAAGCACCTTAAATAGATATTTCCCATGACGGCGAATGTGTCAATGAACGCTGCAGGCCAAGGAATCTATGAATGAAACAGCAGCACCATCAAAACATTTCTGACACTGGCAGGAAGTGACAACCAGGAGCCAATTACATCCCACAAGAGCCGAGAGATGGAAGTGAGGATGTGAGCGTTTCCTTTGTCGGTGTTTGTCGCCGGGCACAGCCTCTGAATAACCACCAATGTGAGAACGGATCAGTCTGCGGCTGCTTTATCCTGCATGCAAAATTATCAACCTACGTTAGATACTCTGAATACCAACATACGCCCACCCCGCTGTCTGTGCAAACACATGCAGATCCTCCCACTCTCAGCAGGTTGATTCGGAGGGGAAAGACGTGTCGGCACATGCAGCCTTCACCCTCATCGTTCAATGAAAGTGCTGAGAGAAAAACGCTGGAGAGCGTGGCGATGAAACAACGCAGACGACATGGTCCAAGAGGATACTTCAAAGACTAACTCATGTTATCGGAATATTCACAGCGGGATTTATGATGAGCAAGAAAGGAGATCCAGAGTCGTAATTTATGACTGGTGTCAAGTTCAAATCTGCACCAAAAATCAACTTATTAACTAATTCCTGCAACAATTACAAACAGATATCTGTTTTTTTTTACAACAGATGATCAAATATGTTAATATTCAGACACAACAGCCTCTATGATTTTGTCACTTTAACCACAAGAATGGTCACAATCACAAATCACGCTTCTATTAATTCTCTTAACTACAACAGGAATACCAAAGTTTTACTTTGTTTGCACCGAAGTTTGTCCATTCGCTACTGGCACACAAACACTGGATAAGTCGGTATATACCCAAATATAATCTATGATTATTGTTACAATTACGGATTAATTGTGGATAACATTTTTATTTTCAACAACTATCCAAATATTTAACATCTAACAAATAACACGGCTCCTTAGGACTGGGCGATTTGGCTAAAAAGATGATCACGATATACTTTGTCATATCGTCCGATCTCGATTATTATCCCGATTATTTTTTTTAAATGTCAGTTTTAAAGCATCTGTATTAAAACTAAAAAATAAATAGATAAATACTAAATAAGACGTTAAATAACAATAGCATCTTCGGAGGATGACTCAAAGTCATGGCTGACATCTATCTTACTGCCCTCAGCTCCACGTTCGGTTACTCTGTTTACTTTTCCTGCAACTTACAGAAGTGAGCAGGAAAAGCTCGACTCTGATTGGCTGTTGTGATGCACATTTTCGCCAAGTTTGATCTAGTAAATAAGCTCACAGCTGATCACTGTGTTCGCACTTAAATTTATCACGTTAATTAATCTCGATCATATAATCGCCCAGTCCTAAGGCTCCTACAGCCAACCAACTTTAGAAAGCAACAGGAGTGATAACTTTAAAAAGAAATCAAAATATAACCGTCCATGAGTTTTATTCTGTCAAAGTATGGGGGTTGCAAGAATAACAGAATTTTAGACTTAAAAACTATAAAGACAGAGCGATTTCAATGCCTGTTTCAATACAATAGCAAAAAAATCAAACTCATGGCGCCTACAATGAAACAGCTTCAGATTTTTTTTCTGGTACTGCACTGCAAACACGATTAAGAGGCCAAAATGTGACGTACTAATCACAGTCTAAAATGTTTAATAGTTGCTGTTACAAATCTGAACCAAATTTAAGTTTTAATCCATTTTAATTTTAATGAAATACTGCAGCAGACTCAGCCTGCATGGGAACTGTCTGGTTCTGTAGAAGTCTGAGTTCTGGTTACACTACCCTCTACTCTTCTTTCTTGGATAATTTTAGATTCCATTATGATTATATGATATTGCTTTAGATTTCTATTCAAAAGTAAAACCCATGCCAAAGTGAGCAGTTCAAGTTTCAAAACAATCTGTCTATCTAAATAGATTGTAATGACTATTAACTTACATGATAGTTGTGGACGCCAGTTCTTTGTGGTAGCCATGATCTTTTATAATATTTGTGTATTGTGTGGTTATATACGGGGATGAGCGTCACGTGGTGTGGGTGGAGGTAGTACGTCAGCACCGGTAGTAGTACGTCAGCTGTTCACCTGGTGAGTTTTGTGGATGAATGGAGAGGGGGTGAATGGGGAAGCCCTACTTTTTGCCAACCGCTTATGTGTCACTTTTTTCGCCTGATTTTGAACGACTGCCCCATTAATAAAACTACAAAACGGAGTTACAGCCTGTTTTTTCAAGTTTATACAGCCAGCGTGTCGGGTAAGGCACCGGTTTCCCCAACTCGGCCTCTCGGCAACTAAGTTGTTTTGGATAGTCGCCAAACAATAGTCTTAAATCAAGAATAGATGGAAAATTAGGTTGTCAGGATTAAAGAAATGAAGGTATGATATTTTTGCCACACTAACCACCCCTACCTGAGAGTAGGTACAACACAGACAAGAGTCTAAACAGGAGAGAATATAAAACATAAACAGGTGGTAACATATGAGAGTCCAGATATTTGTATTCCTCTGATAATCTGTTAAATTACTCCTAATTTCTGTGTCCAGGTGTTTCGCAGGTATTCCAGGAGTGTGGGAGTCCTCCTGAGTCAAATCACTCTCCTTCACTCCGGCGGCACACGGCCGATCCGTCCACTTAAATCACGAGCTACAGCAGCTTTGACTCAATAAACACCTTTAATTCATCCAACTAAACACACTAAACATCCGCAATAACCACTCTCCGGGCTACTTCCTCAGATTATTCCAACCTAAAGCTGGCAAAGGTGTCAGACTCAGCTACGCAACACTGCTAGCAGTCATTAGCTCCTCAGGCTCGGTTAGCCTGTTAGCTTTTAAGGAACGTTCGCTTGGATTGAATCATCACTTTGGATGTGATTTGTTTTCATTTAACTACCTGTGTAAGGTTTGGGGTGAAAGGGGACTAAATTTGGTCCTGATCGGGGTAACCGCAGTGTCCAGGGCAGAGCAGCTGCCTGTGTTGTTGGTGTAAAATGGCAGCCTAGCTTCTCGGGCTGCTCAATAATGAGTCAGGAAAACACTCGGCTAGCAGTTAGCATTAGCGCGCTAGCTTCGGACTAGATTGATTGTCAGGAGAAAATAGCGCCTCCAGCTGACATTTACGTCTCTTAAATGTCGTCTTACCATCTTAAGGCCGTCTCTGTCGCTGTGTAGTCGATGTAAGAGTGATTTCTGGGACCCGAAGCCGTTTCCTCCGCCGTCTTTCGTTGCTTGGTGAGTGTTTGCTGTCCCCCTGCTCCGTTCGCACAAAGATCAGCTCAGCAGCCACCGAACCGTGAGGCCTTCACGGACTGTCGGAAACACGGGCGACAACCAGGAGTTCACACAAAGATATGAGATTTACAGAAGCCCCACACAATTTACTTCATACTGCTCTGGTAAATTAATACAAATTAGAGTCAAGATTACGACTCGTAGTAATAATGATAATTTTATTTTTATAGCACTTTTAAAAACAGAAGTTTACAAAGTGCTTTAACAAACAGTTGTAAATAGATAGATAGATAGATAGATAGATAGATAGATAGATAGATAGATAGATAGATAGATAGATAGATTGATTAATTTTATTGATCCCAAACTGGGAAATTCTCATATTACAGTAGCAAAAATAAAATTAAATAAAATTAAATAAAATTAAATATAGGAGGAAGTATGAACAATGCAGACTAAAAATACTAAATATATACAATAAATACAGACTAAATATACTAAACATCTTAAGAGAAAAAAAAGTGAGATATAAAAAACGTGGGCTCTTGAAATGAGTAATAAATATGAAATGTAAAATATACAGATGGGATGATAAATAAACAGACAATTTAAGGTGCTCAGTAATGTGATGTGGAAGTTTTTTAAAAATGTACTATACAGCAGACAGGAATGAGTCCCTGTCTGACAGATGTGTTATTGAACAATGCAATTGCTTGTGGTGGGAAAGATTTCCTGTAAATAAATCTTTCCTACCAAATCTCTAAATCAAATTAAAAACAAAAGCTCAGTTAAAAACAAAACCTCCCAATTGAAGGCCAATTTCATTTGTCACAAGAAACCCAGACAATGCAAGAACCCTGCAACATAAAATGAGACCATGAGGACCAAAATAAAAACGTTAAATAGGTAAGAAAAAGAAATGTAATAAAAAGATGGGTAGAAAGCAGGAAACAGGATAGCAAATATAAAAAGACGATTTGAATAATGATGATAAAATCCAACGTTCACCCGTACTCAACAAGACAAAATGGCCATCTTCAGTAACCTTTCTGTGGAACTTCTAGTCATCAGTCTAACATTACTTTTAGAGGAGCGAAACCATGGAATCATCTGGATACATCTCTTAAAAATCAATATCATCCTTCAAATCCTGTAAAATATCATTTAAATCAAATTTAATCATGTCTTAAACACATCATTATTCGTTTTGATCATGTTTATTTCCTTTTTATGTATACTTATATTATTATCCCTATCACTGGTTGATGATAAGTCTGCACAAATACAGAAGTCTTTACAAAGCCTGATGCTCACCTCCTTAAAAATATGACCATTCCTCTCCTCTCTTTTCCACTTTGCAATGACTGCAGCCTGATTTACTGAACATTTATCAGCTCCAACATGATCAGCCCAGATCCAGTCGCCATGGTTTCACCAGAGTTATGTAAACAATTTACACACAAGTAGGTAATGCTCAGCTACGACGGTGTAGATAATATGTAGTCAACCAAGAAGTAATCAGGTTTACTGGGAAACTAACTGAAATTAACTCCAAATGTCCACTATGGACTTCCATACTATGTCTTTATGTCTATGTTGTGCTTTTGTCACTATAGGGGTCTGAGGTATCAGTCATTTTACATAATTTTACATGAAAGCACTCATTAAATAGAAGAAATAAAACCAATAAGCTAAGGGAAATGTCTGGGTTATAACAGTGAAAATAAATATGAAAGCTGAGCAGTGAACGTCAATATAAAACAAATGTATACATTTAATTTCTCAAGGACTCAAATTTAAAGAATGCACTAATCTGTATGCATGTACATTAACACCCTATAGTATTTTGTGGGTAAATTTAAACATTAATGAACTTTTGATTTAACTTTATACCAAAGCACTGCACAATAAAGACTCTTCAGTGTTGCAGTTTTTATAAGGGAATAATTCGTCTTTCTTGTGTTGGAAGAAAATTCTGCAAAAATATCGAATGAAAATCAGCTGATTTATGATTGCAAAATTCAGTTGTTGAAAATCCACCGTGTATTTTTCAGGACACAAAATCTCTCAGAATTTTTACAGAGCTGATTTTGTAAACTCAAACTCGCACAATTAAAGTTTTGGGGAAAATAACGAATCTAACGCGGTTTTAAAAGGTCTGAGTTTACGAGGAGTCCTTGAACGCTTCATCGGCGTCACAGAATGGCGTCCCTCTAGGACTACAAACATGGCCACTCCAAACAATTGCAGCTGCTCCGACTACAGATATTGCATTATCGCCGACGCATGCGCATTTGGCTGTTTCAGTCACCTAATATGACATTTTTAATTATGCATGCCTGATCCAGACTCACGACGCTGACATTTCGCTCCCTGTCCTTCAATCTGAGTGTTTAGGTGCTGTGCAGAGACTGTCCATGTCATATTAGAGCATTCAAAATGTAAACAGATTTTCATGCAGCAGTCTGACGGCTGGTTCTGACAGTGACCTCATCTCACTGCTCTGGGATCTTAGATTTCACTTTACTGACTTTATTTTTAACTGTTTTTGGATAAAAACTCATTCCTACGGAGATTTAAATGTGATCCAAACACTTGCCTGTTATCCTTCAAACAACATGCTGTGTGGTCAGGTCATCATTATTAGCCCACCCTGTGTGTGTGTGTGTGTGTGCGTGCACCTTCCCTGCCTCTGAAACGGGCTCAAAACGACCTCTGCTGGTACAAGACAGCATTACAGAAACAAATACTTAAGAATAGTAAATGGATTGTACCCTCACTTTGGATGTAACTATAATTTTCCTGTTTTCTCTGTTCCAAAGGTGAATACTTTTGCTGTTTGCTTGCATTATGCATCTAAATTTGATGTAATATAAGTATATTTTACTTGCAACGAAGCCTCTCAGTGTTTTTAAATGTGTTCACGCCAACACTGTACATCTACTGACTACACAGTTACCTTAACATTAAACTCTGCCCTCAATGTTTGCACCTTTCACTGGTCTTAAACTTTGCCTCTGTGCTCAGTAACTTGCATGTACACGACCCCTTTAATAATTCCCAGGCTTAAAATGTGATGTTTTTGAGAGCTTGCATTATTATGTCTTTCTGAAATGTTTTTTTGATGTTATGCGTCTCATTGTTTTAATCCCTTACTTTACAGAAGCTTATATGCAGTTGGAAGGTGCTGCAAACAAGTGTCTGGCACAATACAGGGGTTTTACTCTGTCTTTGTATTTGTTCATACCAAATAAACTATAAATCCCGCACACAAACACTCATACTTAATCATGAAGGATCCAGCTGAAGGGGTTTGAATATGTAAAAACATGTAACAAAATATGTTTTTGGGAAAATAAACATCTTAACACTTAAATAAGAGTGAGAAATTCTGTTTATTGTTAGTTTGGGCGGGCTAATCGTTTATTCTGCACATTTTGTATGACAAATAATAGCGTACAAAAACAAAACATGACACATCACAAACTAAACAATTATATACAAACATTTCAAAAGCAGTCAGTAGTCAAGCGGTCTTCAGAATTATGCTGTAATTTGGATTTTTCTACCCACGACTCATTAAACTTTATCTTTAAAGCTCCTGTGAAGATTGTGTTGACTTTGGCGCCCCCTGTGAATAAAGTGATACCTGTAACATCTCAGCTGATTTAAGTTTTAAAAGGCCTTTTTCTTTAAGGTGCTGTATATCTTCTCATCTGACAGCTAGCTCATCTCATCATAAAAAATCACAACGCAGAAACTGTCAGTCTTGTCACTGTCGGTCTAGTTTCTTAAACTAGCTCATAAAAATGCTACCGTCTCCTCACAGGAGCTTTAAAAGTGTGATTTAATCCAGGCTGTCTGACTAAAAACTACAGACAGGAGAGGAGAGTTGATGCTCAGACTTCCAGGACAGGCGTTGACTCCATCACTTGGTTCTTTATCTGAAACAAAAGAAACACAAAGACCGTCAGGGCACAAAACGCAGATGCTTTTCTATATTTAAAAAAGAGACAGATGTCCCGTTGCTCCCGGCCTCGACTGGATTCCCAAACATCACAACTGTAAAACATGCACTTTGTTTCAGGAGTTCTTATGAGCACAACTGGATTCTTGAAATGAATAAAATGTAAACAAGTCATCAGTTGTCTGACCGGTTTCTGTTTCCTCTTGGCTTTCATCATTTCCTGCTGCTGCTTCGACCGTACCTCCTCCAGGCTCATACAGCCGCCTGATGACACAAAAACACACCAACACACACACTCAGATTAAAGGAGGATTCCTCCAGCGGTTAAAAGATATAAGAGTATCACTAAAGAACGTGGAGTAGGGGAGAGTGGGGTAAGATGAGCCATTTTTCATATTTCAGATCACTACAGTTTTGTCTCTGACTTTATCAGTCCTCTAAAATGCTAAAGTGGACTTCTATGTTAGGATTTTGACCTCATGTTGTAGCTCCTAGATGCCACAATTGATGTATAAAACAAATTTAAAATGATCTTTTTTGGTCTGAACACAATTCCAACAAAACTTATGACAGACTAATTTAACTTTAAAGGGTGAAAAATGTTTTTTTTATATAAATAAATGTCTAACCTCTTCACCCATGTGCTTCTAACCTTCACTGACTCCATGAATTGATGCCCATCTCCTAAATATTTGGTCACATGATCAATTTCTTTTACCATTTCCAAGCAACAGGGGGTGGCTCAACTTACCCCACTCTCCCCTACATGAAAAGAAGAAAGACTGTGTAGCTGCGTCTCACCAACACTGCTGGGGTTAATGGAGACATAAGCCATCGCTCTGCTCAACCGAAGCTCCTCCAACGCAGCAAGCTCCGCCTCCGCCTCTGCTCCACCAATCACAAATTACAACGAATGTTAACCAAACATAAAAAAAACCACCAGGTTACAGATGGTGTAAGATGAGGGCGACTCACTCCTCTGGATCTCTCTTCGTTTCTTAGGGTTCGGGGGGATGACAGTGAAAGCTCTGTAACTGAAACACAAGAACACATGCTGGTGAAGACTCTGTGGTGGATTCAATGACAAACAGGCCCTCAGCTGATAGTCCACCAGCACAGAACGAGAGAGCACTTCGCCTTTTGAAATCTGTTCCCTCTCTCCCTCCGTAGAAGCAGCTCCTGGCTCTAAAGTCTGAATCAATTAAAGAAAGCATCTGTTGTCAGTGGATGTTTACAGTGACAGGCAAGTCTGCTAAAGTTCACCTGCAGCTCCGTGAGGACTGAGGGGGATTAATCCAGAGGAACAGATGGTGACATGCAGCAGCAGGGCGACTACCTGACTTTATGCAGAGACCAGTACAGAGACCAGAACACAGCCCACCAGACTGGAATCTAACAGAACGGTCTGGTTTTAGCTGTCCATTTACACTCTGTCAAAATATAGATACCTGATATTTTATGGCCCACAGGGCTTAACAACAGCAAAAAGAGAAATTCAAAACCCCTGAAAGAATCTTTTAGATGGACAAATCCGGCACATTTCACCTCTGCCTGTTGACAATGTGGCATAAAAGGGAGGCACTGCTCCTTTGCACAGGTGCCAGTTGGTTAAGGTGGTTTTTAGAGGTTTTTCCAAGTGTGTTGCAACCAGAAGGAGGCCCTTGGGTAGATCCAGAGCTCACCAGAGGGATTATATATCCCACCTGGCCTGGAAACACCTCTGGATCCCTCAGGAGAAGGTGGAAAGTGTTGCCGGGAGAGAGATTTTTAGGGCAACTTGTTTAAACCACTACCTCCATAACCTGACCCCAGACTAACAGGAGGAAATGGCAGGAATCACTCTGAAAATCACTTTTAAGCTGTAAGAAAAAGTGTTTGCCCACCTGCTCACTATACTACATATAATTTCTTATGTAATGTATGCTGTGGAAATGGGAATAAAGACTATGTTTCTCACATGTTAAGCATAAACATATTACATTTTCTTTTAATCAAATATCAAACCCTCTCTCATTCTGATTTTCCCTTTCCTTTGTCAAATTAACTGACATTTGCTGTGTATTAGTGTAAGAACTGTAGAATGGTATCTATGGCAACAGTCTGTTCTTCTTTGTCACTGACTGCTAGCAAGAAATAACAGACCATTGCAACAAACTAGCTGGCTCCCTGTACAGGATCGATTTTAAGATTCTTTTATTTGTTTTTATGTCTCTGAACATCCCAAAATATCTGTCTGACCTTGTTAAATTGCATCTGCCCTCCAGAACTCCGAGGTCAGCTAATCAGGTGGTTTTAGACGTTCCTGGAGCTTTTTTAAAATCTAGGAGAAATCGATCATTTTCTGTTGTGGCTCCCACATTGTGGAATGCTTTACCCCTGACAGTGCGCACTGCGATAGCTTTTCCACATTTAAAACACCAAGACACACCTGTTCACTTTAGCTTTTGGGGATATAGCTACTTTACTTGGGTCTTTTATTTATTTGTTGTTTAATATTTTTATATGTTTTATGCTTTTATTGTTTTTATAGTTCTTATTGTTTCTGGCTATTTTACTGTAAAGCACTTTGGTAGGCCACTGGCTGTTTTTAAACGTGCTATATAAATAAAGCTGACATTGACAAACTATTGTAATGTAAAGACTAATCAGAATGTAGTATCTTAAGCAGCAGTATTATGTAAATAAAAAGCCTATATACCTTTTCTAACAACCTCCAGGCTCCTTCACAGGTATTAAAAACACAGGTTTTACTTACAGCTGTTTCATGATCAGATAAAACTCCTTACAGCAGCTTTAACAGCTGTTTCAGAGGAGAAGACACAGAGTGTTGCAGAATAAGGCTTACTAACTTACTAACCAGCACCAATCCGATATTTGGATCGGATATCGGCTTCGATATATATTGACTTATATTGACTAATTAACTGGATTGGATATCTGATGAATGATGCCGATCCAGTCTTTTTTTTTCTTTAAATTAATTTTTCTTTTAATACATGGAAGTCTTACTTCTTTTTGCTGTGAGCTAATGTGCGATTTGTTATTTGTTAATCAATAATATTAAGTAAATTTATATTTGTGTTAATTTGCTACCTTTTTTCAATAAGGTTAATGTCAAGCCTGATGCCTTCACACACAGGGCAAGGTATAAAGTTCATTCATTCAACAGTAGTATTGGATCGGTATGGGAAATCGGCCGATACGCTTAGCCCAGGTATCGATATCGGATTGGCTCGGAAAAAAATGGATCGTGCATCTCTATTACTAATCCAGGTTATCTCACCTCTGAATGGCATGTTTCATCTCCGCCCTGACCCCCCTCTGCTCCCGCTGACACAGGCTCATCCTCGGGCATTTCGGGGTCATGTTGGCACTCCTCACCGAGCTGGCCACCTTCCGACCGTCCGGTTTATTTCTTGGCGCGTTGGAGCTGGACCTGGCCCTCCTCTCACAGCCCGGTTTCAGGCCCGTGCGCCTCGGCCCGGAGCCCCCCTCCTGACCCTTGTCCTTCTGCGAAAACCTGGGGCAGCTCGACGCGCGGCCTCTCCGCACAGTGGGCACTTTGAGTTCACTCTGGGCTCCGTTAACCGCCTTCACCTTCACCGGTCTGGCTCTGTCCACAGTTTTCCCCGAAGGCTCCACCGGGGTTTGCTTGATGACTCTAGTGGCCGGCATTTTAATCTGATGATACCTCTGTTTTATTCAGACACAAAGTATGAAAGACACTCGTCATTTTTTGTTTGAATAAAAGGATTAAAATCACAAAACTTTAACTTTTCCTGTCGGTGGTGCCGTTGCCATGGAGCAGATTGTGCCTTAGTAACTCTCACGTGTCAAAACCCACGGATTAGGAAAAGACTTCCGGTTTGCACTTTCAAAATAAAAGCCGATTTCAGAATTAAACATTCAAAACAAAAACAGCAGTCACCCTAGATTACAACTGCCTCAGGGTGTTGAGTCTGTATCCTAGCAACGGTATCATGGAGAACATCACTCGGAACTTCAGCCGTTGCCTTGAGTGGGATGTAAACAAGTACTGATATGATATGCCTGAATTTAATATGGCAGCGTTCCAGTAAACAAGTCAAAAAACCAAGATGGATGCCTACTGTTAGCCATTGTTAGCTGTTGTTCACAATTGTCAGCTGTCGTTCACAAAAACAAAACAGAAATGTGAATAAATAATACATTAAAAGAGCTTTCACTGTTTCCCTTTACTGTTGATGCACTGTGCTGCCATCTTGGATTATGACATTGTTGTCAAGTCGGGGTTGGTGAGCATCGTCCAACTTTCTGAGTCGTAAATCCGACTTCAGGGTACAACCAGATGAATTTCCGACTCGGATCTCGGAAACTCCGACTTCCAAGTACAACTGGAACGCAGCATTACTTTAAAGCTCCTTTTTAGAACTGTCAGCTTGTGTTGAATTTGGCGCCCCCTGTGGACAAAAACTGTGCGTCTTACCTTGTTGCAAGCTGGTTACAGTCAGTTATATCACTCACTGATAATCTTTACAGGAGAAAACTTGATTTAAAAAAAAGTTTTTGGCCATTATCGTATGACACCTACCATGGAATTTCATTAACCAGTTGAATGGAATCAACATCGTCTCTGATGCATCAGGACAAGTTTGTGTGTTTATGAGTTTGTGAATGTTAACATAAGCTTTGAGAAACCTGAAGTTGTTGCCTGGTCACTTTTATATCAAAGTCCTCCAGCCTTTCTTAACCTTGTATTTTATTTTGAAAGAATTTCCTCATCGTTTCCGGTTCGCCCGGGTCTGTGTACGTTAACTGTGATGCAGCTGCAGATTAAGTTGTGTGACGCAGCAGAGTATTTGTTGTGGAGGCTCTCAGAGGCTCACAAAACCAAGTCCGTCTGTCTGTCAAATGACAGAGGCTCATCCGATTACTGACACGAGACCCAATCCAGGTCACATGACCGCCAAGAATTTTAAAGTACAATAAAGTATATACTGTTAACAGGAAATATGTCTGCTAGTTATAGCTTAAATATTGTGCACTGTGTTTTAAGGCTTTAAGATTTATATAAAAAGTATTGTAAAGTGCTCTGAGTTTTCACTTTATCCAATTTAAGTAGTTTTATTCTAGTTTTTACATGACAACATTAATATGACAAGACAGTGTATATAAAGGTTTTACACAAACTTATAAAGATGTGTAGTGATTGACTTAATGGGATTACTGTCTTGAGTCTGTTAGAACAAACAAACAGCAAATTATCATAAGTGTCATATGGACCAGAGTAAAACTATTTTTGATTGACTACTCATTTAAATTTCACACAAATAGGGAAGACAGGGGACAGTTTCAACACCAACTGTTATTCCGCTAATTAGAAACTTGTTACAGTGATGGAACTTTGTCCACACATGCTCAACCCCAATTTCCACCGCATCTGGAACGGCTACAAAAAGGCTGTATCCGCCGATCGCAGCTGATCGTAATCATTCAAGTTAATGTGTCAATTTCCACCGGCTTCTTTCCGTTCCGCTGCGGATCGCTGGACTCCGCAGCTGATCGCAAGAGTTGTATTTGTCCAGACGTTGGAGCATGCCGGCTAAATTCAGCACAGATTAACCCGTGCTGGAAAGGAAGGCGAGGACAGCACCCTCTGTTGACGGGCTGCAGTATAGGTAATAAATCCAGCCTCTGCCAGCAAAGTTTATGGAGCTGTGGACAAACTTGAGAAATTTATTACAGAGAATATAAATTTTTCTCCACCCAATTGTGATGTTGACATGTTACAGTAAGACTGGTTTGTGCTCAAGTCCTGTTTTTTTCGGTACAGCTCGATTTTTAAAAGTTATTAGGGGGTTCATGTTTTCTATGATTGACACCTGATACAGCCTATGGGCGTTCAAGGATTGTGTACGTCACCCGGGGGATACACTGTTTGAGCCGAATGTCATCACAGCAACTCTCGGCGACTCTCCCATCGAATGCGTACAACACTACTGTGCAAGTGGTGGAGTGCATACAATGCTACTGCACAATGTTGGTTTCAGGAAATGGAGAGAAAACACAGAATTACAGAGAGCTTTTTGGCTTCAAATCTGTATACTGGCGGAAGGCGGAACCAAGTTGTCCATAGTATATACAGTCTATGGCATAAGCCAAAAGTTCTTCACAGGAGCTTTAAAATCTGATTTTTTATCGTTAAAAAAATCAAATTAACACTGTTTTTGAAGTGGTATGTGTAGTTGGTTTGTTTCATTCATATAATAAATGTTAGTCTAATTTGAAAAGTCCCTGAGTAACACAGAGAACTACAAAACGTGTTGTATCCGTCCCCTGTCTCCCCTAATTCTGTCCATTTACTGATGCATAATCTTCCCTTTCCTTCACCAGTCTTGTGAAAACAGTGCTGTTATTCCTCTGCATCACCTTGTGCAGCGTGCACGCTGCTGCAGCCTGCTCCACTCTCAGTGTCTTTGTGAGTCTTCTTCTCGGTCCTCCTGAGCTCTGAGTGGTGCTGTCTCCTCTCTGCCTCCCTGGCAAATCTGCCTTCCATTGCACTTCTCCACCAGCGGACTAACCAGGCCCCTCGCAGCTGCTACACGGGGCCCCCAGAGCCGGGCTGATTCCCACCGCAGACCCGGCAGGTGTGACTCTGGAGCCTTATTGGGGGGAACTGCCTGGCAACGTAGCCGCTCCGGATGCCGGATCTCCGGACTGCTCCGCAGGAAAAGCCCCTGGCTGTGCTGAAACCATAATCAAAGTGCGACACACTCTCACACACACAAACACATGCACATCACACACGGGCCTTTCTCGCATTGTAACTTTGCGTTTTCGCCTCTCTGCGGGGGATAAACGCAGATTATCGGAGGTGAGGCTGCTGGGGTTATTATCCGGGGGAGCGTGACGCGCACTCCACAGCAGCTCCTGCGCTGTCAGACGAGGAAGTGAGGCTTCAAACACGCCCATTTCTGCCTGTCGAAGCCCGGAGCCGTTCATCAGATAACAGCAACAGACTTTCCAAACATGCGGTCTGTCTCGGATGGACAACCCCGGGAATAACCTGCAGGACGACGCGGACATCAGGGGGTAGGTAGAGCTCTCCGCGGCCCGGGGACATGACAGTTTCCCCAAATGTTTTTATCGCCAGACTTCTCCTCTGTGCAGGCCTGTCTCCATCTTTTCTCTTTTTTTTTTGATAGTCACATGCATGATCTCTGGCCTAACTGTCACCGACATGCACAGACACTCGTTAATTCTCAGTTCGGCTCTGAATGAATCAAGAGGAGCTCATAGTTCAGCGAACAGGCTGCGGGCCAGATGTCAGCATCAGCCCCGCTGTGCGTGGACTGGCACCTGCTTGCGTGGTGATGTTGCGTGAAATTAGCTGAGTTCAGGCTGCAGACTGAGAGCCCAGAGAGCCCATTAAAAGCCAGAAACAAACCATTAATGCGATTTTAACCAGTTTGCTGCCATCTCCAGATGTGGCAGATTGACTGCTGGATAACTAAGTGCTTCAGTGACATTAGAGGAATCCTCAGTGGGCATTTCTGTTTGTCATGACTTGGAAAAATACCTGTTTGCAAAGATTCATTCCTGAGATAGTCCATATTTTTATTTATGAAATGATGCACAGGGATGAAGTGGCAGCACAGTCACTCAGTTTCTCAGATAGGTTTGCAGCAGAATGTCAAATTCCTCCCTTTATTTGTGGATTTATTACCTATTTATGAAATCAAACTGATTTATTAGAAGAGTTTGAGCTTTAGAAACCTGAAGAAGTCAGCTGTAATTGTATAGACAACAACTGTAAGAAGATGTGTTTAATTGATTCACTGATTTTTATTTCCTGTAGATGCTCTACAAAGAATAAAAACACTGACATGTACCTGAGGTAGGGATCAGATCAGGATGATTTTACACTTGCAGTATTAATTTGCACAAGTGTCCTGAGTGAGTCGTGTTACAATCCACTAATCTGGCTAAAAAGCTTCGATAATCCCAGGTTACACTTGAGACGGTGGTTAAACTTTCAGCATAAACTGTTTATTTTTAGATAATTTAATATGATATTTTATAGTGATAGCTGGAAAACAAACACCCCCACTGGCTCCAAGGTCACCGACGTCTCCCCTGTCGTTCACAGCTGTGTTAATAATATTCTTATTACAGCTTAGCGGTGTGATTTTATCCTTTAGAGGTTTAAAGTTTAAACATTTGTTGCTTTAGGATATTAGAAATCTTGGAAAGAAAACGGTTTATTCTGTGAGGGAGTTTTCACTCAGCTGTACTGAACTGTAAATGTCATAATATCACTTTGACTTCAGTACATAGTCCCACAGACAGAGTCCACATTCAGACTTTGTTTGTGCCGAACTTATCATGCATCTAAAAGTAGCACAGAATCACATGAACAGAAAATCGATAATAACCCTGATTCATGCGTAAGATGAAACATCAGCGAATCAAACTAAACAAGCAACAAACTAAGGACATAAAGAATCAAACTCAGGACTTTATAAAGGTACAGCCCATATCACTGATTCACCTTAACACAGTTGGTTTAAATCTGCAGTCATTATATCGAATACTTTAAATAATCAAATATACAAGCTGATTAAAACAGTCACCAGCTCGTGTTTAATGTAAACCCTGTCGAGTGGATAGAAGAATGCAGTTTTATATTCTTCTGACATAAATATCATTTAATACATTCGTCTGTTTCTTCTATAAATCTAAAACAGATTACTGGCAAAGATAACTGTGTTCATTAGCTTTTTATGTGCATGTAATGATGGATTTTGTTACAGAGAGCACGCTGCATCAGAATAATGAGAGAGCATGACCGCTACACGCAGACCTCCATGTTGAGGTTTTATTTACACGTGCACCGATGGTGTAGCATCGTCTTCTTCGCTCAGATAGACTCAGACTCTGTGCTGCTGTGTGTAACATGGGTATACAGTGTGATTATGAAGTGACTCTGTTAACCAAAAACTGACTCCATGTGATCTGGGAGATATGCAAAAAAGAGATGTGGAAAAAACTGAATATGTTTTTTCCATGACTACAAACGGAGCATTACTTTGTGTGTTTTGACATCCCCACATCAAACGCAATGAGATTTTCTTCTAAAGCTCATTCAGGACAGAGGAAAACACACATCTGAAGGTCAAAGGACTGAAATAAGGAGTGCTTTAGAAGAACTGCTGGGAATGAATTTGCATCTACGGACATCATGAACTGTGGCACAACAATAAAAGTTTCAAGACTTGTGATACTTGCAGAAAAAAAACATCGCTCTAGTCTGCATAGGTATGAAAAATAAGTTTACATTTGGATCTGTGCAGGTCGTCCCCTCACTGTTTTTGCTGTGTCACGTGAGGTTAACCGCCGCCATGGTCGGATGCAAATCACACAGCTGAGGTGGACAGTGTTGGTGTCGTGTGTCACTCAGTCTGCAGAGGAATGAAGAAAGAAAAGTCAGACATGTGGTCCAAAGTTTTTGTTGTGTGATATTCCCCTCTATAAAATATTCCCTCTTATAGTAAAACATGTTAAATTGTGATTTTGATCTCGAAGAGCAGTGCTGTTAAACTGGAAACACAGTCTTTCACTGAGCTTCCTCTGAAACACTCCACAGTGCCCCTTCAGTTCACATCTTTCTTCCAGCAGCTGTTTGTTTGTAGCGAGTCCATTACGGTCTGCAGCGGGGTGACACAGCTCAATGAAGAACATTTATGATCATTACTTTATCATTTCCTTTAAGTAATAATCACCATATTAATCATTTTGTACTGCAGACGCAGTAGTTCTTCTGCCTCAGCGTCCCGATCTGATTGCATTTTCATGAAGTAATGATCATAAATGTTCTTCCTTGAGCTGCGTCACCCCGCTGCAGTCTGTAATGGACTGGCCTGAGGTCTCACTACAAACAAGCAGCTGCTGTAAGTGAGTTGTGTTTAGTCTCTTTGCTTAAGAAATTAGTCAAAGTTAAAAAGATGTTTGGTGTCTAGTACTATGTCTGTGACCCTATATGTCCTGTTGATGAAGTTAGGTGCTGTTCTGAGCATTATTTGTGGCTATAGAGTGGTGTTTTAGTTGAAGTTTGTTCATGGCTCCTCAGACCGCTGTGTATTGCTATTGTGCGGTCGTTACTAAAGTTGGTATAACTAGAAAAGCAAGCAGTCTGCAACATTAATCTCTCGAGGGGGTGTCTAACTTGGTGTTACAGTGTGTTTGACCCTAAATTAATTTTACGCTAGAATATCCCTTTAACCTTATATCCAGTTGAAGTCCTCACAGGAGCTTTAAAGTGTTGTGTTGGTTTGGGCGCCTCCTGTGGACAAAGGTGTCCAATTTTCTTTTTCCAAATTTCTTGTGCTGTCTGGGGTGTTTTCTGTCAGAAAATCTCCTCCTTTTAAAAGTCTCTCACATCCCGCTCTGTGAGTCTTTGCTGAGGTAAATGTAAAAGAAAGGCGGGCTCTGCAGCGTGCGCTGGATCAATGTTCCCCACACTGATGCAGCAGAAATGATCAGTCCTATAGATGATGGGCTTGTTTGCTTTTGTTGGTGTGTTGATGCGGGTGAAGGTGAAGACTAAACTAAAAGCTGTGTTTTGATTGGTTATCTGTCCGTGTGTGTGTGTGTGTGTGTGTGTGTGTGTGTGTGTGTGTGTGTGTGTGTGTGTGTGTGTGTGTATGTGTGTGTGTGTGGTGCAGTCAGCTTCAGTGTTGAAGGATGGACCGGGAGCTGCTGCGTCAGAACCAATCAGAACACGGCGAGGCCACCAATGGGACCAGCCCTCAGACTTCCACCTCCACGGCCGACTCTTCCAACCCCACAACCCCCACCCCTCCCCGCCTCACCCCCAATCCCATGCTGCTGGACTCCCCCGCTCCCTCGCTGACACCCACCACCTCCTCCCCTCCTCCCCCTCTCACCCCTGCTCCATCCATCACAACAACCCACGTCCCAAAGGTGGCGTCGGCTCCTTCCCCACACATCCTCGTCCCCGCCCCCCCTAAACTCACCTCCACCACTACCCCTGCCCTCCGCACCTACTCCCGCCCTATCCTCCCCTCCCCTGCAGGGGTCTCTAAAACATCTCCATCTTCTTCCTCTTTCCTCCCTCCTTCCTCCTCCTCCTCTTCCTCTCCTGTTGTAGCCAGCGCCACCTCGCCACTCCCCTCCTCCTCTTCTTCTTCCTTTTCTTCTTCCTCCTCTTCTTCCCCTTCTGCCACGCACAGCGCCTCCATGGCATCCAAGACCTCCACCAGCCTGACCAACGGGAACACAAGACCAGTTTCCACGCCGACCTCCTCACCTATCAAGCCCTTCCACACACCAGCCAGCCCACCTGGCCGACAGGTAACAGACAGCACACACACGTTCTGAATAGACAGAGCACGCTGATGTCCACTTGATCACATGACACCACCAGCAGGACTTCCTGCTCCACATACTTTGAATCCAGGAGTTTTTTCTCTGACGTGTGACATGACCTCAGTCTGCTTTTTTAATCATATCCTGGTTATGGTGTTTGCAGGCATGCAGAGAAACCTGTTTATTCATACCCTCGTGATCATGATAAATAGATATACTCTGTTTTTTTATCACTGTGTCTTATTTGTATAGGTGCCTGCAGTGTTTACATTTTGTAACACAAGCCGTGGCAAAGTAGACACCTGAAAAAAGTGAGACGACTGTGGCGTACCGCAGGTCTAGCACCACCGAATGACACCAAAGCAGCATTTCAGGGCTTCCTCTCCTTTAATTCCCTCATTACCAAAAAGACAAAACTCTGTTTCTTTGTCGCTCCAGAAGTGAGACGCTCTTGTTTGTTTTGCTGATGCGTCACCTAGCTGAGGCCACACCTGCACAGGTAGTCAGCAGCTGTTTGAGAGCTAAAAACTGCAGTTCTCTGACTGTCCACTAGGGCTGATTACACAAACATAAAAAACCATATAGACACTCATTCAAAAAGGAAAGAAGAGAAGTAAGTTCAGATCACCAATCTGTCAATCAAAGATGATACCACTTTAAACAAAGAGGAAGTACTCAAATCAATTAAAACCACATCTGGACAGAAGAAACACTAAAACGGAGATACACTAAATATTTAAATCACCATGAATAAAGGGCAAAAATCTATAAGAAGACTTCAGAAAGTGTTGTACATGAACAAAGTATAAAAAATAAACCAAAACAGATTCATGTTTGAGATTTATACCAAAATATAAATAACAAATCAATAAAAACAGTGTCTGTAGGAGCCAAATCTGTATGAGTATATTGTGTTATTATGAGTTGCAGTTCACTTTGTGTGCCGTTGGTGTTGCTGTCTTGTTATCTGGGGGCTCAGGGATAAAGGTAGTCATGTCACTGTTGTGTGCTGGTGTTTGACCCGGAAGGGCAAAAGGTTTTTGACTAATGTTGTAGGAGCTAAGTCGATACTTAAAGCTACTGAGATGCTTGACCCAGAGTAACCTGGTTGACGCGCCGCGCTACTGAGCTTTACCGTGAGTTGTGATGATCATTGAAAGTCCGGACGCTGTTCCTCAGATTCAGCAAACAAAAATTTATTCCATAACCAAAACTATTTTGCAATTGGTATCCAACACTGAACAAGCCAGGAAAACGCCGGCAGCTAGCGCCACGACGGTCAAAAATCTTTTGCCCTTCCAAGGCACACAAAGTGAACTGCAACTCATAATAATACAATATACTCAAACATATTTGGCTCTTACAGTGTCCATGTGTCTGTTTGTGGTGAGTCTCAGTTTTACTGTAAGTCGTGGGTTACACAGATGATTCACTCTGACTTACTTCAGTGTAAAGAAGCGAATTCTCTCATTTTAACCGGTTTGAAGTTTGAACATTAGTAAACAGGAAACAGTCCAGCTTTGTCAGGTCTGTCTTCAAGAGGAGGAGAAGTTTGTTTGGTCGTTTTCTGATGTGTTCAAGGAAGTCAGGGAATCTCAGCACTGGCTGCCTTTAGTGACAGCATCAAGCAGATCTGTATCTCTGTAAATGTTTGATCTAGAACAGACTTTTGGTTGCACTAACATGCATTTATCTGTTGATAGAGATCCTTAATAAAATCATTTTGTTGGATCTCTGCTGATGGGAGGCTGGGTGTCATGACAGCAGATTTTGTTTTATTTAATCTCTGTTAAAAAAAAAAGACGCAGTTAGAAATAATCTGATCCACCGTCAGAGTAAAAGCCTACTTAAACACTTCTGGTTTTAAAGCAAAGTGAGGGTTTGGTTTTTCCTTTAAGTTTCTTATTTTAGAGCCGCTCACTTTTAATATTCCGTGTTTATGTTCTCACCAAAGTCTGTCTCACTGTTCAGCCACCAGAGTCCAAACAGGAGGAGATCTGAGCTGATAAAAATGTTTATCCACCCTCTGAGCCGCCGACAGTTATTACACTGAGCTCAGAGCAATAAGATGAGGAAGCAGGGTTTTTATTCGGGGTTTCGTCCACACAGACTGACGTACAGTGAAGTAGGGTAAAATCATAGGGGCTGCTGCTGCATTCATGAGCTCCAGACATGGTCCCGGTTTCTAAATTCAGAAGCTGTTTTTTGATCTTTGGTGTGTTTGGGTGCCTCCCATTCAGGAAGTCGAGTAATATTGAATAACTTGACTATTTTAATCAAGGATGGATGCTTGTTAATCCTAAAATATTGCTTTTATAAACACACCTGACTATTTAAATGGGTTAAATTTGCCACACTAGGCCACTCTGTTGCGCTCAGTGTTTTTCCAGGCAGGTCACGAGGTCACGCTCAGCCTGCAGTAAATCAGCTGATCACTTTCTATGCATCCAGTTTGTAAATGTCAAAATTGTTTAAACTGCTTTAGCCTGCCTCCTCTTCCTGCTTCTTCTGCAACCCGCCTCCCCGACCTCAGCTCCTCCTTTTTACGCTGTTTCTGATTTCTTTGCTGCTGCTCTCCCTGCTTCGGCTTTTCATACGTGCACAAGAAACAGAGGGGAGATGTAAGCATGTAGAAAGGCAGGGGGATGAAAAACTTCAGTTTGTCTCATGCAGCCAAACCTAAACCATAAATATCAGAAACCTTGTTTTCTTTGCTCTCCCTCCCTCAGGCTCGGTATGCCTCTGCTCTGTTCTGTACCTTGGTGTCTGTGCTGCTGCTCTACCTGCCTATGATTTTTATGTATGGGTTAATTTTTTAATGCAAATTAATCACAACTAAAACCAATCCCAGCTGAATTATTACAAATTTTATTTGAGCAAAGATTTGACATGCAGTATGTGAATTACTAAAAAGTATTTTTACATTCTTGGCGCAGCATGTTGACCCGTCAGGAACCAGATTTACGGAGTTTTGTCACGTTCAGGAGTGAAACAAGAAGGGAAAGGACCCAAGTGCAGAATCAAAATGAGGATTTATTTAAAAGGAACTAAAAGAAAAAAATGAAAACTTACTTAGTGTGTCAGAAAACTCCCAAAGGCAAAAACATAAAAGCCAAAATCCAACAAAGACACTGGGGGAAAAACCCCATGGAGACACTGAAGACACTCGTACATACCACACAACACAAATTCACAATGAACCAACTAGGAAACTGGGGAAGACAGGGACTATATATACACACAGGGATACGAGCAACGAGAGGCAGGTGAGACTGAGACACAAGTGTGGACAATTACTAAGGAGGGAAACTGATAATGGAGAATAAAACACTGAGAACATGAGGGAAACGGTCAAACACAAACTGAAAACTCACAAGAAAGGACAACAGGGGAACAGAAACATCAGGGAACAGAGACATTAGGGAAAATCACAAAGAAAATCCACTCGAGGGAAAAAACAAACCAGGGAAAAACTAAAAACCAGAACATATCATGACAAATTTGGGGGTTTTTCATCTGTCTAGGACAAGCATCCATACTTAGCGACAGTATAAACTCATGATTTGATGTACTTTTTAAAGAGCCTTCAATTCAAACAGGATCAGTGTCAACATTAACTTGTTTGTTTCCACCCTCTCTGCACAAATTCTCATAATCTGTCTGAATTTTACTGCTAAATGTTTGAAGAAGACGGTCTTCTTGCTCTAAAGCTCCCCTGATTTGTCCCCCTCCTCTCCCCTCCTCTCCTCTCCTCTCCCCTCCTCTCCTCCCCTCTCCTCTCCTCTCCCCTCCTCTCCTCTCCTCTCCTCTCCCCTCCTCTCCTCTCCTCTGCCCTCCTCTCCTCTCCTCTCCTCCTCTCTCCTCTTCTCCTCTCTACCTCCCTTTCACTCCAGGTATCACAGGCTCATCCTGTGGGCACACCTGGTCTTGTGCGAGCCAATCAGAACCCGTCCCCTGTCAGGCAGAGGGTATCCCAGCAGACCTTGCTCCTGGGGAAAGGTCTCAAAGGGTCTGGCCAAGACCAGGTGCTGCTTAGAGCTCAGATGGTAAACACAGATCCACACAAACACAAATACACCTCGAACGTTTCCAGCCTTGCCACCTCTCGTCTTTTTACTTCCTCCTCACTTTTTTCCCTCTTCTCTTCTTTCCTCCTGCAGCTGATTCTCACATCTGCTATGCGACCTGCCCTGTCCTCCTCCTCCTCTTCTTCCTCCTCCACCTCCTCTCCTCCTGCTTCCTCTAACCCCGCCTCCGCTCAGGTGAGCAGAAGAGCAGTTCTGACTTTTCTTGTGTGCATGTTTGAGTTCGGTGTGAAGTCCTGCGGCTGGTATTTGACTGACAAGCTTTCAACGCTCACTCTGCACAGTCTAATAACAGCGGCTGCATTATCGGGAAAACAGTGATGGACGCTTTTACCAGTTTTTATTTTCCAATGACATCCAGAAAGTACTAGTTTGGGTTTAATCCTTATATCCTGATATCATATCTGATCATCTCTCTCTCTGTCTTTCTGTCTCCCTCTCTCTTCTCCAGCTTCAGAGTCTCACCCTGAGACCTCCTCCCCCCGGGGCCCTCACCATCCCTCCCTCCCTCCGCCTCAAACCCCCCTCCTCAGTCCCGCCTCCCCTCTCTCGCCCTCACGCCCCTCTCTTCCCCCCTCTCAGGCCGCGACCGCAGCCCAGCACCACGGCAACCGAGAGCCCGACCACACCCAGCCGTCACCTCTCCGTCCCTCCGCCAAGTAGGTCCCTGCAGGGAACCGATGGTGTCACAGCGGAGCCAGACTGTCAGCGTCTCTGTGCTTTATTTATTCAGCATCAGCATGAGGCAACAACCATGAAATGAACATCAGGGCTAAATGATGAAGCTCACTGACAGGTTCAGTCCCCCTGGTGTCTGATTAGCTGGGGGGCTCATTTCTCTACGACTGCAAGACTAACCTGTCGATGCACCTTTAATCACAGATGATTGAGTTTAAACCCTGAAACATCTCACCTTCAGTGTGAATGTCACAGAGACAAGATGGTGCCACACAGTCCTACTGCTGCGCAGGTGTTACTTTAGAGGTAGTAAGAGAGGTGTTAGCTTTTGTGGCTGCAGGTTTACAGGAACTAAACTTTTAACTTTTGCATCTTAAAGGGATATTCCAGCGTAAAATTAATTAAGGGTCAAACACACTGTACCACCGACTTAGACACCCCGTCGAGAGATGAATGTTGCCGACCGCTTCCTTCTCTAGTTACACCAACTTTAGTAACGACCGCAGGATAGCAATACGGAGAGACACGCCCTCAACCAAAACGCCACTCTATAACCACAAATAATGCTCATATAGGGTCATAAACATCTTTTTAACTTTGCCTGATTTCTTGAGCAAAGAGACTAAACACAACTCACCTACTCTCTTCCAGCAGACGCTTGTTTGTAGGGAGACCTCAGGCCAGTCCATTACTGACTACAGCGGGGTGTCGCAGCTCAAGGAAGAACATTTATGATCATTTCTTTATCATTTCCTTGAAGTAATAATCACCATATGAATCATTTTGCAGACACGGTAGTTTTTCTGTCTTAGCGTCTCGGTCTGATTGAATTCCATGAAGAAATGATCATAAATGTTCTTCCTTGAGCTGCGTCACCCCGCTATATGTCCTGTTGATGAAGTTAGGTGCTGTTCTGAGCATTATTTGTGTCTATAGAGTGGCGTTTTGGTTGGGGGCGTGGCTCTCTGTATTTCTATCTGCGGTCGTTACTGAACATCATGTTTTCACCTCAGCGGTTCTGTCATGTTTCCTCTTCATCCTCTGTCTCTCTCTCTCTCTCTCTCTCTCTCTCTCTCTCTCTCACAGCTCTGTACTCTCCGGTCCGGGCCATCCCCCTCAGACCCAGACTTCACTCTCCAAACGGCCACAGAGTGACGTCGCCGAGGCAAACCTCAGCCCTCCAACCAATCGCTGCTGCCCCCGCCACCCAGGCCTCCTCCGTCAGCAGGCCGCTGTCCGGGCTCAAGACCTGTCCGCTAACTCAAACCATGCTCGGGCCCGGCCAATCACAGCACAGCTCGTTATCAGTGACCAATCCAATGTCTGTTTCTTCCCATTTCGAGCGCTCGCCGTCTGCAGCGAGGCAGCTGCAAATCATCGCTCTCTCCTCGGGCCGCCAGACGCAACCCGGCACCTACGGCCACACTGTGCAGTCGCCGCCTTCAATCGTAGAGTCCTCTGACTTGACCAGCCAATCAAAGAGGACTCTGAGCGGTGAGGACGTGCTTCCTCTTCCTGTCAACCCAACGGTGCCAAAAAATACCTCTCCTCTGCCCTCGCCTCCGTCCCTCCTGAGTCCGGCGTCCCCTCCGAGTCAGGCGGGCCCTCAGATACAGACTATGACCCAGAAAAAAGAGGCGAAGGAGAGCGAGGAGCAGAGGGAGAGACCACGAGGGGTGAGACAAGGGATCAGAGAGGAGGGGGGTGTAGGGAAAGACCTGAAGACGGTGCAGAAAGACGACCAAAGAGGGAAAGAGAAGGAGGAGAAGCCGAGGCTGTCAGCGGAGACGGAGGGAAGCCTCAGCGGGAAGAAACCGACGCAAGAAGCAGAAAGAGGCAAAGAGGACGAAGACATGGAGGTGACGGAGGAAGGAGAGAGTGACCGAGCGAAGGAGGAGAAAAAGATGGAGGAGAAAGAGGAGGGAGAGACCACTATGGACCAGTCTGAAGACCTGACCAGTCAGAGTCTTCATCAGCACCAGAACACAGAGCCAGTCCCAAAGCCTGAAACCGTCAGAGACTCAAGTATGGAGCTGAAACCCACCAAGCCGCTTGTTTCTGCCCCAGTTCCACCTCCAGCTGCGGTACCAGTGACAGTACCGGTACCAACCCCAGTCCCAGAGATCTCTGTCCACAATCAGAGACTCCCAGAGCCTCATCGGGACCTTCAACCGGTCAGCCAGGAGGACTTCTGTGAGAACATGTCAACACAGTCAGACAACCAGTCAGGTGAGGACTTCCACTGGGTTCAGAAATGTTCAGTTTTTATGCAGATGTGAAGCTCTCTCTTTTATCACCTGATTCTGATCCACAGGGTTGTTGGGCTCAGCCTACATAGTTATGAGGCACAGAGAAAACCCACGACCTCTTGTGACCTTGCGGAGGCTTGCACCGACCCCCTCTACTGGTCATTTGTCTTAAATTGAGGGGTCGTTTTACCCCCAATTCCACCGCATCTGGAACGGCTAAGAAAGGTCATATCCTCCGATCGTAGCTGATCGTAATCATTAAAGTTAGTGTGTCAGTTTCCACCGACTTCTTTCCGTTCCTCTGTGGATCGCCGGACTCCTCAGCTGATCACAAGAGTTCTAATCTTTCTGGACTCCAGAGCATGGCGGATAAATTCAGCACAGATTAACCCGTGCTGGAAAGGAAGTCGAGGACAGACACAAAATAAAACATCCGACTTCTTTTCAAAATAAAACACTCCGTGTTTCAGGAGGATCGTATTTCACACCATGCAAACGGGCGGAGACGAACAAGTGAAAGGTTTTTAGACGTCATTTCACCCCGATGACACCATGGATGAGGAGATGTTGTTTTTAGCTTGTTACGTATTACTGCACAATTGCACGTGAATCCGCGGGTTCTTGTGAGTTCTTGCGATTCCTGCTGTCTGTAATCCGCCACGAAATTCGCCTCATAAATGGATACAGTAGGAATTGGTTCTGTATTGGAGCTGTTCCAGATGCAGTGAAAATTGGGGGTTAATCAAAGCGGCTCTCCACATGAACTTTCTTTTCTGTTAGACCGGTGTGGGACACAGCTGATTTTATAGATGACATTAAACTAAACCTCATGTTTATAAAATTTCAACAATGACTCATGCAGGATATTTGTGTGACACTAATGTAATCAGTCAGTCAACTGTGTCAAAAACTCCAGACGAAAGTTCCTCACTGCAGCTTTAAGAGCTTCAAGGAGAGTCTTTGTTTGTCTGAAAACTCTGATCTCCGTCTTTTCTCCTCCAGCGCTGTCCAGCCTCTCCTCTCAGTCTCCACCCTCCTCGCCCTTCATCACTCCCTCAGCCGAGCACCCTCCTCCCCTCCTCCCCGCTCAGACCGCCCACCCGACCGACCTCAGCCTACCGCAGCGCGAGACGGAGAAAGTCGACAAAGTGGCGAACGAGTCGCAGCACCTTACGGAGGTCGAGACGGAGACGGAGCCCCTCGGCCAATCGGAGGACGAGTCTGATGCCTTCAGCGCGTCTCTGAACAGCCCCTGGGAGCCGAGGGCGTGGCCTGAGGGACGGCAGGTTCTGACTCACCTGGTGGAGGGGTTTGTCATCCAGGAGGGTCTGCAGCCTTTTCCTGTAAGGGGACACACACAAACACATGTGTAATATATGAATGAGTGTAAGTCAGATCATCTTCAGGTCCTGCACCTGGATAATCCTGGACTTTGTCGTTCTACTCTCAGGGTTAGGACTTCCTAAGGGGTTGATGAACTACCCCGGTACTACATTTAGACCCTGGTTCCTGCTACTGAGACACAGAGTTCCTCAGACAAACACAGACTCTTAAACCCCTTTGTGCGTGACTCTGAGTACTTTTCTATCTTGCAGGTGAACCGCTCGTCCCTCCTCGTTCCAGAGCAGGTGACCAAACCCAAGGAAGTGAACGGGACCAATGGGAAGGCAGCGTCACCTGTGTCGGACACGGTGAAAAAGTCGGAGCACTCTACGGAGTCGGAGGAGGAGGAGGAGGCCGGAGACGTAGAGGAACACGGGAACAGTGAGCGACTTATAAACGAGATGGTTTTAAAAAATGTGAACACCATGATTTTCAGCTTTTATCAAGTGACAGTAGAGAAGAAGAACTTCATTTAACAGGCAGAAACCCGGATCAGAACCAGACTCATGTTAGACAGTCATCTGCTGAGACTGCGATCCAGAAGAACCTCCAGAACATGATGGACCTCCGGACTCCCAGAAAAGACTGTATTAGTGATCATGAGTGTCTTTGTCTCACACAGGGTCGACCCACAGGGACCGGACGGTGCTGCACTGTCAGTTCTGTGGGAAAAGAGGCCACGCCCACAACTTCATGCGGTCCAAGCGTTTCTGCTCCACTTCCTGTGCTCGCGGGTAAGACCTCGTGCGATTGGCTCAAACACAGAAAACCAGCTTTTGATCTGTGTGACCTCCAGACACACAGTCTCTGAAGAGCAGAGGTGTCCTAAGGTGTAGCTCTCACTGCGGCGGTGGCAGGATGTGGTGTGTGTGTGTGTGTGTGTGTGTGTGTGTAGACGCTCGCAGGTGTAAGCAGCAGATGTGTGTGTGAACCTAAGCAGCAGAGGGTGAAAGTATCTTCTCATCTCTCCTCCGTTTTCTCCCTCCTGTCTTTCTTGATCAGGTTTAACGTTCGTCTGACGAAGCGTCTGCGGGCTCTGAGTGCAGGCAGCCGGTCAGAGAGGCCCCGCCCAGTTCTGAACAGGGCGGAGTCAGTTCCTGGGAAACCTCTGCTACTGCGGCTGGTAGGGACCACACCCTGAACGAGCAGATTTTTACAGATTACACCATCACACGAAGAAAGTACAACTCCAACTTTTCAGAAATCAAACACAGTCACTCTCTGAAATATCAGTACAGCTCTTCAAAACGATCATTTTCAGTTTTCCTGTGAAAATGTCCTCTCAGGGCTCCCGTACAGAGGCCATTTGTAGCTGATGAAAACTTTTACATGTTTCTGCGACAAAATTATAACTAATGTCAGTTTATTTCAGCTGTTTTAGATGCATTAAAGGCGTATTTATTTAATATTTAAGATACTGAAACAATGAAGTTTAAACTCACCCGTCTCACCCGCACCTCCTCTCTCTCACGTCTCCCTCCAGCCTCGGGACCTGTGGAGCGCCGGGCGTCGAGAAAAGGAGGGAAAAGAGAAGGAAGCGGCCGCAGAGGAAGAGGAGGAAGAAGAAGAAGAGGAAGAGGAGGAAGACATGGAGGCCGGACCTGAGGAGGAAGGGGAGGAGGAGGAAGAGGACATGGGGGAGGAGGACCCTGCCGTTGCCATGACAGCCAGGATGGAGCGCAGGGCGGCGCGGAGAGCGAGGAGGGCGTCTGCACCCGCCCTGACCTCCTCTGCGCCCACCACGCCCACGACCACGTTCAAACCCGCCCCCTCACAGTGGAGTGTGGAGGAGGTGACGGCCTTCATACACACCCTGCCAGGTAACACACACACACACACACACACACACACACACACACACACACACATGTGGAGCGTCTTTAAATCTGGCAGCTTCTGTTCAAATCTTTAATTTGATTTATAGAAACGTTGACTTCTCTTAATCGTCAACAGATGGCGGAATGTTTCGCAAATCTTTAAAATGAACTGCTGAATGCGCTCGTGTGCAACTTTAACCACAAACTGTCAGTGTGAGTGACATCACGGCGAAACCAGCTGCTGAGAATGAAAACAGGGAGAGGTCAGGCTGTCACTCCCAAACTCAAACAAATCTGCAGGTTTTACTCATCTGGACCAGTAAATATGTCGACATGAAAACTTCACTCCTCCCCGTCTTCTCTGTGTGTGTGTGTGTGTGTGTGTCTGTGTGTGTGTGTTAGCTGCAGGTGTGTCAATGTTCTCTAAAATAAATATGCTCAGTGGTTCAGTTTAGTTCTTATTTTTAGATATAGCTTTGTTTTGAAACACTAAATAAAGATATATTTTGGAATAAAAAGTCAAAATATCCCACTAATTAAAAAAATATATACTCATATACAAAGACCGACCATAATTAAAAGAGAGTCCGTAAACTGATGCAGCACAATCTGTAATAAAAACAGAACTGAAAACTTTTATGATTTTAGTTTTAGAAACACATGAGACAGTTTCAGCTCATTGTTTTAAATTCATGCCGACTTTAAAGGGATATTCCGGCATAAAATTAATTTAGGGTCAAACACACCGTAACACCGAGTTAGACACCCCCTCGAGAGATGAATGTTGTCGACCGCTTGCTTCTCCAATTATACCAACTTTAGTAACAACCACTGATAGCGATACAGAGAGACAAGCACTCAACCAAAACGCCACTCTATAGCCACAAATAATGCTCAGAACAGCACCTAACTTCATCAACAGGACATATAGGGTCACAGCCATCAAACATGAGACTAAACACAACTCACCTTCTCTCTTCCAGCAGCCGCTTGTTTGTAGCGAGACCTCGGGCCAGTCCATTATGGACTACAGCGGGGTGACGCAGCTCAAGGAAGAACATTTGTGATCATTTCTTCATGTAAATGCAACCAGAGCGAGACGCTAAGACAGAAGAACTACAGCGTCTGATGATTAATGATTAATATGATGATTATTACTTCAAGGAAATGATAAAGAAACAGTCGTAAATGTTCTTCCTTGAGCTGCGGCACCCCGCAGCAGTCTGTGATGGACTGGCCTGAGGTCTCGCTACAAACAAGCGGCTGCTGGAAGAGAGTAGGTGAGTTGTGTTTAGTCTCATGTTTGGTGGCTAGAACTATGGCTGCGGTCGTTACTAAAGTTGGTATAACTAGAGAAGCAAGCAGTCAGCAACATTCATCTCTGTGGGGTTGTCTAACTCGGTGTTACGGTGTGTTTGACCCTAAGTTAATTTTACGCCGGAATATCCCTTTAACCCTCAAACTGAAACCTGGTTCGTGTGTCTTTGTCTTCCAGGCTGCGGCGACGTGGCCGAGGCTTTCCGGCTGCAGGAGATCGACGGTCAGGCTCTGCTGCTGCTGACCGAGGACCACCTGATGACCAGCATGAACATCAAACTGGGACCAGCTCTCAAGATCTGCGCCCACATCAACTCGCTGAAGAACCAGTGAGCGAGGAGGGAACAGAAGGATGAAACTAGAAAACTAGAGACAGTCGAAAGGGAAAGTTGAGAACGAAGTTTGAGAGGAGAATCCGTTTTAAAAATCAAAAGCTGACACCAAGGATGACAGAACAAAGTCACAAAAAGAGCTGAAGGTAATTTATGAGATTAAAAATCGAGGAGTGGCCTTAGAGGACGTTACAGAAGCATGAAGACACCCGAGTCCAGAGGACACGTCACCGTTTTTTTGTCCCTCTGACTGTAGCAGGAGAGCAGGGGGGGTTTTTGTAACTTTGTGTACATTTTACATGCAGCTGGAGAGTGTACATTTGAAGCTATTTCATGAAGGATTTTGAACATTTAATATATAAAATTTGTCTATTTAGTTTTTTTAGAACGTGACGTCAACGACAAATCTATCCAGTAGCTAACATAACCCGTGTGTGTAAAAAAAAGAAAACAATAATAACGATGATGATGATGATGATGATAACGATGATGATGATAGGTAGACTTTGTAAGTGATTAATGAAAGTTTAATGTTTTATATCACTATATTCTGGACAAACACGTCTGTGGATTAAAAAAAGTCACTATCAGGGTAGAGACTGGTGTCTTTAATCGTCACATTTTTATGGTATCCTGCTTGAAATTATTTAATAAATCAATAATTAATCAACATGTTTTATGTTTATGTTATTGTTTGAAGTAAATGAGGGTATGTGTGGTGCAGATGGTGACCAGCAGGGGGCCACCGTGAGGCAGGTGAGTGGGTTTCAAAGGAAAATCTGGTTTATAAAGAAAAACGGATTTGGATTCAGAACACGAAGATCCTTCCTGAAACTTTCAGATTTAAAAAAACAAACTTCTATCTGCGCATGCGTACAGGTCAGTGGATGGGTTGCCTGTCTATCTCTCCAGGTCTGGTTTAAGTTAAGATTTCATTCGTGCTCTGATTGGCTCACAGGTTGCACCGATGGTTTTGTTTTTCACCACACCCGATGATAAATCTCATTCTGTGGATCAGTCTGTGGAGCACCGAGGGGACGCAGGAGGATTATTTTTACATTTCTACTTTTTTGGACTCGCATTCCTATTTTACAAACTGAGAATATCTGCTTTATGAAATACTTTTTCATCCTCTGGAGCAACAAACAAAACTTTTTTTTAATTCTTAAAGCTCCAAAAAGATTAAAAGCCACCTTAGTCTGCTTAAAAACGAATATTTGGATATCTCTGATCACTTGCTCTTGTTGGAGATCTACGCGTAAAAGCGCACGGCTGCTCCATGGCGCTCATGTGCAGGCAGATCACCGGCAGCGCCGCGAGCTGCGCGGGTTGGGTCGGGATCATCGTCGCCACGGCCACCAACGACTGGGTCCGCACCTGCGACTACACGGTGGCCACGTGCGTCCGCATGGAGGAGCTCGGCTCGAGGGGACTTTGGGCAGAGTGCGTGATCTCCCCAGCCCTCTATCATTGCGTGGCCCTGAACCAGATCCTCAGCCTGCCAGGTGAGACAGAAGGGGCGAGGGGAAAGTTCAGATTTAAAGTTCTGGATAACTTTTGGTTTGTGCGTAAAGTTTGACAGAATTCGTTATTTTGACATAAAGTGCGTGAAGCTGTTAAGATTTGTGTAATTGCATAAGTAAAGTGCACATTGAACTATTAGGAAGTTTTTATTTTGATCACTTTTTGGACATTTTTAATGACATTTCTTAGTTTTCAAACCTATAAAGTTGAAATTTTGTCTTTCCTCATCCACAACCTGTCAGATTTTCACTCCAGAAATGATGAAACAAAAAACACAGAACATGGCATCACTTAAAATACTTGAAATATAAGGATTTTGAATTAATGTAACTGCATGAAGAAATATTCATCTTTCTCTGTCTTTGATTTGGCTCCACCACTGCGCACAGATGTGGAATGCAGTGTTGTAACTGAACCCACTGAATCTGTTTTTACTCAGCTTGATCATTTTCATTTAACGATCTCTTACCTTTTATGTCACCTCGTTTCATAGGAGATAATTTCATTTTGTCTTGCAGATTTTTTCGATCCAAATGTGTTTTTAAAGATGGTTTTCACTTAAGGATGCAAAAGTTTTATGTGCAAATTAAAGCAGCAGTAACTTTACTCCAAAAACATCAAACATGGGTGTGACAGAGCTTTTTTACATACTTGAAAAACGATCCTGTATTTAATTATAATGTCATGTTTTTTTCTTTTAGTGTGGTATTTGCACCTTGAAGAGTTGACTGCACATGTGTGAAAACTCCTGACTGTAAATCTCTGACAGAGTGCCAGAGATAAGCAAAAACAGGCTTCTTCTTCTTCTTCTTTTCTCGTATAAACCTCTGTCTCTCTCTTTTTTTTTTACAGCTCATGTGCAGACGTCTCGCGCCCTGATGATATGCGCATGTCTGCTCGGCCTGCCTGCAATGCTGCTCGTGCTCATGTCCATGCCCTGCGTCCGGCTGCAGAATGACACCTCAGCTATCAAGCTGCGCCGCGCGAGAATAGCAGGGATCCTATTTATTATCATGGGTTAGATGGACACACACGCAAACACACGCTCACACACACTCATACTAGATTAGAGTTCCTCAGGTGACTCAGACTTTTAGAGACCACAGTCCTCGAGATAACAGAGGAGGATGTTTTTGATGAAGTTAGTCATCTATCAAACATCAGGCTGTATCAACAAGGATTCAAAACTACAGATACTTCAAGACCATAAATTTATCAAACTCTTAACTGATGTATCACAGACTACTACGCAAACACACCTGTCATTGTCGCCCCCTGCTGGCCGCTAGGAAAAATGCAAGTCTGAATGTATTTCACAAAAGCTGCACTTTAAACACCACAAAATATTTTTTACAGTCACACAGAAGATTTTAAAGATTTTAAAACTTTAAAAGACATATTTTTGTTTTAGCAGTGTAATAGTTTTGATCGTAGGAGACTGTGTTTTTGTTTTTTGGACACATATTTTGGTTTTAGGATGTGCGTTTGGTGGGTCTTTTTCACTTCTTATAGGAGGAAGGAGGGTCATAGTGAGTCAAACTGAACCTCATCCTGCCCGAGTTCATCTGTCACACACACACACACACACACACACACACACACACACACACACACACACACCTGTTTCCTTTTGTGAGAGACAGGTACTTCCTGTAAACAGCCTCAGGGACGAGCGGCCACATGATTTTGGACACTGTGCAGAAACTCAAACTCAATTTTTGTCTGTTTCTCTCTTTTATCTCTTCTGTATCCTCATCTGTCCAGCTGTGCTCGGCATCATCTCCACCATCTGGTTCCCGATTGGCTCTCACCAGGAAGACAACCTCATGTCATTCGGCTTCTCCCTGTACGCCGGCTGGGTTGGCTCCGCCCTCTGTCTCTTTGGTGGCGCTCTGATCTTGTGCTGCTTCGGCATCGACCCCGCGACCCTGAGCAGGGAGAACAGCTTCTACTACTCCAGACAGGGGGGCACGGCCACGCCGCTGGATCCCCCCGCCAACCACGCCAAGAGCGCACGAGTGTGAAGAAAAGATTCTCCGAGTCTGGATTTTATTTTTCTACATTTGGCTTATCCAAGAGAGAGTTTCATGTTGGTGTTAGCAGTTTGTACAGGACTCAAATACAGTCAAATCAAGTTAGACAACCAACTGCAGAGTCATGGAAACACAATCCACACAAATTATCGTGAGCTGGATCTGCAGAATCTTTTTTCTTCCTGTTGAAATTTCTCGTCCTTAAAAATGTTCAGACTGAGATTGTAGACGTTGTTTAAGTTCATCTATCACCTTTAGTTTGAGTTTTGTTCAGAGGATTATTTCACATTGTTGATATAGTCGTCTAAACATTTAAAGTTTTCCTTATTACACTTGTAGTTTTTTGTTTCTCTTTTTGTTTTTTTTTAGATTAATTTTCTACTTCTTATTGCATGAAAACATTTCTAAAGTATAACCGATTTTGTTGAACCTGCTTTTTTTTTTTAAGTATATCAAAAATGTGCCTTAATTGTGAGATCTGTCGCTTTTTTGCCATTAATAAACATTTTTAAATAAATCCCAGGATAAATTATTTCACTCTAAATTTATTCCTTTAAGTCAGACAAAATGTAACACTAACTCAGGTGAACACATCAACACAGTCAATAAATAAAGCAGACAGTCCTTCACTGTAAATACCATTCACTCAGGAAAATTATTACATTAAAGAAACAGACAGGTTTTTACAGAGATCCAAAGACGAAAAGAAAAAAGCTCCTAAAATCCTTTAAAATTTGATGATGGTTGAGTTTTTAGTCTTTTAAATGATGTGCAATGAGCACGCCAAAGAACAATAATGCACTAAAACTTAATATCGAAGTTTTCCTGACTTAGCCAATGTACTTTTTTAATCCTTTAACAACATTAACCACGTGTTTTTATTGATTTTAAAGGTCACCTGACTCTGTCCTTACCTAAACTTCCAAAAATCATCAAATGCTTCAGCGTTAAATAACTCGCAGCTGATTTTATGACTGTTTAGGTGACAGCGTTCAACACTAGAATCATGAAACAGATTACTCAGTATTGGACTGTCAGATTGATCCGTCTGTCAGCAGAAAGACTCACCTTTAGATCTTGAGAAATAATAAATGGTGTGCCTCAGGGCTCTGTTTTTGGACCTCTGTTATTACTCTCTGTGTTCTGGAGTCGGCTGGAGATTAAGTTTCTCACTAAGACAAACTAAGTGGTAGAGGAGCACAAGAATTGCTAATTTGTGATTGCTATTTTCCTCTGTATTTGCTGACAGAGGTCTTGTGACAGAGCTCAGTCAAAAATAAACTTGCAGTCTGAAGCTGCATAAAAATCGATGACGATTCACTCTAACCGTGAAAAAGTTCCTCTGCAGCTGCTGAGGCCTCATTCAGTCATATCTGAGGTGGGAGGTGTCCGTCTGTGACCATGTCCAATCATCCACCTTCACGCCTGAAATCCAAACAAGGTGTTCACACTGAGCAGACACGAGGGGATCCTCTGGTTCAGCATCAGCTTCAAAAGTTTTACATCTTCTCAGTCCTCTTCATCTGCGTCAAACCCATGATTGGTCCGCCCTCTTGTTCTGCCCCCTCTGCTCTCATACTGGCCTCCTGGTCCAGACTGGTACCCGTACTGGTCTTCGTTATCCTCATAATAACCCTGATGCTGCCCTCCATCCAGGTCCTCGTACTGGTTCTCCTCCTGGTACTGGTTCTGCTGCTGGTACGGGTATCCCCTCTCCTCTGGAGCAGACCAGCCCTGGTAGGGTCTCTCATCAGTTTCCTGGGGGTAAACGTTGTCATCAGGAGAGAAGGTGTCATCCAGGTGGTCGTCGTAGCGCTGATAGGAGCTGGCGTGCGCCTGCTGCTCACGAGCGTTCAGCTCCAGCGTGCTGTGCCACATGCCGTAACATCCGTAGATCAACAAACCTGCAGAGCAACAGACACATGGAACTGTTAAAGGCGTAACCTCAGAGAGCAGGACGGACAGTAGAGATGCCAGGCAGAGGAACCGTCCAGCTGGAGGGATTTTTACACCTTCATGAATCCCAGAAGGCAGGAAACTCTTCCCCTCTTCATCATCTGTGGACCAGCAGCAGATCTTACAGGGAACAGAACTGGATGAACAGTGTGTTCCTCTGTCTGCTTCATCTCAACACAATCACAGTTAAACTTTTGATCTGAATCAACATCAGGTTTAAGCGATTAAAAGTCTGCGCTCAGCTTCAATCGATAATGTTAAAAAGCACAAACCAAGCCAGAAACCTTGGTGTTGTCATGGACTCAGACCTGAATCTTAACAGCCACATAAAGACAATTACAAAGTCAGCCTACTATCACCTGAAGAATATATCAAGGGTCAAAGGACTGATGACCCAGCAGGATTTGGAAAAGCTTGTCCATGCATTTATCTTCAGCAGACTTGACTACTGTAACAGTGTCTTCACAGGTCTCCCCAAAAAATCCATCAGACAGCTCCAACTGATTCAGAATGCTGCTGCTCGAGTCCTCACTAAGACCAAGAAAGTAGATCATATCACCCCAGTTCTCAGATCTTTACACTGGCTTCCTGTCTGTCAAAGAATTGATTTTAAGATACTATTGCTGGTTTATAAAGCACTGAATGGATCAGGACCAAAATACATTTCTGATATGCTGATACGTTACGAACCATCCAGACCGCTCAGATCATCAGGAGCAGGTCTGCTCTCTGTCCCCAGAGTCAGAACTAAACGTGGAGAAGCAGCTTTTAGTTTTTATGCTCCTCATATCTGGAACAAACTCCCTGAAAACTGTAGGTCTGCTGAAACTCTCAGCTCTTTTAAATCACAGCTGAAAACGCATATGTTTGCTGTGGCCTATCATTAAATCAAACCTGAGGCCTTTAATCAACATCTTCATCATCTGCCTGTCTTGATCTTTTTTTTTTCTATCTCTCCAATCTAACCTTTGTTTTCTTTTATCTCCAATCTTATTTTAGCTTTGAATGTAACTTTTAATCTGTTAAATGTCTTTTACGCTGTTTTTACTTTTAAATTGTGTTGAATGTTTTGCCTGCTTGTTTCATGTAAAGCACCTTGAATTGCCCTGCTGCTGAAATGTGCTATACAAATAAACTTGACTTGACTTGACTTGACTTAAAATTTAACGTCCAGTTTTCTATTTTTAATCACATCCCAACTCTAAACTGGCACAAACATCCCGACTTTCTCTGTACTGCACAGAAACAGAGACCCTCTGACTTTTGAGCTGAACTAAGTGGGCAGAGCGGCGTACATGACTGTCATAAACTAAAAATATTCAGCGGTACAAATCTTGAAGTAACTCGAACCATATGTCAAAACAGATGTGCAGTGGAGCCGTTCTGAAAGGAGGATCCAGGTATTTTTAAACCTTCAAGAAAACTGTGGTACTCGTACTGGAGAGCCGGTTTCATTCGAAGAACTGCTCAATTTATAAGAAAAAGAAAGAACTACACGGCTGCACAGAAACTATATGTTGCTGTATGCTTTACTGTTGACACTGTGGATCATTGTGGAGACTGATGGAACAATCTGTCTGCTAGTTTCATACCGTTTACAGTGTTGTGAGGCCATAGAGTCCTAACCAGTTATTGTTCAGGCTAAAGGAAGGTGCACATTCCTCTAGCACCCAGTCAGTAATGGTTTGAAGCATATGTTAAATGCATATGATAAATGTTAACGTAGTATGTTTGAGGTTTGAGGTTTTTGGCTCTGAATGTACAGGGGTGTGTGTAGTTTTTCATCCTTTGGGGGAATTCTGTTTTCAGATCTGATCGGTGTTTTCCCTTTTGTTATTGCTGCAGCTTCTCTCACTTGGATTGTCTGCAGGTGAGAGTGGACACACCTGAATTAAAGCTTCAGGTAGAAGAGTGGATGAGCTGAGTGAAATCAGCAGTCTGGGGGATGTGTGGCACATTAGATGAGAGGCTGTGAGAAGAGCCAGTTTGTTGGACTAATGTTTCATCTTTTCTTCCTCTGCAGGGGATATTTTTGTAAAGCAGTAAATTAATCTGACATTTTTGTCTTATTTTGATGTGGCCTGATAAATGTTCTCCTCATTTTTTGAGAATTCACACCTTGTTTGAGATTTTTTCTTTCCACTCACACGACCTACTATCTGAGAGTATAACATACATGCAGAGGGCGTCACTTTTAGATCTGTTGAGATTAAAAAAGGAGTACCCCAGGGTTCTGTTCAGGTTCCCTCTGTTGTTTTCAATTTACATCAACAGTTTTACTTAAAAGTCCCTCTTCTGCAGATGTACACTTATATGCTGATGATAGTGTCATTTACTGCTCCAGAATCAGGCTCTCTGTCACATGAAGACCACATACATGCTTAAATGGTTACGTGGCTGTCTTTATAGAGACAACTTGTTATCACACGATTGCATGTGAATCCGCAGGTTCTTGTGAGGTTTCGCGATTCTTGCTGTCCAAAATCCATCACGAAATTCGCCTCACAAACCCATCCTGTAGGGATTGGCGGACAGCAAAAATCGCAGCTGTTCCGTAGCAGAGCCGTTTGTAGTTCCTACCTACTCAGCCGCCATAATAACTGTTGTTCTAGTCTACACGCAACATTTTTGTTTTGTTTCATTTTCATTCATGAAACGCTTAAATCGGGAACATTTCCAAGGACAGCTTTAGTTCGGGAAAGGTCATCCAATACAGGGACTGTCCCTGGAAATCAGGGACGTCTAGTCACCTTATTTTGATATTATAAGAGACACCTTTCATGAGTTTTGATGAAGCCGTGACTCTGTCGTTTGGTCGCTGCCATGTTGGTCAATCATAAATTAACCAGAGGGTGAGATGCAGAAGAGCAAAGGTAAGCAAATGTGGATAATTATGATATTTAGTCTTCTACATTTTGACATTTTAGGGATTTCTTGATTAGATTTTCTGTCACACAGGCTGTAACAGGAAAATTATGATGGATGATCGGTCTCACCTATGAAGCACCACAGGGTGAACCTGGCCCAGGTGAGTGGAGACAGTTTAAGCATGAGGTAGCTGTTGACCAAAATGGCCGCCGCAGGAATGAAGGGTACACACGGCGCCATGTACGGCAGTCTCCTCTTGCTCTCTGGCTGCTGAAGGATGGTTATCAGGAGCTTCACCCAAGACCCCGCCATGAGTGTGGCCATGAGTCCTGAAAACACAGACCCCACCCCTGATCCCTGCTCAACACCGAATATCACGGTGGACCAGAGGAGGAAGGACATGAAGAAGAGGACCAGGGTGCATCGGGTCACTATGCGGCCAGTGGCGGGGGTGGGCCGAGCTGAAGCGTCCGGCATCCCCAGCCGCAGCCTCAGGGTGTAGTAATGACCTCCCAGGAGCCTTTTCAGCAAAGAGGCGTGGCCTGTGTGGAAGTCAGAGTCGTCTCCTTCGCCGTCAGTCCCTCCAGCGTGGTAAGACGACGAGCCGTCGCCGTCTGAGCCTCCGATCAGCATCTGGTCATCTTTAGTGGGGACCGGCCCGTCATCCTGGTGCTTCAGTCCATCCATGTCGTCCTCTGAGACGAACTGGTGTGTGTCCGTCTGTTCGTCCGGCTGGTAACGCAGTAACAACACACACACAGACACCAGAGTGTAGGCCAGCAGGGTCCCGATGGACATCATCTCTATCAGGTCTCTGAGGCTCACCAGAAGAGCCAGGAGCGCCGCAAAGCTCCCCGACACCACGCACGCCACAGCAGGAGTGTGTGTGAACGCTGACACGTTCGACAAAAACCTGCAGAGACATGAAACCAAAGATGAGCCAGAATCAGAGTCCGTCAACCCTCCTCAAGGAGTCTGAGTGGGACCTCACCTGAAGAGCAGTCCGTCTCTGGACATGGCGTAGATGACTCTGGGCATGGGGAACAGCGAGCCCAGCAGAGACACGGTGAGTCCGGCGATAGAGCCCACAGCCACTGTGTACTTCCCCCACAGGAAACCGTGCACCGCAAACATCTCCATGAGGGGGGCGGAGCCATCGATCAGGTTGTAAGGGACCATGAGAGTCAAGATCACGCTCACCTGTAGAGGACAGACAGGTAAGGTGGACGATAGAAGGACTTATAAGGTCCTTCTGAACCCGTGGATGATGAAATATGAGCAAATCAGCCAACTCCCAAACTTCAGACTTCAAAATAGAGATCCATAAACCAGGTCATGTCTCCTTCTTATCTACAGTGGGATGTTTTGTTGGTCAAACGCACACGTTTGCCCATCTATCAGACCTTCTGAATAATGGGGTTCTCTAGAACATGGACTGTGTAAAACATAGATGTAGTTTCAATGATATATATCGTATCAACATAAATATACAGTTATTTAGGAGGACCAAGAACGGGTCCTTGTGGAACGCCTCACTTGAAACATTCTGACCCTCTTTCCTGCAGTTTATTTCAGCGACAAATCTCTGTCATTTAAACTCCAATTAAAGTTTAGACGGTGAAACACTGCTTTCACTTTGAGCTGGTATTTGTTGGACGGAGTGTTGAAACCACACAAGACATTACAAGACTCTTGAATCTGCTCAAATTTTGTGAGAAAAGTTTTCTTTTTCAATACAGAGACAAAGCTTTGTTAATCGAAGAATATCGAAGGTTCAGCACACAAAAGGATTTGTTACTGACAGACACGTAGGCGGTGAGGCAGGTGACCAGCGAGGCGGTGATGGCGTAGGGGATGGAGGTGTTTGGGTTCTTGGCCTCCTCTCCTGTCGTTGCGATGATGTCAAATCCGATGAAGGCGTAGAAGCAAGTGGCCGCCCCTTGCATCACCTGACCAAAGAAAAGGTTTTCCTTATCTTGTATTCTTTACCTTAAGAGCTACCTAAACTCACTTTCACTTTCCTGTCTGATAAAGCCAACCATCCCAACTCCTTCCATATCTCACCCCTGACCAGCCGTAAGGCAGGAACTGGCCACCCCCCCAGTTGCGGGCGGAGATGAAGAAGAGTCCTGCAATGACCATGAAGACCCAGACCACCAGGTTGACCACGTTGAGGATGTTGTTGAACCCGACCGAGTTACGAACTCCGAGAGCGATAATGACAGTGACCAGCAGGGCGATGAACAAGGCCAGCAGGTCGGGGTACGTGTCCTCTCCTTTACCTGAGACCGAGGAGACAATCGAGTCAAAGATCCTGTGAGAGGTTTATGAAACAGACTGAAATTCACATTCAGGCCATTTTATAAGATGGTGACAAGAGCGGCTCTGAATCTATCAAAAAGTGACCCTCATGGCACTGACCGAGTCCTCTGAGCGTGCCCAGGTGTGTGATCATGTAGTTACTGATGCTGTGATTGGCCAGAGAGTCGAACATGCTGCTGAGAGCCGACGCCCCCGCCGCTGTGCCGATCAGGTACTCCAGGATCAGGTTCCAGCCGATGAAAAACGCCACAAACTCCCCGACCGTCACGTAGCTGTAGGTGTAGGCCGAGCCGGTCGTCTTTGGGACCCGGACGCCAAACTCTGCGTAGCACACGCCTCCAAAACAAAACACAAAATCGTGATTATTCTGTAGGACAGATGAGATTTTTCACTTTATTCTAAAAAACGCAGAAAGAAAAATACTTCTGCTAAGAAGGAAAATGGAGTGAAAACCAGGGATTCAACCTGGAGACCACCTGGTTATTGTCTGATGTTGAACAGGTGTGTTGGTTTGTCTCACCTGATAGTATGGACGCCACTGCTGCGATGATAAAAGACAGGATGACCCCGGGCCCAGCCATCGCCTTTGCCACCAACCCGGCGACCACATACATCCCCGTCCCGACGCAGCTGCCCACCCCGAGCGACACCAGATCCACGGTGGTCAGGACCTTGGCGAGCCCGACCCCTGACCCCTCTGCGAGCTCAGTGAGGTCGTCAGAGCTCTGAGCCATGGAGCCCACAGGTTTGGTCCTCAGGAGGCGAGAGTACATGTTGTACCAGGCGTCGCCCAGAGACAGCCGGCCCAGCCACGCCGCCATCACCGCACCTGTGTGTTACCTGTGTATGTGTGTGTATGTGTGTGTAGGTGTGCGACTCCTATCGTCTCTCTGTCACTCCCTCTATCATTCTTTCAGTCTCATCACGAGCCTTTTTCCTCTTTTCTTATGTTTGACCTTCAGGAGCCACAGATCCAAACACAGTGGGATAGAAAAGAGACGAGGGATCATTAATCATCATGAAAGTGTCAGTGAAACAATAAAAAATACAACATGACCGATCTGGACTATAGGTGAGGGATTTACGATTTAAATCCGGTCATATGCAAAGAGTTTTACCTGGTTAAAAAACAGACTGAAATTAACAGTGATGCCTCCTGTCAGCATGAATATGGAGAATCGATATTCAAGTATTTTCAGGGTCTAAAACCACCGACTGGAGCAGGTGTCACTCAGAGAAATCAAAGAAGAACATTTTTCTAAATTCAACGGTCCAAAAACACCAACAGTCTCTAAAAATGAAAAATGAAGTGGTGTATAGTGACCAAACTCTGGGCTGAAATGCTCCCTTGCTCACCCCTCCTGTCCGTGGAGCTACAGAGGCCTTTGAGGATCATAAAGCAGAGGATAGACGGAGAAGAAGAAGAAGCACGCTGCTAGCAAGCCAGCTGTAGCAGCAAACAGACACTTTTATGTGAAAATCCATTATTTGGATAAATTCTTGAATAAAAAAACATGCAAATCTTGCAGGTGTACGCCTGCAGGGGATGATGGGATACCATTAGCTCTTCTCCTTGTCCACTAAAGCAAGTCTCCCTCTCTGAATTATTGATGAGGACCAAAAGATCTCATTTCACAAAGGAAAGGTACGAGTACAGAGAGAAAACTGAACAATAAACAAACTTTAACAACCTCAAAAACTCTGAATTTACTGTTTCACACCTTCAAAAAACACCTCAACTCCAAACCACCTTATCAACACCAGCAGGTCAGGTGTAAGAAAGAAAAAGAGCTCAGAAACACCCCTCCATGGATGGCATAAATTTCCTGACATAAACACCCACTATGCAGGTGAGGAAATCACACCTGAGCAGACAGGTAAACACTCACCTGCCCTGTGTTTCCCTGAGTTTGATGAGAGTCCACGTCGTCTGCGGAGCTTCAGGAAATAATGAGGAGAGGAGACGGTGGTGTTAATCATTCAGACCTGACACCATGTGACCCGGCTGATACATTATTCAGAACCTGAAGCTGAGCAGGTGTGTGTGCGTGTGAGCAGGTGTGTGTTTCAGTGTGTGTAACCGCCACTGTCCGCTCATATCAGGGCGGATAGAGGAGGTTAAGTTTGTGCTGCAGCAGTTTAAAGTGACGTTTCTTTGCTGTTAGTGTGCAGAGCTGGGAACTGAGCAGGTGTGTGTGTGTGTGTGTGTGTTAAAGAGATAGTGTAAGAGGGATTATGTGTGTGTGTGCGTGTCCTGGACTGTCATCTTTAATTCTTTCTACTGAAGCAGTGTCTGTACCGTGTTTGTCTGTGTAGTGTTGTTGTAGTTATCTGCTGTAATCTGAAACACAGAGTCAGATTACAGCCGGACCTGCTGACATGGTAACATGACGGTCCTAAACAGCAGAGAGCAGACTCTCTCGTCGCTCTTTTACAGACTCTTTGGGGTTAAAAACGGCGCAGTCTTCCCTCTGAACCTGAGCTGAGTATTGTTTCACTCTGTTGTGTCTGTTGGCAGAAAACTTCAGCACCAAACATGAGCAGATTCAAAGACTCTGAGATCTGAGGAAGCTCTGATCATGTCTGTATTTCTGCTCTGATAATCAGATCCAGGTTTCTTGGACTTGATCTGGCTCTCAGAACTGGACAGTACCTACCTGAGTTTTCTGGTGTGTTATTAACGATGAGTGTGTGAAACATTCTGTTGTATTCAGCAGGATTTAGACAGGACTTTAAGTCCGTATCATTAACTCTGAATCATCCAATCCCATTAGAGTCACTAATACAGAGTCTTTTCTGGGAGTCCCTGACCTCCATCATACCATAGGTTCCTCTGGATCACCGCAGATGTTTCACTACCATGAACCTTCCTGCTTTACAGCTGCTTCAACTACATGCATTCGTCTCACCTCTGTGCATCTCCCTCTATCCTCTCTCAGTGCACTGACTGCAGATCAGCTGAAGGTAAATGCATTCCTGAGGCTATGTGCTATATCCACAACAGATGAGTGGAAGTGAATCCAGACACACACACACACACACACACGCGCGCACACACACACACACAGAAGCGAACATCCCTTCCTGTTTAGGGTGTAAAGGATTTGGTCTAAGGCGTTTCAAACTGAACAGAAGCAAAAAAACCCTGATAGACAGACACAAACTCACTGAGGAGTTGATAAAAACCCTTATCATTAGAAATATAATCAATCTAATTTTGTTTCCTTTTTCTGTCTCATAATTCATGACTTGAGTTTGTTCTTAAAGTCCATCATAAACACTCATTCACAAACCCTGAGATAGTGTCACTTTGTTAACAATTACAGCTCCCATTATTTTTTAAGTGGCTCAGACTTCATTGTCTTTGGATGCTTACACATGTTGAGTCTATTTTATGGTCTTCTGATTGAAGGTACATTAACACATTTACATGACATCCATGTGATGTCCTGCTAAAGATCTAAGAGACAGGTGTGACGACTTTAAGTACCTGCAGCACCACCTAGTGTTTGTTATTTGTACTGCTTATCTGACTCTACAAGACCAGCTTCAGCACACTCGTATAGATACCAGGGCCCTGCAGTAAACTCTGCTCTCATTAAGACACTAAACTAAGCCTTCAACCATTGAGTTTATCTATAGCAGTTTAAATAGAGATTGAAAAACATAAAGTCAAACAAAACAATTAGGAATGACAATATTTTCTCAAAAATAGTATGAAAATGATGGACATATTCTGAAGTGTGAGCTTCTATTTAAAATGAATACTGACTGTTTTTTATGATCCAAGTCCTCTAAAATGTTTTCCACACACTTCTAAAGACACAAAAATCTGATCATTTAAAAAGCCTTTCACATCATTTACTTATCTGGATAACTGAGATATTTCCCACTGGATCAAAAATAAAACAATTCAGCTTTTCTGTGTGTGAGCGACTACAAATGTTTCTTGAAATGTCAGAATAAAAACCAGACACAGCAAACTTCTTTGTTCACCTTTATTCTCCTGACACAAACACAAACACAAACACAGAGTGGCGTCTCTGCTGTTTACTCGTCTGCGTCTGACTCTTCGTCGTCCTGACTGATCTGGAAGTATCTCAGCTCGTAGGTCTCCTTATCAGACGCCACAACTCTCAGCCAATCACGGAGGTTGTTCTTCTTCAGGTACTTCTTGGTTAAGTACTTCAGGTACCTGGTGAGGAGAGGTGGAGTCTTTAAACACCAGAATTTATCGTACAGCCTGCATTTGTCTGCAGGTACGAGAGGTTTTAATTTTGATTTTCAATGACAGTGTTGGCCGTGTTTGTTTACGCCCTCATGTCTCCGTCCACCTCACCTCTTGGAGAACTGCTTGTCAGACGACACGTTGATCTTGTTCTTCATGCGGCCCACCTGGACGGTGTTTCCCAGATTCCCGGTCTTTCCATTGACCTTAATCTTCTCTTTGAGGAAGGTTTCCTGTTAAACAGAGCATAATGACGCACTAGGGAAGAGAACCCTAGTAGATTAGGAGCTAGGGAAGGGAGCCCTAGTCCAGGCACGACGTTAGCTGCATGAAAACTTGACTATGTTTACTCTTTATCATGGTTCATTCACAGAAAATGCCAAGATAAAACTCTGATTTGTATTTTTTGTATGATATGAACATATTGGGTCTGAAATAAAGTTAATAGTCATGATAATATGTGAATTTTTCTTTGACTGAGAGTGTCTTGAGCCCAAACCGTTATTATTTAAAAGAGGGTAAAAGGTGCAACATGATGCATTAAGACTTACAAAGTTAGCAGAGTCCAGGATCCCGTCCTCCACAGGGTGGGTCAGGTCCAGAGTGAACTTCCAAGACGCTCCTTTTTTGGACTTCTTGCCGGCAGTTGGCCTCACAGTCGGCCTCTTCACCTTGTTCTGTCAGGTTAAAAACAGTGAAGTTAGACGTGTTAGAAACAGACACATTTCTAAATCTGTTTGAAAAAAGTTAAATAATTTCTGACAGCATCACAAGCTGTTTGGGTAACACCAGGTTACTGGAATTGTCTCCTCCTATTTAGTTTTCTCCTGACTGGGTCCTGATAAGACTAACACCTGGAACTGTTACACCTAAACCCATCAGTGGCATTGAAAAATTGTTTAACAGAGTCAAAACTTCAAACTTCAGTCAATGTCTTTACAGAAAAAAAACTGATTAAAAGACAAATTAGCTTAAATAGGTTCGTCATATAACTTTAATTATGTAAAGATAAATGTTGTGGTAGAGGTTTCTAGATGCTGAAACAGGACTAGAGCTTACTGGAAAGTATTATACAACATAGTCAACTTTTCAAAGAGCAATTAAAAGGAAAACCAAAACTTCAGTTGAGCCGAACTTTGGGTGGACATCTAACTACACTTCAGACACATGTTCTCGTCATTTTGAACACGATAGGTGGGTGAAAAGTAAAGATATACAAGAAAACACTGTTTACTACATGGAGTTTGGCCTGCTGTCAGGGACTAGTGAATGAGCCACGTGTGAGCAAACGTCAGGACCGCGAGGAACTAATGCGTACTTGACTCACTTTTTCACACAATAAAACAGTGTTATAGTATAAGTGTTTATTGTTATAAATCTAGGTCAGCGGGTGAGAAATACAAAGTATTTTTAACAAATTGGGGCAACAACCGGGGAGCTGAGAGTACTCACCGGCGCCATGTTGAGAGATCGGAGGGAAAAGGACGAGCCGGACGTGACGGAGCGGTGACGTAGTGTGTCGTGTGCAACGTCCTGACCATATATGGTAACTGGTTCTCAAAGCTGAAATAAACATCTCCACACATGGATTGGGAAAGTGGCACAACCTGAGATGAGTTTAAACGAGCCTTAAAGCGTTTTTAAAAGGTTTTATTGATGTGTTAGCCTTTGATAGAGGGAGTTCATTTTATTTTCGTTCACTTTGGCCTGAAAACAATTGTAAAGTTTAAGTTCTGCCCGTGTTATTCAAACACCTGTCTCTGTGGAATGATGGAAGTCCAAAGGTCAGCCTCGGCCCAAACACACCCTGATAATAAACCTGCTGAGCCTGGTCAATCATTCACACACAGACCATCCCTGCTCTGCCCTGGGCCTCAGACCGGCCCTTTACATTCAGCTGCATCAGTATGAACACACACACACACACAAAGAGAGAGAGAGAAAACACCCTCCCAGTGAGTCAGAGAAACCATGAGCGATCAGATGGGTATATTAGAAAAAAAAAAAGCTATGCATCCTTTTTTCCGTCATGATGCTGTGCTGTTTGTGGCTCATCACCCTCACGCCACCATCCAGGGCGCTCTGACTGGGTGTGTCTGCTGCCATGACTTCAAACACAGAAACACAACAAGTGATGTGTCAGAGACGAAAACCAAGACTGCAGAAGAAAAACTGAGGGTTACTGATCCATATTCAGGAGTGTTTTCTGCTCTGTTTAGTAGTTTAAGTCACCTTTTACTGAAAATACTGGATATCATACTTACTTGGTAAACACCTGAGATAAGGCATCTGCAGATTCAAGTAAACCATCACTCTCATTGCTGCTAAAATTCAAGACTTTAGATCCTAAATGAAGTTTTAGTTTTGCACAGGAGGAGCTTTTTCACACAAGAGTTTGCCATATTTTGCATGAACCCATTTGTTTGGTCTTGATAGTGAATTTTTTGCATGTTTGTTCTCTTTAATTTGTGGATCATAAATTCGAAACATACCAGACAGCCTTTAATCTTTTAGTGAGCATAAACACAGAAAAATTAAGTTTCCTTTGAGGTAATTAAACAATTAAGATTTGATTGTTTAAGGCCTTGTATTTAAGAGACTGATGTCAAACCTTTAGAATCTGAATTTTTTTTTTTTAGGAATCTGGATTTTAAGGCTCCCTAATTAGTATTACTTTTTTAATTGGGCCAACTTCTTCAGTGGATAAGACAGAAGGCTTAAGCTTTATTTGCACCTTGTTCATGAGCGTCACACCTTTACCATGCAGGACCTTGTAAGATCATTTTACCTCAGACATCTTCACCTTCTGTCCTGACTTTGGAGACCACTTTGGAACCACCAGGTGCCACAGTTCAATAAAACGTGGGCTGTGGGAGGCAAATCTTACCAACTCATCTGCCGCCAAGGCTTTAAAGTTACTTTTCAAAGGCGACTCTTGGCTTACGGAGAAAGTTATCAGCTTTGTTTTCACGTCTTGTAAAACTAACATGTCCAAAGTCACATAAAAAAAAGAGGATAAAGTACTTTTAGACCCAGTCCTCTTTGATTGTACCTGATAAATGAGTTTTGTTAGAGACAGAAAACCAGACATCGTTTGCAGTTTTTGTCCATTTGTTTATCGTTTTATTTTTGCCATCTCCAGTCAGGTGACAAAGGCCTCGAGTGAACAAAAAGTTTGCAACTCTACCACCCTCCCCGTCCCGATCGAGTCCCTCAAAAGAAACACACGCCTCACTGCAAACTGCCTCCCACATTTCGGAGGCCCACACCGCTACACACTCATGCCTCTCTAAACAAAATAGAACACTCCTTTTGTACTGGGGGGGAAAGCCGGGGCAGCGGGGCGAGCCCTCGACTGCCTCAGCGGACAAGAGGTGTGAGTGCACAGGACGCTCACGCCCCTCAAACTTCTACACAGACAAGAGACTGGCACCACGAGGGTTAATCACTGAAGTTTGCTTCTGTTCTTCATAGAGGGGAGAGAGAAAAAAAAAAAAAAAAAAACAGACTTCTCTTTTCTTGGTTTTAGAGGTTTGACATGCTGCGGTGGACCTCAAGTGCTCGTAAGTGCTAGCCACCTTCAATCCCAGTGATTTGGAGAAAAACGGACCTCGTCGCTCCTAATCCACTCAGGAACCAGAGCGCGGGCCATGCTGGAAAGCAATATGGCTGCTAGAGGGACAACCTACACCAGAATTTAGTATCTACAGGGGAAACCCACCCTCTCAAACACTGCCCCCTCCCTCCCATCCCCTTCCCTCTAAAAGGCTTTAGACCTGCTATATTCAAGAATATAAAAAAATAATCATACAAAAGCTGAATCCCGTTGTTATTTAAACATTCAGGAATGTGAGTGGCAAAACCAACACGTTGAAGGCAAAAATAAGCAGGAATGAGCAACTGATCATTATTTTTGAAGTTGTTTTATATAAAGTAGATCGTTACCAAACAAAACCTCAGTGATCAGACGAGAGGACCACGCAGCAAGCTGCAGCAGAACTCTCCCAACAGCAAATGGAAAAGAGAAACGAAGAGGGGAGGAGGAGGAGAAAAAAAAAAAAAACAGAAGACCAATGATGAGAGAAATCACAACAGAATGATTGAGGTTGTCTGTGAAGGCCGACGCTTTGGTGACAGAACCAATGAGAATGCAAGAGACTGGTTGTGGGTGGTGCTTGTTGCCTGGGCAGCAAAGTCCGTCTCCCTATTTGTTGGCCAGGACCTTGGTAGCGACAGCACATTCCTCCCCCATGGCAGAAATCACGGTGACCTGCAGAGAGACCAAAACATGTCCGAGTCAATCATCGGAGACTGAACACAGCGTCACTGTCGGGCAGAAACCCAAAACAAATACAGCCCAGGAAATATAGATATATAAACAAAAAGAAGAGTTCATCCATAACCAAACACTGACATCAAAACTTTTCATACTTTTTATCTGCTCAATATTAAAAAGCCCAACAACAAGCATTAAAAGGTCAGCAATAGCACTGAATGATGCAGAAAAACCTGGAGTTAGGGAGTCAAGTCCACACAAACCTCAAAGACTAAAGTTGTAACTTTGTTCAGTTGAACCACAAAGACACAAGGTTTAGCATAACTGGAGGAACATAATATCTAAACTAACAGAAACATCGTCACAGATATGAGGTTTACATTTCCAGTAGCTAATCAGAACGCCTCTCTCCCCACGGCGTGTTTTTAAAGTTCCTATAAAAGGAGTTTTGGACTGAAATTCATACTGACGCCTTTTCATGAAATCCTCAAGCAAAATGAAACCATCAGCAATAAGAATCCAGGCTTTCAGATCCTTGTGTGTTAATGCCCGACACTAAAGTGAGGGGGTAGAGGCTCATCTGTATCCGTCTGACAACTTCACTGACCAAAGAGGACTCAGTCTTGATCACAGGCAGAGTGAACAGATCAAACATGTGGATTCATGCAGGATCATGAAAAAGCTTTTACCAAAATGTCACACTGAGGAAAAAAGTTTCCTCTAACTTTCCTATTTATGTGACTTTTAATCTCGCCAAAAAAAGGACAAACTGGAACCAAATATTTATGTAAAAACTCCCGTCCTGGTTCTTCATGTTTATAGTTTACAGAGTTTATTTTACTATCAGCACAGATGAATAAAAACACAAAACCTCCTCCTAAAATACTAAATATGTATTCTCGCTACTGCTCTTTATGTTATTGTTTGTTTTGAACTATATAGAGCACTTTGCAGTAATGCTGATTTACTAATAAACCTCTGAGTGCAGCCATAATACAGAAGTCCTTACCATGAACTCTTCACCAGCTTCAAACTTTGACTCGATTTCCCTGCCGACTTCATTCTCAGGGACACGCAGATCCTCTCTGATATCGCCGTTGTCGCTCATCAAGGACATGTAGTTTTCATTGATATTCACCAACTATAGAGGAGGGAAGGAAAACGAATGGGAAAGGGTTGAAATTCAGCTCCACACTTATTTGCTATAAAGCACATGTAGATTAGAGGCCTGAGCTCAAGTCAAAAACCAGTTTGATTAATTCCTGAGTAGTACTGCTGCTACACTCAGATCCACTTAAGTTACTTTTACTGGTGTTTTCCAGTGGCTTCCATTCAAAATTACATGCAGACAGAGGATTTGGTTTTTCATCTATCTGGAACTTTCTGTTCATAGTGTGACCGACCAGCCAAAGCTTGAGGGAAGCACATGAGCACACCAGTCACACAGTAACACTCCCTCTGCTTAACTGCTGTGACACTTGTGTGACAGAAAGTTCCAGAGAGGTCTGAACTGTCCGTGTACCTGGTAGTCTATCCTCTTGATGGAGGGGACATCCATGTTGTGGGTGGAGGGGCACATATCTTCATGCTTCTTGTTGGTGAAGATGTCGATACCAACCAGGTTAACCTGCGGGGGACAGTTTGGTTTATTTGATGTAAAGCCTCAGGTGAGAAAATCTGAGCCGATAACAAAAAGATAAGACATTAGATTTCTAAAAACAGCAGACTAAAATATCTCAACAGAAAAAAAAACAGAAGCGTCTTTTTGAAAAGGAGGTGAAGGAGTAATCGCCCAGCTTTGACAACATGTCAAACAGTATCTAGATGTGGCGTCAGTAATAATGATAAGAAAGGAATGTGTTCGTTATATTTCAGAGAAAAATAGTTATCTGGACATTAAGTGAAGCGCCTGTGAGGAACTTTTGGGTGTGTCCCTTTTGGCAACACCCGTGGACAAGCTGCACTTCTCATTTCTTTGCTGACTTTGTCTAGCACCTTGTTTAGGCGGGAACAGCCTCATTAGAATATTGTTTCTGTGACAATGTTTGCAAACAAGCTGCGAGCACGTGGACCTGCAAAAACAAACTGATGAAAACCCTGAGGCGTGCACGGCTGGCCTGTAGCTGCTGGTATCACAGACTTCTGTGTAAACAGACATGAAGTAGAGCTTTAAAAATCTCATCCTGCTTTACTAACAAATGTCAAAAGCTTCACTAATGGAGATGAAAAGAAAAATAGAGGTTATTATGGCAGCTGGGCACCTCCTTTGAGCAGCAGTTTCACAAATTAAAAAATAATACTGATGTACAAAAAACAGCCCGCCCGTCTCTGCCTCTGAGAACGCGCTCCAAACTGTCTAAACTGATGCTCCAACATTTACCGGATTTTTTCACACTATAAGGCGCACTTAAAATCCTTTTGGCTTGTCGGAGCACTGCAGCTACTGTAGCCTCGCAGAGTTATTGAACGAGTTAAATAAAGTTTTAATTATCTGACTGTTTTGTTTGGCTTAATGCGCTTTATAATCCGGAGCGCCTTACGTATGAAAATAGACTCGAAGTGACGCGTTCATTGATGGTGCACCTTATAATCAGGTGTGCCCTATAGTGCAAAAAAATCAGTAGTCCTTTAAGTTACTATCTACTAGAAGTGGATGACTTTACAATGTAGGATAGAAGGCAACCAGGCAAAGAAAGGAGAAAATAAAAGAATCAATATTAGACCGTCTCTCTTCTCTTAAGTGGTCGGTGATGTACGACTAAAAGCGTTTTCTCAAACTGATGCTGCATTTGAAAAAAAACTTCTGACATGATAATTGTGAGGTGACAATGACAGCTCTGGTACTCGTCATTTAACAGCTGCTGATTCATCAATTTGGCTCCACAGTGAGAACTTCTTTAATAATGCGACTGATTATATATTGCTGTAAAAAATGCTTTCTCCAAAAGAACAAAACTGAACTCTTAAATGCCACAAAAACACAACAGTGTTCAACAAACAGATGGGATCTTTTTCCCTCAGTGAACATGTCTCACAGGTCAAAGTACGTGTGGCGGCACCGTGATGTTTGAAGAAAAAGATAAGGAGACATTACAGCACAGCAGGGAACCGTTTTAGGATAATCAGGCCAACCGGACTTTGCAGGGAGTTTACCTTAGCATGCCCGTGCTTGCCGGTCTTGGAGGTGGACATCTCCACAATTTTGCAGGGGCGTCCCTTGAGCACCACGTAGCCGTTCTTACGCAGAGCTGAACACTGCATGGGGTAAGTGGCGGAGGCGCCAGACTCACCAGTCGTGAAGTCAAGATCAGGGTCTGCCATGGTGCGATGGGTCAGGGGCGCTGAAAGAGACACGACAGATAATACAGTTTAGCTACTTTGCATCAACACGCTCTGTTTAATACTGATGCCTTTGACTCACAGAAAAAGCTTTGATAACCTTATGTAATGGTCGCACAGTTAATTAACCAGCAATATACTTGATATTTCGGTTTTAGTTACTTATATTCAGAGGCAAATTTTGACGCGCCTGACTATACACATCAAGCCCGATGCAATTTTGCGACTTTCCGGGGGGGGAAAAAAGACGCATCCCGGGGAAGACTTTTCAGGGGAAAAAGTCCCGCCTCCTTCGCCTCTGATTGGCTAGAAAAGCTGGAAAATGCCGCAATACCGCATGACTGGAAAACGTCGCTGATGTGAACGCTTGTATTGACAGGATACAGGTTCAAAAAAAATATTGACGTCTGAAATAACAACACGAAAAAGACGGTCCCCGTGTGAAAGGACCTTTAAATTATTTATAATCTGGTTTAGGGGACGAAGACAAAAAGGGTCAGACTCAGAGGGTAAATGACAAATTATAGACTGAATAAGAAAAGCTGCTCTTGATGACACTGATGAGTTAATTGTATTTTTGCATAATTTTACATGAGATAAATCCTCAAAAAATGATTTAAGATTCACAAGACTTAACTTTTTTAAAGATCTATAGGAAATCTTGTTTGTGCCCACCAAAGTTTAATAATTGGGTCCTACACTCATTAGGGGTTAAATCTCACTTGAATAGTCCTGCAAAGGGCCCCAATGTGCTGAATGGGAACCATTAGAGTATCGCGAGATTTAGACAGTGTCCGCCGCATGCTGCGCTTCGCAAATTAAATTAAAACTCATTATTCCAAGTCAAAGTGTGTGCTCGGTCCTGTCCGTGGAGGGACACTCGTGTGTGAAAAGCGCCACAGTGACTCGACACGAGGCTGGACGGCCAGTCTGTCATGCTGCCAAACACTCCACTATATCTCCAAAAGTCACTCAAACTTCCACCAGAGGCGAGGTTTAACGCTAATGACATTTAAGGTGAACTCTAAATGGACTGTGCAGGTTTATTTATATAATGTGACATGAAAACAGTCAAGTTATCGCGAGGTTTAGGGAGTTAGCTGGCCTTCAGTTTACAGGTGAAAACAGCGCCAGACATTACGACAACTATAACTCTACAGATGTCAACAACTGCTTTTGTTAGCTATTTATAAACATACGCAATATTTGTCCTCTTAATTGAGAGTTTTTGGTCGAATTGGGCGCCGTGAGGTTCATTCAACAGCCAACATGCGTCGCTGCACCTCTCTCACAGTAAATACCGTTATCTGGCCGGGTTAGCTAATAGGATGCTAAAAGCCGCTAGTCACGCTAGCCGTCCATTCAGCTCCGTCCAAATTAAACATTCATGTTCAGCGTTTAGAAAGCGGGCCGATACATTTATGAGACGAACATTAACAGCTAAGACGACAAACAGAGCGCTGATTCAACAGGAGGGGGAGAAAAAGAGGGGACAAAAGAGCCGAGGATGACATGCGACTTCCACCGGCCGCGCCGCCGAAGGCCGCGTGTCCCTTTGATTCAGCCCGGGAACGTTCGCTCCAACACGGACACCCACACCCAGCCCTGCCGCCGAATCAAACAACTACTCTCTCATCTTTTCGAGACGCTACGCGGCTACTTTTGTACATGAGATTTCACTATCCGCTCACTGAAATAACCGCTAAGTCAACCGTTATCCCCCCCCAAGGCAGAAACACGCGCCATGCCACACTTACCTTCCAAGAAAAAGAGGACCGACACTGCGCAGGCGCGGCCAACTTTACTGCAGCATCCGTAGAGGAAGGAGGGAGGGGGCGTTTATGTGTTCCGGTCGGCGCCTGGCAGAAAGGGTTGCCAGGTGTGAGGAGGTTGGCAAACTTGGCAACCCACGCAGAAGTACTTGACCTATTAAGGCAGGGGTGTCAAACTCGACCACAGCAGGGGCCCTAATCTGGATTTAGGTCTAACCTAAAGCGCCAAAGAGGGTCAACATTTCATCAAAACTGTCATATGCAACAAAAATAGCAATGATTATAAATCATTTGGAAATTCAGATATGATGAAAAGATAGAAAAAAATATTTTTTTATTCTATCTTCATTTATCAGTTCAAAAGATCAAACATGATATTAAAAACGCACTTTTATTCCTTGGCTTTCAAAACATTTATTATTTATATATTTATTTATTTATTGCATTCCTGTATTTTTGCTCGCTCTATCTAGTTCTTTGCTTGTTTTACTTGTTTTTATGTCCCAATGTACAGCACTTTGGCTACCCACGTGGACATAGACTCTGTGTTTTGAACCAAACAGTGCAGACTTGTTTCTTGTCATTATAAGTCCAATTTTTGTGAGCTTTTGCCCACTCATATCTCTTTTTCTTGTTCTGTGGACGAAGTAGTGTTTTTTTGCAGACACACAACCCTTCAGACCAGCCTTTCTCAAACGTCATTTCACAGTTGTCAGAGATATGGGTTTCGACCTTGTCATGTTGATTTCCCCCCTTATTTGTGGTGCTGTCTATTGCCGATCTCTCTTACTGGTGACAATTCTATGTTTATCCTCTGCTTTTGTAGTAACTCTCTACGTCCAGGCCTTTTTCTATCATCATAACTTCTCTAGTCTCTTCAGAGTGTAGTGGACTCTTTTGTTAAACACCTTTAGGCGTTTTGCAATTTCTCTTTCAGTGTATCCTTCTTTCCTCAAAGTACAAATTTGTACTTTTGTTTCTTTACTCGCTTCTTTCCAGCCATTTTTGCAGTAGTTTGAACTCAGTTGAGATTTATTAGGATTTTTGTCTGCAGACTCTCAAAAGCCAAAAAGTTGAAGTGAATAATCCAACTGTGATCTGTGTTTTTGCTTCTGCACTGAAGTTGTGACTCTTGCAAATGTTTTCAACCCTAAAACTAAGCCCTTATTATCTTTTGCTGACATGTATTTAGCATTGGTCTGTTAACATCAATGTATATATCTAAAGGTAAATGGAGTAAAATGGTGCATTTCCATGAAAGCAACATCTGATCATGGAGTAAATACATCCCAAAATACATAAAACTCATGCTGGATTAAAAAACAACAACATTGTGAACAAACGGTTCGGCCTGTAATGGCCTTGCTTCCAAACTTTTGGCCTGTAGTGAATATATATTACTTCTATATATACAGCAGTTTGTTGTCATGCTACATTTGTCCATTTTGAACAATCGGTCTGATCAACAGATTTATCAATATGTTAAATCAATGTTAGTTGTCACCACACACCTGTTAATTAAAGAGAGCAGACAGAGGGTCGTCTGTATACTCAGGAAAAGAAGGACAGACACACAGGAGCAGGTATTTCTGCTGTACAAGGAGAGGACATTTATTGTAGAGTTTCAAACATCACAGATGTGTGTTACCAGATTGAGGTCGTCTTTCGACTGATTCCAGTGATTCAGACAAGGTGAAAACATACACTCACATGCATGTCACACACCTGTGCACACACCTGCTCATCTACACACTCACACACACACACACACACACGCACGCACACAGGCTGACAGCCGTACATACGTTCACAGTCTTGATACGTACAAAAATTGAAATACAAATACAAATAATACCACGATAAAAACATTGTATTTTTTTTTAGAAATCCTTATAGCTATGTTCTCTATTCTGTAGAAAGACAACTAAGCTTTAACAAGTGAACATTATTTTTTGTCTTTCCCTAAAATGATCAGTATGATATCATCATAACGAAAATTCTTACAGTATATATATATCTTTTTTAATCTATGGTTTCTCAAACAGACCCTGCCTCCTCACCTTTATTCACAGGGTGTTGATTACTGTGAACATCCCGCACGTGTAAAAGGCTTCTGCTGGCCTTTTAAAGCGGCGTCGCGTCCACCTGTCTCCTCCTCAAACCAACTCAAAATAAAAGGAAATCAAGTAAAAGATGAACACCTTTCCCCTCTCTGGCAGCCTCCTCAAAAACCCACAAACACCTCACATCCGGGGACCGTCACCAAACACGCTGAGGTCCGGTCCAGTCCTGCTCACTCTGTGTAAAATATATATTCAACGCCAAACCTGCAGTTTCGCTGTGTACAAGTTTGGCCCACCTGGCTGCAACTTATAAGATAATAAGTCCAACTTTGACTTTACAGCTCAGTGTTGAGAGGAAAATTGTTTCAGGACTCCTGCATCGGTCGTCCCTCACCGTCTGGCTCATACAGATAGATCAGTCAGTGTATTGCCTTAAAACAAACATTTAATAACAAGGTGAAACGTGTAAGTCACCATGCAAAAGTGCACAACTTAACAGACAGTGATGAACTACAGAGAAAAAGTAAATGAGCGTTAACCCGAACCAAAGCTTTCTGCTCTGAAAGACTAAAAAAAGAAACTCCAATCTGAGAGAAACTACAGAACAGATTTGACAGAAGTGTGACGATAAAAAAAGCCAGACCATTTTTAATTTTTTTCCTCTGTCTTCACACCTGCTTTGCAAAGTCTGCCCTTAACATCAAAGTGAGTATTTACACAGGTGTGGTGTACACAGAACAGCAGGGACAGAAAAAGGTGGAGGGAACAAAGGGCAGCAAAAGTAGAAACTTCCAGAAGTTGGCAACTACTCTACGCCAAGTTCTTTTTTTAGTGAGAAACGATGTGAAGATTTTGATTCTGTGTTGCTGTTGCAGCAATAATACAATATCTACAAGCTCCGCTCCCCTGTTCGTGAAACACCGGGACAAAGTGGCCGCAGTAGCTGAGCAGCTTCCTTTAGGACACGTGGAGGACGCTTGTTCCTCGAACCGCTTGTTTGTTTGTATTTTTTTTCTCTATTAAAAGGGAGCAGACACAGACGGTGTTTCAGCAGAAGCAGCACTCGTAATGAGTGTTCACACTGTGAGCAACACCATCATCAACTCACAGCAGGTCCATTCATCCCCCTCAGGTGAAGTGATGATCAAGAGACAGCACGCATGCCTGCAACAGTTTGACACAGTGAGCCGATTCTGCTGTAGCCCTATTTTGTTGCATGAGGAAACAACCGACAGCGCAAAGGAGACATCGATTAGATTTGCTACAAGATGTTAATCTAGAAAACATCCAGTGAGTTTGACGGGACGAGTCATCACTGTCAGAGGTGGCTGGGAGGATAACCAGACTTTCATTTATGTAAGAAGAAGTTAACATTTGGACAGTCACTCCGAGATGTTAGAAGATGAGTTTCTGCTCTTAACCGGCTGATTTAGAGAAGTTCAAAAGTGACGACAAGAGTCCACACTGAAGTTAGAAACGTATAAAACCTTTGAAACAGCTCCTGCAGACACGTGCAGGAGGAGACTGTGCAGCTCAGGAAGTTTAAGGGGAGCAACAACGACTTTTATTTGTTAGCGAGTTATCAAGTTACCTCCTTGATGTTGGGCTGAACTATGTTGGGCTCATTTGTAAATCCAAAAAATAAAATAAACATGTTTTGTTTGACCATATCTCTCTCATGATTGTCAAGTATTTATTGTAAATCACTCATGAAGCAGATATTTGGAGTTAAATAATGATATCAGACACAGGTGCACCATCAGTGTGGTGGTAAATGTCACTGCAGATCTGGGTATCTATGCTCTCAACTTTCTAATGAGAGGTAGTGTGAGCTGTATTTGGAGGTGAGGTGAGATATGCAGACATTATGCTCCAGGAAGCACATTAGGTCCTCAACTGTCTAGAAGTAGAGTGTTCCTACCTGAAACGGCAGTAAAGAAGAAAACTTCAAGTTCACACATTCTGCTGAATCTCAACTCCAGAAATAGCTCCAAGAAATTATCACTGTCATGTATCGCTGTTTAAATCATCCTCACTCTGCTCTGGATACATGTTTCAGTGGTTCTCCTACAGTGTCACAATGTTCAGTTCAGATGTATAACTACTTCATAATTTTTTAAAAAGTCCTTTCCTAAGTTTGAGTTCAATCCTCCACACATAACATTTTTAATGTTGGATTCCCTTCAGACCAAAGCTAAGGTCTGAAAAAGTAAGCTGAAATGCAGAAACGACCGCTTCAAAGAAACAGCCTCTGTATATGGATGCACTTTGCGCAAGGACACTGCTGCCCTTAATTATGCAAATTTATGCATAAAGCTGACCCTTTGTGTTATCAAAATGGATGATTTATAGAGATTTCCCCTTCTGTTCAAAAATTACCTGCACTCTAAAAATGTATTTTGAGAAGACATGTTGAACTATAACACAGGCATTAATAGGGGATTGACTGGCTTTTGGCGTCAGCCCCAAGTGGACACTCAAGGAACTGCATCATTTAGCATTTAGCATTAGCTGTGTTTTTCGACACTCAAACAGCTCGTCTGTAAACTATTGTGGTGGAATTCATGAAGTTGTATTGGAGCTTAAGACTGGATTAGATTTTCACTTCCTCACAGGTTTGGTCTTGCCCTCCTATAGCTGAATATTTAGTTTTAACCACTGCTTCATTGATTCAGTTCATCCTGTTTGTTTGCTGGGTTGGAGGAGAAGACACGTCAGTTCAGACATGAGGCTAAACGAGCACCCGGGCTAGCTCAGTGTGGATGTCCTGATGCTTCCAAAGGGATTGTGGTTCAGTACACCTCGAAATCTGCTGCGTCCAGAATCTAGATTCATGACAAGCCAAAGTTTTCTTGCTCTATTGATGCTACTCCTATCACCACAAATGTTCACCCACTACTTACTAAATGAAGTCTGATTTGCTGCTATAACCGCGGTCATAAACACCTGCATTACCACCATCAGCAGAGTAGAAGGACTCATTGTACTCGCAGTGTGAACACCCTGTCGGGAATCAGTAATGTGCTACACAGAGAACTTCTCTAAAGCTTCCCATTCCAGTAAATGGGGAAGTCGAAGGCTACTCGGCGTGATGTCAGTGTCCCTCAAAGTCTGGATCCAAACTCGCTAAAACAACCACTTGGAAGGCGGAGGCATCGTCCACTGACAGATCATGGCGTCCCCTTTGTCAGGCAGGCAGTGTAATCATCAATGAGACCTGCGGCGCCCCCTACAGTTGGAGGGGACACACTCCTGTGGTGCGCTCTTCCTCCAGTGACTCAAATGTCTTTTTCAGCAGCTTGTTTTCCTCCGACACACACACATCGTAAACACACACACAAACGCAGTCATCCCGCCGCCCTCCCTCCTGATGTCGGGCGATGCTCAGAGTGAAAAAGAGGAGGGTTGTGGGTCGAGGAGAAGGGTTACCAGTTCATCATGGAGCTTCTGTTGAGGGTCATGAAGAAGACTTGACTGCTGCCTCCAGAGCGAACAGAGGCAAAGAAAACCTGCAGGCGAGAGAAAAAACTCCAATCACCATCCTGCAAGACATTTACCGTAAAACCTGGAATATAAGTCACCAATGTACATGACATTCAGACGTGGAGCGGGTTTAAACTGTGCCCCTACTCAAAGATCTGCACTGTAATCAGCAATTTTTTCACCACCATGAAACCTTGACTATTTACCTAAAAGTGTATCAGGCTTTTCTTTAAATGTAAGATTACATTCTAATGAGGTAGAAAAGCTTTTAAAAGTGGCGCCTCTATCTGTTTTCAGCATGCTTTGTGTATTAAGACACATTAAATGCTTCTGCAGGCGCCACCTTCTGGGTAAAACAATGTAACACAATAGAATTCCTCTCTTTACTATATTGTTCATTCCCATAACAAATCAAAAGCACTCTTTAAACCCTAAATATCATGGTTTATGACCATGTGGTACATTCCTGAGATAACACATTCAATTATTATTAAATGTAGCATCTTTCCCCACTTACAACACTTAAATATCCTCAACTAAAGTAAATATTGTATAAATACGTGTCTGATTGTAAAACTAAAAAATCCCAAAACTGAAAGGTGTGGCCTCCAGGAGCCTGACAAATCTTCTCTTAGTCTGAATAATCAGATTTCTTCACCTGCTCAACAAAAACAAAGGACAAACCATAGACTGTATATACTATGGACAACTTGGTTCTGCCTTCCGCCAGCATACGGATTTGAAACGGAAAAGCTCTCGGTAATTATGATTTTCTCCATTTCCTGAAACCAACATTGCGCAGTAGCACCGTGCGCATTTGGCGGGAGAGTCGCTGAGAGTCGCTTTGATGACGCTCAGCTCAAGCAGCGTATTCACCGGGTGAGCTACGCAATCTTCGTACGCCCATAGGCTGTATCAGGTGTCAATCATAGAAAACATGAACCCCCTAATAACTTTGAAAAATGGAGCTGTACAGAAAAAAGAGGACTTGAGCACAAACCAGTCTGACAGTAACTACATGTCAACATCACAAGCAGGAGGGAGAAAAAACTATATTCTGTGAAATTAGTTTCTAAAGTTTGTCCACAGCTCCATAGGGATTGCTGGAGGTGGCGGGATTTATGACCTATACTACAGACCGTCACCAGAGGGTGCTGTTCTCAAGGTGGCTTCACTCAGCGAGGAGGCAGACGGCGTCCATTCTATATACAGTCTATGATACAAACACAGTCCATCATGGGTGTTCCTGGGTAAAGTGTTTGATTCTTGAACCTGATGGACCCAAACGTCCAGGTGTTTCAGACTCACCTTGTCGTTCCTCTCCGACAGGAACTTCAGTCGCTGAGCTCGCTTGTGCATGAAAACTCCATCGAGGTGTCCCGTTTCCACGGAGCGGATCTCAATGGCCTTCTCTCCCCAGCCCATGATCTGGTTGGAGTGGATGTAGGCTGCAGGGACAGGAGGGGCACACACACACACACACGCATAAAACACACACACACATACGCACACACAGGCGTCACACAGACAGGGATCGGGACAGGAGAAAACTCAGCACCAGTCTCACACCCAAGCCAGTCACACTCGGAGGCCTCCCCGCCTCACCTCCAGGAGGAGATTATTGCAGCAGTTTCTGACGGATTCAACGATCACGACCTCTGAACTCTTCATCTGAGGAGGAGCTCGGCGTTTGGACAGTGAGAGACACCACAGGGCTGCTGCTGCTTTGGGTCAGTTTGAAGTTGGTACTTGATTCGAATCAAAAAGCCAAGCACGCTGGGTTAGGGTCGGATGCTCTCTCGAAGGGAGAAGGTGAAGTCTGATCGACTGTTTTGGGATCATTTGGGGCTTTTTTACACTCAGAAATGACACTTTTAGAAGCACGTCAGAGGAGATCATATCAGAAAACAGAGAGGCTGTAATGAGTTGAAAGTTAGACCAGACATGTCTTCAGACTGCAGGCGTCCTGACCAAACATCAGCACCAAAGACACAAAAATCCCTGTCAGGTCAAGAGGGGCTAACATGTCATAAAGTTGGTCAAAACTCAATAAATCTGAGTCATGTCTGATCTACTTCCAGGACTGTCTTCAAAGCCAAGTTTATAAAGGTCTTTGCACACTGAGTCCCTGTTTGTTTAAATGCATGTTGTTTTTATTTCTAATCCAATAAAAACTGTCGAGCAGAAAGACTTTCCACAATGAGTCTGTGTTCATTTTTCTATTTGCTGCAAAATGTAACCCGCTGGTGGTGCTAGCTCTGGGTCAGAATCTAAATAATTGAAAATCTCTTTTAAAAAAAAAGACAAGTGATAGGAGAGTTTACCTGCCAAAGCGGAGCTGCAGAATGATCCTGATCAGTTCCAGGTGTGTTTAAAGAGATACGCCTCTAGCAATACCTGAATCTAATGTTTAGACACTTGGGTTCTAGTAATATGTTTGAGTAAAGGAGACACACACATGCATTCAGTTTATCTAGTAGTGTGTGTATCAACATGAAATGAATGATGGACAGAAGTTTAACTGACACAACATGCAACAATTTCAGATGAACAAAACAGCCTCAGTGTGCAAAGACCTGAAGTCAAAATGAGATCTTCAGCTTGTTGTTGCACAAATTTCTGCTGTGAGACACTAAACGACGGGGCGAAGGTGCGCAACGCCGATCTCTCTCCAATCACGTACACCTTCCTCTGTCGCAGAAACAACCCTGTGGAAAATCTTCTAGTGTTTTCTCCCTGAATTAAAGAAGTGTTCGGATTTTTTTCTCCAGAGGGAGAATATCGACCCGCAGAAGTTCATCACAGCGCGTGAGGGGGGTACAGCTCTACAACCATGCTGGTTTTGTTTGGGTTTGGCCTGAGGGGCTGAGGCCGGGCTTGGCTGTGAGAAACTCTGGTCTGACAGTAAAAAAACACACAAACATTTAACAGGAGATGAAGTCCACACACAGAAAACACACACAGAAAACCAGCAGTACTGCAGGACACAGACACAGTCACTCAAACATACATGTTTAATCAATCCGGATATCTGAGAATCAGAGAGTGAGAGCCGAATGGAAAAACACAGACGCTCTGATCGACTCGGATCATAAGATCCACGATCCATCCTTGATGTGCTCGAGTTTCCTCTTCGTGCGGTTTGACTGAGCGCGCTGCTGAATTATAGATAAGTTTAGATGCACTGTGCTGCGCGATCATCTCAGGCTAAACTTTGATCTCGTTTTCAGTCTGCAGAATCTCACAAATATTTCTCGTGCAATCAAGGATGAAAGTCAGGACGGATGAGAGATTCAGTTTGGAATCTTTGTGAAGAAAACACTCAGACGGAACGAGAGGACAGAACTTCACAGAGCAGACGAACAACACAGAAGCATTTCCCCCAGTGCACAGAAAAATAGAAACTGTAGAAAAGGAGTGTGAAGAGGAGGAGATGTTGGTGTGTGTCTGTATGAGGGAGGAGGAGAAGGTGGAGGTAATGCTCTGAGGGGTGTGTTGTTGTCAGCTCATGCAGGAAATGGATGTTCAACACTTGACATTAAAGAAACACAAGCATCGGTTTCTGGGTTGAAGTTTTTGAAATCAGCTCTTTTACGTGATGAAAAAACCTGACAGACGAATCCTCCACGTGTTGAAAAGTTTGACGCTTTACCGGCATTTTTGATTCATTCGTTTATCGGCACAGAGAATACAAACTCCAAGGCCGCCATCGCTATCATTTGACAGGTACGTTTGGTGCTTCTGATCCTGCTCAGATAAGCAAACCTGTTAGAGGATATGATGTTGTTAAAGCTTTAACTTTAGCATTGTGTCTTTGTTGGGGGCCAGATCAAGAGCTAGTGCGAACTAGGAATGTGTCCATGAAGTTGACTTAACTGTCTAACACAGCATGCCCTCTCACTGGAACCAGAATTACTCTTTCATTAAACTTACAACTTTGCAATAAAATACAAAATGCCTGAACCGTGTAGTAACCCTTCACTTAAAACAGCTGTAGCTCCAGAAAACAGCATTATGTCCACTGCCATAACACTGCAACCCTCGACTACCCAGATGGAGACAAGCAGGGATGCTCCTTTATCGCAGCTTTAAATAAGAAGAAATTTAGTTTCAACATTTGATATGAATCCGTTTATCATTCATTCATTCGATTTTCAAAATAAAACCAAAAATGAAAAAAAGAGAAACGACCTGTTTTCTAAATATTCGCCTCTAACACGAAAATAAGAAAACGGATAACAGCTCATTTTCCGATTTTCATTTTCTTCAGCTCAATGAAAATGGGATAAATGGATAACTGTGTATGAATCTGTGTATCATTCGTGATATTTCCAGTTCAATAAAGGGTACATATACAACGGAGTATAAGGGCCACATTACGAAAAAAAATTAAGACTTTGAGATTAAAGTAATTAATTTATGAGATTAAGTCATTACTATTGAGAATAAAGTTGTAATCAAATACTACGACTATACTTACGATAGTGTGGTGCTGATGTGCCGAAAGATTCAGTATCCCTTTGTTTGAGAAACCTAAATTGGAGTACAATTTCACAAAATGCTCCATGGCTCTCATTTCAATAACTGTCATCTTAAACAGGTTAGAATATAACGACTTTATTCTGACTTTGTTCTCATAAGTAATTACTTTATTACAACTTTATTCTCATTAATAATGACTTTATTCTCGTAAGTTAACAACTTTAATCTCAAGGTCTTAATTTTTTTTTCTTAATGTGGCACTAATACTCCGTCATACATATATGATTTGCCAAACATAAATTTTTTTTCTATTTTTATTTTTTATTTTTAAATATAATTATTGTTTTTTTACATTTTACCTTCTGTGCTAAATTTTTGTTATTAGGGTTGTTTTTCCTTGAGTTCAAATGTTTGGCATGACTCAGTAGAAACCTAAAAAGCTCCATTATTTGTGAATAATTCTCACTGTAGTTTATGTCATCTGGAGGAATCGTTCTGTCAGTTGCACGTGGATGTTTTTGCCTTTTCATCACTCGACCCAAAAACCTGTCTGCATTTCTTTAAGCTGCTGCTGCTGCTGCTGGGATGAAACAGGTGAGACTCTAGTCTGGGCTTCTCGTCTACAGGTGTGACTGAAAGCAGAAGGCAGGGGGAAGAGGAGGAGAGTTGCTTTGAACGGAGGAGGTGTGAGGGTGAAAGATGATCTGCTGAAACCGCAGGTCAGAGGTCAGAGAGGGTCAGGGAGAAGCGAGCTGATTGGTTGACGTACCGACGGAGGTGGGCATCTCGCCCCACTGCAGCACCACGTCTTTGGTGATGCGTCCGTAGGTGTTGACGTAGACGCCTTCGTCCTCGTAGCACAGCAGCATCTCCATGCCGTCCGTCTTGGGCAGAACCACGATGGCGTGCGGGGTCACCTGACCCTGAATCTGCCGGGGCAACACACGGGAGGGGGGTAGGGGGGGGCAGGGGATTAGGAGCTGACGTAAACCTACAGGAGGGTCTGGACCTCCTTAAACCCCCCCCCACTCCCCACCCTGAGAGAGGAGAAACTGCTGCAACAATAGAGTCCCCCGCTCCTCGGCCACGCAATCACCATGGAAACAGACACAGCACAGTGTGATTCATGACTGCCAAGAGCAACTTGAGGCGGTTGCTATGGTTACTGTCTCCCTCCAGGGTCCATCACTTACTGTAACCAGACCAGGGTTAGAGGAGGACAAACATTCACCCACTGATTCACTCATTCATTCATTCCCTCTCTCACTCATTAACACAGCTGTTCATTCATCCAGTCACTCCTTCATCTACTCACTAATTTATTAATCAACCCTCTTTCTCACTTATTTATTAATTAATACTGCTGACAACAGGGCCTGACTGCGACGATCTTTCAGGCTGGGAAACGGAGCAGCGGATTTTAAGCGGGGACCTTTGGGACGCCATTTTTAGGTGAACTCTGTGTCCTGCTTTCTGATGAACAACAGTGCACCTGAATCACACCTGATGGGAACAACAGCTCAGTACAGTGTGCTGTTATTAATTCAAATAAAACAGTTTCATACTACTAAAGTAAGAGCACAAGGACCGACATTTTATCTCTATTTATCTGTCTATCAGAGCTAAGAGTTGGTCTGGGCGATTTTATGATCGTGATAAATGATCGTGATAAATTTCAGTTCGATCACGGTGATCAGCTGTGAGCATATTTACTCGATCAATCATGACGGAAATGTGCGTCACAACACAATAGCCAATCAGAGTCGAGCTTTTCCTGCTCACTTCTGTACGTTGCCAGAGAAGTAAACAGAATGACCGAACGTGGAGCTAAACGTGAAGCTGAGGGCAGCAAGATAGATGAGTGAATGACTTTGAGTCATCCTCCAAAGACGCTGTTGTTGAGAAGAAGAAAAGTTATTCAATGTCAGTTGTGTGGCGGTGGTTCGGGTATCCCCAAAGTGACGTCGAGCAATTAAGCCGATGTGTAAGGTATGTCGGCGGTTGGTGCCCCAAAAACAGGCAAGAGCAATTCCCATGAGCGTTGGAGCGGCTCCTGCCCTCGAACATCTCTCACTTTCACTTCATCATAAGCTGCTCAGATCAGTGAGAAACAAAGTTTGGGAGCACTAGGACTGCTGAATCTTCAACATATTGTCTAACAATGGCTCAAACTGTCAGGAAGCTAAAAGTAGAGAGAGGAGAGCAGGGAGAGGAGCAGGAGGTGTGTGTTTTCATGTGTGTCTGAGAAGCCAAGGGACAGAATGAGCACGACGAGAGAGAGGCTGTGGCCATCATGTGCTAATGAGTTAAGGACTCCTGGGCTAAAAAGTGAGAGATATCGTTCTGAATCATAATAAAATACAAGTTCAAGTTTTAAAAATAAAGGACGTCCATCTTTCCCAAACAGGCACATTAATTCTGGTCCAACTCCTTCAAAATAAAAGCTCTATGATCAGTCAAGCTAACCTCTTTTCTTCTTTTCTCTATCATATTTTCACTCATTCACTGGTCTGTCACTCTTTCATTCATTCAAAAATATCATTTCCCGAACTCTGCTCACTCCGAAACAATCACGCACAACCAAGCAAACACAGCTGATGTTCAAAAAGCCTTCAGTTAGATTTTTCAGACACACAGACTAACATGTGAGGGGATGTAGATGTCGTAAGGGTTGCCAGAGTCCACGTCTATGACATGGAAGCCGACAGTGGAGCCGTAGATGACCTTTAACCTCTGTCCCTCCTCCACAGTCAGGTCAACCAGCAGGGGGCGATGCTGCAGGTCAGTGAACGACTGAAAGATGAGGAGATAAAGAGGAGGGGTAACTTGAAATCAAAAAGGGCAGTTATCGAAACGGACAAAATTAAACTGGAAAAACACCTGACTCCTACCTTGAAGGCCATAAACTTGTGGTAAGGTTTAGGCGCCCAGGCGTAGATCTCCACCGAGTTCTTTAGAGCGATCACCAGAAATTTAATCCTCTCGTACTTCACTGTAGGAGAGAGGCAGCGCAGCAGAAACAGAATAAATAAATCAAACAAAAATTTAAGATTTAACAGTTAACTTTTAGTGGACCAACTTTATGTCCCAGTCTGAGTGAGTCCCCATATTGGTTCATGTCCCCATAAACCACATACACCAGTTTTCTTACCGACTTTATAATGCACGCAGCCCTCCAGCTCCCCGACCGTGATCCAGCCCTGTTTCTTTTCCACCTCAGGGTCGTTATGTAATATCCTGTTCCTCAGCCAGGACAGGTAATAAACACGCAGCTTGTTCTTCTTCCCTGATGCAGAAAAAAAAAAAGAAAAATCTTTAACCTGAATTTAATTGGGGGTGGGGGCACTAAAGGAACAGCCACAGCTACTTTTCCTACAGTAAATATTCAGCATATGTGACAAATTTCCCTGTAAACAGACAAGAGGATGAGGTTTTTGATGATTAACACCACTAATAAAGATGAGACAAAATCAGCAACAATATCAGGGTTACCACTTTATCCAGAGGGGGCGCCAGAGTCAATACAGACTCAGTAATGTTTCTGTGAGTTTCTCGACATGCTTTTTTGGTTGCGAAAAAAATGTCACGCACCCCAAAACAGTCTCATCTCTCCTATGTGTCCTATGTGTTTTATCATGTTTTATCAAGTGCTTTGAAAATAAACTTTGATTGATTGATTAGGTCCCTTTAATCCAGGTACAGAGTGATAAATCCCAACCTGAGATGGTGACCAGGACGTTGAGTCCCTCTAGGACGTCCATCTGCTGGAAGCGCCGCCGATTGATCAGGTTATAAACTTTTCCTTGTCCACTTCGATCCAGCAGCATCAGGCCGTTCTCCGTTCCCACCAGCAGGTTCACCCCTGAACAAACGCACAAATGTTTGTTTTTGACATCTCTCAGTGTTAACAGTAATATGGCGAAAGTGTTTTGGTGACTGTCTGACCCCAGAGGGCTGCACACAGGATCTCAGAGTTGAAGCGTTTCTTGTATTTGCGGATCTCGGGCGTGTCGCTGTGCGGTCTGATGTTGGTCGGGTTCACGTTGACCACAGAGATCTTCCTGGCCTCGTTCAGCCTGGCCTGCTCCTGCTCCTGCTTCAGCAGCTCATCTGCAATCAGCGCTGCAGCATAACAACACAGTCAATATCACAGCAAAGTAAAGTGCATGAATAATTGAAGCTTTTAGTGGTATAAATATTTGAAGGATGGAGACAGATTGCTACAACTTGAACATGCCATGCCCTTGAGTTTTTCCTTCTCTATCATCTCTTTGACACAAATGGGACTAAAATACACAAAATGAGCATCTCACTGTATTTAAAAAGACTTTGAACCAGAAACTGAGTCGTCTGGTGTGAGCACATTCAGATAGAAAAAGCACCTGATGCAGAGATGTTATCATCATCCTCTGTTGGCGAGGTCCCGTACACCCTCGGATCGACAAACGGCGTGAAGGAAGCCTTGGAGCCTCCGCTGCCTCCCATCCCGTACTGCAGATAACACAAACACAGGACACAGGGGGTCACTTCGGTGGGTTTTCAGTTTCACAGGTAACTGTTACAATAAAGGAATCACTGTTTGGTAAATGGAGATATTTTGGTCCACAAAATAATTTATTTATTCTTTGTTTTTTTAAGAGGGAAGGGGTAAGGACGCTCTTTCTTTCATGACCAAAATAATAAAAACGCTGCTCTGTAGAAACCCTTTTGGCCTCATGCAGAAAAACGTAAAAATAATGAGCGGTGAAGGTTATTTTGAGACACAGTTAAGGACCGGATGATTTTAATTTCCTTCAAATGATGCCTCAGCATGATCAGAAATCTAACTCTAAGTGTTTCCTTTATTTTCCAGCTACCTGTATTATCAGTTCAAGGTGGACCTTCAGGGTCATACTGTGGAAAACTGAGAGGATGAGAGAGGTAAAAAGAGAGGGGGATCAAACGGGTGGAGCAGAGAGAGGAATAAATCCAGTTTGTTCCATCCAGAAGTCAAAGCAGGACAGATCAGAGTTCAGCAGGGCAGGAAATTAAAGAGGCCACGTGTTGTTGTTGTTTTTATTCTCATGCTCAGAATTTCAATTTTTGTGCTTGTTGTTGTTCCGAGATGGAAAGAAATAAAACCGGAGCAAATAAAACAGGAAAAAACGTGATAACTGTTGGATCTGCTCAGATTGGTCATAATTATTCATCACCATCAAACAGGTCATGAAAGCAGACTGCACAACGATTAACTTCTGTTCACACGTCACCTTTAAAACTTTGTCACTTTATTTCCTTCACAGTTTCTACTCCAACCTCAGATCATTTCAGATTTTATTAACCACTTAGTTCTTAGTTTGCTGCTGCTGCAAGTTTATCGGCTGATTATTCGTCTGTTTCCCGCCCTGCTGAAGGACTTGTTTGGTCGGTCGGTTGGTGTCGGGTTTGTGGGCGGTGGGGTGAAGCAGGGTGCAAAGGTGAACAGGTGATAGGGTGCTGGTCTGCCAGGATCAAGTGCAGGGGGGTGGGAGTTTGGGGGCTGATAGTTAGTTGGGTGCAGCTCCACCTACTTGGGCCCCAGAGGCGTCGCCAGGGGAGACCAGAGGGGAGGTGCTTTGCTGCACCAAATCGGGGAGATTGGCATTGCCGGAGAACAGATTAACGTTGCCGGGGAAACCGTTGCTGGCGGCAGAGCTCCGCCTCCGTTCTCTATGTCTCTGCAAAAAGAGAGAGAGAGGGGCGGGGCTACTGTGCAGCAAAACTGTGATTGACAGGTCAGGTGCTGGAGGGAGGAAGCTGAACTCTGCGGTGTCTGGGTGTGTTTTTGTTTCTGGGGGTGGGTGGGAACTGGATCCAAGGGTTCAGGAAGGACTCCTTCACACACACACACACACACACACACACACACACACACACACTCTTTAATATTTACAGTATATATTTAATAAATTTAGTCTGATTCAATCTTTTGTGGCGTTTTTTAGTATAGTAGTCTCGAATCATTCTTGTGTTTACGCTCATTTTTTACATAAATATGTTCTTAGTAAAAGTCATGACCAATAATTATGACACAGTTAGTTAAACTGGATTGAGATGCTGTTAGCTTAGCTGCTAATAAGTCTGTTTTTTTGCATCTATACCAAACAATCCAGGTTTAATTTTGAAAGACTGTAATCAAAGTGATCCAAAGTACTTTATATAAACCCACTGTATACAGAAACGTGAAATCAGCTGTCTTTGAGGAAGTCATGTTCCTCCATTCGACAGACTTTTCTGATCAGAGAGAAGCCAACTCAGCAATCCTCACACACACACACACACACACACACACACACACACACACACACACACACACGCTCAAGCGCACACATCAGAACAAAACCAGGAGGCAGCCAGGCATGCAGAGCCGGAGAACGAGCGTCTGAGCGCAGAGTCTCACTTTCTGCTGAGTCAGCCAGACTGCAGCAAGAGGTCAAAGGTCAGAATAGAGAGAGAAGGGGGGGGGGCTTACCTCACGCATCATCAGAGTACTGTCCTGGGAGCTGTTTGCGTACGTGTCGTCGTGGGCGTCGTTGTGACCTCCCATCACGCCAAACGACTCGTTGGTGCCCTGACTCGCTGCTGGCCTAAAAAAGGAGAAAAAAACGTTAATCTTTTTAATCTTTATCTTTGATTTTACAGTTTTTATTCACCTGTTGTTTAAATAAAGTTTGTCACTTAAAAAAACAGTTCGACCCTTTTTATAATTTCGCTGATTTTCATGTTGAAATCAAAGTTTTGTATCAAGAAGTTGCGATAAATCTCTAACTCCGACACTTACATGATGCGCGGTATATCACTAACAGCCACTGTCCCGTCATTAGCCCCGCCCTCTCCTTCCTCGTCCTCGCTGCTGTGAGAGTCCTCGCTGGACGATGAGTAGTCCGTCACCTTCACCGGCGGGCGGCTGGTTTCCTCCCCCTGACGCAGCTCCCTCAGCTCTTTGGCCAGAGCCGTCAGGTCCTGGAGGAGAAAAAAAACACAGAGAAGTTCAGCAACCAGCTCTGAAGTTTAGTCGTGTTCTGCTCCGTCTGAATCCCCGTGGTCAGGTGTTTCCCTCTAGATGAGAAGACGACTAAATACAGGTAAAAGGATTTTAAATTTGATGCTTTTCTTCATCTAAACAACACAAGAGAGATTGATCTAACTCTGTGGATGTTCTCAGGACTTTAACTTTAAGTCTCTTTAACATTAAACATCCTGAATGATGAGTAAACGTTGCCGATTAGTTGTTAAGAGGTCTTTTTATTGAAGATGACACATTTTCTTTTTAAGATATTTTTGGGTCGCAGAGATGAATGTGTGTGGAAAGTTTCAGGCAGCCGTCATGAAACAGGCTGTGACGGCCACGTAGATGAAAGTGCATCAAATTCAGTTCTTGTAAGGCAGAGTGGAAGTTTAAATGCAGGAGGACGGCGCTCCTTTCCCTGTAAACTGTGAGATATTTCAGTAAAAGCAGGTGTGAAAGTCTAAAAATCAAGCAGGAGGAAAGAAATAAACGGTGAAATAAATCAATAAATCAATATAGGTGTAACTCTGTCATCATCTGATCACCGAGAGTCTGAGTTTTAGGAGGGCAGCGAGCAGCAGGACGGTGCAGGAGGAAGAGGACCGGGGTCAACAGTATCATCATGCCTCAGTGCAGGAAGGCTAAGGGTCAAAGGTCATGTTAAATTCAGCCTTTGTGTCGTCTCACTGTTTGCAGCAAAAAAGGTTTGTGCATGTGAGAGAGGGGCTGAGGAGGTGGTGGTGGGAGGGAGGGAAGAAAGGGAAGAGGAAGAGGGGGTTATCTTACCAAATCCTCCTGATGAGAGAGAGAGAGAGAAGAGATGGAAGAGAGAAAAGAGAGAGAGAGAGAGAAGAGATGGAAGAGAGAAAAGAGAGAGAGAGAGAGCGATGGAGGTGAAACATGAGAGCAGAGGTGTCTGAAGTGATAATAATGACACAAAATCAAACCTTCTATGAGCATGAAAAGATTTCTCTAGCATCAACGACCTTCAAGGATTTACAAACCAACAGGTGAGAGAGGAGGGAGGGTGTGAGAACGAGAAACACACAGAGAGAGAGAGAGAGAGAGAGAGAGAGAGAGAGAGAGAGAGAGAGAGAGAGAGAGAGAGAGAGAGAGAGAGAGAGAGAGAGGTGAAGGAGGAGAAATGTCACTAACCTCGTCTACAGCTTTCTTATAGCTCTGAAGGAAGATGAGAGGAGGGATGAAGGTGAGGAGGATGAAAAGAGAGGGAGGAAGAGGGTGAGAATGAACAGCAGAATGGTTAGTCCAGAGAGAAGAAGAAGATCGTCTGTCAGAGTGAGTGTGTGTCTGTGAGTGTGTGTCTGTGAGTGTGTCTGTGAGTGTGTGTCTGTGAGTGTGTGTGTGAGTGTGAGATCTACTTTGGAAGAGTACACAGATATTAAAGCAACACAACTACCTGCAAAGACTTAAAACACAAAAGTGTGAACAGCATGAAAAAAATTAACAATTAAAAATGTGTGTGCGCGCGCGCGTGTGTGTGTGTGTGTGTGTGTGTGTGTGTGTGTGTGTGTGTGTGTGTGTGTGTGTGTGCATGTGTGTGTGTGCACTCACTGCAGGCCTGCTGGGTCGTGTCACCTCTCTTCCGTCATCTTTGGTCTCGTGGGAAGAAGAAACTGTCGAGCCTTCAGTCTTCACGGCTGAATTTCCTGAAATCACAAAAAAAAAACTGAGAGGTGAGAACGTTTTTAAAACCAGAGAGGGTTTTTGGAGATGAAATCTGGAGAATGAGGAGAGTTTTGGAAAAAAAGGAACAGCGTGGAGAGAGAGGGTTTTTCAGAGGAGCGGGAACACACTGGATCTGTGAAAGGAGTCACTTCTTATGACGTTTTAAGTAGAGGTGCACCGATCACAATTTTCTGGCTGATCACCGATTACCAATCTTTGAAAAGCTTGACCTGCCAATACAGATTATTTTTTATAACTGACAACATACACCTTTGATGCTCCAGTCTTATTTTAATAAAAAACATTAAATAATTCTTGTGAAACAATACAAACTGAACATGAGGTCGTTCTCTCAAATATAAATAAAAAGTTTAGCATATTTAGTCCAAACTACTAAATTATATCAGTTCCTTTAGTCTTTTATTTTACACCTTTTAAAAGTTAAAATTACTTGTCCAACAGGTCACACTTCAGGCCTGTTTTGAGCCTCTTACCAAAATTAAGTGCATTTTGCTTTCACAAATAAAGGAAATCACAAGGTTTGAGGAAGTTATTCAAATAATAATCTACTAATCTAATCTTGGAGGAAATCGGCACGGATCGATCAACCGGCCGAGTTATCGGTGCATGTTTAGTTTTAAGGACCTGGGTCTGCAGGAAAACTGGGAGAAGGGAAGTGCACAGAGACAGGATTATTTAGTAAGAACTGGAAATGTTCTCATCTCCCACTGGTGAAGCGACGGTGGCCTTTGATGACCAAAAAGCTCTTGTGATGCACGATAATAAGAACCTCGATCTCTCAAGTTTTTATCATCCAAACAAATGACTCAGCTAAATTAAATCAACCAACACTTTATTCACAGTCAAACTGAGACACACACTAAACAAATGAACAAACACCCTTTTTAACTCACTATGAATGGTGAAACTAAGACTCACACTAAACAGATCTACTGATGTACGACTTAAAGTTAAACTGAGACTCACCCGAAACAACCAAACGCCCTACATTATGTACCATTTACAGTGAAACTGAGACCCACCTTCAGCCAGTCTACCAGTGTCCTGTATAACTTACATTTACAGTAAAACTGAGACCCCCACAGATGAATAAATGGACTGTTTTTTTTTTCTGTGTATTTCTGAGTAAGCGTGGCGTAAACCTCCAGAGGCGCTAAAGTCCAACGCCACATGAAGAACAAACGTGAGAGTGTGTGTTTGCACCTCGTTCGTTGGAGCCTCCCTGGGAGCTCGGGGTGCTGGAGCTGGAGGAGCTGCCGCTGCTCGTCCTCTTCAGGGGCGTCTCCATGGAAACGTCCGTCCTCCGCAGGTCGGGGTTGCTACGGCAACACAAACACAGACAGCGCTGTCTCATTCATGCGGGAGAGAAAACTGTCTAAATCCTGCCAAACTAAAAAAGAACATCACACCTGCGTTTCCACAGCTCCACATCAGAGCAGCGTGTGTGTGTGTGTGTGTGGGAGTGTGTGTCTCTTGCTGAGTGTGTGTTTGTGTGTGTGTTTGCCTGGGTTGTGTAAGGTGCACTTCATCTTTACACTGTATATATGTAAGAAAAAGCTGAGCTGGGTCAATTCTGTGGGAAAGTTTTAGGAGTAAAAATGAAGTAACAGAGGTGGAGAACAGGTTTTCAGCTGAAACGGTTTTAGTGTATGTGTGTGTTTGTGTGTATTTGTGTGTGTTTGTGTGTACCTGGCTCGTATAAGGTGAGCTCCAGCCCGAGGTCCAAGGCCAGGTCCGTTTCCAGGTGAGTGTTTTCTGACCAAAGCAGGAGAAATGGAGGTTGTCCTCTGAGGGACCTGCAAACACACCACAACAAACAAACAATCAGAGCCTCCATGATGATTTTATTTCACACACACTCTGAGAGCGACATGAAAACATGAATGTTTAATCCTCCAGCTGTCCAAAGTTCAACCAAAGACCTTCAAATCCACTTTTCATCAGCCCTCATCTCAGATTGGAAACTACCTTCCTCCCCTGAAAAGTGAGGCCAGAGTAGTTAGAGCTCCCCCTACTGACTGGCTGCAGTATAAATCATAAACCCCGCCCCTCCATGTTAACAGGTGGGACATGGTTGAAATCATATAATCTATTACTGGTCTAACAGACGTTTCTCAGTCACAGTTTCAAGTTCTTTTAACTCTAAATTAAGTCCAAGTGTTGGTTTTTACGAGGGTTTTACACTTTATTCGTTAGTTAATGCCACATGGAAGTAAAATAATCTTAAAAGTTAAATCAAAACACAATGAAAATTAACGTCTTTTAACCACAGCTCATGTGATACTTCTTATATGTTGGGCTTAAACATATGTTTATTGGCGTAAATAATAATAACTTTAAAAAAAATCTAGTTTTTGTGTTTCACTGTGAAGAAATAAATAAAGATAAAGCCTATCATAAAGTCTTGCAGAAAGACGAGACTAAAATCCGTCCAAAGATGTTCGTGATTTGATGAGCGACATGTTTTGCAGCACGGGGTAAGGAATATTTTCTCTTTTCCTTCAGATTGATTTTTGGCCTTTGGAGAAACATTACCTGCAAAATACAAGGTGCACCATGTCGCCTTTTTTTGTACAGAGCTGAAGGAAGCAGCACTTTATTTATAGTTGCTTGGCAACCAACTGACTTGCACAGACAGAAATCAATATCTATAGTAGAGGAGTCCAAAATACAAGCTGTGTAACTGCGTTAGAGCTTATAGACTTTATAGGACATGGAGTTTTTAACTTTGAACTGTGAGTCCTAAAGTTTTTAAAGCACGTTTGATGGAAGTTTACAGGATTTGGACGGTGAAGCTACATTATTTCATCTAGAAGCAGCTGTAAGCTTCAGCAGAGTGAAGCTGCCCTCTGACACAAGGAGGATGTGAGCAGAGATTCAGGGTTTTCAATCAGAAATGTCAGTAAATTCAAGTAAATTACAGATTCGCCTGACTCTGAGCACCGATGAAAGGATGTAACTCACAGTTTACTAGAATTTATATAATATTAATCCTGTGGGAAAAGTCCAGTCTAAGTAATTATCTCAGATATTTAAGGAGGTATGATTTGAAAGAAGTCTCAGCAGCCTTTTCTGTCTCTTTCTGTCCAAAAATGGCGGACACTGTGTGGTTCATTGTTGATTAAATTCACATATAAAATTTTCAGTTTGGGTTTTCTTCCTCTAAATAAGGTGGAATATCTTAAACTTTTCAGCATTTTTCCATTAAAGTCAGAACAGTCAGGTCAAAGTTGGTCACCTGTTTTAAAAGTTAGGGTGAAATCAGCAAAAACATCAGAGAAACACCAGAGAAGAGAAGCTTCAAGCTGCAGGAGTCGACACACATAAACACACACATACACAAACACACACACTGGGACAAACACACACGGTGGCGGCATGCAGAGACCTTGGGGGGCATGTCGTCGTCCTGCCGCAGCCACGAGCTACGGTCCAACTTGTCGAGGGGGGGCGCCAGGCGGGAGAGGGGCGGGGGAGGAGGGGTGTCGGAGGTGGGGTCGGAGTTCTGCCGGGGCATGGGAGGCCGGGAGGGGGAGGGCGACGCCGAGGAGGTGGAGACGCCGTGAGGGTCGTACAGAGACTGGGAGCCTGACAGACCGTGACTCTTCACCTGCACCAGGTGGGCCATCTGCACACGCGCACACACACACACACACACACACACACACACACACAGGAGCAGGAAACAGGCGGGGTTCAGGAGGAAGAGCAGGATCAGGATTTGGGTTCAAACAGTGTGACGATGAGGAGGAGGAGGAGGAGGAGGAGGAGGAGGAGTGATGAAGAAAAGAAACTAAGAAGCACATGCCTCAGAGTCATGTTCAAACCCTAGACTTTTTGATCTATTGTTACCATGGAAACACTGATGCTGACCCAAACTGGTTTAAGGACAGTGTTCCCCCCCAGACATGTCCCACAAGCTCCTCTTGCTGTCTTATAAACCTGCTCAGCTGATTCCTCTTCCTCCGCACAGAGATCGGACCCTGACGGACCTCATGCACACACACACACACACACACACACACTCCACTGTAAAGACGGCGTTCACACACCTGTGGCTCTACGGAGCGGTGCATGGGCGGGGTCCGGGCCTGCTGGATTCCTCCGCTGCTGAACGACTCAGAGCGCGGCGGCAGAGACGGGTCCGAGATCCGGTTTGAGACTTTATGCTGAAATGCAGGAGAAGTCTGTCTGTTCATCTTAAAATGCTCGTCCACCTGACACACACACACACACACACACACACACACACATACACACATCAGACGACAGTCACTCACAGCAGGTGTGTGTTTGCAGAGTTTAACCTGTTTTTACATCAGTCTTCTCAATCTGAACTCTGTGTATAAAGGCATCAGTAAATCTAGATGTTTGATTTCGACCCCAAAGACGACATGAGAAATTATGAAACTGTATATCTGTGTTGTTTTATGAAAAATTAATGCTCATTTTCGGTTTGATAACATTTTAGAGAGTTGTTACAGGGTCATGTTTACGACTCTGTGTCATCCGCTCTTCTCTTACCAATGCTCTGTAAACATTAGTGAACTTAGCAGACTCATTTCTGGAGTTTTAACGGTGATTGTTGTCCCATAATTGTCTGATAGAGGATTTCATCTGCTCAACAGTTCAGGGTCTCCTTTGTCTCTTGTTCATATCTGGTTTCTTTTTAAAATAAGCAACAACTTATTGTTCTTTTAATGGGATTTTGAGCCTATGCTGTGATTTCCACTACAGAGTCCTCTCAGTTTTTAATGCAGCGCTGCCTGCGGCCCTGAAGATCAGGACCATCCAGTCTTGGTGTAACCCTTTAATGCCTGAAATTATGGCCAGAAAATTCAATTTTTTTGGAGCTGAAATGTTTATTTCAAAAAAATCTAAATATCCTTAAAATTGAACAAATATATTTATTTATCTTGTTTGATACATTAGATGTGTTTGGAAACTGATAAACTACAAGAGGATATTTTTATCATTTATCGGGCAGTATTCAGGTGTTTTTTTAGTAATTTGTTGATCATATTGATTTGATAGAAGTGTATAAAAGTATCTATCAAAAGGCATTAAAGGGTTCAGTCCTCGTCTCTTTTGTACAGAGATTTCTCTAATCTTGTAATGATATTATATGAAATTTTTAAATTGTTTTGTCGTTTCTGAATGAACTTTTTAAAATCATGTTACTGGCATCAAATTTGAAATGAGCGTTTATTTTCCATTCAACAGTTGCAACATCAGATATGTTGTTTGTTTTTGCACTTTTTTTAGTACATTTGAGCTTCGAATGATTTGTGAACCCTAAAAAAATCTGTTTTTTTAATCACCACTTCACACTGGAGTTAAAAACTAATGAAGTGAAACTCTGAAAGCTGAAACTCTTTTTATGATTAAAGTTTGGGTTAAACTCTCTTATTAGGAGGTTTCTCGTCTTATTAATGTGCTCCATTTTCGTCCTTAAACTGTTGTTAATCTGAATTTGTCACTTTCACGCCTGCAGTCATTTCATTAAAGAGGAGAGAGGAGCAGGGTGTCTGTTTGAGATGGAAATATTTCCTCCTCTGAGGCTGAGGTGAGGGTAGACCTTTCTGCACTGAGAGTGTGTGTGTGTGTGTGTGTGTGTGTGTGTGTCCATGTGTAGTGTCCACAGAGGGACAGACTGATTTAGCTGCAGCTGCCCTACATCAGTCCACCAGCTGCCACCAGAGGGCAGGCCTGGAGATCTGCCCTAAATGTGTGTGTGCACACCTGGGAGGGGTTCTTACAGCTTACAGCGTGTGTGTGTGTTTCTGTGCGTGTGTGTGTGTGTGTGTGTGTGTGTGTGTTTCTGTGCGTGTGTGTGTGTGTGTGTGTGTGTGCTTCTAGCCCTGATTTACTGTGATAAGAAAGCCTTTAGAGTTCAGAAGAGGAGTTTTTTTCTCGACCTGCATTTTTACTCTCCTATCTGCAGAAAACACACTCAGGTGTGAGTTTGTGGGGGTTTAAGGTCACTGAGAGGCTAAAAGGTAAAAGGTGAGACACACACTGAACATCCTAAAGGCACAAAAATCTACAACATCTTTACAGTGAGAGTGTTAGGAAAAGAAATCTCATCCAACAAAAATTCAAGAGGATTAAGAAAGTTCAGGTGAGTGAGTTACTGTAAGGAGAGCCTGTGAAATAAGGTTAAAGTTAGTAAAATTAAACCCTCCACACAAAAACATGCAACACAACAGCAGCTCTCAATCTGCATGGACTAAACTGGACTATTTTCATTCATGATTTAACCATTAAAGCTCCAGTAGGGAGTTTTCCTGAACTGGCTTTTAGGATTTCCACTTAAATATCAGAATCAGAAATATTTTAATAATCCCCATGGGGAAATTGCTTTTTGTTACTGTAACTCCAGTGCAAATTAAGTAGAAAGAGGAGATAAATAAAAGATAAAATAAAGAGATACTGTAAATAGATAAAATAAGTATAATAAGTAAAATCAAAGAGATAATATACAAGTATGTACACTATGTACAACACAAAATGGTAAAATAGTATGCATATAAACAGTTTAAATATTTACAATAAATGGTAGAATTGGTACAAATCAAAAGTCCCTCACATGAACCTTAAAGACGACAAAGTTACAGAAACTTTTAGGAATAAATACTTTGGCATATTTTTGCTGTTCTGGTCCCCTCATCTCTGAAAAACGTCTTCTTTCTAAACGGACTTGACGCCTGATTTAAGACTGATGTTGCATCGAGCTTCTTAGCTTTTAGTTTTTCATTTTTTATCTAAAATAAACTAGTAAACATCCTTTTTATTAATGTTGAAGGTTTAATATGTCATAAAACAATTAAGAGGAGGCTAGAAATAGAACAAACAGAGATTGTTGCAGATGTTGAAAATGATCACATAAAACTGCAGCAGTTCATGCATAGACTAACTTTGTTTTTTACTCTTAATGGTAGAGTTCATTCTTTAAATTTGAAGATAATCTTGCTGAATAAAACCTCCAAACATCCTAAACTTGCTGATTTTCTCTCCTGAGATCTGAGCAACATCTAAATCATGATATGATATGAATAAAACCAGCAGACTGAGAGCCGCTGCACTGTTAGAGAGGATTCCCACAACCCTGCAGATCAGCCAGCAACAGAGTCAGTAACCTGTGAAATGAAAAGTGAGGGTTAAACATTGAGGAAATTCGAGGTTAAAAGTTTTAATTACATGCAGAAAGTCTGAAAGTGCAGCCTCTTCCAGCCGCTGCAGATTTGTCGGCCCGTTCATGGTTAAATAATAAAAGTCCAATATGATTCAGTGCTATTATGCAAGAGGTGGGAGTTAGTGTCAGTGTTGGAAGGAAGCACCGACAGAAGCAATCAAAGAGGAAATTAATCAAAAGGCTCCTGTGAGGAAAAGTGAGATGAAGGAGTGAGAAACTGGAGGAGAGTCCACATTATGATTCTGCTGCCGGCCCAGAGTTAATGTGTGAGTCCGCCTGGTTAGAGGACCAATCAAAATGTTGGAGAGATTAGAGGGAAACCGTTCCAGCTCAGAGTTAGTACGCCGCCACGAGGGAATAAGGAGTCATCCTCCGACTGACCCGGCGCCCAGGGCTCCGCCCCCTGGCCGGGCTCCTGCTGGAACTCCTGCGAGGAATCACCGGTGGAGTGGGATGGGGGGCGGGGCCAGGCTCACAGGTGACACGGATTCGAGGCAAATGGTGGTGATCTCTGGAGGGGCTGATGTGAGCGGGGTAGGAGGGGGGGCGAGGGCGGGGGCGGCGGCGAGGTTTGTAACCGGGGAGAAGGAGGAGATTGTCGAGGTTGATGTTTCGGGGCTCCCTGAAGGAGTGATATTTCTTTGGAGGGATACGAGGAGAGTTGCTCTGAGCTCGACGCATCACCTGGAGAGAGGTGAGGGTTAGGACGCATGATCACATGACACATAGAAACAGAGGGTACAAGGCACGGCTCAGCGGCCAATCAGGAGGTAGAGAACATGAAAACCCTCCTCCATGTAAACCAATGGGGTCTGTAAATAAAAGCAAAAGCAAATAAAAGAGCTACCTCTTAGACATCGTTTCTGTCATATATGATAAAAAACACATGATGACATGCACCTCATTCAACTCCACCTAAAAATGACCAAACTATCCCTTTAACCCTCGGTTCCTGTTCATTTAAAGTTCCATCCAGCATACTCTGTCCCCGAAACAGACATGCAGAAAAGTGTTCATAAAATAATCATTTTTAAACTTTTTTTTAAAACTTTTTTCGACTCAAATCTCTTAATCAACTTCTGTTCTGACCATAAATGCTTAATGGCACTGTTATTTTCAATTGTAAAAAAGACACAAATTTGCTATATTTTACATATAAAATGACTTAGATAATTTTTTTTTGATAAATAGAGTCTGGGCCATGTCAATGACGAGAAGTAAAACTGATTTTGGTGCATTTCAAGTCTTTTTTCGTAATTTTTCATATTTATGGCATCATCCAGCCTACTTTGTCCCCCAAAGAGGATATGCAGACAAGTGTTTATAAAATAATCACTTTTAAACATTTTTTCTTACTTTTTTTGACTCAAATCTCTGAACAACTTCAGCCTTAACCATTAAAAGTAATGAATAAAAACCTTCTTTTTGCGGTTTTGATATGTTGTTATGGTGCCATCAACACACAGTCAAAAAAGTGTTTTAATGGAAGTCTATTGTCCGATTTGCAGACAAAGTAGAGTGGATGGAGCTAAAATGCGACAAAGGAGAACTACAGGTGACACTTTTTTTTTTTTTTTAATATACAGTATATGAAGAAAAATAAGAACTCTCGCCAAATCTGATGCCATAATCTTTAAAAATGTGTGACTGTCAGCTCAAAATAAAGATGAAAAAAATGACAAACTTCCTCAAAATGGACATAGTAGGAACCGAGGGTTAACACAGTTCACTGAATTCACACACATCTGGTTGGAGCATCGGAGCTGAAATGAAACTCGACATTCGAGAGAAACGTCATGTTAAACACGCAAATGCTTTTTCCTGCACATGCCCAGTTGCTGCACCTGGAAGAGTGAAAAAAAAAACACCTCCAGCATTTTCAGAGACTCTTCTGCAGGTTTTGAAACAACCACACCTGGAGGGGAGAAAACTCAACAAAGACAACATAAACAAACAAACAATCCCAGTTCACACCTGCAGGAGCTCAGCAGACCTGGTTTGGATAAAACACTTAAAATCCAGTCCTGCTCTGAGACGATTATCATCTATAGAAGCATATTAAACTAAATATTTGTCTTCCTTAGAAGTGCAGATCTGTACGTTTGTTTTTCTTGTACGTAAACCTGTAAAAATCATTTTCCCTCAAACTCCTCAAAAAAAGTTTGATGCCTAACGTTTGTAGAGATTCTGTGTGTGTTTCCACGTCTCGCACCCTTACCTCTTTAGCCCAGGCGGGTTTGTCGTTGGTCCCGGGCGCCTGGTCTTTGTAGTGGTAGAGCTGCTTCTTGTCCTGCGGCGGTCGCGGCCCCTCCTGCTGCTGCTGCTGCTGCAGAGACACCAGGTACGCTCGCTCCTGCTGCAGCTGCCTCTGCAGCCGCTCGGCCTGCCGCTGCTCCTCGATCTGCTTCCTCTTGTACTCCTGAAAAACAGCAGCAGATACAGAACAGGTGAACCGAGGACATCGAGACCAGAAATCTATAAATTAGGAGTTTGTCCGTTCTGTGCTGCCGTACAAACGTGAGTAAAAGATGGCGGCCTCGAAGATAGTTACGAGTATTTTATTCTATTTCTACCAAGTATGTTGTGACGTAGACGGCTAAATACTACACACTGCACCTTTAAAGATCGGTCTGTTGTTGCTTTGAGTGACCGTTGAGAGCTGAAGAGTGTCTGAAAGTGAAATTCTGAATTATTTAACTTTGCATTAATCATAATACAACTTTGGTAGCTCGTCCCAGGAGTCTTGGATTTTGCCCTTAGAGGAGACAACTGATCACAGTGAGGAGAAAACCTCAGGTCAAAAGTGTCCATGTGTGTTTCTTACACCTTTCTGTCAAGTCGACGGTCCGGTATTTGTCTCAGATGTGTGTAAAAGTCTACAAGTGTGTGTGTTTGTTTTGTTTAACATCTGCTTCATGGAGACCACACTGTTGTCTGTTTTATCGTCACTGTGAAGGATGACGGCATCATCATGAACACTAAAGCTGAATAAAGTGCGACTATCGACCGACCCGTCTGCAGCTTTGTGAGCTTATCGATCTGTTGTTTGCAGACATTTTCAGACGTGTGATTCTGTCTTACCTCCTTATTGATCGAGTATTGACTTCTGCAAATTCTGAGTGAAAACAACAAACAGGCCGACAAAACCTCCTCAAAGTCCTGGTCCCTGTGCCATTCAAACTTTTATCGCTTTTTTAATCATATTTTGCCAACTGCTGACGGATATTTCAGCTGGGAGAAGAGTTTATTCAAGAGACGAGCTTCTGTCAGTGAGACGGAGCAAATCTGGACGAAAACATCCAATTCCAGTGAACATGTGGAGGTGTTTTTGTGAGATGCTAAAGCTAGTGGCAAGAAGAAAGGAGGGGGTCTGGATTCATTTGTTAACCAGAGATGGTGTAATGCTGCGTTCCTGTTGTACTCAGGAGTCAGGATTTCAGAGCTCTGAATTGGAAATTCATCTGGAATTCCCTCTGAAGTCGGATTTCCGACTCGGAAAGTCGGACGATCCTCACCAACCCTGACTTGACGACAACGTCATAATCCAAGATGGCAGCACAGTGCATCAACAGTAAAGAGTAACAGTGAAAGCTTTCATGATGTGTTATTTATTAGCGCCTCTGTTTTGTTTTTGTAAAATTAAATAAGTGGTTTATGTTGTTCTGTCCAACGTCTAACTGTGAACATGCTGCTATGGTGTTTGTAAGAGTAAAACACTGTGTTATGCGTTGTTTACAACTGGTATAGCTAACAACAGTTGACAACCGCTAACAACAACTGACAATTGTAAACAACAGCTAACAACAGCTAGGAGTAGGCGTCCATCTTGGTTTCCCGACTTGCTAACTAGAACCCCGTCAACTCGGGTGTAGCGTCATTCCAAGCTCCAACTTTCGACCTCGGAGGTAACTGGAACGCAGCGTAACTCTTCACACATAACTGTCAAGGAGAAGTTGTGCTGTCAAGATATTGAAGTGTTGGCAGTTGCTCTTTGGCCACATTAAATTCAGTCACATCATAACAATACTTGTTTACATCCCACTCAAGGCAACGGCTGAAGTTCTGTGTGATGTTCTCCATGATACCGTTGCTAGGATACAGACTCAACATCCCTAGGCAGTTGTGATCTAGGGTGACCATATTCTGAATCCCCAAAAAGAGGACAGTCGATTGTCGACTGTTTTTTCAAGCTTCTAACTCAGTAAGTCAACGTGACACAAACTCGAAACTTCCACACAAAACCGCGGACATTTGAAGGACAAAGCCTGACAAGGCCGGACAGCCCCCCCAAAAAGAGGACATATCCAGGTAAAAGAGGATGCATGGTTATCCTATGTAATCACAGATATCTCGTATGGCTAGATGTCTCACAACCCTGCCCAGGGTGTGTAAAGACCACCGCCATCTTGGAGAGGTACTTGTCAATGGTTTTCTATAGGTTAAAGCTTTGGAAGCCTGTGGTTTACCTGACAACAGCATTTGTTTACATTCAACACCAGGCTTACCAGCGGTCACCGATGCCGCTCCAAGATGGCGGTGGTCTTGACGTATGCGCTGCCGTTGTTTTATTTGGGTCATGATGAGGTATCTAGTGTTGATATCTACGGTTGTAATAATAATCAGGAGACTTCAACATGTCACCCTCTCCTCTCACCTGACTGGATTTACTCAGATTGTTAACTGTCCGACCAGAGAAAACAAAAACCTGGATCTGCTGTTTGCCAACGTCAAAGAAGTTTACAAGGAGACACCGCTTTACCACCACTGAGCAGGTCAGATCATAACTTCAGGTTACAGACAAATGAATTTCCCTTTGGGGATAAATAAAGCTCTTGTGTTGTAACTCCGGGAAGCTGGTCTGCACATGCTGCCACTTTAAGAAGTGTGTGCTTGTGTTTGTGTGTTTCTCTGAGTTTGTGTGTGTTGTTACCAGCAGTAAAGCCTGCTCCTGCAGGAGCTGCTGCTGTAGGATCTCCAGCTGCCTCTGCTCCTCCTCCAGCTGTCTACGGATATACTCCTTTACCAATCAGCACCAGGGTCGGCAAGGGGAAGCAGCCAATCAGAGAGCGCAGAGAGAGGTGAGGAGCCAATCAGAAGACCCAGGCAACCAGTGACATCAGCAGAGCAGGAAACAGGAGAGGAAGAAAAGAGGAGGCCAGAAAAAAGTGGATTTAGTGAAGAGGTGTGAGAGAGGGATTTAGTCAGAAATAGACGGAGATAAAAAGAGAGGAGCAGCAGGGGGCCGTAATTAGTAGAACAAGACGACATGCTTATTAATGAAAGGAGGATGTTCAAGATCAGCAGGAAGCCTTCAAGTGTTCAGGGAGCACTGAACTGCTGGAAAAGTTCACCATTAGTCATGCAGTCACTGCAAAGCCTCCAGTCTCCTGAGTTTTACCCTCATGTCAGAAAATCTGCACAACTGTCTGTATTTCTGTTTTCATCTTTTAAGAACTTTGAATCCCGCTGCCTCACGAGCTTTTTCATCTCAGACTATAATTAAACATTTTAATATGAACTCAGAAATCCTGGTGTGTTGTGGAGAAGCCTTATAGCGAGCTTTCCTCTGACTGTAGGAGTAAGGGCACCTCAGGACACAGCCTGTTCCTGTCACTTCATCTGTAATTTGGGTCACACTCGAAAAACCCTCGGGACCTGAATCACAGCAGGATCGCACGACTTTTAGGACTGCTAAACCTGTACAGGAGCTAAAAAGAATAGACCACAAACCGCTGCAGAGAGAGCAGCCTCACTGTGCACCTGTGATGCTTTTGACATTCTGCATTGATTTTGCACAAAAAAGCTTCTTTCTCTTCACATGAGCCTCGTTGAAGGAGTCAAATGCAAAAACACAAGCGCCAGCAGCACAGATTCTGAGTCACAGCTGAATTTGGTTTCAAGGGGGCAGAAAAGGGCCAATCGAGGCCTGATCAGCTGCTCCCGACAGTCCGATGAGTTTCTGGCAGAATTGGCTTTTGTGCAAACTGTCTATGATCCTCTCAACACTGAAATCTGAATCACATCCTGTCTGTGAGCTCATCATCATTTATGGAGCGATTCTAGCCCGACAGGATGAGAGTGCCCAGTGGAGCAAAGGGCAGGGATGCTGACAGCTCGTCTGCACGCTCAGACACAAGACAAGAGCAAACTGCATGGAGCTGCGGCGCGTCTTTGCACCTGGGTATCACTGGTGCGATATTATTTGTAATCTGGACATTGAGATAAATGATACACAACTTTTAGTGAATCTTCTGCTGGGTCTTTATTTTCCTGAGATGTAGCTTAATAATTTAACGTAGCTTGGACATCTTAAAGGGATATTCCGGTGTAAAATTAATTAAGGGTCAAACTTGAGACACCCCCTCGAAAGACGAATGTTGCCGACCGCTTGCTTCTCTAATTACACCAACTTTGGTGACGACCACATGATAGCAATACACAGCGGTCTGAGGAGCCATAAACAAACCTCAACCACAACGCCACTCTATAGCCACAAATAATACTCAGAACAGCACCTAACTTCATCAACAGGACATATAGGGTCACAGACATAGTACTAGACACCAAACATCTTTTTAACTTTGACTCATTTCTTTAATAAAGAGACTAAACACAACTCACCTACTCTCTTCCAGCAGCTTGTTTGGGCGAGACCTCAGGCCAGTCCATTACAGACTACAGCGGGGTGCCGCAGCTCAAGGAAGAACATTTATGATCATTTCTTCATCATTTCCTTGAAGTAATAATCACCATATTAATCTTTTTGACATCAGATGTGGTAGTTCTTCTGCCTTAGCGTCTCAGTCTGATTACATTTCCATTAAGAAATGATCATTTATGTTCTTCCTTGAGCTGCGTAACCCCACTGTAGTCCTTAAGGGATTGGCTTGAGGTCTCACTACAAACAAGCGGCTTAGGTTGTGTATGGCTCCTTAGACCACTGTGTATTGCTATCTGCGGCCATTACTAAAGTTACTAAAGTACTAAACTAGAGAAGCAAGTGGTCAGCAACATTCGTCTCTTGAGGGGGTGTCTAACATGTCCCCTAGAGATAAAGTTAACCGCTCATGAATCTCGAGTGTTTCCTTCAGTTCATTTCCTTTTGCTTCTTCTGTGAACATCATGATGTGTCTTTACGTTTGATTAACTTTGTGTCTTAGTTTGATTTGCTTATGAAGCCACGCCCCCTTGGATGACACCTTTGATGTAACGTCGGTGAGGTCTCAGGTGTTTTCCTACCTGCTCCCTCTCTGCGTGCCTCCTCTCCTCCTCTCGGCGGAGCTGCTCCATCTCCTCGTACCTCCTCCTCTGCTCTCGCTCCTGCTGCTTCCTCATGTCTCGCTCTCGCCGCTGTTGCTGCAGGAAGAGAGGGGGGGGGGGGTAATCCAACATTTAAAAACTCTCCAGCTCTGTGTGAGTGTGCACATCAGGTGTGTTTCCCTGACATTTGAATATGCGGAGGTGCTAAAATCACAGGTGTGGTGGGTTTTCTTCAGAGAGAAGTCGTTTAATAATCACAGCTGAGATGTTTTTTTAAAGATGGGAACAGCGACTCTCATTTATCTGATGTGATGAAGATGAGGTGTGAACGCCATCTTCATCAGCTGTAATGAGCTCCTCTCAGGTGTCTCTCATAATCAGATATACTTCCAGACCTGAGCCCTCTTTTCTCAGCAGAATTCGGGTCTAAATGACTAAAATTAAGGAAAGTTTTGTAAGATTTTGCTTATTTTTCCCTAGAATTGCATTTTAAAGGTTCATTCTGTGAAAAGTGTGTCTTTGTTTTGGTGATTTCAGATGCACTCTATAACCTTTCTTATGTTCAGAAAGTAAAATCTACCTCCTCCAGCCGCCTCCTCTGCTCTTTCTGCTCCTCGATGCGTTTCTGCCTCTCAGCCAGTAGTTGGCGCTTGTGTTCCTCGTTCTGCTGCTGCTCCAGCTGCTGACGCCGGATCAGCTCCGACCGCTCCTTATTGGCCAGCTGCAGCCGCAGGAAGTCCCGCCTCAGAGTGGACTCCCCGGGGATGTTGATGATGGAGCTAAACGAGACAGTTACATGTGGAGGTACATTGTGATCTTAAGATTGAGTCAGAACTATGAATTAAATGTACAGCGCAGTAGTCGTACCTGGGCTCTCCGATGTCCCTCTCTTCATCCTCCTCCTCACTCCCGCTGTACTCGTACTCAGTCTCATCTGAAAGACACACACAAACGTCAGGTTAGCGCTCACACGTCTCCACATCAGGTGAGCGCAGGTGTAAAGCGAGAGCGCGGCCTCACCCCTCTCCCCCCTCCTCTTCTTGGTGCGGTCGATGTGGTCCTTCAGCTGGATGCGGACCTGCCGCTCGTTGGGGAGGTCCCTGATGAACGGGTGTTTGAGGAGCTGCTCGGTGCTCGGCCTCTGACTGTGACTCTTCACCAGACAGCTCTCGATGAAGGACTGGAACTTCTTCGACCTGGACACACAGACACACAAGTCGTATTTTGGCACAGTAGACATAATCCAAATATTACACGAGTCAATGATGAGTATGCAGTTAGCGGTCTTCTAAACGTAGAGGCGATGTCACTCAGCGCCTCCTACAGGCCTGGAGCTCTTTTATTGTTAAGTCTGGATTTGTAATGTTAATCTTTTGCAGTTGTTTCCTGGTTTTGTGTGTTTTTGACTTTGCGTTGTTTCACTAGAATCAGTTCACTAAAAAGATTCGTTCAAAGGATTCGTTCACCAAATCACCGGATCATTCAGCGCTTGGCGCGAGGAGCCTCCGACTCCAACTTGAAGCTGAACGGTTCAGGATTCAGTTCAGATCATAGATTCTGGGACTGAGAGACGAGAGTGTTGTGGGTGTGTAGCTTTGACAAACAAGTCTGTAAAAATGAACTTGTTTATAAATCATGAGGTTTTAAGTGTACTGTCCAATGGAAGGATATCTGTCTACTTGGTAAATTGGGCTCAGTGAGTGATTTGTTCACTGAACATTTACCCCACAGTACATTCAGTGAAGAATTCACACTGAACATGCATCGTTCCCTCATAAATCTCTGCAGTGATAGAATCATTCACGCATTTCTCAAACTGCGGGTCTTATACACTACTTGTTACATGCTGTGTCCTACTAAACCTGTTAAAACAATAGGGAACAATGGCCATGAAAGTGTATCCCTCAGACAAAAATGATTCCAGAGAGTGGAGTTCACTGCGTGATTCGTTCACCAAGTGATTCAGGCGTCGGCACGTGCGATTCCTCGCTCACTTTGTGCTACTGATAGCTCAACTGAAGTGAGAAACGAACGAATCACTTGACGGAGTGATTCAGTTCAGGATGGTCACCTAAAAGAGTCGGTTCTTTTGAACGAATCATTTGCGAACGACCCAACACCACTACAGCACGTCTACTATTGATGCATTTGTTTTGACCTACTGCAGCACGGTCTCTCATTTGCAGCCCAGCATGCCTTCACTGTTGCAGCTTCTAAATGTGATGCATGCAGAAAAGAGGTGAGTTCATACAGAGTTACTCATTTCTGTTTGGTTCTGTTCAGTATAATTCAATGCATTATCTTACACTATGAAATTCTAAGGACAGTCACCCATCTCTCTTTGACCGGGGTGTCTTTGAACGCATCACATTACTATTAAACTCTCTTCTGTTTACGGTTGAAATCATGTCTGAGGGTTCGGGTTGGGGTTAGTTTCTTTTTCCTCTCAAGTGTTTCTCTGTTAGTCTTGCAGAGCAGAAACACCTGTAAAAAAAACTCAAATGAAAATGTAAAAATACTCTAAAAATATCTGTTTATTTCCATTAAAGCAGATCATCATTAATCCCTTTAGAAGGCGGCGAAGTCTGCTGAATGTGTCTCTGAACCGAAGGAGGAACCGTGTGATTCTGACGGAGAATAAAAACCAGAAAACAGGTGCAGAGAGTGTGTACAAGTGTGTGTGTTTGTGTGTGTGTTTTAGTGACTCACCACTTCTTTGACTTGAGTCTGGGGGCAGGATTTCTGGGGATGAGGAAGAGCGCTCTCATTGGATGCATGTCGCACAGAGCTGAGGAGGAGAGGAAGAACAAGAAAAGGAATGAAATAAAGAAACTCGGAGAGGGGGAGGAGAGGAAGGAAAGGGCATAAAAGGACAGAACGCGAAAGAGAAGAGGGGAAGGAGAAAGAGAAAAGACTCAGGGGGAAGAAAAGAAACACATACAGACACAAGGAGACAAGAAAGGATCGAAGTGAAGGAAAGAACAGGATAGGATGGGGAATGATTGAAGAGAAGAGGGTAGAAAACAAGGAGAAATAGGAAAAAGAGAGGAAAGGAAATAAAGAAGGAAAGGGAAAAAGAGAAGAGAAAGACAAAAGGAAGGTCACATAAGGAAAGGAAATGAGGCAAGACGAGAAAGGGAAAGGAAACAAAAGGAGAAAAACGGACAGATAATGTTGGAAGAAACAGAGGGGAATGGAAATGAGATGGAAAGGACACAAAAGGAGACATGTGCAAATGAGGACATGAGGCAAGGAAAGGTCAAAGGAGGGAGGAATGATAGAGCTTGAAAGAAAGGGAAGAAAAGCAAAGGAGAGAAAGAGAGAAAAGCAAAGGAGCAAGAGGTGAGGAAAGAGGGGACAAGTGGAAAGGAAAGGGGGAAAGGTAAGTGGAGCAGGAAAGTTTAAGGCATGAGGATAGGAGATAAGTTTAGGAATTACAAAAGGAAGGAAAAGAAAAGAGGTAAGATGAAAAATAACAGATGAAATAAAAGGAAAGGAAAGGAAAGGAAAGGAAAGGAAAGAGGACACCAAAAGGCACAAGGAGAAGGAAAAGAAAGTAAACAGGGGAAAAGAAAAGGTAGAGAGAGCAGAAGGGAAAGAAAGAGCAGAAAAAGTTGACATTGGGAAACGAAAGAACAGAAGAGAACAAGAAAGAAGTTGAGAAAGTTGAGAAGAAAGTAAAGCAAAGAAAGCAGAGGAGTGAGAGAAGTAAAAGAGAGACAGATTTAGACTCTGAACGAGGAGACAAACTGTTCTCCGCATCCGCTCCTCAAATTTTCATGAGTCTGAGGTTTTCACACTTACGTGGTGCTCCCTCTGCCATCTCGATGGCTGTGATACCGAGCGACCACAGATCACTCTGTGCAGGAGAGAAAAAGAGAAGAAGAAGAGAGAAAAAGTGAAAACTTTCACATCCCGAAGACGTGTCGCAGACTTCACACTTCAACTTCCCGCTCTGCTGATCCGAGTTTTTTTACCGAGTGAAGAAAAATTCAGAGATCTGCTCTGAAAGATGTCGAAAGCATCCACTGAGAGTGACGGACGACTTTTCAGTTTTTAGTAAAATATGTAAAATACTGTAACATGTGGTTGACCTTCAGGGCCACCGTACTTCTTTCCACCATCAACAGTTTTCACACAGATTCTATATTTTCATGTAAAGTCTGCAAGTAGAGCTCGGGTTCATGCTGACGTTTAATCATTTGAATCCATTTATTTAAAATTTTCTGCACATCCTGCGGCGCAAAGTTGATATTTACGATGTTTCTTAAAGCTCCAGAGGACCGGAGGTAATGGTGTCAAATCAGAGCAGCGTTCATCCTCCGCAGGCTCACCACAGGGAGCCGTCCTGTCCCCATTACTGCATATCCTTCATCCAGACACGCTCGCTCCAGCCTCGCCGCAGAGTCTGTTTGTTTTTCTGAGAGGAAACTACACGAGCCTGTTTGTGAGGAGAGCCGAAGCTTTTCGGAGGTTTTTTAAAGAGCTGCTTTAAAAGAGTTAAAATAAACTGTAAAATAGACCGTCTTCATGCTGCACATGGAAGTATAAAGCCAGTCATGCAGCATGTAAAGACACTGGGGTGTCAAATGAGTAAAAAAATTACAGTTAAATGCAACATTGTCCACATTAAATCCAACTTAACTGCATATTTCTTATTTCTTTGTGAACAAATATCCTTATTTTTGAATAAAAGCTTCTAAAATCTCTGCATCAGTGGTTTTAATGAAGCATTTTAAAGCTCCTGAGTGGAGTTTTTTCACATTAATGAAATAAACTGAAATTCATAATGTCTGTTTGTGATACTCAAAAGCAAAGAAGACCATCAGCAACAAGACCGACGACTTTTTGAGTGACATTTGTAACGCCACAAACCAGCGCAGGAGGTTAGAGCTCCGTTTATATGTACCCTGTTAGTTTTAAAAACAGAGACATTAACCATCGTTTGCACCCTTCGTTTAGACGATGATGCTTTTTAAAAACTTCGGCCAGAGTGGAGATTTTGGAAAACTCTGTTTGCACATTTGCATGTAAATGGAGAAAAACTGAGGAAAACTGAGATTGGGGTAGCCGACAGGAGATCACGTGCAGGAAAGAAAGAAGGGACGTTGTTTTTGTCGCTGTTATGGGGGATTCTGATTGGCTAACGTGGGCTTGAGCTTCTTGCTACACTACTACACATATGTTTGATATGCTCTTGACGTCATATATACACGGTGTAGTGTAAATGAAAACTTTTCTGAAAACATAGTGGTGTGCACGCAGTTTTTTTTTTTGTAAAAGGAGAGGGTGAAATGTCCGTTTATGAAAATAGCCGTGCTCGTAGTCGAGGTGTCCGCCGAGTAGCTAAAGAAGCAGCTCTGTATTTACTGTAGTCACCAAAACATTCCCATTTTATCACATATGAAACTGTCAAAAGTCAGGATGAGACTTTTTAAATAAGTCATCATTTCAGCAGATAAGCAAAGACTTTTTGGAGGAGCCAAAATCAGCACAAACCAAAAGGAGCTTGAAGCTAACCAGAGATCCTCTTTATTCCATTTGTAACATTTCTTTTGTAAACTACTCCGACTATAATGGCGTAATTTAATATTCAATATGATAACACACTCACTGACAGATCTAATCAGAACACACACCTTAAAGTCGTACGTGGCGTCGGGGTTCTCGTCACAAGCGATGACCTCCGGAGCCATCCAGTACGGCGTCCCGATAAACGTGTTCCTCCTCCCGACAGTGCGGTCCAGCTGAGCGCTCACACCAAAGTCGACTACAAACACAAACACAAACATAACTATGAGCAACATTACTCTTAATAAACATGTCTTAGTATCCAGTTTGACCCCTTTTGTTCAAAGAAATATGGACGCTAAACGCTACACAAAGTTTGTCCAATGAGAAAAGTGTGCGTGTGTGTGTGTGTGTGTGTCATTCTCACCCAGTTTAACCTCGGCGTTCTCTGTCAGCAGCACGTTCTGGCCTTTAATATCTCTGTGGATGACCTTATGCTGGTGGAGATGGGTCAGACCCTGGAGACAGAGACAAAGAGCTTCCTGTTTAACAGCCCGACTCTGACGGGAAACTCTCTCTGTTGGCCTCACTGAGGCAGACATGCTCGTCTCTGATGTGGGCTCTCTATTGTGGAGCTCTGATTGGATTTACCTGCTTTGTTTCAACAGCGAACATGTACGAAGTCCTCGAGTAAAGGTCAAAAATAAGAAGAATACAGCACAAAGCTGAGCGTCTATCAAACCACTTTTTGTGACTCAGAGGGGCACATGTTGAAATACCACCATAGATATCCACAGACGTGACCTTTTCTTAAACATGCATGTGACCTGTCATGACCTTTGTTTGCAGTTTGTCAAAAAAAAAAACTGTGTGGAAAAGAAATACCTGGAAAAACCTACGATATCATAATAAGGAGTTCCTCAGGGAACAATCTGAGGTCCCTTTACGTTTCAATGTGCTTCAAAACAGACACGAATATTCTCAGATGTTTTCAGGCTGATTGATTCTGGTTCTCACCCTCAGGATCTCTCTGCAGACGTAGGCGATCCACTCCTCCTTCAGCGAGTTCCCTTTGGTGTTTTTGATCAGATCTGTCACCGAGCCGGCGCCGCAAAACTCCATCACCAACTGTACGAACAAGAAAACGGGAAAAATATTACTACTGATGAGTGAAAACAATCTCTTAAATGGACTCAATCTCTGATTTCATCTGTTGATAGTTTATATTTGACACAGTTTTGGCAATTCAGCCTTCAAGGACGTGTCAGAGAAAGTAGTTCACTTCGAAACAAATGATCCGAGCTGCAAATTTGAGTTTTGACAGACAGTAAAAATCAGCGGTGCACTGCAAAAAATTTCAAGAAAGGAAAACAGGCTTGTATTAAAGAAATAAGTCTTGTTTTTTGTACAAAAAGAATATGAATCTTGTCAAGCATGTTTGGCATTAGAAATATTATCTCCTTTTAAGAGAAAATGGCTTTTTCTTGAGAAGATAATCCAGCTAATTTTGAGACAGAATGATACTTGCTTTCTGTAGAAAAAAATTGATTAAAATAAGATTTTCTGTCTAGTTTTAAATTTCATTTGAGTCTGTCAGGGCAAAGAAATTTGTTCTTATTTTGAGAATTCTTGTCAAGCTAAAAAAGCGTACCCCATTCACAGATATTTTTGCTTGGTACCAGATTATTTGATTAAATATGAAAATATTTTTGCTTCTTTCTAGTTGGGCTGTTTTTGCAGCGGTAGTAGCCATAGCTTTTTTTCCTGAAGGCTTTATCTCTTGAAATTACAGTAGCAAACAATCTGCAACAGCCTGAATGAGCTTGATGGAAAGGAAAACAGTGTAAATGCTCCGGTGACAGAAACATGATGGCTGAAATTCACTGCATATGAGAAACTGGTCCATTTGAGTCCAGTCAATGAGCCTCCAACTGGCCTGTCGGTCTGGTTCTGCAGTCATTTCCTTTTTGCTTTTGTTTAGTAGTCAGGTGTGTTGTCACTTTGCATCACCTTGTATAATTGCAGCATGTTTGTTGTGCTGCATTTGCATGTTTGAGTTTCTCCTCATGAGGTTCATTCGGGCTGTTGAGGATCATCTGTCCTCGTTTGCCACCAGATAAAAAATGTTCATGAAGTCCAACAAATTAAAGGTTCGTTTCCTTTTCCTGCTCATAGATCGACCAAAGAAATATGAAAGCTGGATCAAACTTTACGCTGTGAGTTTTATTCTTTCTGATCGCAAAAATCAGGTTTTATGTGATTCATAGAAGCACAACAGAAACTGAGACGTTCAGCATTAAGTTGGGTTAAAGTGCAGCAGAGTTTTTAAAAAGCTGCGTTCAAGAGACATCAGAGCAGCGTGGAGGAACGTACCCAGAGCTGGTCGTCCATCCCCGGAGGATTCTTCTTGATGAACGCTCCATAATAAGTGGCGATGTTTCTGTGGTGACTGTACTTCTTCAACATGTTGATCTCTGCTTTAATCTCCTCCTCCTCATCCTAAACACACAATCACACACATAATCACACAAACAGACAACACAACAAATACCAAAACCCATGGATTAGGACACGGGATCCCAGAGGAAATCAGATCAGAAGAAAAGCGTCCAGCTGAGTTTGTGGAGGATGAACTGTCTGTGTGTGTGTGTGTGTACATACAGATCTAATAAAGCTGTTTTATTTGAGTGTGTTTGTCACTTACTCCTGTGACGTCCATGACCTTAATAGCAGCGAGCTGGCCTGTTTTGACATGGCGACCCTGAAAGACACAGAGAGAGGGGAGGATCCGTTCAGCTGCTAATTTCACTACTTTATGTGCGACTTTTTCACAAAATATCAGCCCGACAGCAATCTTAAACTGTTGCACGGCAGCAACACACGATCACATCCCAATCAGTTCATCCGCTCTGTAATTTGAGGATTATTCAAGGAAACATTCACAGATTAGACTGAACCAAATCAGCTGTTTGTGACTCTGAGGCTGCTCCCTTAAAGGTGGTGAAGGCAGGAATCCGTTAAAGAAGCATCTTTTCTCGTGGTGTATCTATAAAAAAAGATTTTAATATCAGTCAATAGTTATTAGTTATTGATGAAATTTGGGAATATCACAATATCGCTGTGTTCTCTTATGTCTGTGTCGTCAACATTTTACATTTTTGAGCGGCCCGCTTTTTCTGACTGTAAACAAAGCCGTTCTCCACCTCCCCCAACAAAGTTAGCGTGCTACAATATTGGACAGTAGAAACCAACCAGAAAGTTCGGAAAATTGTCTGAATCCTCCTTTGGCCACGACTGCCGACACAAGCAAGAAAACGAAGTAAATACCGGAGACTCTGGAGGAATAACGGGCGCTTAAAACGGAGGTAGACCGGACAAGAGCTAAAAAGCCGGGTCAACATAAACCATGGGGGACGCTTGGGGATCTTGGTGACCCTGTAACCTTTCTGCTGGACAGGTAAACCGCTTTAACAAAGTAAGACAAGTGTCTGTAACAGAAGTGTTTCTTGTCAAACGGACCTGCTGTAGCGTGTTGTAGCGCCATCGCTAAACTGTCCTCCCTCGGGTCCTGGACTATGTCACTTTATCCTCGTTGTAGAAGTCCTGCAAACATTGTGTTTGCTGGTAGTCTGTTGGCATCTACAGTAGCACCAATGCTTTTGACTTTCACCTTGACTGGGCCCCATTTGTAATGATCTGAAGGATTTATCTGCATTATATCGGAATTTAAGAGCGAGCAGAGCGTCTGTTTGTGGGCGGGGCTTGATGGAGCAGTGAGGGAGGAGAGAGGAGGAGCTGAGGGGAAAACTGGTTGGGAGGGGTAGAGTTTACATTTAAGATTTCTCCCAAAAACTGGAACTTCCTCAGATCCTGACAACAACACCTTTAAAATCTAACCAAGAATCTTGTTTGACGACCAAACCCTCCTAAGGATCTTTGACGTTGTATCTGTGAGTTTAATGGATCATTTTAAGGCTTCTTGAACGCGGCATCACACTTGCAAGCTTGTGTTGGACTTTTAGCTTTAAAGCACAACAGGTGGAAACGAAGCGACTCCGCCCACTCGACGTACGGTCCCGAACTTCAGGCTGAGAAACAGACGAACATTAAACTGTCTGACCTCGACACCATCACAGCTGTGAGAGCAGAGACACATCCACCTCAGCGCCACCAGCACACCGACTCAATACACACACACATACACACACCATCTCCTCGTGGTTACCTAGCAACAGGGCTGGCAGGTTGTTTAGTGAGGGGAACGAATGGGGGGTTGGAAGAGGAAAAGTGATGGCGGTCTGTATATGTGTGAGTGTGTGTGTGCGAGTGTGCTTGGAGGCCATGATATTTCACACTCTGGGTCATTCACACACACACACACACACACACAGACCTAGGTTTCTCAGTGTTGCATCAGACTTGGATGTATCTAAGAGTCCGACACTGATTCAGATTACAGGAAGCCTCTTTTTTTTCTCTCTCTCACATCTTTCCGTCTGACTCTTTTCTCCTAATCTCCCTTTCTGCTCTCATAAGAGGAGCAGCAGGACAGTGTGAACATCACTGACAGTCTGAGGCATGATTTCTACTCCACAACCATCACCGCGTCCCTCCACGCTCTGCATTTTTGCACAGGACGAAAGTTACTAACGGAAGAATAATCAGAGCAAAGCGAAAACAGAGAAGTGGAAAACAAAACAGCAGATGAAGTTAATCATTCCTGCTGTAATGTTTAAGTTTAAGGTGCAAAATCACAACATGGTGCACAATTCTTCCTTTTTTTTTTAGAGACCAAACCAGCAACAGGTCAAATCCAGATAACTGTGTTTACACGCCCCGCTCCAGATTTCTGGAGGTTTCTGGGTCTTCGCTCAGTTGACTTATTCCTCTGTAAACCTGCTCTCAGACCTTAGGTTAAGCTGTGTGAAGAGCTGCTGTGACCGCAGGACAAATGGCAGCGATCTGCGGCGATGAAGCAATAAAAGACGCTGCAGATAAGAGAGCAGAGATGAGAGGAAGAGATACCGGCGCAGACTGCCTCTTTGTTTTCATATCTGTCTTCCTCCGACGCCGAGGGCCGGCCGAACAATCTCAAAGAGGTGACACACACAGACCTGGGAGTGTGTCAGGAACCAGCACACATACAGTATATAGATATACATAGTTAAAGACAGAGGTGACGAAGAGGAGGAGGAGGAGGAGGAGGAGGAGGGTCTTTTGAAGCACCTCCAGGCGTAGAAACACACCTCAGGTCCTGCGTTCAGACAAGCCTCACATTCTTCACCTGAACACAAGCCTCGACACATAAACACCTACACACACACACACACACACACACACACACACACACACACACCAGGAGACCAGCAGCTCCACGCTGAGTCTGAGCCCCACAGCTGTGATCATTAAGAGCACGAGGAACCGGGGATTCTGGGTAACAGGTCATGCTGTGAAGGGAGAGCAGCTGACTGGATTAGATTTGATCTGATCGATGTGACGGTGAAAGAGTCAAATCTGAGAGAAGTTTTTAAAGTTGTTGATGTTACTCTAAAGTTTCAGGAGTCTGAACTGGTCCTGTAGTAAATCCTGTCCTGACCTGCCCCGTGATTCACAGTCTCTGAGCTGGTGTTTGGGTTTTACTACCATTCAGATCTGAGTTCACGACCTTCTGCCACATTTCTCAACCTTTTCTTTATTTACCAAAGAAACAGCCGGACGAAACTTTAAATACAAGATGTGATGAAGGATTTACGTTTAGGGACGGAAAAGAGAAAAGACTTATCACTTAATGAGAGACCAGGGCGATTTGAGCCGGTTTGGCATGTTCAAGACTTTTACTGATATCTAGCAGCAACACTGCAAATTATTTGGTTCTTACCAAGACAAGTGTTCGATAATTTCTCTTGTTTTAAGACTTAATTTCTTATTTTAAGTGTTTAACTTTACACTATAATCTTATATCAAGCACAAACTTATCTTTTTTGTTTCTTGGAAATCTTAAAATGAGGAAAATAACCGTTAAAATAAGTTACATTCCATCTTTCTCCCAAAGTCTCATCAAAAGGAATCCTTTTTTAAGATTCAGTAACAAACCGATAACAGCTGGGATCGAAAGTGGATGAATGGATTAATCTTTAAACCAGCATTTTCTCCTTACCTTATACTTACATTTAGTACATTTCACTTATTTTAGGGATCTAAAAGTTGAATTCCAAGTAATCTGATCTTTAAACCAGCATTACTTATTTTATGCTTATATTTAGTGAGTTTAACTTATTTCGGGGGCTGAAAAAGTTACATTTTAAGTAATCTGATCTTAAAACCAGCATTTTTAGCTTACCTTAAGCCTTTCAAATACATTTGTAGACATGCTTATTTCTAGATTCAACAATCTTAATTTAAGAAATCTTGTCAAGTGAAATGATCTTGCTGCATGGACAGATACTTTCATTTTTTTTAGTACCCTTTCCCTCAGATTTAGTGTTTTTATCTTAACCCCCCTTTTTGCAGTATGCTTACTAAACTGCTTCTCCGTGTTGAAGACGATCAGAAGGGCTGAATGATTTAATATTCTGCAAAAATTTCACTGCAAAAATCTCAAAAACAAGCAGATTTAACTAACAACAAGGCTACAGATGACAGACAAAAATTAGACCGTCATGTTGTATTGGCTCCGTGTGAAAAGAAAAAAACCATTTCACAGCATAAAAGCCTTTTTGTGGAGTTTTGAGTGGTGTATTCACAGAGAGTGGCAATCATGAAGAAAAAGATCAGGCCCCTTCAAACAAAAGGCTGTGACGCCCGAACACGAGAGAGACAGAAATACACTTGACTCACATCAGTCTTTGTCGAGCTCTGAGTTTGCAGTCTGAGCAAAATCAAACAACCCTGCATGCGTCATATGTTTGTGCTCTTTCAAAATAAAAGCTCAGAGGAGTTTGATGTCAGAGAGGCATGAATGAAGGAAGAGGAGGAGGAGGAGAGAGCTGGAGGGCTTCGAAACCAGATCGGAGACATGAGACCTGCAGCAAGTTTGAGACGCATGAGGTGTGTCGAACATTTAAAACACATGAACTTTCAGGTAATGTTTGAGCCGAGCGTCATCACAGCGACTCTCCCGCAGAATGTGCACAACGCTACTGCGCAATGTTGGTTTCAGGAAACGGAGAGAAAACACGGAATTACCGAGAACCTTTTAGCTTTAAATCCGTATACTGGTGAAAGGCGGAACCAAGTTGTCCATAGTATATACGGTCTATGGTTAGTCGTCATCGCGGTATTGGAAGAATATGAAGCTGCTGCGGAAGCAACTAGCGCTGCTAAGGGTAACACAACAAAACGGAGTCGGGATATTCCCACACTGCAGGCATTTGAAACCTGTAAAAACTTTGCTAGAGACAGCAAAAAGGCGAAAACTTTTAACAACAAAGTGATGGAGTTTATAGCGTTGGACGACCAGCCTTTTACCGTCGTCCAGAACCCGGGTTTTCGCAAGTTAATAGCACACTTGGAGCCATGTTACACGCTGCCAAACCGTCGCTTGTGTCCCTCCCTGCCCTCTATGATGTGGTCGCCACACCCGTCTACAGTTTGATCAACAAGAATGAACTAAATGTAAGTTTTACAACAGACATATGGACATCTGATGTCAGTCTGCTCAGTGTGCTTAGCTTAAGAGCCAGAGCATTTTATATTCTATTAAAGATACGCCAGAGATACTAAAATAGAACATTTTTAACCACTAGATCCTAGATTTTGTATCATCCTGGATGCACAAACCAGATTATATGAAGATTACATTGAATACAAATATTAACTTATCAGTATCGGCAATGAATAGCAGGATTTTCATATCCTGCATCTGTACTCCTAATGTCTAAAAAAGGAAATTCAAGTTTGCTTATCCATCTCTAGAATCCCAGCAGAGATATTTTTATGTAATCTTTATTCATAATTTCACCTAAAGAGTCCATTAAAACTTAATTCTGATGAGCTTTGACACCTGCACAGTGGGATTAAACGAGAGAGACAGTCAGAGACACAGCTCACAGCTTTCAGGAGCTTCAATCAATACGAGACATTGATTCAGCTCCACTTTGTAAACGCTGATGAATCAAATCAGGAGGATCTCAGAGCTGCCTCGTCGGACTGAGATTTAAAATACTCCAAATACAAAGTGAGAATCAGACAAGTGGATTTCCATGCAGCTGCAACAAGATACTGAACTCTGCAGAGGGACAGGATTGAGAGCTGCAAACTTTGGACATTTTCAACACGATTCTGTTAACATTCAGGTCTCATGCTGACTATAATGGGTAACCTGGGAACAGGAGAGCCTGACGGGAAAGCATGGGGAGGCCTGAGGGCACTTCAGTTATCTTCAGGTTTTCTTTCTTTTTGTTGGCAGGGGAGGAAGAGTGAGGAACGCTCTGCTCTGAGTCATTAATAATAATAAAAACAAAGAAACAGCCCCGCTGCCCGTTTATGTAATGTAGCATGGAAGTGGCATTTCAAGCACAGCTGCTCCTCATCAAACTTTCATAACAAAGAGAAAAACTCCATTTTCTGTTTTTACAGTGTGAGAATTAGCAGAAAACAAACCTCCAGATTAACACTAATGGTCCGAGCTTCCTCCCTCATAGATGCTAACGGGTGTAACGGTCGTGATTTCACAACAAAGTTTTCTGATCTGTCGCCGGTTAAAAATAAAGTTTAAATATTTTTATGATATCCTCGAAGATATTGTAAATGTAAGAAGAAGAAGCACCAGATCAAACTTAAAAACCCTGAGTTATGGTGACCATGCAGGCTTAAACACGTGTTTATCAGGCAAACTATACCAATGTTCACGTCTGACTGGAGGACACCTCTAGAGGGCGCTGCAGAGTCCGTAAGAAAGTACCAGATTTACTGGATCTTCTGCTACGTTCTTCTTGTACTCAGAAGTCGGAATTTCCGGGCTCTGAAATTCAACTGGAACGCCCCCCTGAAGTCCGATTTCTGACTTGGAAAGTTGGACGATCCTTGACGACGTCATGATCCAAGATGGCAGCGCAGTGCATCAACAGTAACAGTAACAGTACAAGCTCTCGTAATGTATTATTTATTAGCACTTCTGTTTTGTTTTTGAGATATTAAATAAGTGGTATATGTTGTACTGCCCAACATGTAACTGTGAACACAGTGCTGTGGTGTTTGTAAAAGTAAATACTGTGTTGACAACAGCCAACGACTTTGAAATCTGTTCTCGCAGATGTAAAGCGCAATATAAATAAAATGCATTATTATTATTTATTATTAACAACAGCTGACAATTGTAAACAACAGCTAACAACGGCTAACCATCTTGGTTCTCCGATTTGTTAAATGGAACGCCGTCAACTCGGGTGTAACGTCATTCCCAGCGCTGACATCCAACGTAATAAGAGCGCAGCGTCAGTCACTGATGAAAACATGAAGACACATTTTCAGTTTGTTTTAACCGTGTCCGCGCCGACATCGACTCTCAAAGACTCATATTCTCAGCTCTGCACACTCTGGTTAGATCTTAATTTACCCATCATGCTTTGTGATCAGCTGTGTGATTTTTGTTCCATCAATCATTTCAGCTGAGGAGGCGTCACCTCCTTCAAACGGCAGATCAATACGAGCATCAGCAGAATGAGTGTGTGTGTAACAAAGAACACAAATGAGTGTGTTAATAGGTTTCAAAGCCAGAAAACACACACACACACACACACACACACACACACTCACACACACACACACACTCAGGCGCTCTGCTGTGTTGTAAAAGTGTGTGGGTGTCTTCCGCTGCCGAACAAAGAAGAAAATCAGTAATAACTTCAGTTCTTGGTTGAAACTGTGTGAAGTCAGAGGACGGAGTGTCTCCTCACGTCTTTTTCACATTTTTCTCTCGGAGTCCTGTTTCATCGATCTTTATTATCAGTCGAACCGTCATACTGCATCTCATGTTGTCTGAGTCTCTCTGAGATTCTCTGCAAACTCTTGCAGCATTTAGAGATAAATTAGAGGTTTGTTTTTTGTGTACTGCACCGTTAAAAGTCAACTAAGCAACTCCAAAAACGGCCGTGTGTTTAGATCAAAAACAGGTGAAACTCACCCCTCCTGGACAAACCCGACAATAAACACTCATTTATACACCAACGCCGTTTAAATACTAAGTGTTAGTGTCTGTCATACTGGTTTATTTCAGGGTCTCCAGAAATAACAACATGATGATGCAGATTAAGCAGAAAGTAAAAAGTCAAGTTTTGTCAGGTTCATCATCAAGAGGAGGAAAAAAAAAAAGTTTGTTAAATGGAGATCAGACTATCAATTCTGATGCATTCAAGCAGGTCAAGAAATCTAAACGCTCACGTTCTTTAGTGAGACAGTATCAAACAGATTAGCTTCTCAGTGTTCGCATGCTGAAGTTGAACGGCATGGATGCATTTTAGAGAGAAATACAGTAAATCAGCCTCGAATTACAGTTGATGGGATCCCACTATGGTGGATTGTGTTCTGCCTGCTTTTGCTCTCCATACAGACTGTTTGTCCCCACAGAAACCAAAGCCTAGTCCAAAACCTAAAGTCTATATTTCTTGAGAACGTGGCATTTCAGGACTCAAGTGTAAACTGGGTTGTTTTCCACATGACAGTCCGGAGTCTCGACTCTGTCGGGGGATGAAATATCAGCCTTGTTACACTTTCAGGCTGTTTCATTTGCTTTCATGCAGCATTAAGTGAAACAAACCAAACTGTCTGGAGGTTATAGTGGCTGCTGAATTAGGGGATACTGTCCCAAAGAAAAAATGACAAAGAAGAATAAAACAGCTGATTTATTGGCAGGAAATCCATCCTTTTAGCCAACTTATTCAACATGTAAACAACAGAGAAACATCAAATTTATGCAGTCTTGGTGTTTCTACTGGAGAGTCTGTTAAACAGAAAAGTTTGCAGCTCCTGGATTGGACACAGTTTTTGTTTACTCAACACCGACAGGAGGAAGCAGTCTTAAACAGCCACTAGCTTAAAACTAGCCGACCTTTCCTTGATTTCAGCTGAGAAGTTTAGTTTTAATTCCCAACCAACTTGATGTTTCAGTCACATGGTATCACTCTGTTATTCTAAAACCACACCCTACAACTTGGCGTGCAGTGCTGGGTGGTGATCCTGCAGTTGCTGCTTTAAGTTTCACTTTTTCAGCAGACTTTGCAGACAGGTCTTCAGAAATGATTTCTTGGTCGTTTTGGGCGTTCTCCTTTGGCCAACTTCACTCTCAAAACTAGTGCTGCAACTAACGATTATTTTTTTGTCGACTAATCGATCGACTAGTCGTCCGATTAATCACGATTAATCACTATCTTCTTTATTTATAAACACCTATTTCCGGGGTGTCGGCGTTTCAGGTGCTCATGCATCGCCGTGGTGCTGCCATGGTAGGAAAGCTGAGCTTTGATCGACGTGTTTTTTTGGTTTGTTCTCCCTAAAATGTTCCCAAGCTTCTGAAGTTTTGGAGCGTCTTTTTCAGTTTGTTCTGCCATAATGTGTGCACTCTTCTTCTGTGTTTGCTCGCGGGATGTAAACAGCGAGCGCTACTGCCCCCAGCACATCCTGTAGTGCACTGCAGTTATAGATGAGCATGAGGCGCCGGCATGTGATTCTTAACAACAATAACACGACGCGTCGACGCTTCGTTTTCGTGTCGATGAATTTGTCGTGTCGACGTAATCGATTACGTCGACTAATCGTTGCAGCCCTACTCAAAACTTGGCGTCTCAGCTCCTCCGCCATTGTGCAGCTAATATAGTGTAGCCTCCTCTTTTCTTGTACAGGTTAGGGTTAGGGATCTGGTTTTTGAGCGGTGATTGACAGCTGATTGGATAAGGGTGACAGTTTTACGTGTGGAGAAACAGCTGAAATGAACTAATAAATATGCACACGATATGATGATCACAGATTCTTGTTTGCTGAAAAGCGCCAAAACCAACCACCTTTAACTCTACCCTGAAAACTTACTCTAACAAGCTGCCGCTTTCTTGCAATGCACCTCCGACTTCTTCAGTTTTTGTAGTAAAATAAGAACTGCATGAAGACGGAACAGTCCGTACGATGGATCCAGCTCGTTTTTCGACATATTTCATCGAGGGAAAGCCTCACACTCACACATACTTGGCAGAGAAAGTGAAGATTATGAAGACTCACCTTGTAGACCTGCCCATAGGTGCCATTACCAACCAGTTCAACCAGCTCGAAGATACCAGCCGGGTCCTGAAAGAGAGAGAGGAACAGAGAGAAGGAAACGTGAGTTTGGAGACTGCAGCTGAACAAAGTCAAGACAAGATGGATGCAGGGATCCTTGTGCGTGTTTAACCTTCATGCACGAGGACACACACACAAACACACTCACTGAAAGGTTGACTGAGCTCTGCATACCTGTGGCATTACCTGTTAAAAGCTTCTATGTGTCACCACTCTGTTATTATTACCCCTCAGTAAGTAACCTCTGAGTTTACAGCTGTGCCCCCTCCTCATCCTCAGACACTCTCCTCTTTAAATCCACATCAGTTTCAGCAGAGACTCCACAGCTGATGATGATGATGGTGCACTGGTTTCGTCAGCCTTAAAAGCCTTCACTGATTCTGTGTTTACTTAAACTGAAATCACACAGTCACTGTTGACTTTCTGCATTTAAAGTCGAGACAAAACCCCTGATTTATTCTGGCTTTGTGAGCCTCTATCAGGGTTGAAGCTGCAGGATGACAGAGCAGATCAGAAGCGTCACATAAATCAGTCGCCATATGTTTAAAATTCTTGGTTTGTAATTCGGTAAAGCCCGTGGAAGTCTTGCGAGAAACGTGCTGTTAAGCTTCTTGATATCACTCATGTATGTATAGGAAACATGAAACTAAAACCTGCAGCTGCTCAGCCTAGCTTAGCACAAAGACACACTCTTAATAATTGGAAGTGGTTCAGTTTTGCAGCATCAGTCCTTGCACAAACCACAGTTCGAGGGCTGCAGCAGGAAGGAGCTACAACTGCAAGAAGCAAACTGAAGCTGCAGCTACAGGGTTTTATTTTGGCTCATTAGATCGTCTGAAGTTTTCTTGAAGTCTAAGGTCGTGTTCACACCTAAAGGTCCAAAGCGAAGATGATACATTGATGCAATTTCTCAACTGGTCTGGTTCGCGGTCACAAAGGCCAAACTCCAACGGTCCAAAAATTGTCACCTGGCAGCAAAAGCCGTTCGGTGATTGCTTATCCTGACAAATCCCTCGCAATTTCTACTGTACATGATGGAGCATCGTCTGCTCATTTGTATGTCGGTGCTGATCTGGACTGCATATCAACAGACTTTAATGGACCACGCTGGGAAAACTGCAGCAATTAAATAATGTAGTAATTCACGCACGTCGCAGGAGACGCTCTGCAATCCGACGGTCATATCACAGGCAATAATAAGAGCCTATCTCGAGGTTTTTGCGGGACGCGCTTCCTGTGATTGGTGCGGATGGAGTTCACACCAGAAGTTACTCGCTCTAGAGTTCACTTGATAGCGGTCCCAGACCACCCTTACCAGGCGGACCCGAGAACGGTCGACTGGTTCACGCCAGAGTTCGAGGTCAGCGTTCACACCAACCAAAACAAACCACACCAAGGAGGTAAACGCTCCAGGGTTCAGTTAAACTGGACAAAACAACGCTGGTGTGAACATGACCTAAGCGGTAGCACAATGAAACACTTGGTCAAGACCACAGCGTAAAGTTTTCAGTCATTAACATTTGAAAAACAGAAAAGGTTGATGAAGAGTGACGCATAAGAGCTAATTCAAGATGTACACACGCACAAACACACACGCACAAACACACACCCACACACACTAATGCCGAACACGGGTGTGCTTAAAGGTGGAGATCTGTGTTTTGGGAGTTTTATTGAAATTTAATCGCTCTGGAGATCAGATTATCTCCTGTGTGTGTGTGTGTGTGTGTGTGTGTGTGTGTGTGTGTGTGTGTGTGTGTGTGTGTGTACAGTGGGCCACAGGAGGCCGTTCTGGACTATTACAGTGGAGCCTCCAGAGGGGGATTAGCTCAAAAAACAGCCTTCCTCTTTACTCAAGGTCAAACTGAAGCTCATCACTCACATTCACACACCCACGCAGACACACACAGGAACATTCACACACTCACACACACACACCTGTACATGCCTGTTACTGCCCTTGCCAACTGTTGGATCGTGTTCATAAACCATCGTCAGCTGAAAAAGAAAAAAGCGGGACACCGAGCTGATTTATCGAAGGTTCACCTGAAACATGTTGGGCCGCTCAGAGGCTAATGAGACGTGCAGCACACAGGAACACGAGTTCAAACCCAGGAGGATAAATAACAGAGTGTGAGGACGATTACGAAACAACATTTCCCATGAAACATCCTGTCTTCACAGGAGGGAGTCTGACACACTCAGAGCACTCTCAAAGCACAAGGTGTCCGATTATCAGCATAAAGAAATTTGGTGTTTGGTAGAGTTTGGAAACGCTGGATAACGCTGCTGTGGTCAGACTCACATATGACGAGGACAGGAGTTTGATAACCTGCGGTGCCTGAAACATGTGGGTGATCAGAGAGAGAGAGAGCTCCCTCGATTTGTCCCTGCTGTTGATGCATCGATTACAATCCTGTGTCTCTTACTGCTTTTCACAAGTTTAAACATGTAGATCCAAAATAAGGCTGGGCGATAAACTGAAAATTTACCGATACTGAAATTTACAACAATAACCAACGTCATTTTGCCCATATCGGTATATTCAGTGTCAAAAAAACAAATAAATAAACATTGGTTTTGGATGTGTGTAGGTAGGCTATGGTCTCATGTCCCTTTAAGACGCTGTCCTATGTCAGAGACGTGACTCCGCCCCATCCTGTCTGTTACAAAGAGGGAAAGACAGGTGAGGAGATGGAGGACAGTTCAAAAGTTGGAGCGGCTGAAGTAGACGAAGTTAATGTGGGAGGGGGTGAATATCGCCCAGCCCTAATTTAAAGCTTTGCCTTCTGACTTGAGCTCCTCTCTTGCTCACCTGTCCTGTTGATAAGGTGACGGAGGCCTGTGAGGACATAAAGCTCCAGTAATAATATCTTTCCATGCAAATTCTTCTTCTTCTTTACCTCCTAATAATTTGATTTATTGTCGCTGATATCTGCGCACCTTTGCAAACGAGGGAAATTTAGATGAGGGTGAGTAAAGGGTTAACATGAGTTAGACTCTGATGAAAAGGTCGATCTCTGCGGGGATCCTCTCTGTCATGCTGCCAGACACTTAAAATCTGAGACCCAATCTGGACTTTTCCATCAGGAGATCATTTAAAGCGCTTCTCTCTCTTCCTGAATGAACTATAATTTGTCAAAAACAGAAAAGGATGCTGGGTAACAAAGAAAACCAAGGACACGACCCGACTGTCTACAAGCTGATCACGCCGTCGCCGACTAGAGGAGTCGGAGGATGAGGCCTCAAAGAAAATCAGAGATGAAGATCTGCATGAGGAGGTGATCATAGGGGAGCATTCGGGGTGTGACGTGCTGCAGGAACAGGAAACGTGTGTGTGCTTACGACAGGCTTTACGTCACGCTGAAATGTTTCCCCCCAGCTCGCTCTGATCCGTCCTGGGTGACCTAATTTCTCTCCGTCATGCCACCGAGGGAGAAGGGAAGGATTCTCATTTTTTTTACAAGAACATGCACATTTAGTCTCTGGCTGTCTTTACTCCCCCCCACCCCCAGTGTGTGTCAGAGAGCATCTGTAAAACACACACACACACACAGTCATGCAGTCCAACCCGCTCCATCATGTCCAGACTTGACTGTTGCTCTGCAGGTAAGACTGAGTTGCATAAGCGGTGTAGAAAGATGGAGAAAACAGAGGAGACGTGGATCTTATCGTCTCTGTCTGATACAGTTTTCACCACATTGTGTCACATCACACTGCATCGGCATAGACTAGAGTGTGGGTTTGACGCAGAAGCATAAACCAGGCTTTAGCGAGGTGCTAACGGGTTGAATGTCAAACAATAAAATCACTATCAACTTAGCAGCTCTGTACCTTTTCTGTGTGATACAGCAGTTCCGTCTTTTTTACATCCTCTCTCCTCCTGTTAGGGTTTTGTTTACCAAACTGCTTCCTATTAATATTAACTTCAAGCTTCATCTTTTAAACTGTGGCGCAAGAGCAAAACGGTTACGCCAGTTTGAGTCTGAGAAAAATCGATACGGGTGTTTTGGTCCCAACATGAGAAATTTTATTCAGCGCAATTTGAGTCGGATTAGCAACGTAAACTGATCCTTTTGAATGACATGTAAGTGTAGTGACTACCACTAGGGGCGATGAAGAGTAATGCACATGATAGGTGAGGGTGGGGGGGCAGAGTTGGGACTTAAACACAAATTCACATGTACGAAAAATTCCCCTGAAGAGACACGGGAGATTTTAAGACCAAAACAACGAACCTTAGTGCTGGTCCCCGATCAACTGGTGTGTTAGGGGACAAAAGCCCCCAATTAGAGGCATAAGTGAGAGCACACACACACACACACACAGACACACACACATTTCCAAATCTGCAAGTTTACACTCCTCTGAACGTGTCATCACTATCGCCTAATGCAACACACACTAACACACTAACACACACACAAAACACACACACACATTCCTGCACTGTCTCCTTCTGCACGTCTCCCATCCTCGCAGACTTGCACGTCTCGTGCACGCGCCAAGACCCACAAACAGCCACTGCTGCATGCAACGCTGCTGTCGCCACAACATCACGAAATGGCGGAACTCGCTCCTGTTGCGGTTATCATCGCTTTTATTCACCGTGTGTGCGTGTGAGTGTGTGTGTTACAGAGGGTGAGCGCGTGCGTACGCGCGTGCATCCGTGTCCCCCTGTATCTGTGTGTGCATCTGTATATGTGTGTGTGTCAGTCTGTGTGTGTGTGTGCTGTGAATCTGTCAGTGAGCAGGCAGCTTAACATCTGCCCCACATAGTACAGACAGAGCGGCCTCTATTATGCCAGTGTCCCGCACGCGCACGAGGACGGGTGCACGCGCGCAGCAGCAGCAGCAGCATCAGCTCAGGGCCTCATTACATCACGTCCCAATTGTTAAGAAAAAAAAACACACAACAACAAACATCAAGATGACACATGATCCCCGCTCTGATAGCAGACCTGCTCTCCTCAAACACCGATGACCGCGCACAACACACACTCACACACACACACACTCACACACGCACAGATGATGGCTGATTTGCATGCTCATACACACACTCACACTCACACTCACACTCACACACACACGCAGAGTCAGCACCGGCTGTAAAAGCAGAGGAAAGCGCAGGGAGACGCATCCTTGAGGAGGATGGAAAAGGAGGGGAGGAAATAATAAAAAAAGGGGGGGTGGACAGGTGCTCAACAGCTTCACGTGCACGCGCGCACAAAGACACAGACATCTCATGCACGTGCACAAAGAGGGAGACATTTACCCGTAGTGCAGACAGGTCTATCTCGTCCAGACTCCGCGCAGGGGAGTCGCTCGCCATGGTTCTCTTGGTATTCACGGGACTCAAGATGGAAGCTTCCTCAAAGACCATCGACCGAGAGGTGCAGAGCGGCGGGGGTGAACACACACAGAACCTCCTCTAAAATAAAGAAAATCCCCCCACCCACCCCCCTAGAATAAAATCCACAAAGGTTCCTTAAGCAGGCGATGATTCCCCGAGAGGAGAAACGGGCGCTCCGGGTCCAGGAGGAGAGAGGAGGAGGAGGAGGAGGAGCGCAGGAGGGAGGCGATGTGCGCGCTGCTGCTCCAGGTGCTACATGCTGCTCGGCGCGGTGTATCCGGTGAATCCGGTGCTACATGCCTCCACCTCGACCTCCTCGAATCTGGACAGGACAGAGGGTTTGGTACGCGCGCGCGAGATGGACAGAGAAAAAGAGAGGAGAGAGAGCGCGCGACAGGAGAGCGCAGCAGCCGAGGAGCAGCCGAAGAAAAACTCACTCCGTCCGTCCGTCCGTCCGTCAGTCTGTGTGGAGGAACAGCAGCGCGCTTCCCGGGAGTGGCCTGAGAGGAGGCTGCGCTACAGACAGAGACGCCCACAATGTCACACACACACACATACACACTCTCACCTACACACACACACGCACACCTTAAAGACACAAAATCACACAGCTGTCTGCTCCTGTATGACAGCTCATCAGGGAAAAATGTGAGCGGTCATCAGTCAGGAGTCAAAGCTCACACACACACCCAAGTCTTTCTCAGGAGGAGGCGACCACCCTGCTGCCCTTCCTCTGACGAAAGGCCTTTAAAGGACCCTCATGGGACATGTCTCTGCGCAGTTTACATCGTCCTGTCTCATTTAAAAGACACTTTAGGTCACATTAGAGCCCACTGTCCGGTCAGGCTGCAGTTTCAGCCTCTTGTGTGGATCCAAAGAGAAACATTAAAATGTGTTTGTGTGATGATTGAAACTCAGAGGAGGTTTTTTGAACTTTCCACTGAAGAGTTTGATTTTCCTTGACCAGTCTGAAAACAAAAATATTCAACACAATAAACAGGTTTGAACAGTTTATTAAGATAAGCTTCGTTTTATGATCCATGACTGTTTTAGTGGATTTGTAGTGAAGCGAAATCCAAATGTTTACCTTATTTTACATGTTCGATGGATCAAAAGTGAAACTACTGCAGACAATATCAAACAGTTTATGTGAGCGCCTTTATTGATTCGTCTCAATTTTCCTTTACTTTGTATAGCGACCTCAGAAACCAGGCTGTCGCTTAGAGGATGAGATACGGGCCTAGTCTAGTTGTCTGACGCAGTTTGTCAATGATCCGCTGAGACGGGAATAACTTAGAATAACTTAAAAAATAACTTTAAAAAAACACTGGTAACTCAGGTGTGACGTCATTTTCAGCTCCGACATCTGATTTCCGAGGTCATTTGAACGCAGCATTAAGGCGGACCTTCGGCGTCCATGGCAACAGCAAGTGAGTCCAACTGTCAATCAAGTAAGCCAGACTGATTTGCCAAACTCGTGACCTCCATATCTTTGAAACAAATGAATTAACAATTTGACGCCTCATACAGTCTGCACCAAGAAATGATGAAGTTTTTAAACCAGGCTGTAGATTTGTTCATTCTTGCACTAAAAATTGTCTCTTTTCAATAAGTGTGTATGTGGTTCATGCTCGTTTTGCACCCACCCTCTAGTGGACACTCTTGGAACCGCAGATTTGAGCCTTTCTGCAGTGGTGTAATTTCTGAGGACCTGAGGTTGCTGCAGCTATTGAGCAGGATGTATTTATCAGCCCTGGACTTCTATAATAGAATGAAGAAAAGCTACTTTTCTCTATAATACAAATGAACAGTACAGCCTGGCACATACACAACGAATACAAACAACAACTGCCATGTGAAAGATGAGGCAATGACGACAGTGTCACACAAAATCAGGGTTTTTAAAGATCTCCAAAGCACTTTGAAAACCTCACTGCGTCTGAGTGTGTAAAAAGGGCCGACACATCTACATCTAAAAACATACCTGCCCACCTGTGGACAAGGCCTCAGGTCTTCTGCTCAGAACCTGGAGAGGTCATAGTTTGTCTGGTGTATTTTGATAATGTTTTTAAACAGTTTGCAACTTGCATTATAAAAGTTACTCAATGCAATGATTATTGGCTACAAATTTGCATATTTTAATGACAACTGAAGTGTGATCTGGCAGGTTGTCCATGCAGAGTAAGAACATGTTTCATCATGCTGCAGACTGGGTATTGTTAACGTTTGCAAGACTTTGCCGCTTTCATTGAATATCGTTTTAATTCTCTGCAGATCTTTTGCTTATTTCTGTAACTGGACTGTAGTTTGAATATTATATAATATGGTGCTGGTAATGGCGACAGTCTATCCTGGCTGATAATAGCCATCCTCTTTTCTCCGAGCTGAAGCCGCTCCCCTCTGGCTGCAGATACAGCCTGTCAAAATGAAGGACTAAGAGATTCAAAAACTCATTTATTCCAGCTGCTATTGGCCTTTTAAATAACTCACTTATTACTTATTCTGACTCGTCTTATTCCTTGTATTATTTATTGCACAGATGACTTTTATTTACTCTATTCACAGTTTTTTTCTGATGTTTTGATTAGTGTGTTTATGAAGTTATTTATTGCGTGTTTTTCTGCAAAGAAAAATGTCTTTCACAGGGATAATAAAATTTCTCCTAAACATTGAACCTCTACTTAAAAGAGTCCTCAAATTTACATTCCCACTCATCCTCTCGTTGCATTTTTTGACCATAAAGTTTCCAGAAACTTCTTCAGGAGCTCCACCTGTGTTCGAACCTGCACGCTCCTCCCCCTTGCGCACCTTTCCCGCCACTTTTAATCCAATCACTCAGTCAGAGCTGCGGGAAAAGATTAGGAAGCACACACACTCGCTGTGGTTTCACACACACACCCTGCTGTGCTGTCAGTGTTCCCTGCAGCAGCTGACAGAGTCTGCACACCTGTCAGCTGCTTTCACTCACCTGCAGGACACACCCAGAATCTGCTCTGAGGAACACAAATCTGCAGACAAATGAGCTCTAGATGGAGGAATACACGGACAAGAAGGTGCATTATTGCCGTAGTAAGGCTGTTGTTGGCAAAAATATAAATTAGATGAGAAAAGTAGAGTTAAATCAAGATTTTGTTTGCAGACAAAAACACGAATATACCTGAAAAATGACAAAAACAGTCAAAAATGGGAAACATCTTTTAATAAAACTAAATACATGTTTTTAATTATCTATCCCTTCATTTTACTCGATATTTAAGAACTTTACAAGCTCATGTCTGCTGCTTTTGTCTGTCATGGTTTCAAAGTAGATCATGATAGGCTGTGTTTCTGTGGCACCATCTAGTAGTGAAGAGAGGAACTGCAGGAGGGCTGAATGTGGGCCAGTGGAGGTTTTCCGAGGACAGAGCTGTTTTTAAATTCATCAGTGATATTTTTGATTCCAGTGACAGAGAGGAAAAAAAACATGAGCAGGGTTAGAGAGAGGAAGGAGAAAATTATTGAGTAATCAGAGAAGAAGACGAGGATCAGACGTGATTAAGGCGAAGGAGCAAACATCAACATTTGAAGAATAATGGCTTTATAGCTCAGCCCCATTCTTCAAACCTTAAACTAAGGGTTTAAACTTTAGGGTTTAATTGTAAATCAGTGATATCAGGAAAGATGTTTCTTGTCTGCGAAAACCACAGAGTTTAGAGAAAAATTGACAGCAGAGTTCAAAATCAATTTCAAACTGTCAGTGAAAGTGTCACGTTTAAAAAAATTAAACAGATAACATCACATCAAACTAAAAGCGGAGTTCCTCAAGGCTCAATCCCGGAGCCTCTTTTGTTTGGAAATCGGTTTGATTCCACTGGCTCAGTTCACACCACAAAATACACTAGAAAGAAGCAAAATATTATTGTATTCAATCAAATAATTTTATATCAAGCAAAAAAATCTGCCAATGGGTTAAGATTTTTTTGCTTGACAAGAATTCTCAAAATAAGAACAAATGTCTTGGCCCTGACGGACTCAAATGAAACTTAAAACGAGACAGAAAATCTTATATTAATCTATTTTTTTACAGCAAGCAATGAAAAATGAAGATGAAGTTACTTAAATTAGAATTTAGTCTCTTGAATAAAAGTGCTTCAAGAAAATACACCTTAATCTAGGATTATTAATGAGCATGACAGTAGTTCAGATAAGACATAATTTATTAAAATAAGTGCTGTTGTCTTAAATCAAGATACCAAAACATTCTCATTAGATATATGTATTTTATTCCACAAGTAAGCACGTGGAAAGCAAGCATGTTCTTTGTTCTTTTCAAATTTTGCAGTTTTCATCTGGTCATTGTTTTATGTTGTGTGTTGTACAGACTAGCCTACTGACATCTTTATATGTCAGATAATGTGTGAGGCAGCAGATTCTCTCAGGTTCAGATGACCTGCAATGGAAATCTAAAAAAAATCAACTGTTCTTGTTTCATGGCGTTCTCAAACTGAGAAGTTGTACATATGTCTTACTCTCAAAATGAGACGAATAATCTTGTTGTTGGTACATTCCATCTCAGAATTATCTGGAGTATCTTGTCAAGACAAAGTTCGCCATTTTCGCTTAAAATTAGATCCTTTTTCTAATGCCAAACATGCTTGACGAGATTAATATTCTTTTTGTACAAAATATGAGACTTATTTCCTTAAATACAAGGCTGTTTTCCTTTCCTGAAATTCCTTTTTTGCTGTAAACTACAGAGATGACACTCAGATCTACACAAAAGAGTCACCAAGAGACCTTGACCCCAAACACGCCCTGAGTAACTGCATCAAACTTCCCCAAAAGTGAGTAAACTGTAATGTATGTCTGTGGTAATCTGCATGTTTGACACTGCAGCCTAAAGGTCCAGTTTTATAGTTTTAGCTAAGAGAAAAATGAGAAACAGACTGAAGACAGACTCCCCACCCCCAAATAAACGACTTACCGATACATTATTTATTCATTCCATCATTTCACAGAGAAGCATCACATGACGTGTTACTGCAGATCATTTACGAGGTCGCCATGAGAAAATAACAGTCTGTGCAAATAGTGCATTTTTATACAGAGACAGAAAAAAAAGATCAGGACAGGTCGGTGTTTCTCAACCTCTGCAGCCCAGGATGGAAGAAAACACGGTCACAAACCACGCTTCAGAGGCCTGTTCTCACCCCATCATATCTGTGAGCAGAATATTTTTAAACTGTGATTATTAAACCCTCCAATCATGATGCTTTTTGCTGTATTTTTGGTTGAATTGTATTATTTAGGATGCACAAAAATATCTCCAAACCAATCTCATCCAAAATCTCCTTTTTTTTTTTTTTTTGGCGGATTGATGCAAAGATGAAGTCATCCCAGTCTTGTTTTGATAGATTCAGATTTCAGCAGCCTGTTATTGCACACCAGAGTCTGTCTGTCTTATCAGAAGATGACTTCTTGGTTAATGTTTGGGGTAGCTGAAAATACCTCCAATTTTTACCGATCAAAGCTAATCGCATAGATTAAAAGCATGGACTGGAGCAGGAGGTAGAAACACAGAGAGGTAGAGAAGAGGATTAAATAAAAACAGCACGTTAAAGAGCCCATTTCCTTAAATAATAAGAGTAGAGAGGTTTCTAGCTTCAAGACAGGCACATAGTTTAGCATCAGTAATGTTCATGGCTTTTAAAGGCAACTCTTCAGTTCACAGGATCCATGCTTTATCTGTACATGTTTCATGGCAAGGAGCTGCTGTCATGCTGCGCGGATCAATTCAAGGTCAAATACATCGCACAAAACATTATCATGCACGTCGTTTCACAGACCAAAGAGGAAGACACCGAGGAGGAACGATGCTGCGTTCAATACGTGTCGGGGAAAATGGAAATCCAGAAGCAACGACAAGATCTAACTTAAAGATGATGCAACTAATCTGTCAAACGACCAAGACATAAACCCTTCAATTCAAAATTCGTCTTTTCAGATTAAGATACGTGGACTAGTGGTCTAAACTAGAATCCCAGACATGGAGGATATGGCCCGGGTTCAACTCCAGCCTGAGGTCTCTTTCCTGCATGTTTTGTAATGAGGAAACCAGGACCAGTGCTGCTTCAGGAGGGTTTGTTTGGATTTTGCTGCCGTTACCCAGATTGTTTTTCCTGAACTCATCAGTTTGAACTATGAAATGATGATTTGAGGGTCTGTTTACTACTTTCTGGAACATTACATGAACATTTTAAGTCTTGCTTGTGAATTTCTACTCTCTGACATTATATGAAAAGCAGCATCATCATGAAGTTCACCATGCATGGATCTCTGGGTAATGTAGTTCATAAAAGAATGGCAGCATTGTATTCAAATTTGTAATTTCTTGGAAGTTTGATGGAAAGAAAAACATGTGCTCACTTTCAGCGTGGAGGATAAAATCTCTAATATTTGATCTTCCTCTAATATTTAATCTAATTTCTTTCTCAGAATCTCTTCTTGATTTCTTTCCGATAAACTTTTCCAGGAAATGACAGCAGAATAAAGCACCATCATAAGAACTACAAAGACCACATCAGAGCGTAAAAACAGGTCACTTAAGGTTTCACATGGACTCCACAGGATGAGGAATGTAAATGGATGTGTGTTCTGGTTAACATCGTCGTTTTTGGCACTTGTGATTTCATGTTTGACATAAATATTAAAATCAAGAGTTCAGATATATACGATAAACATGTGTTAAAAAATGGCCGTCAGCTCCGTCCAGCTCTTCATCCTCTCCTCCTCCTCTTTGTCCCCTTTATTCAAGTGTCCTTTAGTGTCTTTCAAAGCCTCCTCTCCCACAGAGAAGAGTCCGAGCTGCGTTCGCCAGCCTTGGACGTTGCATAGTGTTATGAAGAGAATGAAGAAGCGAGACGTTTTTTTTAGTCGTCTTGTAAACATGAGGCCCGGATTGTTCAGGCACCGTGGAGTTCAACGCTCGTCTGCTGGTCTCTCTCTCTCTCTCCATGTGAGCGTGTACATGTCTCTGTATGTGTTGTTTTATCCGTTTAAAACTATAATGTGAATATAATAAATCAATTTCTAAGAGTTGCTATGTCCGTCCAACGACTCCTCTCTGAGTGAGCTGTTTTTAACGTGTGTTCAGTGGCACTGCTGGTACAGACGCTTCTTCATGAACACACCTAACACTGTTTTGAAAGTCCTTCAGGCTGCTGTGCTGCCAAAATAAGGCAGTGGACAGTGGACTGTGTGTTTCCTTGTGTTCTCCACCCTGGGTATAGTCTTACAGGCATATAACTTCACCTTTGAGGGAAAATTGTGCACCTGTTTTTTGAGAATATACTTTTTTTTCTTGTCTTCTGTTTGTTTTTGAGACGGCACAATCATAAAACAAAAACCTGACACTAAAATGCATGAGCAGGGTCCAAAGTTACCACCTGTAGAAACTATTCATCAACACTAACGGCCCCGCTGCAACTGTTTTTTTTGGGAGGGATCAAGGATGTGAGATTGGGCAGCATTTGGTATCAAAAAAGTGCTAAATTTTTTAATTTAGCCTCCTCTCTTTTGTCCAAATTGTTGTTGTCTTGATGAAATATTCTGCAACAAATGTGTTACACAAAAACCATGTTTAGTGTTTTCACCAGTAATAAATATGCTCAGCCTTTGACTTTTCTCATGAATCTGCCAACTTGGTCTGTGAATCAAAAAGTTAATTTCGTACCTGATGCATAAACATCAAACTATCATTTTTGCACTGGACCAAACAGGCCCGAGATTGTGAACTCCTGCAGTCCTGGAGCTGACTCAATAAACAGGCGCCATATCTATTCTGTCATTCAACTAAGTTTCATAAATTATTCTCTTTTCTTTTTTCGTATCTTTTCTGCTGTTTAGAACAGATTTTGTGCATGCAATGGGTGTGGCCAATATGATTAATAATAATGCATCAGATTTCATATAGCGCTTTATCAGAGACCCTCAAAGCGCTTTACATTGGATACTTCATTCATTCGCTCACACAGTCACACTTTGGTGGTGGTGGAGACGTGGCTGCCATTCTGCGCCTACGGCCTCTCCGACCACCACCACACAACACTCACAATCATACACCAGTGGAGGACACACACTGGGAGGGAGGTGGGTTAAGTGTCTTGCCCAAGGACACAACGGACAGACTTGGATTAGGGGGGAATCGAACCGCCAACCTTCCGGTCATTGGACGACCGCTCTACCTCCTGAGCTACTGCCGCCACTTGATTGACAAGTGGGCGGGTAAAGTGAGGATTAAGTCCCACCTCTTTCTGAATTGATGTAAAGTGAGATGAAGAGTGAGAAAAGCTAACTTTGGGCTTTGTTGTGCCTCCTCAAGTTATTTTCAGATTTTGTACAGTCAATGAGTGAGACAGAGCTCGAGGAAAACATGCCTGTGAGGCTGCACTCAGGGTGAAACACACCCTTAACTAACTTAACTGTGCAAACATGTGACTACCTGCTGCAGGTAGATACGATCAGAGAGCAGTCTTCACTGATTTATGGACCCTCAAAAACACTTTCAGAACTCTGTGATTCATTTTCCTTTAAATGTGATTTTTAAAAACCCAGCAGCTGTTTTTTGAACCAGAAGGACCTCCAAAACAGGACCAGAGAGGGTCTGAAGGACCATGGGTGAACACATAAAACCACAGGTGAGTCTGTCTGCCTCAGGTCCAGACCTCCATGGGCACCATGGCCTCCTTGGATCCAATGGGAGGAAGCAGATTCTGTTCACTCAGGAACTGGAGAGGAAACTGGACCAGGAAGCCGCGGATCTTCTTCAGCTCCTCCTGAGCCCGACTCGGGTCCTCTTTGTCGAGACCCGGCTTGGCGCGGAAGCCCTCCAACTCAAATATGTTACGGACATCGCTGGACGGCAAACAACGGAACACCTGAGGAAAAAAAGAGAGCAGTGAGAAAGAGAGATGATCGTCAACTCAGAGCAGATTTTTCTCTGTGAGGATTTCTTTTTTTTTCAGGTTTGTCTCCGTCGCTGAAAAAATAACAGAAGAATGTAAAACCACGCATGGAGCTTTAAAGGGATATTCCAGCGTAAAACTAATTTAGGGTCAAACACCGTAACACCGAGTTAGACACCCCCTCCAGAGATGAATGTTTCCAACCGCCTGCTTCTCTAGTTAGCCACCAAATATCTTTTTAACTTTGACTAATTTCTTGAGCAAAGAGACTAAACACAACTCACCTACTCTCTTCCATGCTGCGAGACCTCAGGCCAGTCCATTAGGGACTACAGCGGGGTGACGCAGCTCAAGGAAGAACATTTATGATCATTTCTGGAGCTCTGAGGTTCGAGCCTCGCTGGACTGATTCCTCCGCCTTTATTTTGAAGTGTGCAGTTTTGCACTCACACCAGTCCCACGGGTCTCGTACCCCAGAGCATGTAAACCAGGACACCGGATCTGCAGACACTTTGAATCAGGAGCCAAATACCCTGACAGGGACATCCCTTCTATTTTAAACACTGCAGGACTTGAAAACGACAGAATTAATCTGTTTTAAAGCTTTTAACTCTGAAACAAAAGCGTGACTCAGACTTCTTATCATGTCGGCGTATTAAACAGAGCTGACTGTGCAGCTGACTCACAGACCTCTCTCTTTAAATGGGACTTATTCATGCTTCGACATCATTTCTGTAATAGTGCTGTTCTTTTATTCATGCAGCTCGGCAGCACAGCCAAATCTCCTTTTGAAAACAGCCTTTTTAATCTCACTGAAGGTTTAATAAGAAAAAACCTTCATACAGGGTTTTGAGCGTAATGAGATGAGACGAATACAAAGCTCAGACGAACCCTCAGACTGACCTTCTGGTAAATGGTGGCGTTGCGAGCGCAGGTAGCCATCCACACCTCCTTGTAGAAGTGATCGCTGATGGGATCGGACACGTCGATGGAGGGATCGGTGTGACCGCCGAGGATGGTCCTGAAAGAGAGAGAGAGAGAGAAAGAGAAGTTAAGAAAGAGTAAAAGTTCCTGAAAGAGGAACTCTGCAGGAAATTGCGAGAGGAGATGTTTGGCAAACAAAGAAGAACTGAAAGTGTAATCATTCTTTATGAAGTTATAATGTCTATAAACTGTGTTCTCCTGAAATGAGGCGTGAAAAGTCAGTAAATTAGAGGATAAACTCGAGAAAAAACAGATGGGAGATGCACGATGTGTGTTTACTTGAAGCACTCGAGGCGTAGCTGCAGGGCGTATTTCCCCGCCTGGTACTCCTGACCATCCATCACAGCCGTCACCGTCTCCGAGTCCTCCACGATCACCGCTACCTCGCTGTCTCGTTTTCCCAGCATGCTCCTGTCGTTGATGTTTGCAGAGCCTGCAGGAACACAAAAGAACAGAGACGAGTGAGTCTGAGCGCTGTCAGCCAGAAGGTGGTGCTATAAGACCTGATTTCAAACCTCATGTTTTGACTCCACAGAGGACTGCGACCCTTTAACTGAGATCAAGACTACGAAACTGTCTTTTTATGAACACAATATATGTATATGTACTTAATGTAAATAATTAAGTTAATGTAAATATCTAACTGTATTTTGTGTTTGCTGAGTTTCTTCATCTCAATGGGATGTTTCCTGGTTAAATAAATAAAAATTAAAGGTTTGCTTTAACATTTCTGATCTATTATGATTCGGTTATTTACAGGTTTCTGTTTGAGTATAACAAACATGTTGGGAAAATATGTTGTATAAAAAGCCAGGTGGTCCCACTCCTCCTCAGAGTGGAGGAAACAGTGATCATTGTTTCCAACCTCAGCTCATCTCAGAGGGGTTTAGGAAGTCAACGGTGCCTCTGCATCATGTTCACACATGCTTTTTCTCTCTCCTCCTCTTTGCATGGTCCAGTTTGAACCTGTATGTGTTCACAGATGATGATTTTAACGGTGATTTTGAGCCCATGCGGTGACTTCCACTATAGAGTCTTGTCTGTTTTTAATGCAGTGCTGCTTGAGGGCTTGAAGATCAGGACCATTCAGTCTTCTCCATGTGCAAAATTCAGTGCACACATAAACAACATCTGTGTCCCATAACTGTTCATCTGTACCCACCTTACAGTCCTGTTTTAGCCTGTTTTTTTGTCGTTCTTTCTCTCCGTTTTTCACTTGCTGTTGTTATTTTTATCAGTTTTGACTCGTCTTTGCACTTCTTTGCTCCTGACCGTGAGAAGCGTAATTTTGTTCAAGTCAAGTTATCCCATTCAGAGCTGCAGGTGGGCTTAAGATTCTCACAGCTGTCATTGGACCGGTTCTCAGTCTTTCACAGAGCTGACATGTAGAGACCAACAAACCCACTCATGCTCATAAAAGTGGATTTTTCTTTTATCTCTGAAGGGACTCTTGTTGACCAGGGGTCCCTCTCTGCAGCTCTGGTTTCTGTCTCCTCTATTATACATGCTCGGTGTAACGTCTGGGGAATACTTCATTACATCTGTCATCTTTTAATCCTGTAATGGAGAAACTTAAGCTGCTGCGTCAACGTCAAAGCTGTACCTATGATGACGGTGTTGTCATCCGCGATGAGCATCTTGCTGTGGACGTAGATGAGCTCGGTGACCAGCTTCCCCTCCAGATCAGCGTGAGTCCTCAGACCCGCGATGGAGATGTAGTTCATCCACTGCTCTCCCACTGGATTAAAAACAGACAACTGTTAGAGGGTGTTAATGTCTTTTTTGATAAATATCCCAAAGTATGAGGAGATCAGTGACAGCAGAGATACTTTACAGTTCATTATCGTCATCTTTTAGTACATTTAAAATAAGTTTGGACCTGTTTGGTGTCTAAAATAAGTTCAAAAACCATCATTTTCTTAACGTCAAATTAAATGCTCTTAATGGAGTAAAACATGGGTAAACCAGCAGTGAGATTACAGGCATGAGAAGTCTGAAAATACACCAAACCTCAGTCCAGATGCGTACTCTTTTACTTCTAGTTTTTGGCTTTAACATGCGTGTCCCGTAACATGTAAGTGGTTTTTGTGAGTTTGGGGGCAAATCTGGGGTTCGGTCAGGCTCTGCTGAGCTTTAATGACAGACTGAGTTCAATATTTCTGGAGGAGCAAAAAGCCGAAATGTGATCTTGTTATTAGAGGGGGACCTGCTCCACCTTCTGAAGCTCCTCTAAATGTTAATGTTGGACTTTTCTTCTGCATTAAATCAGCTTTTCTGAGCAAATGTGCTGATAGCTTTAAGTCGAAATGAAAAGATGTAGAGGAGTGAGTCATTTCTGCACAGGAAACTGGAAATCTAGAAGCCTGACTCAGAAATGATGCAAAAGGGGTCTAAAGAGAGCCAAAGAAGTAGTGTTTTTTTATTCTCTGTTGCAAAAATTCTCCATTTCTCTCTCTTCTCAGTAAATGTTGCTCCTAAAAGTCTCAGAGAAAAAGTCATCCTTGAGATATAGAGACTCAGGGTTATAAAGCGATGTCTGTCATGTGACCTGAAACACATCAAGTTGTCTCCACGTCCTCATAGACCAGGATTAATGTGAGATAAACGTCCATGTAAAACCAGTTTAACACAGACCAGGTGCAGACAGCATTAATCAATCACAGAAACCCAGAAAAAAACACTGAAATGAACACGACAGATTTGCAGACAGAGCCCCGCTGGTTTCAGCACGACCCATCCCAACATTGAAGCAAACAAAAACACACAAAGTCCTAAAATTAATAAAAAAGAAAGAAACACGATAAATTCAGTGTGTGGTCAAACTTAAGCTCCTGCCATTCTTTGGGACTTTTTTCAGCAGGTCACATGACGTCTTAAAACCATCTCTTTGTGTGTAAACTCAAATCTGTCTCCGTTTCTGACTTACTCTCTCTCTTGATCTGTGAGATGATGGAGTGGTCTCCTCTGTTCATGGTCCTGCAGGTGAACACAGACACACAAACACACACAGGTGTGAGAGCAGCAGCACAGACACACAACACAACACGAGGCTCTGTGTGTCAGAGGGAGAGCTGTTTGCTTAAGAATAAGGCTGCACGATATTGGAAAAAAATAATATTGCGATTTTTTCAACCCTGCGATATATATTGCGATATTAAAAATACAGTATTTTCACCAGATGACCTGAATAGCACTTAATGTTATACTGCACTGCTGAAATCTTGAGGACAGTTAACCTGCTCTGATCTTACCTCTTTTTGTGAATGTTAGCAGAACGGCTTCTGTCTGTCTCAGAGATATTTTTAGCTTTTATTGTGCTGGGACGTTATTGTGGCAACAGATGAACACAGAAGACGTGTTTTGGTCGACATCATCCTTCTTTTAACCGAAATAATTCCAGATAACTGACTTTCATTTTCTTTTTGGCAACAAATCTTCATTTTCGGTGGTTTTCGCTTGTTCGTTGTTCATTTTGCGATCGTTGTTGTTGTTGTTAGCGGTGTTGTGCCGAGAAACGCATGTCCTCCGAGAATTGCATGCACCTCGCAAAACGCGCACTGCTTATAGTAGAGTGGTCCGCAGAAACGTACAATTTAAAACCCATACAGTTCTTATTTGTTGGGCTTAATAGTCATGAGTAAAGTTCCGAAAGTAATTCTCAGCGGACACACGTCTCCCTCCATGTGCAGAACATGTGCAGGGGTGGGTTTTCTCCTCCCTGATTTTGATTGACAGCTGGCAGGGTAGTCTGATTGGCAACTGAGAACTGAGTCTGATTGGCAACTGAGTTAAGGACGAAGGCGATTGGTGGATCGCTGCACAGCACATGCAGAGTCACATGGAGTGTATCTCAGTCGGTTACCCTTGAAATTAAATGAGTTCATTCACCTCCAATATCGCAGGCTCTGCGATGTGACTATCGCACACACGTACATCGCGATGACGATAGTCAAACGATATATCGTTCAGGCCTACTTAAGAATGCAGGCTGGATAATGAATGTCAGCGTCAAAAGGCATGACGCGCGCACACACACACACACACACACACACACACACACACAGACACACACACACAGAGTTTACAGCGCTGTTAATCAGGTAGAGGAGTGGTGGTAATCGATCACTGGCTCCTTCCTGGATTTCACCCTCAGCAAACAACCTCAAACAGCAGGACGGTTCATGAAAGCTTTATCATCACACACCCATCGCACACACAGACACACAAACACACACCTGTAGTTGAAGTGCATGACGGCCTGGATGGCGCTGCCCCCTCCGGTGTTGATGTCTCCTTCGAAGCCCGGCAGCAGAGGCGTCACCACGTACACTCTGTACTTTTTACCCTCCCTGAAATATTTCAAAGCGCACACAGAGAGACACGACAATTTCAGAGGTTTGACTGGAAACGTGCGATTAAGAGTTTATTATCGAGTTCACGACACTTTTGTCAGAAGGTTTTACAAACTCCTGCACCGAATTCTAACCGCTAATATTTGGGTTTTATTGAAACAGGATTAAAGAAAGACTTTGTCAACATGTGACAGCCTTTCATCAAATATCAGCCCACAGCTGCATTGTTACCACATGAAAGATTCTGCATGTATTGAAGCTGCCTGCCGTAGACTGTTTGCAGACTGAAGCTCAACAGAAGAAACCAGGTCAGGTTTGTTTGTTAAAGCTGGAGTGTGTTCATGTGTTTCCCTCTGATAAGCACTAAAATCCCAGACGAGGAAACATCACACACACACGGAGCGAGAAAAAGAACCATAAAGAGGAAAATATTCAAGTTAGAGGTCAAATCAAACAGGAATTATGACCTAAAATCAGTCTGTGAGTCATTCATTTAATTAGTTTGATTTTAAACTCATAAAGAATGGACATTTACATTCATTTATAATTAGATGTTGTGTGACAGTTTACCTGTATGCCTTAATGATGCGCTCTGCAATAGCGTCTCCGATCTTGTTGAAAACATGTCGGTTGTCGGCGCAGCTGATGAAAAACTGGTTCTGAAATTAAATCAAACAGAGAGAGATAAATGGATGATTTTCATTTGTCGAAAATTCACTCTTATCTAAAATTGTGGTAACTTCAGCACAGAAGAAGAAGGAGAACAACACGAACTTTGCAGATCAGAACAGACTTAATGGAAGTGAGATGAGCAGGAAGGTAAAACAGATAAATGACCTCTATGTAGATGAAGTGTTGGCTGTTCTCGATGGTGTGGACGTAAGCGTTGTGGATGGACTCTTCGTGGTACTTGATGCCGGCGGACCAGTCAGAGGCTGAACGAAGGATCTGAGAGGAGAGAGGAGCAGGTCAGAGAAAGAAAATCATGATGTGTATAAAACATTTAACTCGCTGTTTGCCAAGAGGAGAATTTGATTTAGAGTGACGTTTGTGTTTAACTGCTGAGACTGATTTCTACTCTGGAGACAAAACCGAACTCCAGTAAAACTGCAGGATTCAGAATTATTTGAGGTAAAGACTGTTGGAGAAATGAGTGTGAGCAGACGTCAAAATCGCTCTTTCAGAAGTCAAAGACATGACGTTGGAAATTTAGCTGATCCACAGAGAGCTGGACTCAGGAGACCGGCGAGGTACCCACCTGTACTTTGGCAGGGGTGCAGTTGGGGACTTGGTATCTCTGCTCTCCGGCTGTGGAGTGGGTCTTGGGCAGCAGACACGGGTACGACATGGAGCGGTACTTTGGCTTCATCAGCTGGAGAGGGAACAGGAAAACGTCAAAAGGAGCTCCCAGCATGCACTGCTGCACTGCATAGAGTCAGAACAGTTAGATTTAACCCCGGTATCAACAAGTGTTCGAGATGTTTCTTAGTCTAGACAGACCTGATCCACTCACCATCACCATCAATCAGAGAGGTCAAGGTTTCAGATATGAGAGTGGAACACGTTGTTTTCCACGAGGAGCACGAACAGGTCTGGATCTTTCTAAGTGACTCTGATCGAACACTTTTTCTTACTGTTGCTAAAATAAAATGAAGCAGTGCTCTCATCTCACATTCAGGCTTTGCCCACATGTACTCAAGTATTTCTAACCAAACTAGAGGTAGTTTGATATTTTTCCGTCCATGCAAAAAAACACAGAAGAAGTGAAACTTGCAGAAGCATGCCAGACCAGCAGGTGGTTATACTGAGTAATTAGTGCATCACATCAAACCATAGAAGAATATTGTGCATCTTGTGCATCCTCTTGCATGAACACCAACTGTAAACAACACTCATTACACTGCATGCATAGTGTTGGCTAACTGTGTGACGCTAACAGACTTATACAGATGAAAATCAGCAGGAGAATTAACATTTATGAAAGTCTTTGTTCCAAAACTTTCACTGACCCGAACTCTGGTCAGGAGGCCGAAGCACACAAAAAAAAACACTCTGATCTTCTCTCAGTGTGCTGAAACAGCAACAGCATGACCTCTGACCTTTGTGAAGTTCCACCGCTGGATGAAATGCCGAGCCACGTCACGAGCCGCTTTCCCATGAACCACTGAGGCGATGTCGTGCCAAGGCATTCTGGGAGTCGTGTGTCTGTCGATGAAATCTTAAAGAACAAAACCAAGAACCGCAGAAGGTAAGAGGTGGTGTGATTTCCTCCAGACAGCAAAGACTCATGGGTAAAGCCAAAGAGGGCGCTCACCATCGAACGGTTTGTCCAGCTGGATCCAGTCTTTGTGAACGAAGTTGCAGTAGTCTTTCCCGTGCCAGAACCGCGTGTTTCCAAACAACTCCCCGACTCCTGTCTGTAGACTGCGAACTGATCCACTTCCTAAAACACACGAAGAAGAAATTTAAACTTGAGTGACGAAAAATCTGTAAAAGACCAGCTCTGATAGGGTGACCATACGTCCTCTTTTACCCGGACATGTCCTCTTTTTTGGGGGCTGTCCAGATTTGTCCGGAGAAGTTTATAAAATCCTTCAAATGTTTCTGTCACGTGGACTTACTGAGTTAGAGGCACGTAACGTGACACTTGAAGTGACACGTAAAGTGACTCCACCCTCGCGTAGTCATTTCCTCTTTTTGGGAAGTCAGAATATGGTCACCCTCAGTTCTGAGTTTGGACTTATTCAGGTCCAGGAAGTTTAAGAGGAAATTTCAGCCTTTCCTTTAAAAACTGATTCATGTAACAGTAAACAAGCAGTTCCTGTGTTTCTTGATCAACCCCTGATCTGGATCAAAGGAGTCCGGTGGCTCTGAATAGAACAATGTCAAAGCTGTTGACGCTGACACGCCACCTCATAGAAATAACAGTCTGAGCCTGTCAGCCAAAAAAAACACTCTGGTGGGTGAATTATTTGTCCCTTTTTGTCATTTAGACCTGAATAAAAGTAAAAATAACCTAAGCTACATTCACAGATACCAGAGTTCAAAGCCGTGAAGCATGTTAAGCGTGGTCTAATCTGTTTACAGCACACCGCAGGATGATGAGATTATCCCGACAGAGATGCACCGCTGTTTAGAAAATACTTCGAAGGCACTTTTGCAGAGATGAAACAGCAGCTGCAGAGAAGACAGCACCGCACTCAAGATTGATCAAACCTTCATTGAGTTTCACTGTTTTACCCTGAAATGAGGTGCAACAGTAACTAAGAAATAACTGAGAAAACAGTCAGAGGGGGAGCGTCATGACTCCTACCAGATACTCAGATTCATTTTTGTTTATAAAAGCCGCTGTTTGCACGTTCATCCAGGACTCCTCTGATCCATCATACGAGCTGAACAAACAAAGACGCACCACACGAGCAAACATCAGCTCTTCTTCAGTTACTAAAACTTCTGCATCTGTTTCACTGCAAACAGAGACGAGCGCCAAGAGTGAAGGGCATGTGATTACAGGCTGCAGTTTCTCATCATATAAACCCAGCCCTGCTCCAAGTTTGACGTGCATGACTCCATGGCTGGATCTGTTCAGACTCACTTTCTTCCCTTTAATCACATTTTAAAAGCTTCTTTTAGTAAATCTCTGTTTCGAGGTTTTTCTACCCTCCTCTTTTCTTATAATTAAAGGTTATCTCACACACAAACCAAACGCTGTTCAGTTCAATTCAGAGCCACAGCAAAGCACACTGGGAGACGGGAGGCGGGTCGGTGCCTCCAACTCACCAGCCTGACACTGGCCGATCGGGGAGGCCGTCCTCAGCTCGGCCAGCCTGCTGTGGATGAGGTTGTGTTGGCTGGTGACGCTGTCGGACCAACCTAAACAGAGCGGTCACAAACACTGAGACCGCAGCCCGGACTGAGGCCGTGTCTCTGCTGGTAATACTTTGGACTCGACTAAACAGACCTCACAGTGCCCATGATATATTTTAAGGTTCATACCACAGTGAGTTTGTACCAGCTGTCATATTCTGCTTTTGTGTGAAATTAAAAACATGGTTCGCTTGAGTGTCAGACTCACTGGCTTCTTCCTCCACGTCACTGTCGGTGTCGCTGTCTGGGCTGGCGAGCCCGTGTTTCTGCAGGTGTCTCCTGATGCTGAACCTGGTCCTCTTTGCTCGCCCCTGACCCTTCAGCTTCGGCTGATCCACTGAGTCCATCACCGTAAACACTCCCCTCCCGTTGGTCTGCGCAGTGCTGCCGTTGGCGGGGGAGGCCGTGTTGGAGGAGGCAGCTTCAGCCTGTAAAATGAGAGGAAATAAAATATTTTTAAAAATTAAAATGAAACAGAATAAGTTGATTATAAAACAATTAGACACAATAAATAAAATTTCAAAATTTATTAAAAATAATTGAAAAAGGAATCCAGGTAAAATTAATTAAATAAATAATAATACAATAAATTAAATTAGAAATTAAATTAGGAAATACATTTTAAAAATACATAACGACTATATCCTCCCAAAAATGTATATTGTTCATTTACAGACATAATTTAACAGGAGTCATTTTCATGTAACCCTAACCCTGAGTCAAATAAAGGAACATTTACGACCTTATTTGACTGTAATTAAAATCAACACACATAAAAGTCATCAAAATACGGAGCAAATGTCAAAACTGAAAAAGAAAACAGAGAGACAAAGATGCAGAGGACTGTGTGTGTGTGTGTGTGTGTGTGTGTGTGTGTGTGTGTCTGACCTGCTCCAGGTGTGACCGTGTGACACTCCCAACATCCGTCAGTCTGTGTTCTCTGTCGTCCCAGCGACCGTACGCCAAGTCAATCCCCCCGACAAAGGCCACTGATTGGTCGATGACGATGATCTTTTCGTGATGAGCCCACAGGTAAACGGCGGAGGAGACGTGATCCGGATGACGCATCACCTTTGGGAGAAAATCCGACATTCAGACCGGTAACATGTATATTTATGATGATAATAATGTAGTTATGAACCGCAGACAGACCTTGATGTTGGGGTGGAGGTGCAGCAGAGTTCTCTTGCTGTATCCAGAGTTGATGCCCAGAGCTAACTCCACCTCCTTATACAGCATCACAAAGATACGCACTCCTTGTTGCTATAAAAATAATAGAACAAACACGCCTAAAATCAGTCCAGGACGGTATTTAAAATGACGTTTTCAAATTAGAGCCATCCAGAGTAGAGCATCTGTAAAGCCCTGCTCCACATTTAAAGCCACAGTAAAGGATATTCAGTCGCAAATCTGGAGGAGACAGTGTGTTTACATGAGAGTAAGTAAAATACAGGTAAATAGGGTATCAATTAGTCATCGGGAGACATGCCAATATAAAGCTGTGTGTCATCTGCATAGCTGTGAAATTTGATGGCCGGCCTCTTGATGACATTTCCAAGCGGTAACATACAAAAGTCAAAAAGCATGGGACCTAAAATTGACCCCTGGGGGACACCACAATTCATTTTGTATCGTCTAGATAAGAATTCAACCATATTCGCATAAAAGTTCCTGTCAGTAAGATAAGATTCAAAGCAGTTCAAGACTAGCCAATGATTAACTTTACTGTATCAATCCACCCTTTGTATCGTAGGGGGGTTCAGGAAGCAAAGAACGTCTTTTCATGGCTTACAATGTCAGACAGACATTTATCAGTGAGTCTCGCCTGAAAATCTACTCCTCCCAACAACAAATCCTGTGAACTGCAGAGGTTTACATCCTGAAATGTTAATCAGTCACTCCTGTCATCCTTAACTTCGTAGCCTTTCAGAGACTCATAGACCCTCCTTGGAGTTTCTTTCAGGGCTCTAAACTGAGGGTTACAGATCTTGAATAGGTTTAAAACCTTAACAACAACATTATATATGTATCACTGAACGGTAATCTTAAAAACATTTCTATTACTCTTATTACATAAAATAAAAATCTTTGAGAGCAGATCTCCTTTTACACAGACTATCAAAGAAATGGTTGCTTTCTCACCGCTTTGCGTCTCAGGATGCAGTCCAGACGCCAGCGGTTTCCCTCAACGACCGGTCTCTTCAAGAAGATCTCTGGACTCAACCTGTAGAAGATCACAGCATGAGACATCCTCATTTAATACTTCCTGTAGTTCCTGGTTTCATTTACCCACACTTCCTTTTTTTATTTCTCATTGAAACACTTTCCTAACACCAAAACTGAGTTCTGATTTTGTTATTTAGACACTTTAAAACCAGAATGTGTCGACAAAAATAAGGAAAATTGTGTTTCTTTGACTATACACACTCATGTTCAGCTTACAGCTCTGAATTGTGTGTTTGTGCGTGTGGTGTTAATATAACAGTAGTCCGAGCCTCAGACTGAAACTGATCTGTTTGACCAGGACACCTCCCTGAGAGGTGACCGCCAAGTGCACTCGCTGCACTCTCTCACACACGAATAAATGTAAATCCTCCCTGCCTTTAAACATCTCCTTTATTTTTCTGCACACACACAAACACAGATATGATCTCTTACCACCAGTCTGTGATAAATATCTCCTCCCTTGCTTCCTCCAGAGCGTTGGCCACATCTTCCATATACGTCTTCCCGTTCACATACCTGCAGAAAACACACAAATACCTCTAAGTGTAGAAACACACACACCTTCAGACAACGAGAATAACCAAAAAGACCCCGCACTTTTGAATCTGGAGGGGTTTTTTATGGGAAACCTCTTAGTTGCAGACACACACACATACTTATACACACACACTCACACAGAGTCCACCTCACAGACAGTATAGTGTTGCCCAGCTGGGACAGAGTGATGAGCATCAGAGGCTCACTTTCCCTCTCTTTGTGTCGGGTTACTCCAGCGAGACACACACATACACACACCATACATACACACATGGTACATACACACACTCACACACCCTCTGCCAAGTGGACTAAGCCTTGTCTAGACATTTCCACAGATACCTGGTGGTGCTATGTGGCGCTTATTTACATGGATGTAACGCCGAAGGCCCCAAAGGTGAACTCATTAATGTCCATTGATACCAGGCTTCATGAGAGGCTCACTTTAGTGGCTCAAAAGAGCCCGAAGTCAAAGGTAAGTACAGCTTCAGCGGATGATGATGGTTGGTTGTCAAGGTTACCATTTAGCAGGGATGTTCACTTCCTCTCTGGCGAAGGATCCGAAGCGGTGGTCGGTGAGGAAAGCCGAGCCGTGTTTGCGGATGAAGCCTTCGATGGCCTGACCCCACCAGCGGGCGTGTCTGTAGCTGCTGCACTTGAGCACCAGGGACCTGAACACACACACAGACAAACACACACACGCTTATTCAAACAACTGTTAAGAACATTTAAAACAGTATGATAAACATATAGTATGGTATAGTGCGGTATAGTATGGAAAAGTATGGAAAAGTATGGAATGGTATAGTATGGTAAAGTATAGTATGGTATAGTATGGAATGGTGTAGAATAGTATGGTATGGTAAAGTATTGTAAAGTATAGTATACTATAGTATAGTCTAGTCTGGTATGGTATAGTATAGCATAGTATAGTATACTATACTATAGTATAGTATAGTATGGTAGGGTACAGAAGGGTATGGTATAATATGGTATGGTTTATTATGGTTTGGTATAGTCTGGTATAGTACGGTATGGTATAGTATGGTATGGTTTATTATGGTTTGGTATAGTATGGTATAGTACAGTATGGTATAGTATGGTATGGTTTATTATGGTTTGGTATAGTCTGGTATAGTACAGTATGGTATAGTATGGTATGGTTTATTATGGTTTGGTATAGTATGGTATAGTACAGTATGGTATAATATGGTGTAGTATAGTACAGTATAGTATAGTATGGTGTAATATGGTATGGTATAGTATGATAATTTATCGTATGGTGTAGTATGGTATGGTATAGTATAGTATGGTATAGTTTGGTATAGTAAAGCATGGTAAAGTATAGTATAGTATAGTATAGTATAGTATAGTATAGTATAGTATAGTATAGTATGGTTTTGTTGTGTATGGTATAGTACGGTATAGTTTGGTATGGTATGGTATGGTATGATATGGTACGGTATGGTATAGTATGGTGTAGTATAGTACGGTACAGTATGGTATGATTTGGAATAGTATGGTACTGTGTAGTATGTTATAGTATAGTATAGTAAAGTTTAGTACGATATAGTATGGTATGGCCTACTATTGTATCCCATCCTTCCACATCGTGTTTAATCACTTTATATTCAATTCTATTATTTCAGACTGTAGTGTATCATATCATATTGTATTAGAGTACATCAAATCTTATCTTCCCATACAGTGTTGTATTGTCATGTACAGTATCATACTGCAGCATTCTCTGTCCTATTGTACAGTTATTATTACCCCATACTATCATACTGTACTGCACAGTATCTTCTTGTTATCTTATCTTTTTTGTGTGGTATTACTGTATGACATTGCATTGCCCCTCACTGTACTGCATACAATCTTTATGTGTCATGTGTTTTCAGCTCAGCTTGTTATCTTCAGTTTCTGACAACATATCAGAGAGGATCCCTACAGAGAGTGACAGTGTTTTTGTTCAAGAGGAAGACACTTTTCTAGGTCACACACCTGGACAAGCTGTCAATTCTGACGCCGTGTTTAGTCTCTGTCTCCTTGGAGTCCATTTTTATGTCAAATTCTTTGTCGACCAGCATCACGAAGGAAATAGCACCAGAGTCCGGCTTCATGTAGAGCAGGAACGAGTCCTTCACCACCAGCCAGCTGAGCCCCAACACCACCCAGACAAGAAAATTAATATGTCACTCAGAAATTGGAGCAGTAGTCTCTGAAAATAAGCAAATCTTTATTTCAACACCCTTTATATCAGTTTGTGTGTCTGTAGGCGTTCACTGACCGTTTGGACCAGCGGTAACAGATTTTACTGTGACCGCAGCAGTTCATCCCGGGAATCCGATGACCGCCAGATCTCTTCAGCACCATTCCTTCTCTGAAAGACGAGAAAAGATGTTCAGATAATTATGAACCGCCCCATAATGCCAAATTTTTGAGAGATGGTCTAAAATAATGTTTTGTCTTACAAGCCTTTTGGTCCCAGATCGTGAATAAAAGACAGCTGGCTAACATCAATGAACTCCATCTGAGAGAGGAAAACATGTTTTTATTAAGAAAACAGATATTTTTTATGTTTTTAGGGCATTCAGGTCCAATTTGAACGAAGACGCCAAACTCACTGTTGCATGGTAGTTTCTGTACATCGGCATCCTCAGCAGCTTATTCAAGTAATCCTCCAGTTGTTTCTGGAACAATCAAGAACATCATCAGACCTTTCCTGTACGTTCAAAGAGTAAAGAGAGAGGCGGTGATTTTCTTACCTTTCGACTGGAAACCTGGTCATCTCTGGCCAGCTCGTCTCCCCCTCCTCGGGGGAGGTTTGGCATCTGCCTCACCCCACTCGCTGCCGTCTGCCTCCTCACAGTGTGACTGCAGAGAGACGTGACAAGAGTCAGTGAGAGGATTTTAAGTCAGATCCTGAAGACTGAGACAGACACTGGGACTTTCTGGTCTGTAAATCTCTATTTACAGACTTTACACAGAAACGTGCAGAATCTATTACCTAAGGTCTAGAGTTTAATATGAGAAGTTTTCTGGTTTCCATTTGTGATGAATTAGTAGTTCAAGAACTATTAACCAATCTCTTATTAGTAGATTTTGGTGTGTCTTTGAAAAAAAGCATGTATGGAGAGCAAAAGCAGGCGCACTGCGATGCAGTTTCTTTTCTGGGCCATACTGTTGAAGTAAGTCAGAGTGAAGCCTTTGTGTAACTTACTGTTTACAGTGAAACTGGGACTCATCAGAAACAGACGACCATGGGCAATAAACTCATCCCTACTGTCTCTACTTTTTAAGTTCGGTTTAAAATGGTTTATAAAGTGTTTACCTGCGAGTGGGCAGCGGCAGCCTCATGAACGCCTTGTAGGTCCTCAGCTCTCTGTGCAGATCTATGAAGTGTTTCTCTTTCCTCTTCACCAGCCAGGTGAACTCCCCGTGCTTCAACTCGATCTTAAACACCGCCGGCATCGACTGAGAGAGGAACACAGACACTTCAGTCAGATAAAGGATTTTAAAAGTTTACTCTTTGGCTCTTTAAATGATCTGACTGAAGACTCAGCAGTGGAGGTTTGAGCTCACCTTGCTGACGCTCCTCTGCGCGCTGACGTTAAAGCGGTCCTGAGCCGAGGTGAAGCGCTCCACCTCCAGGATCTTGGCCGTTATCGGTGAGGACAGATACACTTTAGACCCCGCCTCCTTGAAGGCCACTGTGTTGTAGATCTCTGTGAAAGGGACACGATCCGCTGCAGGGACACAAAGCAGGTATCAGATGGAAGTGTACAAACAAATGAGAACAAAAAGGTTCATTTAAAAGGTAAAAAACGGATTTTCTTTATTTGGTAAAATAGATAATTTGGCATATTTGGGCCGTTTTGGTATTAATTGTTATCCTGTCAGAGGTCATCAAATGTAACAGCAGGTTTAACAGGCTGCAGACCTCCTTAGTAATAAAAAGTTATTAAAAATGAAACGAGGAAATGCCGGGTTTGAAATCTGCACACTACAGGTAAACTGAGTCTCTCTGAATTCCTCCAAGTTTCCCGACGCCTGTCGAGGTCAGACGGTACAATCACCTGTAGTGGTCTGGTCTGTCGTGTCGTACTCTCCGTCTCCCAAGTCCAGTTCTCGTGTGTCCAGCTTCTCCATGATGCCGCTCATATCATTAGCCACCAGCTGCAGGGTGCTGGAGTTTGGGTCGGACTGCCGCAGCATGGTTAGCACTTGGTCTGGAGCCCTGGGCTCACCTGGAGAGACAGGTATTCCAGCCAGATCAGTGGCTGAAGATGAATGGATGGATGTTGGGTAATCATGCAGAGAGCAGAGAGCGAGGTGGAGATAAGCAGAAAGGGATTGTGGCCTGGAGTTGAACTAGCGACCTCTGTGATGAGGACTACAGCCTCGGTGTATGAGGCGCTTCATTACACTGCTACGCCAATGATGCCCCTACCAACCATGGCTCTTTGCTGCACCAACTCTCTGCTTCCCACATCTCCTGTCTCTCTGTAGCTGTTCGATCAAAAAAGGCTAAAAAGTCCCAAAATAACAAATACTTTCACTTTTCAGGTGAAACGCTGTACTTTACTAAACAGTAATCAGCCTATTTTTGTGACTTTCTATCATTCTTCATGTCCACACTTCTCCATTTTCTCCTCTCTAGTTCTCCATCTACCTCCACCTTTCCCTGCTTTGTCTTCCATTGTTTAATCTGATCACCCCCCATCTCTCTCTCTCTCTGCAGCCTCAGATCACATCAGATCAGACACTAATCCAAACAGGATTACAGAGCGGAGAAAGACGGGAGCAGAGGCCTTTGAAATCACACTCCTTCATCTGAAAACATGTGTGAGGGGGGGAGTTAAAGCAGGTCAGACTGTGATCGTATTTGTGAACAAAAAAGATCCGCCGCAGGGATTTATGACCCGCAAACATGACAGTGACGACAAACTGAGTGTGCGGCTGCAACAAAGGGAGACCGAACAACGACGACAACAACAACAGTTATTGTGGGAGTTCACCTGAACCCACAGGATGAAGAAGTTAATCCTTCATTTACAATGCCGTTAAACCCGTAAGCCAATCAGAAACATGCTGCTACAGGTGCTTGAAAAGTTAGGAGTAAACTCTCAGATCTGTATGACTCCAGGAGTTTTCAAGGATCAAAAAAAGCCTGAATTACTTTATCCGTTATCTTCAGCAGGCTGCTAACATCTCACTCACTGTTTCTCAATGCAAACTAATGCAAATCAACCTTTACTCCACCACCGTGACGCCACATTTTCCTGCAGAATCCAAACACGAACACTGTGCAGAGTACGCTCTGTAGTATACAAACTAAACCCGGCTCTGTTAGTCTTCGTGCTGCCGCTGAATAACGGAGGAATGTGTGTTAAAGTGCGTCTGAGGTGTGTCTGCAGACGCTGCCGGATGAACCGGTGCTGCAGGGAATTAAAAATAACAGAAAAGCTGCAGGAATGAAGGTAAAGGAGGGAGAGAAAGATGTGAAACAGCAGCAGGTTCAAGCTGAAAAAAGAGATTATACAGATTAGAATAAAGAGCTGTAGAGTTCACTTTACAACAACATCACTCTCATGTCTTCAGCTTCAACAACCCTTCCAGAAACAAATTAGAGTGTTTTTACTGTTTGAACCAGATTTGAAAGCAGAAAAAAAACCTTTTTATGAATTTTAAGATGCATTTCATCAGTTAAAAACAAGATTTTAGTCAAAATGTTGGTGCTGTTTGTGTAAAGTTGGTGTTTTATGTCAGAATGATTGTCTTCCTCGGGTTACAACACTGAATGTGTGGTTGACTTAACACTTGAACACGTCATCTTCATTTAACGGCACCAGAAAAACTAGTTGGTTAAATCAACAGTTCAGCCTCAGACTCTTTGCATTGTTGTAACCCGGCTCCATGACGCCTCTCAGACAAGTGGATGTGCTGTGACACCGGCTCTTCTGCTGATGCTGAAGTGGATGGAGACAGAGAGGAGAGAGCAGATGTTTGTTCAGGCCGACTTCAGACGAACCACCTCAGGGTTCGACTTGAAGTGTGTCTGTGGTTTTGACTCGAGGCGCTTGTTTTGTTTTGCATCAGAGCGAAGTTGCTCCAAAAAACGAGAGTGGAGGTGTGATAACAGGATTGTTTTTATCCCTGTTTCCTTGGAGACCTTCTTCTTCTTCTTCTTCTTCTTCTTCTCCTCTTGAATATTCTTCTCAGACCTGACCATAAATAGAATTTATGATGATTAAAGCAGACATCTTTTGGCCTCCTGATGCTCAGCTCCGGTGAGCACTCACATTAATTGGTAACAGCGTGGATCATGGTCATTCCTCCTAACAGCATCACTCGCCAGCCAGGTGGCAGACCGTCAAGTCCTCGCGCTCACACACAAATACACACACACACACACAAACACACACACATAGACAGATGCAATCAGGCCGTTTTACAGCAAAAAGCTTTTTCTTCCTCTTTTTTTCTAACAGCAGTAACCTCCCATTTTCTCTCCTCTCCACAACCAGAAACTGATATTTTCTCAGATATTCAACATTTGTGAGTTTCTGCTCCTCCAATTGGACCAGATGTGACCCAAACTCAGAGGTGAAACTGGTTCTGGAGAACGCACAGAGAGAAAAGGAGATCTACTGCAGCTTCATCACCATCTGTTGTTTCATTGTTTAGGAAATACCATGACGGTACTGCAGGATGACTCAGAGATCTTTACGCATAACCTGTGTTTGTTTTGTGCTCCGACGGGTCAACAGTGAAGCTTTATTTGTGGGGAAATTAATCAGATCATAATTGAAAGGTGACGCACTGAACAAAGCCGAAAATAACAGCAGCAGCAGCCGCCGCCATCTGCAGTTTAAAGCTGAGCATCATTAACCAATCACAGCTTCACTTTCCACTCTTTAAAAGCCGCATGAGTGAGAGAAGCAACCCTCGAATATTTCATTAATGAACCGTTTATGGATCTAAAGTCGGATATGGACTTTTTTTATGGCGGACAGTAACACAGTTTTTCAGAAATCACGACACCACAACCTTTGACCATATTTCCTCTTTTTTTAAAACACATCCTGCTCTGATAATGATAACCACAGGTGTCACATTTCACACAGGACGACTCAGACCTGCAAACACCACAAGAGGAAGAGGACGAGGAAGACCAAAACCGGGGAGAAACCCTGTCTCTGTGTGTACCATCTCTGCAGAGCGCTGCTCGAAGGACGCAGAGTCCTGAGTGATGCAACCTTGTGAAGAAATACAGAAATACGGCGTGCAGAAGTTTGAGCTTTTGGATCGCATTTCTAATTAGGGGAGTCCCGATGCAACTTTTTCACTTCTGATACGATACAGATATTGTTGCCTTCAGTATTGGCCGATACCAATATTGATCCGATATTAGCACAAACTTGTGTACAACAAGTTTTGCACTCAGCTGCGATGTCTTTTTCGGCATTTAACGAAAAATACTGCCACACGGCCGACATCACTCCTACTCTTTGCTACTTCGTTCGTACCTTAGTACACACTATCGCGATCATGTAGACTCAGCATGCTGAATCCGGGCGCTGCTAGCTAGAGGTGCTGGAGTGGAGTCTGGAATGGATTACTTGTATCGGAGAGCTGATATCGGAAAATTTAGATGCAGGCTGATATAATCCAATACTTGTTTTTTTGGCTGACATCAGACCAACATCTGATATCAGATATCAGTACAGTCCTATTTTTAATGATTGAATAATCAAGTCCTGCAGTGAAGCTTACTCCTCTGCTGAACTCTGACTGCTTTGTTGTCTATTTTTATTCTCTTAACTTGTTGTAATCAACCCCAGATAACCCAGATTAAAACCTCTTCAAATGAAAGTGAGCCAGGATCCTTTTCAGAGCTGTGTGAAAGTATTTGTTTTCATTTTTTGGTCTTTTTTTAGTCGTAAAATCCTGTTTGACAGACTCACTACATTAACAGAACACACAAACACACAAACACACACTTTGAGTCAGGCTGGAAACTGGAAACCTCCATCTGGCTGGACAACACTGTATAATACAATAGCAGGAGGAGCATGAATATCCTCCTCTGACACACACACAGACACACACACACAGACACACACTGACCTGAGCCCGGTGAGGCTGAGGGAAGCCCATCATCATCCTCATCATCCTCACTCCTCCAAACTCTTCCTCCGTCCGGAAACAAACTTATTAAAACAAAAACTAAACACTCTTCTTCTTCTTGAGCCAGTCTACTCACACACACTTTCTACAACACACACACACACACACTCTCACACACGTCCACAGACACACACACACCGCACAGACCGACTGCCTGGGAGGTCGGGTGCTGAGTGCAGCAGAGACTCAGACAGAGGAGGGAAGAGTCAGGCTGTCCGGACGCAGGGAGAAAAGAGGGGACGTGATTGGCTGGAGGAAGATCCAGGAGCTCAAAGACAGCCAATGAGAGGAGGGGGAGGGACTTCCTTTTTGAGGCACCTGTCTGAGTTAAAGAGGCACTGTGCTGCTCCGACAAAGACCTCCCAGCTTCTTAAATAGATGTAACAGACGGAGGTCAAATATGTGAAATAAAGATGATTCAGTTGACCAGAATCTCAGCTCAGTTTGTAAAATCAAGAGGAAAGAGCAAAATTATCTCAAAACCATGTGGAGGACAAGATAAGAAACAGACGGTTTGTCCACAGGGGGCGCCATAATGGACACAAACTGAAAGTTCCTCACAGGAGCTTTAAAAACAGACACAAAATGCAAAATACACAAGTAAACAAACTATTCCATCATCAATATAATTTTTGTTTCAAATCTAGAAAGGAGGTGGAGTCACAGTTAGTGAATCCCCCTCCACCTCTGTTATTGATCAATAATCGATGATCCAGTCTCTTCCAGTTTTATACACCAACATATAGATCAATCATCTGTTTTGATGATAGTTAAATCTTTTATGAACATTTTACATCACCTTTTTGTGATCAACTACATTAATGTTATTAATAATCATATAGACATATAATCTTATCTCATCTATCATATAATATCTGATCAATTAAATCCACTTATATCGTAATCAAAAAGAGTAGTTATCTTATATTTATATATGAATATCTCTCTTTATATATATTATTTAAAACATACATTCATTTACTTATTTAAATATATATATGTGTAAATAATAAGGTATATGTATTTATCTTATAAATGTGTGTACAAATACTTGCATATGTATAGGAACATAAACATATATACATATATACATATATAAAAGCTAGTTTATAGAATGTGAATGATCGGTTTTCTGAGTAGACTTCATCATTCATATCATTATTGATAATGTTAGTCATACGTTTTAAGATCAGGAGGAGTCCAGGTGATCACATCCAACACTCTGAATCTCAGACTACATTTGTTTCATTCTGACGTCTCTAAGCTCCTTTGTTTTAGTTCATCCGCTCACTCAGACAGAGATCAACTCAAACTTCTCTGAGGTGATAAAAGCTTCATGTTTCTCTGAGGACGTTCGGGAACGACAACAAACACCAGAGTGTTTCAGTCCAAGTTCACCACACACACACACCTGCTCAGGTGAGACGTCTCTGTGAGCAAAGGTTGGTTCAGAAACAGGCCGGACCTGCAGGACTTTCATATAGAAGAGTGAGACTGTGTGTGTGTGTGTATGTGTTTATGTTTGTGTGTGTGCATGTGTACGTGTGTTTAAGCAGCCTGCCCCGAGACAAACGGACTGACTTGACTCATTGTTGACATTCCAGAGAGGGACCAAAGCATTCGGACTCCCACCCACACGTGAGTACTAAACACACACACACACACACACACACACACACACACACACACACACAAGCTTTCCCAACACTCGCTGCAGGGTGAATGGGAAGCAAAGATCAGACTGAAGTCTGGAGCAGGTTTTTCTTAGACAGAATAATTTCTCTGTGGAGTCTGGTGGACGTCAGAGAGACAGAGAAGACTACAAATACACATGTCCTTCATAACCTCATTCAGAGCCTTGTTATTATGAATAAATAAATACAATGAAAAACAGTATTTAATCTGCTCTCTCCATCTCATCCCTGCACTTAGCATCATTTAACATCTAGACTTAGGCTTGTATTTTACCATAATTCAGAATAATATCTCTCACTTTTAGCCCTGTCAATAGTCAGCTTGTTAGTCCTCGTTGGCGCTCAAGAGCTCTCTTGATCATTGAAGCCTCTCTGATCTACACTTTTGTCCCTTGGCTGTTCAGACACTCACAGCTACACACAGCTGCCTCCTCTCCCTGCTCTCCTTTCTCTACTCACCTCCTCTGTTTGTCACTGTTTACAGTAAAACTGAGACCCACAAGAAACTAGTGCGACTCCAGCAGGATTGATCACGGCTAGAAGTCGCTACAGCTGGTTTCACTGGAAACCTTTTTCATCTGCTATGATGAAACAAGATCCAGTGGGTTTATCGGACAAACTATAAATGAAGAGTTGGTTCAAAATGTTCACTCGCTCACAGCAACATTTTGATTAAAACAGAGAAAACCTGGAAGGCCTCTTATATCATGCACTCATGTTTAGAGTCTGAAGTCAGCTACAGTCCTCCCAGCTGTTTCCCTGCAGCATGTCCTCTCCCTCTCCTCCACTTCAAGCAGTCAGACTAAAGACAGATGAACGTTAACCCAGAAAAAATGACTCATATTTAAAGTTCAAGGTCAGAAACAGTCTAGACTTTCCTTTTTAAAGCAGACTCTCAAAGCCTGATCTGAAAACTAAGTCCTGCCTGTTTAAATTAATAAATGCATCAACATTACTAAACAACAGGCAACACCTGATTCAATAGAGGGAACATCTGCTCTCAGTAGATCCCGCAGAGCGAGCTGTTCAAGTCGTTTCCAACCCTGAATCAATAAAGTGCATTAGCTCGTCTGGTGAGGTGGTTCATTAAGACGTCGTTTTCTGCATCATTATTCTTAATTGGAGTCTTAATGTTAGTTCTGGTTTCTCAGGGTCTGCACACGGCAGCTGTTTCTCTGCTTTACTGAGTGAAAGTGTGGAAATGTTGAGCTCCTTTATCTCTGCAGTTAAGATAAGAAATCAAAGCAGAACGGAGACATTGGTGAGTCGTGTTTTTAAATATTAATGTGGTGAAACTTTCACCTGGTCGCTGGAACACATTCCAGCACTTTATCCAGCATCTAAACCATGACCTGAAGAGACGGTGTATCTGCAGAACAAACAGGTTTTTATCTCTTTACACGAGCCGTGCTGTGTCTCAGAAAAAAACACCACAAGACTTTCAAACCCCCTGAAAACACATGGCTGTTAACTTTTTAATATTTTTATACTCCTAAGAAAGTATTGAGATTGAACTAAACACACTGTGTTACACCCCCACCTAGAGGCCAGCTCTGTGAACTGCTAAAATAATTCCCTCTATCATTAAACATACTATGATTTTGCACATTACTGCGTTGTAGAAGAAACTGAGAAACAAAAAATCTGACTCTATTGGACTAAAATATCCATGAATCAGAGAAATCAACATGATAACCACTTTGTGCACATGGAACTAATAATGCACCTTTACGATCTGCAGCACACACAATGTTATTAAAATGGAAAAGTTGAAAAATTTAAGATTTCTGCTGAACACAGAGTAAAAAAATCCTCCTCTCTTGAGAGATGGAGGTGATTTTTAATCATTAAAACAAAATATGAAATACTGATTAAAGTCTTAAAAAGCACCATGGGCTGTATTAATCAGTTCATCATTAATCAGATTAAGGGATCATCAAATTGGTTGGATGGGTTCATTTATGGCTTTATAATGAAGGAACAGGGATGCGCTATAAAGAGTTTCATTTTAAATCACATAGTATTGAAAAGTATTAACGTTTGCACCTGTGTGGACTCAGAGGTTTGTGTTCCTCTCATGAAGCTTCATGATCGGCGTTTGTTCATTTTTAGCAACAATCAGACAGCCGATGATAAATGCAGGCTGACATCATCTCTGTCATGCGACAGCCGGATAGTTTGCAACACGCTTCCTCTTTCTTTTTCAGTAAATGTGTGCAACACTGTGTGTGAATTTTGCAGGGTTTCTATCCCGCTCTGCCTTTGCTGAGGTTAAAACTCATCTTGTTGTCTTATATCAGGAAGTAAACCCGTTTTTTTTCAATCAGGTGATTGAGATCTCCTGACCTGCAGATAGCTCGTCTTTACTGAAATGTTTCTACCAGCCAAACCTGTGACACAACAGACTGTGTGTGCCGAATTTACGCAGACATGTCAGGCATTCAGCTGACACTCCCACAACATCCAGAGTCACTTAGAAACTGCAGGAAGAAACTCTCAGGTTACTCCAAATGAATGCAACACTTCATGTTTCTCCAATAATAAACAAATAAGTGACACAAACTTCCTGAAAATGTCCAGACAAAATTAGGTTCAACCGGAGTGAAAAAGCCAAACCAACTATCATCATCGCCAGGAGATAAACTTAGTCACAAATTCTTCATACCTGCCTTCAAAAGGTCACTAAGCATAATTAAATTTTTTATCCGTATCATCTTAAAATTTGATACCATTACAATTAAAAAGTTATCTAAGGTAAAAAAAAAAAAAACAGCTACAGGAACATCTTATAACTAAAGAGGTTGATTTCCCCCAAAAAGAGGACATATCCGGGTAAAGAAGGGTTTATGGTCACCCTAAGTAACATGACTGAGAGGTTGAGTCTCTCAGAGGTTCACCACTCTGTGAGAGACTGCGAGAGATGATCGTTCAACAGTTCAACAGGCTGTGGACCTCAGACCAACAGGCACCACTGCACTCAAAACAGACAGGACTCAGTAGTGGAAATCACAGCATAGGCTCAGACTCACTTCCAAAAACAACTCTCTATATTATGGTTTGTTGCTCAGTCCAAGAAGAACCCAGATATGAACATGATTAAGAAATGCCAGAAACTTCTCTGATGCTCCTGGTTAAAATCCAGCATCCCTGATGGTATGGGGATCATCAGAGTCCATGTCATGGGTATCTTCCTCATCTGTGAAGACTGCATTAATGCTGAACAATATCTACAGTTTTTTTTGGTTGTTTCATTTTTTTAGAATATGTGCATGTAACACAAGAAAATGTAAACTAAAAAAAAACAAAACCAATGAGAATATTCAAAACAGTAATAACAATAATTAAAGCAAAAAATAAAAATAAAAAATAATAATAATAATAATGCAAACACAACATGTCCAAAAGGAGTAAGATAAAGCATTATGCTTTTTTAACCCTACTCCTTGTCCTCTACTTAATAAACAGTCAGTCCCCAACATATTTACATTATATTAACAAAAAATAGAACATAAATAGAGTAAATAAGTAGTACATAAATACAGTACATAAGTACATAAATCATACACAAAAAAAAAAAAAAAGATGTACCTAAGACTGGCAGCCTGAATCTTAAAGCCTTAACTGCAGACCAGGATGGAGAATACACATGTGAACTGAGTACAGCCGAGGAGATAAATATCCAAAGTACAGTGTTAACGGTACAACAAAGCCGAGGTTGGTAGCTACAAACTCCAGGCCTGACCAAAAAATCTGTTTTCATCTTTAATATCTACAGGTTTTGGAGCAACATCTGCTGCCATCCAGACACTGACCTTAAGACCTTCATATTTCATATACTACACAAAATCACAACAGCATGGCTCTGTAGGAGAAGAGGCCTGCTGCTAATCTGGCCTGTCTGCAGTCAGAATTAACACACACTAAAATGAATCAGAAATACCCCAAAGTAAAACCCTGATCGTATGTTTAAACTCTTACTGACCTATTAAAAGAAAACACAAAAACAGAAACAGATCTGTTTTGAACTTCGGCGTGGTGTTGGTTAACAACATTAAAAAAGTCTCAGACTGTGATTATCAGCTCTGTTTTTTTCAGGACTCAGTCCACTCATGTCGTCTCTGTTGTTTCCATTTAGGGTTGAACACATCAAGTTTTCTCCCTTCAGTATTTCCTCTTGACTTCTGTCCACCAAACAACCTGAGGTGTTGATATCCCTTTAGCGCCACACTGACATTGCTCTCTTTCCTTCTTCGTGCACGCTCAGTCACTCTAGGTCAGTCATGTTTACCTGTCTCCAGGAGTCTCTGGATTTGCTGTTTAACACCTGCAGCTTTACTGTAAACCACAGAGACAGACATGTGAGTGTGTGGAGAGCAGGAGACAGGTCACTGATTGTTGAAGCATTTACTTTTGGTGGAGCTCTACATCCAACAAACTATCCAAGCTTCCTCCTGATCACTGACTGAGCAAACAGACACATAATCCTGCTGGTTAATGGAGCCGTGAACGCTTTTGTGGGAATTTATTGTTCGATCCGAGAAAAAGAGAAGTGCCTCGTGTGGCTGCGGCTCTTCAGATGGTGACATGATGGAGATAAGTGTGAGGAAACGAGGCGAAAGATGCTTTTAACCAGCGGGGAGGACTTCACTGCATTACCGTGACTTAATTCAACACGACACGCAGCTGCAGCCAGATCAAATCTGACCTTTTTTAGTTACACAATAATCACTTCACATCCTGATCTACATGAACTTTGTGTTTGTGAAACACTGTGAGAACCGAGCCTTTCACTGCTCTGTGTGTGTGCACTGAAATCTAACTCAACATTCATTGTTTTGATTGTATTTTAATGAAGGAAGTGTAAAGATCTCTGCAGCTGTAGTTTCCCATTTCTGTCCACTTTATCCCCTCGTACCTCGAGCTATTGTTCTTTATTATGATCTGAGTTTCCAGCAGTTTGTCGAATGTTCAGAATTTGTTGACCACAATAGAAACCATCCAAACAATGTGTTATTAGATATTAAATTAGAATATTTTTTAAAGGGCTCACAGTCTTTTTCGATTTTCTTACTTTTTGCACATTTGGTTCATTTCAGATAACACTTTGCATTTATTTAAAGGAACCCCTCAGCAGATTATCACCTTTTTTAATTCCTAATATTGGGTCTGTTTTGGGGAACCCTCCATCTGCCATCATTTCAAAGTCTGTCTCGGGGTACCCTCTGTGGCTGTTTTATTGTCAGATGTCTTGCTTTTTCACACCATGGTCAGTTCTGGTTATAGTAACGTTTTGCACCAATTTCAAGTTACCGTTTTAAAAATCTATCCTGGATGTTTTAAGTCAGTTTGCCAACTGTTTTCACTCTCAGTCAGGTCTGTTTCAAGAAACACTTTGCAGCAATTTGTATGTCCTGCAGCTTTTTTATTCTACTTCCTCCAAGAATTCTGCAAAGTCTGTTTTTAATGTCTCTACATATGATTTAGTCCGTGTCAAAGTACCTATTATTGTCTGTTTTAAGGTCTATTATTCACAAGATTTGGGTCTTTTTTAAGCAACACTATGCAGTCATGATGTTTGTAATTTTCGTTCAACATGTTTGATTTATTTTCCTCCTAGAAATTTGACACGAACATGTTTAGGTACCCTGAATGTTTGTGAAACATCAGTTCTCTTTTCTTTAGTTATATTTGAAATGGACAGGGTTCCTACACAGTTGGAATTTCCATACTCTTCCCTACCCTACTGTTTAGATTTTTTTTTTTTTTGAAATACCTACTTCTCTATTTTAATAAACAGTTTTTTTTTAACTGTGGAAATAGTCTGAAAACCTAAATATTTTCCACACTTTTTAAGACCTTGAAATTGATCAGATTACTTTCATATTTGCGTAGAAACCCTGAATGGAGTTACATCCAAACTAACCAGTTGCAGCCTTTTAAAGTGCTCGCATTTTATTAGGTCGCCTGAAGGAATTCAAAGTTGTCTGTTTTCATATCAGTTTCTTTTCAATTGTTCACTTTTTTCACAGCACACTAACAAACTTAAAACTGACATTTTTAAGAGACTCTAAGTTTATTCAGTCCAGAGTTTTAGCCCCTCTCTGTGGTTCTTTCCTGTTGATACTAAAGGTTTGTTCTCTCCCACCGCTCCCACTGCCCCTTGAACTCTGCTCTCCCTATCAGTGTGTGTGTGTGTGTGTGTGTGTGTTGTGCACACACACACCCAGAAAGTCAATTAAGCACGCCCATGCTCGACTGTGTTTGCAGGAAGAACCATTACATGAATATATAATCAAACACTCACACAAACGCACATAAACACTCTCTACCTGTGCACAACAATGCCAGAGCCAAGCCCATTAGCCAGTTGCTATGGAGGAATGGAGTGAGTCAACTTTGCCCTGTGTAATGCATGACGCAAAGTTACTCACACTGGAAGAGCAGGTCCTTCTGAAACACACACACACACACATGTGAACACACCCGACCTCTTACACTGTAAGGATGAGTGAAAGAGAGAAAGAAAGGAATCTCAGCAGGACAAAAGCGGCTCACTTTCCTCATCTGTCTTTCCTCAGACTTCCTGTCCAGACTTCCTATCCAAAAGCAGTCCTGGTGTTACCCCACAAGTCCTGCTTTAGACAGACGTGGGTGTTACGTAACAGATTTCAGTGAGAGTTTACAGGATATATTTGATGACTGAGGCTACTGTAGGAATATCATGGTTAACGATTAAGAGTCTGAAACCCCCCCCTCTAAAATACTAAACTCCATGTAAGCAGGTCTGCTTTTATACTTAAAGACTCTAAATGTTGTCTGGGAGGTAGAGCCTCCAGTTTTCAGGCCCCCCTCCTTTAAATCATTTAAGATTTCAGAGTTTTAAGTCGAGCCGGATCAGGTTTGGACCTGCTCCTCGTCCTGACACGCCAAGCTCCTGTTGGTCCTTTTCTGACTGAGGGAGTTTGTGTCCTATTAATGCACGCTTGTAGACCTGGTTGACTGCAGTTGCCAGGGTAACTATTATCATTTAGACAAGTAATTTAGTACATGCAGGGACAGGATCTGAAAACTAGGAGTTGACTAATTATCAACAATCATGGCAAACACGTTCTGGCTTCCTATAAAATCCACTCGCTCTGTGAGACCGGCTGCTTTCTGCCCACAAACTCTTTACGTTTCTGTCACATGACGTTGACGTTGGAATGACGTTACACCCGGGTTGACGGATGGATGCCTACAGTAAGCCGTTGTTAGCTGTTGTTTACAATTGTCAGCTGTCGTTAGCCGTTGTCAGTTGTTGTTAGCGGTTACCAGCTGTTGTTAGCCGTTGTCAGTTGTTGTTAGCGGTTACCAGCTGTCGTTAGCCGTTGTCAGTTGTTGTTAGCGGTTACCAGCTGTTGTTAGCCGTTGTCGGCAGTTGTCAGTTGTTGTCAACTGTTGTTAGCCGTTGTCAGATGTTATTAGTTGTCGCTAGCTATACCAGTTGTAAACAGCACATAACGCATTATTTTACTCTACAAACACCATAACATTGTGTTCATAGTAAGACGTTGGGCAGTACAACATTTACCACTTATTTAGTTTCACAAAAACAAAACAGAACATTTTCAGAGTTGGAAATCCGACTTCAGGGGGCGTTCCAGATGAATTTTCGACTCAGGGCTTGGAAATCCTGACTACCGAGTACAACTGGGACGCAGCATAAGTGATATTGAGGGATTTCTGTTACTGGCCGACTGCTTTATTTGAGTTGAGAGTTATTTTAGCGCTTGCCTTGTCCGAATATAAGGCAAGCTCTAAAATAACTTTGGTAGATGTAGCCATCTTGTTTCAGACCTCCGATTTTGCTTTTTTCTGACCTGGTAACTGAAACGCTGGGAACTCGGGTGTGACGTCATTTTCAGCTCCGACATCTGACTTCCGAGGTAACTCGAACGCACCATGAGTTAAGCAGTGAAGGTAACAAAGCTCGCTCCCAATACCAACCCTTCTTTGATAGGCCCGAACAAAGTGTAAACATCAGCCTATTTATTTTGTTTTAACTACAAGTGTTTATCTCACTGTTCTCCATGTCAGATCCAGTGGTCATCCCTAAGACTATAACCCTTTAAAAACATGACCTTCTCTTATTATGCAAATTTAAGCACAAATCCAACATTTAAATTATCCTATTGAATGCATCATGAAATTCACCAAATAAACAAATGAGCTGTTCAGACCTGAGTCTGTTTCAGTGGCGATTGCTCTAAGACTGCAAGGGAAGCTCGGCTTCCCTTAAAATGTCACCCCCCCCAAAAAAAGAAAAAGTGGTGAAATACGTACGGCTGTGTGTACATTTCATTAACTAAATACGCACTAGAAAGCCTTCATCTTTTGTTCAGACACTGTGATAAGAAGCTGATAATCACAGGTAACCGGCATAACTTCGTTCTCATTCATCCTCGCAGCGCCTCAGCGCTTCAAACAGTCGGACGCTGGGCTTCTGCTGACTTCAATGTGGAAGCTCAAAGTGGGTTGTTCCAGCAGCGAAACTAGACGCTCATTGGATAAATGCTGGGCTTTGTCCCGCCCAATGGAAGCCCAGCTTCACTGGAGTTCTATGGCGAGAGGGCGGTCCCGACTTTCTCCCGGACTGCAAGCTTCTGCCTCCATGATTGGATGAGCTGTCTGAGGCGAAATCCTTTTTTGATTGACAGCTAAACAAGCGAATCAGCGATCTTGAAGAATAAAACATCTACCAGAGCATTTTCCAAGTCATTCATTCCGTTGTTCTTAACTGCTCCAGAGACTTTACCGATCCTCAGCGACTTTTGTCTTTGTTAAAAACGACTGCCGTTGTGTTTGGCGACTCTGTTCTGTTACATACTAATAAACAAATACAATTATGATGTAGGCCAGAAAAATGAGCTTCCCCTCCTTGAAAGACCAGCAGCCGCCACTGGTCTGTTTGTACTGGGCTGTAAGTTACTAGGAGGTAAACACAACAGAGTTAAGGATTTCTAACCTGAACAAGACAAAACCTCCCTACCTCTAAAAGCCTGCCAAACATCCAGCTGCTAAAAACAGTTTCTGTAACTATGGCAACACGTTTTGCTCAAAGGTGCATCAACGAATTCTCATCAGGACCTCTGACTGGCTCTTCAGTGTTGTATTATCTAAAGCCGACCACAAACAGCAGAAGAAAAGTGAAGAGCTGCTCCGTCTGTTTCTGTAGATGGAGAAACTCTCAGTAGAACTCACATTTTATTCTGATTCGTGACGTTTAAAGTCTGAAACTTCTCCACCGTCAGTCTCAGCTGACTCTGAATGAATCTGCAGTTTTATGGGACACAGAGCGAAGAGGAGGTGAACCACTTCCTCCTATAGTGTTACAGTGATAATAATTTTCACATGGATGTGAAATAATGAATAATTGAGAATATTCTTGGGCTGCGGTCTGAATAAATCACAAACGGCACAAACAGGGAAGTGGGTGGCTGATCATCTACGAGAGCAAAAACTCAAAAAGGATAAAAAATGAATGGATTCAATCATTGTGTCTCAGATTTTTAACTTTTTTAAAAAGAACTATTACAGAAATACTGCTCTTTTTTGTGGATTATGAGAACTGTAATGACAATAAAGCTAATTAATCCAAAGGAGCAACATAATGTAGCTCCAAATCTCCAATAATAGTCAGGTAAAGCTCCTATGAGGAATTTTTGATGCTTTTAAAACAGGCTGAAATTCTTGTTGATGCCTTTTTACAACATATAAAAGCAAATAAGACCATCAGCAAAAGGACTGATGATTTTTGAATGATTGTTTTTAAAGCTTGAAATGGGTGTAGAGGGGTAGGTGTCAGGAGCAGCTGAGTTTCTACAATCAATGACATATTTGACTGTCAAAAGTCACAATGAAAAGATTGTTTGGGGTCAAAAGGACAAGCTAAGCACAGACTTCTTTGTCCACAGGGGGCGCCAAAGTTAAAACAAACCTTAAGTTCCTCACAGGATTTGATTTTGCCCGTTTGCACGGCTCTCTTTCACTAGTTTTGTCGATTCAAGGAAAGTGTTGCCACCTCTGAATAAGCAGCGAGCTCATAGATCAAGTGTAGTTTCCTGAATCAACATTCAGAAAAGGTTAATCTGTCATGCAGCAAAGGTGAGAGGCGTAGAGTCAGAAGGGCAAATATTTCTTTAGAGTGGTATCTGAACCGAAGAAGCGTTTATTTTTCTTTCATTTTAATCCAAGTTTTTTTTGACTTTCTTGTGACAAAACTTGGATTTATTGGACATAATAAGACTTAAAAGGGACTTAAACATGTTGAATCTGTCCAGCAAAACATCCACCATCCAACTGATTTACAGGCTGGAGAAGAGTTTAAGTTCATTGTCTTTAAACAGCAGGTGGGAAAGTTGCATTTCGCAGCATCAAAACTGGACTTTTCCTCCAATAAAGAAGTTCCACCTACAGTAAAGTCTTTCCCACACAAATATCTGTAACTTCACCTGAGAAAAATGATGTTGTGGGTGAAAACGCCAACCAGAAGCTTGAAATACTGCAGTTAAAAACGAGAAATGTAATTGAAGGTTCAGATTAAGTGGGTGGAATAAATCTCACCACCTAAAGAGCAAAGGTTGTTTTTATGGTGAAATATGATTTTATTTTTGATGTTACAGGATTTCAGGTTAGAAAAATAAACTTGAAATTTAGAGGGAGATAATCAAGACTGAACATGAGTGTGAGGGACAGAGGATAAATGCGGGTGGAGTGGAGGAATTCACGGTATCAGCTGATAGAAATTACCCTCACATTGAGGACGGATAGTTTGGATTTGATCGGTGGCTGTCTGTTTTTGCGTGTCTGTTTTGTGTGTTTGTTGCGGCCACAAGCTTCGTTTTGATCCAAATGATTTGGAGGAAGTGGTTTTTGTTTAACTGCGATCTATCGAGGGGTGAAAAAAAGGAAGAAGCGAGCTATGACAGGCCAGCGGAGTCACACACACGCAGCTCGTTTCAGGTCGGACCCGTTTCAACCTCCTCCTCCTGCTGCTACTGCTCCGGGAAACCCCGCGGAGCTGCCTCCGGGCCAGGGTTCGGCTCCGTGGATCATCTGATTTTAACCCCACAGTCACCTGCGCGCGCTCCACTCACACGGCTGCTGTGGCACTGCAGTCCAGCCTACAGCAGCAGCAGCAGCAGGATGCTGAGCGACCACTGCAGAGGACGGATGCCTTCACATGCCAAAAGACACCCGCATGACAGCGCGTCCCCAGCGCTGCTCACCAAATCTGCAGCACTAATTACGCACCAAACTTTACGCACGAACTCGAATTATCTCCTGTTACGCATTTTCACACACGCGCTGGCACAACACCAGCAAACTTTATCAAACACTGACCGGGTTAAGACACCGAAACACAAACTCATCCAGTTAAAAAAGCGGTAATGAAGGTTTGAAATCACCTCTGATGGTTGATCTTACCTCCTGGTGTGAAGTGAAGTGACGGCAGCTGCTGCTCTGAATGAGCGGAGACGCCGTGGACGAGTGACCAGATCCAACAGGCTGCTGAGCACACACACGATTAGATCAACAACAGGACTTCCTGCCACCTTACTTTCAAAATAAGTCTCATCTTCAAGAAATAAAAATGCTGCAAAATCCCTCAGAGCTTGTTCACTGTTGTGACGAGAAAAGCCTGAGAGTTTCACTGACCACGATGAAAAATTACATGATATAATACCTTAGAAGATTAAAAAATAACAAGGATTTAAAAAAAAAAAAAAAAGAAGTTTTTGCTTTATCAATAAACTGAACAGTGAATGAAGGTCTTTGGTTTAAGTTTTGGCTGCAATTATCCCCTTTAAAGCTTGATTCAGCCATGAGATTGAGTTTGTCTCATCTTAACACTTTTTGTTGAGAATATTTAGATCCATTTTTTCTCACATTTTTTCAGCAACAGCATTTGAAGCTCTTGTTTCTTGAACTTAGCAAGAGGCCAAAGGTGAGAGGGTGTCATGCTGGATGCTTTAGAGCATTTCAGAAACATATGTGACAAAAGGGAATGACATGACTTGTTAGTATCAGTGATTCACCATCAGGTGAACAGGTTACCCTGAGATGGCGCATTTACAGGCCTCTGACAGAGAGGAGGTATCATTACTGAAAGACTGCTTCTGAAAAGTCTAAGACAGGAAGCAGATTAACATTAAATTAAACTTGAACCATTGCTTACTGAGATGATCACAAAGCTATATATATTATATATATATAATGTAATGTAAACCGATCACAACAAATTTTCTCAAAAATGATGCAAAACTACTTACTAACACTCATATATGATGACAGAGAGACCATATGTCACGTCTATTGACAATGTCAAACAATTCTTGAAATAAATTGTTCAAGGTTTGCAGAACTTTGTGTTTATAAGATGCAGTTTTTCTCAAATAAATCAAATAAACCAAAAAATGGATTGTTCTGACCATTAGAAATTAAAATCACAAGAAAGCAAGCTGAAAAAAATGGATCCAGGACTTTTATTTTGAAGGGTATAGCAACTACCTCCTAGTGTATTTGATTTCTTACTCTAACTTGACATATCGATCAAAATCAGCCTCTTCCTCCGATAAACCACGCCTGGAAACCTCTGTAGCTTTTCACGGGGAAATGTGATTGTCATTTATTGTACGAATATTTATTTCATTATTAACCAAGAACAACATTTTACAAAACATCAGGGATGAGACAAGAGTGACGAAAGTGAACACTGTGAACTTCTGAGAAACTTTTTGCTCCTGTAGGAAAACTTCTGAGGTTTACAGACACACTTTAGTAAATTAATCCAAACATGAATACACACACACACACACACATAAATCTGTGTGTCTGCAGAGCTGCAGGAGCTGAAGCATATAATCAATGTGTCAGGATGTGTGTTTATGTGGGAGAGAGAGAGGAAGAGGAGAGGAAGAGTGGGAGGAAGGAGGAGAGTGGAGAGGCAGTGCTAATGCTCCTGACTCTGTTGAGGTTATGTCATCCTGAAGACTGCAGGTTTCCATCTCCCTCTCACTGAGTTTAAGTGGAAGAGGTCAGTAATGCTGCAGGGTGAAAAGCTACGGAGGCCCACAAAGGCAAATCAGAAAACTGGATCTCTGAAACACTAAAGTGATGACTGTATTCATCTCACTGAAATGACCTCACACTCTGTATATGTAGATTTTTGGATGTGCAAACCCTACTTCCTACGGGTTTCATCATCTGTGGTTACTTGAAGTCGCAACCCCAGTTTTGAGAAATGAAGCTGATGCAGAGCGACTAAAAATGCAGTTCTGATTGTCCACGAGAAGTTGGTTGCGGAAGCACTGGGGACCACATACACACTGAGTAAAAAAAAAACAACTAAATTTTCTTGCAAAAAAAGAAAAGTTTTGGTCTGAGTAGCTCAGGGCTCTCACAACACCCACTGCACAGGGAAGGAATTTGATTGTAACGTGTCTGATAATCGTTGAAATAACCAGATAAAAATGGATTTGAAAAACTCCAGACTTGAGTACGTGCAGATGATGACTCTGCAGACACACACAAAGAAACGCACACAGAAAGGCCAACACCATCAGCAACCTCCACCCTGATATACAGCTGCCATTAAACCTCTCCGCTATCTCATATTCAAACACACTCTCTCTCTCATAACAACCCCATACACACACAAATATGGACACATCTGACCCCTGTAGGCTTCTGTTTGCTTGAACACACTGCACAAACACACACGATGTGCATGCTCCGATACCTCCGAGAACAGAGAGAGAGAGAGAGAGAGAGAGAGAGAGAGAGAGAGAGAGAGAGAGAGCAAAGAAACAAAGGTGCCATAGAGAGTTATGCAACACTGAAGGAGCAGAACGTCTAATTATTGTTGTTTTGTTTTCACTGAGTATATAAGAAAATAAACTGATGTTCAGCTTCGTGTTTAATGAACCTGTGACTTCAGTTTTGAGTCCTTGAAATTACATTTTGTGCCTCATTTACATTTTAAGCTGCAGTGACTGATAGCACTGTAAAAATATGCAAAGCCAGTTTCACTACTCCTGATATTCTGTCTGTTGTAGTCGAGTACTAAAGCATTTGCCTGCCATGGTATTAAAGAAATGCTGCAGAGGTTAACGGGTAATGTTTAAAAGGTATCCAAGGTTGTGGACAAAGAGGAGTCTTATGCAATAATGAGAGTTTTCGCTGTTATATTGATATCATGCAGGAACAGACGGTTACAAGAGAGAGAAGAAAAGAGCTGTCTTAGGAGCAACAAAGAGTACAAAGCTGCATGCATTAAGATTGCACCGCTCAAATGAAATAAATGCATGTTTCAGGTTTATGTTCTTGACTTTCACCTGCTTGTTCTCACCCCAACTTCAGACAATTGGAAAAAGAAAAGAAATGAAAATGAAGCAAAGGACCGTGGCTGAGAGTCGAACTAGAGACTTCTGTGTAAAGGGACTTACGCCTCTATGAACGAGTGAGGGATTAAACCAAACTGCAACTTCCAAAGTTGAAAATTAAACCAAAGTGGATGAATTCCTGGAGGCTTTCTGCCAAAGCCAAGAAATCCACTTAACATCCATTTCCATCTTCAGAGCAGAGCTTAACAAGTTTATAGCAAAGTAAAAAAGAAAGAAAAAAAAAGTGGGATAATGGATGGATGGTTCTTAACGTGATTTGAAGAAATACATGTCAGTGGTTATTATCTTTATATAACTGGTTTAAGGAGTTTTTAAACATCTTCAAAAGAAATGGGTTCATAAAAAAAGAAGTAGCAGCATGTTTGCCTATACTCAATACTCATTTAGACTTTCTTTTTATACTCATAAATTCTTAAATATATTTCCTCACAGTGGTCTTGTATCATGCATTTGGTTGACTTTGTGCAGAAAAGACTTCCATAGACCGTCTTGTTACTTCGCATCAAATTTTTATCACCTGTCAGAGATGTGAACAGCTGCAGGATGGAGAGGCTCTCCAGCTCTCTGCTGCCTCACACAAATGTCAGGACAGAAGATTTATTGACCCACTATACGAGCTGAAACGGTTCCCTGGTTGACGGCTCCTGAACAACAGACTGGCGCTTCACTGTAGATTAGTCCGACTCATTTAAAAACAATGAAGATTTGAGCTCCTAAAATGAAAGCTTTAATTTTCAGGCACCAAAATGGTGAAACATCTGAGTGGGAATTGATCCTAACAGGTGAAGACAGCTAAGGATGTTAACACAACAAGCCTCCAGGCAGAGATAATGAAGGAGACATGGAGACATGAAGCTGGAGCTGTTTATCTGAGCAACGCTCAGCCCAGTTATCGCTCCATTTAACTCTCAGGGTGGAGAAGGTTTCCTGTGAAATTCAGGAAGAATCAGAAATCAGATTATTACAAGACAGAAAAACAAGAGACAGACTGGAGACAGGTTTCCAGCAGTGGAGTGAAATCTTTTGTCTAAACTCTGCAAACAAAGATTAAACGGTGCTGCTCATTTGTGTTATCAACTAAATGCAGAGTTATAGAATTTGACATACTGGTTTCTAAACTTTGATGGATCAGAATATGCATGAATTGTCAACACTAGAAGTGAAATGACAAAGATCTTATAAAAAGGTACCTCGCCACGTTTCCAGTCATTTTCCCAAGTACTCAGACTATCAATCAATCAATCAAACTTTATTTTTAAAGCACTGTTCATACATGGACTGTAGCACAAAGTGCTGTACATTCACGCAGGATATTAAAAAACAATGAAATGAAATAAATAAAATTACAAATACCAAACCCCACTCACCCTCCCAACCCCCATTCAACACATACAGCACTCACACACACACACACACACACACACACACACACACACACACACACACACACACACACACACACACACACAGATGCACACACTAAAGACCAAGACACTTCAACTTGCCACAGATGACTGAGGAAACACTATCTTGAGTTAAAAAGATAAGAGGAAACACTGGATCTAGGCCTAGTACGATAAAACCATGATAAAATATATTAAAGGTGATAAAAAGTTGGACGTTAATTGAATAAAAGTCTTAAAAATCAAACAATAAAAGAAAGTAAATCTTAAAAAGAGGTAATAAAACACAAAATAATTACTCAAGGACTAAAATAGCGTAAAATCACATCATGCAGATTAAAAGATTAAAACAAAACTCAACTAAAAGCCAGACTAAAACGTTGCTCAAAAAACAACAAACCCAAAAGAAGCAAAAAAACATGAGCAACGAGTGATACAAAGAGTATGTATACAATTCAAGCGTGACACAATTTGAGTCAAGATAGTTATTTACCTTTCAATCGTGCAACAATGACCTGCCTCACTGTGATACAAGAACGCTATAAATATCCGTATTATCAGACTTTTTATACGGATTATAATAAAGACAGTAGAAATTTAGTTCTATAATTGAAAATAGAGAGTCTTAATCGTGTTTTGGAGCTCTTTCCCGTCTTCGTCTGTTGTGCCTAAGACGGGACTCATCTTGATGCAATACATCATCTTTGTCGTGAGGCAAACTCTCGCGAGAATCGTCTGCGTCACGGGATAATGGCTGAAGATCGCGGATATTAGAAGGTACTTTTCTGCTTTTATTTACTTTCTACTCTATTAAAATACTGCATTCATTTGAACCCTAAATTGTGTTTGTCGACGCAGTTGTGCGCCTCGTCGTGAAAAAACCTCTGTCTATTCTTCTGTGCCAACTTATGCCGACATCGCCGGTACAAACCGTCGAACCTTCGAAATAAGAGCTCAGTGTTTTCCGCGCGTTTTACAACCACGTAAACAGTTAGCTTTAGCTTCACACATTTACCCTTTCTTTTTAGGCTCTAAGCGATCATAAAAGCTGCTGCAGCGGGTTACACCCTACATTATAGAGGTACTAGTCTGAGTGCGACGGTAACAATGTTTGGAGGTCATTTTAGCTCCTGAACGGCTCTCCTGTTAGCATTAGCACGACTCCGAGGCCTCCTCTGTGAGCAGGCGGGAGCTTTTATTTTCCAAAACTGACTCTGCACCTGTCAAAGCTGCAAAATCTGAGAGTTTAATCTGCTCATTAATGTCTGTGAAGGTTAGCAGTCAGTGTTTGAGCTGTTTCACTGCCACACACTCTCTTTAAAGCCTAATTTTCATTCATTATTATCTCCCACAGACTCATCTACTGAGCCCAAGAGTTAAATAAAGAGAAGGTGACTTACTGCTGAGCGTAAGTTTGTATTTCTTTTATTATTTATTATTATTTTTAACTTCTGCAAAGTATTTTTATACCTTAATGTCATAGTTTCTATGTTTTATCAATTAAATACGATTTTAACGTCATTATTCTGTTTGTGTTTTCCAGCCTGATACTGGATTTCCACCTGGTGAGTAATAAAAACACACACTTGTTATTGGCTGCTGTTAAATAAACCTGATTATCCCAGAACTGCATGTTTGGAAAACCACTCAAACTTAATATTTAATTGAGAATAGTGAAAATAACACAGAATATCTAAACCAAATACAGTTTTTTTTCAATTAGTCAATCAAACTTTATTTTTAAAGCACTTTTCCTACAGGAATGCGACTCAAAGTGATTTACAGTTTTGTTAAAAACAAGAACAAAAAAACTATCCCAGATGCCCCCTTACCCCCCACCTACACAAACACACGCCAACGCACCCGCACATACACACATTCAGAGGCTGAGTCCAGATGAATCAGTTGAGAAGGCGCCATCAGAGGAGCCATCAGCACCAGGAGCAGAGAGCCGCCCGCAGCCACAGGACGCCGTTACGGGGCCAGTGGAGGGATGTGTCAGACAGCAACCTCCACCAGGAACCCCGTGGCCGGCCCCTGCAACCACAAGCGGCCACCACTCCTGCTCCTGGTGCCGAGGGCTCCCTCAGAGGAAACACTGGGGGTCCTAAAAATGATAAAAGGATAAAAACAAGTAAAGACTAAAATATGAATGAAACACAGACCTAAAATAAACCAAGGCTAACTAGAATAAATGAAGATAAAACAAATAAATATCAATTAAAAGCTAAAGTAAAAAGGTGGTTCTTGAGCCTGCTCTTAAAAACATGAACGGCAGGCTGTTCCATAGACGAGGGCAATAATATTGAAAAGACGCCTCGTCATGAGTGTGTGTCCTTACTTTTGGAATGACTAGGAGCCTTATCTGAAGATGAGAAGGCCCAAGACCATTAAGACTTTTAATAACAAGTGCTGCTGAATTTTGTGATAATTGTAAAATGAATTTCTTCACCTTCATTTGAACCAAATCTCACCTCTCCTCTCTTTTTCTGTTGTCCAGCTGCAAAGATGTCTCATGCCAACAGTCATGGGAAGCTGCTCCTGCAGCGCTTACATCAGCAGCGGGAGATGGACTTCTTGTGCGACATCACCATCATGGTGAGAGACGTGGAGTTCAGAGCCCACCGTAACATCCTGGCTGCGTTCAGTAAATACTTCTCTGCCAGAGCTGAGAAGGGTCAGGAGGTCACGACCTTAGACCCTGATAAGGTCAGCCGCTACGCCCTGGAGAAGCTTCTGGAGTTCATCTACACTGGACACATGAACCTCAGCAGGTAAGGCTGAACCATATTTTGGTCTTTGGCTTTGTTGGAGTTTTTTCAACATTTTTCAAACCAAATCCTGTTTTCCTGTTTCAGTACGCGACAGGCAGCCGTGCGCCGAGCCGCTGTCTTCTTAGGGATGCCTGAGGCCACAAAGTACCTGGAGGAAATCACCCACTGGACTGAACCAAGCGAGACGTCCCAGTCCGAGGCAGATAAAGAAGCTGGTCTCTCTCCTCCCAGTCCGGCTTCTCCAGGCAGCTCTCCAGTTCCTCTGTCCATCGCCTCTGTGGCAGGGGGAGACTGGCAGGAGGGGGAGGAGGGAAAAGACAAGGATGATGAAGCCATCGATTTCTACGTGGAAGAGGGAGAGAGGAGCGACGATGAGTACAGCCCGACCATGCTGAAGAGCGTCGGAAGAGGACAGGGGAGGAAGAGAGGCAGGAAGCCAAAGAGTTTCAGTGGAGAGGAGGTGGAGGCCAGCAGCTCTGCCGACGGCACACCGAAGACGTCAGGCTACAGGGGGAGGGGGAGAGGAAGAGGGAGAGGCCGGGGTAGAGGGAGGGGCAGAGGGAGAGGGAGTTACAAAACTGAAGACCCGTTTATGGAGGACTCAGATACTAGTGTGAAGGATTTCGGGGACACATCAGCAGACTGGAGCCCCTCACAGGAGGAAGACGAAGACAATCCAGCCAAGAAACCCAGACTGAGCGTCGGAACGGCGCGGAGAGGCCGAGGGAGGGGGCGGGGTAGAGGGAGAGGCAGGGGGCGCGGCAGGAGGAAGACAGTGGAAGACGATGACGAGGACAGCGTTGAGGAGGGGACCGACAACAACGACGAGCTGGAGGAGGGAGAGGTCGGGGAGCGGTCAGAGATGGACGACCTGTCGCTGTCGTGCACCGAGTGCAACAAACTGTTCAAAGACGCGAGCAGCCTGCGCAGACACGAGAAGATCCACAAAGGGCTGAAACCGTTCGTCTGCATCTTCTGCTCCAAAACCTTCAGACAGGCGACGCAGCTGAAAACACACCTGCGCATACACACAGGTGAGCTGAGGTGGGAGCTGAAGTAGATTAGCAACTTTGAGCTGTGGGAGAAAAAATAATGATTTTATCCCTGGAGTTTGGAGAATTTGAGGAAAGTTTATAGTCAGATATTCGGCAAACCAAGAAAATCTTATTGAGTTCTTCGAATATGGGGGAAAATAATGCAAAAATATCTTGAGATTTTTTTCAGGAATTGTAAAAAAGTTGAATACCTCTAAACTGTAAGTGAAAAAAAAACACTTTCCCTTTCTGTCTCTGGTGTGTGTCATAGGGGAGAAACCCTTCAGCTGCTCCGACTGTGACAAGTGTTTCGCTCAGAAGTGTCAGCTGGTCGCTCACCGCAGGATGCACCACGGAGAGGAGAAGCCGTACACCTGCGAGCGCTGTGGTTTCAAGTTTGCCACCTCATCCAACTACAAAATACACATCAGGTACTCACAACTCACACCACTGATACTCCTCTGAAAGCAGATGTGAGACACGTTAGGTTTGCTTTGGTTCTGGGCCCACCTGGAGTCAAAGATGGACATTTTATCTCTTTGTTAGTTTTGTCTTACGTACAGAAATCTGCATCATAAAGTGAGGGTTTCCTATTTTACTTTTAGCTTTTTTTTTAAACCAAACTCTCTTGAAATCAACGCAGATTTATCGGTCATCAGAAAGTCAGACAAACTGAAATAATCTCTAGACTTTAAAAGTACAAACAATTAAAACAGTGTTGATAAGGGAGCTCTTTCTGGTCTTAATTTAAGTGTTTCTGATGTTTCGACAGATTACACAGCGGAGAGAAGCCGTACGTGTGTGACGTCTGCGGTCAGGCGTTCGCTCAGTCCAGCACTCTGACCTATCACAAGCGACGACACACCGGAGAGAAACCGTACCAGTGCGATCTGTGCGGCATGTCTTTCTCCGTCTCCTCTTCTCTCATCGCTCACGCACGAAAACACACAGGTGAGAGTTTTAACAGCTTTTATTAAACCATTAAAAAAAAGAAGAGTGTCAGAGTTTCTTTGGTTTCCTTCCAATCTGTTTGGACAGATCGAGTCGTTGAGCAGCCAAACCTTGTCGGCTGGAGGCTCAGAGCAGCTGTTCTGTCACACCCCCTGATAAACTGTTGTTCTGCTGTGTGAATGTGTTTTAGGTGAGACTCCGTACAAATGTCCGCAGTCATCGTGCGACGCAAGTTTCGTGACGTCTTCAGAGCTGAAGAAACACATAAGGAGACTTCATCCGGGTGGGTTTTCCCTGATCGGAGCCGAGCTGAACATCTGCGAATATTCTGATCAGGACTTAACATGTGAAGAAGCCGCTCACGCCCTTCTGTCTCTTGTTTGTGTGCAGAGGGCAGCAACGGCGTGCAGTGTCTGCTGTGTGGAAACAGGTTTGCCAGCGTGAAGAACATGATCAAACATCAGGAGAAAGCTCACGCCGACGAGGTGCGACAACACAAGGAGAGAGCCCGAGCAGGTGAGGCGTCATGTGATCTTTGAGTCAGTGTTGTGTGGAGTCGGGTGTGTCAGGTGTGATAACTCTGTGTTCCTGTGCGTCATCAGTGGTCCTCCTGGCCTCCAGTCATCCCGTGGCGTTCGTCCAAAGCAAACTCTCCAAAGAAAACAAAAGTTTGGCGTCCATCCCTGAAAGTGAACCCCCCAACCCAGAACCTGCGACCCCCAACCCCAAAGCCACCGATCCATCTGCAGCCGCCGCCTCCGAAGATCCTGCGACCACTGAAACCATCATCCAGGACTTTAAGGCGGAGCCAGCTCACCCGCCAATCACCACCACCGCCGACCAGGTGACCTTCGAGCCCGACCAGGAGCAGACCATCAACTCAGACACACTCCACGCTCTGGTGGAGCAGCTGCGGCCGCCGCCCTCCCCCGCCCAGGGCCTGGAGCAGATCGTCATCATCAGGACGGTGGATAACCCCGAACACAACCCACCTCAGCAGTGAGCGACGACACGGAGGAGTCCCTCTGCTGGAGTGTTTTAACCTTCAGTCAGACACACCCACATCCACGTGACAGAGACTCTGGTGGACATTCAGTCATCTTCATAGGGAGGATCCTGGTAGGTTACAGCTCTGGTATGAATTTTGTAGTTTCCTGCAATAATGATTAAAAAAAACTCTGTCAGTGTAAATAGAAAATAAACACACAGGGTGAAAAAACAGAAGGAAAAATAATTCATCGGTCATTATTGGTTTAAACTGAACCTGTCATACTGACTGTGTCGGCCATGTGTAAAGATGGACGACATGTCTCCTCCTTTGTAACAACAGTGAAGCCAAAATACTCAGCAGGGGAGTGTTACATCTCGACCCCTCTCTTAATCAAAACATGTTTTACTTGAAACCAACAAAATCATGACGTCACCAGAGTCCATGTTTGAGAGGAATCAATTGTAATTGGATCAATACCACAGCTGACCTGCAGGGGGAGCTTTAACTGTTTTGGCTTCACTTTGTTGGAGTTGTTGTCTTAAACAGTCTCTACAGATAAGAACCAACATTTCAAGAGAATCGGTTCCAGTTTGACATCTGAACGAAGCAGTTTAGATCATTTGGATGATTTTAAATTTTTTTTTTTTTTACTTTATAACCCTGATGGTTTGTGTTTCCTGAATCATAGCGGTATGTTTTCATACTGTGGCTGAGTATGACACTATTATCACTCAGAGTTTTCTTAGAAAATTACAAAAATAAGGCCTTTGTCACACAAACATCTCAGATTCTTCTTTTGTTGCCCCTCTGTCTCTTTTCTTTTTTAAATTTTTGGTTTGTTTGAGTCATATCTGTCAAGAGAATTCTGTTGGAAAGTTGGAAAAGAAAATAAACAAGATTTTAAGTCCCAGAAAACAAACGCAGGACGTAAAAAGAGGCATTTATACCAGGAGTTATTAACCTGCCTCCTCTGTCGGGTGAATAATAGCTCATTCATATTGAACAAAAAAGTAACTGCAGCTCATGGCATTAATTTAATAATCAGTCATGTCAACAGTGAGGAAAATGTTTTTTTTTTTTTCATTTTGTCCAAAAACTGTCTTTTTTTTTTACCCATCACTAGTTTAAACTCACACTGTAAGAAGAAAATCCCCTAACCTTAATTTTTATTTCTGATATGATGTTGGTGCAAACCTGAAGAGGGAAAAAAACCTGGATTATATAAACATCAGTCTTCACCTAGAGCAAAGTGTTTGTCTTATTTCTAAGTGTGAGTGATGAGTCTGATGTTGAATCTGTTTCTCTTCAGTTTATAGCTTTACCAAAACACCTGAGACCAACAATATCAGCAGTTTTGTTTTCATGTGTCTGGAGTCACTTTTCTGTTGTTGAAGGAATACTCAGTGTAAAGAAACTTTATCACACCTGAATGTTTAAAAGTATTTAGTTAAGAGGCCAGGACATTCTTTGTAATAGGTTATATAGTTAATACTAGCATTACTAACGTGCAAAGAGACGTGACTATTTATCAGAAATGCTCCCCCCTTTAGTGTTCGACCTGTGATGGTGGTTTGATTCGTGGAAATAAAACCCTGTTCATGCAAAACAAGATTTCTATCAAGTGTAATATAGTTTTTTTTTCTCCTTTTAAAGCAGCTGTTTTAGCAGACGTACGTGTGCAACAAGTTAGAAAACTGCATTTTACACAGTATTTCTGTTAACTTGTAAGTAGCTGGGTTTTTTTTCAGGTGTTTATTTCAGTTTTTATTTTTTGGATGAAGTCTCTGCATTCATGTACAGAAATGTGAATTACATACATGCTCACTACTGTGTAAAAACTGTACAAGAAAATAAAAAATGAAGACATAACAGGCCAAAGACGTGTGCTTATCTCAGTTATTGTTACTGATCCTGTCCTGGGTTAGAGATAATATTTAATATTCATGTTGTATCAAAAAAAGGTTGTTAAGTTGTTCCTATGACAACTATTTATAATGACTGATATATATTATTACCAAAAACACTTTAACAATAACATCATACTTAAAACAATATATAAATGTGAAAATTTTAACATTTTGCCAACATTTTACAAATTTAAAGTCCTGTTTACATACAACAATAGTGAGGGACAGGCCAAAAACCTCACCCTCATCAGCATAAAAGTAATTTATATTATTTAAAATGATATTTAATTGACTTTAATTTGATGTTATATTAAGGAGAGAAGACATGGTAATGTTATATTTCAAACCTACATATCAATTTGTTGTTATCATAATTTTATGAATGATAACTTCTTGGGGACGCAAGAGGCACCGATTTCACGGAATGACCCTCCTGTTCTTGTCAGAGTATCTTTAGGTATTTACTTACTCTGTTTTTTAACTCTTTCCTCTGTGAGGATTATGGGTAAATTTGGCATTTTTACTGTTAAAATTAAATAAGACTGTGAAATTATTAATACCAAAGGTATATTTGCTTAATTCAATTAAAAACCACTGTTAAACGCAACGCGAAGACGTGTTCGTATTTTTGATTTGTTGTATGTCCCTTGTGTGACGCCGTTTTCCTTGTTGCCATGACAACTTAAACTCTTTTTCCGGAGCTAACATGGCTAGTATAAAAATATCGGATTTTTACGCTGCTGTGTGCGAAGAACATCAAAAAGAAATAAACCCTTACGTTTTACAAGTTCTGAAGGAGACGACGCTCACGAAGTAGGTGGCGTAATGTTTTCTCACAGGTTTAAAATGAAAGTTTTGATATTAACGGACATCTAAGTTTAGCTGTCGGAGTTAACGTTGCCTTCAGGGACCCCTGAAATGGTCAGGTATAATAAGTTTCAAAAGTTTTATTGGTAAAGTTAAAATGTTTAAAACAGGAACTTAAAGTAACCAAATGGTAGCCGAAGTAGTTAAAAGCTACCGATTAATTTAGTACAATTGCAGTTACTATTTTACATTTTTAAATCAAAATTCTGTCAAGAGTTTTCTGTAGCGACCTGTGACTTCAAAAAGGCAGGTATGGTAGCCTACTTTTTCCAACCATTTATCGCATAATAATTATAATAATAATAATAATAATAATAATAATAATAATAATAATAATAATAATAATAATTACGGTCCAAACAGGTTGAAATAAGTTCATTATTTCGCATTTTAAAAAATTAAACTATTTCATAAATATGTGAAATAACTTTGTTCACATGGACTGAACTGTGGGCACCCAGTTCAACAGCTTTTTTTCTTACACCTTCCCTCTCCACCAACTATAGATGGAAGGAAAGGACTAGAAGAAAAATAAAAAGAGTTTCAATATATCGCAGGTGGTGTTAAAAGTTATAATCTACAATGTCTCTCAGACTTGAGCCTTTTTGCAGAGCACTTCAACACAGCATGAAATTAACTGAGGATGTGGTGTTTGTGTTTTTGCAGGAGTGTCACATTAGAACTTTCTGGAAACAACCGACTCAGATGTGTTCAAAGACTGGATGACAAAGACGTTTTTTCTCTTTCAAAGTGTCTGATTGACAGCAAACATGTGACAGGTGAGAAGTGACTGTGGGTGTTTATATCCATTGAAATGAATATGAATGTCAACTGTTTCCTTGTCTCAGCAGGTCTCGACTTCAGGTACAACAACATATCAGATAAAGGGGCTGGTGACTTGGCAGAACTTTTACAGGTGAGCAGACAGTTGAGGAAAAATGAGTTTACTGTTTTATTTCTCTGCTTTGGTTTGAAGTGTTTTATTTTTGTTGAGTAGGAGGAGAGCTCGAGTCTGAAATCTCTGAACCTGACGTTCAACGACATCCAGACTGATGGGGCTGAAGTTCTTGCCAAGAGTCTGCAGGTCTATACCTCTCTCTGTGACACGCTAAACTGTTACTGAAGTTCTGATGAAGCAAATAAGATAAGAAGAACTTTATTTATCCTCTGGAGGAAATTCAATAGAAAATGGTATGAAATCGAGTTTTTCTCAGGGATTTGGTCTTTTTTGGGCAATAATGGAGCTCTTTCACACTGATAAGTACAGTAAATCTAGCTATGAGACATAGTGAGGTAACCCCAGGAGAAGCATTCATTTTTTCTCTCTTTCCCTTCTCTCTCTCTCTCTGCAGTGTAACAGCACCTTGCTCTCGCTCAGCCTCTCAGGTAATAAGATTGGGAACAGAGGGGCGATGCACCTGGCCAGCATGCTGCAGGTGAACCACACGCTGAGGGAGCTGCAGCTGGCTGACTGTGACCTGGTAAACATGCACCAGACATTAAAGGGGACCTGCCCTCCCAGTATCACAAGCGCAGCCACCTTTTAGTTGCTCTTAAAACCTGCATTCTTTCCAATGTCCAGCAGGGGGTGACCCAAAAAAAGAACCTGGTTGCACAGAAGTCAAATAATGCACACCTGTCTCCTGCTCCCGCTCTTCCTGCTCCTCTCAGCAGGAGCAGCAACTTTTGATGCTCCTGATTTGGACTCGGTCTGAGCGGCCGCTGATGAAGTTAAAGTAAAAGCTGTTTAAAGGGAGGGGCTGCTCCCACGCTCTGCTGTTGAGAAAGAGAGAGAGGGGCACTTTATTTCATTTATAAGACATGACAGGGGAGAAAATTGAGGTTCCTATTGGCAAAGTTGTGTCAGGTTCAGGCAGGATCTTGTTTTCTGTCTCTACAGGCCACTCAGAGTGTGATAGCATTTGCCATCATGTTGAAAAGCAACGAGAGTCTTCACTCCCTGGATATCAGCCGCCCTCAGCTGCTCTTCAGCCTCCAGGTACGATCACACAGACAAAATCAGATTAATATCAGACTCAGCTTTCGACATGAAGCTGTGTGTTTCTGTTAGGAGGAGTGGACCGTGCACTTCTCTGAGATGCTGGCAGTGAACAGCAGCCTGGTGGAGCTGCACCTGGGGAAGACGGGGATGACGGACACGGGGATGGAGAGGCTGTCTGAAGGCCTGAGGCTAAACCGCAGCCTCAGATACCTGGACCTGCGTTGGTACGAGTGAAAACCCTCTGAGTTTAAGGAGCCTTCACTCTCACTGTTCACTTTCTCTCTATGTTGTCTTCGTCTGCCGCAGCAATCGCCTGACTCGTGACGGTGTGCGCCATCTAACTGAGGTGCTGAAGCAAAACCCCAGCCTTGAGATCTTGGATCTGTCAGCCAATCGGATTGAAGATGAAGGAGCTTTATACTTGGGCGATGCCATCAGTCACAGAGGCTGCTCCCTGAGAGAGTGAGTCCACCACAAGAGCGACATTTTAAAGGTTAGAGGGGCAGTCCATCAGACCCCAGCCTCAGTCTGCTCCTTGTGAAGAGACTGAAGCAGGATAACAAAGATACATTTACAAATCAAATGCTCATCTTTTGCCTGTTTGTGTCCCCCAGGTTGTCTGTCACCAGTAACAACATCAAGACGGAGGGTCTGCTGTCTCTGTCTGTGGCTATGAGGCTAAACACATCTCTGAGCCACATCTACATCTGGGGAAACCACCTGGAGGAGCGTGTCTGCCAGGTATCTCACACTCATATTTAAGCAGAGCTGCACTAGAAGCCTCACATGTCCTGTGTTAACCCTGCCGCCCCCTTCTCCTTCACCTCAGGCCTTCAGAGAGCTGATCTCCAGCGGCCGTCTGCCCTCAGCTCAAACTGACGTGAGCGCATACGAGGTCGACGGTCGGGTGTTTCTCGCTGAGATGTGCCACAGTTTGAGGAGACACTACGACGGGATGGATCACTGCTCTGATACAGAATCATCCTCAACCCCTGACACCGCAGCAGACCTGTTAACGGAGCCCGCTGATAACACCGAGTCCACCCTCACGGCTCAGATCAGGGACCAGCGGGTGGTTCCCCTGCAGCCTTTGGGTTAACCTCAGAAAGACTTCAAACTTCCTAAAAAACTGATTTAATTCACCGTTAACTAAAGGAGAAAATAAAGACAGGGCAGAAAAATAAAGAGCCTGAGAAACTTGAGTTAGAAAAGAACAAAACTGTCTTCAGCGACAGATTTTAAATCAAGGTGCAAACTGTTAACACGTCTCATTCAAACTAAACAAGAAATTCTCCCTCTGCAGTAACGGTTTGTGCTCTGATCTCAACATTTTCATGTTTTATAGAAAGGTTAAATCTGAAAAAACAAAAAGAAAATTATAACAGATTTGTTCCTCGAATTTGATCAGTTTTCAAAATTTACAAAATATCATTTTTTTCATGTTTTCTCTTCAAGTTTCCAACATAAAACCTTTTTAAAATCTACAAATTTGTTCATCAAATTCAAAATGACTTTGTTTGCATGCACAATAAATCCCTGTGTGTATCAGAATAATGTCAAAATTCTGAGTCATTAAACTTCTGTACACTGTGCAATAACAGTGAAAATATTTTCACAACACATTGATTCTGCAACAACCTATAAGTTGCAGGATTATTAAACACGACTCATGATTTCTAAGATACTGAAGATACAAAAGTCTCTCATTGATAAAAGTGCAGGATTCATGTCGTCAGCTCCACCATGAGGAGTCAAAAAAAGTGCTGAGGTAATCATATAAGAAAATAATATCATCCCAGGTCAGATCTCCTACTCCTCAGACTGACTCTCCTCTAGACCCTCCTGATTGGTCCCTTTGAACGATGACATCACATCAGTACTTGGTGGGTCCCACTCCAGCAGGACGCTCCTCTTCCTCAGACTGTGGTTCAGCTGTTGCCTCTCCTGAGAGCTCATGGACCAACGCTGCAGCGCCAGGCGAGTCAGCGCAGGAAGACGAGGAAGAGCGCAGAGCAGCGCCGGGAGCCAGGCCGAGCATGAGGCAGAGGTCGAAGGTCGCAGGCTGAGGTCCACTTCTTCTAGCGAGCCCAGGCCTCCTGCTGCAAACAAAGCGGACCAGCCTTCATCACCTGCCGAGCCGTTATAGGACAGATCCAACACCCGCAGGGAGGACAGGCAGCCACGTCTGCACACGGCAGCTGGACAAGAAGACAAAGACAGAGCGGTGTGACTGAATCTGCAGCAGAATATCTGTGAAACTGGAGAGAGAAATAAGGACTTTACCGAGGTGAGCGAGGTCCTCTGTGGAGAGCTCACAGCTGCTGAGGCGAAGCTCCAGGACGACCGACGGCTGCAGAGCATCCAGGAGGAGCGCCAAATGTCCACCAACAACCTTACTCCAGGAAACATCCACACTGTGCAGGTACGGCACAGCCAGGGCTGACATACAAGTCAGACAGGCACAAATAAAACACTTGTTTTGTCACTGCACAGTGTAGGCTAGCATTTTATGTCTACACAGTCATCCCTAAAGTTCCCGCAACAGAAGATAAAATAAGACAATTATGCAGACAGATGCATCCAGTGAGGTCCTCAGTGCAGCAGAGCTTTGTGTCTCACTAAAGTTATTTCATCTTAATGATATTACATTCAATAAATAATAATTATTATAAATAATGCATCAGATTTCATATAGCGCTTTATCAGAGACCCTCAAAGCGCTAAACATCGGATCCATCATTCATTCACTCACACAGTCACACCTTGGTGGTGGTAAACTACCTCAGTAGTCACAGCTGTCCTGGGGCAGACTGATGAAAACGTGGCTGCAAGTTTGCGCCTACGGCCTCTCCGACCACCACCACACAACACTCACAATCACACACCAGCGGAGGACACACACTGGGAGGGAGGTGGGTTAAGTGTCTTGTTCAAGGACACAACAGACAGACTAAGGATAGGAGGGAATAGAACCACCAACCTTCCAGTTATCGGACAATCCCTCTACCTCCTGAGCTACTGCTGCCCACAAATGCAAATATGAGATAAATCTTCAGGTCCTCAGGTAGGACATTAAATCCAAACTGTGATTGGCTGTTTCTCTTTTCAGAGGCAGGATTTGGGCGTGCATAGCTACAGGCCTGGGTTGTTTCCTCTGCAGTTAAATGCAAATACTATTCAGTACATTAACAATCGGGCTGTCAGCGGTAAGTTCAGTTAAAGTCCAAAGTTAAAGCTCAGTTTCTCCTTTATTACAGGCTTTTATGTCCCTTTCAGGACACCGTAGTTAAACTGCAGCAGAGAATTCCTGTTTCCTTCTGCTGCTGTGGTGGAAAACAGAAACACCACTCTGTTTTTGAACGGTACTGTCACTCAACACAGCTCAGCAGACAAGTCAGAAATAATCTGCACCTTCTAATAGACAGAATAATAGAAGTATCTGTGAGTTTGAGCTGCTGCCTATGAGAAGTTTACAGCAGCATTTATCAAATTATGACTGCAGGATTTTTTCTATTGATGGACTATTTTTTAAAAACTTTTTCTAATGTAAATAATCAAAGTTTTTTAATCCCTGCAGCACTTGAAATAGTCATAATACTGGCCTCAAAAGTCTCAGTATTGGTGTTTTTGTAGTGTCGTACCAAAGGCAGTGAAGGACTCCTGATTCAGGCTGCAGCTGTTGAGCGGCAAACGCCTCATCTTCATCAGAGGGAGGGCGGAGACTAATGAGTGGACCACGCCCCCTGCTTCCTTATTGGACGAGATATCAAGTTCAGTCAGAGCGATCAGAGAGGGAAGCACCTGGACTGGAGAAAGAGAAGTCACATGACTGTTAAAAACTTCTCTACAGTTCAGAGTTTTTCATAATCCGGAGTCACGCAGACTCACTCAGGGCCTCCAGGTCGGCCTGTGTAAGACTGCAGCTGTGGAAGTCCAGGTTCTCCAGGTGTGTGAGGTGAGCCAGGTAAGGTGTGAGGCGGTTCAGTCCTCCAGAAATACTTTTGTTACAGGATAGGTCCAACTCTCGCACTGAGGGGAGGCAGTGGAGCGAACCACCTGCAGGACAGAGGAGGAGAGAAAGAAGGAGGTCACAAACCGAAATCTGTTCCTCATCATGTATTTTTTATTTCAACCAGATCAGAGCAACAAAACTCTGGACTCCTACTGAGAGCGTCCAAGCCGTCCTCCGTCAGACCGCAGGCCTGCAGTCGGAGCGTTGTGAGGGAAGTGGCACGAGACAACGAAGAGGCTAACTCCATGAAGCCTCCGCCGCCGTCACCGCCCTGTGCGAGCTGAGGGTTACAGGAGACGTCCAACACACAGAGTGAGGGGAGAGAAGACACCAGACCTCCTGAGACGGACACAAACAGGACACTGATGTCAAACATGTGGACGCCGTTTATTCATTTTCTGTTTTTAATCTTCCTTATAACTATGTTTGAGTTAAACTGGTACCCAGGGCGGCGGCATCTGCTGCAGTGAGCTGGCAGGCAACCAGGTGAAGCTCCCTCAGAGAAGGTTGAAGATTTCCCTGCAGGTTTTGCAAAGCACCTCCAACACCGCTATTCCAGGACAAATCCAGGATCTCCAAGAGGGGCAAACCGCTGAGGACTTCACCTACACCAACACAGAAACAAGCGGACTTTAAAACATTCAAAGTTTACTCAACCATGGATGGATTTCTTAATTCATCTTTACGAATATGTTAATTTATTTTCTCACCCAGAGCAGTGACATCCTCGTCGTTCAGCCTGCAGCTGCAGAGCCGCAGCTTTCGGACCCCGCCCACGTTCTGCAGGTGAGAGGTCCACGCTCTCAGACATCCACCGAGCAGCTCGTTCCAGGAGACGTCCAACTCCTCCAGCCGAGGGAGGAACTGCAGCAAGGTGGCTGCAGAGAGGAAGAGGAGGAAGGAGATGATGAACAGCCTGCTTCTGCTTTTAGAGAAATGGATTTCTTTCTATTCTCTATTTTGCTGCAAAGAAAAACTCATCGCTGCAGAAGGATTTGGGTCTGAGCTGAGTCTTTTTCAACGTTTTTAAAGCAGATTGAAAGTTTTGGAGGAAAATGCATCAGATTGTAGATGCTTTGAATGATGAATTCATAGAAGTTTTTAAGAACCTGTACTAAACTAAAATGATCGGAGTTATATCAGCGACCCGGAGTTAGCGTAGTCACCTAGCTCCAGCAGGTCTGTGGCAGTGAGGTCACAGTGAGCCAGGCTGAGGCTCCGGCTGTCCGCCTTCTTCCCCAACCTCTGCAGGAAAACACACACTCGACCCCAGCCGACGTCCCTCCCACTCTCTGTCCCCTCTGACACACCTGAGACACCTGAGACACCTGAGACACAGATCATTACAGTTTAGAGTCATCCTTCAAACATCTCTTACAGTCATTTATTGCTTTAATTAAAATAGTGGAAACATATTGACAATCTGATGAAACTTAACATCATACTGAATTTTTTTTTTTCAGGTTTTATTTTTATGAAATATTTTTTCCATTGACCTTCAGGGCCACCGTACAAAAGGACAGATTCCTCTCCCCCTGACCTGAGCTCTGTCCTTTCTCCTCACGGCTCTCCGTCTCTGTGTCCTCTGAGATCCCGGTCCGGTCCGACGACCAGGACAGGAAGCGTCCCAGAGGCTTCCTGTCTGCGGCCGAGCGTTTCCTGCGGATCTGATTCATGAGCACGTCGAGGGGGGAGCGCCTCAGGCTGCCGCCCTCCCGCCCTTTGTGACCATCTGACCAATGATAGTGAGACAGATAAACCACAGCATCCTAAATACTCTCTACATCTCCTTTAATTAAGATCAACTCATTACAGGCGCAGAAACGAGCATAAGTATACTTCAAATCTTTGTTACTGTGCTGTAATGACTTTATAATAGTCATCATTTGACTGTTTTAATGTATTTCTCCACTAAATTTGAAGAATTATCCATTATATCACTTTATGTTTGTTTGGAATGGATACTCATCATTAATTATTTACTTTATCTACATTAGCTGGTTTTGCAAAGAATAACTCCTGATAAACACGGTGACAGATCGTAAGAAATCAGATCCTTACAAAACCTTTTTTGAACTTGGGGGGGACAGAGTCTTCTCTGCTGCCGCCCCCACCCTCTGGAAATCACTCCCCAGCTCAAACCCATCTGAGACTGTACAGACCCCCACACTTTCAAATCACTCCTAAAAACAAACCTTTTTAAATGAGCTTTTAACCTTTGACCGGTTCTTTTATTGTCTTTTAATTTTGTCTTTTTAACCTTCTACACTGTTGGTCTTATCACTCAAAATTTTCTGTATTTTAAATTGTGTTTCTTTTTGTAAAGCATCTTTGAGCACCTGTAAAAGCGCGTTATAAATAAAAGTTATTATTATAATTATTTTTAACTTGTATATTTGAGTGAAAATGGTTTGAATAGTTGAGAAAAAGCTGAAAACTTCAACTTTTCCCGTTTTTTAAGATGCTTAAACTTTAAAATGTAAATAATCAGTCATTAAAGATCTTTGAGAGTGTACTTACTGTTACTAGCCTCATATATTTGAGCTCTGTAAAGGTGGTGTGTGTCTTAACTTGTCAAATAACCAAAACTGCAGTGATGTTTAAGTGTAGCAATTGACACTTAGATGAGGTTGAGTTGAAACAGAGAAGAAAAAAAAAAACAACCTAACTAAAGTTTAAGTAACTAAAATGACTGCACGACTTTGGAAAACAGTGTTCGCTGCATACTGCACCTGAATTTAGTTCCTACAAAGGGTAAAAGTCTGCACTTTTCAGGGTTAAATCAATGTTTTTCTGCAGCCTCGCAGACAAATCTCTGCACCAAACTTTCATTTTTCTGCCTTTAGTAGCAGCAGGATTCAACTTACCTGCAGACTCCATGTAGAGGGTTAGAAAGTTGAGCTAAAACTACAAACGATGATAAAATGTGAAAAAAAAAAAAAATAAAAAATCGTGTTTGTTTGTTCGCGGTGGTGCGTTCAGGGTCCCTGTGTTTGTAGCTGTACAGACATGCAGATAAATCGAAAATCCAAACAGAGAGAAAATCATAAGTGCAGCTTTTCCACGGATTTTCTCCAGGTTCCTCCTCTGACTTTCTGCCCCGGTCTCAGTCTCACAGGTAAACCACGTCCTGTCTCGTGCTCGTCAGGCGGATCATCCCGGAAGTGCAACACCTTTGGTAAACTTTGGATTCTCTCCGCTGCTTTTCTGAGATGTAGAGGGAAACAATCCAGAGACAGAAGCAGCAGAAACATCCCGTTTTTGTCTTAATCTTCACGTTAAAATGCATAAATGTTAAATCTTAACGGAACATCTTGTTAAAATAATTATAAAAACACTCGTTATGAAGGATTACTTCACTGAATCAAAATTAGGATTCAAACTTTAATGACATTAATGATTCATGAGTTATTTTAATGTATGTTCATGTGCTGCTGAGTGTAGTTTACAGTAAATTACAGCCTCATCTTATTTAACCGTAATGTTTTTGTGTTCACCTCAGTCTGCAGAAGAATGAAGTTAAATACAGAAAGAGGAAACATAAAAACAATCGTTTTAACTCAGACATGTAAGAGTCAAAGTTCAAAGTGACCGCAGAGACTGTTGATGTTTTTAAGAAGAGGCTAAAGTCTCACATTTTTAACCAGGCTTTTCACTGACTGCCTTTTTATATTTCTCTTATTGCAACTGTTCATTTTATTAATTATCTCTGTTCTTCGTCTTTTTCTTAATTCTCCTCATAGGTTTTACTTCTTATACCCCTTTTACATAGTAAAGAGCTCTTACTTACCTGTTCATTTGATATTATTTTCTTGTTTTAGTCCATCAGGTTTTACTCTTTCCTTTAACCATTTTCTATTTTTTATCTTTTATCTCGAGTGTTTTCCAAAGGTAGCTCTTTTCTCACGTGACGTCTCGGTGTCAGGCCATGTCTCTTTAATAATTATTTTAAATTCTCACAATCTGTGTGCTTGTTTGTGTGTATGTGTGGGTCCATGGGTGGGTGTATGTGTGGGAGGTTCAGGTTTTATTGTTGTTAATTGTTGTTTTTAGCCTCTGTGAGGAACTTTAAACTGCATTTCTTGTCTGAAAAGTTCCATAAAAAATAAAGTTGAATTTGAAAGTTGAAATACTCAAGCACCTCGAGATTCAACCTGAATTTATGATAAAATTTTCAATATTTTCTTTGAACCTGTCATGTGTTTTGAGTAGTTTCTGCTTCGTTTAGTATGTCCTAGTGTTTCATTTGTACATTTATGTGTGATTTTGCTTGTTTTGTGGAGGATTTGCTGATGTTTGTTTCAACTTCATGATCTGAGTGAGAGTCTGTTTTAACTGTTTCCGTGTTTCAGCTGGGTCTTGATGGAGTCGTTTATAATTTCAGATGCACCGATCCCTGGCCTAATCATTCTGTCTAATATCTCTGTGGGTGTAGAAGTCTTGATGACGATCGCGTGATCCCAGAGAAAAGTGTTTACATTATCTAAAGAACTAAAGTTAGTCCCTTTTTAAGTGACATAACTATCTTTAGTTTGTTGCATTTCAATCCACATCATGAATAAAACCCGACAAACGAATCCTGAGTTTTGTTCCAAATGTATTTATTAGATCTTACAGAAATCTTGGACAGTACAGCGTCACGTCTGCACCGAATGAACCTCAGCTCTCGCATGTCTTTAAACCTTCTGGAGGATTTTTAAGATCGTCTAAAGAGCCTCCTCTCCTCCTCTGCTCTCCTTCATCTGCAGCACAAACATGAACTCTTGTGACCCTCGCTGCTGAGGACGAGGAGCAGAGGGAGGAAGCATCTTTAAATCAAATAAAAGTCCTGTCTGTACTTCTGCTCTTCTCATGAAAAAAAACAAACAAAAAAAGCAGAGAAGAAGAAGAAGAGTGTGGTGATGGTGGTGTTGATGTCCAGATGATGGGGGGGGGGGCATTGTTATGGTTAATTCCTGTTATTTTTCCTCTCTTCAGTCATCGTCCACTGTCGGTGTGATGGTTACGCCCCTCCTGATCTGTCCCCATCCAATCAGACTGAGAGGAAGAGAAGAAGAGGATTAGAAATCAGCTCAACGACCGGAGGGAGGAAACATCCACAATCCTCCGCAAATAAACACGCAGGAATGTTTCCTTACCGCCAGTGTTTCTCCACACGTCGACTCAGAGCGATCTTCTCTCCGACCTCTGTGCACACCGGGTTTGTGAGGACGATTTTGGCCAAATCAGCTTTGACGGCGCTGACACGGCCGCCTGTGGACAGCGAGCCGATGTTCACCATCAACACCTCGTTCTTAGAAAGCTTCTGGACCTGCAGAGACACAAATCCGTTTCAGGAGAGGGTCAGTGACGCCGGTCATCAAAGAGAAAGAGTGACACATTTTTCTTCAGTATCAGCTCATAGTTTTAAGTTATTTCCTTCACCTACCTCTCTGTTCTTTACATCATATTACCACCAGAGTCTGGACTACATTTCCCATGATTCACGACTCACCTTTGCAGCTTTCTTGTCTCCCTCTGTGCGGACTCCCAGCAGCCTCCTGAGCAGGAAATAAGAGATCTCCAGCTCGGTGAAGATCTCTGGGAGCGCTCCGACGGCGCCCAGCACCTGACCGACCATACGATCTGCTCTGCACAGTGTCGGGTCAATTTTAGTGCCCACACCTGCAAAAACAGAGATTTCACTCCTTTTAACTGTTGCTGAGATGTGCGGGGTTTCAGTCTTTATTGAAGCATGCATGTGCAGTCTCACCGATAAGGCCTCCTGGTGCAGCGTACTGCAGGTCGTTGTGCTCAGCGAACAAAGAGACGATTTTGGAGAAGATGGGTTTGCACATGAGCTTCCCCTCCTGGTCTTTGGACACGATTCCCGGCCGCACCTCGATCTCTTGACCCACCTGGAGGAGAAATTTAAAAGGAAAACCGATTATGGATTTAGTTTATTATCACCCCGGTGTAGAGTCAGGCAAATGTCCACATCCTCAATCTTTGCATCATCAACTAAATATCAATGTTTGTTCTGGGACATAATTCACACCCAGGATCATCGAATGTGGATAAAATGTTACTAAATTCTGTATTTACTCTCACTGCTGCAAGAAACCATCATGGAAAAATATACAAAGACGTCTTTGAGGGAAGTTGGTTAAGAAGTTGTTTATAGTTGTTTATCAGAGCACATCAGTGGATCAAAGTTTGCGTTACCTTGAGGACACCTTTCAGGATACTTCCTCCGGCGACACCTCCCTTTAAATCATCCACCTCACAGCCCGGTTTGTTCACGTCAAAAGATCGGATGACTGAAACAGAGAAGGTAAACTTTGTTGAAGTTTAACAGCTGAGAAACAAAAGCAAACAACAATCTGAGAGTAAAGTTCATAAAAAAGGAAATCAGACGGAAAATTTCCCTCCAGGTTAGTCAGCTGGAGAAACACGTCGGATTGTTTTCTCACCGATGAGTCTGGGCTCAGACGTGAAGTCTCTCAGAGGCACGGGGATCTTTTTGACGATGTACTCACACACCACCTCGATGTTGTATTTGAGCTGTGCTGAGATGGGAATGATGGGAGCGCCTTCCGCCACTGTGCCTGCAGGACGGACATTTAAACACGCCATCAGCTCAGAGTCAGCAGGGGTGGAGAGTGAGCCACACATGAACTCAAGAGTTCAAAGTTCAGATTATTTTCCAAACAGATTTTATTATTATATGGTCATGCGTATCATAATAACTATAAAAGTGGACTCGTCAAAGTCATCCGCCTTGTCCAAGTTACATGTTTTAAAAGCTTTTAACCTGTAACACCTCCTAAAAACATGCACTGCAGCCTTTCCAGCATCACTCTCCCCTCTCCCCATCCTTCTTCGGTTTCTTTTCATTTCGAGATCACAGTTAAAGACGACCATGCCCTGTGTTAAACATCACAGCTCAGCTCACCCTGAACGAAGGCGAGGATCTGCTCGTACTGCTCTTTGGCCTGGCTCTCCTTCACCAGGTCGATCTTGTTCTGCAGGATGAGGATGTGCTTCAGCTTCATGATCTCTATAGCTGCCAGATGCTCCGACGTCTGAGGCTGAGGACATGACTCGTTACCAGCTGGTGGACGGAGGCAAAAACAAAACTCAGGGCGACTTCCTCAGACAAAAATATAAATATGAAATCAGGGAATCCAATCGGGATCTCACCAATGAGCAGGAGAGCGGCGTCCATGACGGCTGCTCCGTTCAACATGGTTGCCATCAAAATGTCGTGACCAGGACAGTCCACGAATGACACGTGTCTGAAACATTTTTAAAAACACACAAATGAAAAGAATATCAGAGATTTCAGGAGCTTAGATAATTACACATCCATTCATTTACACGAGCAAGCATGATGTGGACCTGTGCACATCCTAAAAACCAAATACAACTCCATCACAAGGTGCAGTAGAAAGTTTTGAAACTTCCACATCTGTACAAAGTGTCACTGCACTACAGAGCAACAAACATGGGGGTCAAAACGACTGAAAACAAACAGAAGTTGTGCTCTCATGAGAAAGGTAAGCTCTCCTGTCCTTAAACAGTGGGAATATCTCTGACCTGAAAACAGCCTGATTGTGAACTCTCTCTCTCTCTCTGTCTTTCTGGTCTTACCTGACCAGTTTGAAGTTGCCCTTGGTGCCTGAGATGTCTGTGGGGAACTCATCAGGAGTGCTGCTGCCACACGACCTGTAGCACTCCGGCCGGGGACAGTTTGGGTCATCCAACTTATAAACCTGCAAAAACAAAGGCTTAATAGGTATGTTCTGGTGTGGTCCAAATATGGAGTCGAAATATCTTCACAGTCATTCAAGTTTTTTGGCTGCAATGTCTGCAACGCAATTCTTTAATGAAAATGAGCTAAAGAGGAAGATTAACCAACAACAAATGACAGCATGAGAGGAAAGGTCAGTGCAGGGTCAGACCTTTTTGTCCAGTTAAGACTATTTTCTGCAGCTACATCGCCCTCCACAAGCTGACATCACCTACTCAGAATTTAGATGCAGCACATGCAGACTGTTTTGCATTGACAGCTGAGCATTTCTTAACCTCTCTGGAGCTTATTTGGGTCTAAAATATTCAAAAACGGGTCCAAAAAGTCTGAAAAACTGACTCGTTTGCATGATGTACCAACTGTCTTGAATCCTGTACATGCATGAAAAACTTATGGATCATAAAACATTTGTAGAAGACAAAAGCCCCAATCATTTCAGATCTCTCATTAAAAAAAAACAGCAGAGGTCAGGTAGAGAGCAGGTTGACTCTGAGATATCAATCCCCGGTGCACCTTACCTTAGCATTGGCATATCCGAGCTTGATGGTGATGTTCCTCTCCAGCTCGTTCTTAAACCTGACAGTGTGAACACCGGAAATAGCTTTCACTACTGTGGACTTTCCGTGGGCTACATGACCGATGGTGCCTACAAGAGAAGGAGACCAAAGTTAGAAAAGGTGGTCATCATGTTTTTTCAGCGGCTTTCTAAGAAGATCAGATTTTTGCCTGACTCTGCCATACCGATATTTATGGTGGCCTGTCTGCTGATGATCTCTGGGGAGAGAGGCGTCAAGGTCGACACATCCTGCAAAAAACAAGAAACAACTTAAGATCCATCATGGCACTAAAAACAAGATTCAATATGGCAGATTTCCAGCGTGAGATCCAAACAAACGCCAGAGATGAACAGAGACAAAGAGAGCTGGGAGAGAGACACTGACCGGTGCTGACTCTGCAAACTGAGTAACTGACACTCACCGACTTTATCTACACCTCCAATGGAAAGTACAAACTGTCTGTGAGCTTCTATGAGGTTTTCCTACATTTCTTCCGCTGGAACACTCACACCAAGCTCATATGTTGCTTTGGATAAAAGTGTCTGCTGAATGACATATAATTACCAAGCTGCACCGCAATGGACCCTGACTGTTCACAAAGGTGCTTTAGATTTGATTTTAGCCTCAGACAACCACTTTTGTCTATCATGTTTAAGGAGGGAATACTATGCTCATTTTCAGGCTCTGCAGCTGTCCAACATTTCAACTCAATATCTGTCTAACAAATATGATTAGCTTACTGCTACGGATATTAGATGGTGTATATTACTATTATTATTATTATTATTATTATTATTATTATTATTATTATTATTATTATTGCTACTTTGTATTGTACTTAATTATTGTGATCTGCTCATGCGAAAATACTGGTATGATTGACATGTGCTTTTTTTTTTCCCCTTCTAAATCGTCTTTAATGCTTTTTACCTCCAGAACTGTTTTTATGTAAATGTGTTTTATTTTCTTTCATGATGTATGGCAGTGTTGTCAATGCCTGTGCCTGCTGCGACCCGATTTGCCCATTTTGAGACATAATAAAGTTGAAGTGAAGTTAAGTAAAAACCACATATTCTCATCTTTTTCCCACATTCTTTTAACAGGAACCAGAATACACAATCACATCACTCCTGCTTTTAACTTCTGTGAATCTAGAATCATAAAATCATTGAAAAACTGACTTTGTGATTCCACTCATTACTTTTAAGGCTCTGAAATGTGTTTTCTCATAACCTCCAAAACCAACCTGTTTCATTTTCTAACATTGCGATTAGACACTTAATTAACTTACTCTATTAGTCCATAATTTAATACTGCCAAACTCAGGCTTTACACATACAAATAAACCAGTTTTTCCCGTAATTTAATAACTTTAAACAGTAAAATTTAACAGAGAGGTGTTGTTAGGATCTTGTATTAATTATATTATACAACATTTCGCAGCTATACTTATATGATTCGACCAACATCATTACTTCCCTTTAACCTGTATCAACACATCATTATACACTAAGACAGAGGTAAATCCTGGTGTTAAACAGATAACAGCTTAAACAGTAGCGTTATTCATACTCTCTGATATTTGTGTGAATGTTCCTTTAATTCAATGACTGCCAGTCACTGAGTCGTTGCAGCAGATAATCCTGACTCAGTACAAACATGTGGACTACTTAAACTGTACAGAATTAATAAAAATCCGATATTGTCCTCATTACAAGTTGACAAATGAATGAATCTGCGGTCTTTGTCACAGGTGAGGCCGGTGGCGGAGCTCTGAGCTCCACCGGGGGGCCCATCCTCATGTGCCGGGTGGTGGAGGTGGCGCAACACCGGCGACCGTTGACGCTTAGATATATCAGATTCGTGTCACATTTTTTGAGGAAAACCCACACAAATAAAGCCTGAGACTTTAGAGAGAGCTGTGAATGTATATAAAATCGTCTCCTACCAGAGAAGAGAGGTCTTGTTTGGCCAAATGAGGCTGACCAAGCGTTGTTCCAGACTCGTCGCCCGCCATCTTGACTGGAAAGGGAATCAGGAAGGTGTCTGAGACGAATGCCTGATCAATACAACCGATGGGATCATTTCCTTACATTATTATCGACCATTACGAAAAACGCTGACAGAGTTTGCATTACAAGAATAAATAATAAATAAATTACGAAAGCAAGTCTAGATGTATTTGTCCCTGAACAGCGGTGAAGTAAGCGTTTGTGCATCCGTATGGTTCGTATAGGCGGAGGGGACCTTTCACCGCGGCTGATGCAATTTATTTCTGTAAGATTAACATTTTTTTGTCATGTACACAAACTGTTGGGGCTCAGATGTGCTTACAAACGGTCAGTTTTCCTAAAAGGTTCGGGTTTGGTCAAGAGTTTTTCCTCTTTCAATAAAAAAATCCAATCCCTGATCCATGTGTCAGGTCCGTCGTTGTTAATAGACGTCATCAGGTTTGTAGTTCTTTCGAATTGTATGCCTTGACCGAACCCTGGAGTTGTAGGCTACCCTGACCCAAGTTTGCTGAGGTAAAAGATTACGGTGGCTGAGAACCGCCACTGCTGCAAATTAAAAAAAAAGAATGCAAACAAATGAAACCACAACGGAAAACACTGATGCAGAAAAAAAAGAAACCAAAGCCCTCTGCAAATAAAAAAAGAAACAGTGCAGCAGAAAAAAAACAACAACAACAACAAAAAAAAAAACCACAATGGAAGTTAATGACACACACAAAAAAGTGGTGATGCAAAAAAGAAAGAAAGAGAGAAAGAAACCATAACAGAAGTTGCTGTAGCAAAAAAAAAAAAAGAAACTATAGCCCACTGCAAATAAAAAAGAAACAGCGCAGAAAGAAAGAAAGAAAGAAAGACAGAAACCGAAGCCAGCAGCAAAAAAAAAAAAAATAGTGCAGATAAAAAAAAACACAATGGAAGTTAACGACGCAAAAGAAAAAAAAAGTGACAATGAAAAAAAAAGTTAGTTACTACGAAAATAAAAGGATGCGAATAAAAAAAGCCACAACAGAAGTGAGCGGCCAGGGACCTATAACATTGATGCACCTGTGTTTTACGATCTAGGCACAGAAGAAGACGGCGAAAAGATGAGCAAAGAAGTTAGTGGAAAGGTTATTGTTTAATTTTGCTTTGTGTGCTTTTCAATGTGTAATTTGGTGAGGCCATGTAAGGATACTGTGTAGTATTAGCTTCAGGTGTGAATGTGGGGTCCATGGGGGTTCCCAGCTGGGTCACCCAAATCAAAGAAAAACGTGGACGCGCCCTTGAATGAGGGGTCGGTTTGCCCAACAATAACAATCCAGCTGGGGTCGGTCGGAGTGATTCATCTTGCAGACTAAAACAATCTTTGCTGCACCTCTGAACGCCCTTCAGTTCCGCCCAAAAGGGAAATGACGCCGGTGCAGAAAATGGCGTCCGTAAAGCCTGAGAACCGCGGTGGTGTGTTAGCCGTTTAATTTGGGGGTCTCTGCGTCCGGCAGGTGGACGTTAACATGGCAGAGCACCGCTGCCGTCCGCTCTCTTGATTCCGGAACAGAACCCGCAACTTCATGTCCGAAGGAGCCAGAGCTGCCTGGTCGAAGAGGGGTTGTGGGGATCAGCACCGCCGAGGTGAGACGGCTGGATTTCAGCGGCTAAGCTAGACCTGATCCCGGTGGAGAGCAGAGCCGGATTCCCGGAGCTCAGAATCGTGACAGTTTATTTTAGCAGCTAAGAAACACACAGCAGAGTAAAACAACAGCTTTTATCACATTTATTCAGTATCTATTATATCATTAAATCGCTGCCTGACCTGATGGTGTCCGTCCCCGGGCTGCAGACCGTTAGAGGAGCCTTTGTTTTGGGCTTTGATCCCAGGGTTAGAGACCTCTGTTCTGGTCTCTGCTCCGATTTTATAAAAGTACAGGGACAGGAACAACCTCTCTGTCAAAGAAAAGAAATTATGGTTCAAAAGTTCAATTAAGAAAGGGTTTCACTCTTTTGTATTTGGCGGTCAGTTATTTCTTCAGAACTTCATCTGACTGTTGCCGATATCCGATATACCGATATTTTCGAACTCACTTTGACACTACGATATAAACACTTCTTTTTTAATGTTCTAAACTTGATGTTTTCCTTTGTTATTTTCCTGTCACTCTTGCTGTCACAGTTTTTTTGTAACAGGAACAGAAACAACAACACAAACATCCGATCTTACTGACGATATGTTAAAGTTCATTGGTTTGTAGGCTAAATACACGCTCTGTATCAGTGGCATGGATGTTATAATTCATTATCAGCAATGTCAACTTAAACCTCAACTTTATTTTCTCTGAGGTGGAGTTTGATTTGCGTCGGATGTCTGGAGTATAAAAATGTGACCCATCAAAGTATACAAACTAGAATCTAAAATAATTTAAGGACAATCAAAGCAAGATAAAAAGGTAAAAGAGATGTTTCCCTTTAAATCTTTAAATACTTTTATCAGAGCTGAGAGGATATGCTTTTCCCCCGATTCCATTCTTCTACGATTTTTTGGATGCTGATTCGATTTGAATTGCGATTCTACGATATGTCGATTTTCTCGGATTTTGGTCACCAATGAAACAGTTGAATGATTATGATTGTCTACTGACTATTTCAGGAACCATTAAACATCACATGTAGGTCAGTTTTTAAGATTTATTCTTACATTTGAAAGAAAAAATCGATTTAAAAATTGTAAAACAAAAAATTGCGATACTTGTGTGAATCGATTTTTTTCTCCCACCCCTAACTTTTATCAGGGAGCAGTTTAAACTAAGTTTACTTTGAAGGGAAGAGTAAAGGGTACATAAGTGAGAACATAACTCCCATAATGAGTCACTTAAGCGTGAAGTGATTTGATTTGTCTGAACAATACGTTAGCCGGGCTGCAGCCTGTGAAGTGACTGTGAACCTCTGCGGGGGCTGAGCCTGTCGTCAGGTGTGCTGTGCTGCAGAGACGGTCTCAGAACGGACGCTGCTGCAACCTGCTGTTGTTTTTCCTTTCAGCACAGAGGCGAGCCGGGGTCAGGCCAGTCAGAGGGCGAGAGTTCCTGAAACAAAAGTGCACAGAGATTTACACAGAATTACAAAGCTTAAATAATGGTCTTTACCCCAGAAAGTATTAGTTTTTCTGAGATACTCCTCACCTCTTGCCATTTTAGTTTTTTAGTTCGGGAATAAATCTCAAATAATCTGGGGTCATTAGTTTCAGCTGAATCAGGGAAACACAAGTGTGGTCGTGTTTTTGAAAAGTTGTCTTGAGCTTTTATATCTGCTGAAATGCATTTTTCTCACTTTTTTGCCTTAAATTCTCAGACTGAATGATTAATCTGTGACTTGAGTAAATAATTAGCAGGTAAATCAGACGTCTGTGTTTAGAAACCCTATTCTTTGAGGATGGTGGTATGTGTAGTTATTGCCTCCTTCACTGTTGTGTTGCTTCTGATGCTAAATAAATCAGGGTTACTACAGCATTTATGACATGTAAACACCTGAATATTTCATGTAACGTGATGGTTTCCTTGTGTTTTTCTCCTCCTCCTTCAGTGTTTTAACTGCTCACTTCCTTGTCTCCTCTGCTAGAACCAGGGAAACACAAACACAGGAAATGCGAGCGGCCCCTTAGCGCTCAGCTGTCAAAGCCTGTGATTGTTCGCCCGGGCTCCACAAGGTAATATTTTTCACTCAGTAGCGCTGCATGGTTCCTTATAACCTGAGGAAACTGTCACTGTTAACTCAGCATCCATTTTACACATAATCCATCTGGTTTCCTGATCCCTGTCCGTTTCATACATTTAGAATCTGTGTTTTGGGGCCGCAGGGGTTTTAGGCTAGAGACCCTCTGAGGTCGCTCATTTTGAGGATGTTTGAATGAAGATTTTAGACTCACTGACTCGTCACTAAGACTTACAGAGTCTGCAGGTAAACAATGTCGCAGAAGTTTGCAAAGTTAGACCACCAGCCTTCACTCCACATGCCTGTTCTGGTTAGATTGCGCTGGTCAACCGCTTTTATCTAGACACAGCCTCCAGTTTACAGATCCAAATATTGACTAAAGACGCCATCCGTTTTGTGTGCTTGTTTACATCCGTGTAGTTTAGCTCATTGGCTGCAACTATTTATGCAGCAGCCTCGTCCAGAGGGTGGGTGGCTGCACAATACACCTGTATGACTCACATTTCAGGCCTATAATAATAATAATAATAATAATAATCATATTAATAATAAAAACTAGGAGTGATGACATATTAGAGGTGGGGTAGTCAGGATCTGATGAAGTTCCAGTTTTTAGGAGAAATCTTGAATGTAAACTCGACCCCTCCCAACCAGTTTTCCCCTCAGCTCCTCCCCTCCCTCTCTGCTCCAGAAAGCCCCGCCCACAAACAGACGCTCCTGCTCGCTCGTATCGTTCCAACAAATTAAGATATAATGCAGATAAATCCTTCAGATCATTACAAATGGGGCCCAGTCAAGGTGAAAGTCAAAAGCATTGGTGCTACTGTAGATGCCAACAGACTACCAGCAAACACAATGTTTGCAGGACTTCTACAACGAGGATAAAGTGACATAGTCCAGGACCCGAGGGAGGACAGTTTAGCGATGGCGCTACAACACGCTACAGCAGGTCCGTTTGACAAGAAACACTTCTGTTACAGACACTTGTCTTACTTTGTTAAAGCGGTTTACCTGTCCAGCAGAAAGGTTACAGGGTCACCAAGATCCCCAAGCGTCCCCCATCGTTTATGTTGACCCGGCTTTTTAGCTCTTGTCCGGTCTACCTCCGTTTTAAGCGCCCGTTATTCCTCCAGAGTCTCCGGTATTTACTTTGTTTTCTTGCTTGTGTCGGCAGTTGTGGCCAAAAGAGGATTCAGACAAATTTTCCGAACTTTCTGGTTGGTTTCTACTGTCCGATATTGTAGCACGCTAACTTTGTTTGGATTCCTGAACGACACGGGGAGAAGTGTCTGCCTCACAACCAATCAGGTTGGGGGAGGCGGAGAACGGCTTTGTTTACAGTCAGAAAGAGCGGACCACTCAAATTTTTTTTAATGTTGACTACACAGACATAACAATACACAGCGATATCGTTATATTATCAAATGTCATCAATAACTTACAGCTATTGACTGAAATTAAAAGCTTTTCTGTACACAACCACAAAAAAGATGCTTCTTTAATGGATTCCCGCCTACCCAACCTTTTAAAGGACTTATCAAATCTAAACCAGCTACTTGATTATTAAAGTCAAGGTATCGCCCAGTGTATTTGTCTTTCTCATAAATGAGTAAAACATCTGCTGAAACATGTGACTGGTGTAGATAATAATCATGTAAATAAGTTTTTAACGTTTTTAAAACTCTTTGTAGCTTTTCTCAAAGTTTGACCGCTGATGTTTCTGTATTTCATCATGTTCATCATATCAGGCTCTCCAAATCTCACTGATTAACTTCCCTGCAGTCTCATTACTCTGGTAAAAAGGTGCAATCGAGTGAAATAATCTTTTAATCCAAACGCCATTAAAACCTTCATTTCATATCATCCATGCTAATAAACAGACTGTCATAAGTTCCTCCTGAATCATTGACAGCAGAGAGACGTCACGCTCACATTCAGGCCAAAAGTATGTGGACACCCTGGTCTTCTCTCTGTGGGCGTACAGCTGAGGCGTCCACATACTTTTGTCAGTGTTTGACGATGATGAACCTGCTCAGATGTTGTTTGTTTGGCTGTTTTCTGATGATGATGATGATGATGATGATGATGATGATGATGATGATGACAGTTTGCTCCTGCAGACCTTCATGCTTTAATGTGGCCGTTGTGTTGGCTTTGTCGTCCAGGTGATTGACGCTCAGAAAAGGGACATTGTTAGCATCTACAGGACACAAGGGGCACTGTCCTCTGATTGGCTCGGACAACCCCCTCTGACATGCCCGTGGCCAATCAGAGGTGAGTGTGCTGTGCGTGTGTTTCATTTGCATTGTTTGTGAGAGTCTGTGAGTGTAAAGGTGTGTGTGTGTGTTTGTTTCAGTCGTCTTGTACTGAGTGTGGGTGTAATTACAAACGTGTGTGTTTTTGTGTGGTTGCTCTCTGTTTCTCTGTTTTGTTTGTGTGCACATGACGGCGTGTTTCCACCCTGAAGAAAGTGGATGAACATGCCGGATGCTTTTTTATTCTTTCTTTCTGTCTCTTTATTTCGCGTGCCACCCTCACTGTGTTGTTGCAGTGGAGCAGAATATTTCCCCTGTGGGGTCCGAGCAGAAACACACACATTTGTCTGTGAAAGAGTTACTGCCTGTTCGGATGCAGCAGCTGAAATGCTGAGCTTTTAATGCTGAGCGTCCTCGTGAATGCCCTTCCAGGCCCAGTCTTACCTTTTTGCAGCAGTGCTCACGAACACAACCCTGACTGTGGAGAGACTTGCAGTTGTGTGCTTGCTGGAGTCATTTTTAAAATATCTGTTGGCTTCGTTTCATCCTTGTTTTATGTTTGCATTACACAGCTGTAGCCGACTCCATCGATGCCACTTTTAATGCTCTGTGATTTTCACACCGCTCTCTCTCCACCCCCACCTGCTCCTGTGCTCTGCTGTCCTTCATGCCTCCAGGTGTGTTATGTCGGGGGCAGATGTGGAGGTGTACCTGTCCCAGGTGCACGATGGGAGTGTGTCATCGGGTTTCCGGGCGCTTTACGAGGAGCGTCTGCTGCTGGATGTCACACTGTTGATAGAGGAGCACCACTTCCAGGTACACGGATTAAACAGATGTTACTTTAAATTCGTGTATTCTTCATCCTGGAGTGTAATCCTGCTTTTCACGGCTGTCAACGGATGCAGCTTTTAAAAATTCCCTGGATGTTCAGCCACTTGAAGTCAAGGATGCTTTGCAGACTGGAGTAATACAAGAAAACCATCCTGATTCCTAATAAAAGAGGTCTCCTTCTTCACGTCCTCCAAACAGAAAAATACCAGAGTGTTTTTGTAAATCTAAACCCACTCGTTATAGTTTCTTTCCAAGATGAACTTCAACTGTCTTCCTCTAAAGAATGAACAGACCCAGTTCTCAATAACGGTCCAAAAACACCCTGATTTCATTCAGTCTTGTTTCTGCAGACAAATTAGGGGCTGTGCACTGAGCTGCTCCTGGCTTCTTTTATAGAAACTCAATTCGTTTTCAGAAATTCCTCAGTGTAAGAGAGTTATAAGGCAAAACACCCGCAGTAATCCACCTTCAGTTTACAAAAACAAACAGAAAATCGAGCAGAGACACAGAGAGAAGACTTGAAGGGATATAAAATTAATTTAGGGTCAAACCCACCGTAACACCGAGTTAGACACCCCGTCAAGAGATGAATGTTGACGACCTCTTACTTCTCTAGTTATACCAACTTTAGTAACGACCACAGGATAGTAATACAGAGAGACACGCCCCCAACCAAAACGCCACTCTATAGCCACAAATAATGTTCAGAACAGCACCTAACTTCATCAACAGGACATATAGGGTCACAGCCACCAAACATCTTTTTAACTTTGTTTAAGAGACCAAACACAACTCACCTACTCTCTCCCTAACTTAATTTTAGGCCCGAATATCCCTTTAAACAGGCGATCAGCGGTCTGCTAAAAATCTGTGTCTCTCTGATGATCTTTGGTTGGACTTTGGGGGCTGTGAGCCGAGCTGCAACAAGCTTTATCTCACTAGTTGAGTACAACGTCTAATCAGATTAGAACCCGTTTGGACATGGCTTGAAATGCTCAGATATCGAAATATCAGAAAAAAACCCTCAAACATCCGTCAGTTTGACTTCCTGTCGTTGAAGAAACATCATGTCTGTCTGATGTGTCCTCCTCCTTCAGGCCCACAAGGCGCTTCTGGCCACCCAGAGCGACTACTTCCGGGTCATGTTCACGGCTGACATGAGGGAGAGGGACCAGGACAAGATCCACATGAAGGGGCTGACAGCTGCTGGTTTCGGCCACATCCTCCGGTTCATGTACTACGGCTCTCTGGAGCTCAGCATGCCCACAGTGCAAGAGATCCTCCAGGTAAACACCCAAACCCTCGGACTTCCTTTTGTTCGAACAGAGCTGTGCTTCTATTTTAAACCGCGCTGATGAAGAACTGACAAAGCAGAGACTTTTTTACAGTTTCACTACCGCGCACACTCCCACACTTGATTCCTCCATGCTTTCTGTCCCTGCAGGCGGCCATGTATGTCCAGCTGACGGAGGCGGTGGAGTTCTGCTGCTCCTTTCTGCTGGCGAAGATCTGCTTGGAGAACTGTGCCGAGGTCATGCGCCTCCTGGAGGACTTCAGCGTGGGCGTGGAAGGCGTCCAGGAGCAGCTCGACAACTTCCTACTCGACAACTTTGTCCCCCTGATGAGCCGACCCGACTTTTTGTCCTACCTCAGCCTGGAGCGACTGCAGGTATGATCCTCCTTCACAGAAATCCGCTCAGAAAAGTTCTCGTCTTTGGAAGGAAGGGGCGGTTGTTGTTGTTGTTGTTGTGAGTGTCTGAAAACATCACAGAAAGGATCCCCTCAAAGTGAGAGCGTCTCACACTTTTTAAAAAAGCAAAAACAGTCGTTACGTAACTCTCCAGACTCCACTGACAAAAACAGGAATTCTGCCTCGGAGAACACGGGATTGGCTCGTCTTTCGTTTGAGCGGTCGTTCCTGTTTCTGTGTGGGCTTTTGGGAGCTCAGAAACTTGTACAAATCAGGTCAAGAACAGGACAAACAGACATTTTTGGGTCCTGTTCTTTTTCTGTTATATTTGATCCCCTTGGGAAAAATCATCCGCAGATTTTCTGATGTTTCCTTCCACATTTTTGCTGATGATATTCAGTTGTACTGTTCTTTCAAGCCTACTGAGCTCCAGAGGCTAAACTCCTCAGTCCACTGCTTGGCAGAGATTAAAAAATGGCTAAGTGATAACACCTCGCAGCTAAATGTGGACAAAACAGAAACACTGATTATTGCCCCTGATGACTCCATTCCAGGGATTAGTCAGTACTTAGGCGACTTGGGCCGGTCTGTTAAACCGAGCCTAGGAAACCTGGGTGCTGTTTTCGACGAAGACATGTCATTAATGCAACACTGTAATCAGCTGACCAAAAATGGCTTTTTTCAACTTAGGAACATCTCCAAACTTAGAAAGATGGTGTCACATAATGATTTGGAACTGATCATTCATGCATTTGTGTCTTCACGTTTAGACTATTGCAACAGTTTGTTTTCCTGTATGAACAAACAGGAGCTGTCTCGCCTGCAGTTAGTACAAAAGTCTGCAGCAAGAATTCTGACCCACTCCAATAGGAGGTCGCACATATCCCCGATTCTTACAACCCTTCATTGGCTGCCTGTTTCTTTAAGGATAAATTTTAAAATTCTGGTTCTAACTTTCAGAGCCTTGCATGGTCAGGCTCTAGCTTACATCAATGACCTGATCCAGCCTTACACCCCAGCCCGGGTTCTGAGGTCTGTGGGTCAGAATCTTCTGATGGTGCCTCACACTCATTTCAGGACCAGAGGAGACCGATCCTTCCAGGCTGTTGCTCCCAAGCTCTGGAACGATCTTCCGCCTGCTCTGCGTTCGATGGAGTCTGTTGACTAAAGACTTTTCTTTTTGTTCAGGCTTTTCCCTAACTGTCTTGGTGCTGCTATGGTTGCTATAATGTTGTTTTGGCCTTTTAAATTTTAGCTTTGTATGTACTTATTAACTGTGTATTGTTTTTGCTTTTTGCTTTTACTGTAAAGCGCTTTGTGACCTTGGTCTGTGAAAGGCGCTGTATAAATAAAGTTTACTTACTTAAGTTTACATACTTTACATCTTACAGGGGGGACAAAAGACCCCCTAAAACTCAGGAGCTGCTTGTCCTCCACTGCCTGAATTATGAGTTTGGTGGCCTTAAAGAGAGCGTAGTAGATGATGTCTACTTAGAAAGAAATCTGTCTCTGAAGGAAAACTCTCTGCAGAGTTGGTTTTGAGTCATTTAAACGTCATCATCCGCTGGACTCAGCACCAGAATTACCCGTCAGTTAATCATATATTAATATTTCTACTTCTACAGGCCTGAAATGGAAATCAGATTGTGTCTAAGCTTCGACTTTCCACTTGTAGCTCAGTGTCGAGTTAAATTTCCCCTTTTTCCGGCATCATTGCCTGCCCCAACTCGCTCAAGGCCTGGAGATCAACAGAGGACACTGTGGACAACTCAGGCCCAGACTAAATGTGTCTGTCCACACGTGTTAGTTCTCAAAAATATCTGCGTCCACACGTAGCCTTCAAACTCAATCCTATCTGGTGCCGCTTAAAAAAAATTCAGGAACAAAGCTACCTGATTGGCCGATGAATCGTAACAGCGTGATGCGTCATGCATTGTTTGTTTGTCATGCATGTGACCAATAAAAGTATTGGGCGCAGCAGACGCCTCTGTGGGCTGCTGACTGGTGTTTGTAATTGTATAAAACAAGGTTCACTGTCAAGGCTGAAATTAGTCCCAAAAGGGCAAAACAAGCGTAACGAATACCCTGTCTGTCTGCCATCGTTGTTGTTTTTCTTTTTAATTCACATGTGCGAGCTGCGGTTTGACGTCACCGAGCCGTAAAAGTTCAACCACATGAATCCACTTATACAGATATTTTTTTGTTTCTCCACTTGTTTTTTCTAAATCAGATTTATCCGGTTTGAGTGTTTTGGTGTGGTAGGGAGGCCTGATCGGACATAAATATGTGCGGTTTGAAATATATCTGCATTCGTGTCGTCGGGGCCTCAGCTTGCTTTGATTTCCACTGGCGTCTCTGAGGTCTCCTGCAGTGATGCCACCAAACAGTCTCTCTCTAAAAAAGAGTGACACACCTGTCCCTGAGCCTCTTTACCCGCTGAGACTCTCCAGTGGGAGGGACAAACCTCTGAAACATAAATCTAAACAGTCACATAAATCCTCTCTATAAGAACAATCTCTAAAGACTGTCCTGACACTCAGGTTAATGTCTACTGCAGTAGTGCTGTAAAGCTCTACTACCTGGACGTAAACCAGTGCAGATGAAATTTGTCATCTCGTCGTGCCGCCTAGTTGTCAGTGATTTTGGTAAACAGAGATAAAGTCGTTTAAAAGCTCATAAAAAAGAGAGTTTTCTAACCTCCTGGTTTATTTATCGTCCTGACACTGGGATTCGTTTCGGTCCAACAGCGAGCGTTTTCTTAAACTTCTTCTTCTCTCTTTTGTTTCTGACTCAGGCGTACCTGAACAGCGACGCTCTGAGTCGCTTCCCGGAAATCGAGTTGTATGAAGCGGTCCAGGCGTGGTTAAGACATGACCGGCGGCGATGGAGGCACACGGACACCATCGTGCAGTCCATCCGCTTCTGCCTCATGACTCCAGCCAACATCTTCGAGAAGGTCGGCGCTGCTCTGCGACAGATTTCAGCCGGCCGATGGTCCAGATGTTCTCCAGGTTTCACCGATCACACATTTGTTTTCCCTCCACAGGTGAAGACGTCAGAGTTTTACCGGTACTCCAGGCAGCTGAGGCAGGAGGTCGATCAGGCGCTCAGCTATTTCCATGATGTCAACCAGCAGCCTCTGGTGGAGACGCGCTCCAACCGTATCCGCTCCATTCGGCCACAGACCGCCGTCTTCAGGGGAATGATCGGACACAGTATGGTCAACAGCAAGATCCTGCTGCTGCAGCGCCCAAAGGTGTTTGTAGATGAAAACCAAAGTAGATCAAATCAGCTGCTGACCGTAGATGAAGTGGGGTCTCTAATCTATGGTCATAATCTGAGGTCAGCGTCTGTCTCTGTGTCTTCACCCCTCAGGTGTGGTGGGAGCTGGAGGGACCTCAGGTGCCGTTGAGACCGGACTGTCTGGCCATCGTCAATAACTTTGCCTTCCTGCTGGGCGGAGAGGAGCTCGGACCAGACGGGGAGTTTCACGCCTCTTCCAAAGTCTACCGCTACGACCCCCGACAGAACTCCTGGCTGCGCATGGCTGACATGTCTGTGCCCAGGTGAGACATGGCAACAGCCCGGCGTCTGTCCGTTTACATCCACACTGAAGAAGTCGAGCTGTGGTTATGTCCACTGTGTCTGTCCCAGTAGTAAAATTAGGATCATTGACAGGCGCGTCTGCTTCAGCTGCAGCAGGTGGAAACATTTTCCTTTCAGCTCATCATGACCAACAAACACACATGAACGAGACACTGAGCGTGAATGATGAAGACGCTCACTTTTACAGCTCTATTCCTTTTTTTTAACGTCTCTTCTCTGGTCAGTTTTGGTTTTCCATCCTGCTTCTCTCATCACATTTTAGTTATTCCAGTCTTGGTGTGAGATCATAGATCATCCCCAAACATTCAGGCCAGTTTCAGTCCAACAGAAGTCCTACGTTTGGACCTCCAGCCACATTATCGAGGTATTGTTGTTGACATTTGTATGGGGTCGGAGACAGTGCCGCTGAAAAGACCCATATCGCCCCCTAGTTTTGGGAAGCAGGACATGGTCACATCAAAAATGTTCTTTTCTTAGCTGCATGTCGATGTGGAAAAAGAGAGAAGTCCGATTCGCTGAGAAAAAACGAATGACGAGCTTAGTCCAATTAAGCTGCGCGTGTAAATGTAGTGACTGATGCCGTGAACGGATTTTTTTCTAAATTCGACCTTGTTTGGGGTTTTTCTCGCAGTGTTTCTCCACTTTTTTTCCACATTATGTTGAACACGTATCAATCAGGAAGGAGATCATTCCGGAGCGAGTCTGAATACTCTGAACGATGTTTTATGGTTTCATTGTTGTTTACAGGAAAAATTCGTCTTTTCACGTCACCTTATAACCAAACGTTTTCTTCCTCACTCCCCTGATTCATAACTGGATTCATGTTCATGTTGTCTGTCGTTTGCAGGTCAGAGTTCGCTGTGGGCGTCATCGGGAAGTTCATTTACGCCGTAGCGGGCCGCACGCGAGACGAGACCTTCTACTCCACAGAGCGCTATGACATCACAGAGGACCGCTGGGAGTTTGTGGACCCGTATCCGGTAAACAAGTACGGCCACGAGGGAACGGTCCTCAACGGTAAACTGTACATCACCGGCGGCATCACCTCCTCCTCCACCTCCAAACAGGTGTGCGTTTTCGATCCTGGGCGGGAGGCGGGGGGAGGGGGCGGAGGAGGAGGAGGGGGGAGCTCGGGTGGGTCGGACGCACACAGGACACGCGCAGGCCGCGGGCCGCTGCTGCCCGGCACACACACCAGCTGCTGGGAGAACAAATCCAAAATGAACTACGCCCGCTGCTTCCACAAGATGATCTCTCATAACGGGAAGCTGTACGTGTTCGGAGGCGTGTGCGTGATCCTGCGCGCTTCCTTCGAGTCGCAGGGCTGCCCGTCCACCGAGGTGTACGACCCCGACACCGACGAGTGGACCATCCTCGCCTCCATGCCCATCGGCCGCAGCGGCCATGGGGTGGCGGTGTTGGACAGGCAGATCATGGTGCTGGGCGGCCTCTGTTACAACGGCCACTACAGTGACTCCATCCTCACCTTCGACCCCGACGAAAACAAGTGGAAGGAGGACGAGTATCCCAGGATGCCTTGCAAACTGGACGGTCTGCAGGTGTGCAGTCTGCTCTTCCCAGAGTATGTGCTTGAGCACGTGAGACGCTGCAGCTGAGGTCTGCTTTTTATAGAAACAGGAACGCAGGAGGACTGAGGTCTCCCGCTGGGGGATCAGGTGTTTTCAGGCGGGAGACTCACTGAGGCGCAGGCTTTGAATCTAGAGACCAGCACTTACCCGAGGTGAGGGAGAGACGGCCGGCCGTAGATCTGCCGTTCTCTGTGAAGGCAGGAGAAGCCCGGCGCGGTGTGTCGTCACATGTTCAAGGTCAGCTCGGACATTTTCAGACTTAGCTTTCTCAGAAAAATAAGGAAAATTTTAGCGGGAGAAAAAAAGGTTTATGTCTGGACTATGGTCAGTTTCCTATTCTACTTCTCACCTACTGTATTTAGGCTGCTGTCCAGTCCGGCTTACTGCAGAAACGCACTGGAAGCCACACATCCATGCATACAAACTGACCCGATAATCAGACAAACCTGCAGCACATCAGGCCTGAAACAGCTTTCTTTGACAAAAACAAAAGATGATCTGAGCCAAAAGAGTCTGCAGTGCTTTTAAAAAACGCCCTTTAGGATATCTAACAGCAGTTTAAAGCATACGATCAGGTATATGAGCAAAATAAGATCCTTATAGTCGATAGTAAGCAGATTTTTTTATTGGCTGTTTCCAAGTATAAAGAGCAAAGAGAAACCTAACACGCCTGTTGAGCTCTAAACTCTCCGTTTCTGCTTCCAGTGCGTTCCAGCTTTTAGTCCTAAATCTGCTCTTCACTCCCAGTTACCCATCATGCTGTACCCATCTCCATAAAGCATCACTATGTCTCTGCGTGAGTCTGGAGTATGAATGAGCGAGTGTTTCTGTGTGTGTGTGTGTGTGAGAGAGAGTAAAAGGAAAAAACACTACATGGTACAAAATACTTCATCGGTTATGATGTCATGTTATGATAGTGACAGGGTCAAAGGTCAAAGGATGTCGTCTGCGTCCATCAAGTCACTGGCAGTGCTTTACTCTCCCTCCTCTACATTCCCTGCACTTTACCGGCTCTGTAGAGGCTCTTTGGTGTAAATCTGCAGTTTGACAGCTGCAGTGTGACAACGTGCTGAAATGTGTGATATTGAGCGGTGTCTGAAATCAATAATCTGGCTGATAATGAAAATTTACAGAGGAAATGCATTTTTCAAAATATGTCCAGAGTTTGTAAGTTTGGAAATATTCAACAGACACACAGAGCCTCATGCAAGATCCTCTTTTATTTTACTCTCTTCCTTTTTTCTGCAGCTTTTCTCCTCTGAATATATTCTAACCTGACAAACTTGAAGTGAATCCCTCCTTTTCTCTGCCTGATGATCACCGTGTGAGACTGAATCATTGGTATGAGAGAGCATTTGAAGGCCGGTTGTTTTCCCCACTCCCGGGTAAAGTGCCAATTTAAAAAAAAGAGACACCAAAGAAAAAAACCGAACTTAGACGACATGGTTCTGAAAACAAAACAAATAAATGAATCTGAAAATCAGGACATTGTTTGAAGAGGACTGAGAGGAAATATGATCAACACCCCTGAAAGATCATGTCAGAGCGAAAGAAGCTGTGTCAGGAATCAAGAGGATCTAACCTGACTTAGAGCTGGTAACACAAATAATCAAAATAATAATGGTGCAGCAAAAGGTCACAAAGCAAACAGCAAAGTCATGAAATCAAAAGACACAATGAGACTTACTTTAACTGACTCTGAAAGCCATAAAATGTAGTAAAATGCATCTTAAAGGTCTAAAAATCCTTTAAAATGACTTTGAAAGCCATAAAAAAGTCATAGAAGGAGAAAAACAAATCTGAGAAGATTCTGTAAGGTATAAAATTTATATAGGAGGACAGTCAAAGGTGTAACATTCATTTTAAAAAACTCAAAAAGGATAGAACTGATTTAAAAGAACTTATAAAGGCAAAGTTTGTTTGCAAGAACTCTTAAAGACATTATTTTTAAAAAAAAACTACAAGGGACGTAAAATACATTTGAAATCATCCGAAATCTATGATACAGTTTTAAAAAAAACCTTAAAAGATGTGAGATTTTTGTAAAAAAAAAAAACCTAAAAGGACAAGAAAACTATTTAAAAAGACTCTGAAATGCATGAGAATTTAAAAAAGATAAAATGCATTCAAAAGAATTTCTAAGAACATAAAAACATTAAGAATAACTGAAACGCAGTAAATGACACACAAAAAGTCTTAAAAATATGTAAAATCTATTCAAAACTCTGAATATATAAAATTATAGAGGACTTAAGAGGAAACAAAGTTCTTCTTTAAGATCTACTTAAGATATAAATTCATTTTCAAGTCCTTCAAATATGATCCATGTGATAAAGAGCTCATTTCAAAGAACTTTAAAGGACGTTCAGTTTATTAAAAATTAATAAACTGAATTGAATTTAAAAAACTCTAAAAGACACAAAAGAACTTTTAAGGACATTAAGTTGATTCAGCAGAGTCCTAAAAGACATTTAAGTCATTTTAAGGAACCAAAAGTCATAAAATTCTGATGAAGAATATTAAAGGAATTCAGATTTAAGTAGAAATTGAAACAAACTATAAAATATACATGTACATCAAAATGTCTAGTATACATGATTAAATAATAATTTTGCACTTAAGTTGTCCTTTAAGGTTTATTACACTATTTCTTTGCATGGTTCTTGCATGAGGCTCTCAAAGTGAAGTGTGTCAGCTGATCCTCTACTTATATTTGTTTCTTAAAAACCCTAAAATGTGAATTTCAGCCTCAGCCGAGCGTGTCCATCCACTCCGAGCTTTAGCAGCCAGCTGATTTCAGGCACATTTCAGTCACGTCGCTCATGAAGCAGCTGCTGAACTCGTGTCGTCATATTTACTGTAGAGCTTTCAGCCTCGATCCTGCTGCCCAGAAATCTGTGCTCCACGTCCAGCTCCGTGTTCCTGACCTGATGTTGATTTTGTTTTCTGTCTCATGAGCCGACTGTGAAAAGGGCTAGAGCTCATTCTGATGCAGTTGTGTGTGTCTGCAGTTATTTAAGTTATTTATTTTGAAGTTTCGCTTCCACCGAGCTATGCAGTAACAGTCGTAGGGTTTTTATTTATTCTGACGGGAGAGTTTCATTTGTGAGTCGTGGCGTTTTTTTTTCGGATTGATCTTCGTCCTCTGTTGTCTGTCCTGTCCGCCTCAGCGGCAGCACTGTACGTGGCTAATGAACGGATATTCTCAGTGAAAACAGAAAAAATCAGAGAGAATTTAGTCCAAACAAAAGAAGTGGAACATTTTAAAGTAGGAGATAGGTGTCGTTTAAAGAAGAGTCTCAAGCTTTACATTTTCCTGTATGCAAATGTCATTTTTTTAAACTCTTTTCTCAAGAGGATCTGACTTGAATTTCTTCCTGAAATGAAAACCTGTTGGTATTATCCTTTAAGTCATGACTTTACCTGTTTTCACGCTCAAACCTCTTGAGTCCTGAGCAGCTTTTCAGTGTTCATGCGATGCCACGGGGGAGGGGGGTTGTATTTTCAAAAATCTTACACTCGTAACTCTGGTAAGTTCGTCTACTAATCTGATGTTGTTTCCTATCTTTGCACCTCCTTACAGGGGAGAACGGGTGTGTTTCTCTGTGGACGTCCTGAAGGAATTTTTTTATTGATTTATGTCCCAAAAAGTTGCAAATTCGCATTAGAAGTTAAAGAACCTGGTGGGTTAAACCAGCAAAATATAATCATATAAATAAAGGAAAATAAACATTATATTCTTTCACTTTCACCTTTTCTGTTTTTCAGGTTTGAAATGTTGATTTTTTTTCTGTTTATTTTCTTGTTTTGAAGATCTTATATTCCTGTTATCGCTCATTTTTGGACTCCTGAACTTTCAGAAGTGTCACACGTTGTAAACACAGCGATGATCACACTGTGAGGCAGGTATAGCAGGGAAACAGGCCTCGATACCTCCATGTCCCTTCATGTACTCCCCTGTACTCTGCAGCTGATACCTTCATCATCATAACTATCATCATCATCATCTTCCTGTCTGCAGCCCTCTCGCTGCTCTTCCTCCTCTTGTTCCTCCTCCTCCTCTTTCTCTCATGTTGCTGTTAAAAGAAGAAACATGTAACCGATAAGTACTACTGTCCTGATTTGAGGCACATTCAGTCATAGCGCAGCATCCTTTAGTCCACCAGTCTTCAGTCTGTCGGTAGGAAAACAGAATAGAGGATTAAAAAAGAAAACATACCTTGCTACAACGACTGTATCCGAAAAAGAACGTAAAATCAGATTAACATATCTTATAATCTGAGTAGAAACTCTTTGGAAACGATTTGTAACTTCTTTCCAGAAATAAATGTTCATATTGGTCGACTTTCAAACGGCTTCTTGAGTGCTTTTATACTTGTGTGTGTGTGTTTGTGTGTTTATAACTCATCTTTATCTCTTTTCCTTTGTTATTGGTCATCCAGCCAATGTGTTCATGAGATGATTTAAAATAATAATAATAAATTTTATTTATAACCCGCTTTAACAAAGAAAAAGAAGAAAATGAAAAATAGAAAAAAATGTAAAATGTTCCTGTATGTTTAGTGTTTAAGTTTAATAGTTCATAGCAGTCAGTACTTTCTGTGAGGGTAAATTCAGCTGGATGGAGCTAAATAAAGGTCAACTGTGCAAATGAGTGTTTATAACTATAGTCATACAGTGCTATAACATGATTGTAATGCATTATTCATATATTTATCAAATAAAGTGTGACCAAAAAATACATTTTACTTTACTAGATAAGACTTTAAGCTTAATTTAACTTCCCATATTGAGGTTTCTGATAATAAAATGTATTAATAGATGGTAAAGTAAGATCGTGTTCGGACAACATCGTCTCTCTTATCTTCGCCTCTGCAGCTTCTGTTTGGATGTAACGGACAAGCGGACTGCGCATGCGCTCTTTAAACTGTCACTCTTCTGGCTTTCCGTAGAAAGCGAGTCTCATTCGGATGAAAATGTCATATGTCAAAGTGGTAACTATCCTCTACGAATGTTATATAACATCGTTTTAACAAAGAAATACTAACTAATCATAAGCGGTTATCTGTGGAGAATAGACGTATTGTTCTGTGTTTTTTAAATGTAACAAAGATCACTCAATCGGTGCTGAATGAGTCACAGCTAACCTTAGCATGTTATTAGCATTAGCAGGTCAGGTGAGGCTACTTCTACCTCTTAATTAGAAATAACATGTTTTAAATGAGTTTTAGTTTCATCTCTCGGTTTGATATTGTTTAGATTTGTATTTTTAAAGGTCAAACTGTCAGTCCAGCCTTATTGTCAGTCGTCATAGTCATGTCGTTTGCCGCCAGGTGTCGCTGTGTGCCGGAGCTTCCGGTCTGCTGTGCGGCTCGGTGCTGGCTGCAGGTGAGGGGAAGAAGAAGAACTCCACACCTGTCCTCAGCCTGGAGGAGGTGGGTTTAGAAATGAGTGAGACTGTTTTAATAAGATTTATCATCACTTAAGTGTGAATGTAGGACTTCACAGATACTCATGGTTTAATAAATGTGGGATTACCTGCTCAATCTGTCACTTAACCTCCTGGATCATTCATTTACCTGTTCTGATCTTCTTAAAGGAATATTCTGTAAAATTAATTTAGGGTCAAACACACCATAACACCGAGTCAGACACCCCTTCCAGAGATAAAAGTTGCCGACCACTTGCTTTTCTAGTTATACCAACTTTAGTAACGACTGCACGATCATTTTATGCCGGAATATCCCTTTAACTGACCCAAACACGTTTATATTTCAGCTCCCGTCTTTATACACCAGTCCTGAAGCCGCCTCTCAGTGTGTGGAGCCTGAGGTGGGAGAGCTGGAGCAGAGAGTGGCATCTCTGAGAAAATGGGCAGAACCGTACACCAACCAGTGTCAGGTGAGTTCATGTCGTAACACCTGATTTTACATGTCAGGGGGGACAAACTGAGAACAGAAGATAAACTCAAATAAGTGCTGGGTTTGTGCACTGATGTAGCTATAACCCTTATCCGGACTTTCTACCAACGTGAAAATGTTAGAAATCAAACTTTTCCTCTTTGTTTTTTTACAGCAGACGAGTGCAGCTGTGATGGAGAAAGTTGAGGTCAGTGAGGTTTATCTGAAAATAAAACAGCTGCATTAGATGAAAATAACCTCCTTCTTTCTCTATTTCTGTGTGTGATGACTCTTTTTGGACTTCAGGGAGTGTACAGGACCGTAGAGCCCACAGTCACCACGTCTATGACCACAGTCACAGGTGAGAAAATTCAGAGGCGTCAGAGCAACAAAAACTGAAGGTGAAGTTCTCAGGGCATGCTGAGATACAGAGGTCATTATCACTCTATTTTTACAGCGACATCAGAAAACAGGGATTATATGAGCTTTCCAAGAAGTTTTATTGTCATATTATGGATTACATTCAACAATGCAGTTATTAGTGATAATGCCAATGTTAGATGTAGTTAGACCTTCAAAGCAGATATGGTGCACAGGGCTACGCACCAATTAGATGCCTAGTCGTCCATTATATGCGAGTTCCTGTGTTTCTACACTCGGTTTCTCCTGACGTGTGATCTTCATGTTACAGCAGGTTTCAGAGATGTGTGAAAGAGCTGCTTCCTCAACAAAGTTTTGCAGAACAGCTTCAGAAAGAGTTCCCTGCTCGGCCTTTTGCACTTTTCCATTCTGCTGCTGCTCACTGAGCTGAGATCCTGCAGATGTTTTCCTCTAATGGTCTGTTTTGAGGTGACTTCCCTCTCTCTTCTGCCCACATGCAGCAGGACTAAAAGTTTCAGTCCATTTAAAGGGATATTTCAATGTTTTGAAATGAGGTTGTTTGGGTTACCTGTTACAATTTGTTTTTTTAGTCACAGTGGATACGGGTCAGCTCGGCCTCTTTACTGAGAAACTGCAGAATGAAACTGAACTCTAGACATGCAAAAGTTTCTGCCAGACAGGCTCGGCTGAAACTTTTTCAGCACACTTTCCAACAGCATGTATCTCACACAACCCCACCTAAAAAAACACAAAAATACTCCTTTAACTCTGCCAGTGTGTGCACCACTGTGAATGCTGGGCTTCTGCAGCATGCATGCTCCTCCTCCCTGTCTGACAGGAAGGGTTTCATGCTGTGAGGGTGCACATGTGTGAACACTAAACTCAGGGAAGTTTCCAGGCAGATCTCTGGAAAACTTCTCCAATTTTCCATCGTGCAAAAGTTCAACCAGTTTAAGCTTCTTGTAATCCGACCTCAGGCCTCTGACCTTGGCCCCTCACCCACTCTCTCCCCTCTTCCTCTCCTCTCTCTTGTTTTTTCACATTTTTCAGATGTGTACCAGTTCCTGAGCGACCCTCCTCCTGACCTTTACCCCAGTGTAGCTGTGGTGGGCTTCTCTGGCTTCCTGGGTCTTTATTTGGCCAAAGGTGACTTGGTTCACGTTTGCACTTCAACACAAACACACACACTGACCTGCATTTCTTCACACAGATGAATGAGGTCAAAGGCTGCAGACGGGCTGCTGATAACGAGCGAACAGGGAGAGATAAAACGAAATAAAGGTGCAGAGGGATTAGTCTGCTCAGTAGTCTGAAGGATAACAGTTAAAACTCGACTCCCGAGGTCACAAAGATCTGTCAGGTTGATCAGAATAGTTGAATCAGTTATTTCTCTTTGACTCTGACATCTGTTGAAACCATCTCTGTGTGTCTTTCAGGCTCGAAGGTGAAGCGTTTGGTGTTCCCTGTTGGACTGATGGCTCTGAGTGCCTCCATGTTTTACCCTCAGCAGGCCGCCTCCCTCTTGAAGGTGTGTTACTGCATCATAGAGGAGACACAGAGGAGTTTTTGAGTCTTTTAAACCTGATCATCAAACTGTTAAGTAATCTAAACGTAAATGTTCTTTATTTATACAGCCCTTTACAGTGAACCAAAGTGCTTTACAAAATGAAAATGAATAAATAAAAACAATAAAAAGCAATGAAAGGAGTAGAAAAAGAATAAAATACAATGCAATAAAATAAAGTGTCACCACGCTACTGGGTATTAAAAGCCAGTATAAATAAGTATGTTTTCAATCGGGATTTGAAAAGTCCTGGGTCGAAGCCTTGGACCAGCAACTGAAAAGGCTCGGTCACCCCAGTGTTTGTGTTTTGATCTGGGCACCGCCAGCAGAAGTTGGTCTGACGACGTCAGAGCTGTACTCTGCTCTCACACGGTTAAAAGCTCAGTTAGATAGATGTGGGCGAGGCTGTTAAGAGCTTTAAAAACAAACATTAGAAGTTTAAAATCAATCCTGAAAGAGACGGGAAGCCAATGAAGGGAGCAAAGGACAGGAGAGATGTGCTCACATCTGTTAGTGTTAGTTAAAAGACGGGCAACAGCATTTTGGACAAGTTGAGGGCGACTAAGAGATGATTCGGAGATGCAAAAATAAAGTGCATTACATTAGTCTAATCTTGAACTGATTTGAGCATAGATGGCTATCTCAAGGTCGTGACGGCTTAAAAACGATATAACAGTGAGTAATACCAATGTATCAGACCTTTTATGACAGTGAAATGTGGCGACGCTGCTGTTCTACATCATTACATAATGGAGCATGAGTTACTCGCAGATGAAAAAACTGCACGTTCAACCTGTTTCACATCTTTATTTCAAGTCGTTTCATCTCTTTAAATATCCTCAGGAAACGTCTGTCAAAGCAGAAACGCTGAGATGTGCTGCTTTAGGTGGAGATTTATTTTTAGGAGGTAGTTTTATAATTATTTTTACGTCAGCAGAGCCACAGAGTTCATTTTAGGAAAGATCTGAACAGGAAAGTGGAAAATCACACCCTGACTGACGTCACTGAGAGGAAAACTTTCCTCCAGCTCTCCCCGATTCAAGAAAGTCGAGTTTGTTTGACCTGCAGCTCGTTTCCTTTTAGGAAAGGGTCGAGTTTCTCCTGCAGGAAGTCCTGGCTGTGAAATGTGAAAACTTCCACTGATGTCTGAGTGGGTTTTATTTTAAACACCATTTCAGCTCGAAGAGAGAAGCACAGACTCACCCTGAACCATCGCACCTCACCTCTCTGCGCAAACAGACGAGCAGGGCGGGGCGCTGATATGAAAACACACCATCAAAGAGACTCTGAACCTCTAATTTGAAATTTAAATCACCTCTCTGAGCGGTTACTGGTGTGTCATCTGTGTGTGCGCTCACCTGATAGTGTCTCTTTTGTTTGTCCAGGTGAGTTGGGACTCTGTGAACACCTGGACTCAGCAGGGTCGCGCTCAGGTGGAGAATCTCTGGAAAGATCCTCCGTTTGGAAAGAAGAAGGTGAGATTTTCCTGCTGTCCTCCCATGATTTCCTCCACAGATTCTACATTTCGGAAAAGTAGACTTGATAGAAAAAATAATACAGATCTTAAAATTATTATTGTTGAGGATCTTTAACGCCAGTGTCCGTGTTTCTTTTTTATCCAGAAGAAAGAGCGAGCAGAGAGCAACGACACAAGCAGCTGATTCATCAGGAAGACACACGTCCTCTCAGAGACGCCGGCCTCCCAGTAACACAGTCACACCTGTAGACCTGCTTTAAACACACGTATCCAGACTCACACAGACACAACCAGGGCTTTATTGAAGTCTTATATCCCACTAACTTGAGGATGAAGATGTGTTGAATGTCTCTCAAACTCGTCTGTTACCTCCTCTTTCTTTCCTGAACACCTTCACCTCTCTCCTGGAACATGTTTTTCTCCTGGTCTACGTTCAGGTGATCCAGTCAGGCGAATCTCCTCTGTAAACCACCTCTACTCTCTCTCTCTCTTTTGTGTTGAGTTTCTCTAAAGTGCTTCAAAAACCCACCTTTGGTTATTCTCCGACTCTTTCAGGACAAATCAGTGAACCAGTTTTGATTTTCAGCTTAGGTGGGACAACAGTCTAACAAACAAAGTCCAAGGATCTTTGTGTTCATTTATAATTTTAGATGTTTTGAATGTTTTTCTTTTTAAATTGTAACAGGTTTACTGACATGTGCAGCTGCAGCAGATGTTTGTAGCTCATCTGTAACATATGAAGCAGTAAAAAAAAGTTTTATTTAATTTATTTTGATATAATTTGACATTTCAGACTCTTTACTCAGCATCAGCTGGCTTTGCACTGTCAGAGAGGTCTACCGGGACACTGAAGTAAAGGGTAAGATCAAAGTTTGCAAGTCAGTTAGGTTGTAAAAATAAAACCAGCAGAGATAGAGGACTGTTATCTCGGCCTGAAGGACTTCATTTCTCTTACTGGACTCATTAATAACAAGTTAGCTCTGCTCAGATCACCCCCCATGCCTTTATCATCTCTTAAATTAAAGATCAGCCTCTCTGTTATTGTTCGTCTTTATGCTGCTGATTATTCAACTACGCCACAGTGAAGGTTCGAGTGTGTAATCCAGGTTTATGTGTCCTTCTCTGCTTCTGCTGATGCACTTTTATGTTTGTCTCTTTCTGTAATGTTATTAAACTCGACATGTGACTGAGCGGACGTCTTCCTGCTGCAGTTATTGACCCTCAAACGCTCTTTGACTTCTGTGGTATCGGTAATTACTAATCAATCAAAGATAACGGATGAGTTGCAGCTGTGATTATGTTTCCAGCAGGATGTTGTTTCAGGTGTTCTCAGCAGATAAAGTGAAAGTTGTAGACATTATATAACAGTTATAACAGTAACCAGATATTAGGTCATTTATAGACCTTTTTATGATCGATCTGCTCTGATTAGTCGAGAGCAAATAAAGAGTGACCGGTGTTATGGTTTCAATTGTAACTATTTTATATCAATGATTCTGTGCTTTTCGATCATTTCAGCGCATCATCACTAAGATATGCAAGTCTGGTCGTCTAAATCAGTGGTTCTTAACTGGTGGGTCCCGTCCCAAAAGTGGGTCATTGACGCGTTCCGGATCGGTCGCAAACAACTGGTCAAAAAAGAAAATATTTAATGTGAATCTGATGTTTGACATGTTTTTTATTTTGAAAAATAGCTTATTTTGTGCAATTTGGTATTTATTTGATATTTTCTGTATATGCAACTTTAACAGTTGTCGTCCTTAAATTCATGTGCTCTGAAATGCACTTAACTCTATAAAAGTATTGAATCTGCAAAGGTTTTTTTTTTATAAAAGATAAATTTGCTTGGTTTGATTTCTATAAAAGTGGGTCGCTTAAGGAGGATGGGAAAATGTGGGTCCCAGGGTGAGACCAGTTGAGAACCACTGGTCTAAATCATGAAATGCAATCATCCAGAAAAGTCTCAACCAGAAAATGAATCTGTGTTATCAGTATTTTTATAACCTGAAGAGGCATCAACAGATGGACTTGTTTGGGGTTCTTGAAGACAAACTCCTTTTTACCAAAATGTTTCTTCATTTCTGAAAGGACTGGGGCCAAAGTTGGGAATGTACGGCTTCTATTCGTCACCTGAGAGTCGTTCACGGCTGGGTCACTTGAGGGTCGTTAGCAGGATCGTTGTCCTGGTTTTATCGGGTTTGCATTATGTTGGAGCCTGTGATTCAGCACAAAAGCGTTGTTTCAATTGTTGTAGAAAAATAATGCGGAGCTGAATAGTAAGTGCATCAGTCTGACGCCTCTTTTATGAGATGGTTTCTCCAGAATGACATAGATGGCCTCCTTCACACCTCTTTCAAACCAGCGTTCTTCCCTGACTAGCTGTCCTAATCGAATATCCTGTGTCCTTCAGATGTAAGTGACCCCCTTGAGCAAGAGTTGGACAACCATGACCTGCACAGATGAGAACCAACACCGATATGTTGGCCTGAAATGTCAGTAATTTGTTGTCAAAGCTGTAGGTCAGGCTTTTAACACAACTCAAAGATGAAGAAAAATGAACTCTCAGACATAAACCAGTGCGATGTGAACCTCCGTTAATAGCAGAAACCATGTTGGAGTGAATTATAGTTTGACCCATGTTCCATCCGTTTACATGGAGGAGGTGGGTAATGAGACCTTTGCCACCAGGGAGAACCTGAAAAGATCTGGAGTCACTTCGAGACACAAATACTCTGAGGCGAACTTCAGTCCAGATTCTGGAGACTGTCGAGGAGTTTTATCTTCAAACTCAAAGTCTAGTTCAACTCGACTTCTCTGTTCTCTCCTCTACGTCTCAGGTTTTGATTTTCCTCTGAACGCTGATGTAATGTCTCTGCAGACAAACAGAGGACATGACGTAACTCCAACCCTCTGTTTGACTTTTGATTCAGGAGTAAGAGAGGAACCACTACAAAATGAGTCTGTGCAGGAGTGAGCGAACTTAAAAAGTGACCTGAGTCCAAATTCTTTAAACATGTTTATCCAAAGTTTTTACAGCAGCTTTGAGGTCCTTACGATCCAGTCAGAATCCAGATCGGCTTTTAATTTGGGGTCGATGAACTCTCATAAAAAAGTTAATCTGACGCCGTTTTTCAGTCACATGTTCAAATAAGCAGGAACAAACTAGCACACTGTGGGGGTTTTAGTTCCTTTTTGTTAATGTCGTTGTAGTTCCTTTTTTATTTCCGTGAAAACCAAAGACTGCCTCGCTGCTGAAGAGGTGTCTGAGGATTCTTAAGAGCAGAAACAGTTTGGACAAAAAGAGTTTGTTTGAGAAACAAAATACAGCGATGAGAGAGAAATTCACTCACACCTGCTCACATGTTTTTCATAACACCCCTCTGTGGATGTCCGACAGGACAAAGAGCGAACAATTCATCATAAACAAACCCCTTCATGGGGTCAAAGTTCAGGGATGTCTTCCAGCTGGAGCAGAAAACAGCTCTGGTCTCTTATCTTAGAGGACAAACTCTGACCTGCACAGAGATGTTGGTCAAAGCCGAGGAGACGGTAAATCCTCACGACTGAACCCAGACAATCGGCATGATGACTTTATGACTTTTGTCCTGGAATAACCTCCAATCATGACACATCATAGTCCCAAATTACATACAGTTATCCTGAAGGCCACATGGATGACTTTATTGCGTTTATAGTCTAGAGCAGCTTCACGGTAAATAACAAACTTCTGATAAACTTCTGACCTGGTGAACTTTAGAGGACCTAATGGACCAACTCTTAAAACTTCTTCTGCCCTCTTTTTCTCAAAGAGCTCAGACGAGTGATGTGCAGAAATTAGTTCAAAAAAAGCAACCAAATGCGAAACCCTCAAACTTTAGGACACAGTTAAGATCAAAATATTAATTTACACCTCCAGTAAAAGGAAGAGACTTCTTTGACGTGTGATTATTCATTTTATTGTGACTTAAACATCTCACGCGCAGCGGTTACAGTGAAATCAGCAGATATATAAGTGACTCTGAGTATCACACTAATTAAAGCTCTATCATCAGCTACAAACAGAATAACATAAATCTGATCAGATAAAGAATTGCCCTTTAAAACGCTGAACTTCTGTCTGAGCTCAGAGAAAAGACACTCAAAGGTTTTACTCTCCCTCTTTGCTCAGACTCTCCTCTTCCTCCTTCCTCCTCTGTTCTTCGTCGGTGCTCTGTCATTCCTCGGCCGGAGAGGCCATCTTCACGAGGCTGTCCTTGTCGAACCGGAAGAGCCTCCAGCCCTCCTCCTGAGACAGATCCTCAGCGCCACGCCGCTTGTAGAACTGGACGGACGGCTCGTTGTTCTCTGCAACCACGAACATCATGCCAGTGCAGCGCGTCTTCATCGCCAGCTGGAGGAGGAGAGATTAAATGTCATAAACTGGACAGAAGAGGTCAAGTTACTTCTACTTTTGAAATTTAACATTCCCCAGATTACATGTTTCATTGTTCCTGAACCCACAAGTCAGGCTGGTCAAACAACTTCTCCAGTGTCTGATAATACTCGGCTCTGATTGGCCAGTTTGTTACCTTGCACAAATACCTGACTTCTTTAAAAATGCTGTACAAAAATCTCATGAATCTGTTCTGACTGTATTCAAAGAAGCTCAGCCACTCTCACAGCGGTGGTTTGGTAAAAATACTCACGTTGCTGAGGTGCCGCAGGAGCTCCGAGCCGATGCCGAGCCCTGAAAAGAGAACCAGAAGAAAACAGGAGAGCTTGTTTATAGAAAGAAGAAGTTTTGAAGCAGTAAAAAACAGACCGGATCAGACTGGTTTCTCACCTCTGTACTGCTCCATCACGTAGAATTCCTCCAGGTAGAGCTGTTTGCCAACCCAGGGGTCGTACGTGAAGTAGTACATGGCAAAGCCGACCACCTTCAGGCCTGAGGAGACACATCACAGATGATTATCAAAGTACTGCTTTAACATGTTTCCATAAAAGGATGTTTATTTTGATGCATGAGATGTTTCTGTTGATTTGAGGCCTTGTTTCGTGCTTTTTTAACAGCTTAATGTAAACTTTGGATGTGAGTCAGAGCCGAACCACAAAGCTGCTGAACACCTGCAGCTGCTGCCGAGCGTCTGACTCGTTAACAGGAAGCGCAAACCCAAATTAAACATTTACGTTAACTCTTTGGCCTGAGCAGGTGGTGGGAGGAACACGTCAGCTCCAACAGATGTATTTTTAGCTAAAACTGAACCACTTTTTAATCAGTGTAGATTTAAACCTTTAAATCTCTTTGAAGCAGTCAGGAGAGCCTCACAGCCAGGAACAAGCATGGCCGCCTGCCAGCTCCTAAATCTGTGTTTCTAATATGAACAACACGTCAGTCATCAGGTTACATGTCTGACTCTGTTTGAACCTGCTGAACTGATTTTGCGGCACATGGTGTTCTTTGTGCAGGAACAAAAGGGCTGAAAGCCGCTGGTTTAGAGGAAGCAAAACAGTTTATACCCCCACTGCTGTCGTCTCCTTGGATTTCAGTGATGATGCAGTGGTAAAACGGGGTTTCACCAAATCCATCCTCAAGGAGGTCTGCCGGGAAGAAGAGGGAGGATTAAGATACAAAGAACACAACAAGCTCCACTTTGGAGATCCACTTCATATAGATTAAAAGCTCACCTTTTTCAGTCAGTGTGACCTGATGCTCCATCTCCTCATATTTAGCAAGTTCCTGAAGAGAGACAGAAGTAGAACTGTTAGAAGTTTGCTCAGGTAATTCATCATAGATGATAGACATCAACACAACACTGTTAACCACTCTAGTCTTGATGGTTGGCTGCAAAAATACCTCATGATCATAAAGAACTTTTGACTAGATGCCAAAACACTTCACTCAGTGCAAAAATTTTACAAGCATTTTGCAAATTTTGTTTTTGCTTCTCGAATTATTTTGGCATTTCTCTGGATATTTCACAAATATGTTAACACTCAGTAAACAAATTTCATAGATTGCATAATTTCTCAGCTCCAAACTGTGTTTTTTTTTTCAGTTTTGAGAAAAGATTTTGCTGAATTTTTTGAAATACTTGAAAAGTTTTTCATAGTTTATAAAATGTGGCTGCATTTCTACAAAATAACTTTTCGTGAGGCGAGTTCATGTTTGAGAACATGTTTCAAACATTGTACAGCTAATATTAGCTCTTAGCTAATCAGATATATGATATAATAGCACAGATAATAAATAAATCAACATCAAATGCTCGAGGTCAACCATTAAATAAGACTGATCGAGTCTGTGAGGAATTGCCTGATAAAGCCTAAACCAGCTCATGCTTTATAAATGGTTTCTCTTCCCTAGGTCATCATTTGAAAAGAATCGTTTAAACATCGATTATTATTCGACAATGACCCATTTAACGATGTCCACTTTGGGTCTGATTCATCCTGATGATCCGATTCTGCTTCATTGTTCGTTTTCTTGACTAAATTGTAATAACTTCATCGTAAATTTATGTAAATAATCATAAACAGGGGTAACATGAGTGTTTTTTATGTCAGTTTGCGCTTATAAAGCTGTAATACTATCTTATCAGGCTCAACCTTGATGGGAACATTGGCTTAGCGGTAAGACTGACCATATATGGTCACCCGGAAATGAGTCGTCTACCCGTAAACAAAGACTGACACCACTAATCTGATTCTCGGACGTCCTCCTGACTTTTCTCCCACGGCCTCTTCATCATCCTAAAACTGTGTCATACACATTAAGGGTGGATTTATAGGTCAAATGTTGTTTTTGAATAGAACAAGCTGTGCGAAAGAGCTCGAGTTCATGAGAAGTTCAAGGCTAAACATCGGTTTATCCAACCGTTAACAGTCCGGTTTAATCCTATTCCAGTCGCGTGACCGTTATGTTCGAGTCGTATCGATTAAAACAGTTTTATTCGTGTTTCTGGCCGCGTTAGAAACACCGTTATGTCCAAAGGCCTACCTTCACGAGTCGTAATATTTCAGGCACGTCTTTGGGTTCAGCTTTACGTAATTTATACTCCATTTTCTTCTTTTACTCTTTTTTCCTCTCGTTAGAAGTCCTCTGTATGTGAAGTGAAAGATTAATTGTTTCTTCATTCGCTTCAGAGTGGCGTCTTCCCCACAGTGAGCCTCAGATCCGGACGCGTTCGTCGATTCTGGAACATTCAGCAGGTATCACCCTCGGCTGGGTCGCTGCCGTTCAACTGAACTCTCCTTTGTTTACATCGCTGTACTTATACCCGGCACGCACTAAAATGCGATTGGCTGCTCGTCACAGTTCTCCAATTTCTGACGAATCACTGACGCCTCGGGCTGTTTTGTTACCCAATTAGGGGAAAGGTATGCTTGTTTCAGGGTCTGTTTTCATTTCGTCACAGGATCTTTGTTTTTGATGCCGGAGTCAGACTCTCATTAATGTAGTTTCTTTGGGAAAAATTAGTAGAAATTTTACAACGTTTAATGAACGACCATTAAGTTAATGCTTTTGCATTTGCCGGAATTATAGAATCGTCAAAAAAGAGCAGAGTATTCTATGTATATAATATAAAATGGTGTAAATCTGTCACCCGTTGAAACAAATACTGTGTACAGATATTAAGTGTGTGTTAAAGGGCTCAGACACGTTATTCACCTTTTTAAGGTGTGTCAAACCCCGACAAACACAGTCGTGGTTAAACACACCTCGGACCAGAAACACAAGTGGAAATTTCCACCCCCCTACAGATCAAGGCTAGGTTAGGCAAAGAAAGACATATGACTCTACAACACCAAGTTAAACTTGTAAACAAAGTAAATGTATGTTTTGAACCTCTGCTCCAAGTTTGTGCTGTACTCCGATAAAGTTATTAGACAAGTGACATAATTTAAACTCAGATGATGCTGCAGAAGTTGAGATGTTTAGAGGTTATGGATCCTGCGTCCTCTAAAAAAAGATTCAGAGCCCTTTAAACAGACATTTCTCAGAGTCCACACATCAAATCTGAATCGGCATCTGCATAACACATGGTTCTTCATGACTGTATTTACTGCTGAGGTTGTGTTTTGGACTTTCTTTACAAAACATGTTGAGTCTGATGAAGTTTAATAGTTTGGCTAGACATGCTTTGAATTATAATATCTGACTCTAGCTTATATGTTGAAGTGACTTTGGGCAAAACACTGAACCCCAAGTTGCACCTGAAGGCATTAACAGCAATGAAGAAAATTTACTTGAGCACTCTATCTTGGTACTGGTGGTAAATCTGCAGCATGTAAGTCTAAATTCTATAAATAATGCTTTCCTTATGGTAGCATGTACATATTCTTGACTGCTTTACACATCCTGAAAATGCAGCTATGTCTGTAGATTTTCTTTTACAGTCATTTGAGGGGTGTGGCAGGCTGAGCGGTTTGGATCCGCATGTATATGGAGGTTATATCGAAAGAGGATAGTCAGAGATTGTGGCTTCTTTACTGCTTGCTACATCCTGCTCTCTCCCTATTCTTGCTGTATTTCATGTCTTAGTCTCTCACATGAGGGCACAAAAAGGCAGAAAATTGAAATTTAGAAGAGGTCGTTTGAATATTTAAGTGTCTTTATAAGCAGTTACTCCAGAACTGTGTCTCAAACGACTTTGACAGAAACTTTCTTGTGTACTGCTAACTTTTATCAGGAGTATTTACACACTAATGATGCCAATCTTATTTTTCAAAGCTGGAAAAGGTTTCTGAAAAGCCACAAAAGGCACATTTGGATAATTTTAAGACTTACATGATGGCTTTATCATCTGTGTACAACGTGCTTCAATACTCACAGGCTAAATCATTAAAAAAGTCGTGAAATAAGAAGGACAGTCAGAAGGACTAGTTTTGTAAAAATGCCTTTTTGGAAAGAACTTCAGAGTTGATTTATTGTGTGTTATTTCAAACCATTATCTTAACAATTTGATTTCCCCGTGGGAATCAATAAAGTTCTTCCTATCTAACAGTTTGTGCTTTAACCAGTTTTAAAAGTTTCCTTTGTTAATTCATGTAGTCTGGAGCTGGTCAGCAAGACCTGATAAAGGAACAGAAAGAGTGATCTTTATGTGAAGGTAACTGAAGACAGGTCAGCTATTGATGGTAATTGCACATTCACACTTGAACAAACCTAAAATGAAGTCATCTGACTCAAGAAAACTCATGTGAGATTTCAGGTACTCTATTTTTAACTGTGTTTCATCCTTATGTATGGCATAAGGACACATGATAGGTGTAGCTGTGCAAACTTCAAGAGTCTTTGTCTGACTGTCAATCTACAGTTGTGCTGCAGAATATCATAAAAACTGAAATAAACCTGTTATCAATAAATCACGTGTCCCTCCAGCATCCCAGAACCGGGTTTTACCACATCAATCATACGACGCTCGGGGATTAACGACAGAAACACTAAACGGATTATAGTTTCCAGCTTGAGTCACTAAAAATATTTATGACACAATCAGTGGGATAACTATGGTGTCATGTTTCTTTTGAGATGGAGGTGCCTGGCAGACTAAACTCAGGGGTGACTATGAACGATGGCACGTACGTCTTACGTCACTCCATAGTGGGCGTGACTGAGCACCGACGCGGAAGCTGCCCTGTATCCCCAAGATTTGGCACCTTGGCACTGCCCCGAAGAGGAAATCTGTGGTTTTATTCATTTTAACATATCCCCACAGCCCTTTTTAGACCCCTTATACTTTTATCAGGACCTCTTGGACGCCATCATGCTCTCACCGAGGTCAGTGTGATAAAAACTGGGTTTGAAACTCCGTTTTTCTTTGTCGTTGATCGTGTAAATGTGACCGTTAGTGTGAAGAGTCCATCTGAATAAAGACAGGAATGATCGCTATGCTGATCGGAAACCACATTAATGTGGGCGGTTTATTGTTATAGGGAGCTGATTAATTACCAATTGCTTAATAGATAAAGAATCCAGCTCTACCTGGAGACAGTGAGGTCAAACAGGGTGGGATTGGCTGTTTACATAAAGGTGTGTCAACCTCAGATACTACAGAAGGTAAACCAGAGCAGTACACTCTGACTGCTGAACTCTTTTTGAAGTTATTATAAAGTTATAAGGATCATATTGAATCAAATGAAGTTTTATTGTCCTCTTGCTTAGTTATAAAATGCTCACTGAAGTGCTTAGGGTCAGGGGCGTGCTGAGAGGGTTGGCCAGAGGTGGGATGGGCCCACCCTGAAATCGGATAGGACACTCCCAGTGCCGCAACAAAATCTTCAGTGATGATTGGTTCTTCTTCAGTCAGGGGCGGGACTAATCGCTGATGTGATTAAAAACAAAAAAAGGGGAAACAATATTACAACACTGCTTTTACATTTGGCTGTCTGAGATTTATGTTCCTAAATACAATATTTTTACTTCTCAAACAATCAAAGCCTGAAAGAGGGTTTAAATTGTTACAGGAAATCTTCAGTATACAGCAGAATAAGAAAAGAATGTGATTTTCTGTACTGTGCTGTAATGTCTATTTTTTTAATGGCCTGGATTAGAAATCTTTGTTTCTCTCTTCCTCGGTAACATCAAGTCACAGATGATTTCTAACTTGAGCTGCTGACTGAAGTATCCAGTAACATCACAAGTCTGACATGACGTGGCAGTCACAGAGTGTGTGTGTGTGTGTGTGTGTGTTCAGCTGTTGGGTGTGAGTGAACACGGTCTGACACACTCATCTCTGCGTGGTTATAGTTGTTATAGGTGTAACTGAACCCCTCGACCTTCAGGGTCGTCTCAGGCTGCGTTTATGTCCTCTGATGTCATGTCCTTATTTGGGCTTCAGGTTGCTGCTGCTGCGGTCGGCTGCGTCCGTGACGACCAGGGCGCTCTGCACAGGGGGTGCGTCCAACAGGGGCAGGGCGCCGGATATGGCTGAAGGTACGACAGCGGCCATGGTTGATCTGACTGTCAAACACTTGCTATGATGTCTAAAATAATTATGAAGCCAATAACAGATTCTTATACTGATGTTTTGTGAATTGTTCATGTCTGTCACGGAAATAACAAATGAGGTTTGATGTATTTAACTTGTTTCTAGCTGCCCCTCATCTTTAAATCTTACGAAAGGCACGTTGCTGATCTTCTTTAGACACAGTATAATTCTCAGACAGTGCCCACATTTTCTTTCACACTGACCATGAAAACAAATCTGATTCTGTTCCGAAGATCACCTTGTAACAACATTTAAACACCTAAAAAGAGTATAAAAGCTGAAGCTTCAGCCTGCCCCTCTTAGGTTGATTAATTTCTAATTTCTAGCTTCTTTGTAACTTTTGAAGGAGTGTCATCTTGTAAGAATCAGAATCAGAAATACTTTGATAATCCTCAGGGGGAAATTGCTTTTTGTCACAGTAACTCCAGTGCAAATAAAGTAGAAAGAGGAGATAAATAATAGATAAAATAAGTAAAGACAAATCAAAATAAAGAGATAAATAGATAATATAAGTAAAAATAAAGAGGTAATATACAAGTATGCACATGATATACAACACAAAATAGTAAAATAGTATGCATAAGCTGACCTCAAGATAAATAATTACAACCTCTTAACGTCAAATCAAAGTCAGATTCATCAGTCTATCTCATGTTTATTCATCATTTGTGTTTTTCTGCAGGAGATCCACTTTTACACGTGTCGAACGGTGTGTTGGTAAACCCTGACCATCCTAACTCAAACAGCTGTCATCTGTAGAGATTCTCTCTTAATTTCCTGTAATTGCACCTAAACTCCTGCTGCATGTTTCTGCACTGAGAGACTGAATGTTCATTTTCTTTTTTTCTGAAGCTCTCCTCGTTTCATGTACGGCAGCTTTTAGGTCAGGCCTGTTGGACCTGTGTTTGGCTGTCTCGGCTGGATTTCTCTTCCTGCTCCACAGCACAGCTAAACCCTCCGTGTAGCACCCTTTGGTGGTCTGCTAACCTTCATCTTCTCCTCCCTCTGAGCTTCAGTGTTATGTTACAGCTACGAGAGTCTGTCTGCTCTTCTCTGTGTTGTTTCGTATTGTCTCTCAGCTCAGGCCTCAGGGCGCTGCAGCCTCCAGGAAACAGGACTAAGACCTTAAACCTTAACCCTAGATTCAAATCTGCCTTTTGAGTGTTCATACATTCATAACTGTGTCTCATTCCCCTGGAGGCCGTAGCTGTAAAACCTAAATCTTTACCTGCAGCTCTGACAGAGACATTATGAAGCATTAAGACCCTGAGCTCTCTGGTGCTCTCACTGCACCTCCTCACACACACAAATACTCACTCAGGAAGAGAGGATCTGATTGTTTCTCCTGTTTTTCAGTGCGGAACAGGCTGAGGGAAATCGTGGGGGCTTCCACCAACTGGAGGTACCAAACAACCAACATCAAAACACCAAGAATCAGTTTATTTACAGTCCTGGCTCCATGTGTCAGATCAGAAGAGTTTGGATAATTCTGCATGAGTTTAAGACTTTGTTAGCGCTGTTATGGATGAAAACGTCATTTTTTGGTATTATGATGCAGCACAGTGAGTGTCAAAAGTGAAGAAAAATGAAGTTTGATAGAATAAAAAAAAGCTGAGACAGTTCCACCATTTTTAGTCTTAAAATTTGCCCCAGAAAACCTCTGGTCTAGATCCAGATTTCTTTAGCAGAGATTCCCCGAGTATTTGATTTATATACCTCCACATGAATCGTGATGTAAGAACCAACAGGTGTAAACCCAGAGAGTCAGTTTAGGTGATATGTTTTATGTTTCTGTCTGCAGTGATCACCAGCAGGCGATGGCGGAGCGAGTGTCTCTGTCCTCCATGTTGGCGAAGTCTCAAAACGACCTCCCCGCCAAGAGGATGAAGGACAGCTTCCTGGAGGTTCACCTGCCGCTGGGATCCGAACCCCAGCTCAGAGAGAAATACCTGACCTTCCACAACACCGTCAGGTACGCTCACACATATCTGTGCGTGTGTTTGTGTGGATGATGTGTGAATAAAAAGGCAGATACACTCGAAATCTGACTTTTTCTCTCTTTCTCTCAGGTTTGGAAGAATCCTGGAGGACTTGGACAGTTTAGCAGGTGTCACTTTAAAACAGAAATCATCACATGATGAGAAGAATAAAGGGCTATTTCATAAAGAAAGTCACAAATGTTTTTACTCTCTCTCTCTTCAGTCCTTATCTCTTACTCTCACACCTATAACGCTACCCTGAAGAGGTCGCCTCTGTCCATCGTCACCGCTCTGGTGGATAAAATCGGTAATACATACATACATAGTACTGCTTGATTTGTTTCCTTTGATCCTTTAGAGATATAAAAAATATCTCATCTTCAGACTCATTCATGATTTTTTCTTTGCGGTGCAGATATGAGGCAGCAAATCATCTATCCTGACTGCGACATCAGGTTCACCGGTCATGTGACGTGGGTGGGAAAGACCTCGATTGAAGCGAAGATGCACATGTCACAGGTGGAGAACTTCTTCTGCTCAACATGCACCAACACACACAAAGGGAACATGTGTGGAAAAATCCAGAAACATCATGTTGGAGACTTATCATGGGTTAAATTTTCATGATATACTAGAGCTATGGTGTCTTTCATGGCTGCAGAAACAAAGACACCATCAAAACGTTGTCTAGTAAATGTATGTCACTCAAATCTATGACTGAGAATGAAGGTGAAACTCTCTTAAACACATTATTTGACTGTCAGGGTGTTGCTCATGTGTGCAGAACAGAAAAAAGGACAGAAAGACGAGCGCTGACGTAACAAATGACAGAAATCTGACTTTCCTTTCAGTACCATGACGGAGCTTACACACCAGTGCTGGATGCTACATTTGTCATGGTTGCTCGAGATCCAGAGAACAAGAGGTAAGACAACATCACTGATATGAGTTCAGAAAGGATGAGTGTGAACTGCTGGAGGTATTTAACCCAAAGGTGATCAGGTTTACATGTTTAAAGTTTGAATCATTAACAGTTTCATGTTTCTAAATTAAGTAATGAGGGTGATTTCAGCCTTGGAAACCTTTGTCGCCTCACTCTTGACTTTGTCTTGATTTCAGGGCAGCTTTTGTGAACCCGCTGAAGCCAGAAGGTCCAGAGGAGGAGAAGATTTTCCAGGAGGGAGAAGGTAAAACCTCCTGACATGACTCTATTTTAGACTCATTTTGTCTTCCAGATTCATGAGAAGCGTTTCCTCCTATTCCTTGAAACCGTTTGTTTGTTTTGTGTGTTTTTAGCGAATAAGTCTCGCCGTCAGGAGCTGAGCACTGCGTCTTTACTGAAGGTGGCTCCGACAGACGAGGAGAGGAAGATCGTACACAGTCTGTTCCTCAACACCCTGGACACAAAGTAAGACTTACAATACACTTATAGACACTATTATAAATCAAATCTGCACAGTGCAAGACTGCAGTATTTCATCAGATTTAAAAAAAAACCTCTCTGACATTCATGAATGAGTGTATTTTTGTGTTTATTCTTCTTCTTCTGCAGGACGGTCAGTTTCCGCAGCAGAGTACTTCCTCCAACCTCAGTGTGGATGGAAGATGCCAAACTGAAAGGACTGGAGATCTGTCATCCTCAGGTTGTTACAGGCTGAGTTACACTTGTGAAATGATGTATTTGTTTTTAATTCTGGTTTAAAACACATTCAGTCAGTCAGACTCTTACTTTGACAGAAAATATTGCCCCTGAGTTTAAGTCCTTTACATTTTAACATTAAGAGGGTTTTAACTGTATTAATAAATCTGACTTTATCTCTGTCTGCGTTTCCATCAGGAGAGAAACATCTTCAACAGGATATTTGGAGGTTTTCTGATGAGGAAAGCTTACGAACTCGGCTGGGCCAACGCCTGCTCCTACGGGTGAGAGCTTTAAAAAAAAAAACAAGATGTTTCAGAAAGAGAGAGAGAGAGAGAGTGTGTTTAAATGTTCAGTTTTCCCTCTTCTGTCTTTCTGCAGAGGATGTCGGCCGAGTCTGGTGGCTGTTGATGATATCCTCTTCCAGAGACCTGTGGAGATCGGCTCCCTGCTGCTGCTCTCATCACAGGTCAGAGAGGAGATTTCGATCAGAGAAAACTTCGAGCTGCTGGATGTGTGGACTTTAAAAGATGATCATGTTTCAGTGTTTGGTCTACATTTTGATCTACTTCCATAAAGCAGCATAAAAAAATCTTTAAATTTGACTCTTTACTTGTTTATAAACTCATTCTTTAAGGATTTGAACTGCGTTAATTTGCTGTTGTTGTATTTCATTCTTGTGTGTTTCTGGTTCAGGTGTGTTACACACAGGGGAAGTACATCCAGGTCCGAGTCCACAGCGAGGTGTTTGAACCCCTGACCCGCCAGCATAACACCACCAACGTCTTCCACTTTACCTTCGTCTCAGACAGAGACGTCCCCAACATCATTCCAATGACATATGGAGGTGAGACAGAGTCTTCATGTAGTCTGAAAAATCTGTTCTTATATCAGTTCCAGGTGATATAAGAGGAGTGTCAGATAGTTTGTTCGGCTTTAAAGTGAAATAAATGTCAACAAAGGTGGAATATTAATGTCCTTTTTTATGTTTGTGTGACAGAGTCGATGCTGTACCTGGACGGGAAGAGACACTTTAATCAGACTGTGGAGAACTGAGGGAGCTTATTCCCGACCGTCCAAAGCCTTACAGCGTCTGACCCATCTTAGAGTGTGTGTGTCTGTGCGTGCATGTGAGAGAGAGAAAGTGAGGTCAGGCTGAAGTCCAAATGTCATTAGTATAGATCTTTTCTTGTATGTTACACAGCTCACATGTCTGGTTACGTTTGATTCCTGCCACTGTGTTTGCTCAGGTGGTTTACATTTACAGACAAAGACAACAAAGAAAAACTGAAAGCAGCTTTTTTTATCCTTTTTAATGTATCTACACTTTGTTTCACTGTTACTTTAAGGAGTCAGTGTTTACAGCTTCATGTCTTCGTGGGGAAACATTGAAACATTCATTTTCTGCCTTATACTGACCATGTGTACTTTATTCCTTCTTTAAAGATTGCATGACTTTACAGATATGTTACATTTTTATATTCTACCATCGCTTATACGCACAAAATCTTTAAACTGACTTTTTAGTTTGGAGTGAGGAGCTTTATTATGAAAGTATCAGACTGCTGCAAAAGAGAGGAGAATGTGCTAAGATGTGTATTTACCCAAACACAATAAATGGATTCTTATTTATCTTGATTTTAAAACCGCCCCTGTGTCTTTTCTTTAACCGAGTTTGAAACAGTTTACAGCTTAGAGAACGACCTCTGGTTTCAGAGAGGATTTCTCTCTCATCTTTTAATCTATAGTTGTGATGGAGAGACACGGAAAAATGTGTCTAATATCAATATTAAAAACCCTTTTTCTAGGGTTTAGGTTGGATTGAGAGTTTGATGAAATGTTTGTGCTTTAATTTTCGAAATATTTGTGTTTAGAAATATTTGTGTTCTGGTGATCACGTTTACTATTTTTGCCTTGAAAGTACGGCAGAGTATTAGGGTCATATGAAGAAAAAAAAATTAAGACTTCGAGATTAAAGTAATTATTTACGAGAATAAAATCGTAATAAAATTCATTATTTACGAGAATATAGTCGTAATAAAATCATTACTGACGAGAATAAAGTAAAAAAAACATTACTGACGAGAATAAAGTCGTAATAAAATAATTACTAACGAGAAAAAAGTCTTAGGAAAATCATTGTTTATGAGAATAAAGTCGTGATAAAATCCCCTTATTTTAGTCGTAGTTGTAATAAAATCATTATTTACGAGAATAAAATCGTAATAAATCATTAGGAGAATAAAGTTGTAATAAAATCATAACTGACGAGAAAAGCGTCCTAAAGTAAATGAAGTCTTACCCTTTTTTTCTTTATGTTGCCTGAATACTTCACTCATTTTATATTTGATTTTCATTTTTTTAAGTTGAGATAAATGTTTTTTGTTTTTTTTTTAATCATAAAATGTTTTCTGCAGTTGTTAATCTGGGCTACTGTACACTCCCTCCCCTTGGCGTTTTCTGTTACTTTGTTTAGATGTAGTTTAGTGGCATGAACTTGTCTTTGACTTATCATATTTGCGTCGAATCTTATCATTTATTTATTTATTTTACACTTTCTTTGTTAAATTTTTACACTTGCTCCGGTCGGCCGGGGAACTAATCTCAATCTCCGTTGCAGCCAGTTTGGTCGGACCCTTTTCTCTGACGGACACTAACACGGAGCTAGCTTCTACGGAGCTACAGCGATTAACTTCCCATAATCCCTCCAGAGTCGGGTCGACGCTCAGTAGCATGCAAAATATGTTAACCATTATCTCTAACGCACTTTGTAGGATCACTGGCAGGAATGCGGTGAGTGCTGTGGGGTCTAACTGTGAGCTTTGGGCTGTTTCCGGGCTGTTTCTGGTGTCGGGTTCGAGGCTGACCTTGTAACATTATTAGCTCTGAAGCTAGTCTGACTCTTAGTTTTAATGTGCATGCTGAGGGCAAAGGTCCGAGGATTGTATGTTTGTTTGTATTTGACTGGCTGAATGTGAAATGATGAGTTTATCTCACTGTTTGTGCCTGTTTTAGTGTATTTTAATTTCTGTTTCTCTCTAATTGTTTTTACTACATCGTTATTTTTTATGAAATAAGAAGCACTGATGGGTTTAAAACTGACCAATCTCTGGGTTTACTATGATACTAGAAAAAAATACATGAAATCTAATGACACGATAATACCGCGATCGATCTTCAACAGTTCCGATATTTATCGCAACTGTTGACTATCTATCGCGGTATTAACGTTAATAGTGTTATCGATATTTATCGCGATAAAAGCCTCAAATAACTTTATCTGTGACTTAAGATGGTTTTTAAGTCCACCTTTCTTTACAGGCTAAAGCGCAGAGTAAATGTTGTCTTTGTCTCTTTGCAAACAGCTGCTCATAGTGTGTGACTGAAATGTAAAGATGACAGGACTTTAATCTGAAAACGTGTCAATTAACTTTCAGAATCTCTTAGGGCTGGGTGATAAAACGATAACGATGTATATCAAAAATTAATTTCCCTCAATATCAATATAAAACATGGTCAATATGTGCTGCATTGTAGTTACCCCGGAAGTCGGATGTCAGAGAAGGAAATGACACAACACCCAAGTTGACAGCGTTCTGGTTAACAAGACAAGAGTGATGATTTAACAGCTGACAAGGAGTTAGTAGTAGTTTGAAATGTAAAACTTGAATATATTAAATTCTATTAACAGACTCATGTTAATCCTGAGATATTGGTTCAGACCGAAACACATCAGTGCATTCTTTTTCAGTTTACTTTTCCAATAGTCAGCGCTGAAGCAGAGAGCACTGACAGCTGCATAAGTGTCTATGTCGGGATGTTTCATCAGCAGCAGGGATCCTACAGTCCTTTATCAATTTTGCAATAATCAGCTGCGACTGTGCAATAGTAATGTGATTTGCACTGAAATATATCATTTCTAAGCAGTGAAACTTGTCCTTTCCTGAAACAAACCAGCATGTGTCTGCATGATGTCCCCGCTGTTGTAAAGCTTTGTGCTGACTCTCGCTCTCTCCCTCTGCATTCACTCTCTCTCTCCTCCCAACACACAACACACAAACACAATCACAAAGACACAACAATCCCTATTTATTTCTTGCTTTTCTCCCCCCTCTCCTCCTCTCCCCTTGGCCTGAACCGTAGGGAGCCCAAACAGTGTCTGAGGTAAGCAGCTTCACGCTCAGCTCATATTTGTCAGCTCCTGCAGTCATGTGTCCAGAGGAGCTCCTTTAAAGCGCTTTTTAGGCTAGAAAATGTAGTTTAAATTGTGGAAATGGTCAAACTTAGACAGCATCCAGTCGAACACAAAAGTTTTACTGCTTTTTGGTTAAATTGACTGTTTCAATGCTGTGGATTTCATTGAAAATACACATTTTAAACTCTGCATGTTTTGTCTATTTGAGTTTAATTTTTTAATTTTGTCATTAAAACAATATTGTAGCACAATTATAGGCAGTAATTTGGTTCAAAAGCTGTCCTGAAGATATTTCACAATGGCACAACATTTATTGGCTGTTTGAGCTTCTCAGCAGTCATCATGACAGGAAGAATTTACTTTATTATCACTTTAAAATGAATAAAGTAACTGTAACATACATACATCAAAATATGGAGATGTAACAAATAATCACTGAAGGGCCTGGGAATCAGTACAAATGCATTTCTCTACTTTAAATCAGGGTATTTTTCTTATATTTATATGCTCATTTTAAATGTGATGCCAGCGACACGTTCAAAAAGTTGAGACAGGGATACTGTGTAAACCTAAGTGAACTCAGCAGACCAGTTTCTGGAGTCTGAAAGTGGAATGTTGTCCCATTCTTGCCTGACAGAGGATTTCAGCTGCTCAACAGTTCAGGGTGTTTGTAGATGCAGCAACAGGGAAGTGATTTTGAGCCTATGCAGTGATTTCTATGACAGAGTCATGTCTCTTTCTGAAAGTCCTTTTTTTAAACCATGTCATCGAGGAGAGATGTTCCTCCAGGTTTTTTCTCAGCATAACATAACATTTTCAGAGTTTATTGTTTCAGTTCCAACTTTTGCGAACAGAATTGGTGGCATCAAATGAAAAATGAGTTTGTATTTTTCTCAAACAACAAAAATCTGTATCTATGACAGACATGTGCTCGATTTCTCATTAGATATAGGCTCTGAAATAGCAGAGTTCATTAACATGACATAGTGAAGGTAATGTGGAGTGAATATCATAAAACACAGCTGAGATGTTGGAGGGTCTGAAACATCTGTAAAAATCTCGAAGGAAACCTCTGATCTGAAATGTTGAAATGTTGTGCTGATTGTGTCAAATATCAGGTGAAGAGTAGACACTGTTGGGCTGGTTCCAGTTCCCTGAGTGTGTTTGTCCTCATGTTAGCCTTTAGCCGTCATCACGAGTGTGTGTGTGTGTGTGTGTGTGTGTGTGTGTGTGTTCGGTCTCCATGTAGCAGCTGCCGTGTTCACCTGTAGCCCTCTCTAGAGCTCCTCTGGCTGTGCTGTGCCTGTCTGTGCTCTGATTGGTTGGCTCCTGTGCTCCCCAGTTGCTGGTTGACCTGTCAGAGTACGTCAATGTAACGTCACCGGCGGCGCCCGCCTTGGCACAGAACCAGCGGCAACCACCCAAACCACCTCCAGTCAGTGCTGGAGCCCCTGCTCCTGAGTTAGTTAGCAGCCAGAGCGACCAGCTAGACAGACCAGTAAGAACCCGAAGAGCACCCTCCATGTCTGCCTGATCACTAATGGGGGCGGGAACTAAACCTGTGTGTCTGAGGGCGTCTGCGGCTCTTTCACAACCAGAGTTAAAGGGAAACAAACCAAAAAGAGCTTTAGGCTTCATGTTTCATCCACTTGTTGACACATCCTGAGTTTTTCTTTGGTTTCTGGGAAATGTTTGAAATCACTAACTGAACTTTCCTTTAAAGGGTTAAAGACAAACTAATGTTACAGATAAGCATGTTCAAAATAACGGCTGTGACTCTTTCTTACCGGGACGTTTGTTCTGTCTATAATTGCTCTTCTTCTAAAGTCAGACGTCCACATATTCTCTGGTCTGTTCTGACAGTGTAAGCTGTTACTGCATGCTCACGTTGAATGCATTTTCCTCTTACAATTAAATCAGAATCTGAATTTTTAAACCTGCAGACACGTTAAAATAGACTCAAACTGACTAAAATGATCCAGATTCAACCTGTTTTGTGGCCTCAACTGGGTCTTCTTCCAATCCATCAGCAGCAGGACCCTGATCTGGTGATATGTAACGATCTTATTCATGAACTTGTTTTTTATTTTCCACTCTTATCTGAAAAACTGCTACTTATATCTGCTGTGAAAACTAAAAACATTTGATTTGATCATCATTATTGATGTTTTTTTAGCTCTATTTGAATTGGCTGATTGAATAAGTTGTTATTTAGTCCAAACTCTTGTTGGTTTGGAGCCACAGCAGAGGATTGGTGCTTTGTTACCCTCCCACCTAAATCACACACCTGTAGGAGTCCAATCTAGGACGAGTCTACACACCTACAACCTGATTTCCTCTCCCACACCTGTAGCTCGTCTCACCTTCACCTGCTGTGAGGAGGAGGGCAGAACTTTGTGTCTCTCTTTGTGTTACAGTTTGTGCGTCTTGTGTTTGTGTTTGAATAAATGTTATTGGTCTGTTTTTATATATGATCACAGGGGGCCAGAGTCGTGGTTTCCCGCTCCTTCGCTGATTTCACCCCTCAGGCCACCTTTGACATCAAGGTGAGTGCTCGACAGACACTATTTGCAACTAAAAATAGATGTGTGCGAATTGTAAAATGCATATAGGGGCACATGTGCGCATAAAAAAATCAGGTGAGGCAACAAATGTGTTTTCCTGTAAATACGGCGGTGAAGTTAGTTTCAGGTTGGATATTTGTCGGACATTCACTGTGGATGTACCGGTGTCTCCTCACTCTCCATAACCGGGCATGGCAACAGCAGCGCGGTTAAATCCACTCGGCATCCTCGCTGTCAACGCCGGGTGTTGAATAAGGGACCATCAATAAATTACCTGTTTGTGTTCTCAGAAAAGGCCGTTTTCCTTCAATAACTTTAATTTCATGTGACTAATTGACATAAAATTGATTTCAAATATTAGTACTAAGGTTAGACAATAAGACAAACCTCTTTATTTCCCTAAATCAGGGGTGGACCATCATGTTATGGAGAGCCGAGAAGCTGCAGGTTTTCTTCCCAACCCAAAACTTCACCAGGTGATTTCAATAATTACCTAGCAGAGACTAATCAGTGAAATCAGCTGGTGGAGTTTTGGGTTGGATAGAAAACCTGCAGCCTCTCGGTCCTCCATGGTACATGATTGACCACCCCTGCCCTAAATTGTCCTCTAAAATTTTTGTGTTAAATTTAAAGGCAAATCTTGAACATTTTATGACAGTAGCTTCCATGTCGTATGACAAAAAGACCTAAAATTGATTTCAATAATAGTGCTTCTGTCGACAAATAAGACATGTAATTTGATCGATTTTCATTGTGCCCCTAAAGTTCTTTGTGTGCTTCTTACTTTTTCAACTCAAGAGCAAAAAAGTAAGTGTCAAGCCCTCGAGTGGATCAGAATCTAATGAAGGGATTGTTAAAAAAAATATGGATGAAAATTGGTAAGATTTTACTGATACCGATGCTGTAGTTGATCTGGTTTATCAAGCTACCATTTTATCAGTTCCTGTGGATTTCCTCTGTGAGGAAAAAGAGCAAAGTATGTTTTTTCTTTTTTTTCTTTTTTTTCTTCTTTTAAGCTGTGAAATTTCTTTGTCTTCCTTCTGGTAGAAATGCGACGTCCACCGTCTGGAGGAGGGTCCCCCGCTGAAGGCCGAGCTGACCCGGGAGCAGGGTCTGGAGTATTACCGCATCATGCAGACTGTGAGGCGCATGGAGCTCAAAGCTGATCAGCTGTACAAACAGAAGATCATCAGAGGGTTCTGTCACCTGTATGACGGACAGGTAAGAACAGAAATACTCTTAACAATTATTTTATAAGTCCCACAGAGCTGAAAGTAACAGTAAAAACCCATAAAAGTAAAATAGAAATGTACAGTGTGCAAAGTCTGTGCAGAAATCTAAACATCTAAAATCTGACTGATCAAGGATCCAGTCCCTGTGCCCTGCTCTGTCTTCACTAAATAAAGACAAAATCTCGAAAGTCTTGACGCAGCTGCTTTCTTCCATCTTAAAAAGCATCAGTAAAAATTTTATATAAATTAAAAACTCCTCCCAGGAGCTTTAAACGCTCTTCCATCTCTGTAAACTGAGTTTTGTCCTCCCTGCAGGAAGCGTGTGCAGCCGGCATCGAGGCAGCCATCACCCCCAACGATCACCTCATCACCGCCTACAGGGCTCATGGGTACACCTTCACCCGCGGGGTGCCTGTCAAGGAGATCCTGGCCGAGCTCACAGGTGACAAAGAGGTGTCACAGTCGTGTCTGCTTGGATGTAGTTGAGCTTAAGTTTATACTCATTTCCTCTTGTCGCTCTGTAGGTCGTAAAGGAGGTGTGGCCAAAGGGAAAGGAGGTTCAATGCACATGTATGCTCCTCATTTTTACGGGGGCAACGGCATCGTGGGAGCACAGGTAAGAGTTTAAAATGCTAGCTTCAAAGCTTCAAAGGTTATCTGGTTTAAAAAAATAAATCTTAAAACATGAACAGCTTTTGAAACTTGCATTCTGATCCATAACTCTGCTGTGATCTGTTCAGGCTCCTCTGGGCGCTGGTATCGCTCTGGCCTGTCAGTATCAAGGGAACAACCAGGTGTGTGTCACACTCTACGGCGACGGAGCGGCCAATCAGGTAAATCATCAGACCCTGTCCTCACTGTGTGAAGTCACTTCATATTTTTCACATTAAGATTTCCTCAAAACCGCCGCGGTCTGTCCTCTCTGAACCAATCAGGGCCAGCTATTTGAGTCCTTCAACATGGCCGCCTTGTGGAAGCTGCCGTGCATCTTTATCTGCGAGAACAACAAGTACGGTATGGGGACGTCTGTGGAGAGAGCGTCGGCCTGTACTGACTACTACAAGAGAGGAGACTTCATACCAGGAATCCGAGTGAGTTAAAGGGAAGATTAGGATTTACTCCAGCTGATTAGAGGCTGCAGGAAAGTGGTGGTAGAGGCTGCACAGCCAAAGATCATCCTCTAAGAGTTCTTGTTTTAGTCTCTGTTAGGCTCACATTGTTATTTTAAGTGTCTGACAGCATTTCAGAAAGTATCTCTACAAAGACAGACCTGTCTTCTCAAGGTGAGGTCTTTTTAAAACCAGAAAAGGAAGAAACCAGAATCCACTGACAAAAACAGCAATTTCACTCAGACGTGTCAGAGTTCTGCAGCTTTTAACAGGAGGTTGAATTTTCTGACTTTGTAATTTAAAGGGGACAATTCAGGTTTAAAAGAAAGTGTTAATGCGATTTTAATAACTTGAGATCATGTTAGAATTCATGGCAGTGACAGGCAAGCAGCTCCTTTTGTTCTGCAGGTAAAAATACAGTTTTTTTCAATGGAGTTTGGTTAAGTGGTAGAAAGCAATGTTACAGCTGTTTCTGTTTTTAAAAGGGTCTTATTCCATGAAAAGTCTGTCTCTGCAGGAATCCTTCATCTATTTTCATACTGATTAAGTATTTCCGTACTTACAGTATAATAAAAACAGGGTCAAGTGGAAACAGTTGTTTGTTTCTTCCTGTATTTTGTAGTTTTCATCAGAAAATCTGTGTATTTCATTGACAGTCACATTGACAATTCTCATAATGTACCCATTGGTTGCCAAGGGTCCCAGATATGTTGAATAAAAGAGCAGAATGCCCCTTTAATTTCTAGTCTTTTTAAGCTAATTTCTTGTAGTAGTTAAACTCTTGGGTCCTGAGCCGTGGCTGCAGTGTGTCCTCTGACTGTACTCTGCAGCTGGTCTGAAAGGACCCAGATTATAACAGGAGGCTGATGATCCGTCCTGGCAGTTGCAGGTGTGAGCATTCATACAGCTGTCTGATGCTCATGTATGATACTGCACACAAACCATAAGTGTCTGAAGATGTGTCACAGGGCTTCTTTACCTCTGTTGTCATGTGACCTGTTTGTTTCCTCTGTCCAGGTTGATGGGATGGACGTTCTGTGTGTCAGAGAGGCCACAAAGTTTGCAGCAGACCACTGCAGATCTGGAAAGGTGAGCTGGAGAAGACAATTTAAGTTCCACAAGTTTAACGAGACAATGTTTGTTTTTTAGTTTAAATCAGAACAAACAGAAACTCCAGTAATCTGTGCTGTAGTTAGATGCATAAATCTTTTGTGCTGCAGAACGCAGAAGCTGTAAAAATCCCTCTGAGAATTGCTGCGTTGTTATTTCAGGGTCCCATTGTGATGGAGCTGCAGACGTACCGTTACCATGGACACAGCATGAGCGATCCAGGTGTCAGGTGAGTAACCCTTTTTAATTTCTGGATGTCAAAGACTTTATGTTCAGTTATTGTGAGTCTGTGTTTAACCTCCAGGCGTAAAGATCATTTAATCCTGTTTCACATCAACGCAGTATGAACTTTAATCCTGTTTGTGCTCCGTATTCAGTATCACCGTAGTGTTTTCAGTGTTATTTTTTAGGCCTGTTGCACTAAATATGGCCTATCAAGCCAGACTAAATACTGTTCCTGACCTTGCTGTGATGTCACTTCCTGCAGCTACCGCACTCGTGAGGAGATCCAGGAAGTTCGCAGCAAGAGCGACCCCATCACCTTGCTGAAAGACCGCATGCTCAGCAACAACATGGCCTCTGCAGAGGAGTTCAAGGTGAGTGTGCACCAAACATAAACACACACGTGTATCAGACAGCACAGAGCAGCTCCGAGCAGCAGAGTGGAGATGCCGACGGTCAGGGGTGATCTTCATAATCATCAAACAATAGCTGCAAACTGAAATCTCGTCTGTCCCGTCAGGAAATGGACGTTGCGATCCGTAAGGAGGTGGAGGAAGCTGCTCAGTTTGCAACATCAGATCCAGAGCCACCGCTGGAGGAGCTCTGCAACCACATCTTCAGCAACAGCCCGCCACTGGAGGTCCGTGGGATACACCCCTGGTCCACACTAAAGTCTGTCAGCTAGACAACAAAAAAAACACACAAACACACTCCAAATATCCAGATCAACACACCAACCCCTGAGTCCTTCAGCTGCACGACACCCTGACTTTAAAATCACCCTCAGCTTTCCTCCAGTCTAGATCATTCCGCACCTTAATGGGACTCAGCGTCTATCTGAAACCTGTCAGTGTTATTTGTTTATAGTTTTATAGAGAAATATTTAAGATTTTTTCTGTTTTTGTCTGTTTTGGTTTGTCGGTGTTTTATCTTGAAGCTGCTGTGTGCTGCCAGAGATCTGTGAAGATGAGCCATCCCTCCGAGCGTGCTGTGTGCACCTCACAGGCGGCTTTGCAGTTTGGAAATACTTCAGGGCTGCAGATTATACGCACAAAACTTAGCTGTCCTGCTGCACCCTTTCTCCTCCTCCTACTTAGAAGCAATGTCACCGTATTCCTGCTTCCAAATCTCCTGAAAAATGTAGATCCTGTTTGAAGGAGGCGCTTTGGTGGATGAGACACCTGCAAGAACAAAGAAACAGCTTCTCTTTGAGTTAGTCTGAGGTTTGACTGCTCAGGTTGCCATGAAACTGAGAGAGAGCAGAAAAAAACTCCTCGGTGTTTTGTGTAAAAAAAAACTTGATTTAAAACAATGAAAACCAGTATTCTATACTCAACAGTCCTTTAAAAGCTGTTTGAAACACTCCTTTCCAAGAAACCAGCTTCTTTTAAAAAAGTGATCAAAAATATTTCTTTTTAACTGTTCGTTTCTTTTGACTTTTCAGACCAAATTTTAAACACAGCTGCAGAAAGCTCCAGTTTGTTTGTGTGAGAGAGAACTGGAGCGACATGAGCCAAGTCAGTTTAAAACGGATGGAGACAAAAATGGGTTACATACAATATTTTGTGTTAATACTAAATATATCATCATTCTCAATACTTAGGATTTACAGATTATTTATGCTGCAGTCATGAAAATGAGGTCTGTTTTTACCTGCTACAATTTAAAAGTTTGATGCACTCTTGAGTTAAAGTAGATATTGTTTAAAAAAGGGCCGTTCTGCACAAAAGTCCTTCTGACTTTAGCACTTTTATTTATTGTTGATGCTCATTTTAAAGCTCCTGTGAGGAGATTTAACTGGTCATGAAAATAAAGTGGAGGACACATCATTTGCGCATGTGCAGGACAAACTCTGTGATAATGGATGACATGCTTTGTCCACAGGGGGGCGTCACAACGAATTTAAAGTTCCTCACAGGAGCTTTAAAAAGGCAGAGGTCAGCCACATTTGTTTTTACTTTAAACTCTGGTGAGGGTCTATCTGTTGGAAACGGTTGTGGCGCCCCCTGTGGTGAAAGTAGACCCTTTGGTGTGAAATGTGTCCCTCACTGTTAACTTTTTATGAACCATTAAAACTCCTCACAGCAGCTTTAAATCAAACTTCTTCATCCACCTCTGGTTTAAATATGCATTAATGGATTTATTTACAGTGTGTGGGTGTTAAGTAAATGGGATTTATTAAGACGACTGTTGATCAGTGGTATGAGATTTAAAGGGTTTTAGTTGAGAGTTCCTAGCCGGTGAATAATGCAATAGAATATTTAATATTTACAGTTTACTCTGTTCAGTTTAGAGGATTCTATGAGATGTGAAGATGCACTGAAAACTCCTAAATGTTTAATATCTTCAAGGAAAGTTTGAGGGAAAACCAGCAGCAGCACTGAACAGATAACATGTTTCATGTACTTTTCTCCTCTTTTCACTAAAGTTTACTCTGCTTGAACCTGTGTGTGTACGGAGATGAAGCTTCACTTGACTGTTACTGTGTGTGTATGAACTGAGAGGCTGTTTGGCTTTAAAATAAAGGCTTGAAGAAAGAGCAATACTGTGTGTGTTTCTGTCCGCATTTCACATGCTCCGAAGTGGCATTGCAAATTTATGTTGTTTAAAAACCTGCAGGACTAAATCGGTTTATTTGTGGCGGTAAAATGAAGCTGCTGTACCTGTGCAGATAAAGCAAAGCTCTAGTTCGATAGACACATCCAAAAAATAAAGTCAGATTTCACCTCTGAGCCAACTGTATGTGAGTAAATGACGTGTGTTTATCAGCCTGATTCAGTGACATTAGTAGGGCTTTATTGAAAATAGCTGTGCCGAACATCAGCATTGTTATTAAAATATAACTTGAATGAATAAATAGAAAATGTGTATATAGTGGGTATGATATTTCTTGTTTTAAATACCGTATGCACAGTCTATGGATACCCACATCTGACCACTAGGTGTCACTAACAGGCTGCAAAATGAACTGTTATGATTTCTCACAGCCATGGAAACAAAACATTAGAGCTGAGCAGCAGGTTAATCAAGCAGTGATGTTTTTTTATGATAAATTACATCATTTTACTGTAGTGTAATACGTTTCTGCCCCTAAATACACATAACTTCAAACACTGTTACAGTTCAGACATTTATGTTCTACTGTCAGACATATTTCACATTAAAAGCTCAAAGTGTGGGGGTGTGGTCGGAGATGCGAGCAGAGTAGACGTGTTTTTTAGAGCTCCTCGTAGTACGCCAAATCTTACTGTTTAAAACCGCTTTTTTGATCATTTGACTCGCCTTTTTTGTCGAACTTTGTTTCGTGTCTACACCACTATCGAAAGGAACGCAAAAATGTCCGGTAAAACTGCAGGAGGAAAGGGAGGAAAGGGAGCCAACGTTAGCCGCCCGCTAGCTGACACTGCAGCTCATGCTAGCCGCGACCAAGCCAAAAATCAACCTGGCAAATCACCAGTCACTGATCCGGGCACGTCTAATTGGATCTCACAGGTCTATCAATCACCATTTACATCAAAAGCACGTGGTGTTGCCATTCTCTTCCGAAAGACTGTGCCTTTTCGATTTCAATCATCAACAACTGACCCAAACGGCAGGTTTATAATTGTAACCGGACACATCAATTCATTCCCTATCACGCTAGTGAATATTTATGGGCCGAACACAGATGATCCGGCTTTCTTCCGAAAGGTGTTTGATCTGATTCCAGACGATGATTCAAGCCACATAGTGATAGGGGGCGATTTTAATTGCTACCTGGACCCTTATTTAGATAGGATGTCTTCTACCCCCCACCTAACATTCTTGCTGTACAAACTATTAACAATTTGATGAAAACAAAGAAGGTGGTGGATATTTGGAGATTGCAGCACCCATCTGACAGGGACTATTCTTTCTACTCTCATGTGCACAGATCATACACACGGATTGATTATTTTCTAGTTGATTCCAGATTAATTTCTAACATCACCTACACTAAATATCACAACATACTAATATCTGACCACAGTCCAGTTAATATTAACCTTAAACTGTGCTCCCGTAAACAAGCCTATAGTTGGCGTTTTAATCCTTACCTCCTGGAGGATCAGGCTTTTAAAACATATATCACCACGCACATATCACAGTTCCTTGAGACCAATGACAATGGGGAGGTGAACGACACTACTTTGTGGGAAACTCTAAAAGCATATATTAGGGGGCAAATTATTTCGTATGAAGCAACACTGAAAAAGACTAAGTGTGGCAGATTGGCAGAGATTGACAAAGAGCTACAGACTGCTGAACAGGTCTATCGAAATTCACTACTCCAATCGGATTATAACACAATCATTAAATTAAAGTACGAGTATAATTCCATTCTGGGAGAACAGATTGGCAATTTATTATTAAAACTTAAACGGAGACACTTTGAGCTCGGTGACAAACCACAAAAGCTACTGGCGAGACAGTTAAAAGGAGAACATGCAAAACGAGCTATTTATAAAATAAAATCTGAATCTGGAGAGATGCTTACAGACTTGAAGGACATCAATGACCGTTTTAAAGAATTCTACTCAGAAATTTACACCTCCAAATCAACCGCTACACAGGAAGACTTTGACCAGTTTTTTGACTCTCTTAACTTTCCAAAATTAGACACAGTTTTTAGGGAGAGTCTGGACTCGGATTTCTCTCTTTCTGAATTACAGGACGCCATCAGAGCATTCCCCACTGGTAAAGCGCCGGGCCCAGATGGGTTTGGGCCAGAGTTTTACAAAGCTTTTCTTGGGATCCTAGCACCCCCTCTGTTGAGAATGATTCGTGACACGTTTAAAAACAAACAGCTTCCACCCTCTCTCAGTGAAGCAAATATTTGCGTTTTATTAAAAAAAGACAAGGATGAAACAGACCCGGGCAGCTACAGGCCTATTGCCCTGCTAAATTACGATTTGAAAATAATTACAAAAGTTCTAGCGAACCGGCTCGGGAAGAATGTAGCAAGTATTATTCACCCTGACCAAACAGGATTTATCCCGGGCAGGTACTCCTTCTGTAATGTTCGCAAAATCCTTAATATAATTTATGCAGATTATAGAAAAGATGATAGAGCAGCTTTACTGTCCTTAGACGCTCGTAAGGCATTCGACATGATAGAATGGCCCTATCTATTTGCAACACTTAAAAAAATTGGATTCGGCGACACTTTCATAGAGTGGGTCAAGATATTATACAGCAATCCGAAATCTTCCATTCTAACGAATGGGGACAGATCTGGTTCGTTCACCCTGCAACGCGGCGTCCGTCAGGGAGACCCATTGTCCCCCCTGCTCTTCAATATAGCGTTGGAGCCGTTGGCTATTGGTATTAGAGGACATCCATGTATTAAAGGTATTAGATCAGGCGGTACTGAGACCTGCGTGACTCTGTACGCAGACGACCTCCTTGTCTGTCTAGCTGACCCTATGGTTTCCATTCCTGTTTTACTAGAATACATAAATGACTTCGGGAGCATCTCTGGCTATACTATAAACTGGGGGTTAGGGTTAGGGTTAGGGGTTAGGGTTAGGGGGTTAGGATTACGGGAAAAGGGGGACTGTCTCCTAGGATAGGAGACAGGAGGTGCACGGTCCATCCCCCTGTTCCCCGTCCCCCACGACCCCGTTTGGTACTGCTGATTATTAGTGCGGTACGGGCGTCGACCACGCCTCCCGTACCGCACTTCAGTCCATTGTTCTTGCTCGTAAGTCATGATTGTTTTTTAATCTTTTTAATTATTTATTACTATTTATTAATGTGGTGTAATTACTAAACTATTTATTTATTGGTGTATCTATCTATCTAATTTATTTATTTATTGAAATGAAGGTATTTAAAACTAAAACAGTATAACAAAATAAATGAATTGTTCTTATTTTTTTCTGATTTTTTGTTTTTTGTGAAATAAAAATGAAATAAAAATGAAATAAAAGTGAAAAAACTAAATAAAATGTCTATCAAAATGAAGAATAGAGAAATAAGAGGTGAAAAAAGTGCCCAGTCGCGACGTTTCGACCGCTGTGGGTCTTCTTCAGGCTATGGGCACAAAAGGGAATATGTCTGGACTTGTCTGAGTCTGTTTGTGAGGTGTTTGCTCTTCAGGAGACATTTGAGGAATGAGAGGCTGAGCTGTGTGTGCGTGTCTTATTTATAGGGGCGTGGGAGAGGGCAGAGCCAGACGGGGGCCCCCGGCCGTCTGGATACCGTCTGGGTGCAGTTAACCCCATAAATGCCAACTAAAATTAAATGACCTGAATGTTAATGCCAAATTAGAACTTTTTACCCTCTTTTTAAGTGATTAAATTTAATGGATTGTAATTGTAATGCCCAATTTAGAAATTTCTACCCTGTTTTAGCTGATTAATTGTAATTTTAAGGCCCAATTTAGAATGTTTCCCCCTTCTTTTTAACAGATGAATTGAAATGAATTATAATTTAATGCCCCATTGAAACTTCAGTCTTTTAAATCCATATTTGCCAATTAGTATTTTAATGAAGTTGAATTTTAAAGATAGTTGTAGTATTTTTAGGCCTTAATCCTTTTTAAATGTTAGATAAGATATGCATTTTTAATATTTATGGTTTAAATGTCAAATGATTACTATTTTTAACGTATTATGAATTTTAACAATTAATAATGAATTAAAAATAATTAATACAAATAAATTATTAGTTTTTAAAGGTTAGGGTTAGGGGTCAGGGCTAGGGTAAGAGAGGTTAGGGTTAGGGTTAGGGCTAGGGTTAGGTTTAGGGCTAGATCTAGGGGTTAGGGTTAGGGTTAGGGCCAGGGTTAGGGTTAGGTTTGATCCCGAGGGTTAGGGTTAGGGTTAGGGATAGGGTTAGGGTTAGATTTTGATCCCCGAAGGTTAGGGTTAGGGTTAGGGATAGGGTTAGGGTTAGATTTTGATCCCCGAGGGTTAGGGTTAGGGATAGGGTTAGGGTTAGATTAGGGTTAGGGTTAGGGTTAGGGTTAGGGGTTAGGGTTAGGGTTAGGGGTTAGGGTTAGGGGTAGGGGTTAGGGTTAGGGTTAGGTTTATGGATAAAGGGGGACTGTCTCCTAGAATAGGAGACAGGAGGTGCACGGTCCATCCCCCTGTTCCCCGTCCCCCACGACCCCGTTTGATACTGCTGATTATTAGTGCGATACGGGCGTTGACCACGCCTTCTCCCGTATCGCACTTCAGTCCATTGTTCTTGGTCGTAGGTCATGATTGTTGTTTTAACCTTTTTAATTATTTATTGTTATTTATTAATGTGGTGTATTTATGAGACTATTTATTTATTTATTGGTCTATCTATCGATGTTTTTAAACAAAAACTGTATCAAATGAACTGTTCTTTATTTTTTTATGCGTTTTTTTGTTTTTTGTGAAATAAAAATGAAATAAAATGAAATAAAAGTGAGAAAACTGAATAAAATGTGTATCAAAATGAATAATAAGTGCCCAGTCGCGACGTTTCGACCGCTGTGGGTCTTCTTCAGGCTATGGGCACGAAATAAAATATGTCTGGGCTTGTCTGGGCTTGTCTGGGCTTGTTTGAGTCTGCTGGTGAGATGCTTTCTCTTCAAGAGACATATGAGAAGTGGGAGGCTGAACTCTGTGTGCGTGAGTTTTTTATAGGGGCGTGGGAAAGAGCAGAGCCAGACGGGGGGCCTCCGGCCGTCTGGGTGCAGTTAACCCCATAAATGCCAACTGAAATTAGATGACATGAATGTTAATGGCCAATTGGATTTTTTTACCCTCTTTTAACAGATTAACTTTAATGAATTATAATTGTAATGCCCAATTAGAATTTTTTATGCTCTTTTTAACTTATTTAACTTAATGAATTGTAATTGTAATGCCCAATTTTAACGTTTGCCAATTAGAATCGTAATGAATTTGAATTTTTAAAGAGAGATGTAATTATGTTATCCCCTAATTCCCTTTTTAAATTTTAGATGAGATATCTCTTTGTAATATTTATGGTTTTAATGTCTAATGGATTAAAAAGAATTAATTAAAATAAATTATTAGTTTTTAAAGGTTAGGGTTAGGGGTCAGAGCTAGGGTTAGAGAGGTCAGGGTTAGGGCCAGGGTTAGGGTTAGATTTGATCCCCGAGGGTTAGGGTTAGGGTTAGGGATAGGGTTAGGGTTAGATTTGATCCCCGAGGGTTAGGGTTAGGGTTAGGGATAGGGTTAGGGTTAGGGTTAGGGTTAGGGTTAGGGGTTAGGGTTAGGGTTAGGGTTAGGGTTAGGATATAGGGATATGTGCCACTTTTGACATGCCGGTTCATTGCCTTTCCCATCGATGAACCGGGCTGAGATTTGGTCTACCCCCCCATTTTCGGGTATGCTGAATCTAAAAATAGTAATGAACCAGCGATCGGACATTCCTATCAAAAGTTATGGCGAAGTGAAAATTTCCCATTGAAAATGAATGGGAGCGGAAAAATGGCCAGAGTCAGTGTTTGCAAGTGTTGTACTTGTCTGGAACTGTTGAAAATGCATTGTGAGCACGTTTCAGGCCATTTCCTGTCTTTTGAGGGCGACTTTGCAAAAAGGGGTGTCATACCGCTTTTGACCAGAGGTGGTGCTGCACATGTCCGACGGTTAGGGTTAGGGTGAGACTTTGGGCAAGGGGTTAGGGTTAGGGTTGGAGCTAGGGTTAGGGTTAGTTGTGGAGCTAGGGTTAGGGTTAGGGTTGGAGCTAGGGTTAGGGTTAGGGTTGGAGCTAGGGTTAGGGTTAGGAAAATGTGAAGATTTTCCCAAAATGTGAAGATTTTCCTAAGTGCGGACCCAATTTTTCACCTTCCAGAATTGTGTTAGGAGCACGTTTCAGGCCACGGGGAGTCCATAGAACCTGATTCTGGGTGAAGTTTTCGGGGGTTGGAGCTTTGGGGCAGGATATAGGGATATGTGCCACTTTTGACATGCCGGTTCATTGCCTTTCCCATCGATGAACCGGGCTGAGATTTGGTCTACCCCCCCATTTTCGGGTATGCTGAATCTAAAAATAGTAATGAACCAGCGATCGGACATTCCTATCAAAAGTTATGGCGAAGTGAAAATTTCCCATTGAAAATGAATGGGAGCGGAAAAATGGCCAGAGTCAGTGTTTGCAAGTGTTGTACTTGTCTGGAACTGTTGAAAATGCATTGTGAGCACGTTTCAGGCCATTTCCTGTCTTTTGAGGGCGACTTTGCAAAAAGGGGTGTCATACCGCTTTTGACCAGAGGTGGTGCTGCACATGTCCGACGGTTAGGGTTAGGGTGAGACTTTGGGCAAGGGGTTAGGGTTAGGGTTGGAGCTAGGGTTAGGGTTAGGTTGTGGAGCTAGGGTTAGGGTTAGGGTTGGAGCTAGGGTTAGGGTTAGGGTTAGGGTTAGGGTTAGGGTTTGGGGTTAGGGTTCGGGTTAGGGTTAGGGTTAGGGTTAGGGTTAGGGGGGGTTAGGGTTAGGGTTAGGGTTAGGGTTAGGGGTTAGGGTTAGGGGTTAGGGTTAGGGTTAGGGTTAGGGTTAGGGTTAGGGGTTAGGGTTAGGGTTAGGGTTAGGGTTAGGGTTAGGGGTTAGGGTTAGGGTTAGGGTTAGGGTTAGGGTTAGGGTTTAGGGTTAGGGTTAGGGTTAGGGTTAGGGGGTTAGGGTTAGGGTTAGGGTTAGGTTTTTGGGTAAGTATCCCGTCTCCCCTAAGTTGCCCTACTTGGGCGGCGGGGAGCGGGGAATGCACGGTCCTTCGCCCACCGGACACGCTCCCCCGGTCCCACAGGAAACACGACTTGTGCTTAATAAATGTTGTTGTTGACTTGGTTTTAATGTGTTGCGTTATTGTTTTTAAATAGTTTCCATTTTTTTAGGATTTTTTGTTTTTGTTTTTAAATAATTTCCAGTTTTTTAGGATTTTTTTGTTTTTTATATACACAACACACAAACAAACAAACAAACAAACAAACAATACATGATCACACAGGAACTATGTACATACATTGTGCGCGTCGACGACGTTTCGACCCTACTTGGGTCTTCATCAGGTCATGCGCACAAAAAGAATGGCTGCTGGGCCCCAATTCATAGGGGTGTGTACCCAGCAGGCAGCCAAATAAAAATGAAGTTATCCCTGTTCCCCTCTCCCTTTTATACCCTTGGAGAAATAATTTACTGAATTTTCTTAAATAATTTGTGTTATTTTGTACTCTATTTAGTTTCTGAATGTTAACCCTTTAGACGCTGATTGTTTTTTAATGCATGATATATTTATCTTATGTTAACCCTTTAGACGCTGATTGTTTTTTAATACATGATATATTTATCTTAATGCTGAGGTTAGGCTTCAAGTGACCCCCTAGGGTTAGGGTTAGGGTCAGTATTAGGGTCAGGGCTAGTATCCGAGGTTAGGGTTAGATCCTGAGGTTAGGCTTCAAGTGACCCCTAGGGTTAGGGTTAGGGTCAGTATTAGGGTCAGGGCTAGTATCCGAGGTTAGGGTTAGATCCTGAGGTTAGGCTTCAAGTGACCCCTAGGGTTAGGGTTAGGGTCAGTATTACGGTTAGGGTTAGTATCCAAGGTAGGGTTAGGGTTAGGGTTAGGGCCACGATTGGGGTTATGGCAAGCGCTAAGGTTAGGGTTAGGGTTAGCGCGATGGTTAGGGCTAGGGTTAAGTGCCAGGTTAGGGCTTACGGCATCAGCCGCCCGGACTGCGGGTCGGCTGGATCTCTAATATGTGCAGATTTTGCAGGTTGGGGACCGAGGAAACGCACCAACGATGGACGAGGCACTGGCGGGTAAGGTTTTTGGGTAAGTATCCCGTCTCCCCTAAGTTGCCCTACTTGGGCGGCGGGGAGCGGGGAATGCACGGTCCTTCGCCCACCGGACACGCTCCCCCGGTCCCACAGGAAACACGACTTGTGCTTAATAAATGTTGTTGTTGACTTGGTTTTAATGTGTTGCGTTATTGTTTTTAAATAGTTTCCATTTTTTTAGGATTTTTTGTTTTTGTTTTTAAATAATTTCCAGTTTTTTAGGATTTTTTTGTTTTTTATATACACAACACACAAACAAACAAACAAACAAACAAACAATACATGATCACACAGGAACTATGTACATACATTGTGCGCGTCGACGACGTTTCGACCCTACTTGGGTCTTCATCAGGTCATGCGCACAAAAAAGAATGGCTGCTGGGCCCCAATTCATAGGGGTGTGTACCCAGCAGGCAGCCAAATAAAAATGAAGTTATCCCTGTTCCCCTCTCCCTTTTATACCCTTGGAGAAATAATTTACTGAATTTTCTTAAATAATTTGTGTTATTTTGTACTCTATTTAGTTTCTGAATGTTAACCCTTTAGACGCTGATTGTTTTTTAATGCATGATATATTTATCTTATGTTAACCCTTTAGACGCTGATTGTTTTTTAATACATGATATATTTATCTTAATGCTGAGGTTAGGCTTCAAGTGACCCCCTAGGGTTAGGGTTAGGGTCAGTATTAGGGTCAGGGCTAGTATCCGAGGTTAGGGTTAGATCCTGAGGTTAGGCTTCAAGTGACCCCTAGGGTTAGGGTTAGGGTCAGTATTAGGGTCAGGGCTAGTATCCGAGGTTAGGGTTAGATCCTGAGGTTAGGCTTCAAGTGACCCCTAGGGTTAGGGTTAGGGTCAGTATTACGGTTAGGGTTAGTATCCAAGGTAGGGTTAGGGTTAGGGTTAGGGCCACGATTGGGGTTATGGCAAGCGCTAAGGTTAGGGTTAGGGTTAGCGCGATGGTTAGGGCTAGGGTTAAGTGCCAGGTTAGGGCTTACGGCATCAGCCGCCCGGACTGCGGGTCGGCTGGATCTCTAATATGTGCAGATTTTGCAGGTTGGGGACCGAGGAAACGCACCAACGATGGACGAGGCACTGGCGGGTAAGGTTTTTGGGTAAGTATCCCGTCTCCCCTAAGTTGCCCTACTTGGGCGGCGGGGAGCGGGGAATGCACGGTCCTTCGCCCACCGGACACGCTCCCCCGGTCCCACAGGAAACACGACTTGTGCTTAATAAATGTTGTTGTTGACTTGGTTTTAATGTGTTGCGTTATTGTTTTTAAATAGTTTCCATTTTTTTAGGATTTTTTGTTTTTGTTTTTAAATAATTTCCAGTTTTTTAGGATTTTTTTGTTTTTTATATACACAACACACAAACAAACAAACAAACAAACAAACAATACATGATCACACAGGAACTATGTACATACATTGTGCGCGTCGACGACGTTTCGACCCTACTTGGGTCTTCATCAGGTCATGCGCACAAAAAAGAATGGCTGCTGGGCCCCAATTCATAGGGGTGTGTACCCAGCAGGCAGCCAAATAAAAATGAAGTTATCCCTGTTCCCCTCTCCCTTTTATACCCTTGGAGAAATAATTTACTGAATTTTCTTAAATAATTTGTGTTATTTTGTACTCTATTTAGTTTCTGAATGTTAACCCTTTAGACGCTGATTGTTTTTTAATGCATGATATATTTATCTTATGTTAACCCTTTAGACGCTGATTGTTTTTTAATACATGATATATTTATCTTAATGCTGAGGTTAGGCTTCAAGTGACCCCCTAGGGTTAGGGTTAGGGTCAGTATTAGGGTCAGGGCTAGTATCCGAGGTTAGGGTTAGATCCTGAGGTTAGGCTTCAAGTGACCCCTAGGGTTAGGGTTAGGGTCAGTATTAGGGTCAGGGCTAGTATCCGAGGTTAGGGTTAGATCCTGAGGTTAGGCTTCAAGTGACCCCTAGGGTTAGGGTTAGGGTCAGTATTACGGTTAGGGTTAGTATCCAAGGTAGGGTTAGGGTTAGGGTTAGGGCCACGATTGGGGTTATGGCAAGCGCTAAGGTTAGGGTTAGGGTTAGCGCGATGGTTAGGGCTAGGGTTAAGTGCCAGGTTAGGGCTTACGGCATCAGCCGCCCGGACTGCGGGTCGGCTGGATCTCTAATATGTGCAGATTTTGCAGGTTGGGGACCGAGGAAACGCACCAACGATGGACGAGGCACTGGCGGGTAAGGTTTTTGGGTAAGTATCCCGTCTCCCCTAAGTTGCCCTACTTGGGCGGCGGGGAGCGGGGAATGCACGGTCCTTCGCCCACCGGACACGCTCCCCCGGTCCCACAGGAAACACGACTTGTGCTTAATAAATGTTGTTGTTGACTTGGTTTTAATGTGTTGCGTTATTGTTTTTAAATAGTTTCCATTTTTTTAGGATTTTTTGTTTTTGTTTTTAAATAATTTCCAGTTTTTTAGGATTTTTTTGTTTTTTATATACACAACACACAAACAAACAAACAAACAAACAAACAATACATGATCACACAGGAACTATGTACATACATTGTGCGCGTCGACGACGTTTCGACCCTACTTGGGTCTTCATCAGGTCATGCGCACAAAAAAGAATGGCTGCTGGGCCCCAATTCATAGGGGTGTGTACCCAGCAGGCAGCCAAATAAAAATGAAGTTATCCCTGTTCCCCTCTCCCTTTTATACCCTTGGAGAAATAATTTACTGAATTTTCTTAAATAATTTGTGTTATTTTGTACTCTATTTAGTTTCTGAATGTTAACCCTTTAGACGCTGATTGTTTTTTAATGCATGATATATTTATCTTATGTTAACCCTTTAGACGCTGATTGTTTTTTAATACATGATATATTTATCTTAATGCTGAGGTTAGGCTTCAAGTGACCCCCTAGGGTTAGGGTTAGGGTCAGTATTAGGGTCAGGGCTAGTATCCGAGGTTAGGGTTAGATCCTGAGGTTAGGCTTCAAGTGACCCCTAGGGTTAGGGTTAGGGTCAGTATTAGGGTCAGGGCTAGTATCCGAGGTTAGGGTTAGATCCTGAGGTTAGGCTTCAAGTGACCCCTAGGGTTAGGGTTAGGGTCAGTATTACGGTTAGGGTTAGTATCCAAGGTAGGGTTAGGGTTAGGGTTAGGGCCACGATTGGGGTTATGGCAAGCGCTAAGGTTAGGGTTAGGGTTAGCGCGATGGTTAGGGCTAGGGTTAAGTGCCAGGTTAGGGCTTACGGCATCAGCCGCCCGGACTGCGGGTCGGCTGGATCTCTAATATGTGCAGATTTTGCAGGTTGGGGACCGAGGAAACGCACCAACGATGGACGAGGCACTGGCGGGTAAGGTTTTTGGGTAAGTATCCCGTCTCCCCTAAGTTGCCCTACTTGGGCGGCGGGGAGCGGGGAATGCACGGTCCTTCGCCCACCGGACACGCTCCCCCGGTCCCACAGGAAACACGACTTGTGCTTAATAAATGTTGTTGTTGACTTGGTTTTAATGTGTTGCGTTATTGTTTTTAAATAGTTTCCATTTTTTTAGGATTTTTTGTTTTTGTTTTTAAATAATTTCCATTTTTTTAGGATTTTTTTGTTTTTTATATACACAACACACAAACAAACAAACAAACAAACAAACAATACATGATCACACAGGAACTATGTACATACATTGTGCGCGTCGACGACGTTTCGACCCTACTTGGGTCTTCATCAGGTCATGCGCACAAAAAAGAATGGCTGCTGGGCCCCAATTCATAGGGGTGTGTACCCAGCAGGCAGCCAAATAAAAATGAAGTTATCCCTGTTCCCCTCTCCCTTTTATACCCTTGGAGAAATAATTTACTGAATTTTCTTAAATAATTTGTGTTATTTTGTACTCTATTTAGTTTCTGAATGTTAACCCTTTAGACGCTGATTGTTTTTTAATGCATGATATATTTATCTTATGTTAACCCTTTAGACGCTGATTGTTTTTTAATACATGATATATTTATCTTAATGCTGAGGTTAGGCTTCAAGTGACCCCCTAGGGTTAGGGTTAGGGTCAGTATTAGGGTCAGGGCTAGTATCCGAGGTTAGGGTTAGATCCTGAGGTTAGGCTTCAAGTGACCCCTAGGGTTAGGGTTAGGGTCAGTATTAGGGTCAGGGCTAGTATCCGAGGTTAGGGTTAGATCCTGAGGTTAGGCTTCAAGTGACCCCTAGGGTTAGGGTTAGGGTCAGTATTACGGTTAGGGTTAGTATCCAAGGTAGGGTTAGGGTTAGGGTTAGGGCCACGATTGGGGTTATGGCAAGCGCTAAGGTTAGGGTTAGGGTTAGCGCGATGGTTAGGGCTAGGGTTAAGTGCCAGGTTAGGGCTTACGGCATCAGCCGCCCGGACTGCGGGTCGGCTGGATCTCTAATATGTGCAGATTTTGCAGGTTGGGGACCGAGGAAACGCACCAACGATGGACGAGGCACTGGCGGGTAAGGTTTTTGGGTAAGTATCCCGTCTCCCCTAAGTTGCCCTACTTGGGCGGCGGGGAGCGGGGAATGCACGGTCCTTCGCCCACCGGACACGCTCCCCCGGTCCCACAGGAAACACGACTTGTGCTTAATAAATGTTGTTGTTGACTTGGTTTTAATGTGTTGCGTTATTGTTTTTAAATAGTTTCCATTTTTTTAGGATTTTTTGTTTTTGTTTTTAAATAATTTCCAGTTTTTTAGGATTTTTTTGTTTTTTATATACACAACACACAAACAAACAAACAAACAAACAAACAATACATGATCACACAGGAACTATGTACATACATTGTGCGCGTCGACGACGTTTCGACCCTACTTGGGTCTTCATCAGGTCATGCGCACAAAAAAGAATGGCTGCTGGGCCCCAATTCATAGGGGTGTGTACCCAGCAGGCAGCCAAATAAAAATGAAGTTATCCCTGTTCCCCTCTCCCTTTTATACCCTTGGAGAAATAATTTACTGAATTTTCTTAAATAATTTGTGTTATTTTGTACTCTATTTAGTTTCTGAATGTTAACCCTTTAGACGCTGATTGTTTTTTAATGCATGATATATTTATCTTATGTTAACCCTTTAGACGCTGATTGTTTTTTAATACATGATATATTTATCTTAATGCTGAGGTTAGGCTTCAAGTGACCCCCTAGGGTTAGGGTTAGGGTCAGTATTAGGGTCAGGGCTAGTATCCGAGGTTAGGGTTAGATCCTGAGGTTAGGCTTCAAGTGACCCCTAGGGTTAGGGTTAGGGTCAGTATTAGGGTCAGGGCTAGTATCCGAGGTTAGGGTTAGATCCTGAGGTTAGGCTTCAAGTGACCCCTAGGGTTAGGGTTAGGGTCAGTATTACGGTTAGGGTTAGTATCCAAGGTAGGGTTAGGGTTAGGGTTAGGGCCACGATTGGGGTTATGGCAAGCGCTAAGGTTAGGGTTAGGGTTAGCGCGATGGTTAGGGCTAGGGTTAAGTGCCAGGTTAGGGCTTACGGCATCAGCCGCCCGGACTGCGGGTCGGCTGGATCTCTAATATGTGCAGATTTTGCAGGTTGGGGACCGAGGAAACGCACCAACGATGGACGAGGCACTGGCGGGTAAGGTTTTTGGGTAAGTATCCCGTCTCCCCTAAGTTGCCCTACTTGGGCGGCGGGGAGCGGGGAATGCACGGTCCTTCGCCCACCGGACACGCTCCCCCGGTCCCACAGGAAACACGACTTGTGCTTAATAAATGTTGTTGTTGACTTGGTTTTAATGTGTTGCGTTATTGTTTTTAAATAGTTTCCATTTTTTTAGGATTTTTTGTTTTTGTTTTTAAATAATTTCCAGTTTTTTAGGATTTTTTTGTTTTTTATATACACAACACACAAACAAACAAACAAACAAACAAACAATACATGATCACACAGGAACTATGTACATACATTGTGCGCGTCGACGACGTTTCGACCCTACTTGGGTCTTCATCAGGTCATGCGCACAAAAAAGAATGGCTGCTGGGCCCCAATTCATAGGGGTGTGTACCCAGCAGGCAGCCAAATAAAAATGAAGTTATCCCTGTTCCCCTCTCCCTTTTATACCCTTGGAGAAATAATTTACTGAATTTTCTTAAATAATTTGTGTTATTTTGTACTCTATTTAGTTTCTGAATGTTAACCCTTTAGACGCTGATTGTTTTTTAATGCATGATATATTTATCTTATGTTAACCCTTTAGACGCTGATTGTTTTTTAATACATGATATATTTATCTTAATGCTGAGGTTAGGCTTCAAGTGACCCCCTAGGGTTAGGGTTAGGGTCAGTATTAGGGTCAGGGCTAGTATCCGAGGTTAGGGTTAGATCCTGAGGTTAGGCTTCAAGTGACCCCTAGGGTTAGGGTTAGGGTCAGTATTAGGGTCAGGGCTAGTATCCGAGGTTAGGGTTAGATCCTGAGGTTAGGCTTCAAGTGACCCCTAGGGTTAGGGTTAGGGTCAGTATTACGGTTAGGGTTAGTATCCAAGGTAGGGTTAGGGTTAGGGTTAGGGCCACGATTGGGGTTATGGCAAGCGCTAAGGTTAGGGTTAGGGTTAGCGCGATGGTTAGGGCTAGGGTTAAGTGCCAGGTTAGGGCTTACGGCATCAGCCGCCCGGACTGCGGGTCGGCTGGATCTCTAATATGTGCAGATTTTGCAGGTTGGGGACCGAGGAAACGCACCAACGATGGACGAGGCACTGGCGGGTAAGGTTTTTGGGTAAGTATCCCGTCTCCCCTAAGTTGCCCTACTTGGGCGGCGGGGAGCGGGGAATGCACGGTCCTTCGCCCACCGGACACGCTCCCCCGGTCCCACAGGAAACACGACTTGTGCTTAATAAATGTTGTTGTTGACTTGGTTTTAATGTGTTGCGTTATTGTTTTTAAATAGTTTCCATTTTTTTAGGATTTTTTGTTTTTGTTTTTAAATAATTTCCAGTTTTTTAGGATTTTTTTGTTTTTTATATACACAACACACAAACAAACAAACAAACAAACAAACAATACATGATCACACAGGAACTATGTACATACATTGTGCGCGTCGACGACGTTTCGACCCTACTTGGGTCTTCATCAGGTCATGCGCACAAAAAAGAATGGCTGCTGGGCCCCAATTCATAGGGGTGTGTACCCAGCAGGCAGCCAAATAAAAATGAAGTTATCCCTGTTCCCCTCTCCCTTTTATACCCTTGGAGAAATAATTTACTGAATTTTCTTAAATAATTTGTGTTATTTTGTACTCTATTTAGTTTCTGAATGTTAACCCTTTAGACGCTGATTGTTTTTTAATGCATGATATATTTATCTTATGTTAACCCTTTAGACGCTGATTGTTTTTTAATACATGATATATTTATCTTAATGCTGAGGTTAGGCTTCAAGTGACCCCCTAGGGTTAGGGTTAGGGTCAGTATTAGGGTCAGGGCTAGTATCCGAGGTTAGGGTTAGATCCTGAGGTTAGGCTTCAAGTGTCCCCTAGGGTTAGGGTTAGGGTCAGTGCCCTAGGGTATTAGGGTCAGGGCTAGTATCCGAGGTTAGGGTTAGATCCTGAGGTTAGGCTTCAAGTGACCCCTAGGGTTAGGGTTAGGGTCAGTATTACGGTTAGGGTTAGTATCCAAGGTAGGGTTAGGGTTAGGGTTAGGGCCACGATTGGGGTTATGGCAAGCGCTAAGGTTAGGGTTAGGGTTAGCGCGATGGTTAGGGCTAGGGTTAAGTGCCAGGTTAGGGCTTACGGCATCAGCCGCCCGGACTGCGGGTCGGCTGGATCTCTAATATGTGCAGATTTTGCAGGTTGGGGACCGAGGAAACGCACCAACGATGGACGAGGCACTGGCGGGTAAGGTTTTTGGGTAAGTATCCCGTCTCCCCTAAGTTGCCCTACTTGGGCGGCGGGGAGCGGGGAATGCACGGTCCTTCGCCCACCGGACACGCTCCCCCGGTCCCACAGGAAACACGACTTGTGCTTAATAAATGTTGTTGTTGACTTGGTTTTAATGTGTTGCGTTATTGTTTTTAAATAGTTTCCATTTTTTTAGGATTTTTTGTTTTTGTTTTTAAATAATTTCCATTTTTTTAGGATTTTTTTGTTTTTTATATACACAACACACAAACAAACAAACAAACAAACAAACAATACATGATCACACAGGAACTATGTACATACATTGTGCGCGTCGACGACGTTTCGACCCTACTTGGGTCTTCATCAGGTCATGCGCACAAAAAGAATGGCTGCTGGGCCCCAATTCATAGGGGTGTGTACCCAGCAGGCAGCCAAATAAAAATGAAGTTATCCCTGTTCCCCTCTCCCTTTTATACCCTTGGAGAAATAATTTACTGAATTTTCTTAAATAATTTGTGTTATTTTGTACTCTATTTAGTTTCTGAATGTTAACCCTTTAGACGCTGATTGTTTTTTAATGCATGATATATTTATCTTATGTTAACCCTTTAGACGCTGATTGTTTTTTAATACATGATATATTTATCTTAATGCTGAGGTTAGGCTTCAAGTGACCCCCTAGGGTTAGGGTTAGGGTCAGTATTAGGGTCAGGGCTAGTATCCGAGGTTAGGGTTAGATCCTGAGGTTAGGCTTCAAGTGACCCCTAGGGTTAGGGTTAGGGTCAGTATTAGGGTCAGGGCTAGTATCCGAGGTTAGGGTTAGATCCTGAGGTTAGGCTTCAAGTGACCCCTAGGGTTAGGGTTAGGGTCAGTATTACGGTTAGGGTTAGTATCCAAGGTAGGGTTAGGGTTAGGGTTAGGGCCACGATTGGGGTTATGGCAAGCGCTAAGGTTAGGGTTAGGGTTAGCGCGATGGTTAGGGCTAGGGTTAAGTGCCAGGTTAGGGCTTACGGCATCAGCCGCCCGGACTGCGGGTCGGCTGGATCTCTAATATGTGCAGATTTTGCAGGTTGGGGACCGAGGAAACGCACCAACGATGGACGAGGCACTGGCGGGTAAGGTTTTTGGGTAAGTATCCCGTCTCCCCTAAGTTGCCCTACTTGGGCGGCGGGGAGCGGGGAATGCACGGTCCTTCGCCCACCGGACACGCTCCCCCGGTCCCACAGGAAACACGACTTGTGCTTAATAAATGTTGTTGTTGACTTGGTTTTAATGTGTTGCGTTATTGTTTTTAAATAGTTTCCATTTTTTTAGGATTTTTTGTTTTTGTTTTTAAATAATTTCCATTTTTTTAGGATTTTTTTGTTTTTTATATACACAACACACAAACAAACAAACAAACAAACAAACAATACATGATCACACAGGAACTATGTACATACATTGTGCGCGTCGACGACGTTTCGACCCTACTTGGGTCTTCATCAGGTCATGCGCACAAAAAAGAATGGCTGCTGGGCCCCAATTCATAGGGGTGTGTACCCAGCAGGCAGCCAAATAAAAATGAAGTTATCCCTGTTCCCCTCTCCCTTTTATACCCTTGGAGAAATAATTTACTGAATTTTCTTAAATAATTTGTGTTATTTTGTACTCTATTTAGTTTCTGAATGTTAACCCTTTAGACGCTGATTGTTTTTTAATGCATGATATATTTATCTTATGTTAACCCTTTAGACGCTGATTGTTTTTTAATACATGATATATTTATCTTAATGCTGAGGTTAGGCTTCAAGTGACCCCCTAGGGTTAGGGTTAGGGTCAGTATTAGGGTCAGGGCTAGTATCCGAGGTTAGGGTTAGATCCTGAGGTTAGGCTTCAAGTGACCCCTAGGGTTAGGGTTAGGGTCAGTATTAGGGTCAGGGCTAGTATCCGAGGTTAGGGTTAGATCCTGAGGTTAGGCTTCAAGTGACCCCTAGGGTTAGGGTTAGGGTCAGTATTACGGTTAGGGTTAGTATCCAAGGTAGGGTTAGGGTTAGGGTTAGGGCCACGATTGGGGTTATGGCAAGCGCTAAGGTTAGGGTTAGGGTTAGCGCGATGGTTAGGGCTAGGGTTAAGTGCCAGGTTAGGGCTTACGGCATCAGCCGCCCGGACTGCGGGTCGGCTGGATCTCTAATATGTGCAGATTTTGCAGGTTGGGGACCGAGGAAACGCACCAACGATGGACGAGGCACTGGCGGGTAAGGTTTTTGGGTAAGTATCCCGTCTCCCCTAAGTTGCCCTACTTGGGCGGCGGGGAGCGGGGAATGCACGGTCCTTCGCCCACCGGACACGCTCCCCCGGTCCCACAGGAAACACGACTTGTGCTTAATAAATGTTGTTGTTGACTTGGTTTTAATGTGTTGCGTTATTGTTTTTAAATAGTTTCCATTTTTTTAGGATTTTTTGTTTTTGTTTTTAAATAATTTCCAGTTTTTTAGGATTTTTTTGTTTTTTATATACACAACACACAAACAAACAAACAAACAAACAAACAATACATGATCACACAGGAACTATGTACATACATTGTGCGCGTCGACGACGTTTCGACCCTACTTGGGTCTTCATCAGGTCATGCGCACAAAAAAGAATGGCTGCTGGGCCCCAATTCATAGGGGTGTGTACCCAGCAGGCAGCCAAATAAAAATGAAATTATCCCTGTTCCCCTCTCCCTTTTATACCCTTGGAGAAATAATTTACTGAATTTTCTTAAATAATTTGTGTTATTTTGTACTCTATTTAGTTTCTGAATGTTAACCCTTTAGACGCTGATTGTTTTTTAATGCATGATATATTTATCTTATGTTAACCCTTTAGACGCTGATTGTTTTTTAATACATGATATATTTATCTTAATGCTGAGGTTAGGCTTCAAGTGACCCCCTAGGGTTAGGGTTAGGGTCAGTATTAGGGTCAGGGCTAGTATCCGAGGTTAGGGTTAGATCCTGAGGTTAGGCTTCAAGTGACCCCTAGGGTTAGGGTTAGGGTCAGTATTAGGGTCAGGGCTAGTATCCGAGGTTAGGGTTAGATCCTGAGGTTAGGCTTCAAGTGACCCCTAGGGTTAGGGTTAGGGTCAGTATTACGGTTAGGGTTAGTATCCAAGGTAGGGTTAGGGTTAGGGTTAGGGCCACGATTGGGGTTATGGCAAGCGCTAAGGTTAGGGTTAGGGTTAGCGCGATGGTTAGGGCTAGGGTTAAGTGCCAGGTTAGGGCTTACGGCATCAGCCGCCCGGACTGCGGGTCGGCTGGATCTCTAATATGTGCAGATTTTGCAGGTTGGGGACCGAGGAAACGCACCAACGATGGACGAGGCACTGGCGGGTAAGGTTTTTGGGTAAGTATCCCGTCTCCCCTAAGTTGCCCTACTTGGGCGGCGGGGAGCGGGGAATGCACGGTCCTTCGCCCACCGGACACGCTCCCCCGGTCCCACAGGAAACACGACTTGTGCTTAATAAATGTTGTTGTTGACTTGGTTTTAATGTGTTGCGTTATTGTTTTTAAATAGTTTCCATTTTTTTAGGATTTTTTGTTTTTGTTTTTAAATAATTTCCAGTTTTTTAGGATTTTTTTGTTTTTTATATACACAACACACAAACAAACAAACAAACAAACAAACAATACATGATCACACAGGAACTATGTACATACATTGTGCGCGTCGACGACGTTTCGACCCTACTTGGGTCTTCATCAGGTCATGCGCACAAAAAAGAATGGCTGCTGGGCCCCAATTCATAGGGGTGTGTACCCAGCAGGCAGCCAAATAAAAATGAAGTTATCCCTGTTCCCCTCTCCCTTTTATACCCTTGGAGAAATAATTTACTGAATTTTCTTAAATAATTTGTGTTATTTTGTACTCTATTTAGTTTCTGAATGTTAACCCTTTAGACGCTGATTGTTTTTTAATGCATGATATATTTATCTTATGTTAACCCTTTAGACGCTGATTGTTTTTTAATACATGATATATTTATCTTAATGCTGAGGTTAGGCTTCAAGTGACCCCCTAGGGTTAGGGTTAGGGTCAGTATTAGGGTCAGGGCTAGTATCCGAGGTTAGGGTTAGATCCTGAGGTTAGGCTTCAAGTGACCCCTAGGGTTAGGGTTAGGGTCAGTATTAGGGTCAGGGCTAGTATCCGAGGTTAGGGTTAGATCCTGAGGTTAGGCTTCAAGTGACCCCTAGGGTTAGGGTTAGGGTCAGTATTACGGTTAGGGTTAGTATCCAAGGTAGGGTTAGGGTTAGGGTTAGGGCCACGATTGGGGTTATGGCAAGCGCTAAGGTTAGGGTTAGGGTTAGCGCGATGGTTAGGGCTAGGGTTAAGTGCCAGGTTAGGGCTTACGGCATCAGCCGCCCGGACTGCGGGTCGGCTGGATCTCTAATATGTGCAGATTTTGCAGGTTGGGGACCGAGGAAACGCACCAACGATGGACGAGGCACTGGCGGGTAAGGTTTTTGGGTAAGTATCCCGTCTCCCCTAAGTTGCCCTACTTGGGCGGCGGGGAGCGGGGAATGCACGGTCCTTCGCCCACCGGACACGCTCCCCCGGTCCCACAGGAAACACGACTTGTGCTTAATAAATGTTGTTGTTGACTTGGTTTTAATGTGTTGCGTTATTGTTTTTAAATAGTTTCCATTTTTTTAGGATTTTTTGTTTTTGTTTTTAAATAATTTCCAGTTTTTTAGGATTTTTTTGTTTTTTATATACACAACACACAAACAAACAAACAAACAAACAAACAATACATGATCACACAGGAACTATGTACATACATTGTGCGCGTCGACGACGTTTCGACCCTACTTGGGTCTTCATCAGGTCATGCGCACAAAAAAGAATGGCTGCTGGGCCCCAATTCATAGGGGTGTGTACCCAGCAGGCAGCCAAATAAAAATGAAGTTATCCCTGTTCCCCTCTCCCTTTTATACCCTTGGAGAAATAATTTACTGAATTTTCTTAAATAATTTGTGTTATTTTGTACTCTATTTAGTTTCTGAATGTTAACCCTTTAGACGCTGATTGTTTTTTAATGCATGATATATTTATCTTATGTTAACCCTTTAGACGCTGATTGTTTTTTAATACATGATATATTTATCTTAATGCTGAGGTTAGGCTTCAAGTGACCCCCTAGGGTTAGGGTTAGGGTCAGTATTAGGGTCAGGGCTAGTATCCGAGGTTAGGGTTAGATCCTGAGGTTAGGCTTCAAGTGACCCCTAGGGTTAGGGTTAGGGTCAGTATTAGGGTCAGGGCTAGTATCCGAGGTTAGGGTTAGATCCTGAGGTTAGGCTTCAAGTGACCCCTAGGGTTAGGGTTAGGGTCAGTATTACGGTTAGGGTTAGTATCCAAGGTAGGGTTAGGGTTAGGGTTAGGGCCACGATTGGGGTTATGGCAAGCGCTAAGGTTAGGGTTAGGGTTAGCGCGATGGTTAGGGCTAGGGTTAAGTGCCAGGTTAGGGCTTACGGCATCAGCCGCCCGGACTGCGGGTCGGCTGGATCTCTAATATGTGCAGATTTTGCAGGTTGGGGACCGAGGAAACGCACCAACGATGGACGAGGCACTGGCGGGTAAGGTTTTTGGGTAAGTATCCCGTCTCCCCTAAGTTGCCCTACTTGGGCGGCGGGGAGCGGGGAATGCACGGTCCTTCGCCCACCGGACACGCTCCCCCGGTCCCACAGGAAACACGACTTGTGCTTAATAAATGTTGTTGTTGACTTGGTTTTAATGTGTTGCGTTATTGTTTTTAAATAGTTTCCATTTTTTTAGGATTTTTTGTTTTTGTTTTTAAATAATTTCCAGTTTTTTAGGATTTTTTTGTTTTTTATATACACAACACACAAACAAACAAACAAACAAACAAACAATACATGATCACACAGGAACTATGTACATACATTGTGCGCGTCGACGACGTTTCGACCCTACTTGGGTCTTCATCAGGTCATGCGCACAAAAAAGAATGGCTGCTGGGCCCCAATTCATAGGGGTGTGTACCCAGCAGGCAGCCAAATAAAAATGAAGTTATCCCTGTTCCCCTCTCCCTTTTATACCCTTGGAGAAATAATTTACTGAATTTTCTTAAATAATTTGTGTTATTTTGTACTCTATTTAGTTTCTGAATGTTAACCCTTTAGACGCTGATTGTTTTTTAATGCATGATATATTTATCTTATGTTAACCCTTTAGACGCTGATTGTTTTTTAATACATGATATATTTATCTTAATGCTGAGGTTAGGCTTCAAGTGACCCCCTAGGGTTAGGGTTAGGGTCAGTATTAGGGTCAGGGCTAGTATCCGAGGTTAGGGTTAGATCCTGAGGTTAGGCTTCAAGTGACCCCTAGGGTTAGGGTTAGGGTCAGTATTAGGGTCAGGGCTAGTATCCGAGGTTAGGGTTAGATCCTGAGGTTAGGCTTCAAGTGACCCCTAGGGTTAGGGTTAGGGTCAGTATTACGGTTAGGGTTAGTATCCAAGGTAGGGTTAGGGTTAGGGTTAGGGCCACGATTGGGGTTATGGCAAGCGCTAAGGTTAGGGTTAGGGTTAGCGCGATGGTTAGGGCTAGGGTTAAGTGCCAGGTTAGGGCTTACGGCATCAGCCGCCCGGACTGCGGGTCGGCTGGATCTCTAATATGTGCAGATTTTGCAGGTTGGGGACCGAGGAAACGCACCAACGATGGACGAGGCACTGGCGGGTAAGGTTTTTGGGTAAGTATCCCGTCTCCCCTAAGTTGCCCTACTTGGGCGGCGGGGAGCGGGGAATGCACGGTCCTTCGCCCACCGGACACGCTCCCCCGGTCCCACAGGAAACACGACTTGTGCTTAATAAATGTTGTTGTTGACTTGGTTTTAATGTGTTGCGTTATTGTTTTTAAATAGTTTCCATTTTTTTAGGATTTTTTGTTTTTGTTTTTAAATAATTTCCAGTTTTTTAGGATTTTTTTGTTTTTTATATACACAACACACAAACAAACAAACAAACAAACAAACAATACATGATCACACAGGAACTATGTACATACATTGTGCGCGTCGACGACGTTTCGACCCTACTTGGGTCTTCATCAGGTCATGCGCACAAAAAAGAATGGCTGCTGGGCCCCAATTCATAGGGGTGTGTACCCAGCAGGCAGCCAAATAAAAATGAAGTTATCCCTGTTCCCCTCTCCCTTTTATACCCTTGGAGAAATAATTTACTGAATTTTCTTAAATAATTTGTGTTATTTTGTACTCTATTTAGTTTCTGAATGTTAACCCTTTAGACGCTGATTGTTTTTTAATGCATGATATATTTATCTTATGTTAACCCTTTAGACGCTGATTGTTTTTTAATACATGATATATTTATCTTAATGCTGAGGTTAGGCTTCAAGTGACCCCCTAGGGTTAGGGTTAGGGTCAGTATTAGGGTCAGGGCTAGTATCCGAGGTTAGGGTTAGATCCTGAGGTTAGGCTTCAAGTGACCCCTAGGGTTAGGGTTAGGGTCAGTATTAGGGTCAGGGCTAGTATCCGAGGTTAGGGTTAGATCCTGAGGTTAGGCTTCAAGTGACCCCTAGGGTTAGGGTTAGGGTCAGTATTACGGTTAGGGTTAGTATCCAAGGTAGGGTTAGGGTTAGGGTTAGGGCCACGATTGGGGTTATGGCAAGCGCTAAGGTTAGGGTTAGGGTTAGCGCGATGGTTAGGGCTAGGGTTAAGTGCCAGGTTAGGGCTTACGGCATCAGCCGCCCGGACTGCGGGTCGGCTGGATCTCTAATATGTGCAGATTTTGCAGGTTGGGGACCGAGGAAACGCACCAACGATGGACGAGGCACTGGCGGGTAAGGTTTTTGGGTAAGTATCCCGTCTCCCCTAAGTTGCCCTACTTGGGCGGCGGGGAGCGGGGAATGCACGGTCCTTCGCCCACCGGACACGCTCCCCCGGTCCCACAGGAAACACGACTTGTGCTTAATAAATGTTGTTGTTGACTTGGTTTTAATGTGTTGCGTTATTGTTTTTAAATAGTTTCCATTTTTTTAGGATTTTTTGTTTTTGTTTTTAAATAATTTCCAGTTTTTTAGGATTTTTTTGTTTTTTATATACACAACACACAAACAAACAAACAAACAAACAAACAATACATGATCACACAGGAACTATGTACATACATTGTGCGCGTCGACGACGTTTCGACCCTACTTGGGTCTTCATCAGGTCATGCGCACAAAAAGAATGGCTGCTGGGCCCCAATTCATAGGGGTGTGTACCCAGCAGGCAGCCAAATAAAAATGAAGTTATCCCTGTTCCCCTCTCCCTTTTATACCCTTGGAGAAATAATTTACTGAATTTTCTTAAATAATTTGTGTTATTTTGTACTCTATTTAGTTTCTGAATGTTAACCCTTTAGACGCTGATTGTTTTTTAATGCATGATATATTTATCTTATGTTAACCCTTTAGACGCTGATTGTTTTTTAATACATGATATATTTATCTTAATGCTGAGGTTAGGCTTCAAGTGACCCCCTAGGGTTAGGGTTAGGGTCAGTATTAGGGTCAGGGCTAGTATCCGAGGTTAGGGTTAGATCCTGAGGTTAGGCTTCAAGTGACCCCTAGGGTTAGGGTTAGGGTCAGTATTAGGGTCAGGGCTAGTATCCGAGGTTAGGGTTAGATCCTGAGGTTAGGCTTCAAGTGACCCCTAGGGTTAGGGTTAGGGTCAGTATTACGGTTAGGGTTAGTATCCAAGGTAGGGTTAGGGTTAGGGTTAGGGCCACGATTGGGGTTATGGCAAGCGCTAAGGTTAGGGTTAGGGTTAGCGCGATGGTTAGGGCTAGGGTTAAGTGCCAGGTTAGGGCTTACGGCATCAGCCGCCCGGACTGCGGGTCGGCTGGATCTCTAATATGTGCAGATTTTGCAGGTTGGGGACCGAGGAAACGCACCAACGATGGACGAGGCACTGGCGGGTAAGGTTTTTGGGTAAGTATCCCGTCTCCCCTAAGTTGCCCTACTTGGGCGGCGGGGAGCGGGGAATGCACGGTCCTTCGCCCACCGGACACGCTCCCCCGGTCCCACAGGAAACACGACTTGTGCTTAATAAATGTTGTTGTTGACTTGGTTTTAATGTGTTGCGTTATTGTTTTTAAATAGTTTCCATTTTTTTAGGATTTTTTGTTTTTGTTTTTAAATAATTTCCAGTTTTTTAGGATTTTTTTGTTTTTTATATACACAACACACAAACAAACAAACAAACAAACAAACAATACATGATCACACAGGAACTATGTACATACATTGTGCGCGTCGACGACGTTTCGACCCTACTTGGGTCTTCATCAGGTCATGCGCACAAAAAAGAATGGCTGCTGGGCCCCAATTCATAGGGGTGTGTACCCAGCAGGCAGCCAAATAAAAATGAAGTTATCCCTGTTCCCCTCTCCCTTTTATACCCTTGGAGAAATAATTTACTGAATTTTCTTAAATAATTTGTGTTATTTTGTACTCTATTTAGTTTCTGAATGTTAACCCTTTAGACGCTGATTGTTTTTTAATGCATGATATATTTATCTTATGTTAACCCTTTAGACGCTGATTGTTTTTTAATACATGATATATTTATCTTAATGCTGAGGTTAGGCTTCAAGTGACCCCCTAGGGTTAGGGTTAGGGTCAGTATTAGGGTCAGGGCTAGTATCCGAGGTTAGGGTTAGATCCTGAGGTTAGGCTTCAAGTGACCCCTAGGGTTAGGGTTAGGGTCAGTATTAGGGTCAGGGCTAGTATCCGAGGTTAGGGTTAGATCCTGAGGTTAGGCTTCAAGTGACCCCTAGGGTTAGGGTTAGGGTCAGTATTACGGTTAGGGTTAGTATCCAAGGTAGGGTTAGGGTTAGGGTTAGGGCCACGATTGGGGTTATGGCAAGCGCTAAGGTTAGGGTTAGGGTTAGCGCGATGGTTAGGGCTAGGGTTAAGTGCCAGGTTAGGGCTTACGGCATCAGCCGCCCGGACTGCGGGTCGGCTGGATCTCTAATATGTGCAGATTTTGCAGGTTGGGGACCGAGGAAACGCACCAACGATGGACGAGGCACTGGCGGGTAAGGTTTTTGGGTAAGTATCCCGTCTCCCCTAAGTTGCCCTACTTGGGCGGCGGGGAGCGGGGAATGCACGGTCCTTCGCCCACCGGACACGCTCCCCCGGTCCCACAGGAAACACGACTTGTGCTTAATAAATGTTGTTGTTGACTTGGTTTTAATGTGTTGCGTTATTGTTTTTAAATAGTTTCCATTTTTTTAGGATTTTTTGTTTTTGTTTTTAAATAATTTCCAGTTTTTTAGGATTTTTTTGTTTTTTATATACACAACACACAAACAAACAAACAAACAAACAAACAATACATGATCACACAGGAACTATGTACATACATTGTGCGCGTCGACGACGTTTCGACCCTACTTGGGTCTTCATCAGGTCATGCGCACAAAAAGAATGGCTGCTGGGCCCCAATTCATAGGGGTGTGTACCCAGCAGGCAGCCAAATAAAAATGAAGTTATCCCTGTTCCCCTCTCCCTTTTATACCCTTGGAGAAATAATTTACTGAATTTTCTTAAATAATTTGTGTTATTTTGTACTCTATTTAGTTTCTGAATGTTAACCCTTTAGACGCTGATTGTTTTTTAATGCATGATATATTTATCTTATGTTAACCCTTTAGACGCTGATTGTTTTTTAATACATGATATATTTATCTTAATGCTGAGGTTAGGCTTCAAGTGACCCCCTAGGGTTAGGGTTAGGGTCAGTATTAGGGTCAGGGCTAGTATCCGAGGTTAGGGTTAGATCCTGAGGTTAGGCTTCAAGTGACCCCTAGGGTTAGGGTTAGGGTCAGTATTAGGGTCAGGGCTAGTATCCGAGGTTAGGGTTAGATCCTGAGGTTAGGCTTCAAGTGACCCCTAGGGTTAGGGTTAGGGTCAGTATTACGGTTAGGGTTAGTATCCAAGGTAGGGTTAGGGTTAGGGTTAGGGCCACGATTGGGGTTATGGCAAGCGCTAAGGTTAGGGTTAGGGTTAGCGCGATGGTTAGGGCTAGGGTTAAGTGCCAGGTTAGGGCTTACGGCATCAGCCGCCCGGACTGCGGGTCGGCTGGATCTCTAATATGTGCAGATTTTGCAGGTTGGGGACCGAGGAAACGCACCAACGATGGACGAGGCACTGGCGGGTAAGGTTTTTGGGTAAGTATCCCGTCTCCCCTAAGTTGCCCTACTTGGGCGGCGGGGAGCGGGGAATGCACGGTCCTTCGCCCACCGGACACGCTCCCCCGGTCCCACAGGAAACACGACTTGTGCTTAATAAATGTTGTTGTTGACTTGGTTTTAATGTGTTGCGTTATTGTTTTTAAATAGTTTCCATTTTTTTAGGATTTTTTGTTTTTGTTTTTAAATAATTTCCAGTTTTTTAGGATTTTTTTGTTTTTTATATACACAACACACAAACAAACAAACAAACAAACAAACAATACATGATCACACAGGAACTATGTACATACATTGTGCGCGTCGACGACGTTTCGACCCTACTTGGGTCTTCATCAGGTCATGCGCACAAAAAGAATGGCTGCTGGGCCCCAATTCATAGGGGTGTGTACCCAGCAGGCAGCCAAATAAAAATGAAGTTATCCCTGTTCCCCTCTCCCTTTTATACCCTTGGAGAAATAATTTACTGAATTTTCTTAAATAATTTGTGTTATTTTGTACTCTATTTAGTTTCTGAATGTTAACCCTTTAGACGCTGATTGTTTTTTAATGCATGATATATTTATCTTATGTTAACCCTTTAGACGCTGATTGTTTTTTAATACATGATATATTTATCTTAATGCTGAGGTTAGGCTTCAAGTGACCCCCTAGGGTTAGGGTTAGGGTCAGTATTAGGGTCAGGGCTAGTATCCGAGGTTAGGGTTAGATCCTGAGGTTAGGCTTCAAGTGACCCCTAGGGTTAGGGTTAGGGTCAGTATTAGGGTCAGGGCTAGTATCCGAGGTTAGGGTTAGATCCTGAGGTTAGGCTTCAAGTGACCCCTAGGGTTAGGGTTAGGGTCAGTATTACGGTTAGGGTTAGTATCCAAGGTAGGGTTAGGGTTAGGGTTAGGGCCACGATTGGGGTTATGGCAAGCGCTAAGGTTAGGGTTAGGGTTAGCGCGATGGTTAGGGCTAGGGTTAAGTGCCAGGTTAGGGCTTACGGCATCAGCCGCCCGGACTGCGGGTCGGCTGGATCTCTAATATGTGCAGATTTTGCAGGTTGGGGACCGAGGAAACGCACCAACGATGGACGAGGCACTGGCGGGTAAGGTTTTTGGGTAAGTATCCCGTCTCCCCTAAGTTGCCCTACTTGGGCGGCGGGGAGCGGGGAATGCACGGTCCTTCGCCCACCGGACACGCTCCCCCGGTCCCACAGGAAACACGACTTGTGCTTAATAAATGTTGTTGTTGACTTGGTTTTAATGTGTTGCGTTATTGTTTTTAAATAGTTTCCATTTTTTTAGGATTTTTTGTTTTTGTTTTTAAATAATTTCCAGTTTTTTAGGATTTTTTTGTTTTTTATATACACAACACACAAACAAACAAACAAACAAACAAACAATACATGATCACACAGGAACTATGTACATACATTGTGCGCGTCGACGACGTTTCGACCCTACTTGGGTCTTCATCAGGTCATGCGCACAAAAAAGAATGGCTGCTGGGCCCCAATTCATAGGGGTGTGTACCCAGCAGGCAGCCAAATAAAAATGAAGTTATCCCTGTTCCCCTCTCCCTTTTATACCCTTGGAGAAATAATTTACTGAATTTTCTTAAATAATTTGTGTTATTTTGTACTCTATTTAGTTTCTGAATGTTAACCCTTTAGACGCTGATTGTTTTTTAATGCATGATATATTTATCTTATGTTAACCCTTTAGACGCTGATTGTTTTTTAATACATGATATATTTATCTTAATGCTGAGGTTAGGCTTCAAGTGACCCCCTAGGGTTAGGGTTAGGGTCAGTATTAGGGTCAGGGCTAGTATCCGAGGTTAGGGTTAGATCCTGAGGTTAGGCTTCAAGTGACCCCTAGGGTTAGGGTTAGGGTCAGTATTAGGGTCAGGGCTAGTATCCGAGGTTAGGGTTAGATCCTGAGGTTAGGCTTCAAGTGACCCCTAGGGTTAGGGTTAGGGTCAGTATTACGGTTAGGGTTAGTATCCAAGGTAGGGTTAGGGTTAGGGTTAGGGCCACGATTGGGGTTATGGCAAGCGCTAAGGTTAGGGTTAGGGTTAGCGCGATGGTTAGGGCTAGGGTTAAGTGCCAGGTTAGGGCTTACGGCATCAGCCGCCCGGACTGCGGGTCGGCTGGATCTCTAATATGTGCAGATTTTGCAGGTTGGGGACCGAGGAAACGCACCAACGATGGACGAGGCACTGGCGGGTAAGGTTTTTGGGTAAGTATCCCGTCTCCCCTAAGTTGCCCTACTTGGGCGGCGGGGAGCGGGGAATGCACGGTCCTTCGCCCACCGGACACGCTCCCCCGGTCCCACAGGAAACACGACTTGTGCTTAATAAATGTTGTTGTTGACTTGGTTTTAATGTGTTGCGTTATTGTTTTTAAATAGTTTCCATTTTTTTAGGATTTTTTGTTTTTGTTTTTAAATAATTTCCAGTTTTTTAGGATTTTTTTGTTTTTTATATACACAACACACAAACAAACAAACAAACAAACAAACAATACATGATCACACAGGAACTATGTACATACATTGTGCGCGTCGACGACGTTTCGACCCTACTTGGGTCTTCATCAGGTCATGCGCACAAAAAAGAATGGCTGCTGGGCCCCAATTCATAGGGGTGTGTACCCAGCAGGCAGCCAAATAAAAATGAAGTTATCCCTGTTCCCCTCTCCCTTTTATACCCTTGGAGAAATAATTTACTGAATTTTCTTAAATAATTTGTGTTATTTTGTACTCTATTTAGTTTCTGAATGTTAACCCTTTAGACGCTGATTGTTTTTTAATGCATGATATATTTATCTTATGTTAACCCTTTAGACGCTGATTGTTTTTTAATACATGATATATTTATCTTAATGCTGAGGTTAGGCTTCAAGTGACCCCCTAGGGTTAGGGTTAGGGTCAGTATTAGGGTCAGGGCTAGTATCCGAGGTTAGGGTTAGATCCTGAGGTTAGGCTTCAAGTGACCCCTAGGGTTAGGGTTAGGGTCAGTATTAGGGTCAGGGCTAGTATCCGAGGTTAGGGTTAGATCCTGAGGTTAGGCTTCAAGTGACCCCTAGGGTTAGGGTTAGGGTCAGTATTACGGTTAGGGTTAGTATCCAAGGTAGGGTTAGGGTTAGGGTTAGGGCCACGATTGGGGTTATGGCAAGCGCTAAGGTTAGGGTTAGGGTTAGCGCGATGGTTAGGGCTAGGGTTAAGTGCCAGGTTAGGGCTTACGGCATCAGCCGCCCGGACTGCGGGTCGGCTGGATCTCTAATATGTGCAGATTTTGCAGGTTGGGGACCGAGGAAACGCACCAACGATGGACGAGGCACTGGCGGGTAAGGTTTTTGGGTAAGTATCCCGTCTCCCCTAAGTTGCCCTACTTGGGCGGCGGGGAGCGGGGAATGCACGGTCCTTCGCCCACCGGACACGCTCCCCCGGTCCCACAGGAAACACGACTTGTGCTTAATAAATGTTGTTGTTGACTTGGTTTTAATGTGTTGCGTTATTGTTTTTAAATAGTTTCCATTTTTTTAGGATTTTTTGTTTTTGTTTTTAAATAATTTCCAGTTTTTTAGGATTTTTTTGTTTTTTATATACACAACACACAAACAAACAAACAAACAAACAAACAATACATGATCACACAGGAACTATGTACATACATTGTGCGCGTCGACGACGTTTCGACCCTACTTGGGTCTTCATCAGGTCATGCGCACAAAAAGAATGGCTGCTGGGCCCCAATTCATAGGGGTGTGTACCCAGCAGGCAGCCAAATAAAAATGAAGTTATCCCTGTTCCCCTCTCCCTTTTATACCCTTGGAGAAATAATTTACTGAATTTTCTTAAATAATTTGTGTTATTTTGTACTCTATTTAGTTTCTGAATGTTAACCCTTTAGACGCTGATTGTTTTTTAATGCATGATATATTTATCTTATGTTAACCCTTTAGACGCTGATTGTTTTTTAATACATGATATATTTATCTTAATGCTGAGGTTAGGCTTCAAGTGACCCCCTAGGGTTAGGGTTAGGGTCAGTATTAGGGTCAGGGCTAGTATCCGAGGTTAGGGTTAGATCCTGAGGTTAGGCTTCAAGTGACCCCTAGGGTTAGGGTTAGGGTCAGTATTAGGGTCAGGGCTAGTATCCGAGGTTAGGGTTAGATCCTGAGGTTAGGCTTCAAGTGACCCCTAGGGTTAGGGTTAGGGTCAGTATTACGGTTAGGGTTAGTATCCAAGGTAGGGTTAGGGTTAGGGTTAGGGCCACGATTGGGGTTATGGCAAGCGCTAAGGTTAGGGTTAGGGTTAGCGCGATGGTTAGGGCTAGGGTTAAGTGCCAGGTTAGGGCTTACGGCATCAGCCGCCCGGACTGCGGGTCGGCTGGATCTCTAATATGTGCAGATTTTGCAGGTTGGGGACCGAGGAAACGCACCAACGATGGACGAGGCACTGGCGGGTAAGGTTTTTGGGTAAGTATCCCGTCTCCCCTAAGTTGCCCTACTTGGGCGGCGGGGAGCGGGGAATGCACGGTCCTTCGCCCACCGGACACGCTCCCCCGGTCCCACAGGAAACACGACTTGTGCTTAATAAATGTTGTTGTTGACTTGGTTTTAATGTGTTGCGTTATTGTTTTTAAATAGTTTCCATTTTTTTAGGATTTTTTGTTTTTGTTTTTAAATAATTTCCAGTTTTTTAGGATTTTTTTGTTTTTTATATACACAACACACAAACAAACAAACAAACAAACAAACAATACATGATCACACAGGAACTATGTACATACATTGTGCGCGTCGACGACGTTTCGACCCTACTTGGGTCTTCATCAGGTCATGCGCACAAAAAAGAATGGCTGCTGGGCCCCAATTCATAGGGGTGTGTACCCAGCAGGCAGCCAAATAAAAATGAAGTTATCCCTGTTCCCCTCTCCCTTTTATACCCTTGGAGAAATAATTTACTGAATTTTCTTAAATAATTTGTGTTATTTTGTACTCTATTTAGTTTCTGAATGTTAACCCTTTAGACGCTGATTGTTTTTTAATGCATGATATATTTATCTTATGTTAACCCTTTAGACGCTGATTGTTTTTTAATACATGATATATTTATCTTAATGCTGAGGTTAGGCTTCAAGTGACCCCCTAGGGTTAGGGTTAGGGTCAGTATTAGGGTCAGGGCTAGTATCCGAGGTTAGGGTTAGATCCTGAGGTTAGGCTTCAAGTGACCCCTAGGGTTAGGGTTAGGGTCAGTATTAGGGTCAGGGCTAGTATCCGAGGTTAGGGTTAGATCCTGAGGTTAGGCTTCAAGTGACCCCTAGGGTTAGGGTTAGGGTCAGTATTACGGTTAGGGTTAGTATCCAAGGTAGGGTTAGGGTTAGGGTTAGGGCCACGATTGGGGTTATGGCAAGCGCTAAGGTTAGGGTTAGGGTTAGCGCGATGGTTAGGGCTAGGGTTAAGTGCCAGGTTAGGGCTTACGGCATCAGCCGCCCGGACTGCGGGTCGGCTGGATCTCTAATATGTGCAGATTTTGCAGGTTGGGGACCGAGGAAACGCACCAACGATGGACGAGGCACTGGCGGGTAAGGTTTTTGGGTAAGTATCCCGTCTCCCCTAAGTTGCCCTACTTGGGCGGCGGGGAGCGGGGAATGCACGGTCCTTCGCCCACCGGACACGCTCCCCCGGTCCCACAGGAAACACGACTTGTGCTTAATAAATGTTGTTGTTGACTTGGTTTTAATGTGTTGCGTTATTGTTTTTAAATAGTTTCCATTTTTTTAGGATTTTTTGTTTTTGTTTTTAAATAATTTCCAGTTTTTTAGGATTTTTTGTTTTTTATATACACAACACACAAACAAACAAACAAACAAACAAACAATACATGATCACACAGGAACTATGTACATACATTGTGCGCGTCGACGACGTTTCGACCCTACTTGGGTCTTCATCAGGTCATGCGCACAAAAAAGAATGGCTGCTGGGCCCCAATTCATAGGGGTGTGTACCCAGCAGGCAGCCAAATAAAAATGAAGTTATCCCTGTTCCCCTCTCCCTTTTATACCCTTGGAGAAATAATTTACTGAATTTTCTTAAATAATTTGTGTTATTTTGTACTCTATTTAGTTTCTGAATGTTAACCCTTTAGACGCTGATTGTTTTTTAATGCATGATATATTTATCTTATGTTAACCCTTTAGACGCTGATTGTTTTTTAATACATGATATATTTATCTTAATGCTGAGGTTAGGCTTCAAGTGACCCCCTAGGGTTAGGGTTAGGGTCAGTATTAGGGTCAGGGCTAGTATCCGAGGTTAGGGTTAGATCCTGAGGTTAGGCTTCAAGTGACCCCTAGGGTTAGGGTTAGGGTCAGTATTAGGGTCAGGGCTAGTATCCGAGGTTAGGGTTAGATCCTGAGGTTAGGCTTCAAGTGACCCCTAGGGTTAGGGTTAGGGTCAGTATTACGGTTAGGGTTAGTATCCAAGGTAGGGTTAGGGTTAGGGTTAGGGCCACGATTGGGGTTATGGCAAGCGCTAAGGTTAGGGTTAGGGTTAGCGCGATGGTTAGGGCTAGGGTTAAGTGCCAGGTTAGGGCTTACGGCATCAGCCGCCCGGACTGCGGGTCGGCTGGATCTCTAATATGTGCAGATTTTGCAGGTTGGGGACCGAGGAAACGCACCAACGATGGACGAGGCACTGGCGGGTAAGGTTTTTGGGTAAGTATCCCGTCTCCCCTAAGTTGCCCTACTTGGGCGGCGGGGGAGCGGGGAATGCACGGTCCTTCGCCCACCGGACACGCTCCCCCGGTCCCACAGGAAACACGACTTGTGCTTAATAAATGTTGTTGTTGACTTGGTTTTAATGTGTTGCGTTATTGTTTTTAAATAGTTTCCATTTTTTTAGGATTTTTTGTTTTTGTTTTTAAATAATTTCCAGTTTTTTAGGATTTTTTTGTTTTTTATATACACAACACACAAACAAACAAACAAACAAACAAACAATACATGATCACACAGGAACTATGTACATACATTGTGCGCGTCGACGACGTTTCGACCCTACTTGGGTCTTCATCAGGTCATGCGCACAAAAAGAATGGCTGCTGGGCCCCAATTCATAGGGGTGTGTACCCAGCAGGCAGCCAAATAAAAATGAAGTTATCCCTGTTCCCCTCTCCCTTTTATACCCTTGGAGAAATAATTTACTGAATTTTCTTAAATAATTTGTGTTATTTTGTACTCTATTTAGTTTCTGAATGTTAACCCTTTAGACGCTGATTGTTTTTTAATGCATGATATATTTATCTTATGTTAACCCTTTAGACGCTGATTGTTTTTTAATACATGATATATTTATCTTAATGCTGAGGTTAGGCTTCAAGTGACCCCCTAGGGTTAGGGTTAGGGTCAGTATTAGGGTCAGGGCTAGTATCCGAGGTTAGGGTTAGATCCTGAGGTTAGGCTTCAAGTGACCCCTAGGGTTAGGGTTAGGGTCAGTATTAGGGTCAGGGCTAGTATCCGAGGTTAGGGTTAGATCCTGAGGTTAGGCTTCAAGTGACCCCTAGGGTTAGGGTTAGGGTCAGTATTACGGTTAGGGTTAGTATCCAAGGTAGGGTTAGGGTTAGGGTTAGGGCCACGATTGGGGTTATGGCAAGCGCTAAGGTTAGGGTTAGGGTTAGCGCGATGGTTAGGGCTAGGGTTAAGTGCCAGGTTAGGGCTTACGGCATCAGCCGCCCGGACTGCGGGTCGGCTGGATCTCTAATATGTGCAGATTTTGCAGGTTGGGGACCGAGGAAACGCACCAACGATGGACGAGGCACTGGCGGGTAAGGTTTTTGGGTAAGTATCCCGTCTCCCCTAAGTTGCCCTACTTGGGCGGCGGGGAGCGGGGAATGCACGGTCCTTCGCCCACCGGACACGCTCCCCCGGTCCCACAGGAAACACGACTTGTGCTTAATAAATGTTGTTGTTGACTTGGTTTTAATGTGTTGCGTTATTGTTTTTAAATAGTTTCCATTTTTTTAGGATTTTTTGTTTTTGTTTTTAAATAATTTCCAGTTTTTTAGGATTTTTTTGTTTTTTATATACACAACACACAAACAAACAAACAAACAAACAAACAATACATGATCACACAGGAACTATGTACATACATTGTGCGCGTCGACGACGTTTCGACCCTACTTGGGTCTTCATCAGGTCATGCGCACAAAAAAGAATGGCTGCTGGGCCCCAATTCATAGGGGTGTGTACCCAGCAGGCAGCCAAATAAAAATGAAGTTATCCCTGTTCCCCTCTCCCTTTTATACCCTTGGAGAAATAATTTACTGAATTTTCTTAAATAATTTGTGTTATTTTGTACTCTATTTAGTTTCTGAATGTTAACCCTTTAGACGCTGATTGTTTTTTAATGCATGATATATTTATCTTATGTTAACCCTTTAGACGCTGATTGTTTTTTAATACATGATATATTTATCTTAATGCTGAGGTTAGGCTTCAAGTGACCCCCTAGGGTTAGGGTTAGGGTCAGTATTAGGGTCAGGGCTAGTATCCGAGGTTAGGGTTAGATCCTGAGGTTAGGCTTCAAGTGACCCCTAGGGTTAGGGTTAGGGTCAGTATTAGGGTCAGGGCTAGTATCCGAGGTTAGGGTTAGATCCTGAGGTTAGGCTTCAAGTGACCCCTAGGGTTAGGGTTAGGGTCAGTATTACGGTTAGGGTTAGTATCCAAGGTAGGGTTAGGGTTAGGGTTAGGGCCACGATTGGGGTTATGGCAAGCGCTAAGGTTAGGGTTAGGGTTAGCGCGATGGTTAGGGCTAGGGTTAAGTGCCAGGTTAGGGCTTACGGCATCAGCCGCCCGGACTGCGGGTCGGCTGGATCTCTAATATGTGCAGATTTTGCAGGTTGGGGACCGAGGAAACGCACCAACGATGGACGAGGCACTGGCGGGTAAGGTTTTTGGGTAAGTATCCCGTCTCCCCTAAGTTGCCCTACTTGGGCGGCGGGGAGCGGGGAATGCACGGTCCTTCGCCCACCGGACACGCTCCCCCGGTCCCACAGGAAACACGACTTGTGCTTAATAAATGTTGTTGTTGACTTGGTTTTAATGTGTTGCGTTATTGTTTTTAAATAGTTTCCATTTTTTTAGGATTTTTTGTTTTTGTTTTTAAATAATTTCCAGTTTTTTAGGATTTTTTTGTTTTTTATATACACAACACACAAACAAACAAACAAACAAACAAACAATACATGATCACACAGGAACTATGTACATACATTGTGCGCGTCGACGACGTTTCGACCCTACTTGGGTCTTCATCAGGTCATGCGCACAAAAAAGAATGGCTGCTGGGCCCCAATTCATAGGGGTGTGTACCCAGCAGGCAGCCAAATAAAAATGAAGTTATCCCTGTTCCCCTCTCCCTTTTATACCCTTGGAGAAATAATTTACTGAATTTTCTTAAATAATTTGTGTTATTTTGTACTCTATTTAGTTTCTGAATGTTAACCCTTTAGACGCTGATTGTTTTTTAATGCATGATATATTTATCTTATGTTAACCCTTTAGACGCTGATTGTTTTTTAATACATGATATATTTATCTTAATGCTGAGGTTAGGCTTCAAGTGACCCCCTAGGGTTAGGGTTAGGGTCAGTATTAGGGTCAGGGCTAGTATCCGAGGTTAGGGTTAGATCCTGAGGTTAGGCTTCAAGTGACCCCTAGGGTTAGGGTTAGGGTCAGTATTAGGGTCAGGGCTAGTATCCGAGGTTAGGGTTAGATCCTGAGGTTAGGCTTCAAGTGACCCCTAGGGTTAGGGTTAGGGTCAGTATTACGGTTAGGGTTAGTATCCAAGGTAGGGTTAGGGTTAGGGTTAGGGCCACGATTGGGGTTATGGCAAGCGCTAAGGTTAGGGTTAGGGTTAGCGCGATGGTTAGGGCTAGGGTTAAGTGCCAGGTTAGGGCTTACGGCATCAGCCGCCCGGACTGCGGGTCGGCTGGATCTCTAATATGTGCAGATTTTGCAGGTTGGGGACCGAGGAAACGCACCAACGATGGACGAGGCACTGGCGGGTAAGGTTTTTGGGTAAGTATCCCGTCTCCCCTAAGTTGCCCTACTTGGGCGGCGGGGAGCGGGGAATGCACGGTCCTTCGCCCACCGGACACGCTCCCCCGGTCCCACAGGAAACACGACTTGTGCTTAATAAATGTTGTTGTTGACTTGGTTTTAATGTGTTGCGTTATTGTTTTTAAATAGTTTCCATTTTTTTAGGATTTTTTGTTTTTGTTTTTAAATAATTTCCAGTTTTTTAGGATTTTTTTGTTTTTTATATACACAACACACAAACAAACAAACAAACAAACAAACAATACATGATCACACAGGAACTATGTACATACATTGTGCGCGCCGACGACGTTTCGACCCTACTTGGGTCTTCATCAGGTCATGCGCACAAAAAGAATGGCTGCTGGGCCCCAATTCATAGGGGTGTGTACCCAGCAGGCAGCCAAATAAAAATGAAGTTATCCCTGTTCCCCTCTCCCTTTTATACCCTTGGAGAAATAATTTACTGAATTTTCTTAAATAATTTGTGTTATTTTGTACTCTATTTAGTTTCTGAATGTTAACCCTTTAGACGCTGATTGTTTTTTAATGCATGATATATTTATCTTATGTTAACCCTTTAGACGCTGATTGTTTTTTAATACATGATATATTTATCTTAATGCTGAGGTTAGGCTTCAAGTGACCCCCTAGGGTTAGGGTTAGGGTCAGTATTAGGGTCAGGGCTAGTATCCGAGGTTAGGGTTAGATCCTGAGGTTAGGCTTCAAGTGACCCCTAGGGTTAGGGTTAGGGTCAGTATTAGGGTCAGGGCTAGTATCCGAGGTTAGGGTTAGATCCTGAGGTTAGGCTTCAAGTGACCCCTAGGGTTAGGGTTAGGGTCAGTATTACGGTTAGGGTTAGTATCCAAGGTAGGGTTAGGGTTAGGGTTAGGGCCACGATTGGGGTTATGGCAAGCGCTAAGGTTAGGGTTAGGGTTAGCGCGATGGTTAGGGCTAGGGTTAAGTGCCAGGTTAGGGCTTACGGCATCAGCCGCCCGGACTGCGGGTCGGCTGGATCTCTAATATGTGCAGATTTTGCAGGTTGGGGACCGAGGAAACGCACCAACGATGGACGAGGCACTGGCGGGTAAGGTTTTTGGGTAAGTATCCCGTCTCCCCTAAGTTGCCCTACTTGGGCGGCGGGGAGCGGGGAATGCACGGTCCTTCGCCCACCGGACACGCTCCCCCGGTCCCACAGGAAACACGACTTGTGCTTAATAAATGTTGTTGTTGACTTGGTTTTAATGTGTTGCGTTATTGTTTTTAAATAGTTTCCATTTTTTTAGGATTTTTTGTTTTTGTTTTTAAATAATTTCCAGTTTTTTAGGATTTTTTTGTTTTTTATATACACAACACACAAACAAACAAACAAACAAACAAACAATACATGATCACACAGGAACTATGTACATACATTGTGCGCGTCGACGACGTTTCGACCCTACTTGGGTCTTCATCAGGTCATGCGCACAAAAAAGAATGGCTGCTGGGCCCCAATTCATAGGGGTGTGTACCCAGCAGGCAGCCAAATAAAAATGAAGTTATCCCTGTTCCCCTCTCCCTTTTATACCCTTGGAGAAATAATTTACTGAATTTTCTTAAATAATTTGTGTTATTTTGTACTCTATTTAGTTTCTGAATGTTAACCCTTTAGACGCTGATTGTTTTTTAATGCATGATATATTTATCTTATGTTAACCCTTTAGACGCTGATTGTTTTTTAATACATGATATATTTATCTTAATGCTGAGGTTAGGCTTCAAGTGACCCCCTAGGGTTAGGGTTAGGGTCAGTATTAGGGTCAGGGCTAGTATCCGAGGTTAGGGTTAGATCCTGAGGTTAGGCTTCAAGTGACCCCTAGGGTTAGGGTTAGGGTCAGTATTAGGGTCAGGGCTAGTATCCGAGGTTAGGGTTAGATCCTGAGGTTAGGCTTCAAGTGACCCCTAGGGTTAGGGTTAGGGTCAGTATTACGGTTAGGGTTAGTATCCAAGGTAGGGTTAGGGTTAGGGTTAGGGCCACGATTGGGGTTATGGCAAGCGCTAAGGTTAGGGTTAGGGTTAGCGCGATGGTTAGGGCTAGGGTTAAGTGCCAGGTTAGGGCTTACGGCATCAGCCGCCCGGACTGCGGGTCGGCTGGATCTCTAATATGTGCAGATTTTGCAGGTTGGGGACCGAGGAAACGCACCAACGATGGACGAGGCACTGGCGGGTAAGGTTTTTGGGTAAGTATCCCGTCTCCCCTAAGTTGCCCTACTTGGGCGGCGGGGAGCGGGGAATGCACGGTCCTTCGCCCACCGGACACGCTCCCCCGGTCCCACAGGAAACACGACTTGTGCTTAATAAATGTTGTTGTTGACTTGGTTTTAATGTGTTGCGTTATTGTTTTTAAATAGTTTCCATTTTTTTAGGATTTTTTGTTTTTGTTTTTAAATAATTTCCAGTTTTTTAGGATTTTTTTGTTTTTTATATACACAACACACAAACAAACAAACAAACAAACAAACAATACATGATCACACAGGAACTATGTACATACATTGTGCGCGTCGACGACGTTTCGACCCTACTTGGGTCTTCATCAGGTCATGCGCACAAAAAAGAATGGCTGCTGGGCCCCAATTCATAGGGGTGTGTACCCAGCAGGCAGCCAAATAAAAATGAAGTTATCCCTGTTCCCCTCTCCCTTTTATACCCTTGGAGAAATAATTTACTGAATTTTCTTAAATAATTTGTGTTATTTTGTACTCTATTTAGTTTCTGAATGTTAACCCTTTAGACGCTGATTGTTTTTTAATGCATGATATATTTATCTTATGTTAACCCTTTAGACGCTGATTGTTTTTTAATACATGATATATTTATCTTAATGCTGAGGTTAGGCTTCAAGTGACCCCCTAGGGTTAGGGTTAGGGTCAGTATTAGGGTCAGGGCTAGTATCCGAGGTTAGGGTTAGATCCTGAGGTTAGGCTTCAAGTGACCCCTAGGGTTAGGGTTAGGGTCAGTATTAGGGTCAGGGCTAGTATCCGAGGTTAGGGTTAGATCCTGAGGTTAGGCTTCAAGTGACCCCTAGGGTTAGGGTTAGGGTCAGTATTACGGTTAGGGTTAGTATCCAAGGTAGGGTTAGGGTTAGGGTTAGGGCCACGATTGGGGTTATGGCAAGCGCTAAGGTTAGGGTTAGGGTTAGCGCGATGGTTAGGGCTAGGGTTAAGTGCCAGGTTAGGGCTTACGGCATCAGCCGCCCGGACTGCGGGTCGGCTGGATCTCTAATATGTGCAGATTTTGCAGGTTGGGGACCGAGGAAACGCACCAACGATGGACGAGGCACTGGCGGGTAAGGTTTTTGGGTAAGTATCCCGTCTCCCCTAAGTTGCCCTACTTGGGCGGCGGGGAGCGGGGAATGCACGGTCCTTCGCCCACCGGACACGCTCCCCCGGTCCCACAGGAAACACGACTTGTGCTTAATAAATGTTGTTGTTGACTTGGTTTTAATGTGTTGCGTTATTGTTTTTAAATAGTTTCCATTTTTTTAGGATTTTTTGTTTTTGTTTTTAAATAATTTCCAGTTTTTTAGGATTTTTTTGTTTTTTATATACACAACACACAAACAAACAAACAAACAAACAAACAATACATGATCACACAGGAACTATGTACATACATTGTGCGCGTCGACGACGTTTCGACCCTACTTGGGTCTTCATCAGGTCATGCGCACAAAAAAGAATGGCTGCTGGGCCCCAATTCATAGGGGTGTGTACCCAGCAGGCAGCCAAATAAAAATGAAGTTATCCCTGTTCCCCTCTCCCTTTTATACCCTTGGAGAAATAATTTACTGAATTTTCTTAAATAATTTGTGTTATTTTGTACTCTATTTAGTTTCTGAATGTTAACCCTTTAGACGCTGATTGTTTTTTAATGCATGATATATTTATCTTATGTTAACCCTTTAGACGCTGATTGTTTTTTAATACATGATATATTTATCTTAATGCTGAGGTTAGGCTTCAAGTGACCCCCTAGGGTTAGGGTTAGGGTCAGTATTAGGGTCAGGGCTAGTATCCGAGGTTAGGGTTAGATCCTGAGGTTAGGCTTCAAGTGACCCCTAGGGTTAGGGTTAGGGTCAGTATTAGGGTCAGGGCTAGTATCCGAGGTTAGGGTTAGATCCTGAGGTTAGGCTTCAAGTGACCCCTAGGGTTAGGGTTAGGGTCAGTATTACGGTTAGGGTTAGTATCCAAGGTAGGGTTAGGGTTAGGGTTAGGGCCACGATTGGGGTTATGGCAAGCGCTAAGGTTAGGGTTAGGGTTAGCGCGATGGTTAGGGCTAGGGTTAAGTGCCAGGTTAGGGCTTACGGCATCAGCCGCCCGGACTGCGGGTCGGCTGGATCTCTAATATGTGCAGATTTTGCAGGTTGGGGACCGAGGAAACGCACCAACGATGGACGAGGCACTGGCGGGTAAGGTTTTTGGGTAAGTATCCCGTCTCCCCTAAGTTGCCCTACTTGGGCGGCGGGGAGCGGGGAATGCACGGTCCTTCGCCCACCGGACACGCTCCCCCGGTCCCACAGGAAACACGACTTGTGCTTAATAAATGTTGTTGTTGACTTGGTTTTAATGTGTTGCGTTATTGTTTTTAAATAGTTTCCATTTTTTTAGGATTTTTTGTTTTTGTTTTTAAATAATTTCCAGTTTTTTAGGATTTTTTTGTTTTTTATATACACAACACACAAACAAACAAACAAACAAACAAACAATACATGATCACACAGGAACTATGTACATACATTGTGCGCGTCGACGACGTTTCGACCCTACTTGGGTCTTCATCAGGTCATGCGCACAAAAAAGAATGGCTGCTGGGCCCCAATTCATAGGGGTGTGTACCCAGCAGGCAGCCAAATAAAAATGAAGTTATCCCTGTTCCCCTCTCCCTTTTATACCCTTGGAGAAATAATTTACTGAATTTTCTTAAATAATTTGTGTTATTTTGTACTCTATTTAGTTTCTGAATGTTAACCCTTTAGACGCTGATTGTTTTTTAATGCATGATATATTTATCTTATGTTAACCCTTTAGACGCTGATTGTTTTTTAATACATGATATATTTATCTTAATGCTGAGGTTAGGCTTCAAGTGACCCCCTAGGGTTAGGGTTAGGGTCAGTATTAGGGTCAGGGCTAGTATCCGAGGTTAGGGTTAGATCCTGAGGTTAGGCTTCAAGTGACCCCTAGGGTTAGGGTTAGGGTCAGTATTAGGGTCAGGGCTAGTATCCGAGGTTAGGGTTAGATCCTGAGGTTAGGCTTCAAGTGACCCCTAGGGTTAGGGTTAGGGTCAGTATTACGGTTAGGGTTAGTATCCAAGGTAGGGTTAGGGTTAGGGTTAGGGCCACGATTGGGGTTATGGCAAGCGCTAAGGTTAGGGTTAGGGTTAGCGCGATGGTTAGGGCTAGGGTTAAGTGCCAGGTTAGGGCTTACGGCATCAGCCGCCCGGACTGCGGGTCGGCTGGATCTCTAATATGTGCAGATTTTGCAGGTTGGGGACCGAGGAAACGCACCAACGATGGACGAGGCACTGGCGGGTAAGGTTTTTGGGTAAGTATCCCGTCTCCCCTAAGTTGCCCTACTTGGGCGGCGGGGAGCGGGGAATGCACGGTCCTTCGCCCACCGGACACGCTCCCCCGGTCCCACAGGAAACACGACTTGTGCTTAATAAATGTTGTTGTTGACTTGGTTTTAATGTGTTGCGTTATTGTTTTTAAATAGTTTCCATTTTTTTAGGATTTTTTGTTTTTGTTTTTAAATAATTTCCAGTTTTTTAGGATTTTTTTGTTTTTTATATACACAACACACAAACAAACAAACAAACAAACAAACAATACATGATCACACAGGAACTATGTACATACATTGTGCGCGTCGACGACGTTTCGACCCTACTTGGGTCTTCATCAGGTCATGCGCACAAAAAAGAATGGCTGCTGGGCCCCAATTCATAGGGGTGTGTACCCAGCAGGCAGCCAAATAAAAATGAAGTTATCCCTGTTCCCCTCTCCCTTTTATACCCTTGGAGAAATAATTTACTGAATTTTCTTAAATAATTTGTGTTATTTTGTACTCTATTTAGTTTCTGAATGTTAACCCTTTAGACGCTGATTGTTTTTTAATGCATGATATATTTATCTTATGTTAACCCTTTAGACGCTGATTGTTTTTTAATACATGATATATTTATCTTAATGCTGAGGTTAGGCTTCAAGTGACCCCCTAGGGTTAGGGTTAGGGTCAGTATTAGGGTCAGGGCTAGTATCCGAGGTTAGGGTTAGATCCTGAGGTTAGGCTTCAAGTGACCCCTAGGGTTAGGGTTAGGGTCAGTATTAGGGTCAGGGCTAGTATCCGAGGTTAGGGTTAGATCCTGAGGTTAGGCTTCAAGTGACCCCTAGGGTTAGGGTTAGGGTCAGTATTACGGTTAGGGTTAGTATCCAAGGTAGGGTTAGGGTTAGGGTTAGGGCCACGATTGGGGTTATGGCAAGCGCTAAGGTTAGGGTTAGGGTTAGCGCGATGGTTAGGGCTAGGGTTAAGTGCCAGGTTAGGGCTTACGGCATCAGCCGCCCGGACTGCGGGTCGGCTGGATCTCTAATATGTGCAGATTTTGCAGGTTGGGGACCGAGGAAACGCACCAACGATGGACGAGGCACTGGCGGGTAAGGTTTTTGGGTAAGTATCCCGTCTCCCCTAAGTTGCCCTACTTGGGCGGCGGGGAGCGGGGAATGCACGGTCCTTCGCCCACCGGACACGCTCCCCCGGTCCCACAGGAAACACGACTTGTGCTTAATAAATGTTGTTGTTGACTTGGTTTTAATGTGTTGCGTTATTGTTTTTAAATAGTTTCCATTTTTTTAGGATTTTTTGTTTTTGTTTTTAAATAATTTCCAGTTTTTTAGGATTTTTTTGTTTTTTATATACACAACACACAAACAAACAAACAAACAAACAAACAATACATGATCACACAGGAACTATGTACATACATTGTGCGCGTCGACGACGTTTCGACCCTACTTGGGTCTTCATCAGGTCATGCGCACAAAAAGAATGGCTGCTGGGCCCCAATTCATAGGGGTGTGTACCCAGCAGGCAGCCAAATAAAAATGAAGTTATCCCTGTTCCCCTCTCCCTTTTATACCCTTGGAGAAATAATTTACTGAATTTTCTTAAATAATTTGTGTTATTTTGTACTCTATTTAGTTTCTGAATGTTAACCCTTTAGACGCTGATTGTTTTTTAATGCATGATATATTTATCTTATGTTAACCCTTTAGACGCTGATTGTTTTTTAATACATGATATATTTATCTTAATGCTGAGGTTAGGCTTCAAGTGACCCCCTAGGGTTAGGGTTAGGGTCAGTATTAGGGTCAGGGCTAGTATCCGAGGTTAGGGTTAGATCCTGAGGTTAGGCTTCAAGTGACCCCTAGGGTTAGGGTTAGGGTCAGTATTAGGGTCAGGGCTAGTATCCGAGGTTAGGGTTAGATCCTGAGGTTAGGCTTCAAGTGACCCCTAGGGTTAGGGTTAGGGTCAGTATTACGGTTAGGGTTAGTATCCAAGGTAGGGTTAGGGTTAGGGTTAGGGCCACGATTGGGGTTATGGCAAGCGCTAAGGTTAGGGTTAGGGTTAGCGCGATGGTTAGGGCTAGGGTTAAGTGCCAGGTTAGGGCTTACGGCATCAGCCGCCCGGACTGCGGGTCGGCTGGATCTCTAATATGTGCAGATTTTGCAGGTTGGGGACCGAGGAAACGCACCAACGATGGACGAGGCACTGGCGGGTAAGGTTTTTGGGTAAGTATCCCGTCTCCCCTAAGTTGCCCTACTTGGGCGGCGGGGAGCGGGGAATGCACGGTCCTTCGCCCACCGGACACGCTCCCCCGGTCCCACAGGAAACACGACTTGTGCTTAATAAATGTTGTTGTTGACTTGGTTTTAATGTGTTGCGTTATTGTTTTTAAATAGTTTCCATTTTTTTAGGATTTTTTGTTTTTGTTTTTAAATAATTTCCAGTTTTTTAGGATTTTTTTGTTTTTTATATACACAACACACAAACAAACAAACAAACAAACAAACAATACATGATCACACAGGAACTATGTACATACATTGTGCGCGTCGACGACGTTTCGACCCTACTTGGGTCTTCATCAGGTCATGCGCACAAAAAAGAATGGCTGCTGGGCCCCAATTCATAGGGGTGTGTACCCAGCAGGCAGCCAAATAAAAATGAAGTTATCCCTGTTCCCCTCTCCCTTTTATACCCTTGGAGAAATAATTTACTGAATTTTCTTAAATAATTTGTGTTATTTTGTACTCTATTTAGTTTCTGAATGTTAACCCTTTAGACGCTGATTGTTTTTTAATGCATGATATATTTATCTTATGTTAACCCTTTAGACGCTGATTGTTTTTTAATACATGATATATTTATCTTAATGCTGAGGTTAGGCTTCAAGTGACCCCCTAGGGTTAGGGTTAGGGTCAGTATTAGGGTCAGGGCTAGTATCCGAGGTTAGGGTTAGATCCTGAGGTTAGGCTTCAAGTGACCCCTAGGGTTAGGGTTAGGGTCAGTATTAGGGTCAGGGCTAGTATCCGAGGTTAGGGTTAGATCCTGAGGTTAGGCTTCAAGTGACCCCTAGGGTTAGGGTTAGGGTCAGTATTACGGTTAGGGTTAGTATCCAAGGTAGGGTTAGGGTTAGGGTTAGGGCCACGATTGGGGTTATGGCAAGCGCTAAGGTTAGGGTTAGGGTTAGCGCGATGGTTAGGGCTAGGGTTAAGTGCCAGGTTAGGGCTTACGGCATCAGCCGCCCGGACTGCGGGTCGGCTGGATCTCTAATATGTGCAGATTTTGCAGGTTGGGGACCGAGGAAACGCACCAACGATGGACGAGGCACTGGCGGGTAAGGTTTTTGGGTAAGTATCCCGTCTCCCCTAAGTTGCCCTACTTGGGCGGCGGGGAGCGGGGAATGCACGGTCCTTCGCCCACCGGACACGCTCCCCCGGTCCCACAGGAAACACGACTTGTGCTTAATAAATGTTGTTGTTGACTTGGTTTTAATGTGTTGCGTTATTGTTTTTAAATAGTTTCCATTTTTTTAGGATTTTTTGTTTTTGTTTTTAAATAATTTCCAGTTTTTTAGGATTTTTTTGTTTTTTATATACACAACACACAAACAAACAAACAAACAAACAAACAATACATGATCACACAGGAACTATGTACATACATTGTGCGCGTCGACGACGTTTCGACCCTACTTGGGTCTTCATCAGGTCATGCGCACAAAAAAGAATGGCTGCTGGGCCCCAATTCATAGGGGTGTGTACCCAGCAGGCAGCCAAATAAAAATGAAGTTATCCCTGTTCCCCTCTCCCTTTTATACCCTTGGAGAAATAATTTACTGAATTTTCTTAAATAATTTGTGTTATTTTGTACTCTATTTAGTTTCTGAATGTTAACCCTTTAGACGCTGATTGTTTTTTAATGCATGATATATTTATCTTATGTTAACCCTTTAGACGCTGATTGTTTTTTAATACATGATATATTTATCTTAATGCTGAGGTTAGGCTTCAAGTGACCCCCTAGGGTTAGGGTTAGGGTCAGTATTAGGGTCAGGGCTAGTATCCGAGGTTAGGGTTAGATCCTGAGGTTAGGCTTCAAGTGACCCCTAGGGTTAGGGTTAGGGTCAGTATTAGGGTCAGGGCTAGTATCCGAGGTTAGGGTTAGATCCTGAGGTTAGGCTTCAAGTGACCCCTAGGGTTAGGGTTAGGGTCAGTATTACGGTTAGGGTTAGTATCCAAGGTAGGGTTAGGGTTAGGGTTAGGGCCACGATTGGGGTTATGGCAAGCGCTAAGGTTAGGGTTAGGGTTAGCGCGATGGTTAGGGCTAGGGTTAAGTGCCAGGTTAGGGCTTACGGCATCAGCCGCCCGGACTGCGGGTCGGCTGGATCTCTAATATGTGCAGATTTTGCAGGTTGGGGACCGAGGAAACGCACCAACGATGGACGAGGCACTGGCGGGTAAGGTTTTTGGGTAAGTATCCCGTCTCCCCTAAGTTGCCCTACTTGGGCGGCGGGGAGCGGGGAATGCACGGTCCTTCGCCCACCGGACACGCTCCCCCGGTCCCACAGGAAACACGACTTGTGCTTAATAAATGTTGTTGTTGACTTGGTTTTAATGTGTTGCGTTATTGTTTTTAAATAGTTTCCATTTTTTTAGGATTTTTTGTTTTTGTTTTTAAATAATTTCCAGTTTTTTAGGATTTTTTTGTTTTTTATATACACAACACACAAACAAACAAACAAACAAACAAACAATACATGATCACACAGGAACTATGTACATACATTGTGCGCGTCGACGACGTTTCGACCCTACTTGGGTCTTCATCAGGTCATGCGCACAAAAAAGAATGGCTGCTGGGCCCCAATTCATAGGGGTGTGTACCCAGCAGGCAGCCAAATAAAAATGAAGTTATCCCTGTTCCCCTCTCCCTTTTATACCCTTGGAGAAATAATTTACTGAATTTTCTTAAATAATTTGTGTTATTTTGTACTCTATTTAGTTTCTGAATGTTAACCCTTTAGACGCTGATTGTTTTTTAATGCATGATATATTTATCTTATGTTAACCCTTTAGACGCTGATTGTTTTTTAATACATGATATATTTATCTTAATGCTGAGGTTAGGCTTCAAGTGACCCCCTAGGGTTAGGGTTAGGGTCAGTATTAGGGTCAGGGCTAGTATCCGAGGTTAGGGTTAGATCCTGAGGTTAGGCTTCAAGTGACCCCTAGGGTTAGGGTTAGGGTCAGTATTAGGGTCAGGGCTAGTATCCGAGGTTAGGGTTAGATCCTGAGGTTAGGCTTCAAGTGACCCCTAGGGTTAGGGTTAGGGTCAGTATTACGGTTAGGGTTAGTATCCAAGGTAGGGTTAGGGTTAGGGTTAGGGCCACGATTGGGGTTATGGCAAGCGCTAAGGTTAGGGTTAGGGTTAGCGCGATGGTTAGGGCTAGGGTTAAGTGCCAGGTTAGGGCTTACGGCATCAGCCGCCCGGACTGCGGGTCGGCTGGATCTCTAATATGTGCAGATTTTGCAGGTTGGGGACCGAGGAAACGCACCAACGATGGACGAGGCACTGGCGGGTAAGGTTTTTGGGTAAGTATCCCGTCTCCCCTAAGTTGCCCTACTTGGGCGGCGGGGAGCGGGGAATGCACGGTCCTTCGCCCACCGGACACGCTCCCCCGGTCCCACAGGAAACACGACTTGTGCTTAATAAATGTTGTTGTTGACTTGGTTTTAATGTGTTGCGTTATTGTTTTTAAATAGTTTCCATTTTTTTAGGATTTTTTGTTTTTGTTTTTAAATAATTTCCAGTTTTTTAGGATTTTTTTGTTTTTTATATACACAACACACAAACAAACAAACAAACAAACAAACAATACATGATCACACAGGAACTATGTACATACATTGTGCGCGTCGACGACGTTTCGACCCTACTTGGGTCTTCATCAGGTCATGCGCACAAAAAAGAATGGCTGCTGGGCCCCAATTCATAGGGGTGTGTACCCAGCAGGCAGCCAAATAAAAATGAAGTTATCCCTGTTCCCCTCTCCCTTTTATACCCTTGGAGAAATAATTTACTGAATTTTCTTAAATAATTTGTGTTATTTTGTACTCTATTTAGTTTCTGAATGTTAACCCTTTAGACGCTGATTGTTTTTTAATGCATGATATATTTATCTTATGTTAACCCTTTAGACGCTGATTGTTTTTTAATACATGATATATTTATCTTAATGCTGAGGTTAGGCTTCAAGTGACCCCCTAGGGTTAGGGTTAGGGTCAGTATTAGGGTCAGGGCTAGTATCCGAGGTTAGGGTTAGATCCTGAGGTTAGGCTTCAAGTGACCCCTAGGGTTAGGGTTAGGGTCAGTATTAGGGTCAGGGCTAGTATCCGAGGTTAGGGTTAGATCCTGAGGTTAGGCTTCAAGTGACCCCTAGGGTTAGGGTTAGGGTCAGTATTACGGTTAGGGTTAGTATCCAAGGTAGGGTTAGGGTTAGGGTTAGGGCCACGATTGGGGTTATGGCAAGCGCTAAGGTTAGGGTTAGGGTTAGCGCGATGGTTAGGGCTAGGGTTAAGTGCCAGGTTAGGGCTTACGGCATCAGCCGCCCGGACTGCGGGTCGGCTGGATCTCTAATATGTGCAGATTTTGCAGGTTGGGGACCGAGGAAACGCACCAACGATGGACGAGGCACTGGCGGGTAAGGTTTTTGGGTAAGTATCCCGTCTCCCCTAAGTTGCCCTACTTGGGCGGCGGGGAGCGGGGAATGCACGGTCCTTCGCCCACCGGACACGCTCCCCCGGTCCCACAGGAAACACGACTTGTGCTTAATAAATGTTGTTGTTGACTTGGTTTTAATGTGTTGCGTTATTGTTTTTAAATAGTTTCCATTTTTTTAGGATTTTTTGTTTTTGTTTTTAAATAATTTCCAGTTTTTTAGGATTTTTTTGTTTTTTATATACACAACACACAAACAAACAAACAAACAAACAAACAATACATGATCACACAGGAACTATGTACATACATTGTGCGCGTCGACGACGTTTCGACCCTACTTGGGTCTTCATCAGGTCATGCGCACAAAAAGAATGGCTGCTGGGCCCCAATTCATAGGGGTGTGTACCCAGCAGGCAGCCAAATAAAAATGAAGTTATCCCTGTTCCCCTCTCCCTTTTATACCCTTGGAGAAATAATTTACTGAATTTTCTTAAATAATTTGTGTTATTTTGTACTCTATTTAGTTTCTGAATGTTAACCCTTTAGACGCTGATTGTTTTTTAATGCATGATATATTTATCTTATGTTAACCCTTTAGACGCTGATTGTTTTTTAATACATGATATATTTATCTTAATGCTGAGGTTAGGCTTCAAGTGACCCCCTAGGGTTAGGGTTAGGGTCAGTATTAGGGTCAGGGCTAGTATCCGAGGTTAGGGTTAGATCCTGAGGTTAGGCTTCAAGTGACCCCTAGGGTTAGGGTTAGGGTCAGTATTAGGGTCAGGGCTAGTATCCGAGGTTAGGGTTAGATCCTGAGGTTAGGCTTCAAGTGACCCCTAGGGTTAGGGTTAGGGTCAGTATTACGGTTAGGGTTAGTATCCAAGGTAGGGTTAGGGTTAGGGTTAGGGCCACGATTGGGGTTATGGCAAGCGCTAAGGTTAGGGTTAGGGTTAGCGCGATGGTTAGGGCTAGGGTTAAGTGCCAGGTTAGGGCTTACGGCATCAGCCGCCCGGACTGCGGGTCGGCTGGATCTCTAATATGTGCAGATTTTGCAGGTTGGGGACCGAGGAAACGCACCAACGATGGACGAGGCACTGGCGGGTAAGGTTTTTGGGTAAGTATCCCGTCTCCCCTAAGTTGCCCTACTTGGGCGGCGGGGAGCGGGGAATGCACGGTCCTTCGCCCACCGGACACGCTCCCCCGGTCCCACAGGAAACACGACTTGTGCTTAATAAATGTTGTTGTTGACTTGGTTTTAATGTGTTGCGTTATTGTTTTTAAATAGTTTCCATTTTTTTAGGATTTTTTGTTTTTGTTTTTAAATAATTTCCAGTTTTTTAGGATTTTTTTGTTTTTTATATACACAACACACAAACAAACAAACAAACAAACAAACAATACATGATCACACAGGAACTATGTACATACATTGTGCGCGTCGACGACGTTTCGACCCTACTTGGGTCTTCATCAGGTCATGCGCACAAAAAAGAATGGCTGCTGGGCCCCAATTCATAGGGGTGTGTACCCAGCAGGCAGCCAAATAAAAATGAAGTTATCCCTGTTCCCCTCTCCCTTTTATACCCTTGGAGAAATAATTTACTGAATTTTCTTAAATAATTTGTGTTATTTTGTACTCTATTTAGTTTCTGAATGTTAACCCTTTAGACGCTGATTGTTTTTTAATGCATGATATATTTATCTTATGTTAACCCTTTAGACGCTGATTGTTTTTTAATACATGATATATTTATCTTAATGCTGAGGTTAGGCTTCAAGTGACCCCCTAGGGTTAGGGTTAGGGTCAGTATTAGGGTCAGGGCTAGTATCCGAGGTTAGGGTTAGATCCTGAGGTTAGGCTTCAAGTGACCCCTAGGGTTAGGGTTAGGGTCAGTATTAGGGTCAGGGCTAGTATCCGAGGTTAGGGTTAGATCCTGAGGTTAGGCTTCAAGTGACCCCTAGGGTTAGGGTTAGGGTCAGTATTACGGTTAGGGTTAGTATCCAAGGTAGGGTTAGGGTTAGGGTTAGGGCCACGATTGGGGTTATGGCAAGCGCTAAGGTTAGGGTTAGGGTTAGCGCGATGGTTAGGGCTAGGGTTAAGTGCCAGGTTAGGGCTTACGGCATCAGCCGCCCGGACTGCGGGTCGGCTGGATCTCTAATATGTGCAGATTTTGCAGGTTGGGGACCGAGGAAACGCACCAACGATGGACGAGGCACTGGCGGGTAAGGTTTTTGGGTAAGTATCCCGTCTCCCCTAAGTTGCCCTACTTGGGCGGCGGGGAGCGGGGAATGCACGGTCCTTCGCCCACCGGACACGCTCCCCCGGTCCCACAGGAAACACGACTTGTGCTTAATAAATGTTGTTGTTGACTTGGTTTTAATGTGTTGCGTTATTGTTTTTAAATAGTTTCCATTTTTTTAGGATTTTTTGTTTTTGTTTTTAAATAATTTCCAGTTTTTTAGGATTTTTTTGTTTTTTATATACACAACACACAAACAAACAAACAAACAAACAAACAATACATGATCACACAGGAACTATGTACATACATTGTGCGCGTCGACGACGTTTCGACCCTACTTGGGTCTTCATCAGGTCATGCGCACAAAAAAGAATGGCTGCTGGGCCCCAATTCATAGGGGTGTGTACCCAGCAGGCAGCCAAATAAAAATGAAGTTATCCCTGTTCCCCTCTCCCTTTTATACCCTTGGAGAAATAATTTACTGAATTTTCTTAAATAATTTGTGTTATTTTGTACTCTATTTAGTTTCTGAATGTTAACCCTTTAGACGCTGATTGTTTTTTAATGCATGATATATTTATCTTATGTTAACCCTTTAGACGCTGATTGTTTTTTAATACATGATATATTTATCTTAATGCTGAGGTTAGGCTTCAAGTGACCCCCTAGGGTTAGGGTTAGGGTCAGTATTAGGGTCAGGGCTAGTATCCGAGGTTAGGGTTAGATCCTGAGGTTAGGCTTCAAGTGACCCCTAGGGTTAGGGTTAGGGTCAGTATTAGGGTCAGGGCTAGTATCCGAGGTTAGGGTTAGATCCTGAGGTTAGGCTTCAAGTGACCCCTAGGGTTAGGGTTAGGGTCAGTATTACGGTTAGGGTTAGTATCCAAGGTAGGGTTAGGGTTAGGGTTAGGGCCACGATTGGGGTTATGGCAAGCGCTAAGGTTAGGGTTAGGGTTAGCGCGATGGTTAGGGCTAGGGTTAAGTGCCAGGTTAGGGCTTACGGCATCAGCCGCCCGGACTGCGGGTCGGCTGGATCTCTAATATGTGCAGATTTTGCAGGTTGGGGACCGAGGAAACGCACCAACGATGGACGAGGCACTGGCGGGTAAGGTTTTTGGGTAAGTATCCCGTCTCCCCTAAGTTGCCCTACTTGGGCGGCGGGGAGCGGGGAATGCACGGTCCTTCGCCCACCGGACACGCTCCCCCGGTCCCACAGGAAACACGACTTGTGCTTAATAAATGTTGTTGTTGACTTGGTTTTAATGTGTTGCGTTATTGTTTTTAAATAGTTTCCATTTTTTTAGGATTTTTTGTTTTTGTTTTTAAATAATTTCCAGTTTTTTAGGATTTTTTTGTTTTTTATATACACAACACACAAACAAACAAACAAACAAACAAACAATACATGATCACACAGGAACTATGTACATACATTGTGCGCGTCGACGACGTTTCGACCCTACTTGGGTCTTCATCAGGTCATGCGCACAAAAAAGAATGGCTGCTGGGCCCCAATTCATAGGGGTGTGTACCCAGCAGGCAGCCAAATAAAAATGAAGTTATCCCTGTTCCCCTCTCCCTTTTATACCCTTGGAGAAATAATTTACTGAATTTTCTTAAATAATTTGTGTTATTTTGTACTCTATTTAGTTTCTGAATGTTAACCCTTTAGACGCTGATTGTTTTTTAATGCATGATATATTTATCTTATGTTAACCCTTTAGACGCTGATTGTTTTTTAATACATGATATATTTATCTTAATGCTGAGGTTAGGCTTCAAGTGACCCCCTAGGGTTAGGGTTAGGGTCAGTATTAGGGTCAGGGCTAGTATCCGAGGTTAGGGTTAGATCCTGAGGTTAGGCTTCAAGTGACCCCTAGGGTTAGGGTTAGGGTCAGTATTAGGGTCAGGGCTAGTATCCGAGGTTAGGGTTAGATCCTGAGGTTAGGCTTCAAGTGACCCCTAGGGTTAGGGTTAGGGTCAGTATTACGGTTAGGGTTAGTATCCAAGGTAGGGTTAGGGTTAGGGTTAGGGCCACGATTGGGGTTATGGCAAGCGCTAAGGTTAGGGTTAGGGTTAGCGCGATGGTTAGGGCTAGGGTTAAGTGCCAGGTTAGGGCTTACGGCATCAGCCGCCCGGACTGCGGGTCGGCTGGATCTCTAATATGTGCAGATTTTGCAGGTTGGGGACCGAGGAAACGCACCAACGATGGACGAGGCACTGGCGGGTAAGGTTTTTGGGTAAGTATCCCGTCTCCCCTAAGTTGCCCTACTTGGGCGGCGGGGAGCGGGGAATGCACGGTCCTTCGCCCACCGGACACGCTCCCCCGGTCCCACAGGAAACACGACTTGTGCTTAATAAATGTTGTTGTTGACTTGGTTTTAATGTGTTGCGTTATTGTTTTTAAATAGTTTCCATTTTTTTAGGATTTTTTGTTTTTGTTTTTAAATAATTTCCAGTTTTTTAGGATTTTTTTGTTTTTTATATACACAACACACAAACAAACAAACAAACAAACAAACAATACATGATCACACAGGAACTATGTACATACATTGTGCGCGTCGACGACGTTTCGACCCTACTTGGGTCTTCATCAGGTCATGCGCACAAAAAAGAATGGCTGCTGGGCCCCAATTCATAGGGGTGTGTACCCAGCAGGCAGCCAAATAAAAATGAAGTTATCCCTGTTCCCCTCTCCCTTTTATACCCTTGGAGAAATAATTTACTGAATTTTCTTAAATAATTTGTGTTATTTTGTACTCTATTTAGTTTCTGAATGTTAACCCTTTAGACGCTGATTGTTTTTTAATGCATGATATATTTATCTTATGTTAACCCTTTAGACGCTGATTGTTTTTTAATACATGATATATTTATCTTAATGCTGAGGTTAGGCTTCAAGTGACCCCCTAGGGTTAGGGTTAGGGTCAGTATTAGGGTCAGGGCTAGTATCCGAGGTTAGGGTTAGATCCTGAGGTTAGGCTTCAAGTGACCCCTAGGGTTAGGGTTAGGGTCAGTATTAGGGTCAGGGCTAGTATCCGAGGTTAGGGTTAGATCCTGAGGTTAGGCTTCAAGTGACCCCTAGGGTTAGGGTTAGGGTCAGTATTACGGTTAGGGTTAGTATCCAAGGTAGGGTTAGGGTTAGGGTTAGGGCCACGATTGGGGTTATGGCAAGCGCTAAGGTTAGGGTTAGGGTTAGCGCGATGGTTAGGGCTAGGGTTAAGTGCCAGGTTAGGGCTTACGGCATCAGCCGCCCGGACTGCGGGTCGGCTGGATCTCTAATATGTGCAGATTTTGCAGGTTGGGGACCGAGGAAACGCACCAACGATGGACGAGGCACTGGCGGGTAAGGTTTTTGGGTAAGTATCCCGTCTCCCCTAAGTTGCCCTACTTGGGCGGCGGGGAGCGGGGAATGCACGGTCCTTCGCCCACCGGACACGCTCCCCCGGTCCCACAGGAAACACGACTTGTGCTTAATAAATGTTGTTGTTGACTTGGTTTTAATGTGTTGCGTTATTGTTTTTAAATAGTTTCCATTTTTTTAGGATTTTTTGTTTTTGTTTTTAAATAATTTCCAGTTTTTTAGGATTTTTTTGTTTTTTATATACACAACACACAAACAAACAAACAAACAAACAAACAATACATGATCACACAGGAACTATGTACATACATTGTGCGCGTCGACGACGTTTCGACCCTACTTGGGTCTTCATCAGGTCATGCGCACAAAAGAATGGCTGCTGGGCCCCAATTCATAGGGGTGTGTACCCAGCAGGCAGCCAAATAAAAATGAAGTTATCCCTGTTCCCCTCTCCCTTTTATACCCTTGGAGAAATAATTTACTGAATTTTCTTAAATAATTTGTGTTATTTTGTACTCTATTTAGTTTCTGAATGTTAACCCTTTAGACGCTGATTGTTTTTTAATGCATGATATATTTATCTTATGTTAACCCTTTAGACGCTGATTGTTTTTTAATACATGATATATTTATCTTAATGCTGAGGTTAGGCTTCAAGTGACCCCCTAGGGTTAGGGTTAGGGTCAGTATTAGGGTCAGGGCTAGTATCCGAGGTTAGGGTTAGATCCTGAGGTTAGGCTTCAAGTGACCCCTAGGGTTAGGGTTAGGGTCAGTATTAGGGTCAGGGCTAGTATCCGAGGTTAGGGTTAGATCCTGAGGTTAGGCTTCAAGTGACCCCTAGGGTTAGGGTTAGGGTCAGTATTACGGTTAGGGTTAGTATCCAAGGTAGGGTTAGGGTTAGGGTTAGGGCCACGATTGGGGTTATGGCAAGCGCTAAGGTTAGGGTTAGGGTTAGCGCGATGGTTAGGGCTAGGGTTAAGTGCCAGGTTAGGGCTTACGGCATCAGCCGCCCGGACTGCGGGTCGGCTGGATCTCTAATATGTGCAGATTTTGCAGGTTGGGGACCGAGGAAACGCACCAACGATGGACGAGGCACTGGCGGGTAAGGTTTTTGGGTTAGGGTTAGGGTTAGGGTTAGGGTTAGGGTTAGGGTTAGGGGTTAGGGGTTAGGGTTAGGGTTAGGGTTAGGGTTAGGGTTAGGGGTTAGGGTTAGGGTTAGGGTTAGGGTTAGGGTTAGGATATAGGGATATGTGCCACTTTTGACATGCCGGTTCATTGCCTTTCCCAATGATGAACCGGGCTGAGATTTGGTCTACCCCCCCATTTTCGGGTATGCTGAATCTAGAAATAGTAATGAACCAGCGATCGGACATTCCTATCAAAAGTTATGGCGAAGTGAAAATTTCCCATTGAAAATGAATGGGAGCGGAAAAATGGCCAAAGTCAGTGTTTGCAAGTGTTGTACTTGTCTGGAAATGTTGAAAATGCATTGTGAGCACGTTTCAGGCCATTTCCTGTCATTTGAGGGCGACTTTGCAAAAAGGGGTGTCATACCGCTTTTGACCAGAGGTGGCGCTGCACATGTCCGACGGTTAGGGTTAGGGTGAGACTTTGGGCAAGGGGTTAGGGTTAGGGTTGGAGCTAGGGTTAGGGTTAGGGTTGGAGCTAGGGTTAGGGTTAGGGTTGGAGCTAGGGTTAGGGTTAGGGTTAGGAAAATGTGAAGATTTTCCCAAAATCTGAAGATTTTCCTAAGTGCGGACCCAATTTTTCACCTTCCAGAATTGTGTTAGGAGCACGTTTCAGGCCACGGGGAGTCCATAGAACCTGATTCTGGGTGAAGTTTTCGGGGGTTGGAGCTTTGGGGCAGGATATAGGGATATGTGCCACTTTTGACATGCCGGTTCATTGCCTTTCCCATCGATGAACCGGGCTGAGATTTGGTCTACCCCCCCATTTTCGGGTATGCTGAATCTAGAAATAGTAATGAACCAGCGATCGGACATTCCTATCAAAAGTTATGGCGAAGTGAAAATTTCCCATTGAAAATGAATGGGAGCGGAAAATGGCCAAAGTCAGTGTTTGCAAGTGTTGTACTTGTCTGGAAGTGTTGAAAATGCATTGTGAGCACGTTTCAGGCCATTTCCTGTCATTTGAGGGCGACTTTGCAAAAAGGGGTGTCATACCGCTTTTGACCAGAGGTGGTGCTGCACATGTCCGACGGTTAGGGTTAGGGTGAGACTTTGGGCAAGGGGTTAGGGTTAGGGCTGGAGCTATGGTTAGGGTTAGTTGTGGAGCTAGGGTTAGGGTTAGGGTTGGAGCTAGGGTTAGGGTTAGGGTTGGAGCTAGGGTTAGGGTTAGGGTTAGGAAAATGTGAAGATTTTCCCAAAATCTGAAGATTTTCCTAAGTGCGGACCCAATTTTTCACCTTCCAGAATTGTGTTAGGAGCACGTTTCAGGCCACGGGGAGTCCATAGAACCTGATTGTGGGTGAAGTTTTCGGGGGTTGGAGCTTTGGGGCAGGATATAGGGATATGTGCCACTTTTGACATGCCGGTTCATTGCCTTTCCCATCGATGAACCGGGCTGAGATTTGGTCTACCCCCCCATTTTCGGGTATGCTGAATCTAGAAATAGTAATGAACCAGCGATCGGACGTTCCTATCAAAAGTTATGGCGAAGTGAAAATTTCCCATTGAAAATGAATGGGAGCGGAAAATGGCCAAAGTCAGTGTTTGCAAGTGTTGTACTTGTCTGGAAGTGTTGAAAATGCATTGTGAGCACGTTTCAGGCCATTTCCTGTCATTTGAGGGCGACTTTGCAAAAAGGGGTGTCATACCGCTTTTGACCAGAGGTGGTGCTGCACATGTCCGACGGTTAGGGTTAGGGTGAGACTTTGGGCAAGGGGTTAGGGTTAGGGCTGGAGCTATGGTTAGGGTTAGTTGTGGAGCTAGGGTTAGGGTTAGGGTTGGAGCTAGGGTTAGGGTTAGGGTTGGAGCTAGGGTTAGGGTTAGGGTTAGGAAAATGTGAAGATTTTCCCAAAATCTGAAGATTTTCCTAAGTGCGGACCCAATTTTTCACCTTCCAGAATTGTGTTAGGAGCACGTTTCAGGCCACGGGGAGTCCATAGAACCTGATTGTGGGTGAAGTTTTCGGGGGTTGGAGCTTTGGGGCAGGATATAGGGATATGTGCCACTTTTGACATGCCGGTTCATTGCCTTTCCCATCGATGAACCGGGCTGAGATTTGGTCTACCCCCCATTTTCGGGTATGCTGAATCTAGAAATAGTAATGAACCAGCGATCGGACGTTCCTATCAAAAGTTATGGCGAAGTGAAAATTTCCCATTGAAAATGAATGGGAGCGGAAAATGGCCAAAGTCAGTGTTTGCAAGTGTTGTACTTGTCTGGAAGTGTTGAAAATGCA